GAACAAACAGAGTTTGGGATGAGGTCTTGTGCCCAACGGGCGGGCAGCACCGATTGCCACTCTGTAGCCTTCTCATCTTGCGGCAGGCTGTAGACCTCTGTCGCCTCAGCAAACCAAAGTTACATGGGCCATACGAATAGTTTGTGTCTGTTGTTCAATATGCATGTGCGTACACGACAGGCCATATTGAGGTCTGAAGGGGTGACTGGCTATGTCCCAGCAAAATGCTGCAGATGACGCTTGCTGCATGCTATTGGACGAACGTGACAGCGACATCCCATCCACTAGCCTAATCCAGCGAAATGACGACCCAGGCCAAGATTCCGACTATCGGCAGACCACTTTGCCGCAAGGTTGGACGGCCGGCAATTGCCACAAGAGAAAAAAAAAAGCCTAAAGATTAACAGGACCAAAAAAAGATACGCCTGCGCTTGTTTTTTTTTCTTGGCCGGATTTCGCTGGGCGCCAAACCCTCTCCTCACCGATATGCCCAACGCTGACTGTCATCACGCGAGCCATTCAGCTTGAGCGAGACTCATCATGCGGTTAAAGTTATGGATAAGCCTCCTGCTAGGTTAGGCGACGCCTCCTCGATTCGTTCCTAGACGCTGGCGGACATGGCTGAGCTTATCCGCTGGGTAGCGCTGGTGGCTTGCTGGCGAGCGCACACCACACGCCCCCCCTCACCCAAGTATTCGGGACAGCCTGCAGCACGCCATTACTGCTGTGCTGTCGCTGAAGGTCACGCTGGAAGGGTGCTGGGCCTCCCCCCCAGTACAGCCTATGGGCCACCACTGGCCAGCCAAACAACAGCAGTGGTTTTCTGCTGGCGTCGCTTCTGCGAGTCAAACATGCTGTCAACGGCCGAGCGAAGACCACAAAAATCCACGGCGCAAGGCCTCGACAAGGTTTAGTGCGCACCCACTTGCCCCCTCCCATGCACAGTAACTTATCCGGGAATGCGTGGCCCTTCGATTATCATGGCCTCTGAGAGGTTGGTTTGCGACGGAGTTGTTTTGCATGTCGAAGAGGATTTACTGTGGCAAGGTGGCAACAAGAGGCAATCTCATGAATTGAGTTTGGCGTCATCGGCTCGACATATTTCACTGGCACTATGGGCGTCGATGGGCACAAGCCTTCCATCCGTTCTTTTCCTCTTTGTGTCGGCGTGTGTCTGAAGTACGGAATGATGGCTGCCGGCGGGTTCGGCACCTCTGAAAGCAAGAGTGATCGTCGCGGGTAAATGGCCTTCAGTATCTTTGCAGCGCAACGCTGTGTATCAACTTGCCGCGATAGGCAGGCAAAACGGAATGTCCCATTCGTACAGTAATTCCAGTAGCTCAATTTTGGTTATTTTTGCCCGCTACAAGAAGGGGCTCAATTATGCCACATTTCTCTAGTCAGAACGAGCTGTCAGTCAGAAGGGGACTGGTGGCTGACTGAAGGCACTGGAGCTCGATGCCCGCCCCGCAAAGCCACTCGCCTTGTCTGCACGCCCTACCCAGCTGTCAAAGGAAGGAGCTTATGGCTGTTCCGGTGGGTTCAAGAAGGCAAAGCAATAGGAGATTTTGTTACCCTGAGGGAGAAAACTTGCCCCGTCGGCGTCGATTTGGTACGCTATTGGCTGCATGTACGAGGGCCGCGGTTGTTTGTCCAGATCCGCGACGAAAAAGCATTTGTCAATAAGAGGAGTCTCGGAAGTTAATGGAGCAAGCTCCATATATTGATTGAGGGTTTCGCTGTCACTGCTAATACGCGCACATCTGATTGCGCCGACCCCGAGACCTTAGCTCTGCACGCCCCCAAGGGGCCAGCCCGCCGCCTTAAGCGGTGCCCCAAGAACAGCCAAAAGAGCCATCTTTTCCATGCTTACAGATCAGGCGCGCGCCTCGGGCTGGTGCCATTAACCTTTTTGCTGGGGTTAGGAGGAGACAAAGGCGGAGGACCGGCGACGCAGCAGAAAAGCTGGGGGAGCAAGCCACGGAAGTTGCCATTGTCGATTGTCTTTGCAGAAGAATCTGCAGAGGCACCAAGGTTTGCAACAGCCAAGATGGGCTCTTGCAGCTCAAATTATGCGCCGCCCGAAGAGGCATATGTTTTAGCAGCCATCGCACCAGCTGCTGCAGGTACTGGGCTCCTCCTCAGCTGGCTTGCAGCAAAGCTCCGAGCTATGGCTTGGTGATTGTCTGCAAGAAGAATGGCTTACTGTGCACATAATGAGCAACAGACCCCGGTGCGGAATATTTCCAGAAGGAAATTCGCGGAATCGCCGGGCGAGGAAATCTGCAAAGAAGCAGGGCCGCCGTTGGGAATGGCTGAAAAGACTAAGCGATTCATGGAATAGAGACGTCCAGGGGGGCAGCCAACAGAAAAGGAACGGGCGAGGCGCGCACTCGCATGCACCCAGAATATAGGATTGAGCGAGACCCTGACGAGTGGCTGGTGCTGGTGCTGGTGCTGCACATTGGAAATGCGGCTCATCGGAGCCCTTCGCGTTGACTTGTAGCAGCTAGCTGAAGGAGGGCAGCACAGACAGGAGATGGCACCTCCAGCCAATTCTGCCGGCCGAGAGGACAGCACCGGACATGTGCGTCGCAGCGTTGGCTATTCTAGGCCCAGAGCGAGGGCCGACGGTAAGTGGGCTGTGGCCAGTGGGCGGGTGAGAGGTGGCAGGCCGCCCACTCAGCGAATGGGCCCGGAAGAGTGCCAACTTCCGCTGTAAAGTTTGTAGCGTTACAGTGAGACCAGGCGCTAAAACGAAAGACTTGCAGCACTCAACTAGTGCTTCCAGCACCAGACGTCGGACTTTGCCGGGCAGGTCGTCCGCCTAAACCTGGGGAATGGCTCCCCTCAGCGTTACAGCGAGATCGTACGTTATCTGAGCTCTGAGCACAGGCGTCGCATCCCCCCCCAGGCGCCTCGCCAGCTGACTGGCAGGGTCCGCGGCCGCTCTGGTTACGGTAGCCGAGGGGCGTGAAGGTTAAAAATGCAGAAAGGTAAAATCAAAGGATTCAACTACTTCTTGGCTCAAGTACATGGAAAGTGTTCTTTTACAGTCTGGTTTTAGCTTGTGACGGTTGCCGCTGCAGCCGTTGTGCATTCTGTACATGATGATCCTCATTCTCGAGGCTCGGCCCATGCACGACACACACACACTCGCATACAGAACGTACGTACATATGGAAGCAACCCAACACGAAGAGTGCCCTGTCTGGGCCTTTCTAGATCTTGCTTCCTCGGATTTGTCTTTTTTTTTTCCTTTTCTGTCTTGCGTAATAGCAAAGAAAACAATGTATATCGCAGCCTGGTCTGTGCCTACAGCAGCAGCTGGGGCCGACCTTGCCAGAGAGGAAGAAAACAAGTCAGTTTCTTGCATTTCGCCTGCGCATCCCCACACGCACCAACTGGTCGAATCCAATTTGCACTCCCCCCTTAATTCGTGTTGGTGCAGAAAGTGGAGGATGGCAGTGGAGAAGGACAGCTTCTCAGCCCTTCCAAGCTAAGGCCCCATGCCCATGCGACGGGCGTTCAAGGAGGCGTTTCTGCCACCCAGCGCTAGCAGCAGCAGGTCACTGGGGGGTGCGTCTGGGGCAGAACGCCAGCGCTCGTCAAGCTGCCTCCCATCCTCTTGCTCCCCCTGCGCCAAAAGTATCGAAAGAGGAAGCCAGACGAGCAGCCAAAGAGCAAGGGCTGATTTGAGCCTAAACAGAGGCACCACCCCATACAAACACACCAGAGTTGATTGCAGCGATAGGAGGCTCGAATGGTGCAACTGGTCTATTCGTTCTCATCAATTGCCTGTTCCATCCATCCATGCGTCCCTCAACCAACAAGGACAACAACACCAACTTTGGGCGACTCGCTTCCTGCAGATGGATGAATAGCAACGGGTGACTTTTTCAGCTTGCGCGAAGAGGATAAACTAGTATTTCTTGGTGAACTCATGTCATTTAGGTATTTTTTCTTGGCTGTAAACCATTTTACACTCATAGCGCTGTCCGCTTTTTTTTTCTACTTTCACTTCCAGCACCAGCAGCACCGTTGCGCTGCCTTCTCCGCCACAGCCGTTTCCCGGAGCCAACGCTAAGCGGCAAGCCAGCACGCCACCGCGAACGGCTCCCCACGCCAAGGCCACCCACCACCAGCAAGCTCACGCAGGTTGGTCGCCTGTACTTTTTGGTGCAAGCAGCGAGAAACACCGGAAAGGAAAATGGACGAAGCAGCAAAGCGCCAGAAAGAATGTGTGCCATATGGCAGCCACCACTCGATTGCAATAAAAAATAGAATTCCGCCCTCGATCTCAATACACCTGTCAAGCCTTGTTGTCTCAAGCATTCTAAAAATATTCCAGCGAGGCAACGACAGCAAGCAGCAGTAACAGTCCAGTGTAGAGTAGGGGTCATTTTCTCTCAGACAACCCCAGCCCACAGCGCTAAACCCACTGAAAGCACCCCTAAGGGAACCGCCTAAAATCCACCAACTCGCATGCTAAGCCCACCCCTCCCTCCCCCCGGCACAGCGTTTCTTTTTTTTTTGGGTTGGTTGATTGGGGGGTTCTTCTCCTTTCACTGTATGTGACGCCCGCAACAGCAGCTAAAAAAGAAAAGAAAGGATAAAAAAACTGCTAGGTTTGCCCTTGCAGCTGCAAAACATATTAATAGTGTAGTAATGGAAAAAGCAAAACCGACCAGGAAAACAAAAATAAACGGCTCCTCGCTATACACTCGATTTTATTCGCCTTTCCAAGACAGAGCAGAAAGCCGTTGACCCACGAGTCAACTAACGCCTGCCACACCACTGCTGGGCTCGCTCGCTCGCTCCCAAGCTGGCCCCATCCTTGCCTTGTTTTGATAGCGCCAAAGCAGATATCGCTACAGGAGCCACGCCCGCCCCAGCTCAGCCTAAAGACGCCCACCCCCGATAGCCCAGAGCGCACTCCACCAGCCCGCCGCTTGTTGGTTGACATTCCTTTCTTCCCACACACCCGACTCGCCCATTTTCCCACCCTACGCACTCCTCCTCCTCCTCCTGGGTCTCGCTCTCTTTTTTTATTTAGTCTCTTGTATTTCCTCCTCCTTCGTCTTCAAGATTCTTCCATTCACATTGTCTTTCACCTTTTTCCTCCCCGTCGCCCCCCAAAAAGACATCTTCAACTCTCATCACCAACAAGAGAACTTCTCTTTGTTACTCAACACTTACTACTACCTGTTCCGCATTAGGACAAACTTGCTACGCCCGCTTCGACATTGTCTCGTCTGCCTGCCTTAGCACATCCTCTGCGTGGCGTCTTATAGCAAGCCCTCTCATCTACGGCTTGCATCTGGCTTACAAAAACGCCTCTCACCCTTGTCCTTGTGTGAAAGTTATTTCTTCATCACAGGAATCCTCCCCCACAGCCGTGTCGACCCAGAGGTTCGCAATGGCCACTCTCACCAGCTTCTCGTCACGACGTCCTGCAGCTGGCGCTCTTCCTACCTTTTCTCTCCCTCCTCCCCAAGACATTCCCAGTAAGTCCTTTTTTTTCCTTTTTACAAAGATGGATGGTCTTTGATGGATCAGACGCAGGACGTAGACTTTTTTTGCTAACGCCTTGTAGGAGCCGGTGACGGTCTTAGCCCCAACGGCCTCGCAAACGTCAACACTTCTGGCTCGCAGAGCTCGCATAGCAACATGCAGTACACATATGGCGCTCCCGCTCACAGCGGCTGGAACAACAGCACTTCTCCCTACCACGCCCAGAGCCAGCAGCCCATGCCTCAGTCGCCCTATGGCTCTCGCCCTTCCATCTACAGCCAGAGCAGCATGAGCTATCCCAACCAGCGCAGCTCCCAGTCTCCTCCTTCTCACAACGACAACATGGGCGCTCCCTTTGACTCGTATAGCAACGGCCAGGACGGTCACTCGATGACCTCTGCCGCCCCCGGCCACAGCAGCATCCTCGCCCACACGACCCAGCCCCAGACTCCCTCGTCTGCCACCTCCAACGTCGACCCCTACGCCTTTTCTCGCCCTCCTAGCAACCCCAGCTACTACACCTCGTCCGCGCCGCAGCACGGCTTTGGCTACAGCCAACAGTCTCCCACACAGCCTTCTCCCCCCTCTGCTCCCCGCGCTCTTCCTGGCCAGTACCGCTATGGCTACCAGGGCGTCAACGGCATGGGTGGTCCCGTCATGGGCGGCAGCCAGATGGGCATGATGGGTGGTATGGGCGTTCAGGGCTACGGCCACGCCATGATGTACAACAACCAGCCTCCTCAGACCGAGAAGCCCTTCAAGTGCGATCAGTGCACGCAGGCCTTTAGCCGCAACCACGATCTCAAGCGCCACAAGAGAATCCATCTGGCTGTCAAGCCCTTCCCCTGCTCCTACTGCAGCAAGAGCTTCTCCCGCAAGGACGCTCTCAAGCGCCATCGCCTCGTCAAGGGCTGCGAAGGCAAGGCTAGTGAGGACGGCGGTCCTTTGTTGGACGAGGAGCGCAAGCACATGGAGAGCATGCGCAAGATGTAAACGATCAAGCCTGCCATTCTTTTCTGTTTCGAACTCGGTGCGCTATGATACCCAGTGACGGCAACGCAGTGCTACTTTTATGACGACAAACCACAAATCTTTCCAACCTTAACGACCCCTACCAACAACAACCACTGTTATATATATATGGGTGCGAGAATTGATGGAGAGAACAAACAACCACACTGGTCCACACGGACAGTCTATTTTATTTTTACGGCCGACTTTTTTTGTTATTTGGGAAGCGATTCGTCTACATGTATATGAGACGGTCTGCTGTCTGGCGCTTGCAGGGCCGGCGAGCAGGCATGTATGGTGAATATGGTGATATTTACTCTTTTGTTTTTATTGGGACTGGCGTTTACGAGGCGGTGCATCGCGTGATGGCCGCGTGAACATGTTATTTGGTTTGCCAGTCTAGGCTTTTTGGACTCGGCTGTTTTATTGCCCGTATTGGCTTCTACCCTTCCTCTTGGACAAACTGTACAATGGTTGCGAACCTGGACCTGAGGGACATGTATTTTGGAATTTCACCCGCTATATTTTATTTACACTTGACCAAGCCTATTACCACAACTTTTTTGCGTCTTGTTTCCTGTGACTTGTTCTACAACTGTCAAATCTTCCACTAAAAGCTCTACAACTATACGTTCTACAACCCGTACAATGTCGTGATGTCTGCCTAGTGTTGTCGTTGGATTGTAAACAGGGCGGGCAAGGCTGCCTGGAGGAGGAACTTTTGGTCACTGGGCGCTGCCTGAAAAGGGACTGAATCTGCAACTTGTGGGCACATGGCTGGCTGGGCCCGTGGACGGTTGGACGGACGGGATGGGATGACTTGCAGGAGGTGGGAGGCGGTGATGGCGTTTGGCGCCGTTTCGGCCGTGCGTGGGCGAACGAGCCACCTTCTCTCTACAGTACAGGACATACACTAGACATGGTGGCCAGTGGAACGGTTTACAGTGGAACAGTTTACAGCGGACAAGAGCAGCACTGACAGCGCAGCGCACGGTGCCTCGCTGCCTCGAGTTAGTAGTGGCCGAGGTCACCGTTGACAGGCCATCGTGTCACCGAGCAAAGAAACAAGGCTGTGTGGTGACCATCAACTAAAAAAAATCAGTAGCGCAGTGTAGCCTCAAAAAATAAAAAAAATAAAAAACAAAAAATTACAGGTCAGCGAGAGGAAAACTTACAGCGCAGGCAGGCCATGGTCACTAGCAGCGACTAGCCTCAAGCTAGCGGTGCAATGCCCGGCCCGCCTTGTTCTGGCACGGGGCGTTGCATTGAAATTGGAGCCTAGCTAACGGTCCAAACGGGCATTTGAAGTTCCATTCTGTGCACTAGAGGGCCTCTGTGTGGGTGGGTAAATAGGCGCTGTAGGGCTCTGTTTACGGGGGGCGTGCAAGCGCTAGAGTTGCAGCGCTACTCCCCTAACGTTCTTTTTTTTTTGTTCTCAAGGTAGGCTGTCTGTGGGGAAGAGAAGGCGACTTCGTTCATGGGCGCCTATCATAGACGGAGCGCTGTGGGACGGGGACAGTGGCGCCGGGTAGGTAGGTCTTTGTGCTAGAGAGAGTTTGGTATTTTTAGCGGTTAGGCTACGGATGGGTTACTGCTTTGGGTCGGAGGTTAGGACGAGTCAGGTTGGAGGGACAGGCGTAGCGGAAGGGAACGGCTAGAGTGGACTGGACTGGACAGATAGATACGAATAGTGGTTGGTGGAATAGATGAGGCCGGATAGGGGAGAGCGAAAGGAGACTATTGGAAGTGTTGGTCAGCATAGCATGGGATAGTGATGTTGGTTGGTTGGTGGGTTGGTCGGTGTATTGGTTGGTCCGGTGGGTGGAATAGATTGGACAGATGGGATAGTGGAAAGAAACGATACGGTGGGTGATTGGGTACCTTGGGGCTTGGGTTTGGGTGATTGTACGTTTGGATGCATTGGTTGGTTGGTCGGTGAGGATGAAGTGAGGCTTGGGGAGCATCAGATGACAATGGACAGGTAGGCAGCCCGGCAGGCAGACAGACAGACATGCAGCCGGTAAATAGCCAGACAGACGGATGGATGGATGGATACACGCATGCAGTACAGACAAGAGACATACTGATACGTTCGAGTGTTGTGGCCACTGCTAGGAAAGGGACAGGTGGATGGTTGGACTCTCCTGTTCCTGTGGCGGCCTCCTCCACAAAGAGAGCCACGATTTAGCCTCCTACCCTTTTTTACCTCCATTCTAGAACAGACGCCCCGATCATCTTCGGCAGCTCGAGTCTCTAGGTTCTCGTCTTTAATATCTAGTCTGTAGACGGTGATGCCGAACCAACAGACACCATCACTCTAGCTAGCTTTACTCCTCGACAGCGTCCCCCCGGCCTGCTATCTAACTTCCGTGCTCAAGCCAAGTCCTTTTCCTAACAAATACTAGGCTCATTGGCTGGCTGGCTTCCCCGGAGGACCCTGTTAGGTTGGAGGGGAGCGGTGACAAGACATGGAATCACGGCAGTCGTCGTCATCATCATCACTTGCTCTAACCACTCACTGCCATTTACAAAGAATACTTGACTTTTTGTACCAGGATCAAGGTATCCCAGACCTGTTGCTCTCCAGGCTAGCTGTGACCCAACAACCTAGCCTGAAATTAACACCAACGCCGCTCGGCCGCCCGCATCACAAAGTGGCTTGCGATCAGCAACCAACCTCGACGCCGAACCCAAAAAGCCTCACGCGCTTCCTCTCAATGCCATTGTGTGTCCCGTCTCGTCTAATAGTCGCGCAAATGTAACGTAGGCCTGATCGCTGCCCGCCAGTTCGCCGATGCAGAACGGCCCTGGGCATGCGACAGGCAGAATTTTTTCTTGGTGTAGGTACCACGCGCTGCCCAACGCTAACACGGACGAAACCCAATACGGTTGACAGTCTGGTCTGGGCGCCCAATTAGCTGGGCGCATCAACGACTTCTGTGTATGTGTGTATGTGCTTGGCTGTCTTGTCTGCTGGAGGGGGGGGGCGTGGTTGCTGTGCCGTGTGCAGGCGGGGGGCAGCAAGCGATGGGGCGTAGATGAATGTGACTGGATGGCTACAAAGTATGAGGATTGGACAAGGTCTTGTTGGATGGGTGTGTTCCAAACTGTTGGGACGAGGTGGGTGGTGGGTTGCTGAGTGGCAAAGGCCAGGCCGCGAGACGCCTGTGCAAAGGTCAGATTGAGTAACAGTTTTCTCTGGGGTTTTTAATTGCTGTGGATATAAGCTGAGTGGCTGGAAAGGCGTGTCTGTAGATGAATAGATAGATGAATTGTGGCTCGCGGGTGATATCGCGAAGAGGCGACGACAATCCGGGTCCTAGAACTGTCTGCCGACAGAAGATCAAAGTTCGGAAAACAGACAAAGTTTCGGGATACGTACAAGCGTCGGAATACAGACGATGGATGTAATTCACATCACATGTTCTACTGAGAAAGTGGTTGCCTATGCATGGAGGCTATACATATATCCAAGCTCGCGGGTGCGCTTACACGGACTGCCTATGACAAACTCGTATGCACACGCCCACCAACGCTTGGACAGCTCGCTCGGTGTGGTAGCCGTGTATGGCCGTTGGATTGCCGCTCTGCATACGTTAGTTTGCAAGGGAACCAGCGGCTGCATCTGGTAATGAAGCCACAGTTTGATGCTATAGCCTCCATCTGGATTGTTCGTTCAACGACATGTGAGATCGTCACCAGAGAGGATGAAGGAAGGGTGTGGTGACGGGGGGCAATCTATACCCTAGTATGTACTATGTTATATCTCTTTTCTTGGTATGTTCCAAAAACAGGTCGGTTGGTCTTGCAGTCGAGTCGAGTGTCTTGTGCTAATGAGATGTAGATGGCAATGCAATGTAAATATATGTACTATGAAAAATGTCGCTATGCATAAAAACAGACCACCCAATCCTCCCTATCATTACTATCATATCTCCCTCATCATGATTCTTTGCCCATTAATGATGAGGAATACCGCCGTATCGTCCTACAGCCAAGCTGCCCACAAACACACCAGCCAGCACCGACATAAAGTACCCAACATTCATCGTCATCACCGCGAGCATCCTATATCACATTAGCATTTTTCCTCACTTTACACCAAAACACAACTTACAGTAAATATCCAACACCGACAATGATGGTGTCTATCAGCGCCCGTACCGGATCAACACTGAACCGCCACGGCCGCCCCGACGCATGACGGCCCTCCTCAACCACATACACCGTCTCCTCGACGCCATTCTCCGACATGACAACTTGCGTCTTGGCTTCTGGGTCTCTTGCAATCTGCTCCGCTAGCGGCCCTTTTCCCTGGACAGCCACGTATCGGCGTCTTGCGTCCTGCGCGGCCCAGCGCTTCTCCTGTGCAGCCTTGACCGCGACCAAGACGCGGCCAACCACAGCCAGCAACACAAGAAAGATACATGTGCCTGCGTACGCACCCGACGACCGCGGCGTCCACGCTGTCGAGAAGAGCGGCGTGGCCTGGTCTGTCTGGAAGACCATCTCCATCATGGACCCGTGCGATGACGAGTTGCCCATGTCCATGGTCATGTCCATGTTGCCGCTGCTGCCGTGGGAGTGTCGAGCAAAGTGGGATGTCATTTTGTATTTTGGGGGTATAGATGATCGAAGAGAAGCAGTGTCTGTCGCCTCTCTTTTATGGTGTTTATCGTGCCTGGTATGCTCGTGATGGGAGGAAGCTGCGCCAGCGGTCGTTTGCGCAGGTTTCTGCAGCTCGGGATACCTGGATGGAGTCTGATCGCGACCGGTCAACTGCGCTAGAGCGATGAAATTACAGACAAAAGACGGATGATGCAAAAGGCAAGTTGCAAGCCCAGACGTGTAAATTGGTGGTGCGATATCTTGCTCACTTGGCACTAACAGGATCCCCGCAGAAATACCCGAGATTCTGTTAGTGTGGCCGTTTGTGGTGCGGGTGGCTTGCGGAGCAATGTACAGGTACATGTCGCGGCAGCACGCCACAGCTTCTGATACCGAAGCGTAGCGCGGCTCAACTATGCATAGTGCTGGTCCGTGTTTAATTTTAATTCTTGGGAAATTTCTTGCATGTCGCATTCCAAATGGTCTAAAAAGTCAAAGAGGTTTACATTGTTTTTCATGCAGTGGGCGGGAGATTGTTGTTGATAGAGGCGGGATCTACATTCCAAGGGGGACCTATTGTGTTTTCCAATTCTGCACTTTAAGAAATGCCGCTCAAAATATATGAATTTGTAGTATAATATATACAAATACTTCTTTAATATTTTATTACCGTGGTGAAATAAAATACAATATGCTCTTGGAGTTCCTCTTGGTCTTTATGCAGCTATGTTGCTTGCCTGGGGCTGCGTAAAAGTCCAAGTACCGGTACCTGGCGTCCCCAGAAAACTGCCTCAAACCAGCGCATACAACACCACATTATCCAGCAGCTAAGCCATCCAAATATTTACATATTCACATATTCACATATCGAAACATTCAAAGTTGTACTTCTTTGTTTGTGCACGCGTACGAAATCACACATCGTCCATTACTCTTTCTTATTCAAATCTCGTGATTGTCCTTTTTTATTCCCGTGCTTGGTTCTACTCTTTCTCAGCGTCAACAGTTTACCCCAGTGGGGTACTACCACCATAGCGTCTTATAATATTCAACTTTTCCATCACTCACCAGACCGATCTACCCGCTTCTTTCTGTTCTCTATACTCCTTCTCCATTAAGCTTATAGGTGTCTCTCCTTCCAAATCAACAGCTTGTAGACTTCCCCCTGCGCCCACCAACGCCTCAAAGGCGTAAGCGATCCCAGAAGCAGCATAGTGTAATGGTGTCCGTCCCCATCTGTCGACGGCGTGTACGTCCGCTTTGACGGTTTTCAAAAGAAAACGTCCTAATTTGGGATTCCAATTGTTGGTATATGCTACCACATGCAGCGCCGTCAATCCATGCACATCCGCAGAGTCAGTGACGACTCCCCTTCGCCACTGGTCCTCGAACTTCCTTATTGGTCCTAAAATGCCGCCATGGAGAAAAAGATATCTGAACTTGGCTAGTTGGCGCATCACGTCAGTAACGACGGTCTTGTCCCTAGATTCGTTGTCCAGGTAGTTAAATGTAGCGACATTGCCACTGGCGGCGACTAGCGCCATTAAATGCGCCGTAATTTGGAATGCTTCAGGCTTCCAATTTCTGAGCAACATGAGCGTTTTGCCACTATTTGACGCTGCTGCCGCTATTACTCTCTCTGTGATTTCGACTTTCCTCCCAGCTTATTTATCAGCATGGACAGTTCTTTGTATGCTGTGTCTGGTTCCTTGACCAAAACATCCAGCAGTAGCACCTCTGTTACTTCAAACCAAGAGCTGGGGCATTACGATAGCAGGCTTTTCATCTTTCTCAGTTTTAGATGCTTTCGGTCGTACCTCGAAGCCAGGTGAAGTGCCATAGGTGCAGCTGCCATTACGTCGTCTCTCGTATAGAACAGGAGAAGGTCGAACACAGAATATCCTCGGGCATACATCAAGATATCAGCCGTAATCTTCATCTCGTCCCCATATAGTTCAAGGAGGAACTTCAATGCATTGATGTTATTTTGAACGGCGGATATTATGACCCTACTTGCAACAGCTGCGTAGGGTTCTTGCATCTCTAATAGGCGTTCCATAATGTCTGGTCCGTCAGTCCGATTCCTGGCGGCTGCGCTTAGAATGATTTCTCCGGTAACACAGTTCCGAGGCAGATATTCTAGCAGTAGATCAATGGCACTAAGAGGGCAATAGGCCACTGCTAATTGAAAATTTACTCCATCCATATCATCCATGTTTGAGCAGCGTTCAAGGAGATGTTTGAGGACAGCTAGCTTATCTTCAGAGCTAAGTGGAGTGGTCCTTCTCAGTTGCAGCAAAATGCCATTAACCGACGTCACTAGCTCTTTGGTGGGAACCTGTCTGGTTTTGCGCAAGAGGGTCGACATTTCTTCTATACTTGTAGAATGCGTGAGCCTAAACTGAATCTGTTCCCAGAATTCAGCCGCGGGTGCAAGCTCAAAAATAACTTCCAGCATCACATCTTTCCATTTCCAATTACTTTTTGCTGATGAAAGGAGATCCAGAATTTGTAAACTCTGTTGTGAGCTCTTCGCAATAAATGCTCGCAGCGTGTCCGGGTCGAAATATGCCGCAACAGCGTGAAGAACATCTGAAGTGATTTCTGCAACTGGTTCGTTGATTTTAGAGAGAAATTGTTGAAGAAACATCCTGGACTCATCCAAAATAGAAATATTCCTCAAAATTTCCTGTTGTAATAACAGCATCTGCTGGTTATTCCCAGCAACCAGCTCCAATGCCCTCGTAATAGTAGATGGAGTAGACGTTAGAGCTTTCACAGCGTCTTCAGTAGACATCTGCATAGATTTAAGTTGTTCGTTATCAAGCAAGTCTAATGCACTCTGGCCCAAGTTCTTTCAAAGACTCGCTACATGAGGCTTGTAGAATATTCTCCGGTGTGTAGATGCCAAGGATATCTTTTAGAACGGTGTGAACAAAATCCTTCTGTTCGACTATGGTCGCACAGCGACGTATGGTAACATGTTTTTCAAACGAATATTGAGACTCGAAGTGGCTGTATCGCGTGTTCAGTACATCTATAAGTCGTGTACTGTGCTGGCTTTCCTCCATTGGCGATGCACAATTTGCTAGTAACAATTTTGCAATATCTGCGTGTTGAGAAACGCTGACGGCAATGTCCAATGGCGTTCCATGATCTATAGATACCATGTTCACATCGGCATTGTTTGACAGCAGGATTCTCACAATGGTCTCTTCGCCAACTGCGGCAGCCGTATGTAGTGCCGATCCGTATCCATTGCAGGACTCGTTGACGTCAACATGTTCGTCTTTCAATAAATATAAAACAAGGTCCTCCATTCCCAAAAAAACAGGCTACAGCTAGGTCTGTCCAGCCAAAGAATGACTTTGACAATGAGTTTGGCCCTTCCTGATCGAGGTTATTCAGGTAATCCCGACCCCAATTTGCCAACTATGAGTGCGCATGCGAGCATAGATGTCGTGCCTACTATAACAGCTCTAAATCTTCAGCTTTACCCCGTGCGTTAAAGTAAAGCGGCCAAAACGTTGAAGCATAGCCAAACAGCTTATGTTTTTCGTTGGCCTCCTGTATCAACGGCCGGACCTGCCATGTCAGTTCTGAGAAAAGCAAGTACTGCATACAAGCTCTCGCCATGATGGCATAAAGGGCTGCAGAATCCGCAAAACTGCCACCCCATGTCATCGTATTTGAAGTCGCCAGCTTAGGAGTCTTGACCAAGAATTCTCGGGCTGTCAAATGGATAAAGAATAGCTTCCCATCATACACATTGATTATAAGACCGCAGATGTTTGTGACGTCGGACTTGAAGTCTCCCGGCCAACATGCATCGTCCAGCTGCTCATGTGTCTCGACATCAGCCCCTTCCCGAGCTAGAGTCAAGGCAAAATTAGCTTCATCAAGCGTTAATGGGCGTCTAGCCGCGAGAACTATCTGAAGCAAAAGGCTTGTTGTTATGTCATTTTCAGTTCGGCTTAAAATCTTATCAGATCCTTCAGAGACTTCCAAGGGGATATCGGAAAGGAGTGTTTCCACATCCCGTAGGCGGCCATAACGACGAGGATGGCTAGCGATAATGTTCAAAGTCAGTTGAAGCCAGAGATATGTCTTTGTGCCTTGAGATTTCAGTCTCTCTGCTATCCTGTCCTGGTCCTCCTTTCGAAAGTTGCTCTTGAGTCAATCACTAAGCTGATGTCGTGGCTAATCTCGTTATGCCGTTTATCGGCGTCGAAGCGGAAATACTGCGCATGTTTGGACACTGGCTCAAAAGATCGTTCAATGTCGTCATATGTTTGACTGGTAATTAAGAATTTGAGCCGTTTAGTAGATGGCCTTTTGTCGGCATATAGCTGGTCTAGCCGCCTTATGAGCTGCTGACGATCATGGCTATTGCATTCGTCCAAAGCATCCAAAACGCACATGATATCGTCGTTGATATACTTTTCGGAGCAATCCAGCAAAAGAGTCCACGAGTCTTCAAAGTCATTTGTGAGTTCATCGCCACATCGCTTGAACAAAGGAAGAGCATGTTCAATTAAGCTCTCCGTGGATTCTTGACTAAAGAGCTGGTGTAAAATGGCACACAGCGCAGAATTCATGCTGGACCTTTGTGCACTTTCATCTTTGAAGAAGAAGTAGCCGACTGTAGCCTCGCAGCTGTTGACTGTAATTGAAGACATATCGACTGTGGTTGTCGTTCGAGCCAGATGGCCTTGGGTAATGAACGTTCTAGCCAGTACAGATTTACCACAACCAGGGCCAGCCGTAATCCAGAATACGCCACAATCAGGCGAATCACGCCAATTTATGAAGTCCTCGTCGCTGAAGAACCACTCGCATGTTCCTTTTACCGGATCCGGGTTATATTCCATACCACCTCGATAGTTCTTCGCCGCCTTTTTGAGAGCTTGTCTTCTCCATCTTGTCGCCGATGGTCATCCATGGTTTTGACAATATTTGTTCCCACTTCAACCATGCGGTCCAGTTTCTGCATATGAGTTTCAAAAGTCTTTCGAAGTTCGTTCGTTTCCAGAGGGCCAATATTTGCAAGGCACTGGTTGCTAATCCTGACAATGTTGGCTTCTTTGCTAGCCCAGTCATCATACCCAGTAACCTTGGCCCACGCACGGCTCAATTGTTTCTTGGATAGATGGCAGATAGCACGGATTTGGTACTCTAGCATATAGGAGTATACTTGTGTCAACGGCTCGACAAGATTCTGATAGTGTTCCGAGGATTTGGATTTCAGATAGACGTCTTCACAGTTCCTCCAGTAACCCTGTAGTTCGCCAATAGTGGTAAATCCTTGAACCATAGCTGTTTCTTTAGCAAAGCCCTCTTTTAAAAGCGATTATATAGTTAGAAAATACATAGTAAACGTTTGTAAAGTGCATAGCAGATGTTTATAGTGTATAACATTTACAGAGTAAACGTTTATAAACTCCACAGTAAACATTTAGCAAACACAAATTATATACTACATGTTCGCTCATTGTGATATCGTAAAGACCTTTGGGCTAACAGGTGCTTCCTTTCGCCTTTGCGTTGGTCAGGTGGTGAGTGATGCTGGCCAAGCTGTTGCAGCAAGGATGCATCATAGAGCGGGGAGGTGTCAGCCGTGACCCCTGGGCCTGCATGGACCACGAACAACAAACGTGCAGACGTGCAGACGTGTAAACGTGACAACTACAAAGGTTTAAAATAAGAAAACTGTAAACTTTTACTAATATAAAGCATCTTTCCATCAACATCAACCTTTTTTGAATTTCAACCGTAACAACACCAACATCATGAAGTTCGCCATTGCTGCTGTCGCCGGTCTCTCATCGACCGCCGAGACTCCCTCCACTTTACAATAATAATAACAACTTACTCGAGTCCTGCAACCTATGCGCTCGATGCCTGTGCCTGTAAGCCCAAGTGATACGAGTGGATAATACTGTCAGTATCATCAATGGCAAGCGGACGAATGTCGGCCATCTGCTTAATTTTGGCGGTGCTATTTCCAAGATATTAGTACAAAATTCCTCTACCATCTTGATCGGGCTCCCCGTATTCTCGATAAGGCGGTGAAAAACTTACACTTCCTTGACTTGGTCATCAGTGAGATCGAGTCCAAGCTGCTGGACACGCGACTTGACGGCGTTCCAGCCAGTGATTCTCGACGTGATGGAGATGTAGCGGGTGACTAGAAAGGTTAGCTGCTATAGGCCAGTCGTAGGGGAAGAGGCAAATCGTACGTCCGAATACCGCAGGGTCAATAATCTAATCGGCTGTTAGCAAATCGATAATATGTGCAAGATGGGAGAGAAACTTACCTCGTAAGTCGAGGGGTTAGCCAGAATAGCTGCTAAAGGTCAGTTTTCTGATACACAGACGGAAAATAAGACTTTTTCTGCCGGCTTACCCTTGGCGTGGATACCAGCCTTGTGAGTAAAGGCGCAGAATCCGGTGACGGGGTTGTTGAACTTGAAGGCGGAAATGTTAGCTTCCATCGCCTTGATATTGATGCTACAGGGTACTTACGGGAATGTTGACTTGGACAACACTTGAGACGTATTCCTCGATCGCCTTCAACTGGGACAGCTTATACTTGGACTTGGTGTACTCGGGGGAGGTCACGACCATGCGAGCCATGAGAGCACCGCTTTGGTTTTCTGTTAGTTGTATTCGTGGGTGTGGTTTGCGACAGACACTTACAGAGGGGTGATACCATTACCTATAGGTCCACATGTTAGCAACGATAATTATCCAGAGCGAAAGACGAGAAGAGCTTCTTACGTTCACCAATTCCGAGAACACTGGTGTCGACGTGCGTGGCACCACCCTCAAGAGCAGTGAGGGCGTTTGCAACAGCGCAGCCGGTATCATCGTGGAAATGCGTTTCTGTGGAGTATTAGTTAAGCCACGTGTAGGTTAAAGTTAGGTGGCATACCGATGTCACAGCCCACCACACCTGTTTACTGTCAGCAATCTACTTCACTGAAATAGCTTCCTTTATGCAGGATGACTCACCTCGGAGTGTGCGGACGAGATCGTAGACCATTCTTGGGGTAGCTCCACCAACAGTATCGGCGACACCACTGCTCTTGTTAGTACGCTGGACAACTGCAATCGCTTCGAGGACAAGCAAACGTACACTCTGTTAACACCGGCCTTGTCGACGGCCTTGTAGAGGGTGAGGATGTCGACGAGATCGGATCGGAAGGAATCTTCGGACGAGAATCGGACTTCGACTCCCTGGCTTTTGTAATTGTAAGTCACCCATTCAGCCACAGGTTACGGTACCCGAACGACTTACGACTTGACGTATTCAATGACCTCAATGGCGGTCTTCTGGATGAGCTCCATGCTCTTTCCGTGGCTGTACTCTCGCAGGAAGCTAGAGGTTCCGATGACGAGATCGACACCATCGACACCACACTCGACTGCCTTCTTGGCGTCCTCCATGTTGCATCTGACGTGGGTGAGAATCTTGGACTGTTCCGGGCGTCAGTACTTGTTTCAAGCTGCATAGCCTGTCAGTTACAGACCTTAAGTCCTAGGCTGCAGATGGTCTTGCAGTCCTCGTACGACTGGGGAGAGGATACGGGGCTGGTAAGCTCGATGTAGTCGACACCGAAGTCGCTGAGCATCGTCGCGATCTTGATCTTGTTCTCTGTCGTGAAGAAGGCGTTGGCGAACTGGGTACAAGGTTAGCATTGTGGTAGCGAAATCATACGGCAAACACTGCTTAGCTGGAGGGTTTACTTGCCTGCTCGCCTTCTCTCAATGTGCCTTGAAAAGGTTCTCTGTTAGCATGATCCCCACGATCTCATTTACAACCCAAACGTACTCTCAATGATCCTATGTTCTGTTAGCTTCTGAAATATTCACATTAATCCTCAAGATCGGGATATAGACCCACTTGTAGCTGTTAACTTGGCTGATGTAGTCTTGAACTTGACTGTAAGGCCATGATGCAGACTTCTGGTTCTGAGCTGGCTGGGGAGCCGTTCCGTTCTCGTCGGTACCGCACATATTGAAGAATTAGTCGCTCGGAATGGATAAGGTAAGGGTTTGGTGTCGAATTCGGGCGTGGGAAATCGGGGTTATCGTTCTGATGCTGTGGTTTAACACTTTGAATTGATGTTGAGGGAAAGATATTTATGGTTGTCGGCGATTCCTGAGTCATCGGTGCGTGTACAGCGAGCCGGGGTTGGACCGGTTTGGCATATGCCAACCCCGCTTTCTGAAGCTTAAGACGAGAGAACTCTCAAAGTTTCAGTTCTGGCGCCAAGCCGCACAACCTTAGTTTCTTTAGCATTTCATTTATTAATCCTTTTTATTTATCTATATTTTATTCATATCTAATCAATTGTTTGCGAGCCACGCCTAGACCTTCTGGTAGCGCACTTGTCCCTTCTTTACAGCGTGGGCTGTCAATCGAGGGTGGGACCCTAGAAAAGATAAGGCGGCCGATGGCGGCCAATTGCAGACAGTCTCTTAGCAAAACTTGGTAGGAATGGCACCCAATACAGGCACATTGATTTGCCACCGCCTTCCAGTTTCAGGCGGCACGTTTCGGTACATCGCGACTGTCTGCAAATCGCTGCCGTCAACGCATCTACTCATAAAGTGATTTCTACAAGTAATTTAAACAATTTTTCATTAAACCTGCTCTTCTTATACAGCTCCGGCTCTCCCGGATATCTTTCTGGTTGAGTAGAACACTGTAGCAGCCATTCCATCCTCATGCACTCAATGTTCGCTGGCAAAAGATTTCTGCCGGGGGACCACTTGTTATGCGAAAAAAAAAATTAGCTTGCATCCCTCCGAGCTCGCTCGATGACGCAAACAGTACCAAGGAAGCGGCTTGCATGAAGTGGGACCCCGAAGTACACTGCCGTCTGCAACTTCTGCTTACAACAATGAGGTTTCAATGTGTAATAACTTGTGACACGTCAATGATCTTCCTTATAGCATTTACTATACATATGCAAGCTTTTGTGTTATAATAGCTCTTGTGGCGGCTGATGCTGTTGCTTAAATGAACCACCCTATAGTGGTGTTACATTTGGGTATATTGAGACGGCAACCGAACCCTCCTTAGATCAGGATCTGCCGCTTGTTGTTCAGGTTACCTCTGCTCTAGATCTCCAGTCAGGCGCTGGACAGCAGGGATAATATGCGATGATTAATTGAGACTGTCTGCCATGGCTTCATGAAAGGCTCAGTATAAACCTCACTGCCAAATACTGCTGATCATATTTCTCTTCAAAAAGAGATGGCACTTGGGTTCCAAGAGTATTCCAATCAACATTATCCAATCCCCGTAGCGCAAAGACGTATTCCCAATATGCAGGGTACCATCCCGCAAATTCCCAGTCGATGATGGCGGCGATTCTACCCTCGCGAATGAGAATATTACGAGCAGCAATGTCGCCAGGAGTGAAAACAATCTCGTGGTCTTCACTAAGACCCATTGCAATTTGGTGCCAATATATCGATTCTCGTGTGGTTCGCTTCGGCGGGTGAGAAAGCCAATAGTGAAAGTCGGCTATCGTATCGAACGGGTTCCCCGAGCGTGTGAGAATGGAACACACTATAGGTCCCTGGCCATCCAATCGTTCTATTCGAATACCTTTGAGTTCTCGCAACTGCTTAATATAGCCTCTCAGTTCATCCAGTATATTGGACTGTTGCTCTTTTGTAAGTGACGGCCAAGCCTCTCACAATGGCTGGCCTGAGATATACTCCATGGTGATACGGTCCCAGTCACTACTGATAACTTTTGGAACAGGGATAGTTGTGTTCTCCTTGATAAACTTGAGAGCAATCGCTTCGTTAGGAGTATCTGTGCGACCCATGCCGTTGGAGTCATCCGTGTACTTTGTGACCAGGTCACCATGACAGACAACAACACGAACGAAACATTCATACAATACGTCCCCTTCCGGGTACGGAACTCGCTCTCTAGGGCCGGGTGGCTTGCCTTCATAGAGAAGTAACAGACACTCTTGACGCCTCATTTCCTTTAAAAGCGCCTGGCCACGTAAATTAGGTGGTCCTCCAGCGGCTGCCACAGCTAGTGCAGCTTTTTCCGTTGCGCTCAGTGGAGGATTTACGGTGCTTGATTCCTGCGCCGTCCTTGTGTCCGTCTTGGGCAACGAAGTGCCGGCTGAAAGAGTGTCGGCTGGAGCATCGCCCTCGGCGTAGATGCAATCGAACGGGGCTGCTCCATTTTAGGGGTGCGTCATAACCGAGGATCCTCGCCCTGATAATATCCGGGGCAAAACTCTAAGGGTCTAGCTATATCCTCCAATCGATGATGGATGATTAGGTTGAACAGAGTGCGGAGGGGTCACCATTGTACAGTCCAACTACGGTACGTACAACCTGACTAGGAAGGCGGTCTAGGACTGAACAATACGCAATGTTCTCACGCCGGACTCCTGCTTGTGGGATTCACTAAACAGATACCTCTCATCAATGATATCAAAATTATTTATTTATTATTACTTTAGTTGGCAGTCCCTTTTTGCGCCAATACGCTCGGCGTGGTATTGTTAGCAGAGCTAGTGCACGGGGCAGATGGTAGCCAGGCCACCCCCGCCATCCAACCTGGGTCAAGCGCCAAAACGACGCAGCAGAAACGGCCAAGCCAAGTTACCTTGCCATTTTGCGCATAGTTCACGATTTTATTTCCTTTTTCGTCGGCGATGCTTGTACCAAATAGGCAAAACGGCCACTTCGGATCATGCCGACTTACACGGAGCGCATGGGGCAAGCTGGGGAACATTGTCACCGAAAAAAAGAAAAATTCATGGTGTCGCTCTCTTTTTGCGCCTTGCGACGCTAGTTTTCTCATCGTGAAAAACCAGGAGGGAGGGGGGATACGGACGCAAGCGAAAAGGGGGCATCGGCGCCGCCGCTGTTGCTTCCAACTCACTGATGCCGCTGCGCGTTCGTTAACTCTAGGAATAACGCGTGATTTCAACTCATCCAATTTACAAGTAATATCAGCAGCACTAATGGGATCTGACCACGAGGACTTGTCTTCATGCACCGTCCTACGGACTGGGTTAAATCAGGCCATTCACGCACAAATCTCCAGGTATAAGCACAGGAACACACATTAGACTCGGTCCAAACACGCTCTTTTTGGCGACTTCTGCTCGAGTTGGAGCATAGATCAAGCCGATAAATTGTAACAAAAACATAAAATAGTAGAGTAATGTAGCCAGTCGTGCGCACACGCCGCAAATAGCAAAGCAAAGCACGTCAAGGCTGCATCAACGCCAAACCTCCCAAGCCCCAAAAAAGATTAGAATATACCCATCCATGCCAAACAGGAGCCGCTATACCAACGGCTGCCATCGACCCAGACCGCGCATGATACATGAAATTCATACACAGCTACACATTCTTCACCGTCCCCGCACTCTCCCATCACCTTCATCTATGATTGGTGGTGAGAGTTGGGTGGCATACCGCCGCCGTAGCCTTGGTTGCGTTGCACATAGCCTTGGTACATAGGATCCATGGGCATATTAGGCATATAGTTGCCAGGCATGTGAGGGTTTCCGCCCATGCGGCCACCTGAGGGAGGGATGTGTTGGCTGGAGGAGTCCTCCGGTGAGTCGACCTGGTCGCTGCCGTCGACACCGTTATCGTTGCCGGGTCCGGGCTCTGGGGCGTTGAGGCAAGCCTGTTTAACGAAAAGTTATTAGCAAAAGGCATTTTAGATGAAGTTGTCAGATGGCGTTGTTGCGCGCGAGACGCGTACAGTCGTGCGGGGACAAAGCTCAGTGCCGACTACACGAAACGGCGTAGCGCTGCCACCAAGACAATTGTGGAAACGTACCTGGATGAGGTTCTTGCCCTCAGCCTTTGTGACAAGAGGCTGAAGCTTAGGGGTGGTGAAGGTGTAGACAAGGCCAGTCTCGGAGACGACCAGGAGCAAAACTTGCGTTCCGGTAAGGACCGACAGTTCGTAGGCCTGTAGGAGTCATTGGTTAGCCTCGAAACGCGTCAAAATAGTCAAATCAATGCCGCTATGATGGATTCCATCAAAGCAAGGTGTCAAAATTGCTTGCGACACCTTGGCAGTTGTGGAATTCATGCGGGCTACGATGCGAAGCACGAACCTTCTTCATGATACCAGCCTTGCGCTTGGAGAAGGTGATGTGGCGACGAGACTTGTCGCTGATGAACTTGATTTCAATCTTGCGGCGCTCACGGCCACCCTTCTCATCATCATCATCGTCGTCATCGGCCGCAGAAGAGCGTTGACGTTTGACGCCTCTGGCCTCAGAGGCAGCGCTGCCGTTGCCAACAGAGTGAGAGTCGTCAATGTCGGTAGGCGAAGTCTGGTCGGTGATGTCGGCCATTGTGGTAGTTGGGGGCGGGTGCTTGGTCAAGATTGACGATTAAAAAGCAACAAATGTGGTAAGGCGCTGCACGAAGCGAGAATGCGTGACGCAGATGCTGTAAAGGGCAAAAAGTGGTGGAGATGCTGCTTTGAGCGTGGTGCCGATGGATCTATACTGGATCTGGCAGAGGAGGAAAAGCTGCTCGGAGAAACAACCTGGCTGGCGGCGTAGGTAGGGTGGGCGGCGCTCTTTCCTTATTGAGTCTGGCGCAGACAACGTGGGAAGAGGCAGAAGAAACGGGCTACACTGGCTATAGCGATAGCCTCTGGCCTGGAGTGAGTTCCGCCTGGCCCTATGGCATGCACATGCATTTGTCGGGGCGCTTGGGACTGGGGGACAGGGGCATTGGCGGCACAGTGCGAACCTTTGGCCTCAGTGACTTGCGTAGACCCTCCCGCACGCTAATTTTCTAGAGGAGCCTCGCCACTACCATTTTGCGCCAACCAGCGAAAAGAGAGTTAGGTTCAGCGGGTGGCCCAGTGTTTTTTGGGGGTAGACAGGGATCCGCATTGGCTTGATTTTCCTGGCCCACCATCATTGCACAATTGCGAGCTGGCTGTCGCGTTCTGCACAGGATCCTGGTGCGAAAATAAACGGGAATACGACATTTCGACGAGTGTTGAAATCACACTAGGGCACTCTATTCGCAAGGAACTCCTTAGAAGAACCGGTGCTAGTGCTGCTGCTGATGCTGCACTAGACAAAGTCAAAGGGGGAGGGACGCGTCTTTCTGGTGTGACGATCAGCCATTGACAGTTGCCCACCACACCCAGGATAGGCATCCGCTGGGGCGTGGCTTACTAGCACTGCCCAAAGTCCCTTACGATTCCTCTCACAACCATCCTAGCACTGCTGCTGTTTTCTCTGGTTTCTTTGTCATCGCTCTTGCGCAGATCTATTATTCCGCACGACTCATACCACTTTATTTTCCATACTAGAGCGTAGCACGCCTGCGCGCCCGCCCACTTCATAGCAACTCGAAGATCGAAGCTCCACGAATGCGCTAACAGCGCATAGCCTGGTCGCTGGTTCCACCCCACGGCAGCAGAGTGGCACAGTGAGCCAGCCACGCCGACTCACGGCAAGACATCGCTACGGGGATTGCGAATCGGCGGGCCATGGCTTGATTCTGGCTGGTCTCCTCTTGGGCTAGCCTGGCAACTTTATCCTACCCATGGCTTGGGGTTCTTTCCCAGAAGAGCAAGTAGTCGTCGGTTGTGATGCCCGGTGATCGAAGCCAGCATACCGATTACATTCTTGGCTCTGCGTCCCATCTAACAACCGCTATGCAACCATGGACCAGATATACAACTGCTCTGCTTAAGGAAACGTTGTGCGAGGGCAGAACGAGTCGGAGAGAAATTTCTTGGCCTCGCAAAAGTCAACGAGCATGCTTCGGACCCGGGCGCTGCTGGCTGGCTCGTTGGATCAACGCCGGCAGATGGCTAACCTTGTACCGACCCTAAACGGCTGGGGCTCAGGAGACTTCAACAAGAGGCACTAAACTAAACATTGGGAGGGGTGGCGCGGCTCACGAAGGCGACACAACCACTAGCTAGTGCAAAGTGACGGCAGTTGCCCTATTGGACATGGGAACTTGACAGGCAAAGTATAAAAAATACAACAATCCAAGGACTGTGTGTGTGGCATGACAGGCTGCTTTGCCAATGTCTTGAAGCGGCGTTTCAGCTTATCGCTGGATAGAGAGCTGACTTCGTTGAACTTTAATCAAGCAAATTCGATTCCCGTGCTGCACACAGTGTGTCTTACGCCGTTTTCTGTATGCAAGCTGCCTCTCCGTCCGAACCCTGTCTGGCATGGTGTCGCCTCTCGCAGTGGGAGCAAACAGCCTCAACCCAGCCAACCGCAGTTGGGCTCAACATTGCAACTGTAGGCATCGTTTGATATGTCTAGAAACCGGATTGCCTTGTTTGGAAGCTTCCTCTTTAGTCGATGCACGATACAAGCAGGCGAATCGTCCCGTGCGGCGCCCCGAGACAAAGCCCAGTTTGACCTTTGCAGTTTTGGGTCTGGTTCGAGAACCGCTAAGCCAACTGTGGGCTACCGCAGGTCCACTGACGCCCCTATTTAAACCGCTGCTAGCAGTGGCCGTACGGCTGGCACTGTGCTGCTACTTTTGCCTGGGGCGACTCGCTGATCGAGGGCAGGGGGCTACGACGGAGCGGACGAATGACGACGTGCATTGGCGTCAACATCGGTGCATGGCTGATTTGGCGGCGCCGGACTTTTCCTAGGTCGAATAGCCACGACGTAAGCAGAGCGTGAGCAGGATATAGAACGATCAATTACAAGCACCTGTCGGCAGGCGTGCTAGGGCCCATTGCCGGCCTCTGATACTGTAGAGTCGCACAACGCTTCTCCTGCTGCAGCCGCTCCATGTGATGGGCTGAGCCTGTCCTTTCTCGAAAATTTCCGTTTTTGCACTACCGCGCCTCTCCACTGTGATGATGACAATGTTACACTACTACCACAGAGGGAGTGGATGGCTTGTTAGAGCATGGGGATACGAGCCTAGTATGCGTTAATGTCCCCAAGAACCGCTCTCCAAAAGGGGTAAACAGGTGGCCTGGCCCCTTCTAAGTTACAAGACTTGCCCAACGCAGACAAGAGAATTTCCTGGGCAGTGGTCTAGGACGTAACCGTCCGATGTTATTACCGGGTGCGCAGTGAGCGCGGTTTGCCTAAACAAGGTTTCAATTTCAAGGAAGAGAGGGTCCGACACCTTTGCAACCCTGCCTCATGGGCGTAATGGCTCTGCAGCACGCGTCAAGCGAAATTTAAAAAACGGCAGCTTAATAGGCGTCCAACTGGGCTCTGCAGGAGTAGAGAAGCAGGGAACAATAATTCGGCTACAGCCCATAGGCCAGATCATGCAGCAGTCTACGCTTCTTGGACCACTCCTTCGGCTCTCTCAGCCGAAGCGCAGAGCGCCACCAGGCATACTTTCACCCAAAGAAAAAAATTACAGCAGCCTTGCTCTACTAAACCCGCTGTGCCGGGGCTGCACTACAGGGGGCGCTATTAGCAGCAGCGTGCTCGCGCGTTGGGACCGCATATGCATGTAACGAGGCGGCTGCGTTGCCCCGACTAGTTGCATTCCAACCGTTGTGTTTGCTGCAGCGAAATTGGCCTGCGGCAGGACCTGTACGGTAGAACTGCGCTGATCAGGCTCGGCTCCACCGCGCTTCCGCCCATGGCGCAAAGGCGACAAGGACAGAAAAAAGCGAGACGGCGTGGGCGGAGGCGAACTGAGACAACAAAAGTTGACACCATGTGCGAAATGTTTGGGGGAAGCATCGCTGGACCTAGATGTATTAGCACTATCCGGGGAAGACACGGCAGCAAGCCTTGTTAAAGACATCCATCTAGCCAAAAGGAGTGCACCACTGGCTGCAACCCCCCAAAAACAGCAATTTCTTGAACGGTCCAGCGCGCGATGGTCTATGCCTGTTCCTGTTAATGCGCAGCCCACGGCACTGTAACTTATGCAAGTGAACAGTGCTCCCCGCCCCCGTCCGACGCTGCTCAGGACTCCGCCGCTGGACCGCCCCCCTCTGTAGGGCGCCCTGGGTGGGGACTTAAGAAGGGGGGACTAGCTGCGAAGGAGCCACAAGTCACTGGCAAAGCTGCGCACTGTGTCCCCGTATCGCCAGGTGGCCCTGCTGACGAACCCGCAGACTAGCAGCACCCGCCGCTGCTCCATACGGCTTGCGGATGCTGCTCCTGGTGGTGTTGCTGTCAGGCTCGCCTTTCTTTGGTGGTCTTCTTGTCCTCTCTGCTCCGCCCCCGTCGGATATTTCCTTAACGAGAATACCCTGATGAGGCCGGTCGAGGCGAACGTTGGCGAACAGCACCACACCAACTTGGTCTCAGCTAGGCTGACGGGCTGCCGAGATGGACAGACGGCCAGCCCTTTGTTGGCTGTCCTCTGCTTGCTAACTTACTACCAATGCCGGCCCATCCGCAACAAGCGACCCAGGTCAGCCAGAAACGCAAACCGCCGTTTCGAGGGAGACAAGTATCGTAAATTATATATCCGGTCGCCCAAATGAGCCTGTTTGTTTTTCCCGCATGATGCTACCTGCGTGTCGATATCCCAGACGCAAGATGTCGGAGCCCCCTCCGTTGCGCGATTCCTTTTTAGGCCCTAAACCTCCCTAATCCAGCGACGCCTGGTGCCTTTGCGGTCCTGTGATTGGTCCTCTAGCCCCGTGTAGGTGCTTGCGCTGCCCTGAAACGCTGCGAGTCTGAGAATCTCGTCCATGTGAAGCACAACGGCGGACGGCGCTGCATTTTCAAAAGTGTGAGAAAAAATCGGCCGACTCGTCCTTGGCAATTTATGTGACGGTGAATTTTCGTTTCAATTGTGTTTGGGGGCTTGTTCCCACCGCGCCGTAGTAGTCCCTAATCATCTCTCATCCGCCCGTCTCTTTCTCTACTACGTCTTTTTTTTGTTTCTGCGGCTCGAGATGCGGTTGTAAACTCTCTTTTTCTCTCTTTCATTCTTTTTAGCGTGTGCGTTTTTTAACTTCGTTCGTGACGCCGGTCGTCGACATTTTCATCTCTTTTACTTGTTCCCGCTCGCTCGATACCCAGCTGTCACCGATTATACACCCACGAGAACAAACCCTGAGGGGACCTGGGTCGATACGATGATGGACCCGACTTTTACGGCGGCGTTGGTGATAGATGCGATTTTCCTTGCGACAGGATGCATTCAGTTAGGCTTTTGTCTAGTGGTGCAGTCGCAGCTCGGCACAAAGGGCAACAATGGGCAGGATACCGTGCGTAACTTGCTCTACGAGTGGCTTCCGCTGAAGCTCGGCATCGTCAACGCCGTTTTTATCTTATTTACCTTTTTATTCACAATCCCTGGTTTCTCTATGCCTGGTCGGTCGGTTCTCAAAACAAGCAGCTGGATGGTCATGTTCTGCGGCCTCTTTACCCTCATTGTTGGTGTATATGTCTGGATCCTTACGCTCAAGGTCAAGCTGTGGTTTGGGCCCGTCTTTATGGCGCAGGATGCCCCTACACAATCACTTATTCAGAAAACTGTAAGTTTCGGTCTTTCTCCTCTAAATGTAAGCCCTTGTGCTAATGAAGGTAGTTTAATTGCTGCGGTTACTTGAACAGCACATCGCCTGCATTCATCACCGACGAGACGTGCCCGAGTCCCGCCGCCGCTGCCCTCACACGCGGCTGCTCATCTTTTATATCAACATTTGGCAATACTGTGCTGGACGAAATCTTCACCGCCCTCTTTGGCATGGTTGGTACGTATAGTAGACTTTTACGTGAGATTCAATAGTTTGCTAACCATATCATAGGCGTCGACTTCTTACTCGTCATGGCCATGGCCTGTGTGCTCAAGGTCCGCCTGGAACGGGAGCGGTACAGAATCATTGATCAGAAGAATGGCTTCAAGCCCATCTAGGCCACTTTGGTCCTTTCCATTTTAATTATTTTACTACAAGAGGCGTGGACGGGTGTTATTCCGGATTTCAATAGGACTCGGCAGTTTTTGAGAGCGTGAGATTATTTTAGAGAAGGATTTTTAAAAAAAAAATTATTCAATGTATGCTATGCTTTCCCAATGCTATTAAAAAGTGACACAAGAGTTATTTAAACATTTCCAAAAAGGAGACAAAAACGCCGTCTATGCGGGGGAATCGTTTGCTGTGTCTCTCAAAAACGGCCGTCGGTCGCTATCTTGGCTTGGTCGGCCGGCATCTTCAGAGTTGGCAAACGAGTTTCGTCGACTGTCATTGTTGGCCCACCATCTGCTCGGTAAGAGGGCAGCAATAGATCCAACAATGGATGAGTCTCGTCTGCGGCCGCCGCGGCGAGCTACGAGGCCAGGGAAGCCGGTGCTGCGGCGACGGCGGCGGTTAAGTTTCTTGATCGAGTCGGAGTTGGAGGCGGTTTCCTCGGGGATGGATTCGGCGCCAAGAGAACGACGTGAGGATGTGAGGAGGCTAGTGTTTTCGGTCATCACAGGCATGGTGTGAGAGCGGAGGCGGCGTGTAGGTGTAGTAGGGTCTTCTTGGTCTTCGAGTTCGCCCCAAATCTCAGCATTCTCAGCCCAGCGGAAGATCTTCTTCCGTGTCGGTGTGAGGACGGTGCCTTCTGCACTCGTGGTTTCAAATGTCTGATAGGTGATGGTGTCGTCGGTGCCGGGGGCGGCCTCGCCACTGAGAAGCGACTCTTCTTCGCCTTCTGTGTCGTCGACGAGACCGAGACCCGGAGCAAGCGTGGACTGTCCCACGCTTGGTGTATGTTGCTCTTCGCTTAGACGCCATGAGAGAGCTAAGACCCCAGAAAGCAGGATCAGCGTTCCGAGGCTGATTATGCATGCGCGGAGCGTCGAGATAAAGCCCATCTGGTCAAAGTATATCAAGCCGTCGAGGATAGCGATGATGTTGTATACGCAGAAAACAAGAGGATATAGAACAGAGGTCGAGACCAGTTTCAGCCCCCGGTGCAAATAATACAGCTGGCACAGCGCCAGCGAGACGAGCGCCATCACTATAGCCCACGCCTCCCAGTGCACAAACTGATTCTCGCCGCCGAGGGTCTTGATGACCAGTTCCACTGCTGATTTGGCGAACAATAACGAATGAGCAGATAAGTCGCCGCTAATAACACCGTAGACGATGCCGCGGGCCAGTCTGAATTGAGAGTTGTGAGAGACGCTTGACATCTTGTTCACCAAGTCAATCGTGATGGCCAGTGCAACAGCAAATACAGCTTGCAAGATCATCCATATTATAAATGGCTTGCGGCTCATGAGGACGAGAAGCTCGTCCAAAGAATGCGTAGGCGATGGTATGGCTCCGAATATGGCAATCAGCACGGCGCCGCCAGTGACGAGCAGCGTGCCTGCCAAGCTCCAGCTCGTAAAGGGCTCGCTTAGTATGAGGGTGGCGCATATCGAGTTGAATACAAGACCGGCAGCCTGTAATGTCGAGAGAACGGGAAGAGGAAGTGTCGAAATCTGAACAGAACTGCCCAAAAGATTGGCAATGATGAACATGCCCATTCCAAGCTGCCACCGCCTTCGTCTATATGGGGGCCGTCGAATGTCGTGTGGCCCCTTTTCGTCTTCTAATATGTGTGATTTTCGCTGGAGTGTAAGCCCTAAGCTCTGTACGCTCGTCGACATGAGGCCGACGACGATTCCAAGCTGCACAAGCACGCAAAGTTAGTTGAGAGCAGCATGCGTCATCGACGTCGCGGTACCTACCGCAATGCTCCCGCCAGGAGAGAGGCCGCTTGACGGCTCCATTGCGACTTCTATGAGCGATAATTCATGGAGAGTGTAAAGATGTCGTGGCGAAGAGTGCGTCTCTCGTCCGTCCGTGGATGCGTAAAGAATGTGTTTCGAGGGATGTGTCGCCACTAGCTCAGTGTTTCAAGCTGTTGGGCGCGCCCCAGCGGTCGTCTACAAGCGCTGTCGGGTAAAAATAGTAGTCGTCAAGGCGCACGCAGAGAAGTCCAAAATGCTGCTATGCTTGCGGGAATAAATGGTAAATGAAAGTCGGCGCAGATAATCCCAAGCGATATGCAACGTCGAGGAGAGAGAGTTAGTTGCATCACCGCCTGCCACCTGACTTGCGCTCGACCGCCTTGCGCTAGTACCACCCGCCCACCCAAGCAACAGGCGCCACAGGAGCTGTTTTGGCAGCAGATGTGGCGGTGCATCACCTGACTTTAGCTGATGGGGACCACTGGGCTAGTCTATAGCGCTGTTTTCAGTGGCAGAAGGCTACGCTGGAAGTGGGTGCTTTGCAGCGGGGCTACCACCTCCCCAACTGTGGCTGGAGCCTCCAGCTATCGAGCCTGCGACGACGACAACTGTCGAGACCTTGGTCACTCACCACTCCACCTTTTGAACAATCCCGCCCTTGCTCATCCATCGCCTCTCGCCCCCGACCTGACCTCTGTTATCGACGCTTCTATAGATCCCTCGAGCATCAAATCCCCCTCCCTACCTTCAAGATGTCGCAGCACGCATTGTCCGACCAGCAGGTTCGTAGCCTATGACGACAGCAGTTCCTTTCCCGCAAACGCAAGCTAACCAACGACGACGCCCGCCGGCGTCTGGCTCTACAGGTCGACAATGAGTTGCGCAAGATGACTGCGTTCATTAAGCAAGAGGCCATGGAGAAGGCCCGTGAGATCGAAATTAAGGCCAACGAGGAGTTTGAGATTGAAAAGTCCAAGCTTGTCCGTCAAGAAACAGACGCCATCGACGCCCAGTACGAAAAGAAGTTTAAGCAAGCAACCATGTCTCAGCAGATTGCCCGATCGACCGTCGCCAACAAGACGAGACTCAAGGTCCTCGGTGCCAGACAAGAGCTTCTCGACAACATCTTTGAGGATGCCCGCAAGCAGCTCGCCGAAGGTGTCAAGGACAAGGCCAAATACCAGAAAGTCCTGACGGGCTTGATCCTCGAGGGCGCCTATGCCTTGAGCGAGAGCGATATCTCGATTCGCTCACGAAAAAAGGATGCCGATGCTGTTAAGAAGGCCATCGACGAGGCTGCCAAGACATACAAGAAGGAGACTTCCTCGGAGATTAACATCACGGCAGATGCCGACAACGCCCTGCCGGACGGAATGTAAGTTTACCCTGTGCTACAGTACGGTTGCCTGTCTGTGCGATGCTAACGCAAATCTCTAGTGCTGGTGGTGTCGTCATTGTTGGCGGTGCTGGCAAGATCGAGATTGATAACACCTTTGAAGCCCGCCTTACCTTGCTTGAGTACTCTGCCGCACCGGCCGTGCGTGAGGAGCTCTTTGGCAAGAACGCCAACCGCAAGTTTACCGATTAGATTACGCAGAGAGGTTGTGTCTGTAGATGGCTCGGAAAAAGACCTGCAGCATCCCAGGGCTGGAGCGTGTGTTTCTCCTTTGTTGCAATGATTATAAAGCGCTCATGGCTATCTTGTGATGCTCGAGTACACTGGTTTTAGAGAGAAGAAGTCTGTATCATAAATTATAACTTATAGTCGATTTTATGTCATTTCTAAAATTGTATGCAAGTAAGGGTATCTCATCCCCATTTAGCCACCTAGCTTCCAGCGCTGGGTGCAGGCTTCTTGAGGAAGTTTTGCATAAAGGTTTGCTGCTTTAAGCTTGGCCGTTCGCGCTTTTGCTCTGGAATATCTAGGATGCTTCGTTTGGCTTCCCGGCGTGTTCGGACAGCCATGGCGAGCCGCTTTTGCACCCACTCTAGGACACTCTTTGCCTCTGTTCGCGATAGTTTCATGCCAGAATCGTTAATTCTCTTCCACATATCCTGCAGGCGAGCGGTAACTTTGTCAACCGTGCTATTGAATTGCCTTTCGACATCACTGTTCTCAAATGGTAGTACATTTCCGTCGTCCAAGGCGATGTCAAGAAGCAGGATGAGCGCTCGCAGCTCGACAAAGTCGGTCGTAGGTATGATGTCAAAATCTTTCTCCTTGAGGCGCTCCAATATGAGCGCCATAGTTACCGTTACCTCAGGGTGTCGTTTGGCATACATATTCTCTTGTAACAGGAAGGACGTGGCTAGCCTGCGGCGTAGATCGTGTACGCGAGATGTAGCTGTTGGGAGGCAGAGCAGCGCTGTCAGACGGATATCTTGTTTCCGAACATGTATATCCATGTCGTTGCATGTTGACAAGCACTGATATGTTAGCTCGACGGTCACATAGACAGATTCGGTGTTAAACTTACAAACTGGTCCCATTCGGTTGCTGGAATGGCGTCGAGTAGATGCTCCACTGCGGTTTCGTAGGCAGTCAGGACGTCAATGGTATATACTATCACCTTGTCCATAGACATGATTAATAGTATCTTGGTGATGTATATGCATGATTCAAGCGGAAGTAGAGTTGCCACTCGTCCGAATAGCTGTATCACTGATCGGAGACGAGACCACTCTCGACCCTGGTAGTAGTTCTCCTCTGAATCTAGACTGGCAGTATTTTTCGACCAATCTGGTTCGGTGTGCTGAGCACCGAGTTGATACAGCACCTTTTGTATCATCTCAATTGACATAATTCTTTTGATGTGGTCGGGGCAGTCTGCCACTATGTTGCTGTATTCGTCCCTCATGATAACGGACTGCTGCACGCAAATCTCCTGTAGTATCCATTCGAAAAGAGAGTCTGGGAATTGCTCCCGAGCTTTTGATATCAGCAATCTAGGAATTCCTGAAACAAGATTTGCTTCTCTAGCTTTGGCATCGCCTTTTGTTAATAGCTGCCAACGGCTGCCACCGGTATCTTTGGGCAGCTTTGAGTTCCTTGGTGGGATATTTCTTGAAAAGAATCGATATGAGAGATTCTGTACAGCCGGCTTACTTCTTTGCACGGCTTGTAGCACCTTCTCAGCCTTTCCGTCCTCGTCATCTTGGAAGATGTTGGGTATAGTGCTGGCAGGAGATCCTTCGCGCAGCGATGCTGATGACGGGTCTCGGACTAGCGCCTGTAACCGCTCTGAACTAGCCTGTGTAGCGAAGTCTCTTCGAGCATCTTTTGCAAGAGCCTTTAAATCAAATTTGTGTTTTGGTAAGATGGCCAGCGGTGATTTGTGAGTTGTGCTAGCCGTGCGCTTGGCAACGGGCGATCCAGTCGCTTGTGATGGCCGCGGGCCAGGGGCTGGCATAGCACCATCTCGGGGCCTAACCCGTCCCAAGATTGTAGAAATATCTTCTAAAGAATCATCTGAAAAGTTGACATCGCTTTCAGAGTCATCGGACGCCCCGATTTCCGTCCTCGACTGAGCCATTGCCTTCACAGGCTTGTCAGCCCTCTCTTTGTCTGCATCGTGATTAGCCTCTTTTTCATCGCGGTATAATCAATTAATGGCACCTCAATATTTTGTATGGTGTTACTGTGCGTCACACTCTGTCTCATTATTCCACTTCATGGATTTGGTAGCTGATGGTCCGCAGAAGTCTTTGAGGTACCGCGCTTTGGTGGATGAATCGCGGGGTGTTCCAAATGGGGTAGCGCGATTACCCTGCACCAACATCTGTTCGGGTTGTACAGCACAAATACTCGTGTCATATTGAAAGAAAAAGGTTCCTAATTATTTAACCTTCGTACGTGTTTCTCTTTATTGGAATTTATTGGCAATTGCACCAAGTATGGTTATGTTGTAAAATTAGATGGTGTTGGCGTACAGTGGATGACACGCCGTACCGCATTGAGAGAGCATCACTAATATTATGCCAGTTATGCGACACAGCTTCAGCTTCATGTCACAACCGCATAAAGAGCAGGATAAATCGGCCAATAATTTGTTGGTGCCCAGCGTGAATCTGTACGGAGATTAAGATTGGAAAATAATCATGTGCATCCTACGAGACTAAATCCGGTGTACTATTAAACGACAGGGTACACAATGGCGCCGAGTCTCGGAAACGGCACTACTACTTCTACCGGTATATTGCGCTTCTCATTATTGCACTAAACTTTAAAGCCAAAACACCACCGGTAATTTGGCGCAATCTTGCCGCGCCAGATTTGCCTAAGCGCCAATGAGGATGAGTTGGGTGAGACTGAGACATGCTCTGAAGGCCCGTACTTGTCTCAGCTCTCTACAGCAGCAGACGCCAGCCATACCTCACCGTACTGGAGGAACTCGAGTCCACTGTCTTGTACGTTCCATTGCAATGTGCCAGCCACCAAGCCATATGGGCGGAATGCATGGCATGCTCACAGCGCAGTCTCAGTGGACGTGGGAGGCCTGAGCCCGTATTGTTTCAGAGGACAAGCGAGCCAGTCGGCATGGCCAAGACAGGGCGATCGCTTGCTAATTAGCGGACTAGGCCTGCTCGCATTGGCCGGTGGTCTGGGGCCGCAAGACCCAGGGGATTCGTATTTTTAATACTCGGCATCCAATAACAAACAGATATGCACCTGGGGCGAGGAGTGCTCCGCCGCCGCAAAGACTCATTTGCGATGCACGCTGCCAAGTTCTCTTTCCTCTCGCAAGTTATACATGTTTTCTGTTTCAAATGGCTTTGTTTTGTTTACTGGCGACTGCTGTCGATCGGGTATTTTACGTTTACTCCATCTACCGGTGTGCGCTTGCATTGTCGGACAAGAGATTTGCTTATGCTTATCATGGGCTCGCACTCTGTAACGTTCGGACTGGTCCGAAGAACCCGAGTTCAGGCAGAGTCAGTTGAGGCTCCCGTATTATGGATTCGTAGAGGCGCCTCTAGCGTGCTTAATTGGTGGGAAGCTCCCAGACCTTCTTGGTACTATAGTTAGCTGGCGGGCCGGGGGCCCCAGCGATACATGGCGCTAATTTCCAGCGGCAAGCAAAGCCATTTTTTTTCTGGACAGGGACAGGGAGGAGGGATTGTCAAAGCGAAAGCTTGATGAGGTGTCGTCACCTTGGGCTGGTTGTGCACGTGAAGCTGCTTTGGCGAAACGCAACGCCCGTGGCGCAGGGCTGGGCAGTGCGAGGGAGAAGTAACGGTGTAAAGTAGCCGAAAAGCATAATTTGTATCGTTACAAGAAGCGAACCACATAGAGGGTAAATATCATGGCTGAAGCGACGAAGCAACCGTCGGGCGTGGTGCACCGTGGGGGAGGAAACACTACCCAGCGTCAGTGAACGGCCCATCCAACGTACAGATGGCTTACCAATTCGTCGAGGCTGGTCAAAGAAGAGGAGCCCACCCACCTGTACCCCAATTATAGCGTAGCATCGCGGCGATAAAAAACACGGTGCATGCGAACGTGGGCGGGCCAGCACAGTACGAAGCGGCGTGGAAGGGGGAGGGAACTGTGGCCCGGATGGACCGGAGCTAAGCTGACAGACTGGCTTCTTCTCCTTTTGAGGGGCTTTTGGTCGGGCTGAAAGGGGCGAAGATGCCAGTGTGGGCAGCCAGAAGAAGGCTGGACGGCCACAGTGCGGCTGCACCACAGGCTACCTGTGCACGCTGCAAGTGCACTACGCGTGTTCAGCCAGTGCGCTGACACACAGCTCCAGGGGCCTGAGTACAGCGGACTTAGCGTAGTCGTGCGCTGAAGCACAGCGCTCCAGCGGTTTCCTTTTGGTCGGCCGTAGCCCCATCCACCCGCGCTGCCTTGATTTTTTTCCTTTAGCCCCCTTGGACTAACCAAGCTCCCTTTCCCTTTCATTTCTCTCCAGCCTCTAGTTCACCGCAACGCCGCGAGGGCAGGTGTAAATACCAATTCCTGTGTTCAACGCTATAGACGTCCTTTCTTTTATCTCCTTTCCTGTCGATCGCGTTTTTCCTTCGTTTTTGCACAATTGCACCCCCCACCTGTCGCCTACCGCGCTTCTCTCCATCGCACCCGCCCACCCGCGTCTTGTCCAGGTCGTGTTCTCTTTCTACCACAAGAGACGCCTGCACCTACGCTCGCGAATCTATCGACGCCTCCTCATCCTCGCTCTAGATACTGGGTTCGAAATCAGAGGGAACCGGGCTCTTGCCCGCCATCAAATCGCACATAATGACCGAATCCGCCGCTCCCGAGGCGCCCGATGCCCCCGACGCCAAACTCGCCAAGGTCCAGACGCAGCGAGCAAGATGGGCAACGCGCAAGATGACTGTCAAGAGCAGTTCGTCGAAACGAATGTCGATTCTCAACAGAATGCAGCATAAGCGAGGCATGTCAAACGAAAAAAACCCGTCTGGCGGTAGCCCGCAACCACCTGTCGATGGTGACGATGAGGATGACCAGGCTTCCGCTGGGAGCGACCAGAACGACGAGGAGGAATCGGCTGGCCGCCAGCTCTACGTCAACATCCCGCTCCCAGATGAGCTCCTTGAAGATGGTCATCCACTTTATACATATCCGCGAAATAAAATTCGAACGGCCAAGTATACCCCTCTGTCCTTTGTGCCCAAGAATTTGTATTTCCAATTCCAAAACGTCGCCAACATCTTCTTCTTATTCTTAATCATCATGGGTGTAAGTTTATACAACTCGGTTACTCATTCGATGCGATATTATGTCATAGCTAACCCACGTTATAGTTCTTCCCCATCTTTGGTGGATTGAATCCCGGTCTAAACTCCGTTCCGCTCATCTTTATTCTTTTCGTAACAGCTGTCAAGGATGCCATCGAGGATTATAGCCGTACCATTCTCGATATTGAGCTCAACAACGCTCCAGTTCACCGTCTGCTTAACTGGAACAACGTCAATGTCCAAGAAGACAACGTCTCCACCTGGAGACGCTTCAAGAAGGCCAACTCCCGCTTCTTTGGTCTTATTTGGCACACTATTGAAAGCATCTGGTCCAAGAAGGCCCGCAAACAGCTTGCTGAACGCAAGGCTCCTGCCACGGATGCAGATGAGCCTCGTGCCTCCATTGAGACGCAACGAACTCGAATGTCTATCCGCCAGTCGCTCAACTTGGTCCGCAATTCCATGGCGTCGCGTCAGGAGGATATCCAAATGACACCAGTGCCATCACCATCCCCTGGAGGTGTTCGTATTGAGCTGCCCAGCGACCACGAGAAGCAAAAGGCCGACGCCATGTTCAAGATGAAGACCGATTTCATCAACTACACTCGTGAAGTTAAGGGCGCTCGATTCAAGAAGGATGCATGGAAGAACGTAGTAGTCGGCGATATTGTCCGTATTTACAACGGTGACGAGCTGCCTGCCGATTTGATTATTCTTGCCACCTCCGATCCCGATGGCGCTTGCTATGTTGAAACCAAAAATTTGGATGGTGAAACTAACTTGAAGATCCGACAGGCTCTTCGCTGCGGCAAAGGCTTGAAGCATGCCCGTGACTGCGAGAGAGCCGAGTTCTACATTGAAAGCGAGTCACCACAAGCCAACCTTTACAAATACACCGCTGCCATTAAATGGAAGCAAGAAGTTCCCGGCTACCCCGACGACGAGCCCGAGGATATGACTGAGCCCGTTTCGATTGACAACATGATGCTCCGAGGCTGCAACTTGCGCAATACGGAGTGGATTTTGGGCGTAGTCGTCTTCACTGGCCACGACACCAAAATCATGATGAACGCGGGTATGACACCAAGCAAACGCGCCAGAATCGCCCGCGAAATGAACTACAACGTCATGTACAACTTTGGTTCCCTCTTCGTCATCTGCGTCTTGGCCGCCATCATTAACGGTGTGTCGTGGGCTAAGACAGATGCGTCAAGCTACTACTTCGACTTTGGCTCTAATGGAGGCACACCCGCGCTCAGTGGCTTCATCACTTTCTGGGCTGCCATCATCGCTTTCCAGAACTTGATTCCCATCTCGTTGTACATCACTCTCGAAATTATCCGAACCCTGCAAGCCGTCTTTATTTTCAGCGACGTCGAAATGTATTACGAACCGATCGACCAGCCCTGCGTACCCAAATCTTGGAACATCTCGGATGATGTCGGCCAGATTGAATACATCTTTTCTGACAAGACAGGAACCCTCACACAAAACGTCATGGAATTCAAAAAGGCAACAGTCAATGGCCACCCGTACGGTGAAGCATACACCGAGGCCCAGGCCGGTATGCAGAAGCGCATGGGTGTTGATGTGGAAAAGGAGTCTGCCCGTATCCATGCCGAGATTGCAGAGGCCCGAGTACAAACACTGGCTGGTCTCCGCAAGCTCCACGAGAACCCCTTCCTCCACGATGATGCGCTCACTTTTGTCGCTCCGGACTATGTTGCCGACTTGGCCGGTGAATCTGGTCCCGATCAAAAGGCCGCCAACGAATGCTTCATGCTGGCGCTGGCACTTTGCCACACAGTAATTGCTGAACGCGCGCCCGGTGAGACTGCGAAAATGGTGTTCAAGGCCCAATCGCCTGACGAGGAGGCATTGGTTGCAACGGCCCGCGACATGGGCTTCACTGTCTTGAGCAACACGAGTGACGGCATCACGCTCAACGTCATGGGCGAAGAACGACACTACCCAATTCTGAACACCATCGAATTCAACTCTACTCGTAAGCGAATGAGCTCTATTGTCCGCATGCCTGACGGAAAGATTACCCTCTTCTGCAAAGGTGCCGACTCTGTTATTTACGCCCGCCTGAAGCGAGGCGAGCAGCAGCAGCTTCGCAAAGAGACTGCTGAGCACTTGGAGATGTTTGCTCGTGAAGGACTGCGAACGCTGTGTATTGCTCAGAAGGATCTTACCGAGGACGAATACCGTACATGGAAGAAGGAACATGATGTCGCCGCTGCTGCCATGGAAAACCGTGAAGAAAAGTTGGAAAGCGTCGCTGAACTCATTGAGCAAGACCTGATGCTCATTGGTGGCACTGCTATTGAAGATCGTCTTCAAGAGGGCGTTCCCGACACCATCTCCTTGCTTGGCCAAGCTGGTATTAAGCTTTGGGTATTGACTGGCGACAAAGTTGAAACTGCCATCAACATTGGTTTCTCTTGCAACTTACTTAGCAACGACATGGAGCTCATCCACATCAAAGTTGATGAAGATGAATCTGGCGAACAGAGTGACGAAGACATTCTTGCCATGACAGAGAAGCTTCTGGACCAGAATCTGGCGACTTTCGGTATCACTGGCAGCGACGAAGACCTGGTCGCAGCGAAGAAGAACCACGAACCGCCTGCTCCGACACACGGCCTTGTTATCGATGGCTTCACATTGCGATATGCCCTGGACGAGCACCTGAAGCAGAAGTTCCTGCTGCTTTGCAAACAATGCAAGTCTGTTCTTTGCTGCCGTGTTTCTCCCGCCCAAAAAGCTGCGGTTGTTGCCATGGTGAAGACTGGCTTGGATGTCATGACTCTGTCGATTGGTGATGGTGCCAACGATGTTGCCATGATCCAGGAGGCTGATGTTGGTGTTGGTATTGCTGGTGTTGAAGGTCGCCAGGCAGCCATGTCCTCGGATTATGCCATTGCTCAGTTCCGCTACCTACAAAGACTCGTTGTGGTCCATGGTCGCTGGTCGTACCGTCGTCTTGCCGAAGCCACCGCCAACTTCTTCTACAAGAACATGGTATGGGTGTTTAGCATCTTCTGGTTTGAAATCTTCTGTGACTTTGACATCACGTACCTGTTTGACAGCACGTACATCATCATGTTCAACCTGCTCTTCACCTCTCTGCCTGTTGGTGTGATGGGTGTCCTTGACCAGGATGTTTCCGACAAGGTTTCGCTTGCCGTTCCCGAGCTGTACCGTCGTGGTATTGAGCGAAAGGAGTGGACCCCGAAGAAGTTTTGGCTGTACATGCTCGATGGCCTGTTCCAGTCCGCCATGGTCTTTATCGTGCCATACTTTATCTTTACTGGTGGCCGCCCTATCACTCTCTCTGGCCTCAACATTGAGGACCGTCTACGATTCGGTGCCTACATTGCTCACCCGGCTGTTTTGGTCATCAACGGATATGTCATGATGAACACATACCGCTGGGATTGGTTGACACTGCTGATTATCAGTCTGAGTGATTTGTTTATCTTCTTCTGGACTGGTGTTTACACGTCGTTCCAGTCGTCTGCTACCTTTTACGGCGCCGCCAACCAATGCTACCAGGAAGCCACGTTCTGGGCATGCTTCTTCATTGTCCCCGTCATGTGTCTGTTCCCGCGTTTCGCCATTAAGAGCATACAGAAAGTGTACTTCCCATACGATGTGGACATTGTCCGTGAGCAAGCTCGTCTTGGCCAGTTTGACCACCTCAAGGGTCCCGAATTGGACAACAAGAACAACGACAACAAGAGCCAAAAGTCCAAGTCCTCAAGCAGCTCGAGAAGAGTCAAGCACCAGCCGTTTGAGAGCGTGGACGAAGACCAGCGACCTATCTACCCAGCTTCGGAGGTTACCCAGAGCCAGACGCAGCCGCACCATAGCCAGAACAACAGCGACGCTACCAACTTCCGATATTCGCTCGACGTACCGCAACACGTCCGACCCTCGGGAGAACGCCCTCGACCTTCGTACGATCGCATGCGTGCTTCGATGGACCGTATCCGACCTAGCTTCGAAGCTAGCAACGATTTCACATCCGCGGCTCGCCTATCGCGTCTCGAGTCGAGCCACTCCGTTGGTAGCCAAGGTCAACAACACCACCACCTCAACCTGCGAAGCCGTCTACGCGGCCTATCCCTGTCCAAGAGCTCCAATCTCTAGATGGGGTCAGATGCAGACGATGGATATATGTGCGCATATTCGACATGACCTAGCGGCACCGCGTTGCATTTCTTAATCACACGACCATTGTATGGTCTTTTGCTTTATTTGTTTGATATCCTACCTCAACCTTGCCCCAGGGCGGTTGTGAGGCCGTGTCTTTGTAAGACACGTTGAACATGTTTGACTTTTCTGTGCCAACTGGGAAACTGGACATGCTCCTTTATCCCCCGCTATCACTCCTTCTCTTCCCCTCTCCTCCTTTTTTCTATTTTACGTCTCTTGGTTTTTGATTGTTGGGCTTTGCATCACAGCATAATAGAGGTTACTTTATCCGGGATGCAGATTTGTGCTTTTATCGTTTGCCAGTCCCTTTATTGTCGAGGAGGAAAAGAATCATTTTAGTCCCGCGCATCATGCCGAAGCAGGACTCCTTTGAAAAAGATGACGCCTAGTTTGTATATACTGTGCCTTTTTCGAGCTGTCTTCCTGCTTTGGCATGCTGGTGCGCCTGGTTTTGCTGCGTTTGACTTTTTATATTTATTTGTGGGTTTTTTTGGAGACGATGTTGCAAAAAGAAATACATAACATGAATTCAAAATATTTAATGAATATTCTTTCTCTCTTTATTTGTGATCTCGCCTACTTGACTCAATTGCAGCAGTACCAAAAGATAAGATTGCCGTTGAACCAAGCGCCAACCTTCATTCCGGCAGTGCCCCACACCAGCTTCCGTATGCAGCTGGAGTTTGTTTTTGGGCAGCGGATGTCTCAACTCCGACGTCTGCCCACTGCACCAATTCCCATTATCACTGAATTGTTTCCCGACTCCGGCGAGTTCCTCCGCAATGGATCTCTTCCGGTCTTTCTTGACGTCCATCTGTAGCTCCAGCTCCATCGGACACCATGAAGACACTGAAAACAAACTTTATGTGGACTTCATGATCCCGTACGCCTAAAGCCCCTCCCCCTTTTGTCGGTACTTTGACCACATCTAACCCAATGCGCTTCCAGATCAATCGTATGGACTACCTCGATCTCACTTGTTGTCATCGTACTCCTCTCGTACATCGGCCGAATCGTACAGGATAGCATTGCCACCGCTCCGCGCAAGTACTCCGTCCCGCCTGCGAAGCTTCCCGACACCGAAACCACCATTGATTATCCTGGCGTCAAAGTCCCAGGAAGCGCTGCTATCCAATGCTACGCTCCAGCCACAGGCCGCTTCCTTGGCCTCGTCAACCCATCCACCTCGGATGGCATTGATCGCAGCATTGCCGCCGCCGCGACGGCCCAACGCGAATGGGCCAAGACGAGCTTCCAGAAACGCAGGGCGGTCCTAAACACCCTCAAGAACCACATCATGGAAAATGCTGAAGAGATTTGCCGTGTTGCTGCCCTCGACAGTGGCAAGACTATGGTCGATGGCCAGATGGGCGAGATCCTCGTCACCATTGAGAAGCTCCAGTGGACGCTGCTCCACGGCGAAAAGGCCCTTAAGCCGTCGTCTCGACCTACCAACTTCCTCATGGGATATAAGCGCAACACGGTCCGTTATGAGCCCATGGGCGTTGTGGCTGCACTGGTCAGCTGGAACTATCCCTTCCATAACATGATTGGTCCCATCATTAGCGCCATCTTTGCTGGTAACGGTATCGTGGTCAAGGTTTCGGAGCAGACAGCGTGGTCCAGCACCTTTTTCACAAACATTGTGCGCGGCGCGCTCGCTGCGCATGGTCATGATGCGAATCTCGTGCAGGTCCTTGCCTGCTGGCCCCAAGCTGCTTCTCACCTTACTTCGCACCCAGATATTAGCCACATCACGTTTATTGGATCGCAGAGCGTAGCTCACCATGTTGCTGCTAGTGCTGCGAAGAGCTTGACACCCGTCGTGGCCGAGCTCGGTGGAAAGGACCCCTTTGTTATTCTGGACTCTGCGAAGAAGGATCTTGGTCGTATTGTTGAGATTATCCTGCGAGGCACCTTCCAGGCTGCTGGACAAAACTGCATTGGTATCGAGCGTGTTATTGCGGCTGGTTTGTTCGACGACCTGGTCAAGTTGCTCGAGCCACGAGTCAAGGCTATTAGACTCGGTCCCGATGCCGACATGGGTGCCATGATTTCGGATGCCTCGTTTGATAGACTGGAAGAGCTCATTGACGAGGCTGTTGACCAGGGCGCAACGCTGCTTGCAGGCGGTAAGCGCTACGAGCACCCCGAGTATCCCATGGGCCACTACTTTGAGCCTACGCTGTTGGTTGATGTTACGCCGGATATGCGCATTGCACAGCACGAGTGCTTTGCGCCTGTGCTTACGGTGCTGCGCTCTCCCGCCTCGACGGCTGATGCTATGCTGTCCATTGCCAACGCGCCAAACTTTGGTCTTGGTGCCTCCGTACACGGCTCCGAGAGCGATCCCGCCATGGAGCCTATTATTCGCGGACTCAAGGCTGGTATGGTCGCTGTCAACGATTTCGCCGTCTACTATGCGGTGCAGCTGCCCTTTGGCGGTGTTCGTGGCTCTGGTTACGGCCGCTTCGCTGGCGAGGAGGGCCTGCGCGGACTGTGCAATATCAAGGCTATCTGTGAAGACAAGTTTGGCTACTTGGGCGTAAGGACGGCTATTCCGCCGCCCCTGCAATATCCTGTGCCGTCGCAAGCCAAGGGTTGGCGCTTTGCGCATGGCATTGTGCAGCTGGGATATGGCGGGTTGGTGACAAAGGTCAATGGTATCATCAATATTTTGAAAAACATGGCTTAATGTATAATAACCAGCTAGGTACAAGCCTCAAATAATAGTAATCCGATTCAAAGTATCAAATCATTGTCATTCATTCTTGGTGTACTACCTTTCATTATGATTCCGACGAAATCTTCCTACGCAAACTAAACTAGCGAGATGATGTTCTGCCAAAACGGCAGTGTCATGTTGTTGTCTGTGAGATTACCAGCCTAGAGCGGCTTGAGGAGCACTGGCTCCCCATGGATCAGGTGAGACGGCAACAGGAGCAGCACTGGCACCCCAGGCGTCGGGCTGAGCAGCTGCTGCAGGAGCACTTGCACCCCAAGCATCGGTTTGGACGTCGCCTGGAGGAGCTGCAGTATTCGCAGAAGGTCCCCAAGGATCGGCCTCGCCCTGGCCAGTGCCAGAATCGGCACCAGTCATCTTGTAGTTACCGTCAGAGTCGCTGAAGCCGTTGCCGGTATACGACTCCAGGAATTCAGGGACTTCTTGGTTGGCCTCCTTCAGTTTCTGGATTAGTGCACTAGCCATATCTTCATCGCGATCAGTGAAGATGGAGGTGGCCACACCCCGGTGTCCAATACGACCGGTGCGTCCTGGTTGTGTTAATAGGAAACTTCACAGAACGGGTCGAGTTCAGGGACTTACCAATTCGATGCGTGTACTCTTCCATGCCTCCGTGCATGCAGGACGGGATGTCATAGTTGATGACGTGCATCACGTTTCTGACATCAATACCGCGAGCTGTCACGCCCGTGGCAATCAAAATGGGTGCCATACCGGACCTGAATGCCCGAAGAGCAGCCTCCCTTTCGGCCTGGCTGCGGTCACGGTGCATAGAGGTCACAGGGAGGCCCATGTGGAACAAGAAGTCATCAAGACGGTCAACTTCTCCACGGCTGTTGCAGAAGATTATTGTCCGGATTCCAGGCATCTCTTCTAGGAGCTTCACGAGGACGGACTGCTTTTCTTCGGGACTTGCTTTAACCACAATCTGTCGGATATTCTCAGTTGTACTGCCGACACGACCAACACGAAGCTGGACATGGTCAGAGGCAAGATAAGTCTGACCAAGCTCCTGAGCCGCCTCTGGGAATGTGGCAGAAAACAAGGCATACTTGACAGCTCCTTCGTCTTGGTCTAGATAGTGTTAACATGATGTGAATTAGAGAAGTGTAAACAACTTACCTCCACCGAGGAGGATCTGCTTCAGTTCATCTTCCCACTCGAGAAGCTCGTCTGCCTCGTCAATGACCATGTACTTGAGACGACGAAGAGTCAGTACACGAGGTCGATTAATGAAGTCAATGAGACGACCAGGGGTCCCAACAAGAATATCGCAGCCTTTACTAAGGAGAGCGATCTGGTCTCGAACAGGCGTCCCGCCATACACAACACAGGGGCGAAGCATGGAGCGGTAGCAGAAGCGGCGGGCTTCGTTGAAGATTTGTACGGCCAGTTCTCGGGTTGGAACAACGATCAAAACGAGTGGTTCAGCGCGGACCTCATCCATGCCCTCTCGGAAAGTGAGAGGGTTGGGACGTGGAGCTGCAAGTTTCTTCGCCTTGCCCATTAGCTTGCTCAGGATGGGAATCAAGTATGCAGCAGTCTTGCCGGAACCTGTTTATTATAAACATTAGTGATGAGAATACAATCTTGTAATCTTTCGTACCTGTTTGGGCGACACCAATGATATCATAGCCCTCCATGATCGATGGGATGGTGTACTTTTGAATCGGCGTTGGGCTAGTATATCCAGCCAGGCCAATGTTTTCCAAAAGGACGGGATGTAGACCGGCATCAGCAAACTTCCGAACAGAATTGATCTTTACAGGGCCTTCCTGGGAGACTTCGATGGCTTCAATCCTGGCAAAGGGTTAGCATACATTCGATGGAAGCAGCCGGGGAGAGGTATACTTGGAAAAGTCAAGACCAGTTTTGTGGCGGGCTCCTTTCTCGCCAAACAACTCAATCTCTAGCTCGGGAACTTTGGGTCCAACATCACCAAATTCATCATCCCATTCATAAGTCTTTGCGTTGCCATCCCAGACAATGTTTTCAGAGGCAGGCTCTTGTGCTGCAGTGGCAGCATCTGCGTTGGACCAACCAGATATCTTCTCAGTCATCCTGGACGGTTTTGTTGGAAAGGCAAAGTTTTTGAAAACCGAAGAGGGATTGAAGATAATTAGGGCAGAGTTAAAATAGTGCTGCGTTTGTTTTTACGGGCAGGTGAGGGTCGAAGACCCAGCAACGCGATTTCGTTGACAGCTGTGACGGTTGGCAGGATTCACTTGCGGTAAACAAACCAACCAGAGAACCTGGCAGAAGGACATGGCACTTTTGGTTTATGGAAATTTCTTTGTATCATTAATTCGTCATGACTACCAGAGTTCAAGCAAGTCCTTGGTGTCTATCGCTGCTGATGTCCTGTAATCCTTCATAGCAGCACTGATCACCTGTTCTAAACCTGCGGCTGCTCGGCCTCCCACGCCGCCTTCTTTTTTAATCTGCTCCACGCCCTTTGCAAACGACTCGTAGAAGCGCTTATGGAATATTTGCTTTCGGCTCTCGCTGTCGACATACATCTCACCGTCTTCGTCCCGCCTGGCGCCCGAGAGGTTGACATAGTTAAAAGGATTTGTTTCTCTGGGTGTTGTGTATAGATTATCCCAGTATTGCAAAGGGGACCATGGTAGGATGGACTCTTCCTTGAACCCCGTTCGCAGGAAGTTGGTCAATGTGGTCATTTGTCGTGCACGGTTAAGTGCATCTTTGGCTTTCAAGCTGGTGCGGCCAGCCGATCCAGCAGTCCAACCGCCCTTGACGGTCGTAGGAATCCAGCCCATCATCGCACAAAAGGTATTTAATGTCTTGACCCATCCTCCAGGGCAGCTTACGAGCTGATCACCCGCCGTGAGGAGTAGCCAGTCCATAACGCTAAGGGCATCGTTGCTAATGTCATTCGAGAGATGGGTCATGCCGGCTCGGACGAACATGGCTGCATTGTCGACAGCGGGCGCAACTCCGGCCGCAGGTAATGTCTGGAGGAGTTTAAGAAGCTGGCTTCGTACGGGGGTATATGTATCGGATATTAAAGGCAAGAGTTTGGCCAAGACGGCGGCGGTGCCAACAGGATTGATTTGCGGCTCGGCGGATAGTTGTGTTGTGAGGTAGGCCAATGCCTCCTTGCGCTGTTTATCAGATTTTGAGGATGAGGCGAGTGACATATTGTGCTTGAATTGTTGTAAGATGTCTGGTGCTGCTGTCGACAGAGACTGATGTCCCATAACAATGGCTGGTCGATGATTAGCAATCGTCTATTGCCTAGCAGTCTGCGCTCCATACCTCTAGACTTGAAACTCGTATCTGTAAAGTTGGACGGCTTGGCTTTATCTTTTCCAACCTTGAACTTCGGTTTCTACTTTGCCATTAGCTTTTTCATCTTGGACTGGCGCCGTCTCTACGGACCTGAAAATCCTTCTTCTTCTCGGCCTTCTTTTTCGAACTGGAACCCATGATGTCGGTAGTTAGGTTCTAGACCTTGGTAAACCTAAAATATAAAATAAAGAAATCCGTCTGAATTTTTAATTAATAATTAAATCGACTTCTACGAGTAGTAGGGGCTGTGATGGTAATTGTGAGGATTTCCAATGTTTAAAGTCTTATCTGTTATCGGAATATGCAAATTTTGGCGGTAGCGTGTGGCAGAATGAGGAGTTGCGTAGCACCTTAGCTCTCCACTCCCCGCCAATGACGGTGCTCCTCCTCCAACAGCTTTAAGAAGTCGGTCAAGCAGCAGGACAGATATTGCAAAATATGACAGAGCAGACTTCAGTAAGGAAAAAACTGGTAAAATGCACTACAGACATTCGTGCTGACCTGGAACACAGCTAAACGGGCAAGCGCTGGATGAGAAGCTCGCGAGATTGACCAAGAAGCCAGGGGTCAAGGCGAGCATTGTCATTGACCGTGCCAGCGGTGCTATTTTAAAAACGAGCGGCGATACATCAGTTCTTACTACCACAAAGTCAAGAAATGCAGCGACAGCAGCTTCGTTCTCCAATGAAGCCAACACTGCTGACGAGAGTCAATCGAAGGGCCTCGAGGACTTTGGCTCCATGATATGGAACTTCGCCAACAGCTCTGGGCAAGTTGTCGAAAATATTGACTCAGATGTAAGGAACCACGTTACGCGTATGGTCAGCTTTCTTATGCTAATTTTCATGCAGGACGAACTAAGGCTGCTGCGCTTACGAACGAAGAAACAGGAGATCGCCATTGTGCTCGACCAAAACTATCTTCTGACTGTCATTCATGATATCCCACAGGCTTAGAATATCCACCTTGGTACGAAATGACACGCAAAAGCAACATAGCTCAGCGTCGAGAGAGCGGGTGTTATGTGCCGCGCCTGTTCGCCTGTTCGTTGGGCATCTGTTTTGGGTTTGGGCTTTCTTCTTTAGGCGTCTAGGATTGATCGATACCCCTTGTATTCGCATTGGAGGTGAACAAAAAGTGTAATAATATTCTTCCCTTGCTACATAGATTTTCCTTTATTTTTTTTATTTTTTTTGGAATATACATGGTCATCTTGTGCCCCCGTCGCGTGACGCAGCAGTTGGCGAGTCCCTAGGAGGTCTCATTCTTGGCGCAGACTATACGCTAACGCGCTGTCTTAAATACGGATTAGCTCTGAAGCCTGGCATGCTGGCACCTACGAATGGCGCTCAGTGGCTTTCGAGTCCACTGTAGCGTCTGCCGTAGCTCTCCAGAGTACGTATCTTTGCGGGGGACCCCACCAAGGCTAAGGGCGGGAAAGCCGGCCCAAGACCCTTGCCTCATTTCAAGCAACAGGCGGGACGCTGCTAGTAATTGCTGATGCTCTCACCCACCCACTGACAGAGCTGGGCATGGGACCGATGACCAACGAGGCAGTCGCGGTTGATTTTATTACGCATTCAATCCAATCCTAGACTTTTTGGTGTTTTCATCAGCGTCTTTTGCATTCTTCCTCCCTCTCCCCCAACCGCCGCGCCAGTCCAGACACACGTGTGTGCTCCTCCATTGGAACGGTACATCGCGAACCCGAGTAACGACTCCAATTGACCCCGGGCGGTAAACGCGCATGTCGAAGCTGAGCTTCTCTTGTTGCCCCCTAACCAACGGCGGATATGTCTACCACCAGATTGAACGAGGATGATATCGAGAAGCTATTCTCGGGAGCGCCACAGTACTATGCTCGCAACGAAGGACCGTTCATTTCCACTCCCCATCCAAGCATCACTTTTCCCTTTGACGAAGGCCTGCCGATTCGAGACTTGTCTGATCATGTTCAGATAGAGGCCAAGGCATGGAGCTGTGTAACTACCAGACCACACATCAGCCATGACGCCCGGAGCATCGCCTCGCCAAGGCGACAATCCGAGGTCAAAAGGACGTCGCATTTCCACGTTCGCTGCTATGAGCGCCCCAACATGCTCAGCTTGAGCGGCTTAGAAAAGGGTACTATGGGATTCCAGGCCGCCCTGGAGCTAGCCGTCAGCGATTCACTAGAGGAAGAGCAGTTTGGCTTCGACAGCATCGGCAAGAAAGCCAAGGCTATTATTGATGCACGTGAGGTTATGCTTTCTAATGATGGTTGGCTGCACAGAATCACGGAGAGCGATCTTATGGACCGACTGAACCGCAATGGAGATATCCATCGAAATAACAATCTAAAAAGCCAAAGTTCGACTGAGACATACAACGACCTCTTCCGCAACTTCATGCGCCCTAGATACATCGCAGTTGACAAGACTGATAACCATAGTCTTACCAACCAGATAGTAGCGCTACTCAAATGCTTGGGCTCGCCAAATGTTTGGATTGACTTGTCCCATGTGGAATGGCGAGTACGGCTGGGGCAAATTCTTTGGGGTGAGCATAATGGCGACCAATTGAATGACGATGCCAACATACAGGATACAAATGTGGAGAGTGAGCGTGCAGAAGAAAGATATTGGCTTTTGCTGCAGATTCTAGTCTCTACAGAGCTCCTTCTGAGACTAGATGCTATCACAGAGGGCGAAGAATATGGCGCTGGTGGCTTCCGGCCAATTGACATTGTCCAGTTTGAAAGAGCAGCCAATGTTTCAGTCAAGTGGTCGCTCATTCTGGCGCGCAGCTGGCTCGAAAATATTAACGTTTCCAAAGAAAGTGGTGACGCTACTCCAGCCTTTGCTGATTGCCAACAACGAAGAGGTTCCGAGGCGCTCGCAGCGATTGCTAGCAAATTCTCATTTCACCATCCTTGCCCTGACAACAGGCCACCATCCCCGCCGTACCAATACATTATTCAAGGCCGATTCGCCGACAGACAGGTTGATGGGCTTTTGCACTTTGCGAAAACTCTGTCCTGGCCCAACTATGACGAATTCGAGGCTCGCATCACGGACCGCATTAGACATGTGTTGGAGCTACCAGTACCTAAGTTTCAACGAAATAAGAGCAACACTTCAGAGGCAAGCAATGGAGGTTATTTTGGAACTTGGGATGTGACTTGCCAACGCGGTCATCACAAAGAACGATCTCAAGCTCGCCGAAGAAAGGTCGCAGCGGCACTGAACCCTTCCGGTTGGCTCTCAAAGTCGTACATCTTTGGCCTTATGCTACCTGGAGATGGTCTGTCGCACTTCCTCATGGCGACACTTTTGGAGAATGATGATGCGGCACTACAGTCTATTGGATCGTTCGCCAATCTCTGTGGCGGGTTTATATATTCTGGCATGAGTTTTTGGAGCACTGCCTGCATCGTTGGGCGAGTGTTGGCTGCGGGCAAGGGCACCGCAGAGTGCATGGGCTGGATTTCGACAGACATTATCCCAGAGGACATGGGCGATGGCTGGGTAAATATTGATGTCCACGATGTGGCAGGTAAGTATGCGAGAGGGATTTGCCATACAATGCAAGCTAACGATAGTGTAGACGATTTAACCAAACTTGGTAAGCGTTCTCGTCTGTGGGCAAAGAAGAAATTGGAGCAAGAGTCGTCGATTATTGGTGACAGTGTCGAAGAAACAATTGCAGCGGCAGATTTCATTATCCCCCATGAGAATATGTACACGACGATGCCACCTGGGACGTTTATTCTTATGCATACATTGAAGCTTTGTTCAGCATCTCAATCGCTTCACCCAACGCCACTGACCGAAATCATTCCAACGCCGAACCATGAGGTTTTCCCAGATGCTCCCGACCTGCCATCATATCCAGCCACAATCACCTTTACTGTTGCCATTGATGGAGAGCCTGAAAAGAAGCACAGCATGAGTCTCTTCTACGATGTCAACTTTGTCACCGCGCATCCATGTGCGCCATCCCATCGTGTGCGGTTCTTGAAATCACCTAGCAGCCCAACAATCCAGGAGATTGATGCATCTGGGCTAGGAAATCTAGGACAAGGCTCTCGATCAGTATACAGAGCTGGTAAGTCTACTTCATTTGGACATCCACATACGCGCTAACATATGTAGGGCATCCATTACACAAATTCTATAACTTCAAAGTCATTCACATCTCGGAGCTTATTAAGCGCAAGGCAGCATCTTTAACAGAGCTTCTGTATGATGACCCTGCGAACTTGAAGCCGGCAAACCTGGTTTTAGTTGTCGACTGTATGACAAGCATTGCGGGAGTACCACAATCTGCCATGATGGAACGTCTTGCGACACCATCGTCATCACCGGTAGCAGAGCGTAAGACGAGCTTCTCTGCCGCAGCAAAGATGCATTTCGAATCCCGAAGCCCGCAATTTGGATCTGATATGGAAGTCTTTGTGCGCGCTCTCTGCGCCGAAAAGGGCTGGAATGCCATGATTAGCAGACGCAGACGAAGCTGCCTGTCGTGTGCGATTCGCGAGGCGGGCGCCCTGAACTGGAAAGTCATTATCCGAACGGACTGATGCATGTAACGAAACAATTCATAATTAGCGATCTATTTTCCATATCTAAGCTGCAAGATAATACACCTCTCCATTTTTTTTTCATGATTTTAATTTTTGTATAAGTGCGGCTGGGATGTTAGCAGCTGCCGTTTCACGCCATTGGTTGGAGCCTGCGACTAAACGCCGCATTTCGGTCGGGACCCTGACCAGGCTGGCGCATCTCCAAAGTCAGGAGCCACGACTCTCCATCCGCCAACCATCCCCTCACCCGTCAATTGCCGTTGCACGCCTCGCGCAACGCACACATATATACTCGAAAATGCCGTCAACACAAAAGGATATGCGCCGGGAGGACTTGAGTACGTAGCAATGGACGCCCGCGCGGCGCTAACCAGCCTACGAATCGTCGCGAACTAACCGTTGGACACAGTTGTTCCTTACCAGCAGCCCGTTAAGCAGAGCGACGCTGGCGACATGAGCTCGACAATCTCTTCGACAATGCCCATGGCCGCTATGTTTACGAGAAATAAATATGTTGGATGGTATGTCGCCTTGCTTCCAGCATCGCTGCACCTTTGAAGCCGAGCGAGTGTAGCGCACGAGATTGCTGTCACTGGCCATCAAACAACCCCCAATCTAACATTTTGCAAAATAGGGCCGGTCTTATCTTCTCTCTCCAGTCTTGGCTCGGCGAGGGCGAGGCCCAAAAGGCCAACGCGTCCGCCCCTGGTTACTTTGGTGTCATGATGTCCGGTACGTTGTTCTTCTGCTTTGCTTTTCTTTTTTTGGCCTTACGGATTGCTAACACTGCTATGTTTGCAGTCATGGCTCTTGGTGTTACATACATGCCTCTCTTTATGCCCGCCCCTGCTGGCCTCAAGGGCACCGGCACCGAGGCCCCTGCTCCTGTGGCCCCAGCTGCTGGCGCTTAAAGCAGCGTATTATAAACGATGCATTACTGGAGATGACATGGAGAAGGAGAGGGAGAGAAGGAGATGTAAACCTGGGAGCTGGAGTCTTATCGGTGTCGAACAAGATGGAAAGCTGTATATGTTAGGCTTGCAAATGCAGCCATGATAGAATACCAACCAAAGTTAAAATCATGTTGAATCTTTTAAAGTTTTCTCTACTACTTGTGAGTCAACATTTGGCAATTTGTAGTAAACTCTGTGGTTGTCATTGTTGTCACCACTGAGCACACAGACTTTGTTTATGAGTGGCTAAGTGGTTAATACAGTTTAGTTTCGAATGCCCACTGAGTTTATGACACATATGCTAGCTGTTTTAGAGTATTTTGCGTTTTTTTGCTAATTTTATTGTGACTGGAAATGTCGTCTGCCGATATTTAAAGCCAGCTCCCTCGCACAGATTTCGTCATGATACCAAGGCATCCCGCGTTACCACCAGTACAATGTTACTGAAGGGATGTCTTCAATTTTCGTATTGATTCTGTTGGAATTCCGGGCAGGTAATGGAGGATGGGCGCACTTTCTTGCTGTACAGGATGACACATTCGAGGTTTGCCGGTGCGGGCAATGGCACACGAGCCATGATAGGCATCGGTATCATGGGCTCGAAACAAAGCGTAACACGTCAAAAACAGCGGGGATGATGATATGCTGATGGCTCTTTTTTTGCAAAAAGACCACAGTTTTGCTCAAATCAGAGCAAAGAAAATCTGAGTCACTTTCAATAGGTTGATAGCTACGAGTCTACAATATTTTCACACACATAGAGCACACACAGCAGGCCAATTACTATAAACATGTAAATGATGATTAACATTTTAAAGATATTTTAATCTCAGCTTTCTGTAAACGTTGGGTTTACTTACAGTGGCTGTCGTAGCCTTACATCGGCGTCGGCGGACAGCCTTGCCCGTGCGTATCAAAATCCGGAGTCAACTTGAAACGCGCTTGTGACATTTACCACTCGACTTACGGTGTCCTTGCGAATTTCTGCGTCTTTAGAATTTCTACTTTTCATAATCAAACTTCCTAGCTGATTCTTTTTACAACCTCCTTTAACACCAAAATACTGACCACGACGAGGGATTCAACTCCAGCTTCTGACTACACAACTACTTCATATCCACTAATATGAAGACTGTATTCTTTGCGACAGTGTTGTCCAGCATGATGCTCTTTGTAGCAGCGGATGTTGTCGTCACGCCTATCCAGCAGAATCAAATAGTCGACAAGGTCTCAGGAGACTGCTTCTTTGGCGTGGTAACTCCTCAAGGCTGCGGGTAAATTTGACGGACACGAGCTCTGGCAAACATGATGCTAACTACTGTCGCTAGGCCCAAGCCACGATAAATAAAAGTAATAAAATTCATAGATAATTATTTAGAATGCATTACTGGCGTTGGGGGCTTTTCCAGTGAAATTTACATTATTTCTTAGCCTCTGTGCAACACTCGTCGTCGATAAAAAAGCGTCGTTCACGGACACCACCGTAGAATATCAACGTCCATGGTGACTACGGGAAACGTGGGAGAATACTCATGGAAGCTAACACATGATTCACACGGCATGACCGATTCTGAATTCTGCATTCCGTTTTACAAAGTCTAGTTTTGTATGCGCATACACATGCATGTCCTGGCGGGTAGTCGGGGACTTGCGACTGTACCTGTCTCAGAAATGTGTGAAGGGGATGTTTCAATTTAAGAGCCACGGCGTGCAAAAAGCACAATCCGTTTGATGCCATGCTACTGGAAGACTAATCATGGAAATTGAAGATGGATGGAGAAATCCGATTTCTAAAATCTAAACGCAGTGCTAACCGCGTTCTAATGCCTTGCTGCATCGGTCATCACCACCCCAAGCCGGTTACCCGTGACGAGAATGAAAAAAAAGACAGAATGTGGAAAGAAGAAGGGACAAAAAAATGGACAATTAACGCCGTGACAGAAAATGAAAGAGCCCCGTAAAACTATGAAACCATGTCAATATTGTGCAGGTGTGATTCCTAGGCTTTACGCCTGGGCCATGTCGCTCATGCAGGTGTCCATCTGCTCGGTGCAGTCGTCTTGAGTGCCTTGCATCTTGCCGCTAGACATGCCCTGGTTGCATTCGGCGCGCTGGACCTCGCAAGCGCGGCGGTTGGCAGCCTCCTTCGTGGTGAAGTCGGAACCGTTAACACTGTAGGGGCGCTGGTTGTTCTTGTTCTCCGTCACGTCGGGGGCTTGCATGCCGCCGAGGGCGTTGATCTTGGCACCGCCCTTCTTGCCACCCTTGGTAGCCTTCTTGCCATCTTGCTTGCCATTGTTGGTGTCCTTGGCCTTCTGGCCATTCTGAACGGTCTGGCCCTTTTGTCCATTCTGGCCATTCTGACCGTTTTGTCCCTTTTGTCCATTCTGTCCATTCTGACCGTTTTGTCCATTCTGTCCATTCTGACCGTTTTGTCCCTTTTGTCCATTCTGACCCTTTTGACCGTTCTGACCGTTCTGACCATTCTGACCATTCTGGCCGTTCTGACCCTTTTGACCATTCTGGCCGTTTTGTCCTTTCTGACCATTCTGGCCGTTCTGGCCGTTCTGGCCATTTTGACCGTTGTTGTTGTTGTTGTTGTTGTTGTTGTTGCCGTTGTTAGCATTGTTGCCGTTGTTAGCATTGTTGCCGTTGTTAGCGTTGTTGCCGTTGTTGTTACCAGCATTGGCGTTGTCAGAAACGACGAAGCGGACGCAGTCATCCTGGGCACCACGCTGGGCAACAGGCATCAGGACAGGCTGATGGTTGGCAGCAGCGGCCATGGTGCAGACACGGTAATTGCCGGGAGGAAGACCACCGGTGACCTTGGCGGAAAGCAGGTTTCTGCCATTGCCCGCGTCGTTGATGCCCTTGAAGAAGGCAAACTGTGTAGGATCGAGGGGTTGGGAGGGGTTGAGGGTACGACCAGTATCCTGGACGGTAACGTGAGTGTGGCCAATAATGTTGCCCTGACCATCAAGATCCTGAGGGGCAGAGTAGTAGGTGCTGGTAGCATTGGTGAATGAGCCTGGAGCGAAGTTGATCATCTGGACAGAGATCTGGAAGTCGGTCTTGGGCTTGATAACATCGCCATTCTTGGGATTGACAAAGACGCTAGAAACCATTTTCTTGGTGGAAGGAATGTTACCCATGGCTGAGATTGTTAGCAAAATGAACTTTGTAGGATCGCGTAGGCCGACTTACGAATACCGTTGCAGGATCCGGCGAGAACCTGAGCACCATTGGTGAGAGTTCTGCCCTTGCAGAAGTTGATAAAGTTCTCCTTGTCACTTTAAATCATTAGCTTGGGTAATTTAATAGAATATTGAGAAAGTCTCACGTCTTGGAGGGAACTTGTCCGTCCTTTCCTGGGTTCTGGCCATCCTGAGCAGAGCCCTTCTGGATCAAGTTGGCACTGAGGGCGGCTCCGGCACCGTTGTTACCGTTGTTACCGTTGTTGCCGTTGTTGCCGTTGTTGTTTTGGCCGTTGTTTTGGCCATTGTTTCCACCCTTATTCTCAGCAGCCTTCTTGCCGCCATTGTTGTTTCCATTTCGGTTTCTGTTTTGTCGGGCGGCAATGGTGTTGGCCATGGGCGAGCGGATGTTGGCGGCCTCAGTGATGACGGCGGCGCTCACAAGAGCGATAAGAACAGCCTTGATTTGCATTTTGAATGAATGTATCCGTTTTACAAAGGTAGCAAAAGATAGTCGTGATAGTAAATAAAAAAAAGACAGTCAACTTTCAGAGGTACCAGACCGAATAAAAAGTGACGAGTGCTAAAGGAGAGAAATGCAGCTGATGTCACAGACACGGAGTGAAAAGAAAAAAGGAAAGAAAGGAAAGTAAACAAAGGCTTGCCGAAGAAAGCCAGTGAGCGAAAGAAGTGTTGATGGAATAGAGAGAAAACAAGAACTAAGACGGGATTGTTTGGATAGGCGGGCCGGCGTCTTATAATCCTCGACGACTCGGGTTGACAGCTTCATGCAACGGCAAAACCGGCACCGTCTGGGAAACAAGTAGCAGGGGTCATTTTGTTCCGCAAGCGCTGCAAATACCATACAGGAGGAGACTCCACGAACACAAAACAATCGATGCGAGGCTGGCCGGGGTGAGCATGAAAGCACCAGCGAGGGGAGGGGGAGGGGCAAGCAAGCCAAAAGCGGCAAGATGAGATGACCCGTTGGAATCAATTCCAGAGGCAAGCAGAAACGGCACCTCGGCCGAAAAGAGACGACATGTTTGAAGCCAAACAGCGCATTAACAGAGGCCCTTTGGGGGCGACGATGCAGCGAGGATGATGGAACGCAACATGAGACAGGCCTGAAGAAGAGGGCCTTGCATAGGTTCAGGCGGAGGGGGAACCAGTAGTGGAGAAAAGGGCTGAAGGCGTCGAACAGGTGGTAGTAAAGGCCAGGAACGCCTGCAAATCTAAGATTGTAAGGGGGGTGGCCTCTGTTGGCGGTGGTGCTGATGCTGCGTGCGCCGAGGCGGCCAGTGTCGCAGGAGACGTTTGAGGTTTTGGGGCGTGCACCTGGCGCGAGCAGTTGCGTGGGGATCGCTTGGCTGGCAGAGCAGTGGCAAGCCGCAGTGGTCGTTTCGTCCTGACGCACCACACAAAACAGCATGGCTAGGCGGCAGAACAGAGACTGCAGAGAATTCTTCGGAAATTATTTGCATAATCCCATCATCGTCATAATAATTTTCAACTGTAACTTCTGCTCTTACGATCGACAACCAGGTCTTGGCTGCAGCTCGTTTCGCCAAGCGGTGATTCTAGCGAAGACCGCGGCAGTGGCAACCACCAGGCCCAGGCTTGTGGGTGCCATCCGGCGCTGGCGGCCCGCTGTGTTGGTAGTATGTGTGACGTGTTATAGAGGACGGCGTCTCAGAATCGTCCCAGAAAGGGCCGTATAGCCGCCGCCGGAAATAGGACGAAATGATATATCCTGCGACATCATCTTTTTGGAATCTTGGCTAGATTTGGAATCCAAAACTTCAGATTCTCTCCTCAGCCCAACGTTTGACTGATACGTGATTGGCCCTGCGCATTTCATACGTACGCTTCGCACTGGCTCGCCGGCCTGAAGTTCCAATCCGCTACTTGTGCTCGGTCGTTTTTAAAGACGCTATTTGTATTGGTTTCATGGAGCAAAAAAATAAAGGTGTTTGCTTACTGTTCATTAAAACGGCCGTTTTGAGCGGTCGAAACCTTTGCGATACCACGCACTTCAGCTAAGCTACTTGGGGTTGGTCAGCTACCGACACGGGGCGTTTGGAATCAATCCGTTTTCTGATCGGTGATGTTTCTCTATTGCTGTATTAATACCTGCTACGCTATTCTAAAAACGGTGCAAACAAACTATGCCAAAGATAGGACTCGACACTACAGTGCTGGTACTGCCGACTGTGCGGCACCTTACAACTCCTCCTCCGCCAGCAGCTTATCCCAGTCCTCATCCGTGTACTGGCTGGCCTTGCCAGGGTTTTTGGACAAGAACTTGTCGGCAATGTTGTCCAACCAAGCTGCCATTCTATAGCCAGCTCTAGCAACTTGCCTTTGAATTACGGGTGCTGCATTTTCATAGTACTCGCCACCGAGTTCCTTGCCAACAATTGCCTTAGGGCCTTCGGGGAAGACTATTGATGAGTATGTTAGCAAACAATGATATCTGCTGAAAGCAGGTATGCGATGCTTACCGTGACTGCAAACAAAGCGATTTGTCTCTTGCGCCCAGGCCATTGCGGTGCCGTTCGCATCGGCAAAGTTTAGGTCCTTCAGCCAGCTTTCCTTCTCAGCCGCATACTTTCCACTCTCAATCTCATCAATTAGATTACCTGCCCAGGTCTTAGCCAAGTTGTAGGGCTTGCCGCGCAAACCACCGAGCGACTTCTCAGCGATGGAGCTGTCCCAAACATGATGCAAGTTGTACTCGCGACCGTCCCAGAGCACGTAGATGCCGTTTCCACCACGAGATACGTCTTCGTTGTGAAGTGGTTGATGCAGATCACCGACGAAGTGAATGACAAACTTGGCAGCCTGTGCTCTCTCCCAGGCAGGCAGTGAACCATCTACAGCATGTGTTGTGTAGTTTGCGAGGGCCGACACGACGCAGCCGTCCTCCTTGCAATCGCGCTGGTAGTTTACGTTGCAATCATGAGGGGGCGCATCATGCGCGTCGATAAAGTGAAAGTTTTTGGAGAAACGCCCCCATTTGGTATAGCGAATAGAGTCAGCCCAGCTCGCGACGTTGGCGAGGTAGTCATCATTGTTGTTTCTCAAAAGCTCCTTGAAGTAGGCCTCGGTAGTGTTGGACACGAAATTGCTAGCGACAAAGGCTGTCGCAATATGTCCAAGACCTAAGTTGAAGAATATTGTCAGTAAGAGACATTGGAGTAATTAGGAGGGATGATGGTGAATGATGTCGTACTTCCCCAGGCAGACACCTGCGGTGCTAACAGTGCACCAAGCAGAACAGTGTTAGTATGAAGCTTCATTGTGCTTGTGCTGTAAGAAGCCCACGATTGATTGACCAAGGAAAAGCGAAGCAGTGAATGTGTTGATAGCTACAGGCTTAAATGTATGATGCCGAAATTTATTTTTTGGTCTGCGAAAGCTGAAGCGCCAGACTCTGAGGGGACTGTGGAAGGGCGGCCGTCTTAGGTGGTCGCGCCCTTGCGAAGTTAGGAGAACGTGATCGCAGGCCACACGTGAACGATTGGCTGTGGCCTACCAAAATACGTTTGTCGGCCGTGAGGAGCAGGCACTGGCGAGGAGAAGAATTGGGAGCCTGACTCAGTCGCCAGGATCTTTCGGTTGCCTGATTTTCAGATCTGCCATTTAAATCCCAGATTACGGCTCTAAGCACCTTTGAGTACGCTACTTGTTGGCACCTTTATTAGTGTGTATGGCGACTCATCCGGCGTATAAGGCGCCAACCAGGTAGGGGTCGGCACCCGCCTCAGAGCGTGTAATAAAATCAGGAAAGTTCAGACACACTATTTGAATAACGGGCAATATGACTGGAAACTAAACTAGACTTAAATTACTGACAGTGAGGCGGTAACTTTGTTACGCCCAGGCCGTCGCATAGTGGAAGCTAAACAATGCGCCACTTCAGCTGCACCACGGTTACAAATTCATATTAACCCAGTAGTTTTAAATAATTCTGGGTCAAAAAATATTACCCGAAAATAATAATACACGTAAATGTTGTCAATGTGCAGCAAATATCAAAACTAGTTTGTCGGCACTTGCCTGTCAAAGTGTGGCCTGCAGCCAAGGATTCCGCGCTAAACCGCTTTGGGCAATGGCCTTGCTCCTGGCTTCAACAATGAAATCCAGCGCGTCGTGATGTCAACTTTACAAACAACCTCATTGATTTTTTATCCGCCACCGTTCTAAGCTCATCAGCACGCTGCTTGCAATCGGTAAACTTGAAAGAGACGCTTAAAATCCCTTTTTTCCAGTATCTGCTCAGCGTCAGCAAGCAGTCTCTGCGCTTTGCACTCTCTTGTTGTTTCATCATCTTGTCCAGGGAGCAGCCGGGCGCAAACTCCACAACCGCTACGCCGCCAGAACGGCGTTATCGGGACTCTACCGCGCTCACGAGACACCGTGCAAGATATGCATGGCTACTCGCGCTCTCTCTGATTTGCCGCATGAGGGGAAGGATTTGTTAATTGTCACCGTCATCGCCTTGAAGCGCAGTCTCTGGTGGAATGGCTGCCGACAATTTCCGTCAAGGGAGCACCATGACGCCGAATTCGTGGAATAGGGATATGCCTATGTGGCAGGCAGAGCCTCAGCAGCAATTCCGGTCACCGGAGCCATCTTGGGCTCGCGACTTAAGACGGCCTGCAGATGGTCTTCAAGAGCACACGATGCATCGAACAGTCCAGGTGCATCACCAGCTCTTGTCAAGTCAAGCGCATATGTATAATCAACCACATCACCCGCATCAACCCCGCCCAACTCGTCCAATGCGCCCACCGCGCCAGGCACATCAAACGCACCAAACGCATCCTGTCCACCCAGTCTCCCCACCTGATTATCAGAGACTTGGCCCCTCTGGACAAGAGCCCAGTCTTAAGCCAAAAGCGAAGCCATCCTCAGCAGCGTTTTCGGGAAACCCAGAAGAAGGGTCGATGCTCAGCCTTCAAGACATCACGCTTATGAGCAAGAGTGCTTCTGAGGACCCTCCGGCCATGAATATGGCGTCTGGCGAGGTCAAGACAACCAGAGCATCATGCCGCTTTTCTCTGTTTGAAACACGTAGCAATGAGCGACGCCCAATGCATTGCGAATCCCAGCTCTGCGAGATCAAGACATATCGCCTGCCCTATGAGCCGCACCGAATTGCTTACATTCACCTGCCGCGGCCTTTTGTGGTACCACAGCACACGTTTCGTGTACGCCAAGCTGATGGCATATTGACGTATGCCTCTTCTTATGGTCTGCGCATTGAATTAGAGGCTTCAGATGACGACTCATGGCCGCCCTTAGACCACGAAGATTTTGGCCTCTCACCTCTATATCTGGCGGCAGTCCACCCGCTCAAACGCTGTATTGTGTCGACAATGGAGTTCACTGGTATTGCTGGATCTCTAAGAAATATGGTCATTGTTACATCTGGACACCCGCCGGTGCCCGGTGTTAAACTGACTCATACAAATTACCTTCTCTGCGCCGACTTAAAATGGACAACTGAATCTGCACGCGAGAGTACACAGCCTGCTAAAGTTGTCATCCCACAACCCACTACGTTTGTCGAAATGCCAAATGGCGAATTTGAAGAACAGAAGCCTGCACCAATTTCAATACCTGGTCCAGAGGATGAAAATGAAGCTCCTGGTCGCAGCAGCATAGAAGCAGCTGATGATCAGCCGGCGGAACCAGATACCCCGTCTCGCTTACTTCGCCATCGCGACGTACAAACTAATTATAATCTCAAAGCCCTTAGTGATATCGCAAGAGGGCGAAAGCGACCTAATCATGACCTGCAATCGGATTCGAGGCAGCTTGAGGGCGGCCAGGTGTTATACAGCCTGTCTGTGAACCAAGGTCTTCGGCTTGATTTATACCGCTGTATTGCCTGTGGTGCCTCCCAAGGCTCAGTACAACTTCTTCAAGCTCATTTTGAACAGCACCATACCGCCTACAACTTTGAATTATCTGAGGGTGAGAATGGCGTCACATTCACAGTTACAACTCGCCAACCAACTCCCTCAATTTCAGATATTGTACCGTTCGAGCTACCGGCATGGTCATCCAGACAGACATCGCACGCTGCTTCCGAGGATGCTGAACCTATATCGCCTGCTGCTCGAAGACACTGGAAAGCTAGACTCCAATCACCAAGAAAACACGCGGGGACGAAACTGCCTACTCCACCGAGCGGTGATGTAGATGAGGCTGTCATCTCCCGTATATCAAAACGGAAGATTATTGAAGGACCGCCTGTGCTGGTCCCGCAAATAAAACAGACGCTTTATCATCCGATTAGCAAGGCCAAGTTGAAAGCAGGAGAGCTCCTCCCTAGCACGGAACCTGACCAGGCGTGGCTTTTGCAGAAGCATCGGGATAATATTGCTGAGTTTACTGATGTGAGCGACTGCGAAAAAGACTTTATTTGGAAATGGGACGATTTTATCCTGCGACGGGACATTAGCGCCCTGGTGTATCTGGCACCACTCTGGCTCGAATTTGTTAAAACAAATGCCCGTTGGCTTGTTGCATCGCCGGAGCGGATGATAGAGTTTGGAAACCACATGGCGGTTCTCCTAGCTAGGAATGCTCTCGATGACGAGATTATGGAATCGGCTCTTGTCTATATCAAAGAGGCTCGAAAAGAGGCCCCTCCCGCGGGCTATAGAGACCATGCCCCGTTTGTAAACGCAGGGCCTATTATCAAAAGTGCGAGCGGTTGCAGTGTATGTAAACTGCCTGTCCGTGGCCCTAGAACGCTTGTGTGCGCAAACAAGGTATGCTTTCCCATATTCGTCTTGGTTGTATTGAAACAAGCTAACAGCACAATAGATCTGTACACATCGCCAATTTCATTCGGACTGTATCCGTGATGCAGCCAAAATGGATGTGAGCCAGCGGCGCTGGAAGTGCAATGATTGCTGCGGCGAAGAGATGGATTTGTCATAATCTGCGAATAAAAAGGAACCATGGCGGCGTTTAACAATTCCGGGAATACTATCTGGAGCGAGGGGATAGATAAATGAATGAATGATACTGTACAGTACCCGACCAAGCATTGGTTACTTTAATACACTGCGAATCGTAAATCGTTTACATTCACATTTCACCATTGTTTCGTATTGTGAACCGTCAAGTGTAAAGTAGATAAATGCTTCTTTTCCTTTCTTTTCGTCCATAGGATATTACCATCTATGCTAACCAAACAGAAAATAAACGCCATGCGGAAAAATAAGCCCTCTTGATGCCCAGAATTACAGACCAAACGAGAATAGAGAAAACAGAAAAGATGCCGGGGGATGTACACGTTGAATATTACACGCCAGAGGGATACTCTCACCTCTGTCGTTTCTTGTCCTGCCTCTCCTTCTCGGTGCGCTGCCGCTTCCTGCTCTCCTCTGAGATGAAGTCGGCAAGGTCCTCATCGTGCTGCCACTGCGCGCCCACGCCATCCTGGCGCACACCCGCCTCAAACTTTTGTCGCAGCTCGTCCTTGTCGATAGACCCGCTCTGGAGCGCATCCAGGTCAATCGCAACGTCCACGTCTCCAGGCTTCTTGCGCTTGCGGCCCTCGTCCTCGCGGTCAAGGTAGTTGGGGTTGTTGGCTGCCGCGAGGTCGTATGCGCGGTCGCTGCCAAAGAAGCCTTCTGCGCGCACTTGGCGCTCCGGAAGGACTGTGTAAGCCGAGCGTGCGGGCTCGTCGGATTCTTCATCGCGGCGGGCCTTTCGCAGGTCCATGCCAGCGGAGTCGGGGTACATGCCGCCCGGTTGACTTGGCGTTTCTAGGCCAGACGGTGTCTCCAGACCGCTGCGGTCAACTGCTCCCTCATCATCGTCGTCGTTGTCATCGTCATCAGACTCGTCTTCGTCTTCTTCTTCTTCCGACTCTTCTTCCTCTTCCTCGCGTGGCTGCAGCTCGCCCCATAGTGTGCGGTCAATGGGTTCGTTGAGCTGTGCGGTTTGTGCTTGCGCTTGCGCTGCGATACCAAAGACATCGCCGCCGTAGAGCGGGCGGTTGAATTCGTCTACTGGAGGCTTGCCCCAACCGCCGGGGTGGAAACCCCAAGAGCCACCAGGAGGTGGAGGGGCATTGAGGCCGGGGATCTTCAGGGCGGGATAAGAGGGAGGAGGGCCGAATCTTTGCTGGTTGATGAGCCATGGCGGAGGGGCGCCGACGGGTATGCCGAGGGCTTCTCGTGCTTCGGCAGACAGGTCGCCAGGGCGGAAGTCTTGGTAGTCTACCTCGCTTTCCTTGCCTTCGTAGTAGACTTCGCCAAAGCGTGTAAGCTCGGGCTTAGTTTGGAATCGGAAAAATGCATCGTAGAGTTTCTGATAGTCAATGTCGAGTCGGCCCATCTTGGGCGCAACGCGCTCTCGCTGTTTTTGCTTCAGGCTTTGTTCGGCTTGTTTCTCAAGCACAGCATCTCGCATTTCGGCGATACCAGTCTCGGCGATGAACTGGGGTAGGCGGAACGCCGACTTTTCGATACCACGCTTCGACGAGAGATACTCGCGCTTCATCGACCAGTGGGTAGGTACTGGCACCACGTTCTTTTGAGACTTAATCTGCACAAGGAGTCTAGGATCGGTCGACGAAACATCTTGCCAGTCAACAACTTCGGGGACTTTGGCTAGCGCCTTGAGTTCAGCAATAGAGATTTTGTTAAGCTCCTTGCGTTTCTTCTTGGAAATCTTGGGGGCCCCGTCGTCCTCGCCAGGGATGTCATCGTCGTCGTCTCCGAGCACCTCGCCACGCTTAGCGGTGATAGCATCTTCGGCTGTTTCCTCGCTATTGCGAGGAGCAGAGAATTTGCTGAAAATATCTTTAAACGCTGCGAAAGCGGGATCGTCTTCGTCGGGGAACGCTTCGGCAACAACCTCAACCGTGGGCTCGTCTTTCGGTGCGGCTTCTTTGTCGTCGCGCGTAGGCTCCTTTACGGCTAAGGGTTCCGTAGGTTCGGGGTTCTTGAAGAATGTTAGTAGCGATTCAAAACGTGGGATAGTTTCATCAATACCAACCTCTGCCTTGGTCTTCTTTTGCTCCTTCTTCTTTGCTCGTCGCATTTGATTCTTGGTCATCTTGGGGGCCGCCATCTTGAACGAGTTCAGGGGCCGGGGTCCTCCTGATGTCTGTAACCTTCTCTGTAGATACGATACGATGTCGTTGTTTCCGGAGGCGGAGCTAGGCTCGTATGTCGGCGGTCGTGATACTAGCAAAGCATCCGTGTCGCACGACAGTGATTCGCGAGAGATGTCGATGCTGCTGGTGAATTCGCCACACTGTAATATAATTGATTGGCGATTGGCACAGATAAACACAATCCTGGCTGCAAATAATCCTCGCGGCAGAACAAATTAAATAATTGCGCTGACTGCGTTGCGTCCTACCCGTCGTCGAACGCCTGGAGGGAGGTTTGGAATATTTCCTACGTCTCTTTTTCCCAGCGCAACGCGCGCCGGCGACTGGCGGGCAAAGTCCGGATAATCTAACTTGCGCTGTAGCCGGTTATCGTACAGCGCCACCTTCAGCATGGTGGCCACTGATGGGGCCACTTTAGTAGCGCGTTGGCGTTGACAGCGGGCTACGCCATCCCAGGCTAATTTCCAGAGCCTTTGGAAGTTTAAATGACGATTGACGCTATTTTTCCTTTTTTTCCATCTTCGCTTTGGCTTCGCTTGTAAACTCTGTAACGAAATCACGCGTGGCTGTGAATCTCTCTGCGCATCTTTGTTTCAAAACATGTTGGAAATATTGCAGCATCTATAAGTAACCTTTTTCTTCCATCTCCTTTCGAACACGCCATTGCCTTGCCCCTCGCTAGATCGGGAACGTCCCCCTGGCCCAGAAGAACACCGTAACCAAGTTTCAACGAGACCGATGAACCCCCCAATCGACCGCGACATATAACTCGACTCTCGCTTTCCGTCCTACTCGGTGGATTGGAAAATTCTCCCAGATTCATCACCATGGAAAAATTCCCTGATCACATCGATGCGCCGACCTTCAACGGCGCATCCAATCTTGCGACAGGCTCGTATTCAAACGGCGCCATCCACGACCGCCACCCCTCGCCCATGAGAACAGAAAACAGTGGCTATGGATATCCTGGTGGCCAGCAGTGGGCGCCCTCAAGACAAAACGGCCACACACGCGGACACAGCAGGCAAAAGAGCTTGGGCGACGCTCTGCGCACGATCCGCACCCGCAATGGCAGCTTCAGCCAGAATGCACATGAGATTGCGGATGCCCTCAAAGCCCCTGTATCTCCAAGACTAATTGTACGTACCCATGACCCAATTGAAATCGCCGGACGCCACAGTCGGTGCTAATCACCCAATGCCTCTAGATCCTCTGCCTGTTGTGGTACACTTCGTCCGCCCTTACAAACACATCATCCAAGTCGATCCTCAATGCGTTTAAGATGCCTGCAACACTCACACTTGTCCAGTTCGCTTTTGTATCAACATTTTGCATACTCATGGCCTGGCTAGCGACAGTATTTCCAGTCCTTCGAACAAAGATTAGCGCTCTGCAACATCCTATCCGTCCCCCCTCCCGCGACGTCCTCGCTTCGACGCTGCCTCTCGCGGCTTTCCAGATTTTCGGCCATCTTCTGAGCTCATCTGCCACCTCCCGCATCCCAGTATCGCTGGTACACACCATCAAGGGCCTGTCACCCTTGTTCACAGTCGTTGCCTATCGGCTCCTGTACAACATTCGCTACCCGCAGGCGACATACATATCCTTGGTTCCCCTAACCTTTGGCGTCATGCTGGCCTGCTCTGGCAAGTCTGGCTTTGGCGGCCAAATGCTTGGTGTCCTTCAGGCGCTGCTAGCGACTTTTATTTTCGTCACCCAAAACATCTTCTCCAAAAAGCTGTTCAACGAAGCCGCAAAGGCAGAGCAAGATGGGCCCCACCAGCAATCTAAGAAGTTGGATAAGCTGAACCTCTTGTGCTACTCGTCTGGACTTGCTTTCTTGCTAACACTGCCCATTTGGTTCTTGGGTGAGGGTATCACGTTGCTCAAGGACTTCCTTGACGATGGGGCTGTCGATTTAACAGAAAAGCCTGGTTCAATGGACCACGGAAGACTTACCATTGAGTTTATCTTCAATGGCATCTTCCACTTTGCGCAGAACATTCTGGCATTCGTCCTGTTGTCCATGGTGTCACCGGTGACATACTCAGTGGCAAGTCTCCTGAAGCGTGTCTTCGTCATTGTCATGGCTATCCTGTGGTTCCGCAGCCCGACTACACCTCTCCAGGGCGTTGGCATTGCCCTCACATTCCTCGGTCTTTACCTCTATGACAGAAGTAACGAAAGCAATAAGGCAGACCGCAAAGCTAGCTCCATGGCGCAGTCCAAGGGACGTCCGCTACTGCCGCTCTCCGAGACTCCGGAGCTACGCGCGAGCGCAAGTTTCCAACCAAACCCGCACCCTTACAGCATTGGGCACTTTGGCCCCAACGCAATGGATTCCAAGAAAACAGACAATTACACGCCGATCAAGGCATAGAACACATAGGCTGCTAAGCACCTAACGATACAACCCCAGACTTATACGAGATAGATGTTTGCGATTCAAGTCAATGTATAAAATATATAGAGCTCAGTAATGTATCATATTATTTTTCATCATTTGCAGCTTACTCTACAAGCCATTCTTCCACGTCTACACCAATGCTTCTGCCAATACTGCGAATGGCATCCCATCCAACGTTTACTCTCCATTTCCCAGATCTATCAGTAACATCGCCTGCTCCAACTTTAATCACCAACCGTAAACTCGTTAATGTAATCAGCGCCATGCCAACATCACCGTCGACGCCGGCACTCCCAATGCTCTCCGCCCACTCCAGCCGAACAGATTCGAAAATCGCCATCATTCGCTCGAAAACAAACGCGTGTAAACCGAGCAGCTTTTTGGCTATCTTGCGGTGCTTGGTAGCGGTGTTACGTCTCATCACTGTACCACCTCCACGCCGGCGCTTCTTTCCATGGTGATATGTTGAGAAGACTGTGAGATCGAACTTTGCTGCGTTATGGGATGCCAGGTATGCCGATAAGAGGAGCAGGCGCGCGGTCGTCGGGAGAAGATTGCTCAGGTCTGTGAATGGAGCAGCCATGCCAGTTGTAGGTTTGCTGGACCGCTCCTCCTTGAGTGTTGAAGGGGCGGATATAATACTGGGGTTGAGGACTGTTTCGTCTTGAAAGTGTACACGCGCTGCAACGAGTAGTTTCGAAAACTCCTTGGGCTCATAAGTTCCATTGATAATAGGAGCCGTGAATCGCGGCCACAGCGCATTGCAACTATCCATGTACGAGTATAGGGATCGGGAGGCAGCTTTAATAAGAGCGTCATGGACAGCGCCACAGAATCGGGTCCAGACTTCGTTCGTTTCTTTCTGTGTCGTGCCTTTGATCGGTTCGGGAGGAGAGAGTGCCAGGATTTCTACGTATTCGGGTTTTGTATATGGGGGAAAGTGCAGATCTATTGAGGATGCAGTTCGGAGGAAGCTTGCAGGTGGTGATGTTACAATGAAGACGCAGGTTAGGCAAGGAATCTGAGAGAGGTTAGGGAATATCGTTAGGGTTAAATATTAGTAGCATCTTACCATTTCTGGTAATCGCCCCAGGGCAGGAATTACTGTCGCCGGTGCATCTTTTAATCGATCAATGCCGTCGAGAACGAGGACAAATCGCGAGCTGGGTTGTCGTGGCTTAAGCATTTGTGATATCGAGACGGCCAGTTGCGCCATAGTCTCGCACTTTCTGCGATCGGTTTCATCGCCCGATATTTTAGAGGCGACTGAGTCTAGAATTCTTTCAAAAAGATGCCGTGTCGTGACACATTGCGCCACATCGACTTTAGCAATGCTGAGCGAGGGGCTCTCCGAGCTTGTCTCTCGGTAGTGTTCTGATACTCGCAGTAGCACAGCCTGTGTGATTGCTGTTTTGCCTGTAGCTTCGGATCCGTGGATAACAAGATTTCGACAGGGGATACCATTGGGCTAGAGCTATGTTAGCCATTGGCGTTTATTTGATATTGCACTGGGCAGACGAGCGACAGACTTGGGAGAGTGCAGCCAGAGATCGGATCTGGTGTTCGCGGCAGGGGAATTGAGCAAAAAGCGGCTTCAAAACCGCATCGTCGAGCGGTTCATACAAGCCTTGCATTTTTTTTTAAACTTGCGTGTCTTCGAGTTTGCTTGGCCGTAAGTTGTGCAGCCTTTGAAGCTATGTCGTGATTTCGGGAGACGCGGCCGCGCGACGCGCTAGCTTTAAGTGGCGGCCGTTGACGCTAGCCGTGGGCAGGGCGAAACAAGGGGTCTTGGCCGGCACCATAATAGCATTATACTTCGGAACAGACTACAAGGCTAAAGTCATTTTCGAAATCATGAGTATATAATCGTGGTTTTCATTATCATTAATTACTAAAAAATCAAATCATCATCGTCGATGGGCTTTATAGCAAGTGTATTGCAATAAACCTTGTCCCGCCATCGTAGCCATTCTCGCATTTCAAGTTCTATATCTTTGATAAGAACTTCAAGATCGAAAACTGGCGCCTCTACACCCTTTGCATCTTTTACTGTTGTTTGTATGTTGATCCTCCCATTTATCTCAACCCAGTTCTTGTCAATATCTTTGACTATATGATCCGCAAAGAATATTGTCTGATGGTCTGGTTGTCGTCGATTAATTGAAGCGCAACGGTCCAAAGCGCCGAAGAGTCGCGTAGCATCTACCCCGAGCTCTCGGGATATGGTATTGGTTCCCACATATGTTATAGCCTCTTCAAACGTTGCGCTGAGTTGGTCCAAAATTGCGTCAGTCTGCAATGAACTCTGAATAAGTCCATTTAGGAAAGATTCGAACAATGCTGGCCAGAGAACGTTCATACAAGCAACTGACTGTCGAATCACATGCAATTCTTCTCGAGATAATATGCGCTGCGCTTGGTGAAAGTCATTGAAGCCGTCTTTAATAAGATGAAAGATCGCTGTGATCCCGTCGCTATCAGGAACCGATTTTGCAACCATTAAGTTGCCATAAGCAGCATCTAAAGCCTCGGCGTAAATATCGAACAGTGGATATACCGATGCATGTTGCAGGGAAGCGGCTATGATGGCGGGAAGAAGGTATCGCAGTATAAAGTTGGCCACATTTGTATCGGCAAATCCTCTCCTCAGCAAGTTGATACTATCGCCAAGCGAATCGCGAATGATTGCTTGCTTTGCGTTATTAAGCAGGAAGAAAAAGAGTTGCTGCCCGACTCTGGAGTCGCCGTCCTGAAGGCGCAGTCCGTATGAAACCATACCGGCAACTTGAAGCTGTGGATCTTGGATAGAAGGAGAATACTCCTTTGTCATTTGATAGTAGAAGTCATCCACAGCACAAATTTCGGATCCGTGCGCTCTGATGAGAGAAATAATACGTCGAACAAAAAGTACGTATGGAACATGGAGGGCCTCTTCTGAAGCCAGTGATGTTAAATCTCGTTTCATTTGCTCCATGACAAGGCGGAGGACTGCAGAATATTCTGTGACTAGCGTTTTTTTGTCGCTCGGGTCTGCTGTATGAAGAGAACGGCGCATAAAGGCAACATCGTACTCGAATAGATCGCTCATAAGAGTATAGTTCATAGTTTGTTTTCGAGATAAATCGGGGACAAATTGTGCGTCGTTCGCCTTAAGCTGGTCCGCCAATTGAAGCTCAAAAGAGAGTTCCCGCTCTGGCTTTACTATAGACAGCGACCATAGCTGAAGCAGCGTGAACCCTAGTTCAGAAACGTCCTGTATGCCTAACCTGAGCAGTGTGCTGACAAACAAAACTGTGTATTGCTTCTCCCCAGAATTGAGGCAAAGCCAAGATCGTTTGAATAGGTTGTAGGTGGATGGTGCAGTCACAGCTGAGAGCGTGATGAGGCCACCAGAGATGAATCTATGCACCAGTCGACCTGCTAGCACAGTGGCTTCTTCAGTACACGACTCTCGACTGCCGCCACGTTTGCCCATGTTCCCGGGTTGTGCCTGTGTGATAATTAGAGTCCTTGTCATGGAGAATAGACTCTTCGATATATCATTATCCAACAGAAGAAGCGCGTCGTCTCCCATTGTTGCATCCAAAAGCTGGCTTGCCGATGGTTGACTGTCTTCGTTCGCTTTGAAATCATCAATGTAGCCTAAAAATACCTCTAATATCGAGAGCACATCCGCCAATACCGACCACTCAAACTCAGGTGGTGATCTTGAGAAATGCGTAAAGACTTTTTGTAGCAGAAATATGTTGATAGAGTAAATGGCTGCTGGGAGGTTTCCTGCATGCTTCACCACATCCAAAGAACAAGATGCCATGCAGTGTAGCACATCGCTGACAGCCCGTTTATTGATTAAAACCATATTATTGACAGCTTCGGAGTTGAAGGACGCTGCAAGGTCTGTTGGGAAGGCGCTGAGCTGTTGTTGGATGTCTGTTGCAATCGAGTCAAATTGTTGAAAAGTGCTTTGCAAAAATGTCCTTTGCCACTGCAAGAACGGTTTAAATGCAGTTTCTACTTCGCCATTGCTTGCGATAAACCGCGCCAATTGGTTCCATGCTCGTAGATTGATTAGACAAGCTTCTTTGTGGGAAGACTCTGGCGTTACCAGGTGTTCAATCAGAGTAAGCTGTGGCCTGAGCGCTGGTGGTGATGCCCAAAATAGAGTACAGAGCAAGTCGTGGTGGTTTCGGAGCGCTGCCAGATCTCTTTCATGGATCACCTGTTCCTTGAGGTACTGCCGATTATGGTTCGGAATCGTACGTGCAATGATGTTCCTAATATCCTTGGACGCCCCCGTTTCGCGGAGCCTAATAATGCTCAGAGCGAGAAGTTTCAAAAAAATATGGAAGCACTTATCCGTATACTCGAGTTCCAATGATGGGGATGCCGCTAGATCTTCAAGAAATTGTGGTGACCTGAATACCTCTTCATTTCGCAGATGTTCAAGGTTATGGGTACCGAAAAAGTCAAAGATGGCACCAATAATGCCAGAGGCATTGCCCCATCCCCACTGCCGGACAAGTGTATGACACCGGGACAAGATAGCTCTACAGTAGTTGTTGAAATTGGCCGGCTGTCTTGGATTGGTGTTATATGCTGAGAAGATCTGCTTCATAAGGCTCTGGGCAATCGGCCATCCATCTTCGGAGACGTTATAGCGTCTGTCGGAATGAAGAATGCCGTCCTTATCGAACTCGAACAATGGCAGTAAGGCAAAAACTAGCCGCCATACCTGCTCATACACATTGATATCCATAGATGTCATCACTTCAGGAGTTAACAATGCACTATACGCCACATCCCAAAAGGAACCGCGCAGAATTGAAGCAGCTTCAAATGCTTTGATAAGGAGAACCCAAGAGTGGATGATGGGTGTGTCCGTACGAAATCCCCTTTCCCGAGTCGAATAATCTCTCATACGGTCGTAGGCATCAACCATTCGCGACGCGTCAATCTTATTCAACGTCGAAATAGCAAGCTTAGCGATTGTCTTCAGAAGGTTCTCAGAGGACATTTGCTCACTGAGGAGCATTGAATGTTGTCGACAAATCTCCACATTGCATAATCCTATTATAATCAGGTCGTCAAAAATAGGCCAGATCGAGTATTCTTCCGTTATAGGAGCTGTTGCCAAATGTGTTGCGATACGTTCTTGGAGCGCACCTATTGTTTCTGTAACCCTGGCGGTAAAAGACTTGACTTCAACTTCGTTGAAAAGGCGTAGGTGTTTGACAACGTAATTTCTCACGAACCCAGTGGCTGCAGCCGACAACGATAAGTCGATATTGACATGATCGCCAGCATAGTCCAAAATGATGCCTAGTTCAGACGAGGTCTGCTCATTCCATGTATTCCAAATGAATTGCTGGTGACCAATTTGGAAGGATGCCTGATTGGGTGGGGAGTCAGACTGAAGCCTGTTTCCAATACTAGAACAGGCTGCAATCACGCCACTTCCAATTAACGTGGTTTCATGAAAGTAGGTGCCAGCGAGAAGGGGATACATATCGAAGTGAATGCTATAGTGTGTGCCAAAAGATCCCAGTCCTAGCAGCTTGTCTTGGTCCGAAGTATTGTCCATTGCAACGATGGTCGAAGATGGTGCGTATTCGAAAGGTGCTAGTCCTAGCTGATGCCGAAACCTTGGTTCGTGGATATCGACATGCTGTGGCCGATTTTGTTTGCGAGGCTTTCGTGTCTTCAGAGCTTGGACGGACATGACGGGCTTATCTGTATTATCGGAAGGTGTAGATCTCAAAGATTGAAGCATTTGTCTCTCAAAGCTGGCCTCGGAGAAATTGTCACCCTGGTGGTGTCGGATATTGGTCTTGGAGTGTTTGTAGACCAGATCAAGAGCTTTTTTCCGCATATGGAACTCCAAACGCTTTTGCTTGTAGACTGCTTCTGTTTCCATTTGAGCCGGTCTAGCAGTAGTACCAAATTGCCGTGGCACAGGTACTGGTGGTAGCTGACTCTTGGAGACCATAGGCTTGTCGGCCCTTGTCGACGGTGAAAATGAGACCCTTCCGTCACTGAGCACTCTTTTGACCATCCTTCGAGTCGGATTCGGTGCCGTGGATGAAGGGACCAGTCTTGTTCTTTGTTTACTCATTGCCTTTGGCTGGGTAGCCGATGAAGACGAACGAGTTTTGGTGCGTTTCTTTTGGGCTTCAGATACGCTCGCACGAGGTTGTATCGCACCTCGTTTCCAACTCCTTAGAGTATTCAGAACATCAGAATGATCTTGTTCGCTAGCCAGAATTATCTGCTTTTTTGCAAGATTGCTTCGTCCCTGGTTCCGTTGTCTCCTTGCGCTGCGCGCGGCAATTTTCAAAAACTGAGGTGCGTCTGGTTCGATGACATCAAGGACACTCAGCTGGGGGGCTTGGTGGTATGTATCTGTGTTCAGACGACTCTGCTTATTCTTCTTGTACGTCCGTCTTTGATTATTGCCTGTTTGACTCTTGGTGCTGGAACGCCTAGGTTGTCGCGGTTTCTGCATGAGGCTAGTTTGTCTCTTCAATCCTTTTGCGCTACCAGTCTTGTGATGCTTTTTGCCCATCTTTGAGGATTTAGGTTGGCGTCGGCTAGTAGAATACATAGCATCGAAAACATCAAGCTCCATATCTGAGGGGTCGTCATTTGATAGCACAATATGGTTGCTATCATTTTCCTTATTGGCAAGACTCCCAAACCTCAACTCATCTTGTACAAGCAATGGAGGTTGGGGTACGGGTGCCATCACCTCATCATCAGATTCGTCACCTAGCCAAGGTTGAACAAATTGTGGTTTTGATGTCCGTCGAACTTGCGCAATGCCGCGTCTGTTTTCATTGTTCAGTAGCGCTCCGGTGTGTCTCCGTTGTAGACTCTTGTCAAGTTCCTTTTTCTTAATAGCGTGTTGATCTAAGCGAATCCATGACGCAGGGAGTACGCCTTTTATACGTTTGCCAATACGCCCAAGTACATTTTCTTCATCCTCTTCGGGTGGCTCTGATTCTATATCACTTTGACTGGACTGTTCAGAGTTGGCGTCGTTACTGTCAAGCATATCAGCAGCGTTTGGCGCAGTGGTATCCAGCTCTATAATGTCGGGAGCTTCCAATTGGTAAGCTTGCAGTTGTCTTGTCTCCTCATGATCTAAGGAGGCATTGTCTAGAGAACTTTCTTGATGGGCTGTATGAGCTTTTCTGTTCGCAGTATGTCGATAGGTGGTAGCCTCAACAGAATCACTGTGGATTAAATCGAGTCGTCGGCGCTTTCTGGCAGCTGATTCGGGCGTCTCGATACGTGTTCTAGCTGCTGTGTTCCGAGCTTGATCAGCCAGTTCCTCCAAAGTCGGCAAATCGATATCATCTCTTGCATATGTCGGCCGTTTGACGAAGCTGTCAGTCACGTCGCTGCCCTTGTTCGGTGACGATGAAAGGAAGTCCGCAGCTAGCCCAAATGGGTCATCATCGGCTCCAGCCCATTGATCTGCAATAGGCAATCCCACAGTTGACTGGCTATCTTCGTCAAAACTCTCGTCACCGTCATCACCAGTTGTATGGGTCCGACTGCTTGTAGTAGGTATCCCAATAGGCTTTACACCATGTCGTCGCAGAATATTACTATAGTTCGTCTTTTCGATCAAGTAGGGGTGCTCTTGAATCGGCTTACGGGGTCGGAGAGAACGTTGATATGGAGCTTCTGGATAGTCTTCGAACGAGAATCCAAATGGACCATTCCCTGAACGCTGGGCAGCTGGTGGCTTTGTGAGAGACGGTAGTTGAGAATCTTGGCCACTGAAGAGGCTAACTTCAGGACCTATGACAAAGGATGGCGATATTTCGTCTTGGGTGACATCATTTCTAGTCGGACTAGTAGCGCTAGAGGACTCTGTCGACTTGTTTTGAACCAAATCGTGCACACCTTCAATATCAGCGTCGCTCCGTGTTGAGCTCAAAGGCGACGAAGTATCTGAATAAGTATTCACATGGCCAATTTCTACCTCTATAGTGGGATGTGCATTATGCACTTCTGTACCAGAAAGAGGTACGTCCCATACATCAGCAGGTTGTGCGCCGTCCGGTCTCGAGGATGGTGCTCTTGCAGTTGACTGGGAATCAAAGGATTCGTCGTCAGAGTCTGGGATTTCTCCCAGTTCTCTCCAGTCAGACATAATTGGGTGTCATGACATATCGTAATCGGTCGTCAATCGTAAAATATTCAAGGCTGTGGTATTTTTCAGGCGGCGATTTTGTTGGCTGGTGGACAGTGAGATACGCGTTAATGGGTCTGGAAGACGCGTTTCACTGAACGCCGGCCTCTTGTGTCCTCGGCGGTTAGTGGGGCCGGCCACTCCCGTCGGAGCAACTAAATCTTCACACATCACACGTCTAAGCGTGACATCCTATGGATGGTAGTAAACCGACATTGAGTGTGGCTACTTGGAAATAAAAAACATGGGAGCATTTGATCGAGCATTGCCGTTAGCTCTCGCGGCGTTTTGTGGCGTCGTTGGTGGTATGTCACCCTTTAATTGCTCAGAAATCGGATGCTGACGGTAAACAGGCTACTATACCTTCCAACCAATGCTTGCACAACAGGCTAAGTCAGGGGATCAAAAGCCCGAGATGTAAGTCTACAATTGTTAGTAAGCAATCGACGATAAAAGGGCTAAAAAGAACTCTAGCCAAACACCGAGTACAGTAATAATAGCGAGCAGTAAGAAGGAGAAATAAGAGAAGTCGCTTGCGGTGGCCCACGTCTCAATTGTATCATTATAATATAGCAAAACCAAATATGTAACCCTTACATAAATGAAGCGCCTTCTAATCCATAGAAAAGTTTATCCCAATCAATAGCGTTAAGATCAGCTCGGCCTTCCAAAGCTTGTAGCTGCTGTTCGACATAGGCGCTGTCTGTGTCTGGTCGTAGATCTGGTACATTAGCTCCAGCTTTAGGCATTGTGCGATTCATATTGTCAGAATCTGTAGAAGCTGAGTTGAAATTCATTTGTGAAACTCGCTGCAGGCAGATATGATCTGGCGCATGTCGGCGCAGGACTTGCATCGACAGATCCAAGAGCTTCACGGCGCTCGCAGACTGGTCTCTCACGTCATTCAATATCCGCCAAGAATCAAGCAGATAATCAGCATCGCAGTCGCCATCTGCAGCTTCTCTGTTAAGACAAGCATTCAAAACGAACACGATGCTAGCCAAGAAAACACTTCTCACAATCATGATAGATCTGAGTCGCGTCGTTGCAAACGGGAGCCCTTCCACTTTGAGAGATTTCTCAGCTTGGATTATCAGCCTCGCTGAAAATAGGCATGCATCTTTTGAGTAAGCGAAAGCTGGTTCCACAGAGCCTCTTGGGAAGTATGGCAGATGTAATTTGCAAAGATTGCGATGCATCAAAAGATTAAGCGTATATCGCTGAACCAGAATTCCGCTCGGGATAGGTGTTTCGTCAGACTCTCTAACCAATTTAGGTGGTGTATTGGGTTGAAAGAAATCGGGTAGCTCGCGGATAAATGTCCGAAATTTACCATCAATTTCCATGACATAGTTGTAGTCAAGTCTGTCTGGGTGTGCGGAATGAGCGGGAAATCGGTCCATCAAACTTTGACATATTTCTGCAAGCCTCAGCCTATATATGAGGGCTGATACACGTGTAGGCTCATGCAATGGTCGCCCAACTGCCTCCTTGCCATCAACAAGGTCATCATCATCAACATTTACTGGCTTTCTTACAGACATCTGCCGTGGATGCACCGAATATGTCGACTCTATCGGAGCCGCAAAATGAGCCATCATCCTATTACAATGTCAGCCTGAACCCAGGAGTCTCAAGTTAAACACTTACCAGTCAGTCGCAACCAAGAACCACCACGTTCTTCGCCCTATTTCAGCCCTAATAGTACCCATTTTCAACCTTTCAGATAGCATGGACGGTGAATCAAGGCGGTGCAGCCCAATATCACGCGCCATCCCTATAGATTTCATGAGCAGACCACGGGCTCGAGTAGATAAACCTTCCAAGTTGCAAAACGCTAGGAATAGGATCACCATTCCTTGAATTGCTTCAATAGATGTTGCTGCAATCCGAGCAGCATAATCGATGACATCCAAGGAGGCTTTGATCCACATCATAGAGTGGGATCTTGCCTCGGCAGCACTTGTAAAGAGCTGCCTAACGTCATCCTCGAATGACCAGCTGTAAGTGGCAGTCGCTGAAAGGCATAGCAACAAGATCATGGATCCAATGTCCGGCATTATACCACCTTCTACCTTGTCGTATATTGTATTTATCATATCGTACAGAGCTGGTAGGTGGACAATATGATGGAAGTGGTCAACATCGGCTTTATATTTATCAACAAGGATTCGGGCTTCTTGACGTAGCGGGATCCAGACACATTTCACCACATCAGTCAAGCCCGAAAAGTTGGAGGTAGAAAAGCCTTGCGGAAGATAAGATGGCTGGGTGGCAATTTTATGCATAGAGCAGATTCGGAAAACAAGAGGATCGGAGACAAGATTGTCCTGCTATCGTGTTAGTGACTCCGCTAATATTTATACACAGCCTTCATAGAGCTCACTCCAACTATATTTCCGTAGCATGATCGTTCTAGAAATAGTGCATCATCTGTAATCTTTTGCAACTGTGGAGATATTGGTGAGGATTCTGACGATAACTGTGATGATACCGGGCGTTCCGGTGGGACGATGGGTCTCTCAACCTGACCAGCACCGTTCTGTAAAGCAATAATAGACTCCAGCTTTTCAAGACGAGCAAGAAGTTCTGCATTCGACACGTCTTTTACCTTCAAGCTAACTTCTGGGCTGTTATGTGAGGACGTCGTCAGCGGCCCGTCGTGCTCGCACTCTACTCCGCGGCAGAGGCAGTTGGAGCATGGGAAGACCCTGCTACAGCGTAGCTTACGCTGCCTGCACAGCTTGCAAGAGATAGGGCGCTGTCTCGGTTGCCGACCCATGGTGCCACGATTAAAGATATTTGGCCGCGGAATTAAACTATAGAGGCTGCAGGATGAAGAGTTGTGAGTCGCAGACCTCGCTTGCGGCCGCGGACTGTCCGTGGGCGATGGCTTTCAACGGCCCCACCAAGACCACTGGCACAACGGCGCACGCTTCTGGATGCGTTGCAGTACGGTTTGACTTGATGCACGACAGCGACAACTGCGACTACATTTAACTGTTAACAGCCATAATGTTAGTCCACGCTAGCTGGTGCTAGATAGGACTTGCTCCGACGTCCACTGGGACTACCTACTACATAAAGACAATGTGCTCAAACACGCGCAGCCCGTACGATCCCAACTAATGCAACATTGTAGATCCAAAATATACATATTTGTTCCAGCCACATCTAACTTGTAAGGAGACAAATATTCTTCAACTTCAACTTCTCTTTTCACCAGCTTGTTCATCTCCAGCACAGCGTGACCATTGCAGCTACAACCATTGGGCACCTCCATCTCGCTCCACATTCCCTCGGCTGCCCAGAAATGAGACTCACGTGATTAAAATGGGTAATGCCAGCGATCGTTAGTCATCCTTGAGCGAGCTCCTGTCGTGACCTGGAAATCAGCAGCAAGAAAACTCTTTGGTTATTCTGCTGATTGGCAACATTGCGACCACGAACGCGTCAATTGGAATTATATTTTCATCCGCGGTTTCGCTCCTTTACACTCGATTTTAATACCAACCGAATTTTCGAAAATGCTGTCCGCCTCCAACGTCCTCCGCAAGGGTGTCGTGAGCAAGATTGCTCCGGCCATCACCTCCCGTGCCGCTTCAACCCAGGCTCTCTCCAAGCCTACTCTCAACAACATTGAGAAGCGATGGGAGGGTATGCCCCTTCAGGAGCAGGCTGATCTCTGGATGGCCCTCCGTGACCGCATGAAGGGTAGCTGGAAGGAATTGACTGTCCAGGAACAGAAGGCCGGTACGTAAAAAGAAAATGCCTCCTAAACACTACCCATCGGCAGCCGTCCACACAGCCGCTCCAGCCATCTGCGGCGAGTTTCGAGAGTTATTTCGAGCGCAATTATATCCGACAGGTTACCTTATGGCTGCCAAATTACGGCTGTAACTGTGCTGGAATTCTCTCAATGACCTGGACCTCGGTCGGGGCGAATCGGAACCACGGTCGATTTGTCTACATCAGAACTAGAATACTAACTAAGGCTTCAATAACAGCTTACTGGATTGCTTTTGGTCCTCATGGCCCCCGCGCCGTCGATCCTCCCGGTACCAACGGCCGCATCGCCTGGGGCGTCGCTCTCGGTGTTCTTACCTCCCTCACCATCTTTGGCGCCATCCGCATGGCCGCCCGTCCTGCCCCCGCTACCATGACACAAGAATACCAGGAGGAATCCAACGAGTTGTTGAAGGTGAGTCGAATTATAAACGCGAATCCAAGTTCACACAGCTGGTTACTAATGAGAACGTACAGCGCCAAAACGCCAACCCTCTGCACGGCATCTCCTCGGAAGGCTACACCGGCAAGGGTGTCGTCCAGTCTGGCCCCGGTGGCAACTAAATGCATATCATTATTAAGCCTGGTCAATCGACTTCCTTCCTTTTGTAAAAGAAAAACTAATTGGACCGCGGGAGAGAGCGCTGTTTCTTTTGTCGAGATGGTATTAGAAGCGACAGGGGATGTCAGAACATGGTGCAGCAAAATGCGTATCAGTGTAAATACTGTAATACAATGACAGGAATAAAGCTTTGTTTTCTCCTCAATTCTCTCCTCGTGATTGTAGTATGTAACGTGTAGTGATTATGAATATCAACCTCCGCTCTGGCCAGCCACTCTATAGTCTTCAAAGGAACTCTGCGTTTCTGCTGTCGAGGCATCCTGAACTGCTTCGCTTTGGAGACAGCGCTCAACTTCGAATTTGCCCGATTTTCCCCAATACTTCGCCTTCTCAATGCCTAAGACGCAAGCCTTGGTTATAAGAACGTACGCCACGGGTGCATCGAACATAGGCTCTGCCAAAATCCGTTCCATCTCCATGCGCAATCCTCGAGCCCCTGTACCGGCTGCCGATGCTCGCTCGGCAATGGCGTGGATGGCTTGTTCGGTAAAATGCAAGCTGGATGGATATGAATCAAAAAGTGCCTTATACTGGGCAATAAGACTATTGCGAGGCTCTGTCAAAATTCGATACAAGTCATTCTTTGAGAGAGGGTTAAGGGAGCAGATATTGTGTAGTCGTCCAATAAGTTCTGGGATGAATCCAAACTTTTGCAAGTCTGCTGGCGTCACTAAATCAAGTGGTGTGAATCGTACGTCTTCATTATAGTGAGGAAGATGCATAAACTGCTCCTTAGGGAGGCTATGATCTTCAGTAGTTGACGTCCCTGTTTTTAACTCGCTTCCAAAGCCCATAGAAGGCTTTGCAACTCGTTGTAAAATAGTTTTGTCTAGTCCGACAAACGCACCAGAGAAAACGAACAGAATATTCGTTGTATCAACAATGAATTGCTCAGGCTTTCCCCCTGTGTGTGTTTGATGCGACTGTGGTGATGAGCCAGAGCCACCGTAGCTGGCATTGATTGAAGTCGTTTTCTGCGATCGGCTTTCTTTGACATTGACTACAACTTTCGTTCCTTCAACCATTTTCAGAAGTGCTTGTTGTACCCCTTCACCACTCACATCTCTTCCAGTGGCAGTTTCGCGCCTCGCAAGTTTGTCAAATTCGTCGAGGACAACAATACCGTGCTGCGCAGCGCCAACGTCGTAGTTAGCGTCGATGAGTAGACGCTCAATACAGCTCTCAACATCCTGACCAATATAGCCTGCCTGGGTCAGAGAGTTACAGTCGCAAATAGCGAACGGAACCTGAAGCTTTTTACTTAATGTCCTTGGGAAGTCAGTATTGGTTGCTCCCTATCTGACAAAAAATATAGTTACTTACTCGAGGATATAGGTTTTCCCTACCCCAGTAGGGCCAACCAAAAGCAAGTTGCTCTTGTCTACAGTAACATATTGAGAGCTCGTTGTATCGTCATCTTGAATGTAAAAGTGCTCCGGGGTCTCATACGGGCGGTCATAAATATCGTCATCGTTTGGCACACCAGAGGTCGGCCCAGAAACATGCGCCCATGAAGATGGACTTAAATCTCGACTATCCGTGTCATGGAGAGTATCGGTCTTTAAGCTGTATGCATCCCGTCTCTTCTGGTGCATTTCACGCTCTCTAGCATACTGTTGTCGCATTGCCTTCTCACGAACATTCTTCTCATTGTGCTCACGTTGATGTCGTCTTCGCATGTTCTGGTAGTGGTTGAATATCGTTGAACAAATAGTTTTCTTTGCCCTATCTTGTCCAACAACGTAGTCGTCGATTCTTTTCTTCAAGTCTCGTGGGTAGAATTGAGGTACACCGAAGCGGCTCCTGGCGAACATCGGTCCCCGCCCCGGCTCAATTGTCGGGTCATATACGCCAGTGAAGCCGTCATTCAGGTGTCCTTTCCGCGGCGTGCTGCTAAATCTTCGGTCGCAAGGTCCTTGTTTTCCGCGTCTTAAATGAACCGTGTGTGGATGTCGGGGCAAATGGCGCATCGCCAAGGACGTGTGTTGACATCGGGTAAAGCTCGCCATGGCCATCCTATGACTCAACAGCCCATCCAACCAACTAGCTTTTGATAGACAGCAGTAGTAGCCAAAAGGTTTTTGCTAATGGGTGATTCAGAATTGTATAATTCGGGAGGGGTTAGGGCTACGGATATCGGGATGTTGGGCAAAAAGCGCTGGGGCATTTAGAGATGTTGAGGTTATGGTCAGCCGTGTTGTAGAGCGAGCTCGATATGTCACTTGGGGGACTCCACCTTATAGTACACCTTATAGTACGGTGGCGGCGGATGTCATCCTCCTGGCTGGCCATCAACCTGCGACCGTGCTAGGCGGGTCTGCTAACTGTTCTGCTACTTATTATCGCAATTCGCTCATTCTCATCAATTATGTTAATTCATACGTAGACGACGCAATTCACTTATCGTTCACAAACATAGATAACTGATAAGCTGGGTTTTGATGGCCGTGGCTGCCCAGTTACCTTGCTAGCGCCGTCCAAGCTCTTATCCTATCTCCTCCCCACCTCATCCTGTACCCCAGCATCATCCCACCTAAAACACTGATTGTTGGCAAAACTTGATTGCTTCTCCATCCTACCTATCAATTGATATAAAGGTCAATCAAGTTTTTATTCCCTAACACTTTACGGTACTACTTCAAACTCCATTTCCGTCACTGGTGATCCCCTTCCTTCGCATCCTACCCCGCAATCATTAGCACACCTCTAGCATGGCTCAAGATAAGGCAGCCGGGCTTTCGGCTGAAATCCCAACAGATGGAACAGGTTTGGGTTTCATAATTCCTGAAAATATATATCAACTCACACAATTCATAGGAATCACCAAGCTTGACCCCTATCTGGAGCCCTTCAGCGAAGCTCTGAGGCGCCGCTACACTAAGGCTCAACAATGGATCAGCACGATCAACGAAAAGGAGGGCGGTATTGATAAATTCAGTTCTGTAAGCACTTATAATGTTTTCTACGCTGTCCAAACTCGGCTAATCAATCCATGTCTCGAATGCAGGGATTCGACAAATTTGGATTCAATGTAGATGACAGTGGTGTCATCAGATATCGTGAATGGGCACCCAACGCCAAAAAAGCCTTCCTCATTGGTGAATTCAGTGAGTCTAACTTCTATGCCTTACAGATAGCGTTCTTATATCATTTTAGATGATTGGAATCAACAGTCTCACCCTATGACGGCGGATGAATTCGGCTCGTTTGAGATTGAACTCGCTCCCGTCAACGGCCAGCCTGTCATCCCTCACAATTCAAAGATCAAAGTCAGTTCCAGTTATCCTTCACTGCTTCGCTATGTCAAAGTCTAATTGAGGAAGATATCCCTCGAACTGGCATCGGGAGAACGCTTGGATCGAATTCCTGCTTGGATCAAGTACGTCACACAAGATCTCGATGTGTCGCCTGCCTATGACGCACGCTTTTGGAACCCACCTGCAGCCGAGAAGTATACCTTCAAACACCCACGGCCAGCTAAGCCCGAAAGTGTCAGAGTCTACGAAGCTCACGTGGGAATATCGAGTCCCGAGCAGCGAGTTGCAACCTACAAGGAATTTACTGTCAATATGCTACCCCGTATCAAAGATCTCGGATACAACGTCATCCAGCTCATGGCAATCATGGAACATGCCTATTATGCAAGTTTTGGCTATCAGATCAACAGCTTTTTCGCAGCGAGCAGCAGATACGGCACGCCAGAGGATCTGAAGGAGCTTATTGATACTGCCCATGGGCTTGGTATTGTTGTATTGCTGGATGTAGTCCACAGCCATGCGTCTAAAAATGTTCTGGACGGTCTTAATGAGTTTGATGGCACCGATCACCAATATTTCCACGGTGGTGGCAAGGGCCGTCACGACCAGTGGGACAGTCGTTTGTTCAACTATGGTCATCATGAGGTCATGCGCTTTCTCCTTAGTAATCTCCGATTCTGGATGGACGAGTATCACTTCGACGGTTTCCGTTTTGATGGCGTTACTAGCATGCTCTATGTGCATCACGGTATCGGCGCGTAAGTATTTCTATCAACATGAAACCAGGGTGCTAATTGTAAATAGCGGCTTCTCAGGAGGATATCACGAATATTTTGGTGATGACGTTGACGAAGAAGCTGTCGTTTACCTGATGATTGCGAACGATATGCTTCATTCCCTTTATCCTGGATGTATCACCATCGCTGAGGATGTGTCGGGTATGCCTGGTTTAGGAACCGCAGTCAAGCTGGGTGGTGTTGGTTTTGACTATCGTCTTTCCATGGCCATCCCGGATATGTGGATCAAAATCCTCAAAGAAGTCAAAGATGAGGATTGGGATATTGGAAACATTTGCTTCACACTCACAAACCGACGACACTTGGAACGTAGCATCGCGTACTGCGAGAGCCATGATCAAGCGTAAGACTTCTTACAAATTACGTGTCGCTCAAAGCTAACATATTCATGTAGTCTTGTCGGAGATAAGACCTTGATGATGCACCTGTGTGATGCTGAAATGTATACGAACATGTCGGTTTTATCACCCCTCACTCCTGTCATTGAACGTGGTATTGCTTTGCACAAAATGATCAGGCTGGTCACTCATACTCTTGGTGGCGAAGGTTATCTTAACTTTGAAGGAAATGAATTCGGTCACCCCGAGTGGTTGGACTTCCCTCGTGAAGGCAACAATAACTCCTTCTGGTATGCCCGTCGCCAGTTAAACTTGACTGAGGACCACCTATTGCGCTACCGCTTTCTCAACGAGTTTGATAAGGCTATGAATCAGACAGAGGACAGATACGGCTGGCTTCACGCCCCACAGGCGTATATCTCTCTAAAGCATGAAGGGGATAAGGTGATCGTCTTCGAAAGAGGTGGTCTCCTTTTTGTCTTCAACTTCCATCATACAGAGAGCTTCAGTGATTATCGTATTGGAGTTGACACCGCCGGAACTTATCGAGTCATTCTCTCCACTGACGACACAGAATTTGGCGGCTTTAACAGAATTGACAAGAACACAAGGTTCTTCACGACACCTATGGAATGGAATGGTCGCAGCAACTGGACTCATGTATACGTTCCTAGTCGCACTGCCATGGTAAGGCTTTGGCCTCTTTGCTTTGGAATTTACCAAATGCTAACTCGGTTAGATACTCGCGTTGGAGGACTCTCACTTGCAAGCCTAACGGACTGTCGCAGAATTGGACGGTTGCGCTGTGATCTAATGGAAAACAGAACAATATGAGCTCCTGTCGAGCCTAGTTTTCATAACCTAAGCAACATCCTGGTTGCGTATATACGAATTTAAATATATCTTTACTTGGAAAGCGCAGACTCTTCCACGCAGCATGGTCGTCGTCCTCTGACGAACAAATCACAATGTTCGCTACTTCGTCCACAATGGTGCCCTTGTCAATCACCAAACAAAACTAGTACCTGCCACTTATAACAAGACGCCGGTTTATAAAGTGCTTTTAAAGTAATGTGCTAGTTTATAACACTGCATACGCTGTTTTTCTTTCGCTGACTTCCCAATTGGATTAATTTGCATTAAGATCCGAGCTTGGTGGTCCGACACCTACAAGGCTAGCGCCTTCAAAGTGTGGAAGGGTGCGGTAGGTGTGCCAACAGAAAAAGGGTGCCTCAAAATTGGTGCCTCCTCCCTCAGGCCAAACAAACACCTCCTATATCCGCCGAGACATAGTGCTTTTAAAATAATTAGCACTGTGCATAAATTAGCTCTCTAATTCAGGGTATAATGACGACTAATGAACAATATCATAAGGTACTAATTTTGTCTGTAACAGTAATAAATTTGGCTCTGGGTGTATTCACATTACTTTGAAATTTAATATATATTGTTTTACTTTTTTCGGACTATATCTCAGACCATGTTCATCTCCCGCGAGTGATTAGATGTGGATGAAATTCTTCGACGTACAGTGCGGAGATGAAATTTTGACCAATTCTTTTGGGACTAGCGCAACACGTGACTAAAAAGCTGTGTCGAAAAGCCCGCTCCTTCCAGTTTGTCGGCAAACCTGTTCGTTCTGCCAAAGATCTCTTCAGGTTCACCCTATTTCTCTCCACTCCGAACACCGATCGCTCGTTGCGTCAGTCAAGATGTTCAAGAGGTGAGTTTAAACGCATTGATCGATTTTTTTTCAATTGCTAGATGGCGCCGGGTGCCAATTGGGACGCAACGCTGACTTCACCCCGAATAGCGGCATTTCCTCCTTCGCCCGCGCGGCTCGCCCGACCTTCGCGGCTGCTGCTCCTCGTGTTATCCGCCCTGCTTCTCTCCGATTCCCTATCAACAGCAGATTCGCCAGCACTAGCAGTGTCGGTGATGGCAAGATTTACCAGGTAAGGGCGTTTGTTGATGCCTTGGCTGACTCCTTTTCGCTAACTCGCGCATTCAGGTCATCGGTGCCGTCGTCGATGGTTAGTAACCACAACAACAAAAGCATCGCCCTGCAGGGCCAATTGCATCAGAAACTAACAAATTGTAGTCAAGTTCGATGGTGCCAAGCTCCCTGCTATTCTGAACGCCCTCGAGACCCAGAACAACGGCCAGAAGCTCGTTCTCGAAGTTGCCGTAGGTGCCTTCATTTGTTACAAGATGGATCAAACTAACATCAATGATAGCAACACTTGGGTGAGAACGTCGTCCGCTGCATTGCCATGGACGGTAAGCCGAACATTCACATCCCTCCAAGTCGTCATATGATTTCTAACTTTTTTTCGCGCAGGTACTGAGGGTCTTGTCCGTGGTGCTAAGGCTTCTGACACTGGTGCCCCTATCACCATCCCTGTCGGCCCTGCCACTCTTGGTCGTATCATGAACGTCACTGGTGACCCCATCGACGAGCGTGGTCCTATCAAGACCGAGAAGTTCGCTCCTATCCACGCCGACCCCCCAGAGTTCGTCGACCAGTCCACCTCTGCTGAGATTCTCGTCACTGGTATCAAGGTCGTCGATCTTCTTGCCCCCTACGCCCGTGGTGGTAAGATTGGTCTGTTCGGTGGTGCTGGTGTCGGTAAGACTGTGTTCATTCAGGAGCTTATCAACAACATCGCCAAGGCCCACGGTGGTTACTCCGTCTTCACTGGTGTCGGCGAGCGTACCCGTGAGGGTAACGATTTGTACCACGAAATGCAGGAGACCTCCGTCATTCAGCTTGATGGCGAGTCCAAGGTCGCCCTCGTTTTCGGTCAGATGAACGAGCCCCCTGGTGCCCGTGCCCGTGTTGCCCTTACCGGTTTGACTGTTGCCGAATACTTCCGTGACGAGGAAGGCCAGGATGTGTTGCTCTTCATTGACAACATTTTCCGCTTCACCCAGGCCGGTTCCGAGGTGTCTGCCCTACTCGGTCGCATTCCCTCTGCCGTCGGTTACCAGCCCACTCTCGCTGTCGACATGGGTGGTATGCAGGAGCGTATTACCACGACCAAGAAGGGTTCCATTACTTCCGTCCAGGCCGTTTACGTCCCTGCTGATGATTTGACTGATCCCGCCCCCGCCACCACCTTCGCCCATTTGGACGCCACCACTGTCTTGTCCCGTGGTATCTCTGAGTTGGGTATCTACCCTGCTGTCGATCCCCTTGACTCTACCTCCCGTATGCTTGACCCTCGTGTCGTCGGCCAGGAGCACTACGAGACCGCCCTCAAGGTTCAGCAGATCCTCCAGGAGTACAAGGGTCTCCAGGATATCATTGCCATTCTTGGTATGGACGAACTTTCCGAAGCCGATAAGCTTACCGTCGAGCGTGCCCGTAAGATTCAGCGTTTCCTGAGCCAGCCTTTCACTGTCGCCCAGGTTTTCACTGGTATCGAGGGTAAGCTCGTCGACCTCAAGGACACCATTGCCTCTTTCAAGGCTATCCTTAACGGTGAGGGTGACTCTCTTCCTGAGGGTGCTTTCTACATGGTTGGTGACCTCGCCTCCGCCAAGGAGAAGGGTGCCAAGATTCTCGCCGATTTGGAGAAGAGCGACAACTAAGCGAGCGGCTCCTTTATTTATAATACCAAGACGTGTTAGGGGGTTGGCTTGTGTATAGATCAGAGGAATAGAAGCCGGGGAGGTTTCTTTAAAGCTCCATCAAGTCTCCTTTGTAGGCTGTGTACTAAGAAATAAACAAATTTCCTCTTGTATTTCACAAACTGTCCCTTCATCATACGTGCTTTGTTGAACTATTATTTACTGTCTATATACTGCCACACCGGCTAGGTGGCGAAACCCATTTCTAAATTCCTTCGATTACTGCACGACACATGTCCAGTGCTGGGTTAACACTGTTAATAATATGTAAAATATCGCTTCGGCCATGGACTCCGATTGTTGATGCTGGTATTACCATCACCTTGTCAAAGGGGCCCGGTACCAGCCGTCTCACAACATCGGCCACGGTTCGATCACCAACTCCATCCATCCACCATACATTGGGGCTCAGTTTTAGAAACATGCCATAAAATGCGATGATAATAAGCGCCCGTGGTCGTTTACTTTGGACCAACTCAGTGAACCTATCGGGGACAAATGTAAACCATGTCATGATCCGAAGCATCATCAGAGAGCTGTATCCTGTGCTAATGTGATGATATAATGTTCCCATACATGCCAGCGTCTCTCTATATGTCGCTTGATCTTGGTAATCCGGGTCGCCTGGTTGTATTCCCGCAAAAACTGCCGCAAGGTCACTTGGTATGTATCCAACTCCAGTATCCAGATCCAACTGGGGACGTTCGAATAGCATTCCAATACCATTATTCATGACAGTGGCTCGCGTTACTAGTGTCATGATATGTTTCACGCCCTTCATAAGCTGAAGCCATTGGATAATATGTAAATCATCTGAGGTATGGTCTCGAAATTGACTTGAAGAAACTGGCACCATGAGCAGCGAGCCGAGAGCTAAGGCGGCATATGTGTGTTTTTGCTTATTGTGTACAGCTTCTCGAAAGCTCGATGTAGCTTTTGCTCGGTACAGATATGCTGTTGTGCTATCGACTCGGCCGAGGACTTCCATGTGGTTTATTGATAGTGCAAATATCATATCCATTAGAAATGGGGCATCAAATGCTTGTTGAACCACGGGACCTCGTAGAATGCCCTCTCTATCGGCGTCCGAGCCATAAAATATGTTAAAAGATGTACTTGTGTCGTTGAAATAGAATGAGAGGATCTTCATGCCAGTCATATCTAGATCGTTGGGTCGGTAGAGCGGTTCGCGGACGAGTGGTATCGGTGCTTGGTAGCGGGATGAGAAGCCTGCCGTAGGGTCCATGTACGGAAGCACCGCAGTGCCATGTTGTATTAATTGATTTTCTGTAGTTGACCGTACGGTTTTCGAGGGTGGTTGAGTGTAAACGCATTCCGTATGTCGAAGTTGGCACGATTGACAAGCTGGACGTGCTTCGTCACATTTCACCTTTCGTCTCTTGCAATTGACGCATCCAGATCGGGTCTTTCTGTGAGGACGCTTCGTGTGAAATGGTTTGGCCGCATCGGGCAGGTCCTTGGGAGACATTGGCGGCTGAAAGTCAGCTTCGGTGGCGTAGATGAGGATGGACAATTATTGGGCGTTGTTGGCAGGGCTGTTGGGTCGTGTGGTACTCCGGTTACATCAACCTGACTCTCTTACGTTTAGGGGTCGGAGTTGCCGCCAGAAGAGTAGTCGAGTATGTAAGGGTATCCCGGATCTACTCCCACGTTTTCGAGAGTCCAAGTGCAGCGCATTTACTTGTGGGTTGCTAGTAGGAGACGTTCGTTAAACTGGACCACCGATCACGATACAGAGTAAGGCTGAGGGTGGGTGAACGGCCCCCAGATGGGGTTTTTGCCACCCGCCCGCCATCAGAGCTACCCTGTATATAACTTTCCAACTCAGCCCCGAGCTTAATTCGATCAAGTTACAGTGTCTTGGGCATGAAACTTTTGTTTTAGCATCCTAGCTGCATGAAGTAAATAGCTGCAAGATGTCAACCGGGTTGTTCTTTACTGGGCTGCAGGTTCGCTTAAGCTAGACTTTTTAAGCTTGCTTAACACTCTTCGGTAGCAACGCCCATGGAAATATCAATACAGACCACTAGCATCAGTCCAAACTTAGATCCAAAATATAAATGCAGAGAGGAGTAAGGGCAAACAAATTAATAAATATTTCTCCGAGTACAAATTATACAGTTAACACGAGATGGCTGCCTTAAAGGATAGCCGACTTTTTAAGGGGACACCATTATCACGTAATCGGACCATATCGATAAGCAGGAGCCATGATTTCATGTTGCAGTCACCGTACTTACAACTGCTAATATACACCACAACAGCCAGACAACTTACATATCGCACGAATGACGCGACCAATTCGCCGAGTGATACCGACGGCATTGCTCGTCGAAAGTGCCGGTCTGCCCAGCCCGCTTCCGAGATCTGCGCGACAGTACAGTGCCGCCGCAACGGCTGGAGGCAGGCCATCTGAACCAAAAGCCGAGTCGGAAGGCCAAGCCGAGATACAATCGAGCATTGACATACCATCTAGCCGTCACAGGGCATCACAGTCAATATCAGGAAGAAGTCGCATACTCAGAAAGACACAGCCGTCGGCTCTCCCGCCTGTTGTTCTACCTGCGACTTTCGTGGATGATAATGTCACTGTGCATGCCAGCAATTCGCAGCCCCGACTTGCGCTTGCACTGATTGAGGATGCGAAACGAGAGAGAACATCGAAATTTCCGCCGGCGAATGCTACACAGAATGCAAGCACGGCCTCATTTACAGCGTCATACTTTGACTCGGCGTTGAATTTATTGCTTCTGAAAGACAAGACCTTTGCAGCGGACCTAGATGCATTCTACGAAGATCCCACCAAGGCCCTCCATGACTGGGAATCCAATGAAACAATAAAGAAAGTCACACGTGTCTGGGATATGATAATTGACTCGACCGAGCATTCTATTGCCGCACTGGATACATCGCGACAATCAAAGTACACCTACAGGGGAAGACCTTTTTGGTGGTGGCATCTCCACAAAGATCTTGACACAAAGTCTGGGACAGTCGAAGGACGAGCTAGATTCCCTATTTCACGTCTAAGAAAGCATATTGATCTCAACTACCAACTCGACCACTCCCTCTCTCATGCAATAGGCGACTTACCAACAGAGACTTTTGCGCTGTTTTGCGATGCCCTTGGTGCGGAATTGAAAACCCCAGCTACTGAGGTCTCCCTATCAAACAGCAGCAAACGACCGATCAATATTTTATCCATGTCAGGTTACAGCGGGAAGGGTATATCTGAAACCATAGCATCACACATTGCGTTTGTGGAAGGCGCAGACTTGATTCGCCTGGATGCTCAGGACCTAGCTACAGTTGTAGGAAATTATCTCGGGCAGAATATTGCATTCTCTAGAGGTGGCCTCTCAACGCTGGGATATCGCACCGCACTCGCGAATGGCAAGTTGATGCAGAATGCGTCTTTATCATCGAGACATGAAGTTGATGAAGATGACACGGACAACACGGTTATAACGGCCCGTATTGCAGGGCTCAAGTCTCTTGAAGAAGATCTACAGAAAATTAAAGAAGGAGGGTTCGATTGTTTTACCAAATGGGAACATCTAAAGATCGACAAAGCTCTACAGAGCATCATTCAATCTATCTTGCCGACGTCTGAAACAAATGATGAACCACCAGTCTTAGTTCATATTCACGACATTGTGGAGCTAAGCATGACACTTGAAGGGTCTATTTTGCTGAATAGCCTGCGTAAAGTAGTTGATAATGCCTGGAGGAATGGCCGACGTATTGCTATCATTGGCACATCATCTACAGAACAACCCTCGGACGAGTATCAGGATGCGGTCCTGGAACTATCTCAGTCCGACTTTGTAGTATCGCGTCATATGGATATCAACGCTACCGTTCACACAGATAGTGTTTTGGATGGAGATATCCAACCGAGCTTGCAAAGAACTGATATTTTTTTTGAAAATGCGCAGAATATCAGAAGGATGATTCATGCATTAAAGCCAGAAGCTAAAGCTCCTTCCCTTGAAGAATTTTCGACTTTTCTTCCATTCAGCATATCGATGCTATGCAACTCTATCTTGCCTGTTCCGGAGGTATACCAGCTCGCTCGTTCTATCTGTCACAATGGACCGGATTCCGAACTTGCACTCAGAAACACCCTTATGGAGCGTGTAAAAATGGGGCCAATGAGCCAAACACCTGGTAAAAAGCTGCTGGATGAAGACAGCGCTGATTCAAAGTCGGCGTCAGAAAAAGCTCCCGGAGCAGACGATGCAAAGACTGAGACCCGTGCGCCAGTAAAGCTCAACGAATACGAGAAGCGTATTGCAGTTGGCCAAATCAACAAAGAGAACCTTAGGGTTACCTTTGCGGATGTTCACACGACACCAGAAACAATCTCATCGCTCAAGCTCCTCACATCTCTTGCGTTGGTTCGCCCAGATGCATTCTCTTACGGTGTTCTCGCTGCGGACAAAATCCCCGGTTGTCTCTTGTACGGCCCCCCCGGCACTGGTAAGACAATGTTGGCAAAGGCTGTGGCCAAGGAGAGCGGAGCAAATATGCTTGAGATTAGTGGCGCTACTATCAACGACAAATATGTTGGCGAGAGCGAGAAGCTGATCCGTGCTGTTTTCACAATGGCTAAACGACTCTCTCCGTGCGTTGTGTTCATTGATGAAGCCGACTCTTTACTTGCCAACCGAAGTATTCAAAATCAAAGAGCATCTCATAGGGAGCATATCAACCAATTTCTAAAAGAGTGGGATGGCATGGAAGAAACAAACGCGTTTATCATGGTGGCCACGAACCGGCCTTTTGATCTTGATGATGCCGTTTTGCGACGTCTCCCTAGACGGCTTCTTATTGACCTACCGCTCCAGGAAGACCGTGTTGCTATCTTCAATCTGCTTCTTAAAGATGAGACCCTGGAAGATGGCATAGACATCCAAGACTATGCTAAACGAACACCTAATTATTCTGGATCGGATCTAAAGAACTTGTGCGTTGCTGCTGCTATGGCAGCAGTGGAGGAAGAGAACATCGAGGCTGAACGCCATACTGGCCCTGAACCGTTTCAGTATCCGACTCGACGAGTTTTGAAGCACCATCACTTTGAAGAAGCACTCAAGAACATTCCTGCTAGTATTAACGAAGACATGGCGTCTCTCAAGGCTATTCGCAATTTTGATGAACAGTATGGAGGCAAGAGAGGGAAGAACAGAAGATCAGCAATGGGTTTTGGGGTTGTAGACGAAAGTAAGCCAGAGACAAAAGAGGCCCGTGTACGTCAAGATTAGCATCATTGTATATTTTAAAAAGGTAATAATATTGTATTTATACATTTGTGTCATCATCAGCGGCTGCATTTTACACATATCTAAAGAGATATGCTGCGTCGAGGGCCCAAATGCTTTGAGCTGCGTTTAATCTATACCAAAGACTATGCTTCTGTCGATAATTGTAGCCCTTCTGCAGCAAGAGCTTTTGTATAATCCGCTTGTGCTTTGCCAAGAGCGTCCAACGTCGGCTGCATGAGCTTCATGACCGCCGGGCGACCGCCACCGACCATATCGGACTTCCAGCGAATCTTCTTACCGGTCCGCTCAAAGTGCTCACGGATCTCTTGCTTTCGCTGACGAATGATCTCTTCACGCTCTTTATCTGCTTGATCTCCTGTTGCGTTGATGCGGTTGACGGAACGTTGCAGCGACTCAGCGAGTTGTTGTAGCTCAGCCGCACGCTCGGCATCTCCGGAGAGAAAGGTGGCCCAGAACTGGTGCAGGAACTCAATGGTTGTCGCATGTGTTATTGTGCATTCATCTGCAAGATGAGCACTTAGGCCCATTGGTTTGGCAGCGTCGGAGGAGTGACCATATTTCTGGGCTCGTTGTTGGGCGATGCCGTTGATGATGTCCTTTTCGGCTTCCGTGATTTCAAGGCGAGTGCCGCTCCGAGACGCGTTGTCGTCTTCTTCTTCTTCATCGTCATCGTCATAGTCAATAGCTGCTTGAAGGTCTACACCCGCTGTTTCATTTTCTTGAAACATGCCGAGCGAAAGCTGCATTTTTGCGACAACAGTTCGCGGGTCTTGTTTGGCAAAGACCTTGGCGTTGGACGACGGCTCAGGGTCCTGTTTTCCAAAGAACTTGTTTTGTTCCTTGACGTGGAGCATGATGCGTGTTTCTTTGGAGTCTTTCAAAAGATCTCTCAGGGCGAGCTCGTCTTGAGCTTTTGAATGTCCATCGCCAGCCTCGGCATCGGATGGCGCTACATTGGCCATGATCTTCTCACTCAAGCTATTGAGGGTTTGAACCAAAGGGATATTAGCCCGGGGGCGCATTTCAATGTCTTTAGCGTTGCCGCTCTTGAAGCCTCCTTGATTTTCCTCGTTGGCTTCAATGTCGATGACATGGGGGACATTGCTTTGTGTGATCTTGCTAGCAATATTTCGCAGATTATCGCTGGCATTGTAGTTATCGAAGATGGAATCGGGAGCGTCATTTTCTGTAACACGTTCGCCTCGAAGCTTCTTCGATAAACGACTCAGGAAAAAGCGTGACCAGAAGTCGGCGGCTGATAGTTTCGGCACATTTTCGTCGTATATTCGTTTGACTAGAGGATGCTGAGCAAATATCATCTGCACTTGCTCAACACTGATATTGAGCTTGAGCTCTCCGTCAACTGTTCGTGGCTTAACTGTTGAGAGAACATTGTACGCGCCCTTCTTTTGTGAACTCTCAATAGCATGAGCTCGCAAAAGGTTTATCCTCGTCGACCAGAACTGAGAATTGAACGCACCAACCGACAGAGACTCTGGCTTTGTCTCCAGTGCTGATCGATATGTTCTATTCAGATTCTTGTCCTTTTCGATAAGTGATTGTTGAAGGGCGATGTCAGCTTTAAGCTGTTGATCATCAAACCACCTAGTCGCCTGCTGTGAATTAGCAGCACTGGCAAAGGCCATTGTAGCAGAGCCACTTGAGCCACCAGCGTTGGACGTAGGGCCAGAGTCTGCTTTTGTAGGGGCAGCCTTTGAGGCAGCAGCATCGTTGACCTTGGCTGCTAGAAGTCTCGAAAGAACGTCCTTTATGGCAGACGCCTCTGTCTTCGCCTCTGATGTATTGAAGTGGAATAAGTACGCTACAGGGTCTCCGCCATTCTGGCCCTCCTCAAAGATCTTAAGCATGACTTTTGCCGATGTCTCAGGTGTCTGTTGAAGGTCTATATCTATTGTTAACGGAGGCTTCTCACAATGTCTGGTTCAAAGTTGAGGACTCACTGGTGATACTGCTGACCTGCAGCGAGACGACCGCTGGCTCGCCTGTATTCGGCGTCCATGAGACAGTCTTATGATCATCTGAAATTGCTAATATACCGTCTTTCTTTTTATACGCTGTTCTTCCCACCGGCGTTGTCATGGTTGCGGCCGTGCACTGGCTCGACGCCCAGTTGCCTCTAAGCGTGCAACAAGCGTGTGGGCGTGTGCACTGTCGCTATACGAAATGTACGGCGCGCGCTGCGGTCGATGTAGTCAGTTGAGCCTCCTCGGATGGCCCGGCATGCAGGATATATTTTAGCGTAGGGTCCTTGCAAGACAATCCCACGAATAGAATCCGCACAACACGACAATGGTCAACGGATTTGGCGGGTCGTTGCGAACAGGTTTCCCCAAAACTGCTGGGTGTTGCAGCGGACTCTTCCGGGCAGTGCACCCGTCATTACACGGTGGCGGCGAGTCTAGGCCCGAAAAAAAACAGTGATCCAACGCGGCTGGCACTGTAGAGAGAGCAGGTGACTCGCAGAAACGCACAGTGCCAACAGACTGGCTATGTCCCCCCTAAAAGTAGTGGAGCTAGCCAGCTGTTGAGCACTGTGAGTGGCTGCCGGGCGACCACAAAATGGGGCCACGAAAGCTCAATGTGAGGGTGTCGTGAGGAACACTTTTCTTCTGGTCTGGCCTAAATTGTCTCCTTCTCCTATTCTGTAACAACAACCAAGTCGCGAGTTGCTTTCCTCGAGCAATTCGCTTTCCTTTACTTAATTCTTTTTCTCTTTACCGATTTTCCGACCATTCCCTTGATAATTGTTTCGATTCCTTGTCGGAATAGGGGATGACACGCTACCTCTAATTACTTTCGCCTTGTCCTAGTTTGTCATTGCGAAGCTTCCTAATTACTACCCCTTTCTGGTCTTGACGACTGAGTCTCCCATCTAATTCGAGCCTCCGCCATGTTGAGAAATTCTTTCTGCCGCGCCGGCTCGCAGCTGCTGCGTGGCGCCCAGTCCCAGCTGTCTGCCTCTGCTTCTGTCGCTTCGCGATCATCGAGAAATGTCGCATCCGCCCGCCGTTCGCTGGCTCTCCTCCGATCCTATGCCACCGATGCTACCCACTCTGCCCCCGACTCGAGCGATAACTTCTTGACCGGCAGCGGTGCCAACTACATTGATGAGATGTACATGCAGTGGAAGCAGGACCCCAAGAGCGTCCATGTTTCGTGGCAGGTCTACTTCAAGAACATGGAGAGCGGTGATATGCCCATCTCCCAGGCCTTCCAGCCTCCCCCCAACCTGGTCCCCAACATGACAGGTGGTGTCCCCCGTCTTGGCGGCGGTGCCATGGAGAGCGGCTCTGACATCAGCAACCACTTGAAGGTCCAGCTGCTCGTCCGCGCCTACCAGGCCCGTGGTCACCACAAGGCCAACATCGATCCTCTTGGTATCAGGAACACTGCCGAAGGTTTTGGTAACATCAAGCCTAAGGAGTTGAACCTTGAACACTACGGCTTCACCGAGAAGGACTTGGACACTGAGTACTCTCTCGGCCCTGGTATCCTGCCCCGTTTCCAGCGTGACGGTCGCGACAAGATGACCCTTCGTGAGATTGTCGCTGCTTGCGAGAAGATCTACTGTGGATCCTTTGCCGTCGAATTCATTCACATTCCCGACCGTGAGAAGTGCGATTGGCTCCGCGAGCGCCTGGAGGTCCCCCAGCCCTTCAAGTACTCCATTGATGAGAAGCGCCGCATTTTGGACAGACTTATCTGGAGTTCCAGCTTCGAGTCCTTCTTGGCCACCAAGTACCCCAACGACAAGCGTTTCGGTCTCGAGGGTTGTGAGACCCTCGTTCCCGGTATGAAGGCTCTCATTGACCGCAGCGTCGACTACGGTGTCAAGGATATCGTCATTGGTATGCCTCACCGTGGTAGACTCAACGTCCTCTCCAACGTCGTCCGCAAGCCCAACGAGTCTATCTTCAGCGAGTTCGCCGGTGGCGGTGGTGGTGAAGAGGGCTCTGGTGATGTGAAGTACCACTTGGGTATGAATTTTGAGCGTCCTACCCCCTCTGGCAAGCGTGTTCAGCTTTCTCTTGTTGCCAACCCCTCTCACTTGGAGGCTGAGGACCCCGTCGTCCTTGGCAAGACTCGTGCTATTCAGCACTACAACAATGATGAGAAGGACCACCGAACTGCCATGAGCGTGCTGCTTCACGGCGATGCCGCTTTCGCTGCTCAGGGTGTTGTCTACGAGTGCCTTGGCTTCCACTCTCTGCCTGCCTTCTCTACTGGCGGTACCATCCACCTGGTTGTTAACAACCAGATTGGTTTCACCACTGATCCTCGTTTTGCTCGCTCTACTGCCTACTGTACCGACATTGCTAAGGCCATTGATGCTCCTGTCTTCCACGTCAATGCCGACGATGTCGAGGCCGTTAACTTCGTCTGCCAGCTTGCCTCCGACTGGCGCGCTGAGTTCCAGCACGACGTTGTCATTGACTTGGTCTGCTACCGCAAGCACGGTCACAATGAGACTGACCAGCCTTCGTTCACCCAACCTCTCATGTACAAGCAGATCCAGTCTCAGACTCCCCAGATTGACGTCTACGTCAACAAGCTTCTTCAGGAAGGCAGCTTCACGAAGGAGGATATTGAAGAACACAAGCAATGGGTTTGGGGTATGTTGGAAGAGAGCTTCTCCAAGTCGAAAGATTACCAGTCCACTTCCAAGGAATGGACCACCTCTGCCTGGAACGGCTTCAAGTCTCCCAAGGAGCTTGCCACTGAGATCCTTCCCCACAATGACACTGCCGTCGACCAGAAGACCCTTGACCACATTGGTGAGGTTATTGGCAGCTCCCCCGAAGGCTTCAACATCCACAAGAACTTGAAGCGTATTCTCGCCAACCGTACCAAGTCTGTCACTGAGGGCAAGAACATTGACTTCCCTACCGCCGAGGCTCTTGCTTTCGGTTCCCTGGTTACCGAGGGTCATCACGTTCGCGTTTCTGGCCAGGATGTTGAGCGTGGTACCTTTTCCCAGCGCCACGCTGTCTTCCACGACCAGGAGAACGAGAAGACCTACACCCCTCTCCAGCACATCAGCAAGGACCAGGGCAAGTTTGTCATCTCCAACTCCTCCCTGAGTGAGTTCGGTGCTCTCGGCTTCGAGTACGGTTACTCTCTGTCCTCCCCCAACGCTCTTGTTATGTGGGAGGCCCAGTTTGGTGACTTTGCCAACAACGCCCAGTGCATCATTGACCAGTTCATCGCCTCCGGTGAAGTCAAGTGGATGCAGCGTACCGGCCTTGTTATGTCTCTGCCCCACGGTTACGACGGTCAGGGTCCTGAGCATTCTTCTGGACGTATTGAGCGTTACCTCCAGCTCTCCAACGAGGACCCCCGTGTCTTCCCCAGCGAGGAGAAACTTGCTCGCCAGCACCAGGACTGCAACATGCAGATTGCCTACATGACTACCCCTGCCAACTTGTTCCACGTGCTACGCCGCCAGATGCACCGTCAGTTCCGCAAGCCCCTTGTCATCTTCTTCTCGAAGTCCCTGCTCCGTCACCCTCTTGCCCGCTCCAACATTGAGGAGTTCAACGGCCCCAACGCTGGCTTCCAGTGGATTATCCCTGACCCTGAGCACCAGACTGGTACCATCAAGGCTCCTGAGGAGATTGAGCGTGTCATTCTCTGCACTGGTCAGGTCTGGGCTTCGCTGCACAAGTACCGTGCTGACAACAAGATTGACAACGTTGCTTTCACCCGTATTGAGCAGCTGAACCCCTTCCCCTGGCAACAGCTTAAGGAGAACCTCGACATGTACCCCAACGCCAAGACTATTGTCTGGTGCCAGGAGGAGCCTCTCAACGCTGGTGCCTGGAGCTTCACTCAGCCTCGCATTGAGACTCTGCTCAACGAGACTAAGCACCACGACCGTAAGCACGTCATGTACGCCGGCCGCAACCCTAGCGCCTCCGTCGCCACTGGTATGAAGAAGGTTCACACCAAGGAAGAGCAAGACTTCCTTGAGATGGCCTTCAGCGTCACCCAGGACAAGCTCAAGGGCGAGTAAGAAAATGAATGAGAAACTTGCGTCGGCTTTTGACGTAGAGTTTTGGGGGAATGGCTATAAAAGAGCAAAGCATGTGTGGTTTGTCGCATTTCCTTTGTTTTTTCGAAGCTAAATGCATTTCCAAAATGCTTTCCCGTTTTGGCTACTTATTCTAGATGTCACGATTATCCTTTGTGTAATACATTTGTACCATAATATCTCCTAAAAGGGATCCGTCCCCGTGAGTGCCTGGCACGCGCGCATTTCACGCCACAGATGGCGACTGCAGGAGATTTACTGCCGTATTTCGTTTTGTTAATGGCAAATTAGTTTCATCACTTTTCATTTTCTAATGTGATTGCTTTTGTAACGTTCTTTAATTTCTTTTTTTCTATCAGCTGTAGGATTTTACTCTGTAGTGACAGTCCATGGTCGGACTAATCCATCGTCGCCAGTTGTAAGAAGAATCTCGTCCTCTCCCTTCGCAGTTGCTCCATTGTCATATCGTTTGCTCCAGATAATGTGGTTGACTTCATAGGGACCGTGGGCGTTGGGGACATCTGCAATAACCTCCCATACTGGTGTCTCGTTGGGTTCATTGGCCGCAGAAGTAGCCTCGGCGTACATGATGATGTGGCCATCGCTACCAGTGCTAGCAACGTAGCCCGTAGTAGCGCTCCATGCAGCTGCGTAAACGTCTCGCTCGTGAGCCTTCGGAAGAACACTCTCGCACTTCCATTCCTCTCTAAGTGAACGCCGCATAGTGTTTGGGATACCCCCAAGAGTACTTCTTGAAGATGTGCCGTCTTCTCCCTCGTTTTGATCGTCATCCTGTAGCTTCCAAATTCGAATGGTCGCATCTGCTGAGTAACTCAGGAGTCTTGGAAATTGGCCGTCTTTGGGATTAGCTTCCCACTGAATGCCCCAGACCGTTTCGGTATGACCTTCTAAGACAGCCACGCAAACCCATTCTCCATCACCGTCTTCTCTCCATATCCTGACTGTGTTATCGTAACTTGCGCTGGCTAGAACCTCCGGGCTGTAAGTTCTCCTCGTGTTTCGTCCGGGAACATCGGGGCACCAGGCGACAGCCTTCACGTCGCCTTCGTGTTCGTTAAGGACGGCAACTGTTTCCCACTCATCGTCCTCTTCCGAGGCACCAATGTCTTCCCAAATCCAGACTGATTTGTCGCGTGAACAAGTAGCAAGAAATGTACCTGACGGCGAGAAAGCGCATGATTTGATTTCAGAATCGTGGCCTTCTAGTACTAGCGTAAACTCCCAGTCCTTATCGTTTTGTGGCTCGTTGTTGTCGACGATGCCGTCGGCTCTAACTTCGACTTCTACAGCATCTGAATGCTGCATCTCTGACTCTGCGACTTGCTCGCCATCCCATCTCCAAAGGCCGGCCGTAGAATCGAAGCTGCCCGTAACGAGACACAATTTGTGTGGGGATAGCCCAGGTTTCCACGCTGAGCAGCGAACCGACCTCGCGTGTCCGCCAGTGAGAGAGCTGTGGGATGATAACGTGACAAGGGAGAAGACAGTAACACTCTTAGCATGAGCTGTAGCGACGAGTGGAAGCGTCGGATGCGGTATTGTCTGCCAAGCTCGCTCGCGAAGGTCCGGTTTCAAAGGCTCCAAGGGCCGCACGACCACTGTAGAGCTCGACGGCATGGCTGGCAGAAGCGATTCCGTCTGGGATTGTGATGCAGTCGTGGGTAATGTTCGTTCGCTTTTCGAATTTCTTATGTTATCTTTATTTTAAGCACTCTCGCGTTTATCGCAGAGATCAATGGCGGGGGAAAGGTGGCAAAAAGCCGATGTCGGGCGGGGTGAAGTTGAAGAACGGCTGATCCATTTTTGACGTTGTCAGGGCCAGCTTAAGTTAAAGCTGGGGCTGAAGCCACACACAGCGAACAACTTACGAGCAGAACAAGAAAGTAATTCAAATTCAAATTATTATTTCTAAAATCATTAAATAATAGAGTGAAATAAATCATTTACTTATGAGAATCCATGACCTCCTTCAGATGATGCAATCCGTTTAAAAAGTCAACTCCTATCTTTGGCTTATCAGCCCGGGCCTTTTCCAAACCAGATTTCGAATACCCTCCTGGCATTAGAGACCAACAGACCAATATGAACACTAGGAGGGCTAAAACAAATGGTTGAAGTACAGCAACGCCGCGAGACTGTGCAATGGCGCCAACCATGAACGGAATAAACGCAGCCCCGCCTCCTCCAAAAGCCGCAGCGAACCCAATCGCACTGACATGATATGATGGTGGGAATAGTTTCGTGGCTGTAACAATGGCAGCTGGGAATAAAGGGCCCAGGAAGAAGCCCAAAAGGATAATGAATATCAGAGATGAGACAAAGTTGGGTATCGCCCAATACAACGCTTGAAAGACGATAGACAAGCAGAGATACGCCGAGATTGCAAGCTTTTCACCAATTTTACCCGTCACAAATCCCAATATGACGCGACCGACGGTAAGGCCTAGCCAAAATAGCGTCACCGCCAGACCAGACAAGAACGGCTCAGCATGGCGTACCTCAAGCATAAAAGTTGGAATCCAACCACCCAACGTGACCTCTACGCCAACATAGCCCAGTAGGAAGACGGATATGAGCCATGTTAGCGGCTGTTGAAGAACTTTCCGGGTTGTAACGCGTTTTTCATCGGCATGGGATCGTACCTTTGCGCGATACGCTTTGCCCCCAGCCGTCCAAAATGCAGATAGGCCGGCAGTGAATTCCACTATAACAACGCCAATCAAGACATAGTAGAAGGTATACCAAGGATAACCAGCCTTTGTGACCATAGCTGACGCCACTAAAGGACTAATTGTAGCTCCTAGGCCATACGATCCGTGCAGAAGACCAAGCAGCTCGTTTGCATTCTGCATGTTCCCAACCCAGGCATTGTACCCACTGTCTTCTATGCCATTACCGAAGCCTGCAAATAAAAGTGCTATTGGCAAGACTGGAAACGGCGGGTGAAGACATATAGGAATGTAGCCGATGAGCCGGAAGACAGGTCCGATGATTGCCACGCCACGCTGGCCAAATTTCTCGTGCACCAGGTTATTGACAAGACCAGCTATGATATAGGCAATGAATGGAACCACAAAAACAGTGGAAATTTGGGTGTAGTTGACGTTATAATATGTGCCAATCTAGGAATTGTTAGTTAGGGATTCCGCATCTTCTTTCCGAGACATACGTATGGTAATAAGGCCTGGCGGGTGGGATGTTAGCATACTTAATCAAAATGAAGGGGTGGTACAAATACTTACTCCTAGACAGGCATCATTCATGCCCATAATTAATAGAGATAGGTTGCAGACGCAGTAACGAGATATGTTGATTTTGGGGCTGTTCCATTTCTCTTGAGAAAATGAGGGAGACAGTCCGTCGACTTCGTTGTCCATGGTTTCAAATGGATCCAAGTCTGTGAGTACCCCGTCCTTTTTGGTGGTAGGTGTATTTCTTTCAGTAGCATAGCTGCCTACGACATTGACTTGCGGGCAAGCTGGGCTTGTCGGCGCTTGAACTTCGGTGCTGCCCATGCTGAAGGCTGTCTTGACACTAATCCAGACACGTTAAACACTAGGAAAGATAATACGAGAAAGGCAAAAAAGGCGGCCTGCCTCTCCCAGGTGTATTTGTTAAGATTCCAAGAAGAGGGGAAGTGAGCGTCGTCGGAGATTGACTAATGTTCTACTGGAAGCTGAGCAGGCTAGCACAACCCTTACAAGGCGCCACCCAGCGCCCTTTGCAATTCTCGGCCCGACAACGGATCAAGCCATGAACGTGTCCTGATAGCAGATGAGCTTCATATTATGTAAGAGTATAAGTCTGATGCGTTCTAAGAGTAGCCTTTATCTCGGAAAAAAATTAATAATAATTTTAAGTGCGCGAAGACACGATGTAATAGGAGTAAGCTGGTCTGAGCAGCTCTGCCAGTCCCCCACGTAAGAAAAGCCACAATTCGGGAATAGCGGTTATTGAATGTGTCTCGAATTTAAGCTCTGACTTTAATTTTACAATGCTACCTACAATGAACACAATCTATAACATCGTTTGACGTTATTAAAATAATAACAAAAGGCATAACTTAGCGACGTTTGGTATGCTCTCGCTCCACAATGGCCTGAAAGAAGTTTATGATCTCCGCCATGGCTGTCTTGGCCGCTTCAGATATTTGAATAGTCTCAAACAAAGCTTGGGCATCTGTAAGGTGTCGCTCAACAGTGGAATCGGGTTGACAAAAGGTCCGGATGCGCATCTCTCTTGCATTTGATTTCATCTGCCCCAGGACTCTGGCAATCTCGGAAGGCTGGCCCTGGCGTATGCCTGTAAAAGAAAACTCATTGAGGTGGAGCAGAATAAGATCGATTTGGGTTTCTAGATCGAAGCGAAACCCGACGACCCGTGCTCGTCCTTGTTGGCTCCATCGGTCCGCAATTTTTTTGAAATTGTCCGGAATCAAATGACCCTTCTCCAGCTCCAGAGCGATAAAGTCGTTCAAAGACCCTGTCAAGTGATACTCTAGCTCACAATAAAGTAAGCTCTGTTCTCGGGTGTCGAGAGAAATAGGCGTGTGCGAGACGTTTGCAAACCTGGACACTGACTGAGCTCTCTTATGGGGATTTAAGTCCGTCTATACCGGGTTAGCATTGAAGTAATGGTGTGGTCTAGAATACGTACTATGTCTCTTGCAACTTTTCGAATACTGTCGAATATCCCATTCCGATGCTTGGCTGGTGACGCCTTCCTATCAGAAGCCAGACTTTCATCTGGTCGCTCTAGCCAGCCATTTTTACCAATCAATATCTTCTGGCCTAATTTTACGTGCCGGAGATCTTGGGTACGGAAGTATAGAGAAAGTGGCGAGAAAAGCGGACTTTGGACACTGCCGGTAGGAAGGTTGGTAAATCGTCCCACTTGAGATCTATTATCTGCAGGCGAGGGCTTGACCTCGAGGGTTACCTCGCGCTGCGAGGCCGTTCGTTGTAAATTATGGGTGGTTGGACTACTGGGACTGAAACCCGTTGCTGCAATTTGGGCCCAATGGCCGTGGGTATTGTACAAAGAATCGTTCCGTTTTGGAACCCCCACTGAGGTGCGGCGTACCGGAAGCTCTAGCGGTGAAACTTCTAGCTTACTGTCATGAGCCATAGACTTTTCTTCAGTCAAACGCTGTTGGTCTTCTTTGACGACTCGAGACGTCAGTGGAGATTGTAGAGTGTCCATTCGCTCCAATGGGGGGCGACGAAGTGTCGAAGATCCCATTGAAGGGCTTAAGATCTGAAGAGGTGTAGGTGATGTTTTCTGTCGTCGGTGTGCAATATTTGCAGGTCTACCATGTGATGTAGGTCGGGTTGAAACATCCAATGGGCTAGTAGAAGTGTAGGAAGCAATGGTGCCAGAAGCTGGAGCTGATGAGACTGAATCCCGCGTCATGCCAGTCGAACCTTTGGGCTGATCTTGTTCAACCGCGAAAGCTTGAATTTTGGCTGTGAAACTATTATAGATTAGTCCTAGCCAAGGTAAACCAAACACATGTAAACCTTACGAATCGGTGATCTTGTCCATTTGTGATTCTGTCAGATTCATTCGAATCTGAAGTGGTTGCTTGGAGGGGGTTTTCTTTGGAGAAAGTGACGATGGTCTAAAGGACTTCATTCTTCTAACGGTAGATGATTGTGGCCTCGGAGACTCGGTTATTTGCCTTCTCTGAGGGCTGCTATTTTCGCGGACAGAGCCCATCTCGAGAACGAACTCACTATCCACAACACAACTATCGAAGGAGTCGTAGCCCAATACAGAACACGTCTCTTGTTCCATGTGACCTTATTGTTTATCTACGATTGTTTTTTCTGTTTAAATACCTATCAGTGTCGGTGGGCACTGCGTTGTCAGCTGGTTGCCAACTGTCACAGCTGGCGAGTTTAGCCAGGCAACGAAAGATACTTGGTGTCATTGGTGAACCAGATATGAACTTTGGCAAGTATTTATAGTCAGTATACTTGAATCTGCAGGGCTAGTTCGACCATCTTCCCTTCACGAAGTGCCTAACTTCTGCCGTTGCGATAACCGGGCTGGTTAACACAAGACGACGCTGTTGTCCAAGGAAACAAGGTAGGTGGGGTTGGTGCAACTGAGTGGGCTCTGACCTGCCGAACACAGCTCCCGGCGGCGCGCGTGGACCCGACCTGTCTCCGCCTTGATTCCATGTGCCGCTGTACAAGCCGGCGCACAAAAAGTCTTCCCGACAAGCCTGTCGCGACCAGGCTAGAACAAAAATGGAAATATTTGCACAAGAATGTGTCTGTAAACTGGAAGAGTCTGACCGGATGAGCCGGTTTGATTTATGGATGAACGGAAATAAACAAAAGTATCGCCACACTCACAGCTTCGTCTCCAATAGCTTCTGTGCTATAGGTAAACTTACGCCATGCGACCCCACTTCAACAGTGTCGTCGACGTACCGAGATCTCTGCCGTGATCTTCTTGGGACGAACAAGGCGCGCCAGGGGCCCAGGGTATTAAAATATAATAAAAAAAAACCCCCCCAGTCCATCATATCCGTATTAATAGCCGATTCCATATCGCATAACCCAACTGGCTTCCTTACCACCTACTTCTCGACATTGACGCTCGGATCCAGAGCTCGGCAAGGCGGACTCTGTCTTACCCAAAAAAGAGGATCTACGTGGAATTGCCCCGTCATTCCCGACATCGCCTACCGTACTGGGACAGGGTTGCGAGATCCCCTCTGTTCGACCACTTGCGCATTAAAAGTATTTATATTGCAGACCATCCCAATACTCTGATATAATCTCTATATACCTCTCTATTGGCATATATATTATCCACTCTGACAGACACAGACAGCTTCACAGCTTGCACATTGGCTTACCCCTCGACTTGTAAGGCTGCCAATTCGTCATGGCCGACCAGTCCAATTATTATGACATAGGTGAGCCTTTTTGGGAGTTGACGAGGTGTTCTACTTTTTTTTTTGGCATTATTAACAATAGTCCATAGTCGTCGTCGGCGCAGGACCCGTGGGTCTCATGTTGTCCACATGTTTGGCTCGCTGGGGATACAAGATTAAGCACATTGACAACCGATCTGAGCCTACAGAGAAAGGCCGCGCGGATGGTATTCAACCTCGATCAATGGACCTTTTGCGGAATATGGGGTTGAAACCCGCCATCATGGCTAATAAGCCATGTCGAGTCTATGAGGTTGCCTTTTGGGATCCAAGTAAGGACGGCAAGGGTCTTGAACGGACGGGAACATGGGCAAGCTGCCCCAGATTCATTGATGCCCGCTATCCTTATACTACTCTTCTTCATCAAGGGTATATTGAGCGGGTATTTATCGAGGACATGAATAAACATGGTGCTCATGTTCAGCGCCCGTGGACCATTACGGGATTTGAGTCCGACGAATCTTCAAACCCGGAATACCCAGTAACCGTCAACCTTGAACACATAGACGGGTCAGCAAAAGAGACTGTGCGTGCCAAGTATCTCTTTGGGGGAGAAGGCGCACGGTCCTTTATTAGAAATCAGCTTAAAATCAGCGTCAGACACAAAGATCCGATTGCTTATGTCTGGGGTGTCATGGATGGCGTTGTACGAACTGATTTCCCCGATATTAAGGTACATTATACGTCTTATACGTCGTGAAGATAATAAATACTGACACCCCTACCATTAGATGAAATGCACTATCCATAGCGAACACGGCTCTATCATGGTGATTCCCCGAGAGAATGACATGGTGCGACTCTATATACAAATTGCTTCATCCACCGATAAAAACTTCAACCCTCGAGCTACGGCAAGTGAATCAGAAGTTCAGGCTGCTGCAAAAAAAATTCTTGCTCCGTACTTCATCGAATGGGAGGCTGTCGACTGGTTTTCTGTATACCCCATTGGTCAAGGTATTGCCGACCGCTACACACTCGATGAGAGAGTGTTTATTGGTGGCGATGCGTGTCATACTCACAGCGTAAGTTTTGATTCTAAGGATGGCCATTGCATCAACACAAACTAATTTTCAATAGCCAAAAGCTGGTCAGGGTATGAACACGGCATTCTTAGATGCGCATAATCTAGCATGGAAGATACATGCTGTTGAGAAGGGCTTTGCTCGCCGAGATCTACTCAAGACGTATGAGTCTGAGCGCCGTCATGTTGCCGAGAACCTGCTTGATTTCGATAACCGTTATGCCAAGCTGTTTTCGCAACGCCCTCCCGCAGCCGGAGAAGTTCGGGCAGCTTCTAGCTCGGATTCATCTGACAATGAGTTCATCAAGACCTTCAAGGCTTCTTGCGAATTCACTAGCGGTTATGGAGTTGCATATACACCAAATGCTTTAAATTGGTCATCGGAACATCCAGCTAGGTCGCTGTTGATTCATCCGGCTGGAACGAAGCTGCGCACAGGCAGGATCATGATCAACGCCAATGTCACTCGCATCACTGATTCCAACCCAGTGCACTTGGAACAAGAAATTCCGCTGAATGGATCGTTTCGCATCTTTATCTTTGCCGGAAACCTCGAGAAAACCCGCGATGCGCTACGGGATCTATCCAAAGGCTTGTCGCATAAGAAATCATTTTACACTGCCTACAAGCGTAGCGATATTGATTCTGTATCATGGTTTGAGCGACATAATCCTCACAGCCATTTCTTTACTCTCGCTACCATCTTTGCCTCGTTAAGGCGCGACGTCGAGATTGCTAGAGATGTGCCAGAGCCAATGTCCAGGTACCGAGACAGCATCTATGCTGATGATCAGTCTGATGATATGGTTCCAAATTCTAGGGCTTCTGCTCACGAGAAGATGGGACTTTGCCCAGAGAATGGCGGAGTTGTTGTCGTTCGTCCAGATGGATATGTTGGAATCGTGGTGAAATTGGAACCAGGGCCAGAGACGGTGAGTGCACTCAACCAGTACTTCGCGTCGTTCTGTACCAAAGATGTTGGAGGTTTGGCCTCGCAGTTATAAAACTTCGTATAGAATTTAGAGGGTATCTAAATACCAAAATTCGGCGTACTATTTGTATTAATTCAGCTACCCAAAACATCGTTACCACGCTAACGTTTCGTGAAGTCCCTACCTAGGAAACAGCCGAATAGTCACTGTGAGGCTTATGTCATCGCCTGGAGACGCCTGAATTTGTGGTACAGCGCGTGTGAAGTCACGGCCCCACTGGTAGCACTAGAACTTCAGAGTTGCGCCAGCCACCGGTCACTTCGCGACTACGAATGATTGCTGTTTTTTTAAACAGCGTTTCTCACCCCGAATAGCTTCTGAAAGCCCCAGAATTTGTGGAAGTTGTGATATACAAATATCTGAGGCTATGAGAATCATCTTCACAGACGCGAGTATCGTCCTCGTATGAATGCGCTTCACGCCTCAGCAGCGGCACCATGTTTCAAATAAAAGGCAGACTGTCCAGCGTCAGGGACAAAGTTAGCCGCTATTGTTCGTCAATATTGTTGATAAAGACATCCTAATTAACAATTTACTAATCTTAAATAGTCTCTGGTAGCCATGATTCGACCAAGCGCGAGAGCGCCTCTTACACGATCAAACGCCCAAAGCTGGCAACATCAGAGTCCTATCGACTGCGCTGGGCGTCCGACAACCAGCTCGACGAATTAATACGAAACTACAGAGAATTCGATGGAATATGGGACATTATTGCTGGAGCTGTTAAGCACCACTACGAGAATGATAATGTTGGCGCAATGGTCAAGGCATTTTACCCTGATTGGGCTGCAGGTTCAACCCCTCCAGATTCACCCTATGAGCAGGCGCAGTTTCTTGACCAGCAGATTCAAGAAATGCTTCTATTCCTGAGACGACTGTATGGAAAGGATGCTATTTATGCGCTACGGGATAACAACCAGTTTGTTCCTAGCAGTCTCGGCTCGAAATACAACAGCAATGAAGTCGCAACCATCGAGCGCATACGAAAGTTTCTTAGCGAACCAACGCTGCCATACCATTCGAAACAAATATTGGATATCGTCAAGGTCGATATGATTACCATACCCATCAATTTCATAGATCAGATTGTACTGGACCTTTCAGCTCTTTCTGTTTCACAGACACCCCCCAGCTATGTTAGTTCCGAAGACTATTGGAAGATTTTATCACAGGCATTCCCTCAACCCACACGTTCAGATAAGCCACGAAACACGGATATTCCAGGCAGCTTTCCAACCTTCAAAAATGACGATGATTCCGTTTCCCACAAAGCTCGCTCTGTCTATGCGGTCCCCGCATCCGATTCTGTTCGATCGAAGAAAGAATCATCTCGCAATGAACCTTCCCGACCACGAACTGTAATGCAAACTCTCATGGCGAAGAGAAAAATTTCGCATTCAGACGGCGCAGAATCAGAAACTCTCAGCCGAAGCATGATGCGGTCCACACCGTCCTCAAGTGGTTCCGTCTTGGGCAATGACCAGCTTGGCGACCTAACAAAGTCATTAAAAACATTCTCTATTGGAAAACTGCACGGTCGTGCTCCAAAGAAGAGCTCTATATGGTCGACATCAACGTCCCGGATTCCCAAGTACCCACGACCCATGCGCGCCAACCCTCTGATACCCCAGGTCGATGAGTCGACTGTCAAAGTGCCACAGTCGAGTGAGTTTCTATTTAAACCGTCATCTTCGAGCTCATACTACTCAAAATCATTCGGTAATGATTTTCGGTTTTCAAAGTTGGATACAATTTCGGCCAACATGGGTCTGTCAGCTGTCGTTTCGCGCGATACGTCTCAAGTTGAAGACGGAAATGAAGATGTCGCAAAACTAGATGACGAAAATAAGGATAATATAGACGAGATCCAAGAACAGGCCAGAATCCGTCTTCTTGGTGAAAAGGAGCTGGACTCTTGGGCCAGCTCTCAGACGTTGCGAGTAACGCTCCCTCTTAGACCAGCACAACCAGTGCGCAACATTGAAGATATATTCAATGAGCCATCGGAACGCAAACTTGCCATTAATGATAGTATTAAAACGGCCCTAGATGCGAAAAAGCGTCACTTGGCGGCAGTAGCTGCTGAGAAGAAGAGAAAGGAAGCAGAAGAGCGGGCCAAGGCTGAGCTTGCGAAACGACTGGCTGAAACCGGGGGTCTTCGAATGCCTAAGATAAATATTATCTCTCCACTTTCGACCGAGTGGAAGGAAAAGTCACGGAGTACACTACTGCGAGACGCTGCGGACACTATAGCAACGACTAACGAGGGTACAACCTTGCGCTCTCACGATTTCGCTACCGTGGTTCCTGCTACTGAATGGCTGAATGACGAAATTGTAAACGGTAGTCTGAATTGGCTGGATAAAGCCATCAATTCCGCGGCCGGGATCACGGATGTCAAGAAACAAACGCGCAAGTGCTTGGCGATGTCATCATTTGTTTGGAAACGGCTTCAGGACCAAGTGACTGGCACACAGAGAATGCTGCGCCGCTCCGGTGTCTCCAAGGATAACCTGCTTTTGATCGATACTATACTTTTGCCAATCTGCGAACGGTCGCATTGGACGTTGCTGGTTATACGACCATCGAAGCGGACCATTGCGCATATGGACTCGTTAAACCCGGCTGGCAACTCCAAATATACGGAACGCGGACTGGACTGGATGAAGGATGTCCTGGAAGGCAATTTTGTGGCTGATGAATGGAAGATCGTACGTCACACTGCTCCGCGTCAGACGAATGGTTATGATTGCGGAGTCCACACCGTCACCAACGGCATATGTGTTGCCCTTGGCCTTAGTCCAATAGATAGCTACTCGTCAGATGAGATGCCCCTGCAACGGCTCCGGCTTGCCTCTGTTTTGCTCAACGGTGGCTTCCATGAGGAGTTTGATCTTAGTGTTTACTAAAGCAGACACACACGAGACAAGGGATTACGGTTCAGGACTCTCTACACACGTACACATAACCATCTTGTGCGAGGCAAGGCGAGGATTTTACCAGGAAGCATAGATGACTACTTTTTTTGTACAATACAACTAGACGACCACGAACCTACGTATTCTGTGTCAGCCCAATCGTTTGAGTATCTTCTTTTCGTGTCTTGGATCTATATGCATTTCCCGCCGGTTTATTCATTAGAGGGGGGGATGGGGGCAGCAATTTCCCCGCCATGCTCAACTCAGCCTGTAAATGACAACTTGGGGGAACGTGGAGCATGGCCACACCATTCTGAGAATAGAACTTCGGGCTGCATATGGGGTGCCCCCCACAAGACTAACCCATATATTCTTGTCGCACAATCCAGCTCTCTGGTTAGTCGTAAACTAATTCATAGATGCTTGCTGGAGCTCGATTCTCCCGCTGGCGCTCTCCGATAACGGCTGCGTGGACCTGAGTCGGGCGGCTACGTATACGGTGCCCTGGCCAGGCTTGATATGGAGGAAGTGGCCGTGTCGTGGTAGCGCCTGAGTGAGCTCTCGACTTGGCTGACTTTGAATACTAGACAGTGAAGTATAGCCTATACATTGTCTGTCGTGTAGAGTTACATGGTTTACTATCCCCTAGGGCGCAGCGCAGGGAGGTGAGAGCGGTCAGCGTCTGCAATGGCACGGTTGCTTTTACCATGGCCTAAACCTCCGAGGCACCTGCGTCGTCGCTGTTCTAGCGCAGTTCTAGCGTGAGAAATGCGGGGGCAGCGCAGAATATGGCGCGGTGGGGGAGGCTTGTGGGAGCCAATTGCGAGCTGCGAGCCATGGGAAAGTCGTACTGATGCGACGACGACGCAGGTCGGCACCCATGCCGCCACCGCCATAGCCGGGCCCAAGTGGCATGAGCTTGGGGCGAGTGTGCGACGTTCGGGGACTGTCGGGGCGGCGGTCAGAAGTGCGCGGTGCTTTGTTGGACGACAATGTTCTTGGGCAAAGCGTGGCCAATGTTGTATCCTGAGAGCGGGATTTAAACCTCGTGGAAATGTCGCAGTTGATCAAAAACCACGCTACAAGCAGAGCAAGAAGAGTGTTGCAATGGAAGCGTTGCTCAGAACCTGGTCGGTCTGTACTAACTTAGCGAACGCGGTGGGAGGGATTTGGAGGAACAGCGTAGTGGCTGGTGCTGACAGTGCACGCCGCTCGCATGACACAATCAAAAAGAGTCACGAAGACGAAAAGGGCGTTGGGTTTGGCGATCGGATAACTGATCAGGTAAAACAAGACAGCCGTTGGGACAAAGCGGGCTCCATGGTAAAGACTACCTGGCGCCATGAATCGACCAACGTAGACTGATATCTTGGCCTTTTATTCAACAAGGAAAGCGGCGGAGCTGGCCGTCATTCCGCAGCTCGCGTCACAATAGCGACCTCTAACCCCTGGCGCCTTTCTCATAGCCTTCGCTATTTTGCCCCCATCAGGGTTTAAGGCAGCGCCTAGAGGGGCCCGTGGTCGGCATTGCCGGGCCCAGCGTAAAAAAAAAAAGAGGGCTATCCTCACTTTAAACACTGGGCTATTCCCAAAGCGGCTTGGCCCAACTCTGACGCACCAATGGGCTTTGTGCAGCCCCACTTACTGTTTGCTGCGACCAGTTCTTCCAGGCTCTTGCCTTGGTTCTTCCATCCTTCTATTGCACGTCCCCCTCTCCCCGCTTGTATTTGTACTTTAGTGTGCCCGCCCCCCAGCTGCCATTGTAATCAGCGCCAGCGCCGTTAAGGGAGCCATCGCAACCAAAACCAAACAGAAGAAGGCACAAAAGGGAATCCCAAAGTAGATTTCAGCGCCAGCAGGCTCGAGACTTACCCTTTTGCTCGGCCTCAGCTCTTCTCTTCTAGTCGTGTTTTCATAACGCCTACCGCCATCCGACTCATTTACCTACAGGTCCAGCTGCCAGGTGCCAGGTGCACCCTGTAACCTGAATTTTTTTTGGGGGGGGGCCTCGACCACACACGGCCTCGCCTAATCCGGGTCGCGGGCCAAACGTCTGACTTTTTTTTGCCCTTGACTTTGCCTGCATGGCCCATCTGACATATTTGACGGCTAGATATCTTGCGACGATTACCTCTTCATCGTCGTCCATATCCGCCTTTACTTATCTGCCTGTCGCTTACCTGTCTTACTCTCTTCCCGCTGGTGGATCGACTCTCAGCCTGTCAAACACACCCTAGTCTCAGATCCCGCCCATCTACGGCGCTTTCTCGACTCTCGCGACACAGAAACAACCTCTAATTCCTGCCATCTATCACGAAATATCATCGCCTCCGGTCTTATACACCAGCACTCCCCGTCATCGCCTCTGTGAGGCACGGCTCTGGGCTCCTATACGCTCTCGTTGCATCGACCGCCATCCACGTCTGGGGTAGACATGGTGGTTGCGAGAGTACGTCGGCAGTCTCCCATTTGCCTGAGACCAGTCAGCCCACTCGAGCTTTTCACTCCACCCTCTTCCGCCTTTGAGGACATCTACGTGGAGAGTGTTGACTCCAGACGGAGCAGCGGCACTTTCTCGTCGCGCTCCTCATCACCCCGATACACAATGGCCTCTCAATCTCCTCCGACACTAAACGACATCCTCCTTGACAACTCTCCCGCGCCATGGACACTTGCTGCCTTCATGGCGTATCTGTCACAAAACCATTGCATGGAAACTCTCGAGTTCACATTAGATCTGCAGAGATACGCCCAGTTCCACGATGAATACATGTCTGTTGATCCAACCGACAAGGAAAGTCATGAACGCGCGTGTACCCTTTGGGAGCGCCTGATTCAAGTATACATTGTACCATGCGCACCGCGAGAGATTAATATTCCGTCACGCGTTCGCGACCGATTGCTAGCCATGGCTGGCCCCGATCCGCCACATCCATCCGAACTGAACGAGGCCGGGCGCATCATCTATGAACTAATGAACGACTCTCTCCTCGTCCCCTTCCTTGAATCCATCACAGTCACACAACCAGATACCACCGAGGATAAGCGGGCCTCAAGGTCGCCTCGGAGCAGCTCTCTGTTAGCCACATCGCGATCTCTACGGAATCATGCGCGCAGTATTACTGCGCCCTTCACAGTGGCAGATTCTGAGGGTCTAACGGATGACAGCGAAGTCAACTCACCAACAACCGCAGAACCCATGACGCCTCCCACAACGCCCCCAACATCCGATTGGGGCGGCTTGGCATCGTCACCAGGTGGCCTGCAGCGCGCCATCGCAGCTCACACCAAGGGATGGAAGCGCGTCGGTGCCAGATTGGGATTTAACCGCAAAAGTAGCCGCGGGCCATCGTCGTCTTCCTCAGACCTGAACCAATCTCGTCGCAGCTCTGGCCAGAGTTCGTCGTGAATGGGCCGTTCTGAAATTTTGACTGGCAATCATGGCTTTTTGATATGATACCTCAAGGAAGTCACACAACACACAGTATTCCGCTGCTTCTTACTTGCAGCGTATAATTAGGCGTTTGGAACTAGCCTCTCCTCAGGGTTGGGGAGGCTACTGGAGTAACTTTTGGCGTTAAACTGTTTACGGAATGCAGATACCTGACATGTACAACTACTAGCGTAATGTTTGTTGAAAGTTTTAGTTTTATTTCCGGATCTCATAGATGAGGCGTTGGGATAATTATGACGGCGAACGGCTTGGGAGCCATTCAATACACTTTGATATTATACATTTATATGCCGCTCGAAGCTTGAAGGGTACGTTCGATTAGAACTTCCCCGATCAACCCTCACGTCAAGAATGTTGCTACAAAAAGTACATTACTATGAAATAGAGGTAAATGAACTAACACAATCATCCTAAACCATCCAAAGTCATGCCATCTTCACCAACTATGCGGCGTTTAGTCCACCAGCAAGTCACTCGGTCGGTTTGTTGTGACGTGAATACATGTTCCATTCTAGTGAGTTTGCAAAATCGAGCTTGCCCTGTTCGACTTGCTGTCTGGTCACACCTTGCAGGGGCTGTGGTAGACCCATCGTCTTTAGAAACGAAACCGCTATGTATATCGTTAACAGTTGAATGCTTAGACGCTCCATTTGAAGAATCAACTCACTTTCATTCCATTCGGTAGCCTGCCTCTTCTTGTCCCAGTGCAACTCATCGGCCATAATATCAATAATCTTAGGAAGGGCCTCTAGAGCAGCCTGAACACTCAGGAATGCGAGACGGGTCCGACGAGCAATAACGTCAATGGCGGTTTGAGCATATTCTTCTTGAACTGCATATCGGACTTCGCCATCGACAAAAGGGTACAACGTGGAGATACGTTCTCCTCGAGCAGGGAATCGCTGATTTGTGAGCTTGCAGAGTCCGGCCACTACCCATGCACGATCTCCATAGCTTTCACAGAGGTGCTTGGCGACTTCAGTTTCCACGCCAAAGTGCTGAATCAAGGGGATGAAGAGTGTGTTACTGAAGCCATGAGCTCCAATCAGACGCACTGTATGTGTCTGGCACTTGCCATCAAGAATAGCGCCATCATCCACCAGGTTGGTACCGCTGATACGGGGCGCATGGGGGAATGGTTTCGTTACAAGTCCAAATTCTTTTATAGCTTCATCGACACAATCTTCTGCCATTTGGCGGTAGGTCGTCCACTTACCACCAGCGCAAGTCAAGAGACCAGATTCCGAAATATAGTTTAGATGGTTTCGTACAAGTGACTCAGTATTCTTGGCTTTGGGGTCCTTCACCAAGGGGCGAATGCCAGACCAAGCGGCAAGGACGTCGCCTCGTCGCACATTGATCTCGGGCGAAAGGTACTGCCGAATTTCATGTAGAATCCAGTTGATGGAGTCCTCATCTGGTTCTGGTTTGGGTGTAATCTCGCACGGCGAATCCGTCGTTCCTGCGATTGTGTTACCTTGCCAGGGAAGGAAGAAGATGACCCGACCATCGGACGTTGATGGGTCAAGGAGGCCCATCTTTCCAGGACAGTAGTATCCTGGAAGGATAACATGAACGCCAGACGATGGCGCTACAATTTCTTTGCAGCTCGGGTCATCCATTTTGCGAATAGAATCCGTAAATGGTCCAGTACAGTTGACGATACACTTTGCCCGGACAGTAATATCTTCAATCGTCTTTCCGTCACGTTCTGCTACCATATCTCGCACAGTAGCGCCACAGAGACGGCCTGCATCATTTTTAATGAGGCTAGTGACGGCAGTGTGATTTGCAACTGTTGCACCATACAGGGTAGCTGTCATTGCAATAGAGACGTTCATACGAGAATCGTTATGTGCACCATCGTAGTAAACAAGAGCGCCGATGAGATCATCTTGCTTCAACATAGGGAACGCTTCGAGTGCTTTGCTTCGAGTCAAGAAGTAGGAGCTCTCAATACCCTCGCTGCCTGCAAGAATATCATAGAACTTAGTCCCTGCCCAATAATATGGTGCTTTCCACCATTTGTCAAGAGGTAGCATGATTGGAAGCCACATGCTCAAGTGAGGAGCAGTTTGTAGAAAATACTTGCGTTCTTTCAATGCTTCCCGAACAAGCTGATACTGATTGTAGTCGAGATTCCAGACAGCCTTTTCCAAGTATCGAACGCCACCATGTACAAGCTTCGTGCTCTTGCTACTAGTGCCACTGCTAAAGTCATCGCGCTCGACCAGGGCAACCTTGAGACCGCGAGTCGCTGCATCAAGAGCAACTCCGCTGCCAGTAGCGCCGCCGCCAATGACCAGCATGTCATATTCTTGGGATTGATCAGAATTCCCGCTGATTCGGAGAGCATTAAGCTGCTCTTCACGGCTCTTCACGCGAGGGAAGCGAGGCATAGTAAAGGAGCCATCTGGCGCGTAGGTTGGAGGGGGGACCGCGGCAGGGTTGGCTCCTGGGATTTGGCGTGGCCTGTAGCTGTATATGATTACAGCTCCTCCGGTCACTGCGATTCCGGGAAGAAGAAGGCGACGAAGAATTTGGCCCCGAGTCATTGTTCTGAAAGGTTGGACTTTGTGGAAGATTACTACAGGCAACGGGCGTGTAATCTTATGGTCTGGCGTTGGTAGAAAGCTAGACCAGTCCGGATTAAAAGCCGTAGATTTGAAACGTATTGGCTTTATGGAAATTTTCCGTAAGAAATTGGAGTCACAATGGCTATATCAAAGCTGGTGTGTGATGATTTTGATGAGCACGCGCGGGGAGACAGAGACTAAGCGGACTCCAGGGAAGCTGTCACCCGTCGTACGGTCCACCCCCAGAATCAAGCCCCGCTTTCCGACTGCAGGATCGATCTACACAAGAGGGCGTGCATGCAGGCTGAATATGCCATAGTAAGCCATCCACTGTAGCTGGGCCATTTCAAAAATTGAATTGCTATTTATTCTTCCAGAAGCTCGTCTGCTAATCGTATGGCATAAAATCGCCGCGTTTGTTCTGGAAAGGGCTGAAGAAGCTTCTTAATGCGTACGACTTCCTGTCTACCCTTGTCATAGGCCGCCAGATCCCTGTTCCCATACACATCTCTTCCGTTTGCATAACCCGTCTCCAGGTCACGAAAAAAGACATTTACAGCCACACTCATGTCAGTAAGTGGTGTTGCTGAATGGAGCCACATTGGTGGTAGGAGTAAAACTTCGCCTGGGTTGATAACGACCTCATGGGGATGTGCTGAGTGTACCAATCGCGCATTGGTAGAGGAGAAGACATCCAGGCTGGAGCTGGATCCCCCCGGGGCAAATGCCAACTTTGAAACATCCTCTGGTGGAAATAGTATCATTCTTTTCGAGCCTCGTATTTGTGCATAAACGTTGGCCATGACCTAGGCATTCCTGATCAGCTACTCTTCTGAAGCAAAGATAGCACCTCTATACTTACATCATAGTGCAACCACATGTTAACTCTTCCAGATATCCTCAGTATGGAACTAAACTCATGTTCAGATACAAACTTAAGCTTCTCTGGGAGGCAAAAGTCTTTGCTGAGGTTCGGAAAATCCTGTTCTAGCTTTGCGGGCTGCTCAGTTGGGTGGGTGACCGATAGTGATCGCAAATATAGAGGCGCTCCCGATTGAATTCTCTTCATCATGCTTCCAAAAGTTTCTGTCACATAGCGAAAATTTTTGGAATTAAAATCCATTTTTCCAGAACTTTGATTGCAATCATGTACAATGACCTACCTGGGGTGGTTAGCAAGTCCTTGAAAGTCGGGTCAAAGTCTCACCTCCTCGTTGGCACCAGCTGCCTCTGCCATGTAGTCTGGAGTCCATAGGTCCTTACAATTACCCAGGTCAAGTCCTGTAATAACAACAGGCTTATTTGCCCGTAATATGGCTTCGAAATCGTCACTAGATTGAAGGTTTAGACGATCAATCTCAATCATCAATGGCACGGTAGGAGACCGTTCAAGGCCAGCATCGTTGGGATGCCCACGTACCATGCCGATAACCCGAGAGGACTGCATGAGCTTCATACAGCCTATGCTGTACTCTCCGCCGTCCCTTGGCGTTGGTTTATTGGAAATGGAGAGGATGTATGAGTTCGGCTCCCAGTATGTACCCATCGAAAAACAGGTGGCACCTCCTCCCGTAATCAAAATGTTGTCGTTGGTTTCAATAGTAGATGACCCGATCATGAATGGTATATCAGCGCCGTCATCTTTTGATAGTTGGAATTCGCCCATCTCATAAGTTTGATCTTTGATCTTTAGAAATAGAACAGACTGCCCTTGTGCTGCGGGGTGTTGGCCAACTCCACCACAGAGCAAAGAAACACCCCCAATTTCAGCTACAGCAGCGCCAAAGAGTCCAACTTTTCCTAGTTCATCGTCGATATCAAGCTTCTCAAACACAATATTGACCTAAAAGATAGTTAGTTCCTGGGCGGAGGTTGCTTTTTATTTATTTTTGCTCCCTCACCTCGTTCCCATCAGTGGTCAACATCCACCTGTAGGTTGAAGTAATGAAAAGGCCATCCTGCCCTAACCCTCCAGAATACAGGCCACAAAACTTTCCATCTGAGTATGCTGCTTGGGGAAAGCTCACAAGGGTTGATCCAAAAGCGGCTTTCGGAATATCGCCCTGCAATTTACAGATCTTCCATCCATGTGCAGGATCGAACAGTAGGAACTGGTCAGAAATCTGTGAGGGGCCAACCTTTCCACCAGCAACTAATGCCAAAGACGAACCTTTGAGTCTAATAGTAGAGTGTCTGTATAAGGCCCTCGGAAGTCTCCAGGTGGATTTCCATCTCAAAGGCTCAGTTTGGTCTGCCAACCACACATCTGACAGCGCTGTAGCTGGTGATGCTCTACCTCCAACCAAAATGTTTCCATAATGCCCTAAATCGGTCACTGTACAACACGTTCTTGGTGGTGGTCCCACGGCGCATATTTCGGGCACCTGGCTGTTGGAATCAAGCGCATAAACATCATACGTATCAGACCGACTCGATCCGCCGAGGCCCATCAATGCTATCAAGTTTCGCCGGCCTAACGTGTCGACTGTAACTATAGATTGGCCAAATCGGCGTTTCGGTGCGTCTGGAAAATGTTTGATATCAATAGTGGGACTGTTGGGCAAGATCGGCAGCACCGTTGTTGTAGGTGAAGGCGGCTCACTTCTGCGATGATTAGCCCCAGTCTCAGAAGACGCCAGTAGAACAAAATAATGGCGCGAAAAGAGTAAGAATTCTTCCCATTCGTCAAAAGGCTCAACATCATCGAGATCGGACCTTTCTTTGGAAGATACAAATTTAGAGTCTTCCCAGGCCTGCCAAAGGTCCCAAATAGCAACGCTATTCCAGTTTCTGCTTTTAAATCTGTCCAGTTGGCTGGATAGAGTCTGGTAATGCAAAACAGATCTTGGTGGGGTTTTCAGCTTATTGAAGTGCTTCAACATTGTCTGTGCAAATGGGTGACTAGGGCCAAGAGGCAGTATCTGCTCTAACAAGCAAAACGAAGCTTTTAGAGATTAGCTTCCAATCAACGAAGAGGATTTCGTCGCCACGCAATGACATTACCAACTTACATTTTCTGAGAGTACTGGCCCATTGGATAAGATTATCTGCTGATTTTGTATCCATATACGTGATAGACACTTCTGCAACAAAAAGGATTTCGCAAGCGGACAAATCCACCAATCGTCCCAATGCTCGCCGTAAAGAATTTGGCTCACGCAAGTCGCAAGCTACCTGGCTATATTTGTGGCTCTGCAATACGATGCCGTCAGAGTCACTAGGATTGGTTTCATAATCATCTCCAAGCAACTCTTTGAGCTCTGGAGTCTCCAAGACAATGCTGCGTTTGTTTTGGATGAGATCAGGGTAGTCTACATCGACAAACGTAGCACTTGCACTGGCAGCAGGATACCTAACGTGGCTTTGCCAAGGTAAAACGTCACTATGATCATCGTCAGATAGCTTTCTCATGTAGCTGAGGGGGAGGGGTCCTACCTGCCACATCCCAGATTCACTACCACCTTTTTCTCGTTTGACTGTTTCATCAAGAAGTCCCTGACCATAACGTCAATGGCTCTAAGACGGAGCCAATATCCTCGATTTATTAGAGGTGCGCGGCGCTGGAATTTCTTCACAAAAAAGCGGAAATAATGAGGCTCGTTTGGATAGTATAGCCTTTCCACACTGCGCTTCGACACGATGCTACTGCCGTTGGTCTGTTGATAAAACATGTGTTAATTCAGCCTTGTTAAGCCCAATAAGCCGTCTACTTACACCCATAATTAGGTCATCTAGCATCTTAGACCTCTCTGGGAGAGTACCATTTTCCAGTGCCGTGGCCATGGCTTCTACTGGTAGCTGTTACTTCTCTGTTAACAACTGCTCCCACGACCAGGATTTTTTTTTTTTTGGCTTGCTCAAAATGCCACGCGGGGCACTGGTCTTTCGCGGCTGCGCATAGAGGGGCATGCACGGGGCGGAGCTGCAGTAAGAGCTCCAACCACCGCCGCGTGCGGCCGGTCAGGCCTACCCCACCCAACTCAAATCAGGTGAACGTCATCTAGCACAAGCTGTCACGAGCTTTCCAACCACCGCTATCCTTGTGAATTGTACCAGAGACTACAAGTGAAACCATATCCATACCCGTGAAAGGACCTGGTTCCTGCTCTTTCAACTATCAAAGTCGACGCGCTACCTCCGAAGCTCTTTTTTTTTTTAATTGTCCGACGCTCTCCCAACCGCTGGCGCGAGCAGCCATGGCAAATCCGGCGCTAAACTTCATCACTTTCAATCAAGACTACAGCTGTCTTGCTGTCGGTTCGTCAATCATATTTGATTCTGTCACTAGGGGAGGTCCCAGAAGCTCATTATCGGACGCTAACTGTTTCCATAGGGACATCCAAAGGATTTCGTATTTACCACACCGATCCATTCTCTCGCATTTTCAGTAGTGATGATGGCAACATTGCTATCATTGAAATGCTCTTTTCGACGTCTCTTGTCGCTCTTGTCCTATCGCCCCGGCACCTAGTAATACAGAATACTAAAGTGGTCATCTCCTATTCCAAGACACGTTGTATATGTAACTAACCAATCTTATAGAGAGCGTCAACCATTTGCGAACTCACATTCCCGTCAGCGGTTCTCGCAGTTCGACTCAACAGAAAGCGATTGGCCGTGATTTTGGAGGAAGAAATTTATCTCTATGACATCAGTAACATGAGCCTTATTTATACCATACCGACATCCCCAAATCCGTCAGCCATCTGCGCTTTGTCTCCTTCGTCTGAGAATTGCTACATCGCATACGCATTGCCAAAACCACGGGAAGAGCCGGAGTCACGAAGGCCCTCACATGCTCCTCCTCAGTCGACCTACGTCCCACCAACATCTGGTGAGGTTCTCGTCTTCGATACACTCACCCTAAAGGCTGTCAATGTTATTGAAGCCCATCGTTCACCGCTATGCTGTATATGCCTCAACAGCGATGGTACGCTTCTGGCCACAGCTAGCGAGACTGGAACCATCATACGAGTATTTTCTGTGCCACGTGGGCAAAAATTATATCAATTTCGCCGTGGCACCTATCCGTCTACCATCTACAGCATGTCATTCAACCTGAGCTCAACCCTGCTGTGCGTTTCATCGACATCCGATACTGTTCATATATTCCGCTTAGGGGCCCCAGTTACCAATTCCAATCCTACCATAACATCACCAGAGTCACCTGCTAGACAAGACCGTTGGTCACGAAGGCGCAGCCAGGATGATGAAGACGGTAGATTAGGTAGCCTCGCGACGGACTCTCCCAGAACAGATTCCGATGACCTTGGCAGCAGTCCAAGTACGAAATCAACGCGAAGGCAGAGCGACTCCTTCAGCAACATGCTTCGTCGTTCATCCCAAATAATGGGGCGAGGGGTGGCAGGTGTCGTGAGCTCATATCTACCCCAATCAGTGACTGAAATGTGGGAGCCGATACGAGACTTTGCTTTTATTAAAATCCCAAAGTCATCATCTGGTGCCAGTTCAAGCTTATCGGGAAGCCCCCTCAGAAGCGTTGTTGCCATGAATAACAGCAGCCCTCAAGTGATGGTAGTCACTAGCGACGGCGGGTTTTATGTTTATAATATCGATATGGAGCAAGGAGGAGAAGGATACTTAGTCAAGCAGTTTTCGTAAGTTGGTATCCACCTAGCCGTGAAAGTTCTCATACTAACAGATCATCTGACAAGTGTATTGGAAGGGGACGATAAACTAGACGCCGTAAACTATGGGACATAGGCGACGCGGACACGACTGCAGGAGCGCATTGATTAACAGACATAGCCCGATGATTTACTTTTATTAGCTATTGACATATCCCAAAACAATTATGTAATTAGTATCTTCTACCACAGATATTTTCTGCATTTCGGGCTACCACATAGACACTTGGTCATCTCGGCGGGATGAGCTGAAAGACTATCGTCACAACTTTCACCGTCGACGTAGTCAAAAGTTAATTCTTCGCCACGATGAATTTCTTTAATAGCAAAAAGGGCAAGGTCATGGATGTGTTTATCCGCATGATCGCCGACCCGGGCAAAGATCCTTAAATTAGGGTCACAGGAGTGGTTAATAAATCTCGTTGGGCCAGACATGAACTCGCCGTCGACCTCGAGAGGAGCTCCTCGCAAGCGAGGATCAAGTGACCTAGAATCGGTGAACTTATCCAGCGCAAAAAGATACACATCTTTTCGTTGTGAGATTGCCGAATCGTTGCGCCTCTTATCAGCCTCTTCAGAAGATATGACTTCCCCCAAGTAACGATCGACAAATTGCCCAACTTTGATATTGACTTGGGCCCGTACACCTACTTTCTATTAGCACCAACCATACATATGCCTCTAATTTCGAGTGATATTGCTTACCCCAACCCCGATCTTTGGTTCGAAATATCTGCAACGGAATCGTACGGCCTCTCTCCACTACACGGTTGGGGCATTGTGGAGAGCAAGTGCAGCCGCTGTGACACTCATAGAGAGGCCACTTTGAATTAAGGAGCTTGGAACGCAAAAGCCCTTTTCTCGGCCCGCTACTATGGTATGAGTATCTTTTTTTGCTTGGGTGTTCATCAACCTGCATGCTCTCGTCGTCGCTGTCCAGCTCTGCAAGACACAGACATGCTGAATATTGGCAATCGGCCGAATTAGGGCAGATACAACCGCTGCGGAAACTAGCCTCTGCAGGTTCTACACCAGCTCCAAGGACCATATGATCTATAAACCTGAAGTTGTGTGGGAGAACCGCTGCGTCAACTTCATTCTTCAGGGTAACGGGAGCAGACACCTGCGACGGCATTGCGCGTAGCTGACACCAATGACAATCTTGCTCGTCGGAAGAGAACTCCTATGTTGGGTATTAGACATCGCATAAAAATTCTGTGGCCAAAAAAAAATCTTCTCTTCCGGTCTATAGTACGTACCTCATTTTGGCCGTGCTCCAAAAAATGCGCCTGCCTTAAAGTCTCCATGTCTGATTGGCGTCAGCAAGCTTGTGCGGGAGGACAAGGCGCGCCGACGCAGGTGAAGCAATCCTGGGTGGTGAGTGGTCCAAATAACCGCTGGTGCTAGTTCCAGCGTCGCCTGGCGCCCACTCCCACTGGAGACCGACCCGTGTTGCCCGCGCCGGCGTGCCCCTCCCCGCCAACCTGCCTGGACATGGCTCTGGCGAACCACTGTGGCTAGAGGCTAGCCAAGGCTTTGCTTCACCAGCACACGCTGCGCAATATTCAGCTTATGACTCTCAACATACATAACTCCAGACCTTGTAGCAGTATATTAACTCAACTACAGCACCAATAGCTACTAAATTCGCACAAAGCGCCCATTTACAATACACATCTGCTTCTGCACACATATTGCGACTTCGATCGACAGCGTCGGTCTCCAACCCGCAGCCCGCCAGAATTGTCGAATTATTCCCATATTCGAGCTGATAAACAACCAGAGAATTACATAACCATTCACTGGTTACGGTTTTTGAGGCTAAGACTGGCGTACCGGCCCTGATCATCTCTGAAACCCGCGATGGTGTGGCAAACCCAAACCCATAAACAACAACCATGCCATAATACTAAGTCGTCTTAGGGTTGCTGTTTCTCACGCGCCTCGGGTCCTAATTCACCATATCCAGGTGGTCTGCCCAATCCATCAGCTAGGCATATTAATCCTCCTCCGCTCACATTACCCGAAAGTGTTATTGGCCAGCGCTCAACAGCACAGCATCGCTCCCATAGAAGCCCACGCCCAGCTCTCACTGAGCAGCTAAACAAGCCACTCCGGCGGCATAAATGGACCGCAAAGGATCGATCTTGGACCAGAGAACAGCTTAAGAGCGAACGGAGAGATTATTTTGATACAAGAGTCACAGGTAGACCGGAGATATGGCAGACATTAAAGGCTGTGCTTGAAATTCTCTGGTCTGAAGACAGTATAAGTGGTGATGGATCAGACAATCTACTCACTGCACAGACTATGTTGTCAGCCGCAGAGATTTCGTTGCCAACTGGAGATCTCGCTGATGGCGCCTACGATTCCTTCGGCAACTACTACGCGCTTCCTGAATGGGTAGTTGCTGAGCCGCAAAATCTGGCTGACTCTAGTGAAGGTGTCAGAAACGATGCGTCGTTTCAAGGTGAACCCGATTCAACAGTTGCATTTGCAAAGAGCGACAGTGGCGAACCTAGTGATGCACAGGCCAATGCTTTGACGACAGAGAACCAAGCACAAGTGCGAGCTCGGCTAAGTGAAACCGGCAAAGATATCGTTTTTTACATCAGAAAATCAGATTCCGTTCAAAGTATAGTCGAAAAGATAGGAAAGCAATGCCGAGTAAGTCGACCCAATGCCATGACAGACCTAGTCTACTAATGGAGCATGCCAGTTATCGCCACATAAACGATTACGTATAGCATACATGGGCAAAATGCTCAATGAGAGATTGAGCCTTACGGAACAGGGGTGGACGGAAGGGCATATACTAAATGCTCTTGTCTTTGAACAACAATAGGTGCATTTCGGCCATCTAATGATACCCTCTAGCGACAAAGCGATGCGATTCTGCCGGCCCCTGATGTTCTGGGAAGCACGTGCGTTAGAACAATTTGTTTATGATTACTGTAAAATATACCACGTACCAAGTTTCGTGTTAGCGTGTTTGTCAATGTCCTTTCATCGTCAAATTGTTGGCCATTCATCAAGATGTACGTAGTATGGTCATAAACTGCAATGATTCTATTCAGAGACGATTTTTAGAGGTTTTGTGTAGCTACACGTACGCCCTAAGCGGGCGATCCCAGCTTGCTAAGGCCCTTCAACGCACCCAAGCTCAAAGCGAGTCCTTGTGATCTGCTTCTGATGCGTACGAATCCAGTAATTGGGCCGTCTTCCCCATCTTGTTCGATGCTCAGATTAGCCAATGCATCCTCGCCTGTTTTGATTAGCATTGAACCCTTAACTGATATACAACTTTATAACTTACCAAAAACGCTGCGGGCGTAGAGATTGGCGCTCAAAAACTGGCAGTCGCCCTTCAGACTTGCCTCAGGTGTAAGGCAGTTCATGTTGGTACATGCCATGAGTTGATCTAAAAAGGCCCGAAGAGACTTAGCCTTGGAGTTGATATTGACCTTGTTCTCCCACTCAAACTCGGTCCACATGGTTCTAAATTGAGTCTCTGTGCAGGTTGCAGGCTGAATGTAATCCATGACATCCACATGCAGATCGTTAAGAATCACTACATTTGTATCGGTTGAGTGTGCTCCGTCATAGATGACATTGCCAAAGATCACGCCGGTATCTGTAGATGAAACTTTGATTGTGCATTGGACGTTGTGAAAGTCATGAGGTCCGAGATTTTGGGTTGTTGGTCGTTCAACAACCTTAAGATCTCCAAGAGTCGCAAATTCAACAGAAAGATTCTGCAACGTCTCTGTTGTTTGATTGACGAGTAGAACATCCAAAACAATGTCAAACTGATGTACCTTGACATATGCTTCGGCGTATACGGGGTCAGAAAATCCAGTAAGCTGAACAACACGGCTCAGCTTCGAAGATAGGTCATCTGCCTCGGCTTCACCACCCGTAGCTTTCTCTAAATCTTGGTTGATCTCATCCACGTCAGTAGTGTTTTTTTTGGAGAGCTGGCGTATTTGGACAACGTCATCAACTTGAACGGCAAATTTAGCCTTTTCAGAAGCCTCTTTGGCAGCACGCTTCTTCTCATCGGCTTGCACCATTGCTCGGAAAGCTTTGCGGGTATCGTCAAGCCACACAGATTCTAGTTCACGCTTGCCAGAGAACTCAGCCAAAGAGCGAACGCATGACATGATACGATCGACGGAATCCTCATCAATCGGGGCTTTGACAAACTGGGATTGGCCAACTCGAAGAATGGATATCATAATCAACATTGCCTCGGCTTTGAGAGCATTGGTCCTGGCGGTATCCTTTGAACACTCTGCATGTCTCATAACAAGCTTGACCAGTGTGGAGGACAGCACGGTACCTAGGTAGTAGTCGCCGTCAAGAATAAGCTGTCTCAGAGGAGGCTTCTGTGCTGCCTTTACAGCTTCCAATCTTGCGGCGGCGGATGATTGACTGGTAAGCGCTGACTCAGTGGCGTAGGTGCCATCCGCCAGAACCTTCCGTGAGCCAGTTGGGGCTGACTTGGATTCTCCGTTTGTTGGTTCATCCTTTTTGTCATCGGTATCCTGTTCCTCTAGGAGGCGTTGTTCTGATGCCAGAATGGGGATTTCGCCCAGGCTTGCACGGATCCTCTTCCAAGCATCGCGGATGTCCTTTGCCTCAAGCGAGTATTCACCGATAATCCATAGAATACCTCGGTACACTTTGCCAGCCCGCACTTCCTCAAGAGTAGACACAAGGCGTTCGACAATCGTAGGTCGCAGCTCAGGAAACTTCTCAACAACCTCCTTAACAAAGTTGATAACATCAACAGCAGATGCATTGTTAAAGTCCGAAATGAAGTCCATGAGCAGTTCGACGACGCTGGCGGCGACTTCTGAGAATTTGATCGCACATTGATGGATGGAATGAATCAACAGTGATCGGTATTCAGCGTTTTTCTCGTATTCCTGGTCGACAGTCTTGGAGAGTTCCTTTTTCAATAGCAGAACAACTTCTTCGACATTTTTGCTGGATACCATCTCCAGAGCAATGCCGAGTGCCTTGCGACGAACATCAATATCTGTGCTCGACAAAACACGCAGAATTTCCATGACAAGGTCGTCAAGAATTCCTTCATTCTTCTGTCTCAATTGTTCAACTCTGTCCAACACAATGAGCTTTACGTTGTTGTCCGCCTCCTTAATGCTAAGTTCAATGAACTTTGCTGCAGCAGCCTTCACGGCGACAGGATTATTTGTCAAAGCTGTGAGTGATGACGCAGCTTCGTAAACGACTGTGGAGGCACCGGCTTCTAAAAGATCAAAGATGAGTCTCAAGTAGCGTGCCTATGACGAAATTAGTTGGTTTTCAAGCGGCCAACGTCGGTCCACCTACCTTGTTTTGAGAATTTTGAATGGCATCTTTTCTGATGAACTCTAACTCAACAAGTTGTAGCAGCTCTTCAGCATTCGGGATTCCATCAAAAACTGAGCTTAAGTATACAAGTGCTGAATCGTGGTTGATGCTTGCAAGAGCCGCGAAGGCATTGCGTTTGCAGGTTGGATCAGTCTCGCCATCTAAGAATGCAGTGATAAGCTCGGCAGCGTCTGGGATGAGCGATGGGGAATGGCTGTAAAGAGACGAAACTGCAAATACCGCATTCTTGCGAACATAAGCGTGTCGGTGCTCCAAACAAGATCTAGCAGATGATAGCAACGGTTCTATCAACTCCGCTTCTCGAAGCTTGCAGAGAAATCGCAATGTGTTGCCACGGATGTATTCGTTGGGGTGCTGCAAGTCGTTTCGAATTCCATTGCTAGGAGAACATTTAGTTTTCACACTTTAGCATCATTCTGCCAACATACCACACAAGAATCATCTCCTGTTTGAGCTTGCCATTTGCATCTAATTTGGGACAAATTTCGTAGTAGAAGTAGAGAAGTTTCTTCAAAGGCTTGTACTTTGACGGCATCACAAATCGGATAATGTGCATGAGCAGGGTCGGCATCGGATCACCATTCAACATAATAGTCAAAATGGACTTCATCGTGTCTACTTTGCTCTCATCCGTGCCTTTCTCGAGTTGCAGTCGCAGGTCCGCGACAGAGGGTACATCAGCAGCATTGTCTTGATGAACCAAGCTATAAGCATTTTCCAAAAATCCAGACATTGTGCTTAGGTATTTTCGCAGTTCCGCTGCGTCGGATTGCAGAGTTGGGCGGTTACGTGGCGAGGGGCAATCAGGGGTCGTTTGGCGGGGAGCTCGTTGCGCGACGTCGGTGTGTTGTCGTTTCCTAGTGCCAACAGCAGACGTATTAGCTATATGTCGTTCGATTGTATATCAATGAGCTGTTAATTGCTAACCCGTTCGGCAGAGACTGAGCAAATGAGCTCTTATAATGTCCAATTCACCAAACCAGAGGCGGATGCAGAGCAGAGTAGGAACACGGCAGCCATCGCTGAACAGGTGGCAGCAACTGCTTGAGGCGGGGGCAAAGCGGTGTCATCACGTGAAGTCTGCCCCACCACATCGATGCGTATATCGCCAACGCCTCCCACTCAGCTTGAAGACGGCCTGCGACGAACGCATTGTACCAGAAAAAAAATGACGTCGACAAACGAACCTTTTTATTTACGATATTAGTGCGTATATACAGAAAGACTTGAATTGTTTGTTTGGATCTTATGTACTAACAGAAACATACAGTTCTGGCCATATGGGCCGTTTCGGTCATGAATTTCTAGGTATCACAATGATGCTACTCACAAGACTGGATGCCATTGACTAATAATTCTCCCTAGAATTTGACTTCCGCTCTGTTGGTGATGGGCGAAGTGCTGTAGCCAGATATGCCAACAACTCGAACTACCGAAATGACAGCTTAATTCGAAAAGAGAGTATGTTGGAGTTGTTCGACTATACTTGGTCACCTGCTTACATCCCACAATAGTGTGCGTTAGCTCTGTCTTGGTTGAAGAAATCAAACGAATCATCAAATCGAGTGAAATCATAAAGTACACACCAGTCTTCTGAGAGTTTTGATAAAATGCTAACATTAAACAGAGAGGACGATGCAAAATGGCCACAGAAGAATAAAGATGGACGTCAGCAATTGGAGATTCGTTTAGGAAATGATCATATTTCTTTTGAGGTTCGTAAAATCGACAAAACAAGCCATGTGCATATAAATATTAACATCGTGAACAGACAGCAAAGATTGGCTCCCTTGTCGACGTTACCGAGTCGGATGATCCTGAAGGGTTACGTGTATTTTACTACTTGGTCCAAGACCTAAAGGCCCTTGTATTTAGCTTGATTGCACTGCACTTCAAAATCAAGCCTATTTGAGCTGTTGACCAAACGGCGGTCAACTCCAAACAACAGCGCAACTTCTGGTGAGGCATCCCGAATGCTCACTTCGAACAAAAATGCTACCAACCAGACGGTCATGATAGCCAATACCAATTTTAACTGCATGCTTCATGACAACGCGTGCTAGTTATCCGCGTATGTTCATGTCGCAGCATTCAACGGAGATCTGAGAAGTTCAAGCGGCACAAGCCTGGGCCGGATGTAATCAACACAAGGGCAACAGAGTCACCGTTAGAATATACTTCCCCTATTTCTATAAATATATTTTTCCAAAAAAAAACAGATTAAAAGTACCAGAACTTTTTGTCGCACGTCGGTAGATCTCCAAGATCGAGTCTTATCAGTACCAGTACCAGTGAGAGCCCAAACCAGGCCCACCTCGGCTTTGCCGCCGCAGCCTGTAAAATGTGGCGACGCCGACGCCTGCCCGACCTAAGATCAGTCACTGAATCCACCACCACGAGCAGAACTGCGACCGGTCGCTTCACCTAGTTTCCAATCCGAAGGCGGCAGCGTGAGGTTTTCCTCTCTATATAACGACCTCTGAACCATAATATCTGTTGAAAATCAAGTCAAATCAACCAACAGTCGAGAACCATCAGAGGCGTTCGTCCACTTCGGCAAGTGCCTGCGTCAATGATTGCGGCGCTTCATAACGACACACGATTTTCCAATCGGCCAAATACCATGCTCGATTAATACGCATTGTATTCGATATTCCATTCCAATAAAACTCACCGATTCCGTATATACATCACAAGCGAGGCCCCTAGCCTTTTCGGAATACGATGCCGACACCATCCTCTAACCCACCCCCGGATCCGTCCCCTCCTGTACCTTACAACTTCTCAACATGCCCAGAAGACACCCAGCACACAAATACAGCACCGAGAACTGTACGAAATGAAACACTTTCTGAAGAAAACTCACGAGAGTCTTCGCCTGAAAGCGGCAATAATCGCCATACCCAATCACAGCAGCCGAGGTTGTCACCGAATCTAGATGGCCCTGGTGTAGCGAATGATCCCTCCCAGAACAATACACTCACCGTTGAGATATCTCTCCCAATCTCTCATACATCCGCTGTCGGTCTTCCTTCACCTGCGCCAAGCGGGTCGGGCAGTGAAGTCCTAAACGGTCGAGACTCGATGACGGTGCGGACTACAGGAGATTCCAAACAGCTACCTGAGACGACACAGGAGCTTAAACCGCTTCTTTTGACAAGAGAAATTGAACTGCTCCAAATGTCGCCACTAACTGATGAGACATACATTGCCTCAGATGGACCTGAGTTCTCCACAAGACGAGTAAGATGACTGTTGACAGCTATGGGCTAGGCATAACCAAGCTAATGTTATAGGCTATTCCAATATCTCCATCCTCTTTTCTGCGTCCCGGAAGCAAATTTCACGGCAGTCAACAATCAGAACGGCAAGTTTATGACGTGCAGGTAGAAATCAAATTTGTGGATTTGCGAGAAAGCTTTTTATGTGGTTATCTACGTATCCAAGGTATGGAACTGTTTTTTTGTCAAGATCTACGCTATTCTTGCGTTTAAGTATAACTCCAGAATAAAGCTAATGAATGGATTTAAGGACTCACCGAGGATCACCCTACTCTGACAACTTATTTCGAGGGAGAAATCATCGGCTCGAAGTACAGTTTCTTCACCCAGCATGACGACTGGGGGGCGAACCCAACCGTTGATTTAAACCACTGGGGGAAGTTCAGTGCTTTCAGGCAATTCTATAAATATGCCTCCAGAAGTCCCATGAGTATGCATGACGTCGCACAGAAAGAAAACATATTTATGCGATGGAAAGAGCACTTCCTAGTTCCAGATCATCGGGTCAGAACCATTACAGGAGCCAGTTTTGAGGGCTTTTACTATATATGCTTCAATCAGTTGAAGGGGGAAGTCAGCGGGATATATTTCCATTCTAAAAGTGAAAAGTAAGTGGCGATCCGCGATCTTGGAAGAACCCTGGCTAATTTTACAATAGATTTCAACAACTGGAGCTGCGACATGTGCCTGATAAAGGATGCTTTAACGCAATGGAGCTGCGATGAAATTTCAATTCATATACTCTATAATAATCCCCCTGCGATATTGATAATTTTGGCACATGAATGGGAGCATCGAGCTAGTGACCCAGATGCAAGGATGGCATTTTGCGCCTAGATATTGTTCTATTATCATTAACGCCTTCGAATTTCATGAATCCGGACAATCTAGCTTTCAAATTTTCTAAAGTATCCACGGCGGAATGGATTAAGTTCATCTGCAGTGGTGCCAGCGGTTTCTGCCGTAGTCCTGTTGTTGTACTCATCCACGGCTTCGGATGATACACTTGTATCTGGTATTCGGCGGTACGTTATAAGTCTACGTGACCCTGCTTCGCCTTAGTATAAGTGTAGTTATGAATTGCTTATGTACTTACATCTGTTGAACGACTGGATACAAATTGATATTGTTTCTAATCGGGGATGTGTTGGCGGTGGTATCTGCTGATCTTCCTCGTTTGCCGTAGGCATCCAGAAAGATAGTCGTCCACCATCTACCAGGGTTTGTGCCGCAAATTCCAGTATATCGTCGAGAATGGCAAAAAAGCTGTACGGTTTCTTTGGGGGAATGAAGTCAGGTGAGCTGTTCATATTCGGTTAGCAGTTGGTGGATAGAGTGCAGAATAACCAGTAGATATTTTTTTAACGCACGATGCAAGCTGTATGCCTTTTTCGATAACCCATGGTGTTTTCTCAGGGTCCCTAACGCCTAATACCCGGAGGCCTTCTCGCACACCGTAAGGGGGGTCGCACACAATTCCGTCCCAAATTCGTCGGCCTGGTTGGATAGGGCTGTTTGTAATGTCGGCCGCAAACGCATCTCCTAATCTCCCCAGGAGTGAATATTGTTCAAAATTGCTCACAAGACATTTGCCGTCACCTTCTCCTCTGATACTTCGTCCGTCGATATCACTGCCCCATGCCATGGCCCCAAAGTGTGCGCAAGCCACGGGGAATGACCCAGTACCAACAAACGGATCATAGAAGATCTTTCCAGGGGCTGCGAGTGCGATATTTGCCGTTATTAAGGCAAGCTCTGAATCCATACTTGTCGTTGATATGTAGTGTCTCTTCTTCAGGTCAAACTTGAGAACCACGTCGCGAGATGAATTCGCAATATATCTGCCGAGGAATATTTTTGTTGGATTTTCAATTCCCATCGGCACGCTATCAAATGGCCATATGTCAAATACTGTGAATATCTCATCCGGTTTGGACATCTGAATCTTGCCCTTGAGCGGTAGGTAGCTGAAAGAGTTGATAAGTTCGAGGCGTTTGGCATTCGGTCGAGATCCCTGGTACGAATCAATGACAAATTTGAATGACGATTGTTCATACTGCTTCCAGACTGAACTGTCTAGATTTCGTAGATTATCATGCAGTTGTGCCAAAGTATCGCCTGATCCATACAGCTGGTGGATTGATTGTGCGAGAATGGAGCGGCGTACCAGCCGTGCGGCATGTTCTGGGGACTCCAGTCGAACTATACACAAAGGTGACTATTAAAGGGTTAGTATACACGTATATTGCGTAACTTCAGGCCGGGCCATACGTCGTTCTCATAATGTACAATTTCTAGATTGACAGCTTCAACCTCCGCCAGAGCCTGTATCTCTGCTACCCTGAAGGTTTCGTGCGCCTGGGCAAATTTGATGATGAACTCCATTTGCGTCTAGCTATGTGTATTCGGTTAGATATGATTGTGTGTTGGATGTGTATGTCTTGGACTAAACGGGCATTGTAATATAACAAACGTGCTGCTTCTGAGTAGTGAGAATTGAAAAGTGTGCAGGTGGGGGTGGATCAGAACTTCGTCTGAACGCAGCGTCGAGATGTGGGTTGGTTAGATGAAAATATACAAACAACACAGGGAACAAGGATAGAGCGGACAGCGTGACAGTTTGGGCGTCTGGAAATTAAAGCATCACAAAAATCAACCACAACCACAACCCAAATTAATATTATCCTACTTGAGTCTAGACCGTACGTTCCTCTCGTCTGTAGACTGATGCTCCCCAGCCAAGGCTTCCTCCACCAAGGCTCGGAGGTCAGCCTGGCCTTGTTCACTATGAAAATCATCACGTTGAGCCAGTTCTTCGATACGTCGACGATACCCTTCATCCACCTCAGTCGGAATATCTGTTTCCTCGTTCATAGTGCCAACCGTGACTTTCATACCCTGGGGCAAAGATAATGCAGAGGAGTTGTCCCCAGCAAGAGGGAGCGATGTAGAAATACCCAACTTGAGGCGCAGATACAAAGCCACTTCTGGGAACTCGTTTTCAGTTTCGATCCTTTCCAGTGCAGTCGCCCCATCTGCGCCGCGGTGCTTGAGGTCAATATCCAGCTCTTCAACGAGAACCTTGGCAGCATCAACAGTTTCAACCACAAAAAGTGCTGTCTCGTCGTCCTCATCTTTAATGTTTACATCGACATTAAAATCTTGGACAAGGCGTCTTAAAAGATCAAGATGGTTGTAACTGGCGGCAGCATGGATTAATGAGTATCCATGTTCGTCCTGAGAAGAGGCTAGTGAGGGCGTTTCTTGAAGTATTGGTAGTAACTCGGGACTATTGTCCGCCGCAAGAAGAAATACGTTAGGTGCCATGTTTAGTGCAAAGTTCACACCGAAGTCGACCAAATAGTGATGTTAATTGTGCAGTTGATAATGCCCTGGTCATAGGCTTGACTTCAGAAAAGTCGTCTCCCCTCCGCAGTGGGTCGCCCAACTCTTAGAAGCAGACAAATCCGAAGAGTGGTGATGAAAAGTATAAGTTATTCTGAGGAGTTTTGTTAAAACCCAAGCTAGTGATTTAAAACTAAATCACAAATATTATCCCAATTTATGTCTTTTGAGGGTCCTTTTTTTATATTTTTATTTTTAAGAGCGAACACTTTAAGCAGGTTCTACAGCGAACCTCGTTGGAGTCTGCCTGGAGGAGGCGAAGCAAATTCTGTCCCACAAGTGAAGTGACTCAGGCCGACGTCAGGCTGGGTACAAAACGAACGAAAACTCCCCACTAGATCAACAGCTCTGTGACGCAACAACCCTCCATAGAATCGTTACACCACAGCTAGAGTGCTGCAAATATCAAACACTATAAACCTTACAGCTTTATCACTGCTGTTGATCACGGCTCTGTGCGCAGCATGACTGTCAAGGTGATTAACCAGGATGAGCACCAGGTTGCTCACCTAATTAAGCAGCTTGAAACAGCGAGCAAAGATAAGCGAAAGAGTTCGGTGTCAGTCAGAAAGACAGCATTTGACGTGAAAGGATCAACAATTCGGCAAAGGGTCTTCTCATGGAGGTTTCAAGACTGGGACTATAAGAAGAAGGAATTACCAACACATGCTCGTGGTCTCTTCACTACAACTACACGAAATATTCCCGAAATCGCAGTCAGAGGGTATGATAAATTTTTCAACACTGGAGAAGTCTCTGAAACGAAGTGGGAAAATATCATTTCTAAAACGACGCCACCGTACGAATTGACTTTGAAAGAAAACGGCTGCATTATTTTCATTGCTGGTCTTGAAGATGAAACTCTCTTGGTTTGCAGTAAACATTCAACCGGAGATCGGCCTGGGCAAATAAGCCATGCAAATGCAGGAGAGAGATGGCTGGAAAGACAGCTTGCGACAATTGGCAAAACAAAACAAGATCTTGCCAGAGAACTTCGCAGCCGAAACGCAACTGCGGTCGCCGAACTCTGCGATGACAGCTTTGAGGAGCATGTGCTCGCGTATGGGCCTGACAAAGCCGGATTGTACTTGCATGGTTTGAATTTTAACTTGCCGGAATTTGCAACGTATCCTAGTGCCACAGTCCAAGAGTTTGCGGATAACTGGGCTTTTCGCCAAACGAATTTCATTACGATGAATGATATACAAGAAGTCAAAACGTTCCTTGAGGATGCTGCATCTACTGGAGCATACGATGGCCGCGATATTGAAGGCTTTGTGATTCGGTGCAAAATGTCTCCAAGCCCGGGTTTGGTGCCCTATCATGATTGGTTCTTCAAGTTCAAATTTGAAGAGCCATACCTAATGTACCGACAGTGGAGGGAGTGTACGAAAGCTCTAATCAGTGGAAGAGAGCCCCGATACAGCAAACACTCCAGAATTACAGAAGAATACTTGCACTACACAAAGCAACGGTTAATATCAGATCCATCAATGGCGAAGCTTTACACTCAAAACCATGGGATCATAGCCCTGAGGGATGAATTTTTGCAATTCAAGAATTTAAATGGTTCAGAGGCTGCCAATATTGACTCCGAAGACGTCACAGCTGTCATGTCCAATGTGACAGACCAAATAGTTCTCTGTCCTATTGCTACCATTGGCTGCGGCAAAACCACAATCGCTCATGCCCTCACAACATTATTTCAATGGGGACATGTTCAGAATGACGACATCTCTGGCAAGGGAAGACCTCCAAGATTTGCTAAAGCTATAGTGGACGCGCTCAAGAGCCACCAGGTTGTCTTTGCCGACAGGAACAACGCCCAGAAGCATGAGCGAAAGCAAATTATCACAGATTTGAAACTAGATATCCCAGATGTCAAACTTGTGTGCCTACATTTCGTACACAATGAAGAAGATATCGCGAAAATCAGAGATATTACGCGAAAGCGTGTGGTGGACCGTGGTGACAATCACCAAACAATCCATGCTGCTACGGATGGGTCTAAATATATGAAGGTTATGGACGGCTTTTTTGAACGATTTGAGCCTTGCAATCCTATTTCAAGACCAGATAATGGATTTGATGTTGTGATCAAACTGGATCCAACTGCTGGGTCCCGGGCTAACCTTGAGGCCGTGATATCCGGACTCAACAAAGCCTTTCCTGATCTCTTCGAAGAAATTCCAAATCAAGCAGATTTGGATAGAGCAGTGGAAGCTGCGTTGACCTACAAACCAGGCGTGAAACAGAGAGTTGTCGAGCGCGCGGTCCTTAAGCCCACCGCCGGCTCGAAGCGTAAGCAACGGCTAGAATATGTGGCTATTGCGATACCTAAGGATTTTATCAACAAAATGCTTGATAAGACGTTCTCAGGGGTAAAAAAAGAGAAATCTCGCATGTTCATGCAACTGAAACAAACCAGACGCATACAGAACGAGTTCCACGTTACTCTAATGCACCGCGCTGCCGAATCTGATAACCCAGAGCTTTGGAAGCGGTATGCCATGCTGCACGATGCTACTGACGAGAAAAATCCTGATATGGGATCTTGTTCTGTATTTATGGAAAGGGTAACTTCTCTTTGCTTTGCACGCTCTCCTGTATCTATATACTAACACTGACACAGATTGTTTTTGATGACCGGTTGATGGCGGTGGTGGTACGTATTGACGACCCGGAAGGTAACTGGGTTTGTGCAAACCGGGTTGCACATATTACAATAGGCACCCGAGACAACTCAGTAAAACCCAAGGAGAGTAATGATTTGCTTGCTAAGTGGTTGGATCACGGCCTCATTAATGGCATGGACGAAATTATGTTGTCCGATGCACAGGTAGTCGCAGGAACCGTACGTGGAGTCCTATCCAGATAAATTAACTACTTCGGCCACCTTATCTCGTCGACCAAAATTAGGTACAGAATTCTATGACCTTGCAGATCTAAGATGTACTCGTATGTGTTGGTCAAGACGTCGTTTTACTCGTCATCGACTATTCTGGACGCCAGCCTGCCGAAAAAGGGAACTTCGTATCTATGTTTGAACTCGTTAGACTTCTTTCATGGGAGAGGGGGCCACAAGGCGCTAATCTGTCGTACCTGTCTAGTATCTCTGCATCACAGAATGCTCTATACGCCAGTGACGCCATTAAGCCAAGGTCTATAATAAATAGAAGCCAGCTGAGGAAATGAGACCATGATATTAGGAGATGTAATACCATCATAAATGTAAATAACAGAGAAGATTGCCAGGAATGAAATCTATCGCTGGTTAGTAAAGTCTCAGCAGCGCATGATAATGGTGCCAGGTACCTGACAAAGTCACTATTTCTCTCCAAGATCAGCAATACAATGGAACCAATGGGGGGAATAGCAAGGTAGGCCAGTGATGCCTCATAATCCAACCGTATTCCTAAGCTCGTGTCAAACTCGCTGACTTCTGCTATAGGGAATGCGCCTGGCATGGCGGAGGTGGTACTAGATATAGCTGCGGCACGTTCGTCCGCTCCCCAGCCATTTGCTCGGCCATCGAAGCCGTTCCAAGAACGCTGTGGTTGTGGATGTTGTAAAGGAGGTGGACTTTGTGTTGGGTTGACTTTTACGGGTGTAAAGGTCCGTATGGTGGCATCTAGGGACGCTCGAGGCGAGGCACCGCGATCTGGTGACACTCTTCCATGCTCTGGAGGCGAGGATTGATATGGGGCAAAGTTCATGTTTGCCTACCAAGATGTGATGACTCCTGTTTATAGGCTGCAGCGATCCTAGATATATTATTGTTCGGATGGTGCGGAATGGCTGACGTTGTGATAAACCCTGAGGTTGGGCGGGAGTGCGACTGGTTGACCTTTCGCTGTCGCGTCACATGAGTGGATCAGCCGTTTGGCGAACTTGGAGGTAGCCCCAAATATTCACCTCCTGGTGACAGCTGGTCCATAGCCCAAAACACATTGTGTCTTGTCCACATTTAAAGAAAATTCTAATATGCCAAAACGACCAGACACAAACTTGTTCTGATTTAAAGGTTTGGGCCCATAGTGAACTACAAAGGCGCGACGAAGTTAAATCTATTTTGGGTAATCAGCTAAGCGCCATGTCTAGATAGGGATGGCTATGGTGTTACAAATGATTTGTAGTATACAAGTAGGTTTCAGTTATACATAAAGATTTAGACCCTCTTTCCCCAAAGCAGTAATGCAGAGCTAAAACGTAACAGAGTTGATCTTACTCTGATTGTACATCAAGCTGCTCTCTGCGGCCCTCCAATGCTAACCAAATATTTTGACCTCCACTTTCAAGGGTCCTGCTTAATCCAAGGCTTGGACTCTGGAGTAGATGAACAAGCTGGGCTCGTAGGCCGTCTAGACCGCCGTCAATGCCACCCACCCAGTTGATACCAGCCTGGTCCAAAATCTTGCGTTCAACTCGACCTCCCACTAAAAGCAACTTTGCAAGGCCATTTTGACAGGTCAAATCATGATATCCTGGGCTCTTTTTTCTTGTTGGTGCAGGGAATAGGCCTGGGACCGGGGCAAGGATCGAAAGAGCTGCTGCTAAATGCGCCGGTGACACAGTCGGCAAAACAAGCGCTGCCAACGGCCCAACCATAAGAGGCTCTATTTGGGCATAGTCGGAATTAGGATGTGTTTTCGCTGACTGCATGGACTCATAAGCAGCCTGCGATAAGTCGTGGACAAGCGGGCCGGCACTAGAACGAATGGTAGAGCTACGACTTGCAGCCGCTTCAGGATCGTGGAATTCCACGATTTTCAGAGCAACATTGAACATATTTGTCGTTAAGACCTCAATCCTGATACTCTCGGCAATGTCGATCTGCTGCCCACTCTCATCTGTTGTTGATTGGGGTACGCTGGCGAGTGCTTTCTTCAGCTCTCGTCGTACAGCTGCCCATTCTACTGCCGTCAAATTGCTATGCTGAAAAAATAGGAGAAGAGGTGATGAACGAAGGAGCGCTGTATAGCTTCGAATCATTTGGCTCTTTCTTGTAGAAATAGGTCGTGCGCTTGCTGGTTTCGAAGGAGGTGAGGCGGATTGCATTGGCAATTGTGAGGCGTGAAAACTCGAAGAACTGGTCGGAGTTGTTGTAGCAGTATGTAGGGTATTGACAAGGACCCTTCGAGATAAGGAAAGTCGAGACAATTCATTTGAGTATGATGACAGGCCCTGGGCCAATGCCCTGGCCGGAGTTGAAAGCCGCGGCGCCATTGCGTGCGAATAATGCAGTTTGCTGAGTTTACCTGTCTCGACTTGAAGGTTTCTTTCAAGGGGCAGTGGCCGGGAGAATCATACTCCGCTACCGGGGCAGAAGCGTAGGTGGGGCCCGAGGCCAGGCTGCCGGCGTGATGGCGTGGGCGTGTAGCGTGGCGGGACGACCACAAGCTCCGTCAGCACTGGTCAGTCTTGTGGACGAAGTAGTACACCAACACCACAATCATTCATCCACGTCGTTCGTTCGACTTTCAACTAAACTAGAGCAACTGGTACTCTCGGATACGTTTTCTATATACCACTATAACTAGCGGGTGTCTGCCGCAACGAACACGATGTCTACCCTCGAAGAGCTCGACGACCTCGATCGCCGCGATAAGGATGACCAGAAAAGACACGGCAGGAAGGCCTTGGATAAGAACGGGGATGAAGATGCCGATATGAATGATGCAACTGCAGAAGAAGATATTCTTGATGAAGAAATTCTTGGTCTTAGCACTCAGGATATCGAGACCCGTAGACGACTGTTGGAGAACGATTCTCGCATCATGAAGAGCGAACTATCGCGATTATCACATGAGAAAGCAGCAATGGGAGAGAAGATCAAAGATAATGTTGAAAAGATTGCAAACAACAGGTTGGTACAAGTCGCATTTAAACCCGGAGTCGAAACACATCTGACTTTTGTATAGACAACTACCTTATCTAGTCGGCAACGTTGTAGAGCTTCTCGACCTCGACCCAACCGCGGAATCATCAGAGGAGGGAGCAAACATTGATCTTGATGCCACAAGAGTTGGAAAATCAGCTGTCATTAAAACATCAACACGGCAAACAATCTTCTTGCCGCTCATTGGTCTCGTTGACTCTGATGAATTAAAACCCGGTGATCTCATCGGTGTCAACAAGGACTCTTATCTCATTCTCGATACGCTGCCCGCCGAATATGACAGCCGAGTCAAAGCCATGGAAGTCGACGAAAAACCGACCGAACAGTACACCGATGTTGGTGGACTAGACAAGCAGATTGAGGAGCTGGTAGAAGCCATTGTCTGGCCGATGAAGGAGGCTGATCGATTCAAGAAAATCGGTATCAAGGCGCCAAAAGGTAGATTGCAGAGTACTTTTTATTGATGGAGAACATGCGATGCTAATGGTTGAAATAGGTGCGCTAATGTACGGCCCTCCTGGCACTGGCAAGACCTTACTTGCTAGGGCTTGCGCTGCACAAACCGAGGCCACATTCCTCAAGCTGGCAGGACCACAGCTGGTTCAAATGTTTATTGGTGATGGCGCTAAGCTGGTGAGGGACTGCTTTGCTTTGGCAAAAGAAAAAGCACCCGCAATCATTTTCATTGACGAGCTTGACGCCGTTGGTACGAAGCGATTCGACAGCGAAAAGAGTGGTGATCGAGAAGTGCAGAGAACTATGCTGGAACTTTTAAACCAGCTTGATGGGTTTGCCTCTGACGATCGCATCAAAGTTTTGGCAGCAACGAACAGAATTGATGTCTTGGACCCCGCACTACTTCGTTCTGGTCGCCTGGATCGTAAGATCGAATTTCCGCTACCAAATGAAGAAGCTCGCGCCCAAATCATGAAGATTCATTCGCGCAAGATGAGAGTAGACCCTGGCGTAAACTGGGGTGAACTTGCGCGTAGTACTGACGAGTTTGGTGGTGCTATGCTCAAAGCTGTCTGTGTCGAAGCAGGCATGATTGCACTGCGATCAGGCAAGAACAAGATTGGCCACGAACATTACGTGGATGCTATATCAGAGGTTCAAGCCAAGAAAAAAGATGTAAGTTTCAGACATGCTTTATTATGCAATTTCGAGCACCGGCTAACTACTCAAACTCCTATAGACGGTCAATTTTTATGCTTAGTTATGTCGCTGCGTTGGGTCATGGAAAGCGCACACTGCTTCTGGTGGGATAGGCGTGCAGCTCAGCTCCAAAAGAACGCGCACTTCCTTGACCACTGGATCTGTACGTAGTACGATAGACAAAATTAAAGTTGATGTATTTTTTTATTTAAAAAAAGGGTCGACTGGTGACTGACTCAAGATTTCATACTAAAATTCATTTGGTGACAACTGGTACTTTAAACTCACTCTTTAGTGTGTACGCCTTAAGTTTGTAGCGGTTCAAATCTATATAGACTAGCTCAAGGTTCTTGTGCATGGGCAAATCAACCATCCCAAGCATGGAAGGGTACCGCATGGGGAGGATTTTGTTATACAATTAGAAAAGTGGTTGAAAAGAAGACGGAGTTGGCGCAGCAAGTTCATAAGACACGGGTTGACAGACTGACTATATTCGAGCCGTACAGCGGAAAACATGGCCTCAGTTCACCTATTTTGTTCATAAATCTCTAATCTAAACCGAAAACAACAAGATATTGACCAAATGGAGGGGTCCTTAAGCCCAAAGTCTGCAAGTGCCGTCGGCACCAGCGCTGACACACCAAGGATGTTTAGGGTGCCAGTCAACATCCAGCACACCCAATTTACTAACAACTTTGTGACCTTTGAGCATTTTAACAGGGACAATAGTTGCATTCTCCATCAGATCGCTCACGACGCGCCCGTGGAAGATTTGCAGTGTTCCATCATCACTAGCATCTGCAAAAATGGGCAGAGAACGATGATATTTGACTGATCGAATCGCCTCTGAATGGAAACGCATTGTTTTGTAAGGGCGGTTCGAGAGGTCCATGTCATGCCAGAGCAGACGTCGATCGTACGAGCCGACGATCAAGTTATCTCCTCCTGGATGGATATCAAAGGATGATATCCATTTCGCGCCAGGTTGGATCACCTTAACAAGTTCCTGGCGCTGTAGGTCATAGCATCGGATCATTCGTTGAGTAGCAACGAACAAGAGAGGTCGTAAAGGATGAAATGCGGCAGTTTGGGCCAATCCGGGTAGGCGTCGGAAGGGGATTTGGCTCAGATGTTTCGAAAGAGTATGAATGGCCACCGAGCTTCGTTGCCCGGAGGGGGAAACGGTACAAAAAAAGTCACCACGGCGATGCCAGTTAATTGTTTTGACAGTGGATCTAACAGTAACTTTGAGGAGCACACCCGCTTGTTCCAATTTGGAACCTGGGCGTGTCCATTTGGCTGGTGGCTCTTTGGTGGGCGCTGTGGTAGTCGATGTAGAGTTGCTGGCATAGCCGAAGCCGGCGTCGAGAACGTCCCGGCTTTGTTTTTCAACCTCGTCGCTTATGACGGGCGCCGAGACTAAGAAAATATCCTCGCCTGCAGCAGCGGCAAAGATGAAAGTGTCCTTGTTGGGCCGCCAGCGAATCGCGCTGACGGGTTCATCAGAAGAAATTTTGCACTTCCATTCCTCTTTACCGTTTAGTGACCATAGACGCACAGTACCATCATCTCCACCAGATGCCAACCATTCGCCATCGGGACTAAACGCAACTGACCGAACTCTACCTTCATGCCCATGGAAGATCGTTTGACATAAAGAAGGAAAAGGCTTGAGATCCTCTGGTCTAGGCAGTTTCGGGAGTAGAGAGTTAGGGTCAATATTGAGCCTATTTTTCTTCACTCGAGGAGCGAGGTACAAGTCCAGACAGCGCTCAAACCGCTCTTTAACAAGATTCAAGTACGCCGGAACTTTCCTCAGGGCATCAAATTGCTGAGGCAAATAATGCTTTTCTCGCTCTTCTTCATCCTGCGCCTCCCATGCGGACTTTTCTTCTGCTGTGGGTAAGTACTCCCTGGGCGGGTTGTAGCTCAGGTCGTAGCCGGGAGCCGCTAACTTCGGTGCAGGAATGTTCATAACATGGCGTTCTTGAGCTTCTTCATTAGACCAAATGTCGTAATAGATATCGTCTGCTTCCTGTTCCTCAGGCTTGTCTTCCTTTGGTTTGTAAGGCAGAATTTTCCCCTCCTTTATAGCCCGCACTAGCTGTGCAACTCGCTTCGCCTCGTGTTTCGATGGGATAAATCGTCTCTTGGGTTCTGGAGCGGCGCTTAAGGGCATTTTCTCTTCAATTGATGTGAAGTAAGGGATCAAATCCTTTCCAAACAGTTAGTATTATGCAGACTGAGGATAGTAAACCGGGTGTCAACTTACGGGGTATGGATCATAGTTTTCTCCAGGGACTTCGTTCATTTGAATCTTCTTCAAGAGCTCAAGTTCTTCTTGGCTGAGATTCAGAGGTTTTCCAGTTTCAGGATCAGTAAGACCAGTCCAGCCTTTCGGAATTTCTATGCTATCGAGCAGAGCATCCAAAGCCTCCCCAGTTGCCGGTCGCATTATCTTCTTTCCATTGATATCATAGCCAATATGAGGATAGGAATCATAGAATGATAAGGGAATGTTTCCAATTGTGTTTGTGGCCTCGTGAGCATCGCTGTCGTCACTGTCGTAAACAGCATCGATCTCGGCGTACTCGTACCTTTCGCCACCTTTTGCGTCCTTGACAATTCGATAGGGAATATCATCCTCGTCCTGAGATAGGAGAGTATCGGAGTCTTCGTCGGCATCGGAGATCAAATCTTCTTCCTCCTCTCCCTCCACATCGTCAACGCTGTCGCTCTCATGGTCCGACAGGATGGATTCCAAGTTGCCGTTGAATTCGTCAGCCTCTGGCTCTTCTAATCTGTCAGCGCCTTTGCGCTTTTGCGCCAGTACAGACTTCACCATCGCTTGACCCCAGTCACAGAGACTATCTGTATACAATGCAATCAGTTCTGAGAGGTGAAGCTTGAGACTGGCGACTGGTGAAGGGCCGCAGACAACTTTTTTTTTCGACCACAAGCTTATCGGCCGCCAACGACCCACTCTGGTAACGATAACGGTTAGGCGCTAACTAAACTGAGGTCGAAGAATATCGGATATGGACTGAGCGTAACCGGTGGGAAAATATCAGTCGATAAATGACTACTGAATGATCTCGAGACTAAACCGCTGGTGGCTATGGTAATTCCAGATTGATCACTTGATGCGACCTTCATATGCTCGTTACTTGCAGTGCACCTACTCTACCTAGATATTTTTACTATACAAAATAACACTATTACCCGGATGACTAAGCTTGAAATTTTAATTAATTTAATCCAAAATAAAACACAAAAAGAGAGAGCTGATATCCCTCAAAAAACCCTAAAAATGAATATTTAATCGATCCACTCGACGTACAAAAGGCATATTGGTAAACCAATAAAAAACGACCGTAACAAAAACCCGCAACAATTCAGTAATTTAATTTCCTCAAAACAAAACATTGAATAAATTATGGCACGCGCGCTGCGAAAATTTATTCACAAATTAAAAACTCTAGTAGAGCAATACCAGACTATATTAACTTTGAACATACAATTCTAATTAATCTAGGTCTTTTTATCAAAGAAACCAGTGATTTTCCCTTTACAATTTGTTTCGAAAGCCAAATTTCCCGTCAAATTTCCACCTAATTTTTGAAAATTTGCACCCCCGGTCCCGGTGCTAAGGCGAGGCTTCTTGCGGATCTCATCAAAATCACCAGTTTCCGTTGCCACCGCCCTCTTTTTACTTTCATCTGGTTTGATATTGTCCAACGGTTTGGATTTGAAGAAATGGACGATGTTCGACTTGTTACGCGCATCATCTAGAGGACGGACGAATGCAGGAGAGTTGTTGCCAACCTTGCCCACATCTTGATGGACTGGGTACACCTCTAACTCACCAGAGAAAGGTTTCAAGGTTGTTTGGAGCTCCTTGGACCATATTCTCCTCCGGGGGTCAAGCCATGTCCATAAAGCGTCAGAGTTAGGCTCCAAGATAACTGGCATACGGCTATGAAGAAACTTCAGCTGCTTGTTGGAATCTGTGGTAATAATGGTGTAGGTGAAGGTCTTCGTCTCTGATCCTGGGTAATGTTAGTTGGAAGTGACTGTACAGGCGTTCAAGCACTTTCGAGTCGTGAAATACCTTCATACTGTACAGAATCCCAGAGTCCAGCAATACACATCAAACGTCCATCTTTTCTTTTAACATAATGCGGAACTTTACTCTTTGGCCCAACTTGGAGCCATTCGAAGAAGCCTTGCGCTAAGACAATGCATCGTTTGTGAGCCTTCATGGAAGACCACATGCCACCAGGGGTAGCCAACGAGTCATCACGGCAATTGATAGTTTTCAACATGGTTGAATAGTTTGGGTTCCGTTTTGTCCAGGAAGGAATAAGACCCCATTTCATCGATTGCATCTTGTAAGATGTAGTTCGCGTGTTATCCTGTGGACCTGTTGTGAGGCTGTCTGTACTGCCCGTACTTTCTTTTGCATCGCTTTGGGAACCACTATCATTTGCTCGATACACCAGCCCAAAGTATCCTGGTGCAAAATTGTAGGTCGACCGAGGACTGGCTCCTGTGTCGTCTCCGGGGCTCTCTCCCACCGGCATGTCATCGTCTTCCAGCATCTGGCGAACGTCTGATGGTCGCTGCGCAGAACTGTGAATTAGCCGTCTATTCATATGAGATAATATACGTGCCACATGTCCTTACCAGAGCAAGCGCATATCTTCCACACATTTTTTGTGAGGTTTTCGAGAATCAATTGCACGCGTGCAAATGACGGCACTAACACCGGCGAGAGCTGAACGGTCTTCAGCGCTCTACTTGGCTTGTACCGCAAGGTACCACCGGGGCGCCACACAGTGCGTAAACAAACCCAAGTTGGCAAAACACAGCAACCCAAATAAGACCAAAGAGCCATGATAATTAAAAAGAAACGGCTTGAAAAAGAAAACGATGATAAACCGGTCTTAATGCAAATAGAAAACTTATCTACTGTGAAATGCTGTAGGAATGAATATTTGGGGAAGTCGTGAAGCACAAATAGTCAATATTGAGTGAGGGCCTTCGAGCACGCTACCAATAACTATATATGTACTTACAACAATAAGACACAGGAAAATAGAGTCTGATAGTTGATATTGAAATACACAATATAAGAACTGGAGAAATTACATTAATGTATGTTGGTCTGTTTTTAAAGATATTAAAATCAGGCTTCTAGCAAAGTGATATCTAGCACTTTTGAGAGCTGACCAAGATCTAAAGCTAGCATTGCAGCTGTTTGGCCGCTTGTGTTTCGTAAACGACGAACATCTTGCTCTACCGTTGTAGGTAAGCGACCTAACCCCATAGCAGATGCTGTATCGTGCACTTGTGAAGGGAATTGATGTTCGGTTAATGTCGAAGAAAGCCATAAAAGCAACCAGATAGCCCCTTCGTGGCCACCCTCAACGGCCAAGTGAAGACCGCTTGTCATATTAGACAGCGGGTCTTGATAGCGAACAATAGACCCAATGTCTGCAACTTCAGAATCTGCGTGGATTAGAAGCTCGATTAAGCCATCAATGTCGCCTTCGGCGCACATGACGCTGAACGCTCTGGCAGGTAACGCTTCTGGGTGTTCTTGAACGTATGCTTCTTCATTCAACGAAGCCCATAATGGCAGGTTAGATTGAAGGCCACCTTCATTTAAGTATTCGACATATATTTCAGGGGTGCTGCTGGACGAGCTTGCTGTTGCTCCAGAGCCCGCTGCCCCTACATGTACATCGCAAGACGGGCATTTTAAAGACTGTACAACAGACGATGCCTCGTCCATTAGACATTGCCTAAAGAATGGATGTTTCGTATCAGTACAGGCCATCAATACGGTAGTCTTCCAAAGAAATTTGCGGTGTTAGCTTGTGCTAAGACATACCAATGAAAGTGACAATGGCAAATCAGCTCTACATCGTCTGGGATTTCTTCGCTAGAAACAGCACTGCCATCTTCAATATCAACTTCACTCTCTAAGAAGAGCTTTTGATCGCAAGCACTACAAATAGCCATCTTTGATTTCCCCCCTTTGGTTTAAAAAAAAAATCAGAGTCTGGCGTGTTCGTCCCGGTGTTTAGTGTCGACACCACGAGACTGACTTGGCTGACAGAAAAATTGGTTGCAAGTGTTGGCCCCACACCAGTGTCGAAACTTGGAGAGGCTGCAGTAAGAAGCTAACCAGTTAGCTACATTGTCCTTCATTCATATTAGCAGGCGTATTCAGAAAAGGCAGCTATAAATAGTTTGCCGTCTGATATATCACTTCCAGACGGTACAGAACACTGGAGGAGGCGCAACTAGGTGCCTGGCACTCGGTGTCGCCGGATGTAGAAGCCAACTTCGCCAACAGCCACAGTGACGTACCCTCATCCGCCGCGCGTAAAACCTGCCCCACTACCTCACACCCCGCCTCGTGAGAACAGGAGCCGCCTCCTTTCCCTTAGCACCATCAAGAGTCTCTTGCTTCCTTTTAAATCGGATAATCATACGTCAAAGACCACAGGGAACGCCTTGCGACAATCTTCAGGACCATTACATTAGCTAAATCGTCTACCATACGGTAACCCCAGCGCTCGACGGATATCCAGTGCGCTCATCATGAATGTCCTCAAGCTCCAGAGGTAGGTTTACGAAATACACAATGTCTACCTATATATGTTTTGCTTACCTACTGAAACTAAATAGGAAATTTCCTCAATTCCCTCAAAATGAGATCTTCACCCTATCGGATGCATTCCAGCGACTAGACGTTGATGATAAAGGCTACCTCGACGAGGCCACCGCGATCAAGGCAACGCAGCAGAGTGAAAATTTGCCCTACGATGTTGTTAGACAGGCCCTCAAACAAGTGGAACTCGATTCATCTCGTCGAGTAGAGCTGGAAGACTATGTTGGCGTACGTCTCCTCCCGTTCCGTCTAGGTTATATTGACTAACAGGTGATGTGTAGCTCATCGCCAAACTGCGAGATGCGCCAGCGCCCCAGAGCCAAGCGCCCTCTGCTACCACGAAACCCGCTCCTCCTAGTGTTGTTTCCCAACGCACCGGTAGCCATTCTTCGAAGCCAAGTGTAGGCGGCAAAATTCAAGTCCAAGGATCCAGTGCAAACATCACACACACTATTAACGAAGACGAACGAACGGAATTTACTCGCCATATCAATGCGGTTCTGGCTGGAGATGTCGACATTGGCTCTCGTTTACCTTTTCCCACCGACACATTCGAAATGTTTGACGAGTGCAAAGATGGCTTAGTCCTCGCCAAGCTCATCAACGACAGTGTCCCTGATACTATCGACGAGCGTGTACTCAATCGCCCTGGAAAGAAGATCAAAGCACTTAATGCCTTCCAGATGAGTGAAAACAACAACATCGTTATCGAATCCTGCAAAGGCATTGGTTGTTCCGTGGTCAATATCGGAGCCGGCGACATTATCGAAGTCCGAGAGCACCTTATTCTCGGCCTGATTTGGCAAATCATCCGTCGCGGTCTGCTGAGCAAGATTGATATCAAATTGCATCCTGAGCTTTATCGTTTGCTGGACGAAGATGAGACGTTGGAACAGTTCCTCAGACTTCCACCAGAGCAGATTCTGCTCCGTTGGTTCAACTACCACCTCAAGGCCGCAGGTTGGGCAAGACGGTACGTCCTTGTGTTCCATATACCCTTGATAATTATCACTTAGCTAATCGTACCTAGCGTCAACAACTTCTCATCCGACGTAAAGGATGGCGAAAACTACACAGTCCTACTAGCTCAAATTGGCAGCGAATATGGATGCACTAGGGCTGCTCTGCAAACACGCGACTTACATGAGAGAGCTGAAGAGGTACTTTGCGAGGCAGACAAACTCGGATGTCGCAAATTTTTGAGCCCTACATCGCTTGTAGCTGGAAACCCCAAACTGAACCTCGCCTTCGTCGCAAACTTGTTCAACAACCACCCGGCCCTGGATCCTATCACCGAAGAAGAGAAACTTGAGGTTGAAGATTTCGACGCAGAAGGTGAGCGAGAGGCGAGAGTTTTCACCCTCTGGCTCAATAGTCTGGACGTACAGCCTGCTGTGGTGTCGTTTTTCGATGACTTGAGAGATGGCAACATCCTTCTTCAAGCTTACGACAAGGTCATCCTGGGTTCGGTCAACTGGCGTCATGTCAACAAGCCTCCAGCCCATGGAGGCGAAGTTTCAAGATTCAAGGCCGTTGAAAACACCAATTACGCTATCGAATTAGGCAAGCAGATTGGGTTCTCCTTGGTCGGAATTCAAGGTGCAGATATCACCGATGGCCAAAGAACTTTAACACTCGGTCTCGTCTGGCAGCTTATGAGAAAGAATATCACCGTTACTTTGTCATCCCTTGCTCAAAAGCTTGGCAAGCGCGAAATCACAGACGCGGAAATGGTACGATGGGCCAATGACATGTCCAAGCAAGGTGGAAAGTCATCGGCTATTCGATCGTTCAAAGATCCATCTATCGGATCCGGAATCTTTTTACTGGATGTTTTGAATGGAATTAAGAGCAGCTATGTCGATTACGACCTTGTCACGGTCGGACGAACAGATGAGGAAGCGTACATGAACGCAAAGCTTAGCATCAGCATAGCGCGAAAGCTTGGTGCCACGATCTGGCTTGTCCCTGAAGATATCTGCCAAGTTCGTAGTCGCCTTGTGACTACATTCATCGGTACGTTAAATATGTCTTTCGTGGCAATTGCTCTGTTCGATTAACGCTAACATGTCTTGTAGGCTCACTAATGGCAGCGCATGAAAAGATGTAAATAGAAAAACACCTACTATAGCCGTCCGGATAATTAGCTAGTAAAACATTCTCTTTAGGAATTATATAAAAGGATTTTGCTGCATGAAATTAAATATCAGAAAAACATTGTCTTCATTTCTTCGTTCACGGGCTGGTTGCGTCATCGAGAAGATGACGTATGATCTTATTGGCTAGGATTTATTATGTAATCAAATTTCCAAACTCCACCAAAACTGGACGCCCTGCGTTTTCATCGGCTCTTATCGCATCATCTTGTCGACACCATACAACTGCACTTGTATCTGCAGCTGCTCTTTTCGCTTTCAACGTCGAGTTCCATCAATTATGTCTCGTGGAAGCCAAACCCTTTACGTTACCGGGTTTAGCCACGGCACCCGCGCGCGCGACCTCGCATACGAGTTCGAACGGTATGTCAACCACGCCCAAGGCACCGGATAGCCTACGCCCAACCCCCGATTATCGCCGTCGTCCTCGTCCTCGTCATCGCTTTCGTCATCGCCCTAGCTTCGCCCTCGCACTTATTCGTCCACGCCCTCGTCCCGATCCACGCCCCTCGCTTGCGCTTCCCCACGTCCCCCTCCCCGTGTACGAGTTCAGACATCCCCGTATGAGAACAGCTGGTGCGCTTCAAACGCGGGCAAACCAGCGCCAAGACCAGTATATTCACAACTCTATATGATGTTATAGTGTTCCCCATTCTTCTACATCCATTGGGTATAAGCTACATAGAGAACGGAGTGGTTTGACGGAAGCCTGGCAAAAGCATCCTTGCATTTTTTCTGACGGGATATGACACTCGCACTTTGGCATCATGCTCCAGTTAGAACTATCCAGGTTAAATTCATAACTAACAGTCGAATCTATAGCTATGGGCGTCTCGTTCGCTGCGATATTCCTGCACCACGCTCTACTTCCAGCCGCCTGTAAGACCAATGCAGTTTGCCGCCGAGACATTGCTAACGAACTCAGCTTTGCATTCGTCGAATACGAAGACAAGCGAGATGCTGACGATGCATATCATGAGATGCATAACAAGCGCATGGGGCGTGACGATATGCTAAAGATCGAAGTAAGCCTCTGGTCTTGTGTACATGCTGTGTGCCTATTAACAAGTCTATAGTGGGCGAGAACACCCCCATCCGCCTCATGGCGCTTTGAATCAGGTCGTGAACGTGAACGTCGCAGTACTCGCTCACCTCGTCGTGGTCGATCCCCGTCTCCTAGACGCAGTACGCGTGACTACTCCCCTCGCAAGGAAGAAAGACGCGACCGCGACCGCGACCATGATCGTGATGGTAGAAGAGACCGTGATCGCTCTCGCAGCCCCGACAACCGGTATGTTTCCCTAGTCGCACATACCTACCATATATTAATAGTAGTAGTGATCGTGACCGCGACAGCAAGGAGAACCGTGACGATCGTGACAGACGTGACGGTGCTGGCAGCGGAGATGACCGCAAAGGTGAGAGCCACAACCCCTAACACCATCCCATAATCACTTGCTAACTGTGTAAAAGCTGGTGAAAGCCCGGCTGCTGCTAACGAGGATCTTGACGTTGCCGAGTAAACGGATCCCAGCAACCACCTTGTCAACCAGTATGATGTCTAATTTCTCCAGATCCAATGTAGATTAATCGGTCGGTTGTAGCTTGAAGCATTGCATCAAAGTGCATCGCTTGCTGAATAGGGCAAAACTGTTCTATCCATAGTTAACTAATTTGTAAGATTGAATTTTCACTTTAATTGCTGCCAAATAAGGAACAGAGCAAGCATTATCGGTTGTATGTAGCCTTATATCGGCTTTATCGCTCAAGTGCAATCGCAGTAGCCACAGGATAATAATCAAATAACCTAGTATCTATATTCTGCTAAACAACTACGACATGAAGTGTCAAAGTTGTACAGACAGTGGATAACAATTTATTTACTTGCCAATTTCGTCCTAGGCCTGGGCGCGACGAAAACCGACGATAAGCCGGCGTAAGTAGTTGTTCCCCATACATGCTCCACTGAATACCTCGCTGGCTCTGGGCAAAATCACCTCCTTACCAACGCCGACCAACAACGATACGCGCGCCTGCGATCAATTCACGCGGCACTTGCTCCTATTACAGCTGCGAACCAAATAATATATCCGAATCTTGATCATTGGGCCTATAATATTAAAAATAAGGCGACCAACAAAAACTACACGCGACAAGTTCTCGACACTCCGCTACCGAATAGTCACTGCAGCGAGGAATATCATGCGTCAATAGATTCACCCATAGAAGTTGATTTCGACATTCATCCGCACATATACTTAGCTCTATATCCTTGAACCTTCTTACACCCCAGCTTCTTCCAACTTCTTCCAAACTCGTCGCTGTAGTGCGGAGAAACTTGGAAAGCTGTACATGCCGTCATGGTTTCGGTAAGTTGCCTCCATCCCTGTTCAAGTACCTACTCCTAATGTTAGTGTCTGCATAGCCTGAGACAACAACAGTCCGTTCGGAAAATGGTGCTCCGCGTCGGTTCCTTCACCTACGCGAGACTCTGTCACAACCAGTGGTCGCAGCGTTTTGGGCTGGTGGTGTAGCTGGCGCCGTGTCGCGAACAGTCGTTTCACCTCTAGAACGACTAAAGATTCTAATGCAAATTCAAAGCGCTGGCCGCGATGCGTATAAGCTCTCCGTCGGTCAGGCGTTGGGGAAGATGTGGAAAGAAGAGGGTTGGCGAGGCTTTATGCGTGGCAATGGTACAAACTGCATCCGCATTGTGCCGTACTCTGCTGTCCAATTCAGCAGTTACAACTTCTATAAGAGCGTAAGTATCGTTTCCCAACTGATGTTGTCTTCTACTAACACTAGACAGCACTTTTTTGAGCCAAGCCTTGGCTCAGATCTGAGCCCTCTCTCACGCCTCGTTTGTGGTGGTGCTGCGGGCATCACATCAGTAGTTTTAACATATCCCCTAGACATTGTTCGAACACGCCTTTCGATACAAACGGCGAGTTTCGCAGAACTTAGCCACAAACCTGAGAAACTTCCAGGCATGTGGCAGACAATGGTAGAGATGTATAAGTCCGAGGGTGGAATCTCTGCCCTCTATCGAGGCATATTGCCTACAGTGGCCGGTGTTGCCCCTTATGTATGGCATACAAACTGCGTAACTGTGAAAGGTTTACTAACATGCTTCTAGGTTGGAATGAATTTCATGGTATACGAGTCCGTACGGCAATACTTGACGCCTGAAGGTGACAAGAATCCAAGCGCACCAAGAAAGCTTCTGGCAGGTGCAATTTCTGGCGCAGTCGCGCAGACTTGCACATATCCCTTGTAAGTTTAGACAAACGGATTTAGTACTCCTGACTAACGCTCGGTGTAGTGACGTTTTAAGACGCCGCTTTCAGATCAATACTATGTCTGGTCTCGGTTACCAATACAAATCCATTGCGGATGCCATTTTCGTAATTGTACGCCAAGAAGGCGTGGCAGGTTTATACAAAGGAATTGTTCCAAACCTGTTAAAGGTAGCCCCGAGCATGGCTTCCAGCTGGCTTAGTTTCGAAATGACACGGGACTTCCTCACTGGACTTAAGCCAGAAGCACATGAGATGGCATAGAAAAAAGGATCCATTTTGTACTATATTGTAGCTTAGACTGGCTTTCTCTTTTGTCGATATCAAAAGTTTTGCATAGTTAGAAATCGGTATCTGCATCTGTAATATACAATACCTATAGCCATGTCCCATCGCCAGCATGCTTTAACACTAACAAACAGCCGATCAGCGTGCATGTGTTACGCATACTGGGGGGATGCGCCAAAAACGGGCCCTTGTCGTTGATTCGCTAACAACTTGGGTGGGGCAAACCACGGTCTAACAATATTCCACCAGGCGAGGCCAGCTTTGGCCTGGTCGCTGCCCTAACTGCCCGCTCACACCGCCCTGAAAAATGTGCTGCATCGAGTGGAGTGGCCCACCTCCAACAAATCTGTGCGGTCGAAAGTTGGTGAGAGAAGATTCGCAACCTAATCCTGAGAAGTTCGTACATCCTCAGCACAACCGTCAAAATGGGTACGTGAATACAATTGGAACGACATTCAGCCTTCGTATGCGAGTGGATAGAACCTCACAGTTTATATCTGCGACCATGGAATCCGTCTCATACGAGACTGGGTGCCGAATTTGAGCATGCCCGAACTTTTAATGGCTGACTTGTCTTTGCAAAATAGGTATCGATCTCGACCGTCACCACGTCAAGTCTACGCACCGCAAGGCGCCCAAGAGCGACAATGTCTACCTTAAGCTCCTCGTGAAGCTTTACCGCTTCCTTGCCCGTATGTATCGGAACACTTTCGACGCCTGTCTTCGTTCGAATCGACTAACAACAGACTATTAGGCCGTACCGACGCTTCCTTCAACAAGGTTGTTCTCCGACGCCTCTTCATGTCCAAGATCAACCGCCCCCCTGTCTCTCTCTCTCGTATCGTTGCCAACATCAACAAGGAGGGTGAGAAGCGCACCGTCGTTGTTGTCGGCACCATCACCGACGACAACCGTCTCCTTACCTTCCCCAAGGTTACCGTTGCAGCTCTGCGCTTCACCAGTACCGCCCGTGCCCGCATCGTCGCCGCTGGTGGTGAGGCCATTACCCTCGACCAGCTCGCTCTCCGCGCTCCTACCGGTAGCAACACCCTGATCCTCCGTGGTCCCAAGAACGCCCGTGAGGCCTTCAAGCACTTCGGCATGGGTCCCCACAAGCACAAGGTACGTATCGGGAGTCTAAATAGTACACCAACAATCAAGCATAGCGTACTAACACCCACCATAGAAGCCCCACGTCGTTTCCAAGGGCCGCAAGTTCGAGCGTGCTCGTGGTCGCAGAAGATCTCGTGGTTTCAAGGTTTAAGCGATGGCATAGCATGGTGGGGATTGGTGACTGGTTGTATCCATGTGGCGATTTCGGGACTGGTGAAAACTGTTATTCAGCTTTGCAATGGACTAAGGCACGGAGCTTCATGGTTTGCATCAATTTTTACAGCAAAAAGGGGATTAAATTCGAAATTATATATCCAACCTTTTGTGCACAACGTGACGCATGTGTTTTGTATGATACCCTTGGATTGCACTCCCTTCCGTATATCACTGTCTGGCTTTACGCCGGAGTGCAACGAAATAGGCTTCTCTACTCTCCTATAGCCAATTGAAATTAGGTACCGCATGATACTAATACCGGACAATTACTTACACTTCGTGAAGCGTCAGGTTTCTCTCGAAATACATGACTAAAAGCTGCCTTCAGCTCGTACTCAAACGCCTTGTCTTCGATGCCTTGATAGAATTTGCAGACAAAATGCCCGCCGATTTTAAGAGTGTCCATGCTGAACTGGAGTGCTGCTCTGCACAGGTTCTTCGCGCGTAACAAGATATTAGCAATGTCGCTAGTCAAATTGAAAGCAGAGAGGGGCTCACCATGCTGCCTGCGTGGTCTCTGAATGGTGTTCCGCTTGTGTTCATTAACCTTGTAATGGTGGTTACTGGAGGAGCACATCGCTAGTCAGAGTACATTTCAACTTACATGTCACTAAGGACCACCTAAGAATAGAAAACGTCTGTTAGCAGCATTCGGAAGAAACAGGCAGATGGGATTGACATTACATCCACAACACCACTGGCCGATCCCTTTGAGTCTTCAACTGTATGGTCAGCGACACCTGACCTCGTGCCTTGCTTTTTAGTCAAAGACGTTTTCGAAATATAGTCCTTCATAAATTGTTGGACATCTGGTGACAGGAAATCCCCCTGGAAGGCCGTCACTCCTGAAGGGGGTTGAGCTGGTATTAAGTCAATACCAATGACGGTGCCCCGTCGAGTCGTTCGATCTATGGCCACCTTTAGGACAGTTTAGTATACAGTAGCCAAATCAAGTAATAGTCATTGATTCAGACCTGAGACCAGCTACCTGGTGCGTAGCCCTGCTTGACCGTCAGACGAAAAACCACATTGATTCACCCCATGGGGTCTCTTACCAAATCTACCACTGTCATGCCCGGTTTGAAAAGGCGATACTTTGAGTCCATCTAGCATAGAGAAATTTATAAATTAATCGTCATTTTCCCAAGAGGAGGTGAACATAAACAAGACGGCTTACTTCGAGCAGCTTAAATGCAGCACGGCTTTTCAGTCCGCGACGTTTCGCGTCACGCGCCGCTGAATCTCCTTGCTGCCGTAATTTCCATCTGGACGTCGAGGATGAATTTCTGGATATAGGGAAAATTAATGTTGGAAAGCTTCTGTATTTAGGTCGTAGTGCGGTATGTAGACTCATTCTCGGCCAAGGAGGTGTGGGAAAGACAATTTTTCCCCTTGTCACAATGATTCTACCGCCAACTGGCCTTGGGCGTAATTGAATGTAACCCGGTTCAGTGCTTATATTAACATTACTAGTACCCGAGAAAAATCAGATACCTTTCAAACCTCAAGTGTTTAGTTCTGGAAGTGTTCGTCGCGTGTGGTTGCAAGATGTTGATTTCTTCGCATACGGCCCCAAAAGAAAGAGGCGGCACGCAGGTACAGTTTGGTATAGCATGCACGAAACGACAACCAACATCACGGAAACAGAACCAGATTTAGTGACAAGAGCGGGAGCACAAAATTGGTATTTTACATTACGTGAAAAACTATTAACCCAATAATAACGCCGGATCATTATGGTTTCGTTAAAACAATGCCAACAGCAAGCTAGGATCTATAACCAACCCAGTTCAGCTATCCAAGAAAACTGGTGCTTCGTCCACGGCGATCGCGTTTCAGCGGCGAGAAGGATGTGCCGTCGGAAGCAAAGACGCTGATGGCCCCGCCGAGGTTCATCTTTGGTACTCGTTTGTTGGCCGTTCGTATCGGCTGTGCTAGATATTCTGCATCCTCATCATCACCTGCGGCTCGCATAGCTGCTCCAAATACCATTCTCTTCCTCTTCCTTCCATCTCCTCCTTGATTATTTAGTAATGAAGGTTTCAAAGATACTGGTGATGGCGTGTTCTCTTTGCCATCAATCTCTGTGCTTAACTGTATCAGCTGCTTGGTTTGAGGTCGGGCCTTCTGCGCAGCTGACACAATCGCTTTATTCCGCTCCGAGGACTTGGAGTCGCCCAGAATTGGTCGTGATTGATTAATCCCATGAAAAGCAGTTGACTTTCTTTCAGCCTTGTGCTGGACTCTGTTGCGTTGCAATCTGGCCGTGGGTATTATGTTTGCTGCCACGCCTGGCATTGATGTTCGAACATCCGTAACGCTATCTTCTTCAGACGAGTCGCTATTGCCCGATTCATAAACGGCATTCGTCTTGTTCAGAAAGGGTGTTACTGAAAAGTTCGACTTTTGTCCTACACCGGCCAAAAAACCTTTCGTTTTGGTCGTTGCCTTCGTTGTTGCGCCATCTTTCTCGGGAGTTCCAACAACGGCATCAGCCCATGAGTCCACCAATGTATCACTCGTTTTCGCCTTCTTGTGAGAGCTATTTGATCGCACTAGCTGGTCATTCTCTAGATTGTCTTGCTCGTCTGCTCCTTCTTGTTCCTCTTGCTCTTCTTCTTCACTCTCTTCAAACATTTCAGAGTTTGGCGGGGGTCTGGCGTTGGGATTAGCAATAGGGTTTGGTGATTTGGTGTTCATTTGTCTTGATTGCGTTTGCTTCATCTTGGTTTCGAGTTCGCTGAATCGGGCTCGTTCCCTGCTAAGAAGCTTTTCGGTTTCAGCCAGAGTTTTTTCCAATCTGGATAGACTTTGTTTGTGGGTATTATTCTGTTGATTAGTCCGTTGCGACTCGGTGAGCTGTGTTTCCAGGTCTATAACCTGTTTTTGAAGAGCCTTTTTGGCGCTAACAACATTTTGGTGAGATGCCACTTGCGATTGAAGCTCATCGATCTCGGGTAACAACTGAGCAAGCTCTTCCCTTAGCTTTGCATTCTCCTGTAACTCCTTCTTGGATTCAAGGCTGCGGTTATCAAGTAATTGGAGCTTGTCCTAAGTCAACTGTTAAAACCATGCTCTAGTAGCAGAGAGTTCGCACTCTTACCTTCAAGCCTAGAATCTCGGCATCTTTTTCGGCTAAGAGCCTTCTTTGCGATGCTTCGTTAGCCTCCAGCTGCCTTAAGCTGTTCTGCATCTGAGAGCTCTGGCCACTTAAATCTGCTGCGCTCGCATTCTCCTTCCGAAGCTCGCGACGGAGAGCTTCAATCTCGTGTTGAGCAATTAGCAGCCGCGTAGCAGAACGTCGACCGCGCTCATCTCGTTCAATCAGCGCCGCATCATGTGATCCATTTTGCTGCTCTAAACGTAAATTATGTATGCGAACGAGTCGCTACATTATAAACAATGTGTCAATGATGTTCAAATATCGTCACATTGATTTAGCCAATAAACACGTACCTCTATAGAATGCATAATGAAAGGTCCTCAGATGGTATACCGGAGCAAAAAAAAAATATCTTTTTAAAACAAAATGAGATGCAAAAAAAGAAAATGAAAAGCGACGTGAAATATTCAAATTCGTACAGGGTTGAGAATGTGAGCTTAGGCGCGTCGGGAAGTAAACAAAAATTCCCCACGCAGTCTAGTAGTCGGCCTTCGATTAGGTAATCTGATGTGGCCACCTCACACACATCTGGCACACCAAGCTTCAGGGACAGATCCAACACGCATTCAATCGCCCATCGGAACAGCAGTAAACGACAAAATGCGTCTGTTTTCTTCGATTTTTTCTGCATGCATGCTCCTTGGAGCTGCATTGGCCAAAACCAAGCAAGCATCTGCCGAGCGCTTCGATGAATTCCACGCCCTAGCGCGGACTGGCTCGCCGTTGAAGCTCACCGAGAAGAGCTTCAAAGCATTGACAGCTACTCCTCGCGATTACAGCGTTGCAGTCCTCTTGACGGCTATGGAATCGCGCGTTGGTTGCCAATTGTGCAAAGACTTCCAGCCCGAATGGGATTTGCTAGGCAAGAGTTGGACTCAGGGTGACCGCAAGGGCGATTCTAGACTCTTGCTTGGTACATTGGACTTCGCTGATGGTAGAGAGGTCTTCGTCTCAGTAAGATATAAAATGCATGCTATACTTCTGCCAAATTTTTATACTGATGTTTTGCCTTAGCTCGGTCTTCAATCGGTTCCTGTCCTGGTCCTCTATCCTCCTACTGACGGACCACATGCCGTTGCTTCCAAGGAGCCCGTGAGATACGACTTTGCCAGCGGGTAAGTTAGGCCAAATGCGGAACATCAGAATACTTCGCCGCTCTAACACTGTTTTTTGTACAAATAGGCCCCCTGTTGCAGAGCAAGTCCAAGCGTGGCTATCTGCGCAGCTACCCGACCGACCTCACCCCGCAGTTCAGCGTCCAATCGACTGGATGAAATGGTTGGCGAAGATCGCGATCGGTACCGGTTCTGTCATCTTTGCTGCTGTTGCGTGGCCCTATATGCTCCCTGTCCTCCAAAGCCGAAACATCTGGGCCTCTGTCAGCCTCATTTCTATTCTACTCTTCACCAGCGGGCACATGTTTAATCATATCCGTAACGTTCCTTACGTTGCTGGAGATGGACATGGTGGTATCTCATACTTTGCTGGCGGGTTTCAAACCCAGTATGGCCTTGAAACACAAATTGTTGCTGCTTTGTGTAAGTTTTCCCTACAGCGATCCCCTAATGGAATACCCCATCTAATAACACATAGACGGTTTCATGACCTTCTGCGCTATCTGCCTCGCCACAAAGGTGCCGAGAATGACTGATGCCAAAGCACAGGGTGCCGCAGTGCTGATTTGGAGCGTCGTCTTGTTCCTATTTTACAGCTTCCTCCTCAGCGTATTCAGAATCAAGAACAGCGGATACCCATTCTCTCTACCTCCGTTCTTATAAATGGCCATCGAGGCTAAGGAATCATGCACGAGCGTGTCGTGTCTGAAGCTGCAGAACGATCGATCGCATGCGTGCACACCGACCTGCCGCCCCAAAAAAAAAAGAACGGCAGGTTCGGGCGGGGAGATCTGTAGCCAAGAGACAAGCAAAATCAACGAAGGATTTGACTTGTCACAGCGGATGGATGTATTATAAAATTTGTCACATAGATGAAATAGAACTGCTCAACGAAGCTAGGCATTTTGTTCACATACAATTTTACAGTCAAAGCGTTAGAAGGATTCTTTTTATTTTATGAAGAGCGGCATAACGCCTCGTACTTTTTCGATACGTAGTTCCTCATGACACGTCCACATAAGCTCATGCCCAACATTTACTTGAATAGAGACCAAACGAGGAAACCAGCCAGTTGACGCCCTCGGTGGCTAACCACCAACCACTATGCTCCAACTTCACCATAGGAAGTCATTAGAGAACTTACGCCCTCGACATGACACCCCAGGCTCGGATGATGTTGTCGGTGTAACCAGCGAAGAGAGTCTGGCCATCAGCAGACCAGGCCAAGCTGACACACTCAGGCTCGCGGCTCTTCTTGCCGACGGAGGTGAACTCGGGCTTGAGCTCATCAACCTTGCTCTTCTTCTCGAGATCGAAGATAATGATGCTGCTGGCAGTAGCAGCGCAGAGCCAGTAGCGGTTGGGGGAGAAGACAAGAGCGTGGATCTCGTCGTTGGCGTTGAGAGAGTACAAGTGCTTGGACTCGTTGAGATCCCAGAGCATGGTAGTACCGTCCTTGCCACCAGAAGCGCAGAGAGAGCCGTCGGGGGAGATCGTGACGGTGTTGATGTAACCAGTGTGGCCAATGTGGTCAGTCTGCAGCTTGCAGCTGGAGAGCTCCCAAACCTATTTAATCATGTTAGCGATGTGCACGCATGAATATCGTGTGTCATACACGACTGCGCAGTCTGTTCTCTTTGTTTTGCTCAGGGCAATGGTGAAATAATTGTCTCATGGCCCGAAGGCTCTGAAGTAGCAAATACTTTAGGTTTTTTGCGTTGCATCATGCAGAAGAGAACAGACCGTACATGCCCATGTGGCGACTTCGTATTGTATATAAACATACCTTGACAAGCTTGTCCCAACCGCTGGAAACAATGACGGGGTTCTGGGGGTTGGGGCTGAAGCGGACGCAAGAAACCCACTCGGTGTGACCCTTGTCAGTGATGGTGTACTTGCAGTCACCGAGAGTGTTCCAGAGCTTGATGGAGCGGTCGCGGGAGCCAGAGACGATCTGACGGTTGTCGGCGGAGAAGGAGACGGAGAGGACATCGTTGGTGTGGCCAACGAAGCGGCGAGTGGTAGTGCCGGTGGCAAGCTCCCAGAGGCGGAGGGTCTTGTCCCAAGAGGCAGACAAGGCGTAGGCACCATCAGAGGAGATAACCTAAAGAGGCGTTAGTTTCGCCGCTACTTCCAATATGCGTATTTTAGTCGAGAAGTACTACATACACAGTCGGAAACGATGTGAGAGTGACCGTGGAGAGATCGCTTGGGGTAACCGTACTGGGTCTCGTCGCGGGTCAAGTTCCAGATGATCAAAGTCTTGTCTCGGGAGGCAGAGAGAAGCATGTTGGGGCTATAGCAGTATTAGTTTCCGCTGATTTACACAGGTGTCCCGAGTAAATTATTTGTGTCGAGAACATACTTCTCCATGGAGGTAGCCAAGCTGGTGACCCAGCCATTCTGCGAAGAGTTAGCAATGAGGTTCCATCAACAGCTCGCGACGGCTGCAAATATCGAATCAATATCGACAGAGAAAAAACATACGTGGCCTTCGAGGGTACCCTTAAGGATCAATTGTTCAGCCATTGCAGCAGTCGTGACGTCGGGGCAGATGGTTGGACGATGCAGATGTGAGATGTACAAACTTCGAAGTCCGTCGTAACAGGGCCACTTGCACCAAACGCGCAGAATCGGCTAAAATTGGGATTTTTTTTGTGTGGGTTCAAAATTAGGGCCTCGAGTTGGTGACCAACTCCACCCATGGCTGGCCAAGCAGCAGGCCCCCAAACTGGGCCTAGTGTCTTTTTTGAGCCATGCTTAGTCATTTTAACAACCAATGCAGTGATAAGCAGCATAAAATATAGTCCAGCCAACATGCAACGCGTAGTTGGTGTAATCTTTGTGACGCTTCTGTAACTCGTCACTTTTTGGGATTGTGAATAAGGCTCGGGCGGTCGGTATGGCGTGATGTGTCTTTGCGGGCGAAAATGCTGTCGCCATTGACAATCATACTGTGGTCAGATATTTCGGAACCTTTGTTGCCATTTTGGTTGACCCTATCGCTGATTGCGCCTTTCATGGCTGCTTGCCATAATCTAAATCTTTCTCTTCCTTGGTCATCTCCTTCTGCCAGCATCTTGACCTCTTTCTGCTTGCGCATCTTGGATGCTCGGACGAGTCGTCGTAAAGCCTCCTCTCCTTGTTGTGCATTTTCGGCAGCTTCTTCTCGTATCTTTTGCGTATTTCTCTCACGTCCGTCGTCTTCTGATGTAAACTTATAGGTATGCTGGCTTGGAAAATCCGGGAACGAGGATGGAATATAGTGCTTTGACGTTTTATCCACGCGGCCACTCAGCTCCCTGCCAAGGAAATGTAATGGTGTACCTGTGAATTGCGCAAGTGTTGCTTCTGATTCACCGGGCCCTTCTCTGTAATGTCTTTTGCTTGGGTTCGATCTCGGGTCTAAGAGGTGAGGTGCCAGGGAGGAGACGGGGAGGTTGAATCGCCGTAGAACAGTTTCGAAGTCTGATGGAATCGCATATTCTCGACGGGATGTGTTTGCTAGGTCCTTTATTTCTCGTATCATGGTTCCTAGGTCTTGGATAAGTTAGTAGTTGTCATCGTGCTCGCCACTGGCATGCGCAACTCACATGCTTCTACCATGGCTGTGAAGCTGTCCAGAGCTTGTGGTGTCGATGAACGGAATCCATCGTGGTATAAAACCTCTAGTATTGTTCTTTCTAGATGTTTTCGTGCTATTATATGCTCCGTTTCGATGCTAGAAAGCGTTGCGTGATCGTCCATCGCGAGGTTTAGCGATTTGTCGCGCTCGTCCGTTGTTGCATATTGTTGAGGTGGCAAGCTTGTGCCAGGCGCTTCAATATCCATGACAAGGTCACCATCGTTATCGGTGCGTGTTCCTGCCATCCCCATGCGATACCTGCTGAGTCTCGCCTACTCTGCTAGCTAACTGTCAGTAGTTGTGATGATGTAGCAATCTCTCGCGCGAGGTCGGCTATAGACCCACATTTGTATTCAGCGAGTTTGCAGAGCCAGCCCCAAGCTCACTCTGGGTTACCGCTCTACACCTCACTTGGTGCAAAATTAATGTTCGGTTTATGAGAGGTATTGATGGTATTTGCGCCTGTTGATTTTTGTGTTATTTCGTCAGTATCATACTGTCTATCACGTTGGGCCGCTAGCTTAGTGAGTTTCTGGCTGTCGAGGGTAAATTGTAGATATGTCTGGTAGTCGATTATTAACACAAGCAGAAGAAGTCAACATTGTACCCTCCGACCAATAAAAAGGCCATTAAACAGACGAGAAAAAAAAAGCCCAATAGCAGCATATTAATCGCAAAATAGTGGCAGTATCACTATGACAAGAGGATCATGGCAAAGCAGGGGTGCTACTCTAGGGTACCAGATGGTGGCTTCAGCTGAAAGGTGGCCATAGACTTCATAGGAATGCGTAGAACTCAGAAGAAATCCACAGAATCGGGACGAAGAAGCAGCAAACTATCCACCAGAAAAAAGATACGTATTAATACGACACGAATCGACTTCACATGGAATGATTATACAGCCCGCTATACCCTGCGGTTTATGAGCTTCCCACTATGGCGTCTACACCAGAATCCGCCTTTGGCCAAGGTGATTGCCACCTCGTACAGAATCTCCTGTCACCAGGGCTGGAGACCGGAATATTCGAAAAACTTAAAGATGAAGTGAACTGGATGAGAATGTCCCACCAGGGCGGAGAAGTTCCCCGTCTTGTTGCTGTACAAGGCCATATTGGCACTGATGGGAGCGTGCCCATCTATCGCCATCCAGCAGATGAATCGCCGCCTCTGACGCAATTCACGCCCACGGTACTCGCTATTAAAGAGGAAACAGAAAAACAACTTGGACACCCACTCAATCATGTCTTAATACAACTCTACAGAGATGGGACTGATTACATCTCAGAACATAGCGACAAGACTTTAGATATTTCACATGGATCGTACATTGCGAACGTTAGTGTCGGCGCACAGAGAACCATGATCCTACGTACCAAGCGCACTAAACGAGACCCATCTCGAGTGCACGACGAAGATGAAGATGGGGCTCGCCAGTCTCAGCGTATCAACTTACCTCACAACTCGCTACTGAAGATGGGGCTTCAAACCAACATGAAATGGCTTCACGCAATCAGGCAAGACAAACGGGCCGATAGAGACAAAACCCCTGACGAATTGGCGTACGGGAGTGCACGCATATCCCTTACCTTCAGACGCATTAGTACGTTTATGTCACAGGACGGCTCTATAATCTGGGGGCAAGGAGCAACAAGCAAAACGCGTGATGCAGCCAAGAGTACCATCAGCGGTGATGTTCCCGAGGCAATTGCGATGCTAAAAGCGTTTGGCCGTGAGAACCATTCCTCAAATTTTGACTGGCAGGACGCATACGGCGCGGGATTCGACGTTCTTCATATTACCTCCGCGCCGAGATTTTTCGCAGGGGCCGATAAGGTCCCAAACCGCCGCATATCCTTGATGCTTAATGAATATGGTATTAAGTATGCTAGAGGCAGCGCTGATTGGCCCAAAGGCGAGAAGCCAGTCGCTTCATTTGGTTCCCAGACCATGTCGTTTCTGAGATATGTCGATAACAATGACCAAGGTACTGACGTAAGGGGTGATATCGCCATCATGCTATATCTCTACTTCGGCAATGCAAAGAAGCATGTGGACGATGTAGATGTCGGGTCTCTCTATGCTCGCTTCTACCGAGCAATGACCATTCATGGCGAGTGGAAGCGTTGTAGAGAAGCAAGCAATGGCAATGGTATCAGCGACCAACTAGCTCAGGAGTTTTCTTATTGGGACTCTGCGCTGTTGAAAATGCCATTTTTGGGTGGCTTGTCGCCTAGCCTTCCAGACTTCGCCATCTGGCCTGTCCTTCATGATATCAGGGAGGAGGCGTCGGGTGATGGGCTAAAACAGTTCCAGAATCTAAATAGTTATTATCAAAGAGTCTTGTGTCGAGATGGAGTTAGGGAAAATGTGCTTGACACACATGTTTAGGCAGTATACATACTGGTACAAACCCGCTAGACGAAAATGCAGCGTTGAAAAACAAAACACAGAACTCCGTCATCCAGATAAAATAAGATCTCTTAAAAAGTACAAGTCAATATAAGGGTATGGAGTTAAATCCGTGACTCCTTGAGAGCCGAGCTTCTCTTCAGGTCCATGTTCAAGTTAATTACATGGCCGGTCATTTTTAGTAGTGTTTGTCGTATTTTAATGCAGCAAGTCAAATCTTTTTGTTAATTAAAAGATGAATGACCTTAAACATTTATTTGCCAGCATCCCAAGGCAGAGGGTAAGTGCCGACCCAGTCAGCTACCTCGCTGCGCAGCTGAACGATCTCAGGAACACTGTCACCATTGCCGACGTGCTCAAGGAAGAGCTTGAGCTTGCCAGGGCTCTTCTCGCCCTTCTCTTTGGCAGCCTCACGGACGGTCTTGTCGAGGCGGACAGCAATGGCAACAGCTCTGTCAACAACATCAGCAACACGAACAAAGTCGTTCTCGTTGAATCCACGAGTTGTCATAGCAGGGGTGCCCATGCGAAGACCTCCAGGAACGAGAGCCGAGCGATCACCAGGGACAGTGTTCTTGTTAGCTGCGACGCCAACGAGCTCGAGGATACGCTCAACACGTCCGCCGTCAACGCCATGGGGCTTCAGATCGGCAAGGACAAGGTGGTTATCGGTACCGCCACTGACAAGGCTGTAGCCGAGACCGCCCTTACTCTTATCATCTCCCAGTCTCTTTGCAAACGCCTTAGAGTTCGAGAGAACCTGAGCCTGGTAAGCACGGAAATCAGGGGTCTGAGCCTGCTTCAAGGCGACAGCGAGAGCGGTAATAGTGTGGTTGTGTGGTCCACCTTGGTGACCAGGGAAGACGGAGTTGTTGATGGGACCCTCGAGGTTGTACATCTCGTCAACCTTGGTCTTTGGGTTGGTTCGGCGGACGCCCTTGCGGAAGAAAATGAGGGCACCACGAGGACCACGCAGACTCTTGTGGCTGGTAGTGGTAACAATGTCGGCGTAAGGGAAAGGACCGGGGAGGACCTTAGCGGCGACGAGACCAGAGATGTGAGCCATATCTGCAAGCATGTAGGCGTTGACCTTGTCGCAGATTTCGCGGATGCGCTTGTAGTCAATCAGACGGCTGTAAGCACTGGCACCGGCGACGATGATCTTGGGGCGGTAAATGGTGGCAAGCTCCTCCATCTTGTCGTAGTCAATCTGGCCAGTCTTCTCGTCCAAGCGGTAAGGAACGGTCTCGAAGTACTTAGAGACAGCCGAGATTTTCTTGGTGGGGGTTTGGTAACCGTGGGAGAGATGGCCCCCGTGGGGAAGATCGAGACCCATGAGACGGTCGTGGGTGTCCATGAGTGCCGAGTAAACGTAGAGGTTGGCAGGAGCACCAGAAAGAGCTGGTATAGGACTAGGTTAACATTCCATTTTCGTCAGCTGAGTTTACAGTCGTGGCACATACGCTGAACGTTGACGCCCCAGTTCTTGGGATCAAGCTCGAAAGCCTCAAGAGCACGAGACTGGCAGAGGAGTTCGGCTTGGTCGATGAATTCGTTGCCGCCATAGTATCTGGCACCGGGGTAGCCTTCAGAGTACTTGTCTATGATTTATGTAAGTCTGTGCTATACAAGAAGCAAGTTGTGCGTGGGTTAGTCTTACTCTGCATGACGCTACCAAGGGCGTCGAGAACAGCCTGAGATGTAAAGTTCTCAGAAGGAATCAGGTTAATGAAGTGCTTCTGGCGGTTCTTCTCCTATTTTGAGTGTTAATATATATACACATAATAACGTAGAGGTACGACTAACCTTCTCAATGATGTCGAAAATGGCAGAGTCAGCCTTGGCGAGGTTGGCACCAAGCAACTGTAATTGGCGCGAACATTAGCTGACGATTGGAACCATGGCGGAACGAAGACAAACCTGCTGCTGGCCATCTTGAGCGATGGACGACTGAGCGCGACGACCGCTGACGGCGGGAGCAGCGGCAAATGGACGAAGAGTAGAGGCCTTCAGGCCACGGAGGGTAGCGGAGGTGGGCTTGACGCGGAACATATTGATCGACGTGTAGAGAACGAACTGTGTTGAGGCGAAGGGCGTTGCTCCAATCAGGCCGAATCGTCAATCGAATTGATGGGCGAGAAAGAAGATATTGTTTGTGACGGGTGAGAGAAGGCAAATTCAAGAAGAGGGATGCTGAGAGAGATGGGGTAGCTGAGGCGCGGTTCAAATCCAAAGCTTGGGGTCTGGGGCCAGGAAATCCCCACGGGACTCACCTGTTTTTTTTTTGCCCGCACACTGTGGCTCACTCCGATTGCTCTCCGACCGCCGGTATCCGCGCCTGCCCCCGCAGAGCCACCAGCATCTGGAGGGATATGCAGCGGCCAGGGCCTACAGGTTCCACTTCTCTAGCCGCCTTAGGGAGTCGGAAAACTGCGAAGTGGCCACGGGCGGCTTTTGCTCAGCACATCTTGCGTGCTCTGTTCCCTGTCCCTCTGGCCGTTTCTGTTACGTTGCGGAAATGAGGCTTCGGCTCTGGAACGCGAATTTTTAGACATTACTCGTGCAGAGTCCCAAGTGCTGTTCATTGGGCGAGGTTACACAGGGCTGAGAAAACCGTCGGCCATTGAATGTGTTGAAGTTATGGCGGAATAGCCAAATCTTAGACTGCCTTAGCGTGTGGTCAAGGCATTGATCAAGACGGTGCACCAAGCGTGCGCTGGGAAACAGGGTTAGCTGGTGGGTGGCCTGTGTGGGCTCGACCCTTTTTCCCTGGCACAACACGATCAACGAGCTAACTTAGGCAATGACTTCCTGCTGCAACGTACGAGTCGCCGGCTCATAGTAGCACCGGATGCCGGTTCAAAAGCTAGAGCTGGTTAGCACTGCTGCACAGCCAAATTAGGCAAGCTTTAAACTCTTATACTGATGCCAGTATCAGTGGTAGCTGTTATGAGATGATGAGCTCTCTAACTTGTGCTAGTTTCACTTGTCTCGTCAGTCCTACAATATAAGAGCTTCAAGACTGAATCATGTATATGTAGTTGAAGTATTGGCAATGATGCAGAGTGCCGCCTATATTTACGACTACTACTGGTAGGAGTCGGTGTGAGATGCTTACTCCATTGGCTCATATGTGACAGATTGGTCAGAAAGATATATGTCGAACGGACAAATACGTTTGCTCTGGGTTATCTTCACTCAATGTGCTAGTCTTGGTGACCCTAGGTCATACAATGCCGGTGTTGGTGGCAACAGCTACATCATCTTGTGCAAGTTTTAAGGTGCTTCCGCTCTCATTATAAACACTTTTAATTTTCGCTATTGCGATTGGATCAGTCGTCGGAAAACGTAGTTCATCTGCGTATCGTTTATTCCGTATTTTGAATGCTACATGCCATAAGCCCAGCTGGAATAGCAGTAAAAACCTGCAGGGCGTTAAAACAAGACCAAACCCGTAGACTCCAAATGCAGCGACCTCAAGACCGAAATCTACTCGTCGCCAAGCATGGCATCTCTCTTCGCAGCCGCTCTCTCCAACTTGCGCTCTCTGGCAGCCTTGGTCTTCGCACGCTTGGCATCCATTTCGTCCTTGAGAGCCTTCTCGCGCAACTTCTCGGCCTTGGCGCGGTGAATCTGTAGCAAAGGGTTAGTAAGCTAATCTCCTGAACGGTGTGTAACCCATGACGGGATGATACTTACGTGCTCTACCAAGGCACGCTTGTGCTTGAAGGTGTTACCCTTGCTGAGGTGGTACAGCTCGTGGTAAAGGTGCTTGTCGATCTTGCCGCTGGCACGGTACTTGACGAGGAGACGGCGGAGGACACGGAGACGGCGCATCCAGAGAACCTGAGAAGGCATACGGGCATCGGCGGTACCCTTTCTCTTACCGTAACCACGGTGACGGCCTACTCTGCGAGCAAGGTTGAGCTCACGAGCACGAGAACGGGAGTGCATGGTAACGGGCTTGCGGATGATGAGTCCATCGGAAACGAGCTTGCGGATGGTCTGGCGAGAGTTGGCGTTCGAGATTTCACTCTGCTCGTTAGGGTCGAGCCAGATCTTGCGCTGACCGCAGCCGATGACAGACGCGGCAAGGCGCTTTTGAGTTCGCAGGTTGACCCTATCAAGAAAAGACCATGTTAGCCTCCATCTTCAATTTTGACCATGTACATGTTCGTGTCGCGCGCCGCTCGATCTCTTCAGTGGTGAAAGGCAATCCATCAATTCTAATGATGCCAATATCTTCTTGAACGATTGCTGCGTGTAGTGGTAGTTGACTTACATCTTGATTGTCGTTGTCGTGGATGGTCGGTCCTCGATGGATGTTAGGTTTCGTAGCAGAGGGAGGAGGGGTTTCAAGAATCCAAAAATTCTTTGGGGCTGGACACAACCGCACAGAGTTTGTGGGTTCACGTGCACTAAGCCCAACTTTTCGCGCTAAGCGAGGGCTGTGATGAGTAAGGATTCACCGCAAAATTAAAATCACGTGACTTACACCACCAAAAAATACTTTTTGACCTTATCGATAGATTGTGACGTGTTGAATCAGATTTAATTGCGGGTCAGGCTGAATGAAGGCTGGTCGGTGTAAGTGAGGATCGTGCTGTTTGGTAGGGCAAGAGAGTTGAACAGCTAAAAGAGAATATATTTTAGGTTATTTAAGATTCTATGCAAAGTTTTCCCCAGTTGACTCTGCTCTTCCAACGTTCCAAATCTCCCGTTCATCTTCTGCCTCATCGTTGGAGAGACCCAAACCGCCCTGGCCACCTTCGGCCTCTCGTCGTTCTCGTGCCTGTGCTCCTAATCTCATTGCAACTCGTTTGAAGTAATCTGACATGCTCCTCTTTGTATTAGGAGGGAGTTCAGATCCAGGTCCGGTCATGAAGTTGTCGAAAATACGACCTTCTTCCTCCACTACATCGAAGAGTTCCACAAAGGCAGCCTCTGCAGCCAGCTTGATCGGGATGACGGGATCGCGGACGCTTGCAAAAATTGGCTGTGCGAGTAATGGCACATGGGGACGAACCAAATCAACATTGCTTCTACTGACTGTGCGAATGACCACTAGGGCCAAACGTCTAGAGTCAATTGCTTGATCGGGCTCGATCAGCCTAGCGAGCGCCCCAATAATGCTCTTAATCGTATCAAAATTCTTTGGCGGTGCTGAGAGCAAAAGCTTTCCTGTTGCGACGATATAGTTGCTTGAGATATACATCTGTTTATTCAGTTAGCATCACAGGTGACCAAATGTTGATGTTAACTATGCTTACGTTCTTATTGACCATGCCATTGCAGAGAAGCTCAGGAAGATCATCGATCAACGAGCTTGTTGTCAGTGCCTCAGATGACTCCACCAATACAGCATTTAAAGCTAATGACGATGAAACAGAGCTGGGTGATGTGAATACACGGCTCTTGAGCAAACCGATCGCAGCATCCTCAGGCACGTTTTTGATGAGCGCGCCGAGCAGTTTAGCGTTTGTGACCGTCATACTCTCATCCTGTTCATCAGTGTCGGCATCAATAAGAGATAGAACTGCTGTCCTAGAAGATTCTCCCATATTGGCTCCGGCTCTGCTAATGACCTCATAGAGGGCCTTTAGCATTGCAGTCTTGACGCCTGCATCTGTAGTACGAGATCCAGTAACCAGTTCAGCAATAAGAGGATCGACGCGAGGAGTATACTTGATCAGGGTGCCAAGAGCCTTCGCAGCTCGGGTTCTCAAAACATTGCTGGAGCCATCGGCAAGAGATTTGGCAAAAGTTCGCTGCAATTGAGGTAGGAAAGGTTTCAATGCAGTTGGTATCTTTTCAAGCAAGTTGTTGAGGGTTAAAAGAATAGCGGCCTTGACATCAGTCGATCTTTCTGAGACAACACGAATCAGAGGACCGGTAATCTGAGTGACAAACGGTTTAAGAGAAGCCTCGCTAGTACGATCCACAATGTCGGATATACCGATGGCTGCGTGAACTCTCTGGTCGGCGGTACCATTCATTAAACCTTGCAAAAAGATAGGAAGGATGGCATTTATACCCTTAGGGAGATCAAATCCTCTCAAGTTCGATCCAGCAACACCAACTCTCTCCAGAGTTTGTCTGGTGGAGGACACAAGCGACTCCATCTCCTCCTTTCGTAGCTTCTTGGTGAATTCAGAAAGTGCTGCCCATGCCGATTTGACTACCGCGTCATCGCTGTCGTCAAATGAGTTGAGTAGGTTGCGAATGATGTCTTGATTGTATCGCGAGTAGTCGACCGCTGCGGCGTTGAAGAAACTGTACATGTGCTTGGCGGTAGCAGCGCGGATGCGGTGATCCTCGTGCTTGAGGAGTCCGAGCAGCACGTTCATCACAGTATTGAGGCCATCGTACTCGTCAATTGACTGAATAACGGTGTCAAACGACTGCTCAAGCTCACTGCGAAGATTCTCATCATCGCAATTGATTTCATTGTCCATCAAAGAGTTGATAATGTTGGGTAGTCGTCTGTTCATAGCAGCACCAGCAACTCTCGACAAGGACGCGAGGGCCTTCGCATCAAAAGCCGAGATTGGAGGAGTTGTTAGGGTTGGAATAAGCGTGGGGAGAATGATATTGGATCGAGTGGTTTCCGTTAGTAAAGTCAATAGAGCGGCCAATGCATTTTGAGCATCATCCTCAGATCTTAATAGGTTTAGGAAGAATGGAAGAACCTGATCCACGGCTCTCTTGCCCAGAACATTCTGCAATGAGTCAAAGGCCTCAGCGGCAGCTTCACGGACATCCTCATCTGAATCTGTGAGCGCCGTACGCACAACAGAAATTAGAGTCTTCTCATGATCCTCAAGAGACTCTGGAGCGGCGGACGCAATAAGCTCCTTGAGAGCCAAACAGATACCCTGCTTAGCGTCTGAGTCTGTGGATGTAATGAGACCTTCCTCAAGCGATGGCAAAAGGCTAGCCAGGACGCCGTCACCAGCCTTTCGGATAAGTTCACCCAGAGCATTACTGGCGATAACCTTGTGCTCCATGTTAGAGCTTCCAAGGCGTCGGATAAGGAGTTGGGTTAAGGTAGGAACAAGCTCTTTGAGCGTTCTAGGGTTATGGACAAGAACCTTCCAAACTGAGATGGCTGCAGATCGAACAGCACCAGCCGTATCACAGCGACAGATATATAGTGCAGAAAGGATCTTGTTTCGTTTCTCTTCCCCAAGTGCTTCTTTGAGCGATGCACCGACTTCTTTCAATGTTTCATCATCTTCGTCATTTGGATCAACGTTTGCTTTGACACCTGTCAAGTTAAACAATAGGTCACCAACGAGTTCGACCGAACTTAAACGGATACGGTAGCTGTCATCTGCCAATCCGCGCTCAAGTTCCGGAAGAAGCAAATCAACTGCACGGACAGCAAAGTTCTTGACAAGCAATCGACCAGCTCGAAGAGCAGTCTCACGGATGGACTCTACATCGTCCGCAAGACCAGCGAGAATAGGCGGAACAATGCGGCCCAGGTAATTTGCAAAGCTGTTGCCAAAGCATACAGGCAAGAAGATAAAGAGTGACATAAATCCTTCTCTGACAGCTGCCTTTGCGGATTCGACATTTTGTAAGATTGTCGGTAATGTCTCCTCCAACCTGGCGGTTCCCAATCCAGCGAGGACCTCACTGAGGGCCTGGGCAGAGCCAAGGCGATCACCAGCGCCAGTATCAGACCTGAGAGTTTGCATAAGTCCAGGAATAAGGTCGGGTAGGGCATCTTCTCCAAGTTTTTCGACCAATGATCCCAAAGCTCTGGAAGCAGTGGCTCTTGTAGTAGGGACTGGATCTACCGCAGCAACCTTTAGGCCAGCTACAAGTATAGGGAGATGGATAATGATGTCCTTCTTTTCTGTCAAATGAGCAAGACTACCAATGACTTGCGCTGCCTTGCGTTTGGTATTTGAACGGTCACCCAGACCGCGCTGAAGAATACGAGTCACCAAGGCCAGAGAAGGTGCATCCAGATAATGCACAAACTGGACCTTGATAAGAGAATCCAAGGCCTCCTCAGTATATTTGGTAGGGTCACTGAGAGCCTTAAGCAGCATGTCAACGAGACTCTTGATCTCAGGGTTTGTGATCACTTCACCGAATCGCTTCAAACTGCGATTAGCGGCGGCTCTGACTTCTTTGTGTGAGTCATTAAGGACGCCAGTAAGGGGTGGAATGATATCCGGAAGGCTATTCGCAAGTTGGTTGGGGTCAAGATATGCCATGGCGCCAAGCAAGTCACAGGCACCTCGCTTGCTGCGCCATTGTTGATCATCCAAGCCACCTAAGAGCGTTGGCATGATTTGCTTAACACCATAAGAACTCAATTTTCCGAAACATGCCTTTGCAGCAGCCAAGCAAGCATCTCTGACGTCTGCATTGCTATCACCGAAGCCATTGAGAAGTTGGGGCACAATTTGCAAAACGTAGGGTTCGAATACTTGACCGAGAACAGTCGACAAGAGTTCAAAGGCCATCAGCGATCCTTCTCGCTTACCGGCACTCTTTTTATCTTCCATTGCACCTTTCAATGTAGATAGGATTCTGAATTCTTTCAAAGCAACAATACCACGACCCCGGACCATGCCAGCAAGACCATATGCAGCACCTCTCTGGGTAGCGTAAGATGTTGAGTTGAGTAGATCTTCAACGACTCTTTCGAAGTACTTGGCAGCTTTCGCCGGCGCCGCTCTAATCAAAGGAGGTAGACAGTCTGAGATGGCATATTGAACCGTTTCAGATGGAGTGCTCAATGTTGCCAATAATTGATCAATCACCACTGGGGTCTTTGGGTCTCCAGCCGGCAGATGACTGGCCAGAGCACCGTACATGATAATAACGGCCTCATTGAGTCGATCAGCTTGATCGCTATTCTTCTCACTAGTCTCAAGAAGATTCTCAAATTTCTTCATCAGGGTAGTAAGCATATCTTTGCCGTGACATTCAATAGCATACAAGCCAGCGCCAACCATCTCAGCGCGGACATTGGCATCCTTGTCTGCAAATGGTCCTCTTTCGATCCAGAATGTGAACATTCCGTCTAACTGTGAAGTATTCAAGTCTTGTGACATCTCCTTGAAAGCAGTTCCCAAACCAAGTCGACCTTCCCAAGGATCGGAAAGATCGGTCTTCTTTGCAAGGCCATATTCATCTAGTTGGGGTACGCGTGGTTTTGAAAGATCAGCATAAAGTGCTTCAAGTCGCTTGATGACCTCCTCCTTTGCCGAAGCTTGAGAGCGTAAAGAAGCTGCTAAAGCGCGTGCAGCGGCGCGTCTCAATTGACCATCCTTGCTCAGCAAATATTCGGTTAACCGAAGCGGGGTATCTGGTGTAATCGCAAATTCGCTCTCATCCCAAATTTCCTTACCCAGCTCTTGATTTTCTTCAACATCATCATGACTAGCCACCCAGATCTCATCAGAACATTTGATGTCACTAAGATCAATATCCGCGCTGATAGACTGTAAGACAGTAGTGCGAACGTTGGCTTGCGGCACAATTACACCCCTAGCAAGAACCTCCATCTCTGTGTTGCTGATGTTTGGCGCTAGGCAACGCGACAAATCGGCGAAACAGTCTCGTGCAATTTTGTAATGTTGAGCATGTTTCTGCATTGTTTCAATGAGAATGGACAGGAGCTCCCCTCTAGGCAAGGATTCGTCTTCGCAGACGGAAGTATGGAAGGAAAGGATTTCAATAGCCAGAACAAGTTGCGCATCTCGATCGTCGGCTTCTTCACCAACCCCTCCATTACGAAGGATGTAGACCAATAAGGGGATCAGATACATCAACGATGCAACATCAAAGGGCCTCTGCTCGCCTGCAAATCGTAGCCTGTACAAAGCTCGAGTAATCAAATCTTCAAGTTGTTCTTGCTGGTACTCCTCAGCTACATGAATGCCTCGTAGACGGAGGATTGCTGCGCCGATGAATGGTCGCATGACGCCGAGTCGGTGGGAAACACTTCTAGAACAAATAATAAAGGTTTCGGCAGCCGCATCTCCTATAATAAGATTCGCACCAGAGTCGATGGCGCCAAGGAGGAGATCAACTGCCGCGCCTAGCCAAAGAGTTGGCTCAGTTGGTGGTCCAGTTGCAATGGCTTGGATGATTCCAAAGGCTCGGTGGAATTTCGCCTGTACATTGTGCACCAAGTTCCTAGTCTCCGCCTCCTTCTTCAGCTGAGCGTTTAGTTTGGTTGATTCATCTGAGGAAAGTTTCTTTTGTGTTTTCTTTCTCTCCTCAGCGGCGGTGTGCATTTCTTTCTCCCAGGCTACCAAATCGATATCCTCAGTATTTTTGTTAGGTAGAGCCGCAAGCGTCTTCTTTGCCAAAACATCAATGAAACAGACATCAGAGGGTGATCTTGACATAGCAGCTTCAACTGGACCAACGTTATCTAACTGTTTGCTGTTCAGATCATCTTTGACTCGCGCTAGTAGCGGAGTGATGATAGCATCAGGGGCTACAAAGGCCAAATCCGCCGCCGCACGATAGGCTGCTTGTTTGACATTATTCGGCTGGTCGGCGGCAGTTCTAATACCGACTTCGTTCATCAGAGCCTTGCAGTGGCTGGAGGCAAGCTGACCAGGATCCAAGCCCACGTTTAAACAGAGGTCAATCCAGCTAGCGCGTGGGATTAGATCTGGCTGGGTTAGAACAACTAGTGAACAAAGTTGTGATTTGAGCTGTTCTTGTGATGTGTCTGTTCTTGTCGAGGCTAATTTGCTTGCGCTAGGGCAAATGGTATGGATGACTTTAATAAGGGAGGAAGACTTTTCGGTGTCATTTTTGACGCCTGATGAGATGACAATATGCCATAGCCCTTCGATTATTATAGAAGAGGCTGAATGGGGGTCAGATGCATACAATGTGGCTAATATTTTAGTCATTTCTTGTCGAATAGTTGGCGGAACGGAGGGTGATATCATAAGATGAATCACTGCCTGAGCCCACTCAACTCTCATCTCTTCGTCATCTTCGTCATCTGGCCTGAGTTTCTTGGAAGCACTCTGAAGAGCGAGACACAGCCACTTCAAGTCCTCCCCTGAAGTGATTTTGTTGTAAATACGGCTCGATAGCAGGACCGGTTGCTTTTCATTCTGCAGAGCACGTTTCATGATGGAACTCTCTTCGATCTTCGCTGCCAACGGTGTTCCAGGAAAGTTTTCTTGTAAAATGGGTGACAGAGCTACCAGAATGTAAACTCCAACCATCAAGTTGTTCTGAGATGCGATGGCGACATTGCATTCGAATTCATTGAATGCGTCAATAAGTTTTGCGACCACCAATTCTATGAAACCGGTCGCACAATCACGGTCGGGAGCATTGCAAATTGTCAATACAATGTGACCAGCAGCAAGAAGCCATATCCTGCGTACAGGAGCCTTTTTGTCAGACAAGCCCTTAAGCAATGCGTCTGTTACAGGCTTAGATACTTCGGTCTTGGATGCCACAATTTGGCAAATTGACTGCGCAAGGGGGCCAAGTTCTGCATTCAAGGCGCCTTCATTGCCCTCTTTGGCTGCTGCAGTAGCTAACGCAGTAGCAACAGCTTCATCAGCTTCGGCAAAAGGGCCGGCAGCCTCAATCATTTCAGCGAACAATGTGCGTTGTTCAGGGGAAGCAACCTTGCCTGATTTCAAAGGCACGGTAAGCTCTTCAATGACAACACTCATAGTCTTAGAATTTTGGCATCGAGTAGTAATCTCTCGGAAAGTATTCAGTGCTCCGATTCGTATCGTAGGATTGCTAGATTTTATGTTGGAGAGTATCGACTTCATCAAATTCTTTTGGAGGACATCTGACAAGTCCAAGCTTTGGGGAAGTGCTGCTACTACCGCTTGAATTACGCCATCAAGAACGATTTCAGGCGACCTCAAAGATGCCTTCTCAAAGGCTGGGATGAGCTGTGAAGAAAGGTCGGATATGGTAGCAAAGTTCTGGAAGAAATCTGCCATACCATTGGAGAGATGTCGGGGTACAGTGGTCTTGGAATTGACAATCTCTCTAGCATAAAATTCGTAAAAGACATTCTTTTCCTTCTCCAATGCGACTCGGGCTGCTGGGATACGAGCACAAACACCAGCAACAACTCCGAGGAGAGTGGCGCGAGATGACGTTGATTGTGATTGCTTTGTTGTAAGAGTGGCCACAGCGGTTTTCAATTGAGCCTCGCAGAGTTGCTGAGAGCCAAAAAGACTTCGAAATGCTCGCCGACTGACGGTCAACGCTGAACGGGCAATGCTATGTTTCACTGGCGGCGCCAGACATTGTTCAAGGGCATCCGACTCGGCCAACAAAATCTCGCTACCAAACTTTTGCCATAGGGGAGAGCCGCTTAGTGTCTGGATGAGCAGGCAGCACCATTCTAGCAGCACAAAGGCACTGGACTTGGCAATCCGAACGTGGCTCTCAGCACGAATCCATTTCACGAATTTTTCGAGGTTCGCTGTGTCAGGTCTATTCAAAAGGCATTTCAAAAGACACTTTTGAACTTTCAATCTTGATTCTCGGTCGCTATACGTTGCATGAGTCTGGAAAAGAATCGGAAGGAGGGCAGAAATCTCGCTGTTGTTAATATCTATCAGAGCTGCCTGTCAGTCTTGAACTAGCTTGATCGTAGCGAAATTTAAATAACCATACCTTCCTTTTCAATGCCTTCCTCGGCAATTTGTAAGTGCTTTATTCGGTTGGTAGTCGATGAGGAGTTTAGAGCTGTCACGATCTTGGACATATCCCAGGCCGGGCCCTCGACGTCGTTGGCACCTGAGTCCGACATTGCGAATCCCTTTACAGTGGCGATATCGATACACGGATCATTTGGGTCTCACTCAGTTCATCAGAAGCAGATGAAGAAGTTGTAGGACAGATGCTGTGCTATTAGAGGTGGAAAGCTGTTGGAGTTAGCAGCTCTCGTCGGAGGAGTCTGGGATGCGGCACGAAAAAAAGCCCCACCAAAACTCGACAATTTCTCCCCACAGCTTCGAAATGTGCGTTGAGCAACACCAGTTGTAAGACAACAAGGACGGGTGGTAGATTTTAAGGAAAATAAATTATGACAAAGTGCACCTAAGGATACCCAAGTTTTAATAGCTCTGGCGTATTAGACAATGTGTCCATTTATACATCTCCTACTGCTCTATTATTTGCCTCAGTTCTATGGCATACCTACCCATGCCACAACTGGCGCTCCCGTAGCTTTGACTCACGCCGAAACCCTTCGGAGAGCAACTACTTGAAACAAATGTACAACACTTTGAGGTATCCTTTTCAAATAATAATTAAATTATTCTGCTATATTTCCAAGGGACCCTTTTATTCCGTATAGTTATAAGTAGATACAAAAAACAGTAGCAAATAGTTTTGCCCGCCAACTACCGCTCCTTTGTGAGCGTCTCGTGAGCTTGGTAGGCGGTTCTTCCACCACTTTGTCCAAGGCCCAGTAGATGCCTGCCCCTCCATCCACATTTGCACCCCGCGCCAAAGCTTTCCCGCTCTCCAACCCACCACAACCTCAACACGCGATCAATGGCTGGCACCAAGAAAAAGAAGAAGGCTGTTGCTAATCCAGCTAGGGGTTTTGCGACAACCTCTATAGCCTCGAAGCCGAGACCAGAAACCTCGGAAGCATCCAACGACCCCTCTAGTACAGACCAAGCCAAGAAGCCAGCAGAAGCGGCGGCTGAACGCTCCGACGAAGCTCAAATTGCCAAACCAGACAACGGGCCGCCTCCCTTGAGCGCGGAAGAATTTGAAAAACAACTAGAAGAATCAGAATTGCAGCTTCTTGTCGAAAAGTTTGCCTTGAAAACGAAGCGCGATGCTCAGCGCCAAAAAAATAGATTGGAAACGGATCGCCGATTGCTGAGAGGCCAGGCAGACCCCATTAATGTAACAAAATGGCTTCCACCGGATATTTTGGATCATATTTTGGATTTAATCAAAGCTGAGAGTCGATTTTCCGCCTCAAACGTATCCCAAGACAGCATAACAGCTGGCAAGATGCCAACGGAGGAGGAAACGATTGGACGTCTGTGGTCTTTGCAACAAACTCTCTTGTTAACAGATTTCCCTGAAGCAAGAGTTCAATCTGCAATTAAATATATACTGGATATCGCGCCTAATGTCTCGGTATCTGTGAAAGATTCCATTTGGGGGCTGGAAGAGGCACTTGAATGGTTGGCTCGTGAATGCACAATGGACGAGCTGCCTCTATATGAAAACAGACCAAAGCCGCATGTAAAGGGTATGTCTTTGGCAAGGTTGGTAACGTAAATAGATCTAACCTGTATTCATAGACACTCCGAGTGACACACCAGCTACATCACGTAGCACTACTCCCAAACCGGGGCAGAGTCGTCGGAGACGAGATGACCTTACCACGAACCAAAAACAACGGCACGGACCGCCACAGAAGCAGGCAAAGGTGACTTACGATAGCGATATTGAGCCTGATGATCTTCATCCACAATATTTGGCTGCCAAAATACGGCTGCTCGAAATGTCCAAGCTAACTGACCCTACAAAGAAGAGCGAGAAATCCCCAGAGAGTGACGAAAAGGCAAAACTGCTAGCAAAACTCCAAAAAATCGAGAACGATGTCTTGTTTGACAAAGCCGCCGCAGATTTCGAATGGAAATCGAAAAGAATTGAGCTCGAGAAGGAATTTGCAATGGAACGTAATCGCCAGAAAGCGGAGACAAAACCGGTTGTGGAAAGCCAGGTCATCGACGAAGAGCCTGACGACAGTGTTAATGCGGAAGCTGAAAGAATCGCTGCAGAACTACTAGCTGAGGTTCATGATGATGATGGAGGACTCGGCAACCTTTTTGATGCGCTGCCGCAAAGCGAAGTAGATCCATCTACAGGTGCGACCAGAACAGTCATGACTTCGTCGGATGGAGTGAAACTCACTATTCGCGACTTTGGAAAATGGTCTGGTGTCAACCCTCGTAGGGTTCTTGAAGAATCTTGCCGATCTAGGTAAATTATACCCTAGCCACGTTGAACCCTTGGAAACTAACCCCCGCAAAACAGGGATTCCAATGTTAAACTTGAGTTTCGTGCCATTTCGGAAGCCGCGTTCGCTAATCGCCATACTCTTGATATTTGGTGGACAAAGCCTCAAGAGCCTCCGCAAATACCAGTTCCTTTAGATATCGACCATATCTTGGATGCCAACCAATTTACCTTTACGATGACCAAAGTTGCAACGCCAGATTTAAAACAGTCAGAGGCTTACTTGGCGACAGCCGCGTTATTCCACATATTTGGACAAAACTCGAAAGAAGAAAAAGTTCACCTCAAATTACCGCCAGTTTGGCGTGATTTCTGGGGAGAACTCGCCGAAGCCAAGAAGGATGAGCTGGATACTCGTGACCGAGAAGTTATGAGACAACTTCGTGACTTTGTCCGACAACGCCAAGATCAAGAACTGGAAGACGGTGTTATTCTCCAGGGTGTTTTCAAGGGAAGAAATACTGGCAAGGCCAATGGGGAGAACTCAGATTCAACTGTCACACATCGGTCGAGATCTGTCCAAATGTCACCCGATGCCCTCCGAAAGATTTGGGTAGACAAGAGCTCGACACCCCAATACCAACAGATGATGGTTAGTACTAATCTACTAATCTGCCTTTGGGAACGTTTCGTATCAACTAAGACCTTGCTCAGAAATTTCGATCGCAACTGCCGATGTCATCATTCAAAACATCTGTACTCCAGGCAGTTGAGAATAACCAAGTAGTTATTATTTGTGGCGAGACAGGCTGGTAAGTTTAAAACTTTTACACTTTTTACAGCATCTAATACAGAGAAAAGTGGAAAGAGTACGCAAGTTCCAGCATTTTTGTTGGAGAATGAGCTAGCAAATGGTAGACACTGCAAGGTTTATTGCACAGAGCCCCGGCGTATTTCAGCTCTGTCTCTTGCAAGACGCGTCAGCGAAGAACTGGGAGAGAAGAGAGATGATATTGGCACAAACAGGTCTCTAGTAGGTTATTCGATTCGCTTAGAAGCGAACGTATCACGAGAGACCAGACTTGTTTATGCTACAATTGGTATCGTCATGCGAATGCTGGAAGGTTCAAACGATCTCCAGGAGGTCACACACTTGGTCCTTGACGAAGTTCACGAACGATCGATTGATAGCGACTTCCTGCTCATCGTTTTGAGGCGATTGATGAAGCAGAGAAAGGATCTGAAAGTGGTTCTTATGTCTGCTACTGTTGATGCGGATCGATTTTCAACATATCTAGGTGGCGCACCAATACTGAATGTTCCCGGCAGGACGTTCCCAGTCGAAGTTAAATATTTGGAGGATGCTATCGAACTAACAAGTTATGTTCCCACCACAAATGCGAATGAAAAAATGATTGATCTGGACGAAGACGGGGAAGCAGATGCGGAAACCCATCAGCCTGGTGAGGCACTGAATCTTGTTGGATACTCTCAGCGAACAAGAAACGTCCTTTCACAGATGGATGAATACCAGATTGACTACGACCTCATCATGCAACTTTTAATTCACATCAGCTCGGCTACAGATATGGCTTTTTACAGCAAAGCTATCTTGATCTTTCTTCCTGGTATCGCCGAGATTCGAACTCTTAACGATCTTATCTTGGGCGATCCTCGATTCAGTAAAGATTGGCTGGTTTACCCTCTGCATTCGACAATCGCAACAGAGGACCAGGAGTCGGCTTTCTTGGTACCGCCTGAAGGGTTAAGAAAAATTGTCCTAGCGACAAACATTGCGGAAACAGGTATCACGATTCCAGATGTGACGTGTGTTATAGATACAGGCAAACACCGCGAGATGCGTTTTGATGAGAAACGCCAACTTTCAAGGCTGATTGATACATTTATTTCCAAGGCCAATGCTAAGCAAAGGCGTGGTAGAGCAGGCCGAGTTCAAAATGGTTTATGCTTCCACATGTTCACGAAAGCACGCCATGATTCAGTCATGAGCGACCAACAAACGCCGGAAATGCTTCGGTTGTCACTTCAAGATCTCGCTATTCGCGTAAAGATCTGCAAAATTGGCGGCATTGAAGAAACCCTTGGAGATGCGCTAGATCCCCCTTCAGCCAAAAATATTAGACGCGCCATCGACGCTCTGGTTGATGTAAGGGCTCTGACTACATCAGAGGAGCTCACACCTTTGGGCCGCCAGCTGGCACGCTTACCCTTGGATGTTTTTCTTGGTAAGCTAATCTTGCTGGGTACTGTTTTCAAATGTCTGGACATGGCCATAACATTAGCGGCGATACTGTCCTCGAAATCACCCTTCTCCGCTCCGTTTGGTCAACGAACTCAAGCAGACAACGCACGCGCTGCTTTCAAAAAAGCTGATTCGGATCTTCTTACTGTCTACAATGCGTACTCGGCCTGGAAAAGAGTCTGCCAGTCTAATAGTGGGTTTGGCAAAGAGATGCAGTTTTGTCGAAAGAACTTCCTCAGCCAGCAAACGCTGTCAAATATTGAGGATTTGAAGGGTCAGCTTTTGGTGGCACTTGCAGATTCTAGTTTCCTTTCTCTTACTGAAGAGGAAAGAAAAGGCTTATCACGAATGCGAGCAACCAATCGTGGCCGCAGGCAGCAAAACTTCTACGAGATTCCAAATCGCGTAAACATCAACAGTGACAACGACGTTGTCGCATGCTCAGTTATTGCTTGGAGCTTTTATCCAAAGCTGTTAATCCGGGACATCCCTGGATCAAAAGGTGTTCGAAACATTGGCAACAATCAGTCTATCAGTATACATCCGGCTTCTGTGAATCGCAGCGCTCTTGATATTAAATGGCTTTCATACTACCATATCATGCAATCAAAAAGGTAAGCTTAAATGACACCTTTATTAGAGCTTTTAACTAACGAATACCTCAACAGCATATACCGAGCCCACGAAATTACTGCTGTTGATGCGTTTGCCATTGCCCTATTCTGCGGGGATGTGCGTTGCGATGTGAGTGGTGTTTTTGCATTCAGTCTAATTTCCTCTAACATATTTGTAGCTATTTTCCGGTGTCATTATTCTGGATGGGAACCGAGCCCGTTTCTCTGTTCCCGATTGGAAGACAATGCTTGCCATCAAGGTCCTTCGCACCAGATTGCGAGAAATGCTGAACAAGTCTTTCCGGCAGCCTGGGAAGCTTCCGACAGCTCAGCAAGAGAAGTGGCTTGATATGTGGCAACGGCTCTTCACACAAGATTTTGCACAGGAGAAGTCTATCGGTGCTGTAAAAGCTTAGTATAGAGAAGTAGAACGGCTCGATACATTCGCAAATGTAGGAAAACTTGTCGAATATAAACAGTGTTTCTATGTTACAGATTGAGTAGCATATACCGACTACACCTTTGAGCAATCTAAAATACCCTATTCCCCATTCGCCTTTTCTTTCGATGCTAAAAATAATGCCTTAAAATCAGCATTACTCTTGGCACCTTCCGCTGGATTTGCCTTATCAACGGTGCCTGTCTTGGCGGCTGTAGCAATTCTTGGGCCAGCAGCTAACCCGCCTCGTCGCTTACCGCCTCGCAATGGAGGCCTGTTCCTGGAAGCCTGCGAGGGCATTAAACCTCCCGCAAACGCCACTGGCTTTTGCTTTGCTGTCTCCCGGTTCTCAGCCTTTGCCTGGTGCAGATCTTTAACAGACCCAATGCGCAGCGAGTAGCCTTCGAAATCCATATTATCCAACTGTAAAGCTGCCTTGCCAGCCGTACTGGCGTCGATGAATTCAATCTTGGCTCCACCGTTGCCTGGGATTAGCACCAAACGGACAATTTCACCCATGGGCTCAACAACGGCACGAATTCGAGCATCATTAACTGTATCAGGAAAGCCGAGGACGACGACAGTGCGTGCCAGGACGTCTTGTGCCGAAGGGCCAGAAATCTCAGCACTGTCCGTCGCTGCAGTCTGGCCCTCGCCACTGACTACTGCGTTGGCTATGCTCGTCGTAGTAGATGTGTGCTTAACCTTGGAGTCTTTGGAGAGCTGTACTTGTACAATCTGATTTCGGATCTTGGTGTTATGAAGTTGAGCAATGGCAGTTTCTGCTTGATCCTTGGTTTCAAAGTCCATGAATGCAAATCCTTTCGTTTTCCCTGACATATTCCTTGGCAAATTGACGCGAAGCACCTTGCCGTACTTGGAGAATATATCTTTTAGGCTCTCTTCGGTTATTCCACTGTCCAGATTGGATATATGAATTTCACGGCCTTCGGATAGAGCACCCTCTCTGTTCTTCTTTTGTCCTGGGTCGGAATACTTGGCCAGCAGTTTGAATTTCTCATCCAGCAAAAGTCCGTCTTTCTGCACTGCCTTTGCGGAGGCTTTTCGGTCTCTGAAAGAAATGTAGCAAAATCGACGGTGGCTGTTAACTTTTAAGCTAGGCCAACGTATACTAAGAATTTCGCCACAGTCATTAAAAAGACGATGCATGTATTCATCGTTCGCTGCTGGTGGATAGTTTGCAACGTATACAGTCAAGTCGTGACCAGATCCGACACGAATCTGGGACTGGCCGAAGTACTTCATATCACGGAGCAAGGCCGACTCTGCCTCTGCCGGTGTGTTGAATTCAATCAAGGCTGTCGTGCTTGATCCATCACTCTCACGAACCATACCCGTGATGTTTTTGATATGTCCGTATTCTTTAAAGTATTGTCGAACTTTGGTCTGAGTCACATCAGCAGGGAGATTTGTTACAACAACTGTCGAATTTTCTCGATCACGCTTCGTCTCCTCAGATCCGGTGGTGCAAGCTTGTAGAGTGCCGTCTGTCTTCTTTTGGCGTTTTGCAACGCTAGCGTCTTGTTCGGCAACATCATGGTCGGCATGCTTGCGCTTCTGATTTGAAAGAGAAACAGCTGGAGCGGTTGCATCGTCTGTGGTAGCCTGTGCTGTTTGGGTACCATAATATGCGGCGTATTCAGCTGCCTTTTCTTGTTCCTCTCTTTCACGGCGCTTCCTAACACCCCTTTCTGCTCTATAGATATCATCTAGTATCGTGCGAGCAATAGCCGGTGTTTCATAGTCGTTAGAATGCTGTGCATAAAGCTCAAGAATCTTCTCCGGCCAGTCCAGCATCTTTTGCTTAGCGGCACTCTTTAGCACATTCGTAGCTTCTGTTGGTGATTTGCCCTGGGTTTGGCTGTCTGAAAGGTACACCTGCATCTCCCACTTGTAATATTGAAGCCAGAAGTCATGATTGTCAGAATATAAGCGCTTGCGCGCCAATGTTTGCCACTGCTCCCTTGCCATGTCCGGCGCACCAGCCGATTCTGAGAGAAACTCGGCGAAGATGCGCTCCAATCGGAATTTTGGATCGCCTTGGTAAGCCTTTCCTGCATATTTCTTCCCAATTTGCTGCACTTCGCGCAGACATTCAATAAAAGTGGTATGAATATCCTCCGTGGCGGTTGGATTGACGGAGTGGTGCCGTTTCAGCGAGCCAAAGACGCATTCGTATACTTGCATCAGCTCTTCCATGCCGTGTTGTTCGATATCAATTTTCAACTTAGCACTATCTTTTGCCGCGATGATGGCACTGATATCAGTGGTGGTTTCTTCAAGCAGTTGGATATGGCGTCTCCATAATCGACCGGACCATGGGCAATGAGCCAAAGCACGCTCAATAGCATCCGAGGCAGCTTCTAGCAGTTCGTCACTTCCGTCACGGGTGGCGGAGGATTTTAATACACAATAATCGTACCAAACTGCCTCGTCATTAGCGAAGATACCACCAAGGGCTCTAGCAAAGAGGCCCTCGGCGAGCAGAAAGGGCAGCGCTGAATCAGACCGGTTTATACGACACTGGAGCACTTCCCAATCTAGATATTCTAGCATGGTAGACTTTTGAAGCTCAAGATCACCATCCCGGTAGGACTTTTGAAGTATCGTTTCGTATTTGTCGCGCGCTTCTAGCATCTTTTTCGCTGGTTGTGCTGCTGACGTAGCCTCTTGCATGCCACTCTCCCAGGCGCTACTGTTGAATTCTGAGAGGAAGCTAGAAAATCGTTGTGACGTCTCATCCCATGCCAAATGCGGTGTTGCCAATCGTTCCTTAAACAATGTAGCGATTCGATCGATGTCATCCGATGTGTGCTGTTTTCGTAGAAGCTCCAGTTCGAGATCGATCCAACGATTCCACAGTTCGTGGCTATCCGAGATGCGGTATTCCACAGCCTGGTAGCCTTGCTGCCATAACTGGAGGGCAGCCTCCAGCGTGAACAGCTCTTGACCTATTGATCGCTCGTCTTCCGCCCAGTCGCTCGCCGCATCACTGTTGCTGTTCTGCCAAAGTGACCAGAAGTAGTTGCATCGAGCTAACCAGAGCTGCAAGCTGTTCGGTTCAGAGTTTGTAGCATTGTTATATGATTCGAAGACATGTATGCGCTGTTCGAGATCGCCGGCTGTTCTAGCTGCCTCTTCCAAATATGCAACGAGGTTAGACTCTCCAACCGGTTCTGACATGTTCACTGGCGCGCTTCTCAGCGTATAACTTGGCTGGCGTTTACGTCAGTAAGTAGTCAACATGACATTCAGGCGCTATAGTGTAGAATTTCGCTATCGTGATACTGTCGCCGTTTGTATGATTCGATGGGTTGTGTTGGTTTTGCTATTGGCGTTTGCAGCTTGAAGCACTGGGAGCCTAGCCATGACGAGGTCGCGACAGCTGGGCGTGAAGTTTTCGGTGGGGCGCATCTGCGCAAAGAGCGATCTGTGGCGACAATACAGCAGCTTTCAGCCCGAGCTGTTTAGGCTACAACACGCAACCAGGTGGATTTAACATGCTTTCAATCCCAAAGAAACGGTTGCCAAGTAAAAATAGAGTAAACTTAAGATGAGCCCATTATGAACCAAACATTAAAACCCTGGCGACTTAATTTACTGAAGAGGGCGCGCCCTACCAAGTAGCCGACACCTGTAGGGTACAGCCACCCAAAGTCCGAGCCGGTGCCCGTCTGCAGTCAATGTTCTGGAGCAACTTGTGGGCAAAACCTAGAGGCGCACTGATCAGCATGACGACAGAGCAGGATGCACGAGGCGAACCGATGGCCGGGAGAACCTAGTGTTTCAGACCATTTTAGCTGCAGCTGGCCAGCCCAACGAACTGGCAAAGAAAGCTCGGGTAGGATTCTCTGCCACCCACACCGTGATATTAGGTTGTATATTCGCTGGCTGCTGTAAACACTATACATTTGGTCACTCCTAAGTATGCTGATGTCTAGCATGAATCGAGTACCTCGATAAGATTACAGCTTAGCCATAAGGATTAAAGCGACTCGGCGTTTCGTATGGGTTATGCAGCTTGGGCTATGCTCTATTCAGACCCAACTGCCGATGGGGCAGCGACTTTTAGTAGCTTGCAGTAGAGGTGCAGCGTCTCCGCCTGTGAAACAAAAGGAAAGGAGGGAGAGACAGTGCGAAATACGCCGAGGGACACAAAGACATGCACACAAAGAGGGGTGATGGCGACGAAAAAGAAAACATAAAAGAAAATATGAATTGCTAAGCAGCTTGCCAAAGAAAGCAAAGCAATAATGGACAAAAAGACAAAGGAAAAAGAAAATCCGTATGACGAAACTACGGGTTGGACAGTCGCAGGGAACAGCAAATGCAGTAACACCGGAGAAGGGATGAGATGGTTCTAGCAGCAGGTTCTGTCGACTGTGCTAGACTCGGGATTACAGTAATCGCTAATACTAGTCAGTAAAGCCCCCCCTGACTAGCCCAGGAAATGAGTGTAACTGGGTGCCGTGGCGCATCTGCCGTGGCGCTGGTTGGCGAAGAGTGAGAACGGGCTGCAGGTTGTGCCTGGTGTTCCTGATCGACGGTCCCCTGTGCTTCCATGCGGTGCAGCGCGGCACCAAAAAACCACGCTACAAAGTTCCAGTAGTGGGCTGACTGGTGGGCTGTGTGGGGGCTTATCCCGCCACTAGAAGCACTGGCTTCCACTGGGAGTTGCAGTGGAGCAATTTGCCTGGATGCAACGTCTTGCCCCTGACGCCGCTCGCCAACTGGGGGGGCTCCCGCTCTCGCCGTCCCACGTCCGCCCGTAGTGCCAATTGTTATTATCAATATCCCCAGAGAAACCGCCGCCACTGTTCCCTCTTGCAACATCGTCACTCTCTCGCAGGCGCGTGGTGTTCAATCTACTTTCCTTTTCGAATCATCGACTCAACTTTCCTTACTGTCACTCTCTCACAGTTTTTCCAACAATACCAACATACTAAAACAAGAGGCCCGGCGCTAAATTTCCTACCTCGCCCTTTGTCTCGCTCCGCTCATTCCATACCAACAGCCAAAACGCTCTGCTTCCCTTGTGAGGCTGGTTTTTTCATTCCGAGCACCTGCTGCCCTGTTTCGCCGCTGCGATCTCATTTCCCTTTCGTCTCAACCACTTCGCTCTCTCTCTTGCGCGCTCAAGACAGCTGGACGATCGATTGTCTCACCCGACACACGACTTTTTCTCCCGCCCACCGCGCCAGTGCATAGCAGTGAGCGGCTCTGCTAAAGTGTGTGTTATACCGGCACCTGTCCACCTTGTCCACTTTGCACCATCGACGTTGATCTGCACGCTACACTCTTCCACGTCAGTGGTGTTGTTCGCATCTTCATCAGCAACGACCACGACAACCGAGCAGTCTTACATTATTTATCACCAACCCTTCTTGACAAAGAGAAGCTGCTACTATGTACACACTCAAGGTCACAACCGTTGTTCTAATGCTCTCCGGAGCCGTGAGCGCTGCCTTTGATAACAACTGTGCTGTATGTGGCCGACGCAAGTAACGCAACTATGAATTGACACTAACGACCGTTTATGACAGGCTCTATGCCAGAATAGTACACGAGATACCTTTAAGACACTCAAGTGTAATAGCGCTGACGACGCTGCTTGCATTTGCCGCAGCCCCGACTTCATTAATGGCGTTCAAGATTGTATGGCCAAGAGAGGCTGCGAGCCCGATGCTGGCGCTCTTCCCGGCTTCCTCAAAGGATACTGTGGTAACAGTACGTTATCCAACTACATCTCTATTGAACTGTCTTCATTGCTAACATGAAATCAAACAGACCCTCTCCCTAGTGCTGCCGCTCCTTCCAGCAAGCCTGCTGCTCCCGCTACCTCTGCTCCTGCTTCCTCGGCCCCTGCTCCCGCCAGCACGTCCGCTGCACCTGCTAGTGTGTCCACGACGAGCTCTGTTCAGCTATCCCAGACTGCGCAAACTACTCTGCAAACCTCTGCTAGCTCCGTTTCTCAGCAAGCTAGCGCTACGTCTGACGCTGCTGCCGAAACCTCCTCTGCTGCTGCCGCTCCCGATGCCACTCCGTCTGGCATTTCCCACGCTGCATCAGTTGGTATCGGAGTCGGTATTGCTGCCGCTGTTGTAGGCGCTGCTATTGTGGGATTTTGTGTTTACAAGAACCGCAAGAAGACCCAGCAGAAGCCCCGCCAGTCCATGGAGATTTCTAAGCCATTGCCCGGATCTGGCCGCACCTATCCCGACAACCACAATGATAGAGACTCGCTTGACAAGTACGATATTGAAATGTCCTCTAACCGTTACGAGGACATGGCACAGGGTCAGCAACCAAGAACAATGGTGTAAAGGGCTAAAGAAGGAATGTCTCTGTCAAGCAGCACAGCTTCTTCTTCTTCTTTTATGCGATTCTGAAGGTGGTCCGGTATTGCCATTTTGCTTCTCTTTTATGTGTATTATATTTTTCTCTGCACATCTTTGTCGACGTTGCTTCTTTCTTTTCTCTGGCTTTTGCTGGGCGATCTCGTGAGAAAACAATCGGAACAACTGCGTCAAGTGTTGTTCTTTTGATGCGAAATAGGTAGCGATAGTGTCTTTCAATTTGATATCCAGTTTCTTCCACGCCACCTGGCAACAACGATGATTACACCATGGAATCTTTAAAGCTTAGTAGTAGTTTTCAACTTTTGGATTGAATGCTAAGTGATGTATATGTACAAGTAGTATTACAAAAAATTGCTGCACCTATGATTTCTTGCCGTCGTGTGTGCAGCACCCGCAACGCTGCGTCTCAGTACCTGGGCGCTCTACCACGAGTAGTACGGGCGCTGACCGTTGATGCGGCGGTTGGGCAAATGGATCCAAGGTCCCTTTGCCTCCTTCTTGGCTATACTCTCATTGTACTCTCGGATGCGAGTACGCTCTTCCTTGAGAACAATAGTAAAGCCTAGCATAGTGCGTTAGTACTTCCGTAACTTTACAAGGGCTATGCATTGCATCAACTTACTGGTAGCAGGATGTTGAATCAGACCCATGCGTCCACGGCCTTTATAATCAATCTCCTTGCCGCGCCAGGGCCCTCTTCCGACCCAGGATTGGGCAACATAGAGCCTTGAAGGGTCGCTAATCTCCATCCACTTGCCGTCCTTATTGCGAATCTTCACAGGCTTGTCCAGGATCTCACCATTCAGCTTGCCAAGTCCCATACCGTTGCGAGCAATGGCGAGATCTCTAGCCTCCTCGAGGTAGTACTTGACTTCAATGGCCATGCGTTTCTTGGACCATTTCATCTGCGTAATAGCCTCATCCAGCGGCTTGCCGGCAATCTGTCTTGCCAGCATGACAAGCTTCTTCGTACTTGTTGGCAGCCACTCACTCTTGTGCAGGAGCTGTCGCTCCGTCATCTTGATCTTCTCCTCAGGAGTGACGACGCCGTTCTTGCGGACCATTTGCATCACCTTTTTGCGTTGCCATCTCATACGTCCGCGAGGATCCGGGTCGGAGACCATAGCAAGAGCCTCTTTAGTCTTTTCGTCAGGCTGGGACTGTACGTTTTCTTGACTGGTGCTGCTCTGCTCAATTTCATCCTGGAAGATGTTGTCTTCGATCTTGCCTCCGCGGGCGTTTCGTTGGAGGAATTGTTGGCGCTTTTTCGGGTCGTTGAGCTCTGAGGTGACATCGTCAGCACCTTTATCGCGGCTGCCGCTTCCCCATCCTTTGAACGGGTTCAATGACCATTTCTGTCGTCGTTGATCGACTCGTGTGACGGCTGCCGTCTGTACCGAAGCGCTCAGCGGCGAGGCTGTAAAAAAACACGTTAAATAAATGATAGAGGCGCAATTGATCCAATAGGATGCATACCTGAAGCAGTCAGGCGCCGCGTAGCCAAACGTAAGCTCATGGCGACTCTGATTAATTATCCCTGATGCAAAGTAAATTGGCCTTGAAAATCCACAGCGTCGCGAGCTCCTTACAAGAAATCGGCGCTACCGAAAATTTACCGGGCGGCGCTGTTGCGCGTTCACGTGACTGCTTGCTAGCGTGATTATCCTTTGATGCTGCCGGCGCTGGTCGGTTACCAAATTCCTCTCGTACCGAAGTCGATCACGCAAACCACATTCAGAACCCTTCAACCCCCGTTAAAAACAAATCCTATACAATGACTGCCGTCAAGCCCATCACTGGCGTACGTTTTAGCGTCCAATTGCCTTCGTGGACCGTAAACAGCGGATCTCGAAACAAGCAACCCCGTCCTCAGGATATCTAGCTAATGACTCTTTAGATGCTTCGCAAGCGCCTCATCCTCGACCTCTCCATTGGTCTCGGTACGTGAATTCGACACAATGGCATACACAGTCACCCAATTATTATACAACGACTGCCCCGACCGAGAACAATCGACGTTCTCTGAAAACATGTGCTGACAACTTACTACAGGTGCTGGATTTGCTATGGCCAACGTTTACTGGTAGGTTTTTGCTCGCTGCCATACGGCTTTGCGCCGTCAGAATCTATGGATGAACCAAACGGCTAACCAATTACTAGGTACGGCTTCCACGTTCCCCGTACCAACCAGCGCGACGCTTTCTACAGCAAGCTCGAGGCCAAGCGCGAGGCCGAGAAGTCCGAGTAAACGAATCAACTATAAAACACAAAAAGTTCCCATACAATACTATCTTTGCTCACTCCATGAGCATATAATGAATGCGTCACGGACGTGTTTGCAGTGGTTATGAGCCTGTTAAGGGTTTTACGAGGAGGATCAGCAACAATCAATATAGAAATCTTGCCCCATGTGGCGAGATGGTCCACGGCTTGTGTGTACATTATTATGCAAGAAGGCCCAACAAAATCCATTTTTTGTTTGAAAGCTATCACAATCGAATTATTTTCTTTTGTTTATATACAGGCTCTCTTTGTTTGTCCTATATACAGTGAATGAATGGTGTGAACAAATACATCTGGGACAAGGGAGGCTACTAAAGGCGCCCGGATTCCCTACTAACTACAAATCACCTAGGAGATGTAGTCATGTAATCGAGTTGGAGCTGTTCAGCTTTGAACAGCAGGGACGGCTGATTGTCTGATGGATTGCTGAGAAGCTGTGGTCTACAATACTGGGCTACCTTGTATCAGCATCCTGCCAATTTGGTGACCATTGATATGGCTTTGCTGGCGCCCCTCCGTCGGCTCCTTTTGAAGGTGATTTTTCTTGCTTTTTATCTTCCCAGGTTGTTGTTTCAACCGTAAATGTACCGTTTTTGTCTTTGCACCTAAGTAGCCCCCACCCGAGGTTAGCGGCAGCTCTCTGACGACGTGAACCGGCGTGCTTTTTTGCTCTTCAGATAAAGCTACTTACCGTCGAAAGAATCTCTCTACCGCAAAGCAGTGTATCGGGCTATTTTGTATATGCGGTTGTTCAATTTTACACTTGTATTGCATCATATTCCGCAGCTCGCATGTCGATAGATCGATGTTCCGACCACCGTCAGCTATCTTCCGTCGCCGACCGCGAACATCTTGCTGCACTTTTGACGTGAGCTCAGACGCTGGAAACGAGTGACACGGTGGTGTCATTGTGTTTAATAACAATATATATATATCCGATTGGCTTCTTTCAACGACTTTGTAGTCAGTGAACGATGGATGCTGGTGTGGGAAGTCGGCTGCTGAGTGAGGTGGATGAGTTAAGTCTTGAACAGGTGAGTGGGCTCTTCTTCGCAACGGCATCCCAGTGTCTATCACCTACAAGAGGGAAAAAAAAAAGCATAAAATGGGCCAAAAAATTAGCAATTTGGATATTTTCAACATTCTCGGTTAAGTGACTGAAAATGGCCTTAATTCTTTCAGTAAACTGATAAACCTCCTTCCCCGGTGTCCATGGCGCTTAATCCGACGAAAACGGCATGTCAAGGCTGCTAATTATATCACAGACCTTGTCCATTTTCCGCAATACTCTCGACGCTGAAGAAAATCGCCCATATCAGAGAGTCAAAAAGACTTATATACCAGAGCTGGATGATCTAGCCATGACGCATTTCAACTCGGAAAAGACGTCCACTATTGCCATGACGGGGAGATATCTTCCGCTTGTCCACAAAATTATATCGACCCTGGTATCAGAACCGTATAAACGATCTGTTTCTGTAATTGATCTCGAAAGCCGCTTTGATGCTACCCGATTGTCATGTTCCGAGTCTGATTTGGATCATATATACGTACAAACGTTTCGATACAGCGCTTCCAACGATGTTTCTCAAATTATGACTACCATAGAGAAGTTCATGCTATACAACCAACTTTCAAAACCAAGCCAAGAGAGAGAGTGGTGGGGAACTATTGTGATTGGTGGTGTGGGAGCTGGCGATGTTGCTGCCGGTTGGAAGGGGTGGCTGCACGTTGAGCCGTACAAAGGACCAATACCCCCTCGTTTACGAACAGATAATGCAGACGGAGCAACAGAAGGTGCACAAACACAATTACCTGTATGGATTGCGTCGTCGCAATGGGGCTCGTTTGTATTCTGCGAATAGCGTTTTCATCCTGTTCACTGTTCGCTGTCTTTTAGCCCGAGAGCGGCGGACCCTCACCACCCCGCCAAAGCTTAGACGAAACATAAGTATCAACCTCATGCGGGTTCTTGACCTGTTCGCAACACAAACACGAACTGTGTGATAAGTCAATCCGTTCCAAAATGCCGGCTGAAAATCTCTTACTGGGTAAAACGGCAATCATCACGGGAGGGACCACGGGCATCGGGCGGGCGATCTGTTTAGGCTATCTCAAGCAAGGCGCAGATGTCGTTGTTAACCATCTTGGGCTTGAGAAAGATTCCCATCATCTTGAATCTCTAATCGTTGAAGCTGAGGCTCTCAAGGCAGAAAAGCCCAATGCTGGACGCCTGTCTCATCAAGTAGGCGATGTTCGAAAGCCCGAGACAGCCACGCAGCTCGTTGCGGCGGCGGTCGAGTTCTCCAGTACCAAGCGACTAGATATCTGCGTCAGCAATGCCGGCATATGCACATTTGCAGACTTTCTTACGCTAGAACCGAATCTATTCGAAGCGACAGCAAGAACCAACATGGATGGCGCCTTTTATGTCACACAGGCTGCTGCGCGCCAAATGGCTTTGCATCAATCACCACCGGGAGGAGGCATTATCGGCGTTTCGTCCATTTCCGCTCTTGTTGGTGGTGGTCTACAAACACATTACACACCAACAAAGGCTGGCGTTTTAAGTCTTATGCAAAGCACGGCCGTAGCGCTTGGAAAATATAGCATCCGTTGCAACTCGTTGCTTCCTGGAACCATTCGGACACAGCTAAATGAAGAGGATCTAGCCGACGATACCAAACGAACATACATGGAGGGAAGAATACCGCTGGGAAGGACTGGAGTGCCTGAGGATATGGCTGGCCCTGCTGTTTTCTTAGCCTGCGACGAACTCAGCGGCTATGTCACTGGAGCCTCGCTGCTGGTGGACGGTGGACTCTTTGTTAATTTACAGTAACGGATCACATGAGACAGGGACGAATGAGTAAAATATAATAGTGTATCTTCATGAATGTCTATTGCTAAATCTAATCAAAGGGGTTATAGTTGCTCCATATTCCAAATTGTATGCTTGTTAAAACGCCGTTTCCAGTCCGAAACACCAGAAAAAAGAAGAAGAGAAATAAAGGAAATTCGTTAAACGTCAACGTCAATAATGGCCGACTCAGTCAGATCAACAGGGGCTTCCTTTTGTAACGACTGTGCCATCTTCATGCGCATTTCACGCTCGATACCGTGATTAACAGCATCCAAAACAGTTTCGACGGTGATGCGAGGCTTATACGCGGGCTCTGTACCCTCTTGGTAGACGCCGGTCGTGACGAGGATGCTATACCAGTCGTTTTCAGCCTTCTTGTTGACGGCATTTGTGCCGCGGATATCGCTCTCAGGTGTATCACCAACAAAGTACACTGTTTTAGGGGCCGCTGAGATGCCATGTTCGCTCTGGCGCCACTGGTTCATGAGGCGAGATGCAAACTCAAAAGTTGAGACTTGAGGCTTGCCAAAGGCATGTGTGTTGAGCTTGCCAGTGCCGCCAGTAATGTCCTTAAAAGTAACCTCAAACATTCTGCGGAGGGCTCCCATGCCAAGACGGACGTGTTCGTGGGCAGCGGACCACACAACGTCGTTGTGAGAGAAGTAGAAGGGAGGTCCTTCATCAAACGTCTCACTGCGCTCGCTGAGGCGGCCACCCTTGGACATGGCAACATCAAGCATGATCTGAATGTCACCGGCCCAGTCGCGGGAGTCAGCAAAGACGAAAACAGCGTCGATAGTGACCTCGTTGAAATCACGCTCGCGACAGTTGGCGTGTTCCTCCTCGGTCAGCTTGCGGAATGGTGTTGTGGCAGCGTCGTGCTTGATAATGTCGCCTGGGGTGACGACGTCCTTGAAGCCATAGCCTTCAGCGACCTCACGGCACTTTTCGCCTTCGCCACCAACAACCAGGACTGTGCCATACTTTTCAGACATCTCGCGCATCGGAGTGTGGCCGCAAATGAACTGGCCGGGTTGCACGTCGTGCTCGAGCTGCTTTGAGAGATCCTCGCAGCGCTCTTCTTCTGTCTTGCCACCACCATTTGTGAGGAAGATGTGAGGACTAATACTAATGTTAGAGTTTGAGTTGTAAAATACCAAACGAAAAATTAGAACTTACATGTGAAGACCATAGGCGTTGTCGCCGTTAAGGACCTGCATAGCCTTGATGGCCTCAGGGATTGGCTTTCCACCACGGACCAGAACGCCATCGATATCAAAGGCGAAGACAAAAGAATCGGCAACAGATCTTGTTAACGATGATGGGGTCGCAATACTGGAGATGCTGCCTCTTGAGCTGTCGTAAGAGAGATCTGGGGATTGTGGGAGGGAGTCGGTGGGAGTGGTGCCAGTAGACTGGTCAAGCTGCTCTTTGACATGTTGGACTGACTCCATAAAGGAATCATTCTGGGTAGTTGTAGGCATGATGTTTGGCGATGAGGAGAAATATGTGAAGGAGGATGGGGTAAGATGAGGTTAAGAGTGGTAGTCAAGACTGGGGTTGTTCCTGAGATCGGTCGATATAAGTGGACAAACAGTCTATAAGATGGGGTTTTTGTGGATGAAGTTTGCTGATTGAAACGGTGGATGGGAACCAAAGGCATTTATACACGTGGAAGAAATTTTGAAATTTTTTTGCTTTGATAGGCTCTCCTTTCGAGCGTCTTCTATGGCCACGCCAATGCACCAGATCCATATCAGTGGATGGAGAAGCCGAGCCCATTCGTAGAGATAAGTTTGTACCCGTGTTAGGAAGCCAGCCAATCATTTCGTCGCTCCACAGGCAAACACATGTAACTAGAGCAGCGGCTAGTGGTGGACAAGGTATTGGCCGACCTGAGTATACTTTGGAGGTACGTATCCTACGTCATATATCGGCCGTAGCTTCGGCGGATCCATGTATGGTCCTGCAATGTGGACATGTCGTGTGCATTAGCGCCCCCCGGGATTTCAATTGCGGCGTGAGTGAAAGCGGTTGATTTCAGTTAACGGTTGTTGCAAGCTGGCTGAATATTGTGATCTCCCTCCGAGATCTACCCCCCTCCACAGCAAGCATCTTTCTCTACCTTGGCCTGTAGAAACGCATTCCCTTAGAACATCTTGGTCTCTCTACAGTTTTGCCCCAAGTATCCCCCGAGTATCTATTCGACCCAGCGGTGGAATACCAGGCACAAGGTTTGGCTGGCGGGCATGTAACATAACCAAAACGATGACGTACCGGGGCCTCTGTGCACCAAACACAGCCTGCGCTGCGATGGAGCCGATATCCACATGGTTGGTTCCACTGCGTTGACAAGCAGCACAAAACTCTCTTAGACGGTCGCCGATAGGACGTGCTGATAAGTGATGGAGAATGTCCCGCCTTTTACGGTGGAGATGTACCAACCTGAAGGTGTACGGGCTGGCCAAGACGGCATGTGTGATTGGCTGGTCAGTCGGTACCTTTAGTTTCAGGGGTCCAGCGTTTTTCATCGTGCCATGTAGGAGCAGAAACGGTGGCGACAGTACTGCAGAACGAGTTTTTTAGGTACCGTTTTCTCGCCTGCTGTCTTAACCGGGGCACCACGAACCAAGGTGCATAGCCTGTTAGTGAGCGCCCAGGCACGGTGTCAGGATCTAAGGCTCCTGTATTGGTCCTATAGTAGAGACTTGTTATCTGTGATTCGACGCCGTGCCGCACATCTCTCCCATTGAGGCTGTTCGGCTTGTTCGTCTAGTCGCCCGACTCAGACACGTTGGGCGCCACGTAGAGTAGTATCGGTGTGATCTTCAGGCCCCTTTTCGCTCGCCGTGGCTTGCATTTTGTAAAAATTTCTACCATTTCTTATGCCGGCTGCGGCGCCAAGGGAGCCGTGTTTTGGAAAGGCGGTTGGTAAGAATGGTGATGACGGCATCACGCATTGTCCACTGGTGGGGCCTATCCTCCACCCCGTCTCCCTAACTCCAGCGCTCGGAAAGCAGCGGTCCTCAGAATTATTACGTTTTATTATTTTTTAAATTGCGGGAGGCTGAAGAAGCTGAAGTGAGGGGTTTTCGAGCCGGACTGGAACGGCCTGGCTGAAGTGAAGAGTGGTCGATGCAGAGCACAATTGGGTGACTGTACGTCATGGGAGGTGGCATAGACTCTGAATAGTCGGCATAGCCGCAGTAGAAGAATAAAGCCCGTGATAAATAGTGCCTCAATAATTGGCTAGAAGGATACTTCCGCATGGCAAATGGGGGGAATATTTCGGCGATTGCGACGCGTGCCAGGGAATTGAATCCCACCGTACAAAACGGTAGCCCTACTACTCTCTTGGCGGGCTGGAGAGCTAAGAAACGGTGCAGTGGATGTGACTACCATCATCAGCGATGAGGGAGTGAATGTAACAGACTTACCGTAGTATTCTGGAGACAGGTAATCGTATGTTGTGCAGAGAAATATGGAGTGAATGTGGTGCTTGTTCAGGTTCACGATCAACAGGGTCTTATCGCTCCTCACAGACGATGGTGGTGTATCTGTAGACAACAATGGGTCTAATCTGGTATCATCAGCAAGCTTCTTACTGCGGTTTAAAAAAGATATTGAACAAGGATTGAATTTGATGTATGCAACTATATAGTATATCAACATGGGGTATCAGACACAACGCATATTCGTTTTCAGAGCTCATCCAACCATTATAAGATACGCAACAGCTTGTTCACATCAGTCCAACAATAGCCGCCATAAGGATTGCCCCAAAATATGGTACACGCTGTAATTGGTTTAAGTTCGCGTTTGAGGGGGTCCCAGCGCATGTATCTAGCATCTGTGACAGCGCTGCTTTTTCCGCCATTGTCACTGTTAGACTGTAGTAGCTTTTCACTTGCACCCAACTTTCCGCGTATTTACAATGAAAAGTCTTCAAAGGCGGCTTCCAGCTATCCGGACTACGATCACCCTTGGATCGGTTGATTGTATTGGTGACTGTCCAGAGCTGAGGGCGTGTGACGTCATTGGCAAAGTTCTTTCGTTGGGTGGTAGTCCATGACGACGCACCAGACTAGTATTCGTTAACTTTGGGCGCGTTATCAAATGCTGTCAATGTACACTCACCACCCAGGCATCCTTTAGCGGTACCATATGGTCAATGTCGAGATCCAGAGGATTCGTCCATGTCGCGCCGTCGTAGGGGCTTTGCCAACGTCCAGATGTAACACTGCAGTCAGACTTTGTTTGCACGTTGGTGCCATCTCGTTTTAAAGCGAATTCTCTGTAGAGGAGTGCGTTAGTAGCCTACCAAGAATAATGTCTTGCCTCAGCGTACCGCGCGTCACATTTCCCGTCGATGGGCTCCCAGTGAGGAAACTTTGCGCGTGTGTAGCCATCGCTGCTCCCTGAAGACGCGACCTTGAGGCCGTTCAATTGAGAACGAGCGGCAGAAGGAGTAGGAATACCCGGCTATAGACAAATATTAATACCTCTTTTATAACTGCCGGCTTTGGTGGTGAGGGGGAACGCTTACCGCTTCGGGAACGGGAACACCCGCGACTACCCCCATCGTGATGAGGAGATGTGTAACGACCAGCTTCATTATGGTAAGGGGACCAAATAAAGGCCACAGAATAAAGCCAGACCTTTTTAAACTGAAAGAGATGTTACAGCTGGTGTTCTTGTACGCGACTGGTAGATGGTCTTGGTGACGTGAATTGTTGTGCTAGACTGGTTTAGCGCTAGTTGGTGCAACCAGGGTTAACAACATAACGGTCGCATTTAGCGAGAAATCGACGGTGGGAGAAATATAAAATCGGCGAAAATATTAAAGAAGGCAAAATCATGCTTTGTATTAACCAATCTAAGTATGTTTTCCCCTACTACCATATTCGATCCGCGGTTGATGATATTGGCTGTGACATCTCACCACTCATCTCTCTCCTTGTCCTTTTGATTCAGTAGAAGGTAAAGCAATGAACTGGTTTTAGCTTCGGAACCTAATTCACGCAATCTTTGAAGAGCCATTTTCCCGCCATAATCTTTAAGACAGACTTTTATACCCCGTTCAATCAGAATGACTGCGTCTTTGATAGCATCGCGAGGATGATACCTATCATCTTGCCCAAGTTTCTTCACCAACAGATGTAGATAACTTTCGCTGTCATCATTAGTCCAGTCCACATTAAAACCTTGTTCTATATTTATAGAACCAAGTTTTATACCGTCCTGCATAAAGTGTTGAGCAATGGATGAATCCAGGTGCGTTGCACGGAGCTGAAATCGCTCCAACCATTTCATCTCTAACGAATTATTTGTACTTATCCTACTTCTGTATATCAAATTGATACAGCTCTGAGAAATGGCATGCCTATGCCTATATAAAACTTCGTTACCCAAAGCTCGGTGCTTGGAATTCCCTAGAAGATGATCTACAAGTATATCGGCTTCTGAGTCCAAGATGTCAGCGCCATGATACAAAAGTTTTTGGATCAACTTCGGCTTGTAAAATGGGGACCTGAATGCGGTCAATAGGATGGATGCTTGACCGTTCACCACCCTGTTAATATGAGCATCAGCCCCGAGCAAGAGGTCGAAGAGTCCCACAAACTTATCCACGTTTGCGTATCTTCCTAGAAGGGATATAAGATAATGCAGTGGCGTAATGTTTTGGGATGATGTGATGCTCAAGTCGTAGCCATTAGTCAAGAGTATTTCTACCACAGATGTGAGAAACCTGGTCAGGTTTCGACCCGATTCAATTTCGAAGCTAACAAATGACAGAGTGTAGAACATGACTGTAGACTCCACGGGGCCTGCTACTACTTGATTTGGGTTTGCTCCGTGTGAAATCAAAGACAAAATGCAGTCTTGAACCAAGATATGGTTAGGAGGTTTGAGCCCAGGAGTAAAACAGCCAACGTCAACCATTGTCATCAGTAAGGTTTTGCCTAAAATAGATACAAGATTCAAATCTGCTCTTAGACCGAAAAAGAAGTCCAAGATGGGACTCTTTTCAGCATATGACATTGAAGCAGCGATGGCAATAGCTGTTTCACCGTGGCGCGGACTTAGCTGATTGATGGTATGACGATAGGCGTCTCCGAGTAAACCGTGTAGAGATTGAAAGGGTCCCACGCCAGCAGCCATGACATGAAAAACAGTGTAAGCTATGTTATTGTCGGTAGGTTGACGATTTGGTATATAGAGATCGGCCGGTGCCCCGCGCTCAACCAGAGTTTGGACCATTTTTACCTTTCCGAGTACAAACGGAACTGCAAGGGGCAGGTGATCGATGCCAAGGTCAAAATTTGTTTTATCAAACTCCTTTAGATACTTCGATCTTAAACTTTCACTGTCTAAAAATGCGTGGATGTGATGCCCTCGGGCTCTGATATCGGCCCCAAGTTCGATAAGGGCGTCTGCCACTGGGACATTTTTAACCGCGGCTGCGATGTGCAAAGCTGTGGCTGCACCGCCATACTTGGGCGCATGATATAGCTTGTTAATGTCTGCACCAAAACGAAGAGATTCTGTGAGCCAACTGATTGCTTGAGCGTCGTCGCGGCGTTTTAAAGCGGCTCTCAGGATGGCCTTCTGTTCGTGGACAGCATCGTACTTCAATGCGGTTGTGTGTAGGAAGCTGTAGCCTTTATGCGTAGCACCTAAACGAACTAGGGCCTCCGAATGTAATTCACCGCAGATCTGGAGGAAAATTTCGGGCGGTAAAGCAAGCAGGCCCTGATTTGAAACCGCTTGACCACTTTCCATGATGACAGTGGTAGGTGTTGTAGAAGGGGAGTGAAACATGGAACAAGGAGGGAAGTATATTTATATATTCTACAATTTGGTCAAATTAGCAGGCAGATATTGATGCTGCTTAACGAAGCGGTGTTGCCTCATAATGGACGGGTATGGACACTTAACACCAGTTTGGTGCACACGTTGGATGCTGTGAAGGTGGTTCGATTTTTTGCGGTTGGAGAAGCGAGAAAACTGTAGCACGAGTTTATGTTCAAGGCCATTTTGCTTTTTAGACGGTATTTCATTTTTGAATTTTATTCTTCAGGAGCCAGTTATGTATGTTTCTGGTATTAACTTATCACTAACTTATCCTTGTGGGTGTTAACAGAAGCCTGATGTTGAGTGAATGTGGTGTGCTGAATGACCTGCTGAGAAAGAAGTAGAATTTGCTGGTATATAGTATTTCAAGAACCGTTTAATTCATATTTTCTTGTAAAAAAAAAAAGAATACCGAAATAGCAATATTCAAATGATAGTCGCTGCTTAGTACGACCGTTTAGTGTTTAGTGTCGCTGGTAGCGTCTGCCCAAAACAGCTCCGACACTGTCCCAACTGTCCAGCTGCGTCAGCCAAATCGACCTTGCCACGCCACTCAGAAGCTCTCCAGCGCCACCCACCACGACTACGCAAGCTCCGTTGCGTCTCCCTTCTCCAACACGCCACCGCAACCTGGTGGGAGCGTACAGCTTTTTGCCTTTTCATTGAATGCAAGCCATATTCTGGTCATGATTTGATGACCGCTCCCGCTCAACGTGTGCTGCAATTCGCAACGCTTCCAGACCCTCCACTCTCAACTCTTAACCTACCTAGACGAAGCTGCCGATCGCTCACGAAGCATCTCTATCGAACGAACCATTACAGACAGCGAAAGCTAGAAATCAAGACACTAGACTGGACCATAACTTCTGAGACGCATCGCCGATTATCAAATAGACGTTAACGGACGGTCGCCGCCGCCACCGCCGCGATGGCTGCTCACTACGACTTCACGAGCGATAGTGACAATCTCTATGCGACGCTCCCAGGCTCGTCCGCTATGGAGTTTGTCCCCCAAAACATGACCCCTATGAAGTCTAATTTGTCACCGGAAAGAGAAGTTGCAGGTTTGTAGAGCTTCTTACGATGTGTCTGGTAGCGATGCTAAAGTCATCCTTAGGCTGCCACCCAACGCGATGGATTTATGAGCTGCTCAACAACGACTTTACAGTGTGTGATCTGTTCGAACGAGCTAGACAGCTGACGCCGGACGACTCAAGACTATGGGAACACACTCACCGACTGGTGATGAACGGAAACCAAAGCTTCATGGACCGCTCGTCGAAACTAATCTCGGCCCTTTGTCTCGATTGCCACTTCCACTTTGTCTTCAAGATGAAGTGGGACGAAAACCATTCATATTCACTTTGTAACTCTACCTCAGCATGCTGGCCACTGCCAGATGATCGATTTCCATGGCATCACCTAGTATGGGTGGGATCGGATACCGACGCTAGCATCGCCCAAGACAACTCAAAATATTATCCCCTACTGGCACGAGAAAACTTTGTATGCTCAGCACCGCCTTGTACATTTCAAGTGACTCTGGAGGTATCACAACCGAGAATGGCCCGGGAATGGACGCAAATATTGCTTGATTACGAGGGAAATCGAAAACAACTCGAAATTGAAAGGCTTGAGAACCCTGAACGATTTGAAGATGCTAAGGACGAGTGGACTCTGCAGGCACCTCTCAACCTCAATACATATCTCAAGAATCAACTTGAATCCACACCTGAGACGACTCGAAGCATCTCAAAACGAAACAAGAGATTCTGTGTTACATTTGGCACTCGTTCTTTTCCCATGTTTCGAGGTCTTGAGTTTGATGAGAAGATAGAGATGAGTAATAGCTATGATGACGGTTCATTCACGCCTTCGCCGCCATCGCCACCTGAAGGCCCCAACAATTCAACAGAACTTGGGACTTACAGAGCGTACATCGAAGACGTTCGTGCCGAAGTTCAGAGCCTTATTCATCGTGGAACTCGCCAGCCTGAACCCCCATCCTTTATGACGGACGTTCTCTACGCTGATCTTGGATGCGTCGAAGTAACAGGTGTTGATATCGCGCCTTATGTTAAGACGGAACGGTACAAGCTCCTCGGTGTTTTACCTGGCCAATCTAGAGAAATTGTCACAAGCGCTTACCGACGTCAATGGGACCTCATGCCGAGCCGACGGAGAGATTTGGTAATGTCATTAATGGCTATTGCCCATGACAGTCAGGATGACTATTTATCTGATTACGCCATTGCGCAATCGTCGTTATTTGAGAGCCAGGAACAAGCACCTCACATTATTGACGAGGATAACGAAATTTTGCAATCCCTAGCATACTTGGGCCTGAAGCCGCCAAATAGACATGGCGCCGATGACGTTATTCAAGCTTTTCGACAGAAGCTTGCAAAAGCGCCTGGTGAGGCTAGTACAGCACGCAATGTCTTGATGACGCTGGCGCAAGGATCGAATGACGATATGTATCAAGCAAAGCTTCTTATGGAAACTGATACAAAAATGTCGTTGGATACAGCACGAGCCATTCTAGGGGTTGATTCTGGTTCTGACGATGGTGTTGTTGCAGTCCAAGCTGCACGGGATAAAGTCCTCGCGGCCAAGACTAGAGAAGAGAAGGAAGTTCTCCTTGATGCTCTCGACTCTATTGCTGAGCACACATCATCTCACGTGGTCAAACATAGTGTTATGGAACTCCGACATGCCTATGGCACATACGGTGCTGGTGCCATGACCGATAAGAACAAGAATTGCCCAGTAGACTTTACATTGCCTGTCGGTTTGGACAATATAGGAAACACGTGTTATCTGAACAGCTTGCTACAATATCTCTATACGGTTGAACCAGTGAGAGAAGTTGTCCTCGGGTTCGATGAGTACGCTCTTGGGCTGAACGACGACTATATTGAAAAACGGCGAATTGGTGGCAACAAGATGCAAATGGACCGCGGCGAAGCTGTAGTAGCTCGAGCCTTTGCACAAGAACTTGCGAAGCTATTCCAAACGCTAAAGACTTCAGATAAGAGCGCGACAAGACCTTCCCAACGCCTCGCCAACGCTGTCTTGCTCTCTACACACACCCTCCTTTCAAGTGCAAAGAATCAGGCAGATGTTAAAGATGGCAGCGATGTACCACCACCACCTGGACCTCCACCTAAGACCCAGGTTGAAAGCGAAGCTGATGATGACACGGCTGCTACCGATGTTACGATGCTCGATACACCTGCTACTGATACAGACAGCATATCAAGTTCACAAACTTTGATTGACGCTGATGGGGTGGCCATCACAAGCAAAGGTCCTAAGCGGACAGCTGTACTTGATGTAGCCGTGTCTGAAACGAAATCTGAAGAGCAAACAGCGCATGTGGAAGCCAAGGATACAAATATGTCTGACACAGAATCGTCTGATGTTGACCAAAAGGTGCTCACTGCTCTCGAGCATCAAAAGAGATCTTCCGGAACCGACCAGCAGGATGTCGAAGAGGTCATGGGCAGCATTATTAACCGCCTTCAAGCGGCGATTCGACCGAGCAGCATTGATGAAAGTACTGGCATTCAGTTGGAAAAGATTATGGAGACCTTTTTTGTCACCACGGTGAACTATACCAAAAAGTTTGACGACAGCAAATATCAGCAGGAAATCAGCTTTGATCGTGCATTGACGGCCTTTCCAGCCCCTGAAGGGCCTTGCTCGCTGTATGACGCTTTGGGCCGCAATTTTGATCAGCAGATTCTCGCGGAAAGCAAGCTCTCGCGCTACACTGCTATTAAGACACTGCCTCCTATTCTTCATATTTTGATCCAAAGGACGCAGTCAACAGGAAGTAAAAACGGAAATGCGGTTGTGATTCCCGAAACGCTCTATCTTGATAGATATATGGACAAGAATCACTCGTCACCTGCCTTCAAAAGTCGAGTTGAGGATTGGGTGATTACAGACCGGATTGCGGATATCAAGTCGCAGCTGGCAAAGATTGAGAGCAACCCGCCATATCTCGGATTATTAGAGAGCGGTGGTCAGCAAAGTAAAGAAACTCTTGGAGCTGGAGCCATAGACGCAGATCTTGAAGCTCCTGTTGAAATTGGCCTTGGAGAAGAGAACTGGGACTTTGATGGCCCTGTTGATGATGATTTTGTTTTGATATCCAACCAAAGTAAGGATGCCGGGGTATCTTGGCCTCCTCTACCCATACGAGACGTTCGGGAAACACACGAGTCCATCCTACAAATGATGCAAGACGAACTAAAAATGCATCAAGACAATTTATCGACGCGTCTTGAGGGAGAAAAGGAGATTGCTTACCGTCTGCATGCTGTCATTTGTCATCGTGGGCACCTTACATCGGGCCACTACTGGGTTTGGATCCGCGATTTCCAAGATGGAGTCTGGCGGTGGTACAATGATGCCGACGTCAAAGAAAACAAGGACACAGAGGAGGTTCTCAAGACTCTTAGTAATGGCGGAGAGCCTTACTTCTTGTGCTACGTGCGAGACGAAGACAAGGACAAGTATGTCAGCGTGCCCAAACGCGACGTACCGGAACCGGTGCAAGTCGAGGAACCTGCCCCCGCTGCCCCCGAGCTCCCCGGATCACCCCCTGGTCTCGTTGCAGATGAGGCGCCAGCGGACATTGATGAGCGCATGGACGATGATTTAGTGGAAATTGAGGCACCTGTGAAGGATAGAACATCAGGGTGCGAAGAGCCGTCATTGCTGGATTAACATAAACATGGCAGATTTACATTGTGTTGGCGTTTAGCATCGTACAGAGGTAAAATGTAGTACCTTTGTGTTTTAATCAGATGAGGAATAGCTTCAGGTCTGGACATGTACAATTCATATGCTACGTACATGATTACCCAATGAAATAAGATTATTTTACCATGTTCCCATAGGTTTATTTGTTTTGTTTTTGCTATTCACTTTGTTTCTAATTTACACAGTTTACCTTCCCTTGAAGACAGGCTTTCGCTTCTCCTGGAAGGCCTTGAGAGCCTCATTTCTGTCCTCAGTGTTGACGACGCGCTGGTACATCTCAGCCTCCTTGTCAGGACGGGCCCACTGCACAGCTTGAAGAGCAGCACGGATAGCAATGGGGCCACCTTCGCAAATCTCTTGGGCAAATCTAACAGCCTCGGAGAGTGCGGACTTGCTGGCGAGCTGGAGCAAGTCCTCCTTGGTCTTACCGTCTTCAGGAACAACCTCGACAAGGCGATCGGCAATGCCGAGGAAGTATGCCTCAGGAGCGGCAACCCGGCGGCCGGTCAAGATGAGATCACGGGCGCGACCGAGGCCGATTAGGCCAGGAAGACGGAAGGTGCCTCCGGCACCAGGAAGAATGCCGAGTCTGGTTTCAGGAAGACCAACGTGCGCGTTGGATGAGAGAACGCGGAAGTGCGTCGAGAGGGCAAGCTCAAGGCCACCACCGAGGGCAACTGATGAGATGGCGGAGATTGTGGGGACGGGGAGTTGCGAGAGCGCAGTAAATGTGCCGTTGAGGTTGGCGAGGAACTCGTCGGTCCTATAGAGTGACAACGGTTAGCTTGTATTTAGCAGAGGTAGGAGGCCAATTGATTGCGCGTACTCAGCCTTTGTGAAGCCCCGGCGTTCCTTGAGATCGGCGCCGGCACAGAAGCAGCTATCGACCGCCGAAGCAATGACGACGGCACGAGTAGCTCCAGCTTCCGAAGGCGCGACGGCCTCGTTGCCCTGTGCATCGTACTGGGCGTGGATATCGTCGACCTCTGCTCTCAGAGCGGCGAGGAAGGCCTTGGAGATGGCATTGCGGGCCGAGGGGCGGTTAAGCTCGAGGATGCGAATGTGGCCGCTGGACGGGGCAGCAATGTTTGTGACGCGGATAAGAGGTTCGTTGGAGGAGGCGGCCGAGTAGAAGCGCTGGGAGATGCGGCCGGTGAGAAGCGCGCGGGCGGCGGGCGAGGAGATGATGGTTCGAGGAGGCATTATAGATGGCGTCCGATTGGGTGTGTGAGTGGGAAAAGGGAGGAAGAGAGCGAGGTTCGCGAGCAAAATGTTGATGATGGTGATGTCTTGTGCCGAGTAGTGGTTGGTGTGTGGGTTGGCTAAGCCGATGCGGGTGACGTCGGCATTGGCTGCGTAGCTGGTGCGCGCGGTGCAGCAAAGCTGGGGAGCAGTCTGCACGGCTATTTCAACCACAACGACAACCACAGCTAACTCTATTATAGCTGGGGTAGAAAGATTGCATTTATGCTTTTAACCTCGCTCATGTATACGCATGCCATCATGATGCATCGGGGGCTGAAAAATACGAAGACCATATGCAGTCTACTTCCCAGACTAAAACCACCGCCATGCAGTAGCTTGACTCGGTGGCTGCATCAACCACCAACCACAGGATGTGATCGACAGCACCATTGCTACCAAAATACACGCAATGGAGGGCACCATCTGCAGCAGCAGTATCCGGGACGGGGATATCCTCAGCCACGCTGCTGCAGGTTGTACGGCGAGCACGAGAGCTTGTTTCCCCCGCACTGGACCTAGGGCTGGATAAAGCTAGCAGACGCGCTCTCCACGCGGGCCCTGCCAATTTGTGAGAACATTTTGGGCGGACAGTTACAGAATGTCGATTTGAAATCCACGCGGCCAAACATGTATTCTCTTCAGTTGGCCGCGTTAGCGATCTTGATTGTGCAGAGTGTCGCGCTGCCTTGGCTTGGTCCCCAGGCAACTACGATAAGAGAGCCAACCGCACCTGGTAGAACGACTGCAGCACCTTTTCTCCACGAAAGGGACGATAAACAGTTTCCGGTCGGAGTCTGCGGATGGTACGTATAAGCTCACTGCAACACACCCTAGGCTGCGACTAATGTAGCAAATGACAGGATAGGCGGGAGAGGCGACTTGCAAGTCACCTGCAAACCACACTCCTCCTGTGTTTGGCAAACGAATCTGGGTGTAATCGGGTGCTGCACAACTATTGGCACAGACTGCGGAATTTACACGAGCTGCGTCGATAAAAATGCTGAAAAACAGACCGAAGACCAAAAAGACGTCTACACATGGTAAGTTCTCTTGATCAACTGTACGCTAGAGTTGGAAGCGTTGCTGACGAGTTTCACAGCACAGCAGACGATCTTTGCTACAGAAATTCATATCCACTAGGCTACTACCAATGGGGCTGCGGCAGACCGAAAGATGCAACCACTGTACTGACTACCATTAATGGCTATAATGGCCCAGCAACGCTACAGATAGCATTAACGGGAGACCCTGCACCGCCCACAATGTCATCAGAAGCTGAACCTCCGTCTCCATCTGTAGTCACTCGCACAGTGACAAAATCGGATGAGACGACAGCTAGCAGTGAAAGTCCTACGCAGTCACCAACAACAACTAAGCCGCCTACATCTGACACATCGTCAAGCCAGACAGCAGCACTTCCTGTCACAACATTAACGGCAGCCCCCGAACCAGAACAGTCAGATAATAAGAAGCCAGTGGGAGCGATTGCAGGCGGCACAGTTGGTGGTATAGCAGGTGTATCATTGATTGGCGCTCTGCTATTCCTCCTCCTTCGGTCTCGACGCCGTAAGCAACACACGGAAACTCCTGGTGCTGCTGCTGAGCTGGAGAGCCCGAAACCACCACAGGAAATCAGCTCCTGGTCCCCGTCTCCAGCTAGTGAGATAGACACGCCAAAGCCGCGAGTGGCGTCGGTGGGTGCACTGGGGATTCCCCGTAAGGCTGTGCCTCCACCAGCGCCGCCGCAGACTGCAGTCGAGCTGCCGTAATCTAACGTGAGAAGGGCACATTTTTCTTTGGGTTTCTTTTTCTACGTTTCATGTCTTGCTTTGCTGTCAGATTTACGGTTAGATTCAGGCTTCGTTCCTGTCTCAGCTATGTCGGAGTATTTGCGTTTCATATCCATTATTCCCCGAAGTCAACCCTAACCCTTTGTAAGTTGCAGACATAGCACACAGTCGTTAGGAAGCATTGCTAATAAAAATGTACAGGGGCTGGTATTCAATAATCTTGAGCCTAATTAAATATACAGGAGTCATTATATCATTTACGCATGAGCAACAATAAAGTCAACAGCAGCGTCCTTGTGGTTAGGCACCTCGTTGCTGTGAACAGACTCGTGGATGCCGCTGGCGCAGAAGGGGTCACCCTTGTCGCAGTAGCTGGCCATGACATCCGAGTAAGCGTCGAGAAGAGCCATGCCATCAGCGTTGTTGGCTCGAGTGAAGATGCCATTCTTGCCGTTGGCGTTGCTGCCGTAGTCGTAGGTCTGGTTGGCAACAAAGGTAGGGTCACCAAAGGTAACGACACCGTGGACTGTGTATAGTTAGCATTCTGATCTTCATTGATTGAAACGGGGGCAACAAACTGTATTTGCGGTAGCTCGAGTCGAGGGGATCGGGCTTGGCGACACCACCAGCCAAGAGATCGGTCATAACGTTTCCGCCCTGGCTATATCCAATGAGGACGATGCGGCTCTTGTCACCACAGGCAGCGACATAGTCGACAACCTTCTTCTTGGCGTCGTTGATACCCTTGGTGACAGATTCAGGGTAAAGATCACCACCAACAATGCTGGCGGGATAGTCGACGGCGACGCTCACGGAGCCAGGAAGACGGCTAACAACGCCATCAGCGACGGCGCCTGGCTTGCCCTCTCCGGCGGCTTCATTAGAACCTCTGGCGACAATCATGTAGAGGCCAGAAGCGCAAGCGACGCGAGGTTGAACCTCGAGGGGAGCGCCGCAGGCATAAGAAGCGAGGGCGGCGACAGCCAGGGTGTTGATTCCGACAGTCATGATATTTTTGTCGACTTGATAATTGTTATGAAAATACTCCACAGAGAAAGCAAACTACATTAAGACTGAGAGGCGTCCAGCCAAGCGGATATAAGTAGTACAACATATGCCGGAATTCAGCTACTTCTGGCATGCACGTTATGCGCCACGAAGAAGGATCACGCCAAAAGTGGAAGGTTGAGACGGACAGACCGCCTAGAAGGGCAGGGGAAGTATCGCATTCAAGGGCCTCGAAACACCACGAGAGCCTGGTGTAAGCAACCGTCGGGTTTGAGATGGGCCCAACCGCCCCATTTACCCGTGATCTCGGTCTGCGAAAGGAGCCAAAATCACTCAGCACCGGCGGCCACATGATAGCGTTCCTGGACGATCATTGGAACTAAGAGCAACAGTGAAAAACTCCGCTTCACACAGCATGCGCGCTAGCGAGACGAAATCGCGTCGGCCCGGCGCAGCGTAGTCCCCCCACGTGGGATATCTCCCAGCTTGTGTTGCGTGCTCAGTGCACATGGGGAGACGGATAGGGTTTGAGCTGATGCCGCATGGGCGGGTATTCATAGTTTTGGAGGGGAACTCCTTCTGTTGCGGGCATGATGGGCGTAAGCAGCAGCGTTGCATTCGGAGCATGTAACAAATGGGGAACCAGCCCCAATTGCGCCGCAGTCCGTCCGTTGCGGCGGAATACTTAGACGGAGAGTCTCGCCTCTGTCAATGGCGCGACGGGATGCTGTTTGTGGCACGCTGCGGCTACTAATTCATCCTTTTCAGCTTTCTGTCTGGGTCTGCTCTCTGGGCGAGGCTCGTGAGATGGACAAAGCCAGCTAAGCACAGCCCGACGTCATTGGCTTGGCCTTTGTCCCCGGATATCCCAAAATGGAAGCCCTAAGATCGGCCCGGTTCCCGCAGCTGCTTACAGCCCAATAGAGTATTCCCGCCAATGGGGACGGCAACCAAGGATAACCTGGTTTTGGTGTTTACCAGCGCCCGGGGATTTCTCCGGGCGACAAACGCGGGGAATAGACAATGGGTATAAAGGAGATTGTTGTAGCCCGCCTATCGTCTGGTGCTCTTCTTGACATCACCAGCTCAGATCAAACGCCAACATCATGATTGCTGCTGCTGCCTTGTCTTTGGCTGCTTTGGCCCTGCCTGCGGCCGCCTCTACCATTCCGGCCCGCGACACCAAGTGTTTCCCCTACAATGGCGCCGAGATCCCCCAGGATCTGTCTGCTCCTAATGTGACTCGTGCCGACTGGTGGTGCCCTCAGTCCATGGCCTACGGCTTCCAGGGCTTCTCCTACCCGCTCGAGAACGGCGACTGCAACGCATACGAGAACTCTGTCGACGGCATGGACCAGGACTTTAAGCGCATGAAGGAAGACTTTGGCGCAACCCTCATCCGCATGTACTACCCCGGATGCACGCAGCCCTCTGTCTTTATCAACGCCATGGAGGCTGCTGCCCGCAACAATATGGGTATCATCCTACAGGTCAACACCTTTTTCGGTGACGTATGTTTGCTCTTCCCCTCCTCCATAACCTGGACCATTGTTCGCATACTAACCTCCGTAACAGGACAAATGGAGACAGTCCCAGCAGGCCATCTACGACGCCGTCTATAACCCCAAGACAAATGCCATCGCTCCTTACGTTGTACACTCTGTCGAGTTCGGCTCCGAGCCCGTCGGTGACGGCATGGACGGCGAGAACCTCCCCAACGACTTGGGCAAGCTGCGCAGCGGTCTCAAGGGCTTTGGCATTCCCGTCGGCATCAGCGAGGACTGGGACCGCCCCAACCGCATGAGCAACGGCGACAACTCTGGCCTCGGTGACATGGGCCAGCGCGTCAAGGACAACTCGGATGTTGCACACATCCACCCCATGCCCTTCTACCACGACTGGAACGGCCAAGTTGACAACGCCTGGGGATACATCAAGTGGCAGACACAATGGGTAGTCGACCACGTCGGCCTGCCTACCATGATTAGCGAGTCTCCTTGGGCTTGGTACGATGGCGGCCAGGGCTCTCACAGCAACGGCCACGCCGATCTTGGCAGGGACCAGTACCAGCGCTACTGGAAGGCCTTTGACGACAACTGCGAGTGGTTCAAGCAGGTCAATGTCGGCTGGTTCATCCACACTTTCAAGGGCGAAGGCGAGTTTGACATTGTAGACCCTAACGGCGGATACATCATCCCCAACTGGAAGCCCAGAAAGTGCTAAGCTGAACAGCTGCCAGTCGAGTATATACAACAATATGTTATGAACAGACTTATATAGCAAAATGGTACATATATTATTTCTTGTAAAAGCTGATCCGCTACACGTTCTCCGCTGAAAAACAGATTTCAAATGTCAGATCTTCGCCAGAGCCTCTGTAAGGGTCTGTTGGAGATCTTCTCTCTTCAATCCCAATCGTACAGCATAGCTAACAGCCGTTCATCTGTCTTGTTCTCAAAATCACCACCTCTCCCATCCAAGAAATGCTGCACATAAAACTTGACGTACGGGGCCTGCTCATCTCCCCTGGCAATACCTTCCTCGTACTCAGCTTCCACATCTCTCACGTCTCTCTCCAACACCGTCCATTCATCTTCTCGTGATCCCATTGCTTCCACTGTGGCCTTCCATAGGTCTCTCTGGGAGATGTGGAACGAAGCCGCATATACAGCCTTGTTCTTCAACTTGGCCAGCTCCTCGTCCGGCAGCCCAAGTACAGCCCCAACCGCCTCGCCTGTATGTTGAATGCTTGCCGTACTCACTCTCCCATTTGCGCCTTTCCAGACTCGCGCAGTCTTCGCCTTTGTATCGATACCCCAGAGCCCCGGACCCAGTCCAAAGTCCACCCACGGGCCAACAGCAATCGATACCCAGCTGCTAACACCCAATTGCTCAATGAGATCCCTCACGCGCTTCTTGGCTTGAAGCAGGCCGTTTTCACGAATAAGATCGGTAGCAAAGGGGTCTGGGCCGAACTCTGACGGCAAGATGTACGGAACGCTGACCTTGGCGGCTGCGCGGATGGCTGGTTCTTGGAGCGCCTCGAGGTGTGACAGCGGGGGCATAAGCACGAGGGCATCTTGGCCTTTGAGTGAGGACTCGAGGAATTCTTGGTTGGCCAGGTCTCCCGTAATAACAGTGACCCCGGTAGGGAATGAGCTCGTAGCATCGGGGCGCTGGAGTGCGGTGATGGTGTGGACGCCGCTGTTGAGGAGCGTTGCGATGAGGGGTCTTCCGACTTGGCCACTGGCGCCAATGATGGCGACGTTACGGCCCTGAGCAGTGATGGCCATGATAAAGTTTGAAAATGAGAAGTGTCTATAGAATTATGTTGATGGTGATGACGTCTAAGATATGAGGGGTAGTCTGTGGTGTAAGAGGACCTCTGCATCGTGTGGATGTTTCGCCATTTTTAAAAGATGCGATGACTGGAAGTTGGCATTGGGATTTCCAAGTAGCAAGATTGAATTTCAAAGAAGATATTGATTTATAACCAGTTGGCTTTGTCATACAATCTGTTTGGTGCTTAGAGATGGTGATGCCAATCCCGTGATAGCCGTCCATCACCCGCTTTAGCCGACTGACGCGCTCAATGAACAGCCACCACCGCCAAATTGCCTAACTGGGAGGACGCAAGTAGAAATAGGCTGTCTGATTAGTATCATGTCACAGGTACGAAAAAGAACGATTGAATTGATAATGTACTGTGTATTGGTATATATTTACTGTTGTGTGTATATAGACATGTACAAATGGAACTGCATTAAATATCGTCGAGTTTTTCTTGTTTTACATTTTCTTCGTTTTTGGAAAGCTCTCGTCGCTTAAACAAGGCTCTTGAGCTTGCCAAAGTCGGGAACACCCCAACCACTGCTAGCATCCCAGCCTTTGGAAGCGGGGAAGGAAGTGGTGCTGCCGCAAACGTTGGTGTGACCAGTGGCGATATCACGCAGACCAGCCTTGCCAGTCTTGTACAACCAGGGGTTGAGGAAGCCAAGAGGAGCCTTGCCCTTGGAGACGAGGTAGTCGTTGACGAGAGCGAAGATGGAGGCGGTGGTGGGGGAAGCAGCAGAGGTACCGCCAGTCAGGCCCTCAAAGCCGCCGTGCCACGAAGGGTAGGGGGTGTACGAGGCGGCAACGTCGGGGTAGGCACGGCCCTTGGCGCTGTAGTAGCTGCTGAACTGGCCGTTGAGGCTCTTGACGTAGGCGTTGACAGCGTCGGCCTGGTAGGCGGGCTGGTCAAAGTGGGTAGAGAAGCCGGAACCACCATCGGGGTGAGACTGCTCAGCACTGCCGTACTTGTAGGTACCGCCAACGGTGGTGACCCAGGGGCAAGAGGCAGGGAAAGAAGGCATGTACTTGGTGAGCTTGCCGTTGGGGCAAGAGACCTTGGAAGAACCAGTACCGGAGTCACCGGCAGAGACGAAGAGGGAGACACCACGAGCACCAAGCTTCATGAAGAGGTCACAGACGGAGTCCATGTAGTCGGTGGGGACGGTGCTCTCATCATCACCGTACGAGGTGGTGATGGTCTGGGGAACGCTGTCCAGCTTCATCATGTACTGGAGCCAGTCGAGGTAGGGCTCGTTGGTGTTGTTGGTACCAGCGGGGTAGTTGGAGGGGGGTCTGCCACCAGTGGAATAGTAGACGTTGGTGACGGGGTAGGTCAGAGGAACAGTGATCTGGACATCGAGATCAGCCTCGCCTTCACCGCTAGGGTCGGTGCCACCGTTGTTGATGCTGACAATGGCGGGGGAGGAGTCAGAAGGGACGCTGGTGGCGTACTCCTGGAGGAAGGAGGAGAGGTCATCGGCGCTGTAGACCTCCTCGAGGTAGCCAGCAATACCGATGGTAGTCTTGTTGGAAGGAGTGTAGCCGCTGACGTTGTAGTTGTAGCGGAGGCAGTCAGGAGTGCTACGGCCCTTGCTGCAAGGGTTGGCGGCGTCGGCGGCGTCGGCAGCACGGCTCTCCTTGGTGTCCCTGGGAGTGTGCTTGAAGGCCTTGTGGCCGTTGTTGGTGTTGGAGAAGAGGGTCGTAGGCTGGACCATGGCAATGGCGCTGTGAAGGTCGCGGGGAAGGCTGTACTTGGTGGTACGGACAGTCTCGCGGCCAGACTCGTGCTTGTAGACGGCGTAGTCGGCGTCAAAGAGCTGCTTGGCCTGGTCAACGCTCACGGTGACGGAGAGGTAACCGGACTCGACCTTGCCGGCATCGACACCGTGGCTAGCGAGCCACTTGGAGACGGACTCGACAGTCTCCTTGGTGGGAGCAACGAGAGCATCGACCTGCTCCTTGGTCAAGTGCTTGCCGTAGTCGGGGTGGTCGGGGGTGCTGACGTCAAGAGTGCGCTGGCGAAGAGCATCGAGGTTCTCCTCACGGAGACGGATGTGGAGGTCGATCTTGTGCTCAGCAGGGGCAGCAGCCTTGAGCTCCCATCCCGAGGGGATGGCAGCAAGGGACTGCTTGGTGACCATCTGGCCCATGGGCGAGGCAGTGGCCAAGGTAGCCACGAGGAGGGGCAGGAGGGCGTTCATGAGAGGAGCCATGATGACAGAGGGGAATTAGAAGGGGAAGAGGTAAAAAAGGGTATAATAAAACAGATGAGGAGATGGATGGAGGCCAATTGCAAGAATCGTGGCGGGGAGAAGATGGGCCTTTTAAACAAAAAAGGCGATGGGCAGCCAAGGTAGCAGCGGAGGACGAAACTAGTTTGTTCGAACAATACGGGCCGAAGCCAACCACCAGACCCAATTTAGACGGTGGCGTGGAGAACCCAGCTGTATCTGCACAAAAAGGCCTGGCCGTGAAGATAGCGGCTAACTCGCCTTCCCCTTTGGACCAGTTGCCCACTGCGTAGCTCGTCATCGGTGGAGAGGGTCGCCCCGGTACTTTTGCGGGCGGTAGGTGGTGCTGGATCCAGGTTGGGGAGAGTCAAGGACCCAAAATGCGGAGTATTTGCCAATTACTGCCGGCAGCACAGCAGCTTTGGTTGCCAGCTGCGCCAGGTGCCAGCAAACATTCTTTTTTCACAAGCATTTAATGTTTGTTGTTGTACAATGTGCATAATTCATTTCACAATTCCTTATGCGTGTGCACCATTCCCTCCCTCAACCATCGCCCATCGCCCATCTTGCCCGTCCCTTGGCACTGCCGCATCGGCATCGACCTTGGCGCCGTAGCCCAAGAGATTTCCCCCGTCTTCTTCGGCGCCCCCAAAAAGCCCTGTATTTTTACAGCCACCTCGTTCCTGTTGCGCTGGGGATGGCTGCCCCGATCGGCACCTGATTGCGGTGGACTGCACCGAATAGGAAGGTCTCTGCCGCTTCCATGGGCCTGCACTAGCTGGTTCCTGGTCGGTGCACCCCCCGGAAAGACTAAGGAGCACGGCCGGAACTCTATTCCTCTCAGAGGCCAAAATAAATGCAGAGCGGCGTTTGGTCAGGCCGCGGTTGGCCCCGGTCCCTGATTCGAAATTCCGATCGCCGTGTTTCTTGCGCCCGTACCTCATGCTGGCTGCTGTTGCTCCAATGTTCGGACATTAAGCTGTATGCGCATAATATCGACAATCACGACACCAGCACGCAGCTCCAAATTGCCCCATTTTGCTCCCCTCATGCAAACCCCGCAACGACTCGCTCATTCAGCAGTATCCTGCTCGCTAGCCTTCCTAAACCGTATTAGGCCAAAGACAAAAGTGCGGTTCTGGACAGGGTCCAGCCCGGCCGTATTTGTCTTTCGTATGGCTGGGGAACAAGGTTTACTCCGCGTTTCAGAGTAACTAGCGGTATTACAAACCGACAAAAATCGATTCCTTTGAAAGGCTGGACCAAGCCATGGTGTAAGATCCTAGCGCCGTGGGGGCCTTGAGGGTGGGAAAAGGCTGCGTCCCAAGGTTTGCGATATTAGCGTGGTGATCGTCATCATAGTTCTTGGCCACCTGCGAGTACTCGAACGACACTAGATGCGTACTAAGGACGAAAAGAAATACATAGGACGAAAATAGATTGGAACTAACTATGCTAAGATTTGATCGCCGGAACATCAATAATGTACAATAATTTTACAGCATGTCAAGCGTCAGCCTGGTGCTTGGCTCCCTGCGTTACTTTTCCTCGCCGTCCCTAGCACCGCCCTGCTGGAAGAATGCCAGCATTTCTTGGGCCGCATTATCTGATCCATACATTACACCTAACAAATGGTCTGTTTCCTTTCCCGTCTCAACCGCTCGCTTAAACATTTCCGCTTCAAACTCCCGGACCCCCGTTTCCATCTGATCGCGGAATCCCTGTGCGTCCTTGCTTGCCCCGTACGCCTGCGTGATCAAGCGAGCCAGTAGCATTGTATCCAGCATCGCCTGATTGACGCCCTCGCCATTAGGAAGCATGAGATGCGCTGCATCACCAACAAGTGTAATGCCTGCTCGGTGCTCCCAACTGCTGCCATGCGGGAGCGTGTAAAGTGGGCGAATGTCGAGTCCGGCGTTAGGATTGTCCAGTGCCTCCTCATCACACGCTGTAGCAACCAATTCTTTAACTTTGGGGCCAAAGCCACCGAGAAATTCAGAGCTCTCCAATAAAGTTTGTTTCGCTGCTGATGCGGGTGATGATGTCAACCCGGATGTAACGCCGTAGTTCTCGTCCTGGCTCTTGAGCCACAAATAGAGTCTCGCCGAGTCCATCGGGCCGCGCTGTGAGATGACAGCCTGTCTGTTACCGAGGGCCGTGTAGGATCCGGATCCAACGAGTTCAGCTAGGTGTGGGTATTTTCCCGTGATGTTTCGGATTGTGGTGGTGACAACTTGCGTGCCCGTGTAGTGAGGACGGACATCAGTGAGCAAGTGGCGGACGCGGGACCACGCTCCGTCCGCGCCGACGACAAGATCGAATTCGTGTTTACGGCCGTTGCCAAAGTCCAGTTCCGCAGCTGCTGAGGAATTCGGCGCTGCATGTGACGAAGAGACTAGCTTGTGGTCCCAGCGAATATTCTCTTCTGGGACTTTGGTGAGGAGGAGCTTGTAGAGGTTGTTGCGGCTGATTTCAGGTCGTCCGCCATCACCAACGTGCACAAAGACGGGTTCTCCTGACTTGTCCGCGACCTTGTACTCCTGGCTGCATTCGCCTGTCATCTTAATAAATTCGTCATAGACACCAGATTCATGGATGGCATCAAGCCCCGAGCCCGCGTGTAGATCCAGCATACCGGAAGGAATAGCCAGGTCGGCTTCTGTAGGCTTGGGGCGGAACTCGAAAATGGTAAATGGAATCCGCTGCTTGTGTAATAGAGCGCCCATGGTCAGACCAGCTGGTCCACCGCCGACGATGGCAATTCTTGGAGGAGATGAGGCTGATGCCATGGTTCCGGAGAGTGACGGTGAGGCGGCTGCGAGAACGGGTATCTGGCGAGTAGCGTGGGTTTGTAGAGCGCGTAGAGAATTGGTTCCAATTCTATGGGCGAGAGTCATATTGCTGATATATTCAAAACAATTGCTGATGATTTGAATAGAAAAAAAGCAGGAGACGGCGAATTATATATATTTCTGTGAATTACGGCTCCGTAGATTCGCAGACACCGGCCTCCGGACACTTTTCGCGGTTGCGGCGCCGTTCTCTCGGGACCGAAGAATCAGTGGATCTCGGTGTTGCGGTGAGGCTCTGCACGCTTTCGCTGCCGAAAAACAAAATTCCTGCCAATTACCACCGAGCCAGCTAGATATTGTGTGTCTGCACCAACATCCACCAATTGTTTGCGCTTTTCGCATTCGTTTAGTCATTGTCTGGGGTGATCGGCAACCCTGCGTCTGTCGAACAACGGGACCTATTCTTCTAGAACAAATAGCCTACCTTGCAGTGGACATTCATGGTTACATCGTAAACAACATGCATGAATTTGTCCACCGTAAATATCAATATTTCACAGCTCCGTAACCTAAGGCGCTGTGGCGCTGGAGAGTTCACAGCTCTGGTTCCTGGAAATAAGCAAGGCTGGTATCGGGAATGACCAAAACCTAGAATCGTGCCCCAGATTCGCACTCAAATTACATACAATAGACATGATCTTTTTGCTGACAATTCGCAAGTTGAAAATCATTCCCCAGCAAAAACGCAGCTCTTTCCAAGCGCCCGCATTTTTCTTCTCAAACCCCCGCAGCCAACCGAGCTGACGCCAAGACGCAACTCTATCACCATATGACCCGCCTCACGAAAATCCCACCAAAAAGGTCAGCCTTGCAATTCTTCACAGCGTTGCCCCTCCTCTTTCTGTCCAGTCTCCCTCTTGCAAGCTCCTCGACTCTCTACAGCTCTCTCCAGACGCAAGACATGCATCTGTCGCAGCGCACCACCACCAGGAGTCTACGAGAAGGTGGCCGCAACTCGGCCAGAGAGTCGGAGCACGCCGACAACGACAAGACAGCAGCATGTCGACGACAATAGGATCACTGTCGCTCTCAGCGTCCACGATGACCTCTGTGGTTCTACAGGCGACACCTACCCCGACCCCCACGCCGCTCATTGTGCTGCTCAACGGCCGACTCGAAGTCACCGACGACTTCTTCCCGTTCCACGATCTCGCCAAGGTCGGCGGCTACACCAAAGACGACATAACATTTAAAGATTTGATCCAGGAGGGCATCGATGGCGGCCAACGTATCGATCTCTTTCAATCTGGTTGCGTGGTAGACGGCCACAGACAATCCGACTGCTCGCGTGCCTGCTACGACCCAGCCCTTTTCTTTGGTAGCCTCGACACCTTTTACAACTGCGCCGCACTTGCATCTATTGCATATTGGACAAAGGAGAACGGTACATATTACATCACCGATGCAGCCGAGAAGAATGCCAGCTCCATCATGGGCTCGGGGTCGCTGCGTGGCTTCAACGGCCGCACAGTGCTGCAGTCGTTTGTGACATGCGCCAAGGACGCCTGTGCAAACGACCACCTGAGCCAGGGCTGCGACGGATCGATCCAGGCGCTGCACAATACATCTAGCACATCTGAGATCTTTCATGCCATGGGGACCTTTTGCCCAGACATTTCGGCCGAGATTGACCCTGACATCTTTGGCCCCGGCGTTCTGATTTCGTACGTCCTGCAGGTGTGCTTCTCGACCAGTCTATACATTTTCCTCAAGATATTCAATCTCTGGGTCGGCTACACGCAGCAACAGAAAGAACGAGAAAAGGAACGTACAAGAACACTCAAGCTCAAACGATCTCTGACCCGTATCGAATCCATGATTTGGCGCGACTCCTCCGCCTTATCACGCACATCCATCGCCATTGCCACGACCCTCGTTGAGTTCCAGGAAATGCAGTGCTGGTTCGTCTTTGCCGTGCAGATTGCTTCTATTCTCGCCATTGCAGTCAACTCCCAGGAGGGCACATTCTGGGGCGAAATCATTGTCAACGGCGCACTCGCCTTCCACATTAGCCAGAACGGCATCTTGCCCATGTTCCTAGTCCAAATCTGTCTACATAACGAGGGCATCCGCAACTGGCACACGTTCCTTGGATTCGCCATGGAATACCTACTAGCCATTGTAGCTACAACGCAAAAGATCGGGTTCAAGTCCACCTTCAACCTCTTCCAGCAGCAATACGAAATCGCCGGCTGCGGCGGCAATCCGAGTCCGCGAACATACTGCGCGTCCACATCTGGCGTCGACGGGCTTAACGTCAACTTCTTCCCTCACCCACTCTTTTACAAACTTGTATTTCTGGTACTCGACACACTAGCCATGATTGTGCTCACATCGGACCAACTAGCCTGGACGCTGAGGAGGCATCACCGGGCGAAGCGGTGGCAAGTTGGGCGGCACAAGCTGGGCCGATGGCCAGAACACAGCTCAAAGCGCTACTGGCTGCGGTTTAGGCGACTCTTCTGGGCGGGCCTCGAGCTGTGCTATCTGATCGTCAATGTGCTCTATCTTGTATCCCTGACCAACGTTATCCGCCCCGAAAGCTTCAAGGCCAACCGCTGGTCATACGGGCAAATCATTGCCATGACTGTCTGGGGCCCTGTCATTGTCAAACTCTTTGATTTGATATTATGCAAGTATTCCTTGTACCCTTCTTAACTCTTGACCTCAAACTAACACGTTTCACAGCTGGTCCACCCAAGAACGGCGAGCGCCTCAATTCTGGTCCTCCCCGTCTTCGCATAGACAACATCATCAACCATCGCCAAGGAACCGTTGCTGACGAAGAACTCACCGAAGACGAAGGCGCAGTTAGCACGGAAATCGAGCGCCCTGGTAAAATGCTCACACCACTCACGCCAGAGTTCCCTATGGAGGTGCGAGAGCGCACAACGGCGCCGCAGATCCGCATCGCAGATGCACCCGGCGGCCTCAACATACGAAACAATAACGACGTATAATGCATAACGAGATATAATGTCTTCCCATATATACTTGAGTCTAATGTACATGATGAATACAACACCTCTATATAACTCCCCAGCGCCGCGCCCTCTTTAGTCCTCAGATACCCCAACTGAGGTTTCGTCTCCCTTCTTCTCGTCATACCGCTTTGGCGAATAGTTGAACGCTGTATTTTCCCTCACCCTCAGAAACCCTTCTATTCGATCATCTCTCGATCTGCCCGCCGATGCCAGCGTGCTCCGGCGCATGGTATTCCCTATGTCCGCATTTCTCTGTGCGCTGTACTGTACATATTCTTCGCCAATTGCCTGTCCGCGGTTAATATGTACTATGCACCCTATAAAGCAGGCTGAGACAACGGCTAGCGCAAAGAGTCCATTGGACATGTACACAGGCTCGGCCTTTGCACCGCCGTTCTTCTGGGCTTCGCGCCACGCCTCCCAGTCCTCCCAGTTCGCATTACGCGCTGGTGAATTAGGCCCGTGGCGCCATGCTCTGTCGCGCTCATGACGGTCCGGAGCCGCACCTGCAGTCCATCCCAAGCCGTGTATATCATAGAGCTTGCGCTTGGCGGGGTCGGAGAGCAGATCGTTGGCGGCTACGACGAGGCGGTAGCGTTCTAACCGAGTATCATGTGATGTGGACGGACTAGACGAGGAGCCCGTATCAGGGTGATAGAGCTTGACAAGCTGGTAGAAGCGGTGTTTCTTGTACGGGGCGGATCGGGGGATATCGAAGATTTCGTATGGCGTGGGGTTCGGCTTTGTCGGCCAAGCAGGGCCGTCTGAGTCTTTGCTGCTCTGGCTGCTGTTGAAACGAGCATTTGTTGGAGACTTTGGGTAGAGACGGGTGAGGATAGACGGGGATACTGGTGACGCGCAGGAGCAGCGGCGGGCAGCGGCGCGGGCGGATGGCAGCATTATCGGCATTGTGGGAGAGCGATATCGGTCGGCATACTGTTAGGCGAGACAGCGACGGGTGACGAATGTGGTATGTGTAATTATGCTAATATTCTGGTATTAAATGGTATTTTATCGAGGTCGTTAAGGGCGCTGTGGATGGTGGTCGCGGATTGTCAATGTGGTGATGCAGCTTGGAGGTGGTCGCGTGGTGGAGGCGGTGGTGGTGGTGATGTCAACCTGGTGGTGTGGGGAGTCGGATCGTCGGCGCGGAAGCGAAGCCGCAACCCAAAATGATACAATGCACTCGAAGCAACTGGAGCCACTATACATTGGATAAGGGAATGAATTTTTTTTTTTTGAAGAAACTGTTTCTTTTTCATCGTTACATTATATTATTCCCCTCTTATTTGCAGAGTTATTACTGGCGGTGGTGTCTCGATATGTGTGCCATTGTCTCAACTTAAGCAATCAACTCAAACTAAGCTATGTGTTCTTCAGTAGCAGTAGGCAGCCCGTCCTGTTTAACTGATCACTTATATCTAGTTTACTCTTCACAGGCAAGCAACTAAGACTGTGCGGAGACACACTGTGCTCCATGTACCTCTCCAAGAGACATACAGAGCCTGTCTGCACCTACTATTGGTAGATGCGACGCTGTCTCAGTTGGCTAAGCCGGTTGAATAAGACCCCATGCCACAGAGGCTCTTGGGATAGGCTGGTAAGAGAAAAATTTGCGCACCTGTACTAGCTGCATGTTCCATATTCGCAACGATATCCAGATCGGGGATGCTCATAGCGCTTACATTCACTCTCATGCACCCGCGCGGCGTAGCATTGAAGGGCCAACTCCACCGCGAGTCGCAACGGAGCAGAGCGATTGGTCTATCTATAAGACTACTGGACGGTTGGCAAGTTGCCGCATCGGAATGGCGGCCCTCATCAACACGATGCATGTCCCACAGTGCCAACATGGCCCAGGCTGACCGGCAGGAGAAAAATTTTGATGTATTGCTTGGATCCCTGGTCACGGCATATCGAGTGCTGGGTCCTTTAACAAGATGGCGTCGGGTCGTCGGCGAGGTATGCTTCGTCTTACACCAGAGATCCAAATCAGACAACCACTACCATGAGGTCCCACACGCCACAGCGATACTATCTTATTACATACCCCCGAACGGCTTCAAATTTGTTGATTCGAATCTTGGATTTGAAAAATCAGCCAAATGTTACCACGGGGGATGATCGTGGTGGCTACATCTTCCTGCCGGTGGTGAAGCTCATCACCGATATGGGACTGAGGAAGAAAAAGGTCGAAAGCTGGACAGCTACTGAAACAACTCGAGTCAAAAACGCATATCAAGATTGCTTTGATGAGTTCCAGGCAACTATCGGCGCTGCATCGGCTGCAGACTGCTCCGTATATATCAAGGAACATGTGCACTTCCTAGTCGACCCAGCATCACTCAGTGGCCACGTCTTTGGAGAAACAGACGATATCCCAGCCGATAGGGAATCTTGGAAGCTACAAATTCCTCAGCCATATGAAGAAGCCGAATCACCATCACACTGCATAAACCCGACATTGTTCCCAGACGAATTCCTCCTTACTTGGAAGCCCACCTTTCTTATCCGACATCCAGCTCTTGCATTCCCGTCATTATATCGAGCTCTTCTAGAGCTTGAGGGCCGCGATGATGACGACGACGAGCTAAAAGTACTTGGACAGCATTGCATGACGCTACGGTGGACGCGGATGCTATACATTTGGTACAAGCAGACTAGCAAAATGCAGCATCCGTGGCCATACGAACAAGACAACGTCGAGTGGCCGGTTGTGCTGGACGCGGACGATGTTATAAACAGTCCTGCACTAGTCCAAGAGTACGCTGAGATGTTGGGGCTGGATCCCACAAAACTGGCATTTTCGTGGACCCCAGCAACAAAAGCCGAGCTGTCACAGATGGACACGGCGACGAAGCGCTACCTCGATACCTTACTGGGATCTGGCAAGATTATGAAGGACAAGACGTCAGATAATGTCGACATTAGCACACAGGTTGAAAAGTGGACGGCAGAGTTTGGCAAGGCTGCTGCCATGAGAATCGAACAGCTAGTCCGAGAGGCGATGCCTGATTACGAAATGCTTGGGGCAAACAGGCTTAGACTATAACAAAATCATAGCATACTATACGAGGCGATATATTACTAGTAAAAGTTAAACACCTTATTATTTTAAATCAAAATATCTATATAATTATAATTTTGTGTTCGTTGAGACTACTGTAGTCGCTTTCCCTTCAAGAACTCGTAATCCAGCAGCGCCTCTTCCACCCAGACTTTCATCTGCGCAGAGACTTCCGCGCCAAACTCCTCATCCCAGGCCGTATATTTACTCTGTAGATCCAGACCCTCTGCAGTCTTGGACTTGTCAATTCCCTTGGAATTCCAGAAGCCCGACATATAGCTCTCGTGACGGCTGGACAAAATCTTGCCCGTGTTGAGCGTCCCCCACTCGGAGCAGACGAGACTCGGATCCATGCCACACAGCTCGCACAGCTTCTGTACCGCAGGTCCATTTGCCAGGATGTCGTCCGCGTCCATAATAACCGGTGCCAAGGACTGGTTGTTGTATGCCCTTGCCGAGAGCCAGTCGTATAGCTGGCGTAGGTAGCACAGTGTGGTATATAGCCGCCAAGATTTATCGGCGACGTTGATCGGTCGGACGCGGATCTCGGCTCGGTACCAGCTTTCAAAGACAAGAGCTGGATGGCGAATCAAGACAATCGGCTGCCATGTCTTGAAGAAGTCGTCTGCGAAAACGGTCGGGTTGATGTCGTGTGTAGAGGGGTCGTCGCGGACGTAGTTGTCGTTGTTGTCGGGGTAGATGCTCTGCCAGAGCAGCGGCCGCTGCCAGACATGCGCTACATGGTTCTTGACGAGGTGGTTATGATTCTATCGCCAATTAGCTATCAGTTGAAGGCAATTGGGAGTTAAAGAATGAGCAGTTACATTGTCAATGGCAGCCTGCTGGTCGTGCTCCAACGCCTGCATGCCGCTACTCATTGCCTCGTCAAGTTCCTTACGCTTTTCAGTGTCCAGGGCACCAAGGGGCCCATTATCGAGACCGGCACGCGTGAGGTCAAAGGCTCCCGCAAAGTGATACTTTGTCTCAACCCATCCCGGCTGGTTAGACAGCAGATGGCACAGCAGATTGGACGCCGTCCGTGGGTGACTGAAGAGGAAGACATCACGACGTGGTGATGATATAGCCGCCGTCATTGTGAATCAAAAGCCAGTACAATTGCTCAATAAGAAGAGTAAAACGACGAAACATGAAAAGACGAAAAGAAGAAGAACCATGCAATTATTTTTTGGAGAAGGTGACGAGACTGTACCCAGCATTGTGGATGCTGCTCCAGCACACTAAGACGCCTTGTTGTGTGTACTTGCGTGCGTGTCAAGTGGACAGAATCCGCACGGTGTCTGTTCACCCGCCAGGTGTCGGCGACGGCGTGCCAGCTGCCAGCCAAGAAGACATTTTGTGCATTTGCATAAAATACCAAGAAATCAATAATACAAACGCCGTTTGTGCTAGTAAATGTCTGTGAGATACAAGTTGTGCAGAATAATACACCACGTCTGATACACCGCATCGCTAGCAAACACCCTCGAGCAGCAACCTCCGCAGACAAACACCATCTGCAAAATGTACTGGCCGACTATACTTTCACAAGAGACCCGAGACGCATCTCGTTGAACCCTTTGTCTCCTGTGTACTCCTTTTAACATTAAAAATCACACTTGTTACACCCGTGCCTTGAGCAGGTGAACCGCCAGCCACTCCCAACCACTTACACCAAAACCGTGCTCTGCCATCTCATATATTAAGGCCGTCTGCTACGTTGCTATTCTAAATCTTCATCCCATAACATCCCATCACAAACATTCCTCATCTCATCTCATCTGATATACCAGCAGCCACTCTTTCAACATATACCACCATGTCTGTCTCCGAGCCCAACCACGAACAACCCGAGGAGTCCCAAACTTTTCTCTCCAACATCCTCCCACGCAAAGCATCACCTCCTCCAGCTCCTCCTCCAGGTCCATCATCCAGTCCCCTCGGGCTTATTAGTCTCTCCATCACAACTTTTGCCTTTGGATTATACCATGCAGGCGCCGGGTACACCACTGCCCACACATCTCATACCCATCATCAACTAACCATCTCTGCTAGATCCCCCGACTCGAACCCGCTCAACACTCCCAGCGAAATATTCGGCCTAGCCGTCTTCTACGGCGGTGCCGCTCAATTCCTCGCGGGAGTCATGGAATTCCGCCTCACCAACACGTACGCCAGCACCGTGCACTGCTCCTACGGCGCATACTGGCTCGCATACAGCATGCTTCTCCTCCCATCGACGGGCATCGACACCTACCGCGCAGACATCAAAGACATTGCCACTGCAGAAGGCATCTTCTTCCTGCTCTGGTGTCTGCTCAGCGCAGTCTTTTTGCTAGCCGGTCTTCGTACCAGCCTTGCCTTGCTCGCTACACTAGCAATCTGGTCGTTTAGTTTGTTCCTACTCAGCGTCGCACGCTTCATTGCCGCGCACCACACATCTGCAGCACAGAGCGTGAATAAAGCAGGGGGTGTGTTTGCCGTGTTTGCTGCCGCAGCAGCGTTTTATGTCGGAGCCGCAGCATTGATGGGAACCACCAATACAAGCGTAAAGCTCCCCGTGGGCGATCTCTCCGCCAAAGCCAGCAGCGATCGCAAATCCCAAAAGAGCACCGTTTAGAGAACAGACACACACAGACAACAAGTATAGTAATACATCATCAATTCATTATTTCCCATCTACAGCTTGCTCTTAGCATCTGCAGCAGCAGCATTGACCTTCCCCTTGAGCTCCTCAGCCTTGCCCTTGACTTGGCCCTTCAATTCCTCGGCCTTTGCGCCAGCGCTCTGGCCGCCCGTGACGGCATCCTTGACCTTGTTGCTGGCCTTGGCTGTAGACACAAAACCGCTCATTAGTTAAATCCCCTTTCCATGTATCAATTGCTTTGAAATGACCTACCAGCAGCATCGATTCCCTCAGAAATGGCCTCACCGGCCTTCTTCTGCGCCGTGTAAAGCGTATCCTTAACCTGCTCGGCTGCCGACTTCTGGGCAATAGGCGTAGTAGACAGGGCACGGGAAGCCTTGGCGCGCGCAGCGGCCTGGCGGAGCATAGCTTGACGGGCAAGCATCTTTGCGGTGAGAATTGGGAGATTTCTTTTAAAAAGGAATTGGAAGTAGAATGACAGACAGCGAGAGAGAGAGGGTGCTGGCCGAGGGGCGCCGTTTATACCGGCTCCCCGCTAGCGGCAGTCGTGATGTCATCTTGCGACAACTCGCCGCGGAGCCGTGCCTGCAGCAGACAGCGCCACTGCGACGGTTGACTAGCGCCCTTCAAAATCAAGATCTGAGTTTAGACTGTGGAGTGCGCCGGGGTGCCGGTTCCTTGGAATGCGCTTTTTCAGCGCGGTCTAGAATGCGATGGACTTTTAATACTGCAAGGGGTCTTGGGTCCTTTCTCCTTGGCAGACAGAGCTTTGTAATTGTTCGTGATTATGGGGGTGTTTAATGCTAATTGTACACGTAATTTTACAGATTCTTGTTCGTCAAGGACGTGACCTTTTCACGCATCACAGCTTCAGCGGCAACGGGATCAATGCTCTCCGTAGGCCCCAGACGCATCATCTTGCCTACCAGATACATGAGCTTGCCTTGGGGGAACTTGGTCGCGGTGAATGCACCCAGGACCTTGTCCTCGCCCTGGAGAGCCTCGTTCGCGAGCTCATCGTACTCTTGCGCCGTAATCTCTTGGAACCACAGATCGTTGGCCTCAATGGCGCCTGTGACGCCCTCGTCAAGTTCCCCCGAGCTAATAGCCAGGAGAAGCTCCTTGGCCACTTTGCCGGTGATTTGCTTGCGGTACAAATGCACAAGCAAATCAGCGAGCTGCTGCGCGGGCACCTGCTGGCACTCGCCATCCACAGTAAACGTCAAGTCGTCTGCGGCCATTGCGCCGGCCTTTTGTGTAGTGAGACGGCCCAGCTCGTGAATCACCCAGTTACTGACCATGGCCGTGTAGGCCGCTGTGTCGGGCGAAGCATCGCTATCCGAAAGGCTGCCCTCCACAAGCTGCAGCACACGGTAAAAGTACTGCACTCTGTCTCCGTTGTCGAGGACAATAAGCGAGGCTGCGTCCTTGGCCGTGAGACCCTGCGAGATAAGAGTGTCGAGCTCGGTGTCTGGTAGCACGGCAAGCGAGCTGCGCAAATGTTGCACCAGATCCTCACCAATATACAGGGGCTCAATGTCAGGATCCGGCATGTAACGGTAATCCACCTCACCCTCCTTGCCTCGCAGGCGTCTCGTCTCTGTAGAACCGACGGTCCAACCTCTGGTCTCACTGGCAATCTTGCCGCCGGCCTCGAGCTCGCGAATCTGGCGGTCACGCTCGGCAATAATGGCATCTTCGACAGCCTTGATAGTGCTGAGGTTTTTAATTTCGGTTCTCGTGCCCAGCGGGGCGTTGGGGTCGTCGGTTCTTCGTACGGAAACATTGACATCGGCGCGCAGACCACCAGCCTCCATGCCTGAAACACAGGCGTCGACCGTGTTGAGGAGCAGCTGGATCTTCTTGACAAAGACGGCCGCAGTTCGCGGGTGGTGCATATCGGGCTCAGTGATGATTTCAATCAGCGGCGTGCCGACACGGTTGAAGTCGAGCCATTGCACGCCTTCGGTCTGGGCAAGTGTCTTGGCCGTGTCTTGCTCCATCTGAACCTGCTTGATGCGAACAGTGACACTCTCTCCATCCTCAGGCGAAATTCCATCGCGCGCAAGCAACGTGAGATGCCCATTCTTTGCAAAGGGCTGGTAGTATTGTGTGATTTGGTAACCGGCGGGCTGATCCCACCAAAAGTAGTGTTTTCGATCGAATCGGCTAACGGACTGGATCTCGCAGTCGAGAGCTAGTGCGGCTCGCAAGGCGGGAACGAGTGTTTCCTTCTGGAAACGAGGCTGGCTGCCGGGCATGGCGACATCGAAGAGGGCCACATGGCTGTTGGGGTCGTCGTTGAAGGACGTCGCGGCCGAGGAGAAGAGCTTGCGTGCGGTGTTGAGCTGTGCATGAATTTCGATTCCGACAGTCAATTCCCATCCGTCGACCGTCTGTGAGTCGGCCTTGCTCTTCTTCTTGCCCTGCTTCTTGGCCTCTTTTGCTTCGTCCTTTAGGCGCTTTCGAAGCGGCGCCGCAGCTTCCGCTTGGGCTGGTATACTGCTGTGAAAGTGCCGTAGGGAAATGCTGAGGTGGAATTGGGACTGTGAAGCAGTAAATACAGACTGAGGTACGCGTCGCAGGCATCCAGTTCGGGGCAATTGGCCTGCAAGCAGGTATTTGCTCAGCTCCTGCACGCGAGCGCCACGCATGCTGTCGAGGACTCCAAATCTCCTCTATAATCTTTATATGTGTTTTAAACTGCAAAGCTTCGTTCGGATTTATCTCGTAGACATTTTAATTTTGCAGCAAATCTCTGTGGGGGCGTTGCAGTGGTGGAGAGCTGCGCTGGTGACGACCTTGAAAAGGAGCTTTGACGTCCACCAGAGACATCACCAGTTTTATGGGGCGCCGTAGCCAAAGCACCTGCTACCCCAGAGTCTTTCAACATCAAGGCACAACCAGACAAAATCAGACAAAATAATTCCAGAAAAAATGAAATAAATTATTGCTTCTAATGATAGCTAGCCAATATAGCTTCTGGTACAAAATAACAAAAAGTAAACGAGGGTATGTACCTAATCTGCCGGTCCATCGCTAGTCGGTCCGTCTAAGTCGTAAATGTTCTACACTAAAAAGTTCCACCGTCCGCTTACAAAACAAAGCGAGCAAGGACACAAGTACCGAAAAAGAGCAGGGAGTTGACTGTCATGGAGACAGAGACACCCTCGCTCTTAGAAGGCGAAGGAGAAGGAGAGGGCTTAGCGGTGGCAGACACAGTAGTGTTGGAGTTGGCCTTAGCAGCGCCGGGTCCAGTCTTGTTGCCGTCACCAACCTTGATCCACTGGTTAGAGACCTTGATTGACTTAGCCAAGCCAGATCGGTCGCCGTAGCTGTACTGCTTGACGTGCTTAGTGGCAGGCTTATCGCCGCCGGCATAGTCGACAATGGTAAGCTTCTTGATGATAAAGTTGAAGGGAGCCTTGGAAAAGTCGACCATGCCACCAGCCCAGTCGCGCGTGCCCTGAGGCATGCTCTGCTTGCCGGCGACCCAAGCGCCAACCTTAACCTGCATAGGTGTCTGGGGGAACTTGTCGCCGACCTTGGCAGCCTCGAGGGTGCGCACGGTCTTTCCGTCAATCTGCCAGTTGATAGCCTTGGACGTCCACTCCATAGAGTAGGTATGGGTAGAAGTCAAGGGGTTAGAGACAGGGTGGTATGCGCCGCGGTCAAAGGTAGTAGTGTCACCCTTGCTAAAGTAGTTGGTCTGGCCCTGGGCGTTGTCCTTGCCGACAAACTCCCAGTCAATCTCGTCGAGATCATCAGACTGGAGGACAGCACCAGAGACAATACCAGCGCCATTGGCTGCCTGGAGCTCGACATCGAGACGGCCAAAGAAGAGGTACTTGTCAGTGCGCATGGTGGGCGCATCCGACTCCTTCTTCACGGTCAAAAAGGCGCCCTCTTTGCCGTATGTGACTGTAGTTCCAGCCATGGGCTTGATGTCCTTGCAGGCGCCCTTGGTAAAGTCGCAAGTGACCTTGCCCTTGCCAAAAGCGGGATCAGGAGGGCAATCTACTTATTTTGTTAGTGATTGAAAGAGAGGATGATAAGAGTCAAAAGACGTACCCTTTTGAGTGGGATTGCAGTCTGTGAAAGTCTGGCCAGAGGCAAGAGTCGACGCCGCCAGGGCAGTCGCAAGAAGAGAAAAGGCGTTGCTCAACATTTTGTAAATAGATTATTTTATTTTTATGTGAATAGATGTAAAAGATGCTCTATATGAGATGGAAAAGAAGCAGAGAAGGCTGATGGAGAGAGACATGACTGCTGGAATTGGGGCGACTCGCGCATCTTTAAAGAAAAGCAGCATAGTCATTGAAACAGGACGAAACAGAACCAATAGAGACGCATTGTTAGGGGAGAATTGCAAGTGTTTCCTGCAAGCAGGGTCTCTCACCAAGACAGGCACCCTGTTTGGACGAGCGCGTTTCGACAGCGTCGTAGCTCGGACCTCGCCCGGCGTTGAAACTATGGGAGTTTCTTAGAGAATTTTACTCTTTAGGAAGGCTTCTAGAAGGATTTCAGGAAGAAGTGTGAATTATGCAAAGTTTATGACTTGCATTTGGTTATTCTGGTAGAGTTTGGCATATGCTCTGCGAGCACACAGCCTTTTACCACGAAAAAAAAGAAAAGCTTAAAATTCTAAAATAAATACAAACGTGTTCTCACACTTAAAATAATCCATTTTGATTTCTTCACAAACACAAGACTCATTGACTATACGTAATCACACGCTGCGTGAAAGGTATGCAGCATCCGGATGCCAGCATCTGCATCCATATACACTACGCAAGTACACACGCTAACGACTCGGTAGAAATATTATCCTGCACAAAATGTTTCTCAAGACCCTCTTCATTCTGACGGCGGCTACCATCTGTGCTGCCGCCAGCATCCCTGTCCAAGAGGGTTTGCCCATCTGCCGCTATGACCAGCGCCCTGGAACCTGCCAGCACACGACACATTGCCGCGACCTCTTCCAGGGCAAATGCGTGTGGTACTACTGCAACCGGGGATACCTAGAGAAATGGATTGACTGCGGCGCCAAGGGCTGCACATATCTCCAGGGCGAGCCTTCCTGCAATCCCTAAGCCGTGTTTGCATCAGCCTAGGCTGCGAGAGCATCTGTGAGTTACGGCAGCAAGGCTACTGTCCATAGATTTAGATACACCCTGACTAGATCTAAAATTAACATGCACACTTTTTCCATCTCCAAACCAGCGCACTCTGAGAACTCGTGCAATGCAACACACTCAAACACGCACCCATCCTTCCAAAGACCCATTCCATACCCAAGAAGTCGCCGAGGACTATCTAAACGGTTGTTTCTTAAACACATCTGTTTCACTGCGCTTCACGAAACGTGTATACTATATTTATCCCATCTTGTGTGGGCTCCGTTGCCGCCCGGACCCGGGCTTCCGCCCGAGCGGCGTTTCGTCCGGCGTCGCGGCTTCGCGTCCGAGCGACTCCCCATCCGGCGTCTAGCAAACACAACGGCCCGCGCGGGCTCTCTACTTCCCCCGGGGGTGTATGTCGCCATTATTCATGACGTGCATAAATAAAACGTCCGAGCTTTTAACGGCGCGCCGCCGGCAGTTGTCCCGTTTAAGATATCGCGCTAAGCTGGGGAGCTTAAATGCCTAGTCTCGGCGGGAGAAGAGAGCACAAGAGCTGTCAAGCCCCGATGGGCCAAGCGGCGGTGCGTTTCATCTGCAGCGCATCCCACAGCGTTTACGTGCATGGCAACCCGTGGCCGCTTTCCAGATCCGGTAAGTACCGACCTAAACGAACCCTGTGGCTAGTAGGTTTGTATGAGCTTTCGCTGTTGCGGGTGGAGGCGGTCTGCCAGCGAGTAAGTGATTCGTACGGAGACAAGCTGAGCTGAGCTCCTGCATGATGAGTGGGATTGCGGTCTCCTGCCGAGAGAGCCTAGCGTTGTCTCTTGTTAAACCTTATGTTTTCTGGGCAAAAAGATAAAACAAAAAGAAACATCAAAGCTGGAGAGATGCTCGCTACTTAAGATGCGGATGTTCTCCCACTTGGGATGTTGAAACTGTTGATCCTATAGCCCGGCGCTTCTTTATTGTCTCTCTGGAGAGATCCTTTTCCTTTGTTTGTTTCCATTTGTTCTGTCTTCTTTTCTTATGTAAGTCTGGAACATATACCTGACGTGATATCGGACACTAACATGGGGCACTCACTGCCATGTAGAACATTCCCTTGACTATTTTCATAATATCACGATGCAGGCATCGCTCTTTCTTTCTTTTGCTATTACAGCCATTATTGGTGTTGGCTACACCGCACCGGTTCCCGCCGCTACCACTACAACCATCAGCAGCAGCAGCAGCAGCGTTGCCACCAGCGCCGCTACCAGCGTCGCAGCTAAACCTGTTATTATAATTGGCCATGACGACGTTGACAAGAACAACGATAACAACAACAAGGACAAAGACGAAGACGAGGAGGACGAGGAGGACGAGGACGAGGAAGAAGGGGAAGACTCTACATCCGCTGGGGCCCTCTCTACTCCTAGTAAAATCAACCCCGACGAGGCCGCTGGACACCAGTTTGCAGACACTTATTTTGACAGACCCTCTGCTACGTGGTGCTTCATGCGGAACGACCGGCTCTATTGCCCTGCTGGAAACGGAGACGGTTGCGAATGGAGACTGGTCACGCCAGGGAACTCCTATACTGTACTCAGATGTCCGTACAGCGGGTGCAGGGATGCTTGGGACGGAGCAGGGTCAAATGTTGGTTGCTACTAAGCTTGACGAGGCGAACCAAGTTAAAGGACCGGTATATACATGTACAGTACGACACTGGCCGACATGAGGCATGGCATATAGAGAATCCGCGGTAGAAGCTGATTCTAAAGGAATATAAATACCATACAAGGTTACAATGATGATCGTCTTTGATGAATCACTGCAGATTATGGCACAGAGAGAGAAAAAGGTGGTGTTGAGTGTGCATGTCCATCCGTGTGTAAGTCGCTCCCTGCAAATCATTCGCTGCGGGTTGTGCGGAAGATGTGCTAGCGTGGCGAGGCCGTTCCCGTCAACTGCCGACACTAGCAAGGATGGGATTGGTTATTTCTTTTTAATTCTTTTCGTTTGTTTCTGCTCAAAGCGGCCAGTGCGGTGTACGTAGAGCCGTGCGGTGGTTTTGTGTGCGAGACATGGCGGCGAGCCCGTGCGCAAGTGTCGTCTGCAGCACATGATGGAAGAGAAAGAAATAAAAAACCTGATTAACTAAGCGACTTGTGCTTTTCACTCTTAGCGCAACATCACCATGGTTGGGGAGGACGCCCGAAGCACATGACGCCCGTGATCAGCTGCCTCGGCCGAACAAAAGATTCACCACCACATTTCCTTGACCGCATAATCTAACCTCATATTAAAAAGCAGTGAATCCCGTGACGCCCATTCAACCACCTCCCGTAACAAATGAATACAAATCCTCCAGCGAAGCTGCAGCGGCCAGGGATTCCCTCTCGTCTTCTACCGTAGCCAATCCCCTCAACCCGTCCGCTTACACGGTGCATGCCGTCCAACCCCAGACGCCCGCCCATTGTCACCGAAAACCCTCATCTATTCACAGAGCATCCCGCAACGATTCCCAGCTGCGCGCCCAGATTCAACTATAAAAGCGCGTGCCCATGAGCGTTTCTTCCAGCCAAACATGTCTCAAACAGCAACCATCTCCATCGAAGCCTACAGCGGCAAACAACCAACGCAACTGCCTTCTTCCCCATTTCATCGAAGCAGCTCTACCACAGTATCTTCACGAGCGGGGTCTAAGAACAAGCCCAAGATGGAAGACACGGCTGATACCACTGACGTAGCGACTAAACTTCAACCGTCGACTACCCACAGTAAGAGCCCACGGCCTGCCTCCCCACGCACAGATAATGCTGCCCTCCCTCTTACGGCAGCAACGCCAGTCGACGCCCAACAGCAACCGCCTCCCCAGCAGCAACAGCAACCGCAACTGCAACAGCAACTTCCGTCGGCCGGTGAAAGCCCCGTGTTACCGTCACCCCAGGCCCCTTCGCCTAAGGCCCGGCAGCCCGACCAGCCGCAGCCGACCCCCAAATCCCGCGCTGCGCCTAAGCCAGTATCGCTGTCGGGACAAGCGCCGCCCACCACTGCTGCAGGACCACGGCGAGTAAGTGCTTCACGCAGAACCGACCCGTCCTACATCGTCGACCCTTCCTATGTCATCGACGAGACAACTGGTCGGTTCAACCCGCATCCAGAGGGCCACATTATCTGGGACAGGCCCAACAACCCAGACGAAGACCTCCCCTATGGCAACTGGGCAGGAAATCCGTCTTACAATACGGGATACCCGCCCTATACTGGATACGACAGCAGTTACATCCACCCTCCGCCACCTGCCCCCCCTCCTCCTCAACTACAGCCTCAAGTACTTCCTCAAGGCTCCTCATGGCGCCAACAGCACCCCCCCTCGCCGACCTCACCAAAGCGAAGCCGCCGCTCGCCAACCTTCCCTACCCACGGGCACCTGCCAGCATACCCCCCCGAGCATCCTCCAACAGGATACGAGCTCCTGGCCGCGAAGCTCTCTGGCTACGAGCCGAGTTCGCCCATCCAGCCCATTTACCGGCGCTTCGAGGCCCTCAACCACCGCATCATGCTGGGCCTCCAAGACGAGCTGACCACGCTCGAAGAGAAGCTCCGTAGGCTAGATGAGACAGACTCGGAAAGCAGGGTGCATCTGGACGGCTATATGCCGGCTTCTCGACGGCTAGAGGCTATGGACCCCACGGAACTCACCGACACCCGACGGCAGCTGATTAACACGATAGCTCATCAGCTCTTCCAGTACAACACGCAAATCAACACCATCAAGACGACTGCTGGTTTGGGTGTTCCGTCGGCCGGTGCTATTGCCGAATACAAGGAGTTCCTGGCGCAGCATGGGCCCATAGTGCCCACCGAAACGCGGTTCCTAGACCGGGAGGATGACCTGGTGTGTCTGTATGACACGACAATTTATCCTGGCAAGGAAGTCCCGCGGGCGGGCATGGCGACGCCCACGCCCGAGAGGATGGTCAAGGCGCAGGAAGACAGCAGACTGCCACGGGGCGCCTCGAAGGCGGTGCAGTATGCTGCCTTGGGCGCACTGGGCGCGATTGGTGTGCCCATGCTCGCCTTCCAGTTCATACCGTGGTTCATTGCCCGGATGACGATTGTCTTTTTGGTCGGGCTCTTTGCATTCGCGGTGCTGACCAGCACGGGGACGTGGGCGGCGGGCGACGACGATCGTAATCCCACGGACAAGATGTTCCTGGCCGTGGTGTATGGGCTAGTCATGGCGATTATCGCGGGGACGTCGCTGTGAGGAGTGAAGAGGAGCTGCGGCCACGAAGTGAAGAAGAGCTGCATTCACAGCTAGTGGAAGGAGTGCGTCCACAGTGGTTGAACAGCTGCGAGTGGGGAGTGAAGAGGAGCTGCGGCCGCTCCTGTTGAAGAGCTGCGACCACTGCCTGATGGGGCAGACATGGCTACTTCCAATGTAGGCATGCGCGGCGTGGTCAAATGATGTGCAGGACCCTGCAGGATATCTTATGGACCGACTACAATGTATGAGGTCTTGGTCTGAGGATGGGTGGTGGGATGTGTGGGCGTCACTTCAATGGGTGGCGATGTGTGGGCGTCTGTGACGACGAGACGGGCTGGGATTAGTAGGGCGCAGCGTGCGCAACAATACTAACAAGAGCAGCCAGGATACTGACACTTGCATAGAGCACCTACTCGGTGCTTTGACCGAGGATGTGCGCTGAATCGCGGCCATGTGCTGCCATAGGTAAAACAGGAACAGGGCAAACAGAGCACAGCAACAACGCACAGGCGAGGAAACACTCACCTCCGTTCTTTCACAGACCAAGGAAACAACAGCACAAAACTTTTCTTTTCTTTCTTCCTTTTTTTTTGTATTAGATACTACTTGAAACTGTACATTAATGTCTCCTGTCCCGAATAGAAATGCTTCTGTCGAATCTTCTTCCGTGCTCCGTCTGGCCCGTCCCGCTCCGGGCGCGCCCCGCCCCGCCCCGTTGACCACCCAAAAGGGAAATAAGAACAGGGGCGTTGGCCCGCCTGTAACCCCTGTAACTTAGGGCTTGAAGCCACAAAGGAAAGCCGCAAAAACTGTATATACAGATTTAGGTCGCCCCGGTCTCCAACCAATGAGGGCGAATGGTTTAGTGGTATAATACTCCCTTAGCATGGGAGTGGTCCAGGGTTCGATTCCCTGTTCGTCCAAAGTTGCTTACGGGGCGAATGGTTTAGTGGTATAATACTCCCTTAGCATAGTTGAATCTTGTGATCCGACGAGTTCTTCTGGGAGTGGTCCAGGGTTCGATTCCCTGTTCGTCCAACGCAGCTTTCTTTTTTGCCGATTTTGAGTACATATTTTGCTAGCAATCACCCTTCCTTTTTCACTTGTAACCCTTATCTTTTAGGTTTATGTGTTGCGTTTGCTGTTGAGGTACTGCTGCGGACGTTTGGTGAGAGGGCACACATGGAGAGTTGCCAAATCGGGCAGTCTGGTGAAAGCGGTTCGCTCGCTGTGCAACGCAAACTGCGCCGCGTCTTGAAACAGCAAACGATAGAGGATGCTTCAAGTCTGTATGACGAATTGCAGGACGAAGTAGTTTCAAGGGCACCATGTACCAGTTTCCACGCATGTTCCACAGCAAACACCGAAGCGAGTAGTCCACAGCATCTGTATCGTCTTGTCTCGTCTCTCCCATTACTTATAACCAAGTTTACAGTTATCACACTCGATCCTATATTTCATATTAATCACAATACACCTTGCACTCTTAATTCGTCCTTCTACCAGTAAATCACTTTCACACCGACTTCTCCGTGCCAACATCGCCACCCTGCCAGCTGCTGCCAGCTGCCACGCTTCTTCACCTCACCTGCAGTTTGCCCCGACAACCTGACAAACAAGTCACCAGCACGGAACACGGCACCGCATAATTCTGTTTGCCGCTGACCGAAGCGCGTCGAAAACTATTTCTTGCTTGCTTGGCAGAACTTTCTTCTCTCTTCTTCTCCTTCTTCCTCTCCTTCTTACCTTTTGTGCTTCCTCTTCACACTCTTCCAAAGACATCTCCTCAGTGCATTCACGCCTTACATTCAATTCTTCAACAATACCCTCTCAACTACTAAAATGATTTCCAAAATTGCCCTTCTTGCCCTCTTCGGCTCTTCTCTTGCCTCTACTCTCTGTAAGTCCCCTTCCTCAACCATTGCTTCTCTCACTTGTTAACTCTTCCAGCCGACCACACCACCACTGAAACCATTGGCCCTCAGGAACTCGGCACCACCGCTTCTGCAGGTAACTTTGTTCATCCCTATATCCTCTATGACATACTAACAATCTCAGGATCCATTGTGTACTCCATGAACTTCTGCACCGTCGTCCAAACCACCACCTGCAGCGTGTCCTTCTCCACGGGCGGCCCGGTGCCAACCTACTCGGCCATCCAGACATCCGAGTACGGCCACCCGCCTCCCGTGTCCGCCGAATCTCACTACTCTGTCAGCGTACAGACCAGCGGCATCATCACGGCCTCGTCTGTGCCCACCAGCACCGCTGCCACGCAGACCTCTGCGCACGAGACTGGCCCCGAGACTGCAGTACCCACAACCGGCGGTGCCGCTTCCATCATGGCTGAGGCCGGCAAGGTCTTTGGTGTGGCTGTCGCAATGGCCTACCTCATGTAAAGGACCACAGCCCCTTTCGTTAACCAGAGTTTGAAAGATGAGACACGACGAGATATACAGTCGAGAAGAACGATACGAGTAATGGAATACGAATAGCTGGATGAAAGACGATTGGAACAGACAAGTTGGAACAAACAAGAATAACAAAAGTAATAAGCTAGCTACAGAGACACAGTCAGGATCACAAGAACAAATGAATACTCTTTTACAAAAGAAAACAGCAACGTGCTTTTTGGTATCTAATATGTGTATGCTTTATGTATTACAAAAAACCAAGGGTAGTCGTACCCCCTCTCCCAGAACAAAAAAGAACAACTCCTATATCTACTTTGGATGGCACAGCGGACATCCGCCCTTGACCTTGTCACGCAGCAGCCGCGCCTTCATCACCTTCATGCCCACCAGGTACCGGCTGCTCTCCATCGAATTACCCCCGAGATCGACATCGACCTGTCCATTATGTAGCAGCTCCAGCAGATGGCTCAGATGAAAAACATGGCCGCACGAGTACCCCAGCAGCGTCTCCATCTCGTACTCGGTAAACGCCTCGTGGCACTGCGCACAGTGGCCCGGCTTAACGGCCGGCATCTCAAGGCCGTGCAGCACGGCGTTGGTTTGCTGGAGCTCCGCTGGCGGGTACTTCCACTCGGCAGGCTCAAACTTGACGCCTCTGCGCTGTCCGGCGCGCAGCTCATTCTGTGTGGCACCTACTTCGCTGCGAAGCACCTTGGCGACGCCGTGGCTGATGCTGTGCTGCAGCTCGTGCTCCTTCATCATGTGGATCAGGCCTTCGCGGAGACCTTCAATCTCGAGACCAGCAGGGATTCGCTTGACGAGTGTGATAGGGTTGATGGCAGTGCCGACCTGCTCGAGCAGCGCGCGAATAAACGTCGGCTTGTCCATGCTGTAGCTGAGCAGTACCTCCCACAAGTCTGGATCATCCTGCTCCTTGGCAAAGTCAATAGCTTTCTGGACGTCGTGTAGACGATCGATAATGAGGTACAGAGCCCGCTTCATCTGCCCGGTTTTCGAGTACAGATACACTAGTTCGTCGTAGTACTCGTGCTTTTCGCATTCCTGCACCGCCTTGTCAAATGTGTACGCCGTCGACGTTTTGAGCATGTCCATTAGCATGTCTCTGTCGTAAGAGGCAAAGAGGTGGATTGCCAAGTCGGCAAACTCATCAACAGATACTTTGCTTTCTTGCAAGATGCGCTCATTCTCTGGCCCGACGTGGTCCTTAACGCCGTCGCCGCGCCAAAGAGCCCGCAAGTAAAAGAATAGATACTTTGGCATCTGCTTTGCCTGAAGCTGGTCGACAATGGTCTTGGGTGGCACCAGTCCATGCTGAGCCTCGTCTACCAAGAGAGCAATAGCTTCAGAAGTCGCCTCAGCCAGCTCTTTCTCTGACATGGAATCTAGCTCATCAGCAGTAACGCGAAGGCTAATAAAGGCAGGGATGTCATCAATAACCGCCTCGGCTAGATGGTTATCTTTGATCAGCCTAAAAGCATTGTCCGCATCATGGAGCTTGATGAAACACTTCAAAGCTTCTCGATGTCTGCCACTCGCTTCATATAGTCTAGCCAGGCTCTCCGTTACAATCTTCCAGTCCCGGCCCCTTTCGCCACCTTCAATGCTATCTTCGCGGACATCTCGGAATTTAAGCTGATTCTCCAGAGCCTTTGCCACTGCTTTCGTGTCAAACAGATCCAGAGGCCACAAATTCAAGAGCTCGCCAAACCTGACCTTGTCTGACTGAATGTAGTGGCCGAGGACGACTTCGTAGACGGTAGTAGGAATTGGCGGCGTCATCTGGGCTGATGGGATATAGTCAACAATTTCGTCAAACTTGTTTGCGCCGGCAAATGCCCACACCCACTTCTCCCATTTGTCTGCCGTTGCTAGCACCTTGCCACAGGTTGCACCCGCCGACTTCCAGTCACCCTGCTCAACAAGCTGCTGAATCCAGAGCTCGCCTACGCGTCGCTTTTCCTTTTCGGTCGCAGAATGCACTAGTCTTGCTGTAGTAGAGTCTGCTACAGACTCTTCATAGAAGAAGTCTTCCTCTTTAATGCCAGGCTGAGATGAAGTTGACATGGAGTGGCCATGCTGCCTCTCAAACGGCGCTGTCAAGATTTCCGGGTTTTCGTCAAGAAGCTCCCACGCCTTGCCGTACTCTTTGCGTTCAATCAACCATTTGAGGTGATCTGTAAGATCGCGTTTTGTGGCGAGAATGCAGTCATATGGACTCTGGATAAAGATCTTGGCACCAGGCTTGGCCATCCCGGGGTCAACAACTGGAGGCGGTGCTTTGGACGGCGTGCTTCGAAGAGTGCCACTAGCACTAGGGACTTTTGAAGATGTATCATTGTCACTTGAATGGCTGAATACACTCGCGCCCGAGCTGAAGAGAGCCCTGGGATTAATGGCTGCGTGCCACATGTCTGCTCCAAGCCCCGTCAATGTCTCCAATGCTCCTTTGCTGGCAATGACGGAAGCCGCACTTCGAGCAGGCAGGACGCCGAGGTGGTAGTCAGCTGCAAATAGGCGCTCATAACGACTGACAGGAAGACTGTATTTGTCCACCTCCGTCTGTGAATCGAGATCGATAAGTCGCAGCTCGGGCGGGAGGTTATTCTGTTTGCGCCGAATGCCACCTGATGGTTCGCTACTGGTGGAACCAATCGATTCCCTACCTTTCTTCCTCGACTGCTTGCGCTCCTCCTCCTCTTCATCATCTTCGTCGGGATGGCAAAATGCAAGAACAATGAGTAGGCTCTTAGTGTACAATGCCAGTCCTGATATAATAGAGTCCATGCGTAGACTAGATCCGTTAGCTTTGGAATCCGATGACATATTTTTGGCAACTTACATTTTGACAATCTCAGCCTTTCCAGCCGTCCTTTCAGGTTGGCGCTTGGTAGGTCTTCCGTCGTGGACATGAACAATCCAGATGGTTCCGCCCCAGCCGACAAGCAGCCGCTCTACACTAGCCTTGACAGGCTTGACTTCTTTGGCAACCTCTCCGTCTCCCACACGCAGATTATCGACTTCCAAAGATTTTTCGTCGATCCATTCCGCACGTCCTTTCCACACGCTTGCCATGGTTTCCCACTCGTCGGTCTCTGGTCGATCAATGTGGCCGATTCGCTTCCAGGCATCGTCCAGATTTGCAGATTCGAGATGGAGCTTGGACCGCATGATTTTGATTCCGTGCTCATTCAGCCACATGATGTACTTCCCAGACAACGACCACTTGATACAGCTCACAGTGCCTTCTCCAGAGTGAATAACAGTGTCTTTAGCGGTACTGGTACTCAAACCGACACTTCCAAGCCATCCTGCTGCCGTAGCAGCAGCCGTTCCAGTCGTCGTAGATGTACTTCGTCCGGGTGCTGCACCGACTGTGAGGACCAGTTGGCCGGCAAGACCACCAGACAGAAATGTCTTGTCCGATTTATATTCTGGGGACAGTGCGACGCATTGCACAGGGCGGCCAAAGTTGCGGAGCTGAACATCTTTGACGTCTAAAAGTGATTGAATGCAGACATTTCCATCCATTGAGGATGTTGCAATATAAATATCATTCGATGGGATTTTGGGAAGCTGCTGTGGCTCCCTAGATTTCTTGGGTGTGGTTGGTGTCGGTTCTGCGTCTCTCGTTGCAGGTGGTAACACCTTTGGCGCAAGTTCATTTTCAGTAGGTAGTGGTGGCGGGTATGGAGATATCGATATACTTGTGACGGAAGCTGAGTGTGCATGGTAGACTCTCAGAGTACGAAAGGTAGGCAATTGGATGACGTGCTAGTTTCTGTTAGCTGGTGGTGGCATTAGAGAAGGATCCCGACTTACAATATTACCATTATGCGTTCCTACAATCTGCAGATTCGATTAGTGTGTGCTAGACATAGCGAAGAATGGCAAACGAACCAGTTTATCGCCAGCGACGAGAAAAGTACTTGTCGCATCACCGTTTCGGTAAACCGAGGCAATGTGCTGCGTCATCCTCACATAATTTAGCCGCGGTTCTTCGTCCTCCTCTTCCTCGTCATCGTCTTCTTCTTCTTCGTCCTCTTCTTCCTCTTCCTCTTCCTCCCCATCTTCGTCATCGTCGCTTAGGCTTTTATTTTCGTCGGCCTCTGTGCTGTCATCGCCCGCAACGGCGTCCGCCTTGTCACCGGCAGCGCCTTCGGCACTTAATGCGGCCTCCTCGTCATCTTTTATAGCTGTATCATTTCGCTCTTCGACTTCTGCTACTGCATCGACTTGCTCAGTAGCCTCAGCTTTGGGCGGCTGCTCGTCTGGGAGCTCGGGTGAGGGTTCCGTCATCTTCCCGACCTCATGCTGGTTGTGGTGTCGGTCGCTGTGCTGATGGGAGACGCTGTGCTATTCGTGCTCGCAGGAAAAAAGAAAAGCAACCAAATAAAGACGCAATAACGCAACAGTGGCTGGCAGCAGCCGTGTTCGCGGTGTCGGGCTGCTGTTATTTTTGTTGGGGGATTGACGGGGGATGACGCTTCCAGCACCTGCAACCAGCTCCTTAGCGTGCTGCAGGCACTAAGTTACCAAAGCTGGCACTAAAGCTACGTCACGAGCTGTCGCGCGCCAAAAACGCCAGGCTTCAGTTCTCCCCAAGCACCCCCACCTGTCCCTCCGCTGACCCACACATTTTTTGGTAGCTTCACATCGCGTATCAGAAACGCGGTCATCAGCCGTTGAGCATCTGGCTGCCCCTCGCTTTTTTTTTTGATTTTTGAAACACGCTGCGAATTGACTGGATCTCTTTCTATTTCGAAACATAGAAGCTGCACCGCCACAAGGGCACGATACACCACATATAGAGTATACGCCAGCGCATGGGTGCCCAGACGACATGGCGTCCGTGACGTCCCTTGGCTTGCACCAACCTTCTGGCTTGCGACACGCCATTGAAGAACAAATATTACCGGCCAATCCCCCAGACGCTTCGTATCGATGGATTATAGATTCTGCTCGTGATGGCCAACAGATTGTCGAAGACGAGCTCCTTGTGACGGAGACTGCTGTCATATGGAGTCGCGGACGTATTGTCTGCAAGACGTTTCGCTTCGATAATGAAAAAGAGCAAATAGTAAAGGCTCTTTTGGCATATTTCCCCAATTCTCACAGTACGGCAAACAGAAACAAAGCTGCAAAGGCAGCATCTTCCAGCGATCGAAAGACGGACGATGAACCACTCGAAAAGGCACTGGTTGTATTTCTCAAAACACAAGCCCACATATACTTCCTCTCTGGCACCAGCCATATTGTCCATATACCGTTTGAGGTTGAAGCAGCATGTGCTGGGCCTGTTGGTGTGCTTATACAACGAAAGCGAGACGCCAATAAGCCGCCAGCCGCCCTCAAGTTTCCCCGCGTCCCGACAAACTCTTTCATTTCGTCCCAGGTGACCGACTCTACAAGCTCTCAACAGTCTTTTATAGTAGATGGAGTTGAGCCGTCATCGCAAAAGCCACTGGCGATTGGGCTCAACTCTAGTCTCGCCCAACTGTTCGAGGACCCAGTTACCCAGACAGCATCACAATGGCCTCGACTCGTTTCATTGATGGATCCTTTGCTGGAACTCGGTCTTGTTGTTACAGATCACAAGCCGCAGACCCCAAGGCCAAAGTATAGGAGACAACCAAGAAACTCTAACTTTTTAGACCCTGCGGAGCAACTGCTACACGTCGAGCAAATACCTTTACCAGGCGCGTGCTTCCAAGAAGAGGAACTCATCATTGCTGTTACTGTCAATGCAGAGGCAAACCTCTACTCAATATGGAGACTAAAGTACCTAGAGCACGAAGATCCATTTGTCCGCAAGCGAAAAATCCTAAAGGAAAAGGCGTCACGAAGACGAAGTTCCATCGCCCCTCCATATCTTGGAACTCCAGCAACCCCTGCAAAGCCAGGGCTCCGCGAAAGCTTTGGTGCACCACTACCTGGAAAACGGCAGCGAAATAGTGACAGGGTTGAAAAGCCGGTCGATTTAGTCTCGTCTTTGGAAAAACATGATAAAGAAGGTTCGGCGGTTACTAGACGTAGCTCGCGTCGCCTAAGCTCAATGCTTGCTCGCGCCGATCTGTCCGCATCTCAAGAACGTTCTGCATTTGCAGATCAGCCTACTATACCAACGACCAGAAGACATGATTCATACAGCAACATTCATGCGAGATCTAGCTCCGGGTTCGGCCATCAGGGACGAGGGAGTCTAAACAGTCTGCTGGAAGCGCCACTGGACGTTGATCTGCATGAAGGTTTTCATAACATGGGCCTTGACGATCCGGATTTTGATGGCCTTCAAAAGGACCTCTTATTTTCTCGTATCTACCAGTTCCCGTTAGAGAAGACACACGTCCACGTCACAGACCCTACTTCAATCCTTAAGAATTCGCAGGTCTTTACGCTTTGCTCGCCTTCGTTTGCAACCAATGAGCATAGCCGGAATCAACTACTCATCGGAGTTCAAGATGCCGAGGAGCGTCGCCTCAACATTGTCGACCTCAATATTGTCCTACGCCGAATTCCGGAAGCAGACCAAAAAGCAAATGGCAGGACTAGCAGTATTGCCATTACGTCGGCCGATCTACGGAAAGCTAAAAATGTGGTCGACTCCTGTAAGTTGGTCGATGATGATCATTCAGCCATTCTCATCTTGTCTGAATCCATGGATGGGCGCCATGAACTGAGTACGCAGGCCCCTTGGAGCGAACGAACCACCTTATGGCCAGAACTAGTTTTTGTCGATGACACGCGAAGTCTCCAATATCAGGGACGCAAAGTCGACCGTGACATTAAGCATCGAAAATCAGAAGTAATTGACTTGCTCAACGGCAGCATAGTGGGACTTCGGTATCCGAGGAGCTTTGGTGTAGTAGACGCTGTCGACGTTGATGGACGCCTACACCAGCTTAAGATACAACTTCGGCCACGGAACCCGCAAGTCGGCCGTGTTCTGGCAATGTGTCGCAATATTTTGGAGGATGCAAACGGAGAACGTATGCACGGTGGTTGGCTGCATGTCATGCAATGGCTGAAGCTGCAGAATGAGCCGCTTCCCGATCCTGAGTGGTCGGCAGTCACCATTTTGCTCTTCACTCTTATTCTAAACTTGGGGCGTGGCGATTCGAATGCAATGCAAACAGCCCGACTGCCCATGAGACGCAGACGAAATGCCTCTGGCTCGTTTGGCAGCGTTCGCGACATGGACGACTGGAAGCTGATGGAGGCTGCTGAATCTACAAATTCTCTCGGCTGCCCGCCATGGATGACCAACAGGGGATGGCAGTGGGCACTCCATGAAGACGCTGATGTAACAGCATCTCCGTCTCTTGATGATGGCCCCGTTCCTAAATTTATATCGCGGCATGTGGGATTAACAAGAGATTACATGGTTTCACAGCAAGGCGCCTTTGCCATTGGCCCTAATGGTTATTTGCCTACATCACTCGCTCGAAACGATGAGAGCCGACGAAAAACGTCGGAGGATATCCTTTTAGCTCTCCATCTCTTACTGGAAGAGGAAAAGCTAGACATCATGTCTCCAGAACATGCTACGTCTGGGCGGACTGATCTGCGTGTTGTTCTGTGCCAACTGGCGCGGTGGTTGCGCTGGCATAATTTCATGGCGATCTACGAGCTCGGCATTCAGGAAGATGTCGATCGTAAATATGACTCTGAACTTGTTCTCAACCCTCCAATTCCAGCCCCGGCTACATGTCCCAACATTCTGGAATGGATCCAGAATCGCTTCATGGGCATGCGAAGCCAATACCGAACTCCGATGGATATCTATTATGCCGATAAGCAGTTATCAGAAGATGAAAAGATGCTTGACACTCGCTGGGATAGCATTGTGCCTCGGACAATGATGTTTAAGCGATTCTTCAGAATGCTAAAACCAACGTCTTCCGCAGTTGAAATGGTTGAGGCCATGCACCATTGCGGGCTAACGAAGTACATTCTGCAAACACTCCCAGAGGGCGTATTAGTCCCATTACAAGACGCCATCACCCTTTGTCAACCTCATCCACCACACGCGTGGTCCCCTGAGCTGCTAGAGCTGGTCAAGCGAAGTGACATGATTAGCGTTTTGTCCCGAAACAAGCCAACACAAACAACCTCAAATAATCTCTTAGTAAGTCTTGCCTTCATGAACAAGAACATTTCCTAACAGTCTTCAGGCACCTTCACATAATGCAGCATGGGATTTCCGACTATTATGCCAAAGTGTAGCAGAGACCAACAATCTTGGTTATGATGATGGCGAAGGAACCGAGCGCCAAGCCGTTATCCGTGCCCTCTTCAAAGAAGATCGTCGTTTGAACGAGGCTCAAGATTTGCTCTCGACACACAAGTCGCGCGCTGTGTTCTTCAAATCGCACGAACTGTGGACTGAAAGCGAATATCTCGAGAAGCAGAAAGAGCTCGTTGCCAGGATTGCTACAGGAACCCTCGCCATCCCAGCCGGCCGAGGACTTCTGTACTTTAGCTTGCGGTTCCCCCTCATTACCCAAAAGCTTCACATTGGTGGCTTCAATCTCAACTGCATAATCAAGCCTACCAATGTAACCGTCGGTGTAGACAAATCCATGTTTACAGAAGAAAAGGTCTGCTGGGGCTTCTTTCATCAAGGTGTTGCTGCTGGTTTGGCCATTTCTCCTCAGGCCAAGGGCATAGACACATCATGGATTCTCTACAATAAGCCTGGGCAAGAGTTGAGCAACCGCCACGCCGGATTTCTGCTTGCACTCGGCTTAAATGGACATTTGAAGGATGTTGCTAAATGGGTAGCATTCAAGTACCTGACACCAAAGCATACAATGACTTCAATCGGTCTCTTGCTCGGCTTGGCTGCATCATACATGGGCACCATGGACTCGCTCATCACACGACTGCTCTCCGTCCATGCCACGCGGATGCTGCCTCGAGGTGCCGCCGAGCTTAACCTTTCTCCACTGACACAAACATCTGGCATCATGGGCATTGGCCTGCTCTACTGCAACAGCCAGCACCGGCGCATGAGTGAGATTATGTTGTCCGAGATTGAGCATATTGAGGATGAAGACGAAGAAGAACCCCTGCGCAGCGAATGCTATCGTCTCGCTGCAGGATTCGCCCTCGGCTTCATCAACCTAGGCAAAGGCAATGATCTCAAGGGCTTGTCAGATATGAAGCTAACTGACAAGCTCATAACGCACGCCACATCCACCAAGATTGTCGAAATTGTTCACGTGCTCGACAGAGCGGCTGCCGGAGCGGTCATGGCCATTGCTCTAATCTTTATGAAGACAGAGGACCAAATTGTAGCCCGCAAGATTGACGTTCCTGAGTCCATCCTTCAGTTTGACTATGTCCGCCCAGACATTCTTCTGTTACGCACTGTTGCCAAGAACATTATCCTCTGGTCCAAGATTGAGCCAACCATGGCATGGGTGGAAAGCAGCCTGCCCGCCGCGTACCGAAGCCAAGCGAAACTCTCTAGCATTCGCAGACTCAAGTCAACCGACCTCCCCTTCTTCAGCATCCTTGCCGGCATCTGCTTCTCTATTGCGCTACGTTTCAGCGGCAGCGCGTCCACCAAGGTCCGCGACCTGCTGCTGCACTACCTCGACCAGTTTATGCGCATTGCCTCCATCGAGCCAACCGAACGAGACCACCCTGACGCAGCGCCGCTCTACGACGAAGAGCTCGCCAGAGCCAACGCGCGCATGTGCCAGGACGTCCTCGCGCTCTCCACCGGCATCGTCATGGCTGGCACCGGCGACATCGCTGTTCTGCGCCGCCTCCGAGCTCTCCACGGCCGCGATGACCCAAACGTTCCCTACGGCTCGCATCTCGCTGCCCATCTCGCCATCGGTGCACTCTTCCTCGGATGCGGCACAGCAACCTTTGGCACCAGCAACATTGCGATTGCATCCCTCCTGCTCTCCTTCTACCCCGTGTTGCCCACCAACGTCATGGACAACCGCGCTCACCTACAAGCTTTCCGGCACTTCTGGGTACTAGCCGCCGAGCAGCGCTGCCTCGTCGCCAAAGACGTACTCACAGACCAACCCGTCTCCATCCCTGTGCACATCAGGCTACGCACACCCAACAATGTCGAGTCCGTTGCACATCGCACCACGCCATGTCTCCTCCCGCCACTAGACCAAATCCTCAGCCTCTCCACCAAGAGCGGCTCCCGGTACTGGGACGTCAGACTAGACTTTAGCGACGACAAGGTGCGCGAAGCCTTTGCCGAGACGCAGAGCATATACCTGCGGCGCCGCCCACCCGTCGAAGGCACATTTACATCGACGCTCAGCGCGCTCGGCGACGCAGGCAAGGACCAGAACCCTCTCCAATGGATCCTGCACCTCGATTCCCTAGAGAGCGTCAGCTATGCCCAAAAGGCGGCGCTGCTCAACAACGCCGAGGACGAGCAGGACATTGGCGCCGCAGTCGATGCTAAGATGGAGATGGAGCGAGGCATTCTGGACGGCGGCGACATGGAGCGTCTCGAAGGCACAAAACTGCTGTTTGAATGGAGTGCGGTTCGTGACCGTCTTGCACCGCGAAAGAATCAGCCGGCTTCAACTGCTGCCGAAAGCATGGCCACTATGACGGCTAGTATGCAGTTACATGCTGAACATGCGGACGACGATGATGGCGAGGCGCATGGGACAACGTGGTTTATGCGTGATAGCGACATTGAGTCGCTCAAGGGAAAAGTATGGCTTGCTGCGCGAGAGGCCGATGAGTGATGATTTCCAAAACGATGATAGCTATTACTAGATGAATCACGATTATGTATAGTTTCTTTTTTAGCTTTTTTACGCAACATACATTCCATTTCATTGTTGATCTCTTCAAGTCGCGCATCACTTTCACTTTATTGTCATGAGACGGCATGCCCACGCAGGCAGTCACTGGTGTTTAGTTTAAAAATCATTTCTCTTTTTTGATATTCGTTTCAAATTCCGCTCCATATCTAAAATACCGTACGGATGCCTACGGAAATCTAAAGCGTTACCCAATCCTCTCAGACCGGGCTCTCTTTTTTCTTTTGATGATAAATGTGCGCCGTAGGTTCTTTTTCTTCATAAACCCATAAAATGAAGTCTTCTTTCTCCTTTTTTGTCCGCCGTCTTTCTGTTCCTTGCTGAATTACCCAAGCCAGCTAGCCAACAACTCCGAGTGAACGTTTGAATATGGCGAAAGGGGAAGGTGAGGTGGTGAGAGATTGTAGGTAGAGGTTGCGTAGGCTTCGGCCCTGATGTAGAGACACGACATGAGCAAAACGCAAGAAACAGAAGAGGACTTGCCCTCAGTAATGTCGAGCAAAAAGAAACAAAAAGAAAAAGCCATGCCAAAAAAAAGTTACTTAAAAAAAGAGAAAATTTTCCCCATGATTGTCGTCAAAATTACACGTTGAGCTCGCTTTCCCCGTACCAAGAAGATCCCATGTCCATTTTATTCCCTTAGTTCTTTTACTTTGAAACAGCAGCGTTGAGGACCTGTGTGCGGAAGAAGCCGCCCTTGGTCTTCTCAATGACCTGCTGGTAGACATTGTTGGGGGGATGGTTCATGATGACGGTGCCGTTTTGGGAGTCAATCTTGGCGTCGAGGCGGGTGTCGCGGATCAAGTTGACGATCCACTTCTCACCGTCGTCGGGGTTGAGGCCGAGCTTGGCGGAGAGGTCGCGGATGTTCATGCGGGAGAAGATCTTGCAGTAGCTCTCGCAGATGAGGTAGCGGGCAGCCTCGACAAAGGCGTCGGCGGTGGAAGCAAGGAAGAAGTCGGCGCGGCAGACCTCGGCGGCCTTGTGGAGGGCCTCGCGGGCAGCCTCGAAGTCGTGGTCGATGTAGAGGGCGCTAACAAATTGGGTGACGGGGTCGGCGTACTCGTAGGCCTCCTGGCGGACGTAGCGGACAATGTCCTTGAGCTGCTTCTGCTGGGTGGACGAGTTTCGCGAGCGGGTACGGCCGGTGATGACCGAGGCGATGAGGTAGCGCAGGACCCAGGGGCACGACGTCTGGATGGTGTTGATGTAGGCGGCAGAGAAGAACATGTCAAGGATAGGCTCGCGGGCCGCCTCCGAGTTAAAGAGGGGGAAGAGCGACCAGTGGATCAGCATGGTGCGGTGGTCGAGCTGGGCGCGCGGGTTGTTGAAGAGCTTGGTGTCGATGTTCTCGCGCACGTTCTTGAGCTCGTCAATAGCAGACTCCCAGTTGGCCGAGAGGATCTCCGAGGCCAGTTTGCCCCATGTCGAGGCAGACACCTTGTCGTTGTCGGTGGACAGGACACGGAACTGGTAGAGCATGTCGGCGGCAGGGCCGTACTGGCCGCATCGGAACTGAAACTGGCCAAAGTCGTAGAGGGCGTTGACCATCTCCATGGTGACCTATACCCAAAAGAATTAGTATAAAAGATATTCTCCACGTTAACCCATACGCATATATGCATATATATCACATATGACACATATCATATATATATATGCAGGGATAGATGCATTTCAGACGTACGCCATGCTCGTTCTTCAAAAACTCCAAGTTGGCAACCTTGTCGCTGCGCAGGCCGTTGATAACCTCGTCCTGGGTCAAGAGGTCGACAATCTTCTCCGTCTCCCTCTCGTACTTGTCGAGCTGGGCAAGCACATCTTGTCTCTTCTTGGTGTACTCGGCAGGAGGCTCAGCAACGCCGTGCAGCTCGGTGTAGAGGCTGGCGACGTAGTCGGTCATGTTGGTGTCCTCGAGCAGCTGGATCTTGCCAGCGAGGATCTTCTTGGCGAGCTCGGCATCGCCCTTGTCTTCGGCCTGGTCGCCTTCAAACTGGATCAAAGGGAAGAGGAGATGTCTGCTGAGGTGGGGGGCGATGTTGGAGAGGATAGAAGTACCGTCGGCCGAGACGGCGTTGATAGCGTCCTCCATGATTACGAAGCGGGTGGTTTCTGGCAGGAATCCGGGTGAGAGGGAGTTCCGGGTGGTGTTTGTCGTTCAAAAGGACCGAAGGGGGGTGGGCTGGCGAAGAGAGATCGTGACGGGGAGAATTCTCGCTGTATGGAGGGGCAACGCACACACAAACCACAATGGACACACAAAAATCCAGTTGTGTGTGGGGGCTTTTTTCGCGCCTGCCTGCCATTTGGGCCTCTCTTGCTGGTACCCGGGCTTTTTCCAGCACCATGCACGCTAACCGCTTTGGGCAATTTCTCTTGAGCGCGGGTCATGTGACCTGTAACTTTTTTGTTCGTAGCTGGAGTGTAGTACTAGCATTCGCAGGGGCAGCTTTTCGAACGACGTCGATAGTCCCTTTTTCAGCATCTCTCAACCTCTTCCAGGCTGCTGCAGTGCCATTTTTTTCTGCTTGTACGCTGTATAATATACCTCGTCATTGCCAATCCCATCGCATTGACCGCTTATAACCATCAACCACACCCTCACCACCCGTTTCTCGCCCGCACCCTCGCATCCATCTCGACATCATGAACTCGCTCCTTTCGCGGCCGCTCGCCGCAGCGCGCCAACCGGCCTTCCTTCCCCTCACGACCCTCCGCACGATCATGGTCCCCAATGCGGACCGCACAACGCCGTTCAAGATGCCCCCCAAGGACCCGCGAACATTCAAGCCGTACGCAAAGACATGGCCCGACCCTCGCCGCTCGCGCAAGCTCAACGCCAACAAGCCACTGTTCCAGCCGACGGAGCGCGACCCGTCCAAGTACCTTGCCCATCAGCGCCCTGCGACCCTGCACGCCACGGCATCGCGCGAAGAGCTGCTGTCCCGCGCCTTCATGGTCAACCGCACGCCGTGGGGCCAGCTGGCCGTGTACAAGACGGGCCGCGGCACAAAGGTGTATACCAAGATCCGCAAGGTCGAGGGCGACAAGAAGGCGTTTGTGAACCAAATATCAGAGGACCTTGCCATCAAGGCTGGCGAGATCTCGATAAACCCCGTCACGGGAAACATCCACGTCAAGGGCGTCCGCGTGCAGGAGATTTGCAACTGGCTCATGGACAAGGGCTACTAATCAGCGGCAAATAACGAACAATTTATCAAAAAAGCAAAATGGCATTGCATGGGATCTAGCATACACTTCCCTTTTTCTTTCTGTTTTCTTGGAGTTTCAAAGCAGAAACTTTTGTACAAATAGCTTAGTGGCGTTGAAGACGGCGCCGTGTACTATGTAAAACCAATCTATCAAGCATTCACAATCTATTACTCATCTGTCACCAAACCGTTGCTTCGACAGTCAGTGGGTTAAAACAGTCACGGTGAAATGTGGTAGCAGGAAGTTTGTAGAAATGGTATCATTATGTTTCCCTCCTTTCTAATCTTTGTTCTGTCTGCTTTCCCCCGGCTCCTATATACAAAAACCACGAGGCCACATAACAAGCCCAAATATCAAGAGCAAAAAGAAAAACAATAAACAAGTAAAGAGTCCGCGATAAATGGCAGTAAAAGACAAGCACAAAATACGCTCCAATGGCTTTGCTACCTCGTCTTTTCTGTCTGTCTCCCCTCCTCCCTTTCCAGTTATAATAAAACATGTTTTTTTGCTCCTACGGCGCTGCTTCTACTCCATCGGCAATGCGCGCGCCCAGTCCGTCGTCTTTCCTTGCTATCCAACAGAGGTAATAAAAAAAAGGTCCATTCGTAAAAAATAAGAGAAACAATACGTAAAATGCCCAGATGTGCGCCGTGGTGCAATGCCCCCATCAGTGAAACACGACACCTAGATGAGAGAGTTGCAAAGGAAACCCCTTGCCAAGAGGCACCGGGTATAAAAATACATGGCCATCATTGCAGGTTGCCTATTACCTGGCCATATTGACAATGGAGTTGAGCTGCTGCAGCATACCTTCCTTGGTCCACTCAGGCGACTGCAGAGTCAAGGCCTCCATGAGCGCCTTGGACGCGGGGAGGATGCTCTTTGGTATCGACTCCTCGGGGTGGTTGCGATCCCGCGCCTTCTCTGCCAACGTTCGTAGCAAAGTAACAGCAACGACAGAGAGGTAGACGAGCTCGGGATCCTTACGGAGCTGTGTGCCGCGAGGGGGTGGCGGGCCGCGGAGAGCCAGGTGAGGGTGTTCAAACATCTGGCTGAGCTCTTGTACGAGACGCGAGAGGTTTGCAGCGAGGCCGTTGCCAGGGGAGAGCCATGATCGCGCGACGCCGCTGTCAAAGCCAGGAGCCATGAAAGCTAGGATTTCGGCAGCAAGAAGGCCCTGCATGAGCATGGGCTTGCGCATTTCTACAAGAGACGGGTAGACCGGGGCTCGCATATGATCCTTGAACTTGTCTGGCAACGGTGAGACAGCAAGAGCAAATGTCTTGGTAAGCAGGTCATAGTTGCTTTCGCTGCCGCTTTCTAAGCCGAAGATAGTCTTATAAAAGCCACGGTTAGGCTCATCACGCGCAAGCAGCTTGGCTAAAGCGTCAATAGCGTGAGGGAGGTATGGGTGGTTAGCGGGCTCGTATGTTGTAAAGAGAAGCTCTCCAGCAACCATAGTAGGACCTGGCGACGGCGCAAAGGCCAAGATGAAGCTAAGAAGGCTCATGGCATGCTCCTTGCTCGACAGTTCAATCGAGCCAGCAATATTGGACAGGAGAATGATGACATCCTTCATAAAATCCAATGTGTTGTTATTGTTTCGTAGCAACATCGTTCGGGTTCCGAGGTATCGAATCAAGTCGCAAAGCAATTTCATCACGCCCTCGTCAGCAAGGATCAAGTGGTTTTCATTGCCTTCACCTGGGAAGGACATGTTTCGCAGAATGGTTGTGATGCAAATCAGGCGGTCGACAGCACGGTCCAACTCGTAGCCTTCTGTCCCAAATGAGGGCAAGTCTCGGACGGTCCAGCGGTCGATGCGGCACGACCTTGTAATATCTTCGTATGAAGTGAGCTGAATCTCGTCGGCAACTTCAGCTGCGTGCTCGGCAAGCTTCTCGAGCTGCTCCTCGGCAATATCAACAAGCGCTTCAACCAGGCCTTCGCAATAGCGCAGCTGAAGGAAGTGATGCTGGTTAAGAGAATTGGACAGTGAGCTCAACGTGTCAAGGGCCATGCGCACTTCGCTAGGAATACCGCACTCCAGTGACTTGGTGAGGGCTTGAATATCGATATTACCGAGGTCGTTCAGAGGAGGAACGTGTGGCTTCCATCTCTCAAGCTCCGCGCCCATGGCGTTAGTGGTACCAAGTTCCAGACCACCATAAGTCATGAGCTCTCGCAGGCATGGGAAATATTCTTCCGACTTGGGCGCAGGAGGTGGTCGAGCATCCTGAGGTGGCATGGCGCCAGGCTGGCCATCCATTCCCATCTGAGGCGGTCTCTGCATTGCAGGGGACTGCATTGCCGGATCATGGGACATGTTGGGATCCATCGGTCCACGGGAGATGCTTCCAGTATGACCATGCATTCCAGGCTGGGAAGGCTGCTGGCCGGGAGTAGCAAATCCATTCATCGGAGGCTGACCAGGCTTCATTGGTGTCTGCTGTTGGGGGTGTTGAGGGTGTTGGGGGTGTTGCTGCTGCTGTTGATGCTGTTGCTGTTGGAGCTGCTGTTGTTGTAGTTGCTGTTGCTGCTGCTGCATCATCTGCTGTTGTGCGAGCTGGTGCTGTGCTTGTGGTGATGGTTGAGGAGCTTGCTGAGGAGGCTGTTGTTGCTGCTGCTGCTGTTGCTGGGCCTGTTGTTGAGCCTGCTGTTGAGCCTGCTGTTGAGCCTGTTGCTGTTGCATCATCTGCTGCTGCTGACCAGGAGTCATCTGTCCCGGGTGCATTTGCTGGCCTGGCTGCATAGGCTTTTGAGGTGTACCCGGCTGGCTGCCAGCCTGCTGCTGCTGTTGCTGTTGCTGTTGCATCATGCGCTGTTTCTGCTGCGCAATCCAGACTTCCTCGAATTTGAGCAGGTTGCGCTCATAGATGGATCTGAGAGCGGCAGGGATCTGCGGGTGCTGCAGAGGCAGGCCAATAGCCTGCGCCATGTGCGGCCAGGCATTGTTGGCCGTGACAGCTTTGTAGCCGCCCTTGCTGCTTACCACCTGGAAGAGCATCATCAAATTAATGGGGCGCTCACCAATAGTAGGGTTTGGGTCGAAGGGCAGGCCGCGGGCCGCCATGAGAGCAGCGAGGTTCTTCATGAATTGTTCATTGTTCATGCCGCCAAGAGGGCGGCCTTGAGGACGCATGGCGCCAGGGGGCATCTGGCCATTGGGCATGCCGGGCATAGGCTGCTTGCCTTGCATCATACCACGACCCATGCCTTGCGCCTGCATCGCTTGCATTTGCATATTCTGCATATTGCCCTGGAGCTGCTGCTGGAGTCGCATCTGGTAGGCAGCCATCTTTTGCTGCTGCGCTTGCTGCTGGCCCTGAGGTCCTTGTTGCTGTTGCGCCTGTTGCTGCTGCTGTTGTGGTTGGCCTTGGCCCTGACCTTGCTGCTGTTGCGCCTGCTGTTGCTGAAGCTGGGCATACATATTGGGGTTCATGCCGGGCGGCAATTGTCCCAACTGCTGGTTCATCATCTGTGACGCAGCCATCGCATTGGGGTTGGGTGATGGGCGCGCACCTCCTGGAGGGGGTGCAAAGCCTTGATTATATCCCTGGGGCACGTTTTGCATGAACTGGTTCGGCTGCGGCGTTCCGTGGTCAGATGGCGCGGGGGAATTTTGGCCACCAAACTGCTGGCCGCCAGGAGAGAAGGGGTGAGGAGATGCGGTCGACACTCGCTGGGGGACACTGCCAGGCCGCATTTGGTTGCTCATATTGGGCGATGGGCTTGCATTGGCAGAGCCATTGGTCTGCAAGTGTGAGAACTGGCCTTGGCCCTGCTGGGCGGCGGCAAAGCCTTGCTGCTGCTGGGGGGTTTCGGAGCGCGAAGGCGGGAGCATGCCCTGGGCCTGGTGAGGCGAACCAGAGACGCTATCCTCGCGGGGGCGAGGTCGTTTCGATGGAATGACCGAGTTTGGTTGATAGATTGTGTTTTGGAAGGACGGGGAGGCGTGTCGCATAGCGTCGCCGCCCTGGACGCCAGCCATCTGTTGGGATGGTTGGGCTTGCTGCTGCTGCTGCTGTTGGTTGGCGAATTGGGCCGGGTTGATTTGGCCCTGGTTGACCATGAAAGCTGAGGGATCCATTATGGAATTGGGGTCGACTCCGTTTGCATTATTGTTGGCGATGGGATCGTTCATCCAAGTGCTCATGGCGTCGGGGAGTCGCGACGGGCAAAGGCTGTGCGTAGACAACGTCAGTAATCAATAGCGACGCGGCCAAGGACCCATTGAAGGGCACAGGGATGAAAGAAAGATGGAGCCGTCGCACGGCGAGGTGGGTGGTGATGGAACAAATTGGGCGAGTCGCGCGTCGCGGGTTTTGGTGGAGGGAAATGGGTGGGAAGGGTGGTGTGTGTGTTTTGGGTGGTGGGAAAATGGGCGAAAGCAGCGAGCAGTGGTGCCAGCAGCAGTGGGCGGCAGCTGGCTGGGCCCTGCTACAACAGTAGGGGGCGGCGCGCCGGCCGGCTGGTGGTTGGGTCAAGCAGCGCAAAAGGAGAAGCAGCGTGGCCGCAAGACGAGAGAGAGGAGAGAAAAAGACGGGTGAGTGTGGGAAACAGAGCAACAGCGTCCGCTCTAGCGGTAGCCGGCTAGCAAAAAAGAGCGAGAAAAATAATGAAAACAATAGGAGAGACAATTGAGAATGAATAAAAACCCCGACTTACACGGCTATCGCTTCTCAAAGGAGCGGTCGCCAAAGAATGGCCGCGTCTGCTGCGTAAAATTGGCGGCGCCGTGCGAAGAGTGGCGACGGCGGACTGTGTGTTCCAGGGGAGCGGTCCACCTAGCGGCTTGCGTGGGAAGCGTTGTAAGTCGCCTGCTGTAGCACAGTGCGTGCGCCTGGTCCGCAGGAGACAAAAGCGTAGACTGGCAAAGTCGACGCGTGCAGCGAAAGGAAAAGCGACGGGAGCGCAATGGCTGGCCACCACAAGCACAGGGCCGCTGGGCGGTAAAAGAAGCGATGAAAAATGAGCCGGAAAGCAAAGAAACAAAATGACGGGTCGTAGAGGTGGCTTGCGACGGCCGAGCAGCAGGTTCCAGCGAAACAAAGAATGCCCGCGAGATGAGGTGACCCTTTGGACAAGCTAAGGCGAGGCGCCGCGCGTTGAACTTTTTCGCAGCCCAGCGTTTCTGCGGCCAGACACGCGCTAAGCCTGTTGCGGGTGGGCCATTTTTTTTGGCTGGGTGTTCTGCTGGGTGCGTGCTGCTTCGTCATGGTCGTCTGTTAGAGAGATTGGTGTGTGCTGCGTGCAAATCACTAACAGATGGCCATGACGAAGCAGACAAGTGTCGACGTCGGCGTCGCACCACAAACAAAATCGAAGAATAAAAATCGCAAATCGCCCTCGAAGCCCGCTAATAGGCCCTCTGGATGTCGTAAATACCCGTCAAGCTTCATTAGCGGCCGTTGCAGCAGAGGCCATCCTCCCGCCCAGTGGCAAGGCGAGCAAGCCCCATTTCCCGCTATCCCGCAAGCCCGCCGAAATGGCTTTAATTGGTGCTGCCGAGGCGGCGCATGGCGGACCTGAGTCGGCCCATTGTTTCTTCTTGTCGAAATTGGTCCCTTTCTTCAAATGACGAGCAAAAAGAATATGGAAACGTCTTCCCCTTTGCCCTCCACTTTATAGTCAAAATGGCACACGCAGACGTTTGCTGGACTGGTGCTGGTGCTCGGCGTTTGCCCGACATGATGTGCTGCAACAGGCCGCAACAGCAGATCCAAAACACATCGACAACACACTCGTCTGGAATAGAAAGCCAATTGCCCGGCGCCCCTCGTCGGTTCTATCCTTCAACCGAACATGAACCCCACCCTGGTCTTTGGGAGCGTCCAAGCAAAGCCCATCATTCATCATCCTGCAGCCCCAGATGACGGTGTGATGGTGGCGGCCTGCTTGTGTGTGAGCCATCCGCCAACCACAGGACCAAACTTTTTTTCGCCCACCAACATAGCCACTCTCCAAAGGAAAAATGCCCCGAGATGGCAGCAGTACTTTCAGCTTCCAATCCCCTTTCGCCAAGTAAAGAAAAACGCTCTTTTCGGGGGATCCAGCAACTGGCGGATGGGGGCCCTTTGGGGATGGGATGTTACGCTGGCCCCCCCAATCTTGATCCCTGCACCATGCACGCCCTCGTGGCCCCAAGCCTTTCCCAGACGGTGCGTGCCCCGGGTTCTCGATTTCTGCTCGCTCAAGTTTTTTCTGCTTTCTGAGCGCTGTCGTTGTTTGTCTTCAAGCTGTGTGTCTGGATTTTCGCTTTGGCGTTTTTCCGTCTTTTTAAGAAGTCGTCGTGATCCTCGTAGTGCTAGAGACTGCTGCTGGTACTGTCCTAGACAGCCCGCGCCTCCACGCCCATTTCATCCCATGGCGCCTGTAAGTGTGCCGAGTGAGCCGCAGCACACCAAACCGAGAAAAGCGAAAAGAAAAGCAAGTCGTCAGAAGAATCAAATGAATAAAAACAAAGGTAACAGTAAACGATAGAAAAAGAAAACAGGTTCGGGCGGGGGAAGGGGGGGAGGGAGATTTAGTTATACGTGAGCAGCGCCAAAAGATTGGACACAGGCGGGCTGACCATAACTGGCCGCTCCCATTGCTGGGCGTCTGGCGAATCCACCCTCTCTGTGACTCCTGGTTATGCAATACCGGAAATTGTATTTTACTTGGTCGTTTCCTTTTTCTCTATTCCAACTCTTTCTTTCTCTGAGCACCAAAGTTGCCCTCGTTTTCTCGCAGTCTTCCATCGGGCTTTCGGACAGGTACAGGCACACCCGCCCGCTAGCCAGCGCAGCGGCCTGAATCGCTGTAGCAAATCTCCACTGGGCACCCACCGCGCCGCCGCCGCTGCAGCCCTGCTTGGCCCAGGAAGGGTTGGTTGTTTGAATGTGCTGTGGTCACCATTGCGCTTTTAAACTTCCAGTGGAATGTCACCTGTCAAAGTTTACGAGAGAAAACGATTGTTGAGTTGGCTATTTATTTAATTTTCTCTTTTGGCAGTTGCATATGAATACACACAGTCCTGATGCCTGTCGCCACCCGTCCACGAAGACGATCTGACCTGTAGCTTGTCAGAGCAAGCACACTGCTGCTGCAGCCGCATGACAAACGGACCAAGTTTAGATGCTAGGTTAGTGGCGAGCAAGCCCGAGGCTTTATTTGTTGCAACAGTCTCGGTAAGGGGTTTAGGTAATGCAACGCTTCATTATTCTATCAATGGAGAAATATGTACAAATGACGGAATGAAATAGGTTCTTTACAAGTCCCCGCAGTGCTTCTTTCGCAGATACTCCAATACAGCGCGGACGTCCTCATCCAGGCCATCCCACTTGAGCTGCTCGTCCATCCAGGCAGCCGTCTTGCGCTTGAGGCCAGCCTTGTCCTCCGTCTCCGCCATGTACTTTTCCAGCAGCGGCACGACCTGCTGCAGACGTCGCGGGTACTCTGCCGTGCCTGGGGCGACGCCCAGAATAGGCGCCTGGATGTGGCAGCTGCATGTAGCAGCCGCCTTGGGAAAGGCTGTCGTCAGAGCGTCCAGGACGTGCTGCGATATGCGAGCATGCGACGATACCTCAGTAAAGGACATGAACATGAGGTAGAACTGCTCGGCAACATCTGCCTTGAAGAAGGACTGTTTGCGAGAAATTTCGAAAATAGCCATGGGGATGGCGCCGTCCATGGCCGGGTTGGACGCCAGCTGTTTTGAGTCCTGCTTATCAATGACCTTGGCCTGGGCCGCCGACGGCTCAGGCAGAATCATGCCGTTGTCGTCTTCGTCGTCGTCACTGTCGCCCATGATGATTTCGTCATCGTCCTCAATCTTCTTGACCTTCTTCTTGTCTTCGCGGCCCTTCTTCTTCTCCATCTTGTCCAGCCACTGCATCTCGGAGCGAGCGTACTCGATCCACAGCTTGCACTCCTTGGTGCAGAAGCGGCAGCCGCGCATGAAGAAGCCGCGGGCAGCAGCCATGTCGCCGTTCTTGGCCGATCGCGCGCCGGCCATGATCCAGAGGTCGGCGTCGGTAGGCATCATGCGCAGGGCGTTGGTCATGGTCTTACGCCAGCGCTTCGATGCCTTGATCTCGGCTGTGTAGTGTAGATATTCGCGCCATAGCTCGCTGCTTCCAGGGTGTCGCCCGACGGCTCGCTCGTAGATTCCTAGGACTCGGCCTTGGCCAGCATGCGCCGAGTTGAGATGTCGGATCTTGAGGCGCACGCATCGCTTACTGCGGAGAGCCTCGAGAGATCTCTCCCATTGGGCATAGGTGGACCATTCGTAGGCTGTGTTTCCACGAGCAAGGACTTTGTGTTCGAAATCGTTTCGTTTTTGGACAAGAGTACGAATTTCCTCCTGATATACCAAGTTAGCTGCTGTTCGTACAGTCTGAAAGAGTGGTCACGAACCTTGGAAAAGATGTCCTTTTCTTCCCATTCACGGAGCTGAGGAACTGAGCGTTCGAGATAGAATCTCGCCTTTTCAGCAACGCCAGCCATTGTTAATTATCGGCTCTGCTACCCGTAGTGAATCGTTTGCTTTTGCTGTCTAGTACTGGGCTCAAAAAGAAAAGTCGGCATCTACCCTGCCGCTATAACTTTTTTTCGGCCGCCCAAGTTTTAGCGGGGCCGACTCGTCGAATTGGATGTGCACTGTGGCTTGTGAATATTTTGCTGCGCCACAGTGTCTTTGCTAACGGCCACAGGGCGTCTGATTCCCCCTGACAGCTGCTGGAGGTCCCCACAACACGAGCGGATGCAGGGGGGAGCAACCAGGTGTGGCGCCCCGTAGCTCCCGAGGCTGTATGGTATGGCGATGGTAGAAAAATAGCTGGCCTTTATTTCCATCCCCCGTCCCCTCCGTCTTTCTCATCCCTCCCCCTCGCCATTTCCATCAACACGTTCTTTTTTTGTCGTTTTCTTCCAACACTTCTCACCGACCACTGGTCCTATTGCGTCTCGGTTCTGCCGGACTGGATTGAGGGCATAGTTGACCCCCTCCCTTCGTTTTCTTTTCTTCCCTGCTTGCCGCAATGGCCGGTCCTAAATACAAGGACAAGGACGGCGGCGTTCTACTGACGTTTAATGGTCAGTGGGTCAGCTGGCTGCACACAATCATTGCTTATTGTAAGAAAAAGGACTCTATCAAGTAGAATTGGTGACGTGTTTTGCTAATTGCCATGCGCAGCGGCCTTCATCAGCGCGCTCATCGTTGGCGTGTCCCTCCACTACCACAAGATTGTCGAGAATGAGTTCTACGGCTATCCCCAGGAGTGGTTCCCCTCGGTTTCTGCGACAATTGGCGATCGATACCCCGAGCGATCCTTCTTCATGATCTTCATTGCTATCACTTCTGGTTAGACGCGATTCTTGATTGGGTACAACAGGTCTGTTTAGTGCTAACCGCGTGCTAGGTCCCCGATTCGCCCTGGTTGGCCTCTTTTACTTGCTCACGCGCAAGCCCGGATCTAAGCTTCCTGGCTTTGTCGCGACTATGGGCTTCCTCCGCACTCTGACTTGCGGCGGCTGGACGTACATCACCTCTACCGACGACCATGACTGGCACGACATCCTCATGATTTCCTACATTGTGGCAACCATTCCCTGGACCACTGGCTGCATCGCTCTGAGCCCCGCCAACCCTACCGCTATCAAGTACCGCAAGTACCTTGCAAGCGCCTTTTTCGGAACGCTGGTGCCGCTCATTTACTTCTTCATTCAGCACAAGGTCCACCGCGTGGCTGGAGGTGAGATTGACAACTGTCGAGAAGACAAGAGACTGTGAAGCTAACGAAAGCAGCCTACACCATTTACGCTTTCTTCGAGTGGGCGCTAATTCTCTTCGACGTTGGTTTTGACGCCGTCACCGCCCTCGACTTTGACGCCTGCGAGATTAGCATCAAAGACACCAAGGGTATTAGCAAGGGGTACGTCCGATGGCTGCCGTTTTAGAACTGGTTGCTGGTGCATTCCAATGTCCACATGCACACTCGTTCTTGTGAGTCTCTCTCTAAACATTCTCTTGCAGCGTTAGCCAAGCAGCCGTGCCCTCTGCCGTTTTGGAGAAGGAGTAAGTTTGCCTGCAGGTTGGGAGTGACTTTGAAAGCTAATATGTTTGACCCCAACTGCAGGAAGGAGGCTGCTGCTGCCGGCGGTGCCCTCTCTATTCGATTCACCTGGTCTGAGGCCTTTGACACTGCCGCTGATGTCTACCATGGCGTACGTATTGCTGGTGTGACTTGGAGGAGAAGTAGACGCAATGCTAACAAGTGATGTAGTTTGTCTTTTGGTCCATGCTTACCTCTCTTGGTCTCCTCGTCTGGTGTAAGTGTTATCTGGTTGATGCACATTTGTTTTTCTAACGCTTTTGTCAGTCTTCCCTCTCTGGCACATGGGCATTTCCGGCTACGAAGCCTTTGTCATGTCCACCATTTCTCCTCTCTTCTTGGGCTTTGGGCCTCTGCGCTCGTTTGTTGTACACAACCTGCGCCTCGTCCATCTTCTGTCTCTTGCTGGTGTGGCCGCCTACCTTGTGCACGACCCTGTCCTTCGACTATGCACCGTCGGTTTTGGTGTCTCCATGTCCGCTCTCGGCTGGGCGGGTACACTTCACTCCGAGGCCGTCCACGTGGCGCGCTTTGAGAGTAAGGTCCTCGCTTTGATTGTCGGTCTCATCATGTCGTCGACGGCCAAGTTTGCATGGCACACCAACAACCCCATCTGGCCCGTCATGCACGCTGCCAATGGCGGCTGGAACGGCACCGGTCTTGTCCTCGGTCTCATTGCGGCGTTCCGCTTCGCCCGCCGCGCTCCTCTGACCGCCAACAGCGAAATTGCTTCCGACGGCCCAGCTGGATCGTCTCTGCTCGCCGCCCTGGGTCTTGGTGGTCTGTTCTTTGGTCTGCACTCCCTCTTGTCTGATACTTCGACCATGATCCTCTGGGTCTGGGAAGGCTTTCCCATCCGCGGCCCGTACTTTTCTACCCACGGCTGGTTCACCATTGCTGCCATGTCTGCTGGTGTCTTCATCGGTCTTGCCAAGCCCAACGTTGCTGCCAGCTGGTCCTCGCTCTTTACTGGTACCGTCGGCGCCATGGTCGTAACCTACTACAGCCATTGGTTCGGCTACTACGGTGGTCTCCTAATCGCCACGTACCTCTCGGCCGTCTCTGTTCCTCTCATCAGCTCCGCCTGCCGAAAGAACCCTGGCGTCACCTTTGGTCTGGGATTCTTGTTCTACAACTTTATGGTTCTGTTCCATGTCTGGGTTGTGGCGTATGCCTTTGTCCCTGGTGGTCCTCTTGTCCGTGAGCACACTGACTGGGTTATGATATCGATGATGGTCCTTCTGGGCTTTGGTGTGCTCGGATACAACACCTCTACCATCAAGTCGACTCCTCGCCGATCGGGAGGTTCGCAGCACCGCAAGTACTTTGGTGCCGCCACTGCCATTATCAATGTGCTGTTCCTGTGCAATGCCTTTATGCGCTTCCCCACCAACGACTACAAGCCGTACCACCCCGAAGACCGCGTGCTTACTGCGGGTATCTGGACGATTCACTTTTCCATTGACAACGACATGTGGTCGTCTGAGTACCGCATGCGCGACCTGATTAAGGAGCTGGAGGTGGATGTGATCGGCCTCTTGGAGTCTGACTTGCAGCGCATCATCATGGGCAACCGTGATACGACGCAGTTCTTGGCCGAGGATTTGGGCATGTACGTCGACTATGGACCTGGCCCCGACAAGCACACATGGGGTGCTGCTCTGCTGTCCAAGTTCCCGATTGTGGAGTCGAAGCACCACCTGCTTCCCAGCCCTGTCGGCGAACTTGCCCCTGCGATCCACGCCACGCTCGATGTCTACGGCGAGCTGATTGACGTGTTTGTCTTCCACTCTGGACAGGAGGAGGATCCCGAGGATCGCCGCCTGCAGTCGGAGTACCTATCGAAGCTGATGGGCTCTACGCCCCGCCCCGCCGTGTTGCTGAGCTACCTGGTGACGAAGCCTCTGGAGGGCAACTACAACACGTACGTGAGCGAGACGTCTGGTATGCACGATGTTGATCCTTCGGACTGGGACCGCTGGTGCGAGTACATCCTGTTTAAGCGCCTTAAGCGCGTTGGATATGCGCGCGTGAGTCGCAGCACGATTACCGATACGGAGCTGCAGGTGGCCAAGTTTGTGATCCCCCAGTCAGCTGGCGAGATTCAGCAGCTAGAGGCGCAGTCTGCCGACGAGCGCAACCGCCGCGTGGAGGAGCACTCGGTGCCCGTCGGCTGGCGCTTCCCGGCCATGTTCCGAGGCGAGGGTGTGCGCGACCACCGATACCATGTGTTTAACGAGCCTCGCTACTACAACTAGGCCCTCTCAACTGCTTTTTAGAAGTAGGTGATGTAGAATACTATGTATTTTAATACTGTAGTTGTCTTGAATTAAAATAATGGAAAGTTGAATAACCCTGTCTCTCTCGTCTGATGATGCATGTACCTTGTAGGGTTGTGCCGAGCAGCGCCATATGCGTACGACAGGCCAGCCATCACCACCATAACCTTGAGGGCCGTCTACTTTCAACACCACCACTACCTCATAAATCGGAATCATTTTGCGCCCCAAAACACACTATTTGATCAGCCACCTAAACCTTATCTACAATTTCCATCTTTATATTTATTACCCCTTATCTACCCTCTTTCCCCCATCGCCATCATCACCGGTCCCCCAGTGCAGGGTAAAAGAGAGCCAAATCGGACTTTTCGCGTTTGAGGGCTCCGAAAGTGGGGCCGCGCGCAAACCCCCAAAACTGGGGCACATCCGTCCGGGGCGGCGGCGTCAGAAAGCTAAAAAACTGGCTGCCAATTGGTCATGCGCCCAGCCAGCAACAAACGGCTGCCGAAGGAAGCTAAGACGTAGCGGAACGGGCGCGGAATGGGCGGCTTAAGAAAGCCATTCTTCTGTATGTTCATCCGGGTGGCATTTTGTTTTTTGTGTTTTTGACTTTTATGGCGGACGTCATGCGACGGATTTACTTGGCTGGATGATGACGACGGTAATGGCTAACTGAGCTGGCTTAGCTACGGGTGACGTTTACAGTGGGATGCTGGGCTGGAACGGTACGGTGGTTGTGGTGACTGGGCTGCATGCATCTGAATCGTGGTGTATATACTGTTATGCAAACTCGCGTCAGTGTAATTCTGGTTTTCTTTTTTAATTTTTTACTTTAATCTCATTAGTTTCGCCTCTGTTCCTGGACGGCAATGTTTAGTGTTGCTGCTTGCATTTGAGACAAAGCCCGGCTTTTAGTGGGTAGCCACGGGGGGCACACGGCTTTGCAGGCGCATTGTGCCGCATCCAGCCGGCTAAAAGAGCGAATCAGCGGCGTTGAGTTTGTCAAGAATGTGACGTCTTGGTGTCTTTTGCACGGCTTTTCTTATTCCTTTGCGGAGAGAAGACCAAAACTTGTTGCTTTCGGTGCGCGAGTCCCCGAGCCGCCGTTTTCTTCAAGAAGCCCTTTTTTTCCCTCCCCTTTGGTGCAAGTCTCTACTTTCTCTTCACACCCTTTGTCTCTTTTTGTCAAGTTCAACTTCACCACAGTTGAACAAACAAACAAGAAAATAAACATGGCTTCTACCATTGCCCAGGTCGGCACCTATGCCGGCCTTGCTGTAGCTGCCGCTTTTGCCTACGTGAGTATTTCGCTGCCCCGGATTCCATACGAGCTGCCTGCCTGCCTTCCCTCTTCGGCTTAAGCCGCCATCCCCAGCTTTTTTTCTGTGTCAAGATCGCGATCCGCGCCCGGCAGACAGAAAGAGGAAGCTGGCTGGCTGGCTGGCTCGCTTACAGAAATAAAAAGAAATAAATAACTAACTACTCGGTGCCAATATACAGACTGCCCTCCTCATCGTCTACCGCGTCTTCTTCCACCCGCTCGCCAAGTACCCCGGCCCCTTCCTGGCCAAGATCACCGATGCCTACCAGCTCTACCACGCCTACAAGGGCGACCGCCACCTTGAGTTCTGGCGCATGCACCAAAAGTACGGCAAGGTTGTCCGCTTCGGCCCCAACTGCGTCTCCTTCAACTCCAACACGGCCCTCAAGGAAATCTACGGCTTCAAGTCCAATGTCCGCAAGTCCGAGTTCTACGATGCCTTTGCCCACCCCGTCGCAAACACCCACAACACCCGCGACAAGGAGGTCCACGCCCGCAAGCGCCGCGTCTTGTCGCATGCCTTTTCGGAGTCGGCCATGAAGGAGATGCAGCGCTACATCCTTGCCAATGTCCGCACCTTTTGCCAGCAGATTGGTCTCGCTGACGGTGATGCTGACTCCAAGGGCTGGTCTAAGCCTCGCAACATGGCTGACTGGTGCAACTACCTGGCTATGGATATTCTTGGTGATCTCTCCTTTGGTAAGGCCTTCCACATGCTCGAGCAGCCCGATAACCGCTTTGCTCTGGAGCTCGTTGAGGCTGCCACCACCAGACATCTCATTGTGAGTTTTTTCGCATCTTCACTCATCTTGTCATCTTTTTGACTAACACCTCCTGCGTAGTGCGGAACCATGCCCATTGTTGACAAGCTCGGCATCGACAAGTACCTCTTCCCCAACCTCGCTGCCGGCCGCGCCCGCTACATGAAGTACTCCAAGGGCCAGCTCACTGAGCGCACCAAGCTCGGCGAGGAGACTGACCGCCGCGACTTCTTCTACTACCTGCTCAAGGCCCGCGACCCGGAAACCGGCCAGGGCTTCAGCACTCCCGAACTCTGGGCCGAATCTAACCTTCTGTATGTTTTCTCTCTAGTTTCCAAAATCGGGCTAATCTAACACTTTTTGTTTTAATAGCATCATTGCTGGTTCCGACACCACCTCCACCGCCATGGCCGCCACCCTCTTCTACCTCGTCCGCAACCCCCACGCTCTGCAAAAGGTCACCGAAGAGGTCCGATCCAAGTTTGCCGATGTCGAACAGATTGTCCACGGCCCTGCCCTCGGCGGCCTGACCTACCTCCGCGCCTGTGTCGATGAGGCTATGCGCATGAGTCCTTCTGTTGGTGGCATTCTGCCCCGTGAAGTTATGGCTGGCGGCATGACCATTGACGGCCACAAGATCCCCGCTGGCACCGTCGTTGGCACCCCTCACTACACCATCCACCACAACGAGGAGTACTACCCCTCTCCCTACAGCTACGTCCCTGAGCGCTGGCTCGCCGGTTCCAAGAACCCTCTCAACGGCACCGAAATCACACAGGACGACGTCTCCCGCTCTGCTTCTGCTTTCTGCCCCTTCAGCATTGGTCCCCGTGGCTGCATTGGTAAGGGTCTTGCTTACGTCGAGATGACTTCCACCATTGCCCGCACCCTCTTCCTCTACGATATCCGCAAGGCTACCGGCGCCATTGACCCCAGCGAGGGCCACCCCAGCTTGGAATGGGGCCGCCAGCGTCCTGAGGAGTTCCAGCTCGTCGATACTTTCACTAGTGCCAAGACTGGTCCTCTTCTTGAGTTCCGCAAGGCTGAGCGTGATTAAAAAAACATTTCGAACCAGAGTTTGTTTGGGAAACTGGAGTTAATACGGTTGGCGCATTCGTCGCCTTTGTCACGGTGCTATCAAACAGCCGCTCACCCTGTAAATAATGAGTAACGATCATGGCATAATATAAAAAATGTGATAAAAATGAAAACGATGGAGAAAAATAATTGTAATTTTGGTGATGTAAATGTACGGATTTGAAATTTATGAAGAACGACTGTCAATGTGTCCAGTTGACAACTGACAGCTGACGGCTGGTGGCACACTCAAACTGCACTCATCTGGTGGTGTGGGGTTGAGATAGATCCCTTTCTGTACCAAGCCAACTTTTCTTTTCCCTGCATCGACCTCGCGCCAGCTCAACCGCGTTCCGCCCTCCACGCCGCACCAGCGAAAACTCAAAGACTAACGCGGTACCAATCAATTAAACCAGAAGTCCTCGATTTACTGCGAATTATTAAACCTCAGGCAACAGCTTGGGCCAAGCGCAGCAGCAACGGTTCGAATCGCCGACGACCTGGCGCGACCAGCCCAGCATGGCCATCTGCAAGTTCTTCCAGCAGGGCAATTGCAAATTTGGCAGTACGTTTTGAAAAAAATCGAGATGTGCTACCTGCGACGCTGCAATATGCCGCGTTATTGTCGCTGCAGCGCCGCAGGACTCGGTTCGCAATCTACGAGGACCTGCGTTTGCTAACGACGGTACAGATTCCTGCCGCTTCGAACACCCAACCAACCAATCCTCGAATCGATTCGGCGCTCTAGGAAACAATAATAATGCCCCGCGTGGTCTAGGTACGGACTGACCCCAAGTCGTGGCTAAAACGAGCTCGCAGGTAGCTAACCATGCACAGAGAAATACAACATCAAGATTGATGCCATCACGGCCGATTTGACGACAGAAACACCCCAGTGGATTCTCTCTGCATATGCCCCCGGCAAAGATGCGCCAGATCAGCTGTTTGGCGGCTCAACGCGCGAACAGAGCTTTGAGGAGCTACGTCTGCACTACATGACAGGCAAGGCAGCAGGGCGCGAGCAAGAGGCAGTACGTACACAGGCTACAGTAATATGAGAAACATAGAAGGCTAACTGGGAGTAGCTCGCTGAGGCACAGAAGCTCTATCAAGATGCACAGCAGCAGATGCAGACGGTGCTGCGCAATGTCAACGAGGCAGCGCAGTATGTGTTGGACGGCGAGAACAGACACCCCAACCGTCACGACGTCTGCCAACAAGGCACCCAGGGCGCGCCATTTGGAGAATTCGAGGTTGGAAAGCGCTCGAAGAACATATACGATGGCCAGCAGCAGTCGAATAATCCGTTTGGCTCAAACAATAATAGTAGCCCAGCCAACCCGTTTGGCCAACCGTCACAACCCGCAACCTCCTCACCTTTCGGTCAACCTTCACAGCCTACATCCTCACCTTTTGGACAGCCCTCGCAACCGACAACATCTGCATTTGGTCAACCATCTGCTCTCGGCGCAAAGCCTAATCCCTTTGGTGCTCCAGCATTCGGCCAGCCTGCACAGCCAGCCGCACAATCTTCATCTCCCTTTGGAGGGTCGTCAACAACAGCAGCCAGCTCATTTGGCCAGCCCTCTACCACATCAGCATTCGGCCAAACTAGCACACTAGGCGCGAAACCCAATCCCTTTGGCGCGCCGGCCTTTGGACAAGCTGCCCAGCCGCAGCAGCAAACGACCAGTGCGTTCGGCCAGGCCAGTCAACTCGGAGCGAAGCCGAGCCCATTCGGATCTTCGAGTACACCATCCGCCAGCCCATTCGGCAGCAACACCACCGCCAACAACAATCCTCCCGCCGCAAACCCCTTTGGCTCCAATACTTCCTCTGCTAGCCCCTTTGGCGCTGCCTCTAACCCTCCTGCCAACAACAACAACCCGTTTAGCAGCACACCCAGCAACCCTCCCGCAGCCGCGAATCCCTTTGGAAGCGCCCAACCAGCAACTCCAAGCCCCTTTGGCCAGCCATCAACAGCGCCGGCCGCCAATCCATTCGGAAGTGCCCCTGCAGCCGCCGCCAACCCCTTCTCCAGCACGCCCGCTGTCAAGAACAATGCTGGCAACCCCTTCTCCAACACACCCGCTGCAAACCCGTTCTCATCAGGGCCACCTCCTGCGGCACCCAAGCCCCTGCAGAACCCGTACGCGCCGGACAGCGCTAAGCAGCATCCTGCCTTTGATTCGTACGCTAGCCGCAACATGGACGGCACGCTAGCCGCGTTCAAGGGCAAGGCTGTGTCGTACAAGGATGGTAAGCCGGGCATTCGGCAGTTTGACGGGACCTGGGCCAAGATTTGGTTCCCGGACGGCCCGCCGGCGTTCTACAAGGACACGGAGATGCCGCCGGATGCGTATGGCGAGAAAGATAAAGAGCAGTGGAATAAGTTTATGACTACGGGGACGTTTGAGGGCGGGATGCCAGCCCTGCCACCGCCGCGCGAGTGCACGCAGTGGGACTTTTAAGATGATTATGTATGTGCATTGTTTTATTTTTCTATAGAGATAAACTATATAAACAACATCTTGCATTCTATTCTGATTATTTGCGTGGATGTACTCATCGCTTTTTGAATATTTACTAGAGAATTGCTTTACTTGGACGTAGCCCAGCCAATGCGAGGCTGCTTACCATCGTCCTCGAAGATGACAAGGGAGCTAAACATGGCGGGAGAGCCAAAGATGGCTTTCGCGCCGCCGTCAAGAACCTTGAGTCTGCAAAACGTGCCTTGCTTGTCGCGCAAGTGCTCACCAGCAATCTTGATCTTGGCGCTGCCAAGACCAAAATAAAAGTCGGGAAACTTGGTGGTGCAATCTGTGGTGGAGCCGGTGATGGCCTTGGTGTAGGCCTTGTAGACGTCCATAGGGAGGGTGAGAACGTTGGAGCCAGTGTTGACGAATCCAGTGACGGTGGTCTTGACAAAGTCGCCAGTGCCAATGGCGTACCCAGTCGAGTTCATGGTCCACGAGCCGGTGACCGAGTCGACGTTGGTGTAGGTGATGTCACCGGTGTAAAGAGCGGTATCGATAAAGCCGAAGCCAAAGGTGCCGTCTAGCAGATTGTCTGTGTTAGTAACGAATGCAGAGAGAAGATGGGCAGGAAACACATACCACCAGCTGCGTGCTTGAGGTCGGCGGTGAAGACTGGCTTCTTCAGGTTGCTCTTAATGTTGGAGAAGAAGGTCTTTTGCTTGGTAGGCTTGACAATGTTGCGCTTGTCAAAGGCAAAGCCAATGATGCCGGAAACAGGAAACTGAAAGTAGCCTGCGGCACCGGGATTGGAAGCTTCAGTCGCAGGCTGAACGGCCTGACTGGTCATGGAGACGCCGCCGACAGAGACGGCGTCCGTGTAGACGGTACCGCTAGCACCGGAGCCGGCTCCGTCGACGTAGTGGTCCTTCCAGGTGGCGCCGTCGACGAGTTTGGCGCTGCTGCTGGCGGTATGGTTCCAGCGAGTCGACTTGGCATCAAGAGTACTACCTGTCGTCTCAGGTGTGGTGTGAAGACCCAGAGGTTGCTGAAGCCGGTGTCAAAGAGCAAATTCATCTTCTGGGGCGGCGTGCCAATGTTGACCTCGGCGTAGTACTCGCCATCAACGTACACAGTGCTATCGCGAGCAGTGGTAGAGCCACTAACCCCACCGCGGGCCGCAAGTGAGCCAATCTTGGCAGCAGGGATGTATCTGGCGTTGAGGGTGAACTCGTGGAAGGTGTCTGGAGAGGGGACAACGACGGCCCTGGCCAGAGAGGCACAGGCCAGGACAGAGGAAAGAGAAGGCATCGTGAACGGAGAGATGTCTAGATGTAAGATACTGGGATATGCACCTATAGCAGTCAGAGATGAACACTAAATAAAGGAATCTACAAGGTACGACCTACGGGGCTTTTATAAATCTCAGTGACCACCAGACAGATCATTGGGAGTCAAGATGCGGCCCATTCAGGGTATAGCGCCATTGCCGCGCCGACTCGAATAGTTGGAGCATGACTCTAATCTGATGAGCCAAATAGACGGACAAGGTGCTTATTGGCTCTCTCCGTATCTGTATGGATCGTCTCCATGGTCATGGATCCTGGTATGAGGGACGATTCAAGCCTCGATTGGCCATCGCCGTCCGACCACGTGGGGTTCATTGTGAAAATTTCCACCGTGTTGGAGTCTTCGCCAAGTCAAGTCTCGACTCGGTAGAGCTTTTCTGGACATGAATATGAGCTTGATGGCGACCTTGCCCTTTTGGGCGAGCGTAGGAGCAGCGAAGGAGCAGTGTAGGAGGAGCCATCTCCACTGTGAGGACGCGAGTCGCCGAACACATTGGGTGTTTCTCCTGTAAAATATCGATTTGTGAGTTTTTTGTTATAATGGGGTTGAAGGGAGCCAGTTCGTTCTTATCGGTTCCTGGCTACATTAGCTTGAGGGAATAGGCCGGACCATCTAGGCCATTCGATAACTTAGCGGCGGCGCTAGTTAAATAGGGTACAAAATATAAGCTAACTTGGTGAAGGTTTGAAAACAATGGGCCGCCTGACAGGTTGCCAGCTGGCAGAGCAGCACGAGGCAGTGCCCTGGCAGGTTTGCAGGTTTGCAGTTTTATGTTTTGTTTTATTTTTATGCATCTGTCGAGTTGGAATTGGCCTATACTACGATAGTCAATGGTATTGGTTCATTGTGCGCTGTGTATTCCAAGAGATCTTGCTGAACGTTGCGCTGCCCTCTAGCAAAAAGCCGTCACTCTATTTAGTGGTTTCTTAGGCCGGCTTCATGAATCGCGAGTCACAGCAGGATGTTTAGAGTTTAACTAAAATGCTGAGCCTGCACAATACACCATTGCATATGTGAAATATTTTTATGCAGAGTTGAGCATCATTTATTGACGTAGTATGGAATTATGCCAGGATCCTGTGAGCATCGGTGGCTGTCGATGCAACCGCCGATTGCTGCAGGGTTGTTGCACGCGCTGTATTACAGTGCTGCAGGCACGCTGTAACACTTTCTTTTTGTAGGGCTGCAGCGGATCACTTTGGCTGGCCCGTGTGCCTTAAAATCAAGTCTGCTATAACACCACCACCACCACGACGGCGAACACCATCACCCGTCACCTAACCCAGATCTCGAAAAGAACAATGCAACGCCATCCGACCGCGTTAAACAATAGCCACAAAAACACTCTCCCGCCCTTTACGCCAACGGACCACAACGTCAGCCCTCCCAGGCACCGCTGTGTGGTAGGCACATGCTTGCCCTCCCCCGCACGCCTCATGAATTCCCCCGACCCTCCGTTCAACCCCGCGCCACCAACCCTCGGCTAATCCGAAAGAAACACTACCCACCAACGCCTCGATGACAGCCCAGATCCACATAGCGCCTGTAATCTGGGGGAAGCGAGAACAAACAAGGTCACGGAAATTTCACATGTGAATTCTCCCTGTAATACAAAAGCAAAATGCATCCCTACCTCTCCTTGTTCAAGCTGCTCCCATTATCAGCATCACCATTGTCATCACATCGACCGCCATCATGGGCCGCGCCCAAGAACACAACCCCCATTCCATGACCTCGACTTGGCCACTAGCCGACAAGAGCACATGGAATGGATACCAGCGCTTCATCGACTACCTCAACGTCTACCCCATCCTGCCCGGCAAGCCGGTGCCTGTCTTCAAAAAGACAGACAAGATGCCTTATCTCTCGTCCTGGTCGCAACACCTCTTCATCATCTTCTTTGCCGCCCTGCCACTGCTCTTCCACCAAGGCTGGGCACACTTTACAGGCTCCAATCTCGGAAAGTTTGGCGTCTTCAATCTCTACAACTTGTCCTACATCCTCATTGCGGTCCGCGAAGTCCGCATGCTCCGCAAATTGACATATAAATACGGCTGCCTCGACGGCGACGAGCACGAACGAGACGGCATCCCCAACACGGGCGCCGGCAAGATTGTCGGCGAGATGCACAAGACAGCAGGCTTCCGTCTTGCCATGGCCGCCATTGTCACATACAACCCAGCCCTGACACCGCTCGATGTCTTTAGCGACGCCAACTGGTGGCTCAGCCTGCTTGCTAAACTGAGCATCTACGGCGTCATTATCGACTTTTATTTTTACGCCTACCACCGCGCGTGCCACGAGGTTCCATGGCTCTGGAAGTACCACCGCACGCACCACCTGACCAAGCACCCCATCGCAGTGCTGTCTGGCTTTGCCGACGACGAGCAGGAGATTATCGAAATCATCTTGGTGCCGCTGGCCACATACTTTACACTATGGGGCTTTGGCCTGCGCCTGGGCTTTTACGACTGGTGGCTCTGCTTCCAGTATGTTACGTTTTCCGAGATTTGGGGCCACAGCGGCCTCCGCATCCACGGCATTGTGCCCTCGCCTATTTCTTGGCTGCTCAAGATGTTTGGCGCAGAGCTGGCTGTTGAGGACCATGACTTGCACCACCGCAAGGGATGGAAGAAGAGCTTCAACTATGGTAAGCAGACGCGAGTATGGGACCGTCTGTTTGGAACGACCACGGGCAGAATAGAAGCCGTGGATTCCAATATCGACTACTCTAATGTGGTTCACATGCCCTTATTTTAGACAACGTCTTTGATATTATAGACAAAATATAAATCGTTTTACAATATGAACAAATACGTAATCTGTGACGATGTAGATGAATTAGAAAGAGTGGCGGATATACGATAGTGTGCGGAGGCCAGCTCTTTTGATATTAGATTCGCCGCTGTACATGCAACTTACTGTATGCCTGTGTAACCTACTCTGGTGTACCACAGCACCATTTCCAAACTGGAGTCCTGCTTTTCTCTTTTCATCCACCAAACCGCACCTTTATTCTGTGATCGTCACTCACCAACGGATTTAAACCGCACAAATAAAACGTGGCGCATGGCGATAAGGGCCACATGCTATTGGGTTCTAGCCGTAGCTTGGCTTGATTCAGCTGTATGCACGCGCACACGCTTGTCTCTGCCAGCCGAACCATGCATCACAGCGGCATGGGTTCGCTTCACTTATTCCCGCTTCGGGACCATACGCGAGGCGAAATGCAACCAAACGCCTCATGATCACAACCTAATCGCTAGAGCCACATGCGGGTGGCGAGCCGAGCTGAAATAAGGGCTCTGCCACACAAGTTTACTTGCTTACCGTCCCGCCAGCCACGGTTTGTTTTATAAAGACAGGACGCACCTCTATTCATCTGATAAGCCGTCTAGATGCTTCTCGTACGGTAACTTACCAGCAAACAGTCCGCCATGGTCGCCATTGCTACTGGTCTGTGGTGGGATTACTCCAAGTCGGCTGCATCTGCAGCGACACTGACTCTCTCCATGACGACGAGCAACTTCCTGCTCTCGGCTTTAGCATTTCTTGTGACGTTAGCTGGAGCCAGCGCCTGGAGCATCACTGCATTTATTCTCCACGCCATCAAGACTCCTCATGGGTCTGAGCAGGCCCACGCTATTGATTTGATGCACCAGGTCTGTCTGCGCAACTCGGGCGGAGCTGTAAGCACGTTCTGGGAGACCATTAAAATATACTTTGCCTGGTCCAGGTCAAATTCAAAGAGTGGAAAAGACCAAAAACATCCGCGTCTCTTGCGCAAGACGCTGTTTGTTGCACTCCCGGCCACTCTCGTCTGGGTTAGCTTTGCTGTGGCGGCCCTATTTACTTCTAGCGTCGCCAACAAGGCATACGGCAACACGATTGCCCGAATTAAGGACCAAAGCTGTGGCTTTTGGATGTTTGACAATGACACGGATGAGGGCGAAGTGGCAGCTCTTATCAGGAACACCAACGACACGATTGCCGGCCGCAGCTACGTCAACAGCTTCTACGCCAACACGTCCGCTGCATCCACTGCTCGATCGCCCTTTGTCATATCCTCTCTCCCATATACAACTAGCGCTTCTGAGCCATGCCCGATCCCGGACTCAAAACGATGCCGCGGTGGTGTCAATAGCGCCTTCTCCATGACAACGGATCTGCTCGACTCGCATACCATGTTGGGAATCAACGCCAGGGCTGAAGATCGAGTCACGCTGCGAATGAAGGCTACATGCTCTCCGGTGACCCCTGCTCCCTTTACAGACACGTCCGAAATAGAGGGCGCGACCTTTGTCAACTTCTATCTCGGTCCGGTTCCCCGGGGCACCAACTATACGTATAGACACAAAATCGACACGGGGCGATCAGGTATTGGATACACTATTACGTGTGTTCTATGAAGAATATTAAAGAGAGTCTCAACTGACATGATGTGACAGATCTCGATATGCGTATACCCGCGGCTCCGGCTCCTCCTGGGAACCGATTCCCCAGTTCACCCGCAACGATGCAGACATGAGCGTCTATTTTCTCAGCTCCAATGCCGTCGCCTATCTGAAGCCCGTCTACGATACGTGGTTTTCAGCCAGCGGCAACAATACGGTCCCGTACGGTGACAGAAACGCCTGGCAGTATGACTATCTCGTAAACACGCTAGTTTGCGCCGAACAGTACCAGCTCTGCAACCCGACCACATCGGTTTGCTCGCCGCTCGGGGGCAAACGTGATCTTGGGAGCTGGATCTTAGTCGGAAACAGATTAGATCTGAACCCTGCGCAACTCCTCTCGGCAACACGCCTGTTCGTTGCTGCGAGCACTACCAGCACCTACAGCGTTGTCGCTAACCTTGGTGTCGCATCGCTCTGGGCCAACAGTAAGCTCTTCAACAATATCCTATCCACAGGCCTACCACCGAACCAGTGGCAAATCGAAGTTCTTGGCTGGTTTCAGACGGCACTGGCCATGGTGCAAGCAGCCATTGTCGGGTTTGCCTCAAACGACAATGGCGTAACGCCATATGCAATTCCCTCGACAAATGCTGCTCTGCTTCCCGTCATTAACAATGCCAAAGAGTATCGTGAGGGTTGCAAAACCCAGCTTGTGCAGACGGCGGGGGAAGTGCAGAACTTTGATCTGGTCGGCGTTCTCATCATTATTTGTGTCAGCATATTGTTAATCTTCCTCCAGCTGGCTATTGAACCACTAGTAGACTTGGTCAAGTTTCGCTCAGGATGGCAGTCAACGTCCAAGAAAGCCCGACAGGCCGATTCAAAACTGCACTTGCTGCGGATGGTACTCGCGGGCACAAAGCCAAGTGAGGCAATGTGGGAGCGGGGTACTCTCGACGTGCCTGTGCTGGCCCAGGATGCTGTGTTTGAAAGACCAGAGGTGGTATCAAAGTTGGCATCGTATGGGACAGCTACGAAAGTAACTGAAGTTACGCAAGTACCGGAGCAAAACACAGATATGACAGCGTCATCATAGAGGATTTGCAAGTCTTAGGACCAATCGAAATATTGTGGGCATATACAGTATTAAAACCATGACAAAGCAAAAGTCTATTTTAACAGTCTGTAAATATTTCATCGGTTTAAATGCCAGTTGCAAAGCTCTTTCCGCCAGCCTTTCTATCAACCTCCATGCTAGCATCAACACCACAGATGCCAAACAAGCCCTGCGGCGTCAAACTCTTCGCCTTGGCCGACATTGTGCCTTCACTCTTCAATCGCTCAAGCTCTTCACGCATAGCAAAAGACGCCGACGAGATTGTCACAAACGGCACAATCATAATCTTAAAGCCTACCTCCTTCGCCTCGGCTGCCGTAAACGACGGCGTAGCACCCGACTCCACCATATTGAGCAAGACAGGCATCGGGGCAAGATCCTTGATAATCTGGGCAGCCTGTTCCTTGGACGTCAATCCCTCGAAGAAAGCAACATCAGCACCAGCCTCACCCGCCTCCTTCAACCGAGCAATGGCCTCTTCATAGTTATGCGTCTGCAGGGCGTCGGTTCGCGCAATAATCACAATATCGCTACCAACTTCCTTTCTCGCATTAACAGCCGCGCGGATACGGTTTACAAAGACATCGCGGTCAACCACTTCCTTGCCAGCAAGGTGGCCACAGCGCTTCGTCTGGATCTGGTCCTCGAGGTGCAGCGCGGCCACGCCAGACTGTGCATACTGCTTAACGGTCCGGGCGACCATGACGGGGCCGCCGTAGCCCGTGTCGGCGTCGGCAATGAGCGGGATCGGCGAGCTTCCGTACTCGGGCAGTGCGCAGAGCCCGGCGATTGTCTCGGCGTTGGTGCGCATTTGGGTTTGTGTCATTAGACCGAGATCCGCGTGTCCGATGACGGATGCACTGCTCCCTGCTCCGGTCTATACTTGTTAGCTAGCCGATTGGGGCAATGTATTGCAAAGTAGAGATTCTTACCATGTACAGACAGTCGAAGCCGACGCTGAGAGCCATGCGGGCAGAGAAGCCGTCGTAGACACCGGGACAGAGCAGGAAGGTCTCCGGGTCCTGGAGCATTTGTCGGAGTTTGGTAGCGGCAGACATGTTGGGCAGTAATGACTGAAGGTGAAGGGGTAGGGCTTGTTACTCGTGGGGTTGGTGGCATGAGGTCATTGTTATAAAGGGAACCAATAAGGTTAACATCGGTCGGAGCTTGTATTGGATTCCGGAGCTAGTGGCCTTGGTTACAGTAGAAAGTAGCCCGTCTATGATCTTAGTGGCTCTGATAGGGTTAGGGTTGTGTCCGATCGCGGGGTTTATCAATCTCCCCGTTTGCTATGCTCAACCGTCTAATCATTATATGCATAAAAAAAGAATTAGCATTACCCCCTTTTATAAATGTCAATTTGTATTATTCACACTCCAGAGACATGCATGATCTAAGTAAATGTTCTGCCTCAGTCCAAGGGTTCGCATAGCCTCTTTCTTGACTCTAACTTTTGGTCTACTGCAGAAACTTTTCTGTATTGCTACCATGATGACAACTTATTTTGTTGATGTATTATAGACATGGCGCAGCTTCTCGATCCTCCGCTGGCGATTTTGACCATCATATGCTCCTTTTTCTGCTTTCATTGCGACGTTCCTGACTATGACCAAGAACTGAAAGGCAACCCTAATCAGAAGCAGCTCGAAGCGCTATCTCTTACGTGTAAGAGGCTACAGGCTGCTGCACAACACTTCATCTTTCATGTGGTGACTGATGAGCGCAATGTTGTACCACGGGTACGAACGCTCATCGCCAGGCCCGATCTGGCAAGCCATGTCCGCGTTCTAAATCTCACGCGAGCTTTGTGTGAAGATGCATGGGAAAATTTTGATGAAGCCGCCGATTATGCTGACGCATCTACACATCCGGCTTCAACATCATGTGCTGAATCTTTGAATATAGAGCGTCAGTTGTCATTTATGCTGCTCTCGCTAGCTCCCAACATCACCAAGTTAAAAATAGAGATCGTTACTGGCCCTTACGACCATCCAAGATTCATCCCTTCCACGAGGCCTAGCCTGCATTACGCTGGCTATTTGTTTGCCAAGCTCCATCTTTTAAAAGTTGAGAGTCCGGTGTACGACACCCGCGGGATTGATTTGCTTCTCCAGTACTAGAGGATGTGCTATTAGCCGCGCCAAATTTACGAGAGCTACGAATTTCAGGCTGTCGTATCAGTAGTGACATAACCGGCGCAATGAGCATGACACATATACGACCCGTTCTAGGCCAATAGCTTCAGCTGGGTCTGTGCACAGAGAGTGTATCTTCTGATGCCATAGACTTGATGCCTCTACGCCACTGGATGGCGCGCTGTTCCAACCTTCAAACGTTGATATTGAATGTGCGGCGGATTGGTGACAGTGGAGTTCGGCCAGAGGATATTATACGGGCGCCGGAACCGCTCGGGCAGACAATTAAAGAGCTGCATCTCTTCTTATATTATCCAATTGGGGGCTTTTGCCACGCCGGCAGCTTCGAGCCATTTGAGTGTCTGGAATCTCTCCATATACCCACGTTTATGCTCTGCGAATGGCCGACTGGTGCCGATGGAAGCTGTGCGAATAGCCTGGCGAACATATTGCCACGGACAGTCAAGCGCCTAACTCTTTATACGTATGCAGCTGATTGCCAAGCATGGAGGCATGCTCATGATCTTGCTCGGTACTTTGAAACCGGAGCAGACGATTGGGCTCTCAAACGGCTCAAGATGATGATTGACGACGACTGCTCGGTTGACGGTATACTTAGGGACCACAAGGCATGCATTGCGGCAGGCTGGAAATTAAAGCAGGCGTATGCGGCCACCAAAGTGCGGGTGTATATATCTTTTGACCATGACACGGTGTTGTATACGGAAACTGGTGCGTTACGTGAGGATGATGGCGATGAGAGCGTCTACTATGAGTGGTCTACGGGTGACGACTACTGCTCATCCGCTCATGATGATTCTGACAGTGAGGAATCTGATTATATTGAGAGTTGACGAATATACAATTATATGTCCGACCGGCATAGATGTTGTCGATCCTGTGGCTTGGCCAGTTGTATTTAGGCGGGCAGAAATCAGGCTGCAGCATCATCAGCCCCTGGTAACTTAAATAGAATTTGGAGAATATTCACCCACTTTCGCGAACATTCTATAAAAGTATCCGAAACATGATATAAGTTGCTCATAATATTCGCATTCCAATTGTATGAATGCGATTCATTAACACGATCCACCGCACAAACCCTCAGCCACCTTATACATTTACTCCCATACATAACGATTATCTGACTAGACACTATCATTTACATCTATCCCTGCCACTCTTTTATCTTGGTTACCTAATTTTCGCTACTCTAAATCTTTGCACTTTTCATCCTTCCTCCACAATGGCAGAATACTCTCATCTTCCCGCTGGCGTGACTCTCGACGTTGTGCCATTTACAGCTCATGTGGCCGAGGACACACTCCAACACTTCAGGAAGCTGTTGGAACTTTCCCCTATTGCACCGCCTGTATTTGAAAATACACACGATTCTGCTAGCAAGTATGGAGTCACCAGAGACTGGTTGGAGAAGGCCAAGAACGCCTGGCTGAACGAATTCGACTGGCGTAAACACGAGGATCGCATCAACTCGTACCCAAACTTTACTGCCACTGTCCAGGATGGTGCGGGCAATGATATAAAGATGCACTTCCTCGCTCTGTTTTCTGAAAAGCAGGATGCCATTCCTATTTCCTTCTTGCATGGCTGGCCTGGATCTATCTGCGAGTTTCTGGATATGCTCGATCTGATCAAGGCCAAGTACTCCCCTCAAGATCTACCATATCACATCATCGTGCCCTCATTGCCTGGTTATGCTTACTCTGGCGGACCACCCTTGCATATGGACTATGGAATCGACATTGCGGCTGGAGCTATCAATAACCTGATGGTTGGCCTTGGCTTTGGGCCGGGATATCTGACACAGGGCGGCGACCTGGGCAGCTTCATGAGCAGAGTCCTAGCACTCACATATGATGCCTGCAAGGGAATGCACGTCAACATGATGGGTATTCCGCCCTTGGATGAGTCAGAAGAGATGGACCAGGAGCAAAAGCGCGCTATTGAAAGAGCGACGGAAATGATGGATACTGGATATGCATTTGCTCTAGAGCAGGGGACGCGGCCGGCTACCATTGGCCATGTCTTGAGCTCCAGTCCGCTAGCGCTACTAAGCTGGTATGAACCCATTTACTGATAAAGCAAGGTGATAAGTGCTAATAGATTGGCTTAGGATTGGCGAAAAGATGCTCGCCTGGACCGATGGCGATGTTCCATTGGAAAAGATACTCGAAGGCGTCACCTTGTACTGGATGACGGACACCATGCCTCGATGCATGTACCATAACCGGACTGTGAGTTGGCTTTATCATTTTTAATTCTTGAAAAAATCATTTACTAATAACTCTACAGCTTGCAAATGCAAATGACAATCCAAAGATTGCAAGAATCAGTGTTGTAAGTAATTTCCTCCGGGCATACCAATTCCCCCTCAATCACATACTAACCTTGTATGCCTTTAGGCCACTGCTATGAAGGCACTAAAACTACCGGTTGTCGAGAAACCATGTGGTTACTCCTTGTTCCATAACGAAATCGTCCCCGTTCCCAAAAGTTGGGCGGCTAAGAGCTGTAATCTGATTTCATTCAACCAGCATCCACGAGGAGGACACTTTGCAGTAAGTTTCGTTCAGAATTCTTTCCAACGTAAAATATAAGGAAGTTAAGGCTAACACTTTCATCTTTTATAGGCACTTGAACAACCGGCTGAATTACTTGCTGATGTGGAAGAATATGTTCACCAGGCTTGGGCTATGTAGAACGAGTAAGAGAAAACGACACCATTGTCTGCTTTTGCCAATTTCTTAAGGAGATTACTCAATGAATAATTAAAATGCGCATATTTCGAAATACTTGTGTCTTGTAATCTTCAATATATCTTTACTGTTCAGAACCAAAAAGTACTTGTAATGCGAGCCCCATCTTCGGCGAGTCCTTGTATAGCTTCCAGCAAACATCAGGACAGATCAATCTCAGGTTATCAAAGTGCGTATAATGCTCATCTTTCCTCTGCGGAAAAGGTACCCATACGCATTTAATCTTTGGATAGAATGCTCTAATCCTACGTGCTAAATCCTCAACTCTTGGTAACCATGCAAGATCTGCGATAACTAGAGTCTCGGTATCTCTGGGGGAGCGAACTATGAATGAAGTCCTCGTTGAATAAATAGTGATTCGTGGTAAAGTCTACCCTTAGAACCTTGGTTGGCAGTTCTGTCAGTGTAAACGACTCACGTGCGTGTAGATGGCCAATGTCCATATAATTCAAACAGGTATTGTAGCTCCCCTTCAAAGCGTTGGCCAAATTCATTGGTCTAGCCTCTTCCTCTTCTCGCTCGACATCCTCATCAACGAAAGGAGTGTATATAAATGATGGAAGTCCAGGGAACTTGGAGAATATTCTTCTAGCTTCCGTTGCACCAAGACATGTGTTTTGTAGAGCCAGGGTCGATAGTGTTGAATGAGAGAGGTAAGACAACCCACATGTGCTCACGCCGAGAAGCGTTTGTAAATTTGGTGCAGCGTCAAGAATCCATTGATAGTGGCTGGGTACAAATCTAGCCTTGTCTAGACTTCTTGCCACTAGAAAGGCTAAAAACTTGACGGTGGCCAGTCTGGAAAGGCTAGGCGTGTTGCGCGGTTTGACGAAATGACCATCAGGGCAATGGCAGACATATATTTCAAAGTCTCGAATATTTGGGGCGTGGCAGAGGACGAGCATGATCATTTTCTGGTTTAAGGATTCTTTACAGGCCCGATTCTTCTCGTTATATCTGGCCACATCGCTTTCGTTGATTGAGGCTATACGCCTTGTAGTATCATCGATAATAGCTTGCTGTTTGAACGCCTCGTTGTACACTGTAATTTCCTCTGAGCTGATCGTGGTGGCATGAATAAACGTGGCTGACTCCATTCGAATCCTATGAATATAACGGCCATATGATGGCTGCGCTAGCAACGTTCGTATGAGGAGAGCGAGTGAGTCATATGATCGGATGGTGCGGTAGAGGAACGGGATTGCCAGATTGTAAAGAAGTTTGCAGGTATAAGAAAGTGCTAGAACGTCCTGTAGTTCGTATTTTGGCGGCCGTCTTGCGGTATCCTCGTCCTCTGTGCTGAAAATTGATATAAGGTCCTCTTCGTAGTTTTCGTCGCCAGGGTTGGACCTCTTTCTGATAGTTGGCGCAAAACTCGAGTTCCTCCGCAGTCGGCTCGGGAGGAGGATCATTATAATATGAATCCGCTACGATTCCGACATTTTCCACCTAGTAGTTTTTGAAATTCCCCTGTGAAGCTGCTTCATCGTTGCATGCACTGGATGGGAGATCCAACACTTGTATGGTCGTAGTGGTTGGCTCCGGTGTAAGATGTGCAATAATGTGTGTAAGAGTCTCGGGCGGTAAGCGATCCAATGCCGCCATTATTATCAGAGCTCTTTCAGTTTGTGAATTTACATTTATGGTGTACTCTATGTCGGTGTGTCGGTATGCCCGAGGCCGACAAAGCGTGATGAGACCAAAGACGGCGACGCCACCAGCCTGGCGCAGCCTGCTTGGTAATTAATAAAGCAGGCTGAAGCGACGCTATTATAACCTTTGACGAATCCGCATCAAAGGTATATGTTTATATATAGAGACAGCTTCAATGTTAAACAAATATGACTAATAACTCCTCTATGAATAACCCTACAGCCAAAACAGTCGTTGATACCGAATCTTCGATTACAGCGCCTGGAGGCCGCGTCAAACGATGGGCGCCCAAGACCAAAACGGGCTGCTCAACTTGCAGGTATGAGTTCTTCCCCGTATTAATTTACCATTAGCTGACATAATGCACAGACAACGACGCATAAAGTGCGACGAGAAAAGACCCGGGTGCAGAAAATGCGTTACAGGTGGCTTCCAGTGCCCCGGGTACATCGCAAGCCGCCCATCTCCATCCCGCCAACTTGTCTCGCTCAAGCCAAAGCCCACTGTGGAAGAAGACCTTGTCAGCGACGTATTTCGCATAGAAAGCATCTCTGGTCTATGCTCAGGGCCTGATGCTGATGCGCTGCTTCAGTCACTACTGCAATATCCCCCTCTGTGGCATGCGTCACTCGCCATTGGCGGTATGCATAAGCGGTCGCAGCTTCAGATAAAAGACGCTGTTAGCAACGCGGTCAAGATTGAGCAGCTGCGAACATTTGCCGTTGCTCAATACAAACAGTCCATGGGATTACTGCTGCGCGCTCTCCAAAAGCAAGACGGCGAGGGCCACCCAATGCAAGAAATGGTCCTCTTAGCATCCATTCTATACTACATCATCAACACCATTGCTGGAAATGCCGAGGATGCTCGGATGCATGCTAGAAGCAGTATGAAGATGTTTGATCAGTGGAAATTCTGGCAGCGGCAGAATCCGCGGCTGCCTCGTGGCACGGTTCCGGCGCGAATGATTGCCAGCCAGATTCTGTGCCTAGAAAGCAGGATGATTTCTGAACCTGACGTCTTCTTCGTTCCGTATTGCGGAGAAGAAGTTTCTGTGAACAATGAAATGGTAGATGGTGTGTATGTGGAACCATTCACAACTGTCATGAGTGCCGCGGTAGAGCTTCGACCCCTGATCGCAAGTGTATTGATGCCTACCTGTACACAAAGCACTACAAGTAAGGATGAGTTATACGATATACCAAACTGGGACAAGAGCCGGAGTAGCATGTATCAGGAAGCCCAGCAACACTGGGAGGCGAAGCTTCGCCTATTTCTAGAGGATGAACGATGCGGGCGAATCACTTTGTTGGAGAACGACATCCCCATGATATACCATCAGAAGGGTACCAGCACAACTTTGGGGATCATCTTGAATCTGGAAGACTCTGGCCCTGGCGCGTCATGGGATGCGCACGAAACGAAATGTGCTGAAGTCATTGACGACTATTGCATTGTGGTGAACGCGATTAATAAGTTACCAGTTGACGTATGGGCCTCTTCTCCGTTCATTCTACGATCATATTATTGTCTCTGGCTCATTGCGAGGTGCACACAGAACTTACGCCTTCGCCAGAGAGCAATGGATCTTATCCGGCAATGGCCAACGACTCAGGGAAACGCCCAGTCGCGGAATTCGATACCTGTTTTGGACGCCATTTCTGACCAGGATTTATCGAATAGCATACAGATGGGAAGTCGGTGTTCGTGTATTGCGCTTGAGTATATATGTGCACAGCATCGTGTTGTTGCAGAGCGGCTGGAGTATGAAGAGGGCGGCATGATGAAGATTACAATGAAGACTGCGGAGGATGAGGCGAATGGGCGACCGTGCCGTGTTAGATATAAGGAGGGGTGGGCTATCGCTCACGTAGAGCAAATTGTCTGACGCGAGAGATGATGATGACGAAGACGGTATAAGAGACAATACCCTTACTTTACGTTGTTTTTGATGAATCTTACAAACAGTAAGTTTTTGAGTGTGAGCTTTGAACGTTGTACGTTACATATATATCCTATATACACATATACTACTGTTTTATGAAAACGCCATAACTCAGATATTGTTCCCCTCTATCCAATTTATAATTGTTTCTGCGCACCTCTCCCATCCAACATCCATGGCAAGGTGATGGGCACATTCTGCAACCACAGTGTTGCATATCGTTTCACCAGATACTTCACTATGTCCTTGCTTTGTTAAAGCTTCTGCATAGGCCTTTGCGTTCTCTTCAGCCATTGAAGGTGGTGTCAGACGGTCCCTGTCCCCGGTAACGCACAGCACCTTGCGTTTTGGCTTTGACTCAAGGCCACACAATCCCGACAAGACATCCTCCGCTGTAGCAAAGGGCCACATTACGCTCAGACCGATGCGTATCCCCTCTAACGGCGTCTTGCACTTTTCCAGCCAGTAGTCAATTACCTTGTTCTCGGTCTTGTCGTGGAAAAAGGCAGCCCTCACTTGGTCTGCGGTATGCAGCTGCGCACGAGGGCTCCAGATATGCTTATATCCTTCTGGACCTGCCTCAACGAGTTCCCAGTTTGCCATGATCTCCTTACCACCACCAGATAGCGGCGCTGCAGCGAGAAGTACCAGGCCAGCGATATCGCGCGACGGGAGCCTACCCGAGCCGAGCTGGCCCAATAGATACTGAAGTTGGCCTCCTCCAAAGGAATGACCCATGAGTATGGGCGGTGACTTGTTTGGATGGCGCCCAGCGATAACATTCAGGGCGGCAGTTATGTCTGCAACATAGTCGTCCAATGTGGTAAAAAGGTTCTTGGTAAGCCAGGACTGGCTCCACGACTGTCCATGGCCTCGGATAGAGAGCGAATACGAAGGGTAACCATGGGAAGCAAAGTATGAGAGGAAGTTGCGATAGTCACTTGCTGAGCAATAAGCGCCGTGTAGACATAAAATAGGAGCTTGATTGGTCTTGGAACTGGGTGGCGTGCAAGTAAGCACTTCTAGGTTGCCAGAGGGTGTTGGTAGTAAAAGTTGCTCTATTGGGAGAGCCGACATTCTGATTTATATATATCTTTGGCGATCTATTGGGTAACTATTGTGTTTAAATAGGGAGCGAATATGAAGGTGACAAACGCTAACTTTCCAAAAATGGCGAGTGAGATATTACTGCCCTGTTCGGCGACTTACGAAAATGGCAGGGGTTATCACAACTACTGGGTTTTGGGCTTTCACAAAATTCGAAGGGAATTTGAGATTTCTGAAATTAATTTATTTAACCCCAAACAAGTATAAGCTATTCAAAGCTATCTATTACTGTAAAAAACGGCGTTACCGATATGAAAAGAGAGAAAAAGCCCGTCGACCCTATGGTATTATTATCGCTTTGTTCATTAGGATGCGTCTTTTGACTCTTTTCTAACCCGAATCTGTTTCTGTAGCGATCCGCTATCCCACCACACATTCGCCTCCAAAATCTGTAACCCATCCGTTCCCTGGCCTTCCTCGTCACTTGCCCCAACCAAGAACTGTAGCAACCTCGGGACGACAATTGGCGAACCCCCAGGAAGGCCATTTACAGTAAACGCCGTCTTAGTCTCCAAGATGATTCTTGTAGCAGATATCTTGGCATCTTTAAAGATCACCTCTTCGTCGAACGCTCGGATACGCTCCACGTCGTGATGCAGGGCGCTGAAAGGGCCAAACAGGCTCTTCATCCAAGTCCATATCTCATCTCCGCCGCGGTAGATGACGCCGTCGCTGTTGTAGAAGACGCTACTGGGAGCGTACCAATCTGAGAAGGCAGCAGTGAGGTTCAGTGAGTCCACGGTCCGAGCGTATTGCTCGATGAATGCGAGGGCTGGAACTGCCCGAGTTTCGGCGCTCCAGCTCCCGTTGTAGGTAGAAAGAGTAGATGATGGCATTTCAGGTAGTAGAAGAATATGACAAGGGAAGCGACTTATACAAAATATCTGGTCAAACCAACACTGGATGATATGTATTTATTTATGCTATAAAGTGCCATTGTTAGTGGCAAACTAAGTCAACGCTTCTATGATATGACAAATTACTGCACTAGCTACATTTACTTATTGCTAGCACCACACTGATTCTACTACTGCAACGTAGTAGACTCTCTGACCCGCGACACCGAAAGACCGAGATAATAGCGATTCGCGACGGCGCTGCTTCTAGAAGTACATCCTTCGGACATGGTTACATCAAGCCTTCCGTTCCATCTGTATGCTATCCTTTTTATGATTAATAATATGTAACACCCATAGCGCGATCTTATCTCGGCACCCGCAGACAAGATGCTCCACCAACCTCGGCTACAGCGGGGCCGCTGTAGGGCTTCGCTGGAGATGATCGGAGGACCGCCTTTTTGTGGTTGCCTTTGGAGCGTGTAAGTCCAAGTCGCGAAAGGCCGAGATGGTTTCGTTTTGGTCTTCGGGTTGGTCAGCGAGTGCCGTGTGATGGAATTCGCGATATTCGCTACATCGGCAGAAAAGAAACAAGTGAGAAAGAGTAGACATACAAAAGAGTATAAGTATCACTGTAGCTGTCTACACTTTTCAAAGCTATGATAAACACTCATCTCAATATTACTTTTGTTCACACAAGTCCCAAATCAATACTTGTATAACACAAAATGGCCCAACAAGACATCTTCTACCGTCCCATGAAGGGCGAAACATCCGGTCTGCCTCACGACCCTTTCAAGAGCTTCGTCATTCCCCGACCTATTGGCTGGATTAGCACTACTAGCCAAGATGGTAAAGACAATCTTGCTCCGTTTAGCCAGTTTATGAATGTATCATTTGATCCTCCCACTATTCTGTAAGTATATGCAATACACTCATTATACCCATTTTAATGTCTTTCCTTTTACTCTTTTTCTTTTTTTTCCTGTGTATTAGCTAACACCTTAGCTCAGATTCGTGGGCCACCAAGACCTCTACAAGAAGCGCTCCCGCGACACCGTGATGAACTGCATCGAAACCAACGAGTTCGTCTGGAACATGGCCACCTACGACCTCCGCGACGCCGTCAACAATACCGGAAAAGAAACATGGGAAGACGAGTTTGAAGAATTCAATATTAAAAAGGCTCTTTCTCGCCTCGTCCGCCCACCACGCGTTGCTGATTCCCCCGTGAGCTTCGAGTGCCGTGTACACAGCATCGTCCGCGTATCCAACGAATATCACGGCAAGGCTACCGCCGGTCCGCACATGGTTGGCAATTCAGATATTGTGATTGGGCGCGTTATTGGCATTCACGTCAAGGGCGAGTACATTACTGGTGACGGGGTAAGTAGCAGCTTTGACGTAAAAATAATAAGTACTACGCTGACTTTTATTCTCGAAGCTCTTTGACGTGCTCAAGGCCGCACCGATTGCAAGACTGGGATATAGACAGTACAGCTACATTAATAATGTGTTTGAGATGACGATCCCGTCTATGCCAGACGAGCCTAAGGAGGTGGCGGCTGTGCTTGCTGGTGCAGTACCCTATGGTGATCCAGAGGCGGAAGAGGAAGAAGAAGAGAAGACAACGTAGGATTTGTTTTGGTTTTCTGCCTATGGTGTGGTTTGTTTGTTGTTAGTATTGTATTATTGTTTTAGACTATTTTGCCTTTATGTTATAGACGGAATATGTTCAACTGATACTTGATTTACTTGTTTTTAGTTCTTCACGGGCTCACTGATAACATGCACATATCAACAGCTATGATGGCAGCCTAATCGGTCTACGTAAAGTGCGCGAGACGTAATAGTTGAGCCCCGCGAATTGTCCATGTGGGCTCCTGTGAGTTGCTATTTCCTCGCTCATCAACAGCCTTGTTGAATGGCTGCTCTGTTAGTGAATACATAATCATAACAATAATGTTTATACTCTTCTCTCGGTTGCCGTTGGAACTCCGCCAGCGCATTTGGCTGCTTGCTGTTGGCGAAGACCAACAAGCGGTCTGCCCAATTTGGCCACTTAACTTAGTCTACGACGGCACGCGACGATTTGAGACTGCTGAGACGTTGCCTCTGCTTCCACTGACCGTCGATACGTCTTACCCGACAGTTATGCATGTTTGTCAAGAATCGCGTGCCACCATACAAAACCTGGCACAGAACAGTGTTCGCTTCCGCAAGTCGGAGGCTGCAGGCTGCGACACGCCCTTTCGCCTCTACGACCCAGACATGGATATATTATACATTGGTACCTGTGCAATGCGCTTACTTGACCTCATACCATTCGAATCAAAGATTCCTGCGCAGAGAATCCTTGAGGAACCACAAGAACAGCCCTTTTTCGACCTCTTGGTTGCGTCCAAGCACCTGGCGTTCGAGACTTTTGACTTCTTCGAGTACTCGTGGTATTTGTGGCGGTGGATGTGGGAATACTCGCTTCCCTCTCCAAGTGAAGCGCTGAATTTGGGATTGCCGCTACCGCCCCCTTCCAAGACACTGCATCTCGTTGTCCCAAGCTCGAATTTTGTTGCAGAGAACACCGACCAACGCTTCAAACAGCCCGGTCGCCGTTGTCGACTGAAACCGCTGTCCACTGCAGCTCTTGACCAAGTTATTATACATTCGTCGACTAGTGACTATGGAGAGTACGAGCTCCGTTCTATGCGCGAGGCTCTCAAAGATATCCGGCCTCGGCTCTTTAGTGCCTCGGATGAGTTGGACGGACAGTGGAAATGGGCACAGCAGATCCCCGTTCGGGCTGACACTTTTGAAGAGTACCGTAATGGCACGTGGGACGAAGTTTGCCGGGATCGAGTGTATGAAGTTGGATATGCACGAGCCCTTGCAGATTATGCTTCGGCGCCGCCTGTGCCGTTACGTGATCGTCCAGATCCAGTGCTTACTCGGCCGCATGATGTCGATACTGGCTTTGAGCCGTGGAAAGACCCCCACCGCATGATATAGCCCATTGTGAGATGCAGTTGAGAAATATCTCTGTTTAGCCATAGGCCTTTTCCTTGCGTTTTTATTCTTATTTCATTAAAATACATAGACGTTCGATATTGTACGGTGTATCTGCGACTCATAGCGGGTAATGGATGCCCGTTCGTTGTCCAATCACAGCCGCCCCCGCGTAAGGCTATCATCGTCAGCATCATTATTAATTCAGGCACAGAAGCCTCAATTGGTAATCATTTTGCCCAGTTTTGAAGTTTTAGAAACAAAATCTTGTCTATAAAAACGCACCAAATCCCACCTGCAGGAATATCATCTTGCTATTACATCTCAACACAAACTTCCCACCCTGGATTCTCTACTACGCATCCCATCTACCACAACCTACACAATGGCTTCTCTTCTTCCCGCGCCTCGCAGAATTACTGCCTCCAACTTATCCTTGCCCTCCAAATACAGCGACAATGAAAACGCTGAGCCTGGAGTGGAAGTCCATGACGACAAACTTACTGTAGAGGCACTTGGCGATGGTAGCTATAGACGCGCCGTAATCGGTACAAGTACACAAGTACCTACAAGCAACGACGGCCAGTAAGATTCCCTTTTGATGCCATACGCTTTTTCTCGAAACAATTTTCTCATCTTATTACAGCGGCGAACTGGCGCTGGACAATGTTCCAGGCGCTGGCATTGTGATGCCTGGCGGCCTCAACACATATTATCTTGATATTGCGCCCAACACAGAAGGCCCTCTTGTAAGATTTTTCTACCTTCAAGTAATATTTCTTATTACTAACAGATAAATAGCACCGAACTACTTCTACAGATTATATCGTCGTCATAAGCGGCAAACTGAGCCTCATAACCCCCAAACCTGAAGTATACGAGATCAAAGATGGCAAGGCCTCTTGCGCTGATGAACTGGTTGAGACGGTCGCTCTACCCGGCGACGTCATCTACCAGCGTGGCCCTATTCATAGGTATGTTTCAGTTCTACGTTTTTAAAGATATTTTACTGTATATACTAACAAAAGAAGTCTCTCCAATCGCACAAATGAATGGGTTCGAGCTCTGTGCATTGTCGTCGGCTCGGAGCCGAACAAGGTACATGTAGAAGGTTCAAGTGACAAGGTACTTGATGATAAGTGGTTGGCTTGAGACCATATAGTACATAGATGATATCAAAGCCAGCTAGAATAAATGCGAAAAGCTTCTTTTAATATATAATGACAAGTGTATTAATATCATACTTATTAAACGTACTATAGCGAAGCATTGTAGTTGATAGCTCACACTTGAGCGGACAGAGTCAGCCATCCCATGCCGATCCCGTCCAGAAGAGTGAAGTGAGGCTGCAGCACATCACTACCCCTCCCGCTCTTGAAGCATGCCCAGTATTTTCGTCTCTGCAATACCAATAACGAGACCTGCATATCCTTGCTGGTGTAGCAGAATAGTCTCTGATAGAGTATAAAGCTATTCAGGATCAAGGCACTGCACACCCGTCCACGTGCCCTCGGCGATACCAACTTCTAACCCAAACGACTAGTATAACTCTTACGCGATGAGCTCTCTACCCCTAGACCCATACAAAGTGCTAGGTGTCAATAGAGATGCTGATATATATCAACGATAAAAACTGCCCACAGAAAACTTGTTTTGCAACACCACCCAGATAAGCATAGATATGATGAAAAAGCAGCGAAACAACGGTTATTTGATCAAATCACTGCCGCTTATGAACTTCTCATAGATATTGTAAAGCGAAAAGCATATGATGAAGAAACAAGGCGGCTCGAGATACTGGAAGAAATACGACAAACAAAGAAAGGCAGTAAGACCACCGAAGGTGCTTTTAACTCGCAATCGGCTTTCCAATTACCACACCGGACAACAGATAGCGAGGAGGTCAATTCGGAACGACAACAGTTTGTTGAATTTGCTCTAAAACTGTTTGATGAGGTACGTTGCAAGATATAGAGGACGAGAAGGCAAGGGACTATGAGGCAGGTTCGCCCAGGCGCCGTGGTGAAAGCCCGGATCCCATTAACTCTGCCCCCGATTCCGATACCGTGGAACGGCGCCGCCGGGACTCACGGATTCTGGGTAGCCGCAACGCGTCGCCCCATTACTTGGCGTAGGATGAGTGGCCATACTTGTTCTGAAGATGACCCTAGCCATCTTATAGTATAGTGTTGATCGGCCACACAACCGAACAACCCCTACGGTGGCCCCCAACCCGAAAAGCAGAGATTGCTGGCAAAATGGAAACGGTACGACAAAGTTTATATTTTAACGGGAACATTTAATACTGTAGAGGAACCCACGTATAGCCCAACTCATTTCTGCGCTCGAAGACGTTCATTAGTCCTATTCGCGGCGGATCTGCCAGGTGGTCCTTAGTAAACGAACCAAGTCGATGGTCTCTACAGATGTACAGCTCATAGATGCACTCGCATCCCGAGAGACCATTAAACTCGCCCCCATTTAATCCCCCGTTCGGATATGTTGGATGTATTGGTATACCTTTTTTCTGCCAGTGCTTCGTACGCTCTGGTCCGCTTAGGAGGTGTCGCAGTATGATTTCATATACTACCACTTCCTCCTTACTTCTTGTTCCGTTTTCCTTGAACGGCCATTTCCGCATCAACTCAATTGCTTTGCGCCTCAGATGGGCGTTGTTAGGAAACGCAGCCATCAACTCCATGGCAGAGCCCAGAGAGGGAGCAAAAGTCATAGGTGCCGTCTCATCCGAATAAGGACTATAGAGACGCGTCGTTTTGCTTAGTAGACTGTCCATGTGATCCAGAACCTTGAACAGGCCCAGTTCATATTTCATAGCCGCTGCTCTGTTTGGCTTTCTAAAGATTTCTTCCTTCCTTTTCATCACTTCGAGATGTATGCGTATGGACTCAATGGCTACTAGATCTTGTGAGTTCAGGGTCTTCTTTTCGTCAAGGAAATTGGTAAGCTTGGCTTCGTATGCTGCTATTTGGTTCTGTCGGTATATTCCTCTCAGTGGTCCGTCGTATGTATAATTTGTTATATCTTCTTTCTTGTTTAACCCGCTGTATGCAATCGGTAGGAATTCCGTATATGCTTGCGTAACAGATTGCAGTGTAGGATAGCAGGGGACATCAACAACCCAAGATCGTAACCATCGTGTCTGATACGACGCCTCTAGACTACCGTCTATAGACAGAATAACGGCCAACAGGTCCTCGTAAGACATGATGCCTTTGCGGCTCGTGCTCTCTTCCTTCCCAAAGCGCAACGTCGACAGCAGATTTTTAAAGTTCCTGTAGTGGGACTGTAGCTGGCCAGTTTCCTCAAGCATAGAGCATATTCCTATAAATAAGATGTTTGTCATTAACACCATTTCCTTGTCTATGTAGGACAGTTGGGCCAATGATTTGCCTGCAAGGCTTCGCGCAAGACTTCTGATGGATTTGTTGAAATGGGTGAGCGCGATGATATAGTGGTGATTGCTAGGCAGATAGTTATTAGCCGGGTCATCTGGGCCAAGTTGTCGTCGCTTCTTCTCAACCTTTGTACTATGATCGATAGAAGCAATGGCAATGGCTGAGTGCCACAGAGACGGGTATATCTGCGCGGCAGTGGGCACGTCGACTCTCCAAAAGCGATGGTTGAATGGACCACCCATTCCAGTCACAAGAGTGTCTCGAAAGGTCCCAAATAGATTGATTTCGTAGCTTACGGCCTTGGCGCCTTCGGGGAGTATGATTGCAGACGGTTGTGGTACAATCCTTAGATCGGGTTGGGACTGTCTCCCTTCTGGAGACGGCTGATAATCACATTTGAACTTGGCGGTTGTGCAACGTTTGCATGCCGGATGTTGTTCGTCACATTTAACCCGGCGCTGGCTATTTTGCCCATTAGCATCATGGCAACAGTGAGAACACGGAATGTTGCACCAACCGGCACGTTAGACAGCCTGTTCGACTTCTGTGGACGAATTTCTTGCGTCGTCCGGAGTCAACCAGCGGACTCAGAACAACTTTGAATGTTGGTTGTTGCGGCATCTCAGGTATAATGCGCGTTCAAAGAGATCCGTTCCTAAGAAATTTGCATGCAAATGCAGAGGTCAGACTCAGTAAATCCAAAGTTTGGAACGTTTGCAGTAGCGGAAGGCTGGGGGCTGTATCGAAGAGCTACCACAAGGCTGGAGTACAACGTACATCTTGTAACACCAGTATTGCCAGCACGTGATATTGCCGGAAGCTGATCGAGGCTGTGTTTTTACACTTTCCAATTGCTTTGTGATCTGACGCATTTTTTCGCTATGAGACATGTAATAGAATCTATGATTGGTACAGCGACATGTGCAGCAAGGCAGACAAGCCTTTTTACACTTTGACATCCACAACTAACAGTATACCCGCTTTTTGGTATGCAAGGACCGAGATTTTGCTGTTCGCATGCAGACCAAGACATCGCGACCAACCTGGCCAAGTTCCAGGATATGCATGATGGAAAGTATGAGGCTCAAAGTGTTTTGCGAATGAAGCAGGATATTGCTAATAACAATCCCCAAATGTGGGATCTCGCGGCCTACCGTATTCCAAAGAAAGGCAAGCAGCATGTGCGCGCACCAGAGTGGAAGATCTTTCCAACATATGATTTCACACACTGCTTGTGTGATAGCATTTAGAAGATTACACACAGTTTGTGCACTACTGAATTTGTTTTGTCACGGGAAAGTTACGAATGGCTAAACTCTTCCCTTGGAGTATGTGAGCCAATGCATCGAGAGTTTGGTAAGCACTGTCGGCCAGGGCGTCTAAATGTCACAGGAGCTGTAATGAGCAAGCGTGTTCTCAAACAGCTCGTGGAAAAGAAGTACGTGCGAGGATGGGATGATCCCCGTCTTTACACCCTCATCGCACTCCGACGCCGAGAAATTCCTCCACAAGCTATTTTGGCAGTTTTTAATGAGCTAGGCGTCACCACTGCCCGTGTCTTTATTCAAGCAAAGCGGTTTGAACAGACCGTTCGCAGCTACCTGGAGCACATCGTTCCACGCCTAATGATGGTCTTGGATCCGGTCGCTGTTGTGATTGAGGATCTCTCGGAGACCCTGGCCTTAACACTACCATTCTCACCTAAAGATGCTAGTTTTGATTTTCATACTGTCCCTATGGTCAAGACTATCTACATTGCCCCAGTCGGATTTCCGAACCGAAGACAGTACAGGATACTCTCGGCTGGCACCTGGGAAGACTGTCGGTCTTCTTCAAGCACCGCACCCCATCAAGGCCACCTCATTTACGGCAGACGCAGCAGGAAGAGTTACTGAGATACGAGCCGTGTTCGACAACACGACAAAGCCCAAAGCATATATCCAGTGGGTTTCAGAAGGCGCCAAGCCTGTAGAAGCACGCGTCAATACTTCTCTGTTCTTGTCGGATGATCTCATGGCTGTTGAAGGTGGCTACGCAAATGATATCAATCCCAAGAGCGAGACGATTTATTCAGATGCCCTGATTGAGCCTGGTATTGACAAAGTTAGAGAACGGGCACCTTGGCCGAACGGCACAGCAGAGAAGAAGGTTTACGGGGACGGTGAGGTTCCAGGCTCTCCGAGTCGGATACTTTGTAAGTGCAATAGACCGGGGTACAATGTATAGTTAGTTGCAGCTAACCCCTGACACTACTGACGACAAGCTCGTCGTGAATAGAATCGTCGCGTTGAAGGAAGGTTCTGGTAAAGCGTAGATGGATATCTTCTATAGTATTCCTTTGCTGCCAACCAGATTTCTTAAATATACCCATAGTGTTACAATATCGATATTGAGTTTACGAGGTTGCTACTAGAAACCATTAGTCTCGGCTAGCGTTGTTAAAGAGGAGCGCTTGCTTCACCGCTAGCTCCGCTAGATCTTGCACAATCCCATCGCCGCGGGAACTCCCGCGCACCCCCTTTTGACCACCAACACCAAATAAATGTATGAATTATCTTTGACGTAGTAGATCAATTGCCCCTTTAAAAATACGCCTCCAAGGCCCAAGCCCGTGTCCAAGCAAAACACAGCCAGCCCACGGCCGCAGGCAGGTCCAAGCACAACAAAAAACAACCCCACCACCGCAACCCCGCCACTTTAAACGGCCGCGTCTCCATCCGTCGATTCTCCTCACCCCCCCTTCTCTCCTCCAATACAATATTCTTCTTTTTCCTTCTCCCCCGGATTCTGATACCCCATCCGATCAACAACCACAATGGCCTCCCACGAAGAAGATACCATGCCTGAGGAGACTCAGGGCTACAAGCTCTCCCAGCCCAAGCAGTCCCTCGCCCAGTACCAGCAGATGGGTAAGAAAGGGCCACCACCACCAGATTTACGGGGAAGAGCCCGCAATTTGATTTGCTAACTTGCTCTCTTTAGATGCCGGCGACGAGTCCCTCCAGCGCTACAAGCAGTCCCTCGGTCTTGGCGGCGGCAAGGATATCTCCGACCCCAACGACCCCCGTGTCTGTATCATCCACTCGCTCACCATGGAGGCTCCTGGCCGCGACCCCGTCACCATTGATCTCTCGGTCCCCGGCAGCGAAAAGTCCCTCAAGGAGCACCCGTTCAAGATCAAGGAGGGTGCCAAGTTCTCCATGAGCGCCAAGTTCAAGGTCCAGCACGAGATCCTGAGCGGTCTGCACTACGTCCAGATTGTCAAGCGCAAGGGTATCAAGGTTTCTAAGGATTCAGAGATGATTGTACGTATAATTTGTTCATCAGTTTCACAAATACATGAGCTAACAGCATATAGGGAAGCTATGCCCCCAACACAGAGTCGCAGACTACCTACACCAAGCGCTGTAAGTTTCAGGCTGGTTGCAGATTAAGCAGGCATTGTGCTAACGCCCAATTTTAGTCCAGGAGGAAGAGGCTCCCTCGGGTATGCTCGCCCGCGGTCACTACAACGCCATTTCGAGCTTCGTGGATGACGATAAGAAGAAGCATCTCGAGTTCGAATGGAGCTTCGACATTGCCAAGGAGTGGTAGACGACGGTCCTGGCGATTACAACGAATTTCACGACGCATTACACCCTGATTAGTTCCCGAGGACTTTTCTGACGGAATAAAATATACGAAAGAGAGACGGAGGCGGATTTTATGTAGTTTTTTCGTTCTTTTAGACAAATGGCACAGTACTTTCCATCATCGTTTCATCTACTACACTGGCCTGACAGGATATCATATAATATTGTACAAAAAAAAGGCAGAGACAATGTCCCTGAACAATGCCGCTTATAAAAAGTAGTCGGGCAGAGCGCTGCCGTCGGCTGTCTTATCGCCACCCAGCTGCGCATCTTTATGCAAATCGTTCTCCGGTGCCGCTGCAAACACATTAAAGAACCGTGTGCCGTCGGTATGCACTTCCAGCACACTCGCCATGTTGCCGCATCGGTAGCAGTAATTCGGGGCGCTCCACACCGTGCTCAGTCTGTCGTCGTACAGAACCTGGTATCCTTCCTGGCACAGCTGGTGTGCGCGCAGAATATGCGACATGTTGTTGACGGCCAGGAACTTCTTAACGACTTGGGAGCCAAATGTATATCCTGCACCGCGCGGCGAGAGAGAGAATTCGTCCCGTTCCGGGTCTGGGTCGGACCATACGAGATCAGCCATCGGTCCTTCGTGGGGGATTTCGCGGAAGCGGTCTATGATTTTAATCTGGTCTATGGAGTGGATAGACGGTGAGAGGCCACCGTGCACGCAAAAGATTTCGTTGTCGATGACGACGCTGAGTGTCAAGAAGTCGAACATGTCGGTAAAGTAGTGCCATACGTTGGCGTTGCCGTATTTGCGCGAGCACTCGGTGTAGAAGCCGTACGATTGTGTCACACCACGCGATTCGTGGTTACCGCGGATCAAGTGTACTCGTTCGGGGTATCGCAGTTTCAGACAGACTAGCAACGAGATTGTCTCGACGCTGAACATGCCTCTGTCGACGTAGTCGCCTGTCAAAAAATTGCGTTAGCAGGGTGGAGCGAGACGAGTGTCGAGGTTCGTACCTAGGAATAAGTAGTTTGTGTCGGGGCAGTAGCCGCCTATTCTAAAGATTTCAATCAAGTCGTAAAACTGGCCGTGGATGTCACCGACAACCGTTACGGGTGCCTTGACGTGCACCACGTTGCTCTCGCGCATCAGCAGCTCCTTTGTCTTGGCGCATATCGCTTCTATTACGGATTCGGCAAGCAGTTCTCTCTTATATAGGCGCGAGATACACTCGTCGAGATCGACCGAAGCTGTTGGGGAGATCTGGCGTTAACTCGGGATGTGGTCAGGCGACAGGGGGAGGACAAACTCGGAAGGCCGGGCATCCTGGCAGCTATATATACGGTCGGAGCCTCTTGTGTATAGTATTATAGTACAGTAGTCGCTTTATGCGTCGGATAGAGGCGTCAATGGCCTCGTGTGATGCTCGGCGCCTACTTCATCAAGCTCTATCAGGCGGCGAGATCGGCGGCGGGTGAGGGGTCCGGGCAGAATCCGAGCAGTCAGGGCGAGTGGTCCAGGAGAGGTGAGAGGTCGTTGGGTATCGTTTTCGAGTATTCGAGGAGGAGTGGCGGTTATTGAGGTGGTGCCTTGTGCCCGATGTCGTGGATTGCAAAAGCTCTGGTGGCGTGTCTGGAGATGGGCGGTTTGGTAGCGTGAGGTTTTGATGGCGGTCGTCACGGACCGTTGGGCGTTGGCTTACAGTGGGTCGGCGGGATAGACAGGGTGGTGCACGCGGCTGATAACGGTGGAATAGAGCGAGAATGAAATTTGTAGAAGTGCTTATATTCGATGATTGAATTTACAATATAATTTATAGATTTATCTGGGCATGAAATGAAGCTACAGAAAATCGCAGCTGATCATTTGGGGTAGAGCCGGAGGTGGCTTTCAATAGCGAGGTAGAACAAGCAAGCGGCTAATAGACACCGCCATACTTGACTGAAACTGCTTTGTAAAAATGTATATAATTTGTATAGTGTTATTCGTACTTCTAAATATACCTGCTCTTTTTTCCATCAAAATTAAAACGGCCTCTACCCGGCCCAATTAGTGCAAAGCTTCGCTTCCCAAAACAGCCACCAACACGGCACACACGTGGTCCGTGCACCCCGCGTCGCCTCCCTACGGCTGAAGCAACCACCTCACGTGGCGACCGACTAACTCACCGGCCGCATCGCCAAACAACACCAGCAACTTTAGCTTGACAACCACGAATCCCGCGCGAGCTGGCTTTGGTCGCAAGGCTTCCTCCCACACTCGCTTCTGCCGCCGCGCCGTTCATGCCACTGCCAATTTACCCTCCATCGGCGTTTCTTTCTTGATCCGCCCCTCTCCCGCAATCTATATAGATCTGGAGAGAGGGGCCTTTTGGTGTCATTCAACTACTTACACTCGTTCCTTTTCCACCACAGCGTTAGTCGCCTCTTGTTTGTCCGCAGTAATCTTGGCTGTGGAATGGCGCTAGTCTAACTCATATGTAGACCGAGACTGGCGACTGATTCATTGCCAACGCGCCGCCTCGTCACCTGCTGCTCACACCGATCGCGATCAGATAGTCGCCCCAGCCAGCCCAAGTCGAGTCGTCGCGGGTCGTCGCTCACTTGACTGTGCATCTCCAATCGCTGTTGCTCTCAAAGCATAACAGTCTACCACTTTAGAATCAGCGGCCATGTCCGGGCACGCATCTCGACCGGGCCAAGATGAGCCGCGCTGCTACAACTGCGGTGGCTCAGGCCACTGGGCTGTCGCTTGTCCAGAACCGACGAGGGAAACCCCAGCGTAAGTGGCGATGCATTCAATGCAACACGTAGCAGCTAGCCTAATGACACATCTTGGATTCAGCGGCCTCTCCTGGAGAGATGGTGGCAAACAGAAACAGCAACAAGGCGGACAGCGAAACCAAAACAACGGAGGCCGAAAAGCAAAGGGTCCCATCATCACGAAATACGCACCGCCGACGCCCGCGTATAATGGATACTATCCTCCTCCTCCCGGCTACCCTCCTGCCCCCGGATCATATTCAGCGCCACCGGGCACATCCCATCAACAGTCATACCCTCCGCACTACGGTCCGCCAGGCACTCACCAACCGCCGCCGCCTCCTCCTCCTCCCGGCGCAAACTATTCCCAACCTTCATATCCCCCTCAGTCATACCACCCGCCGACCCAGTATGCTCCGCCGCCACCACCGCCGCCAGGACCTCCTTCATACGGACCACCACCAGGCCACGGCTTGCCTCCGCCGCCGCCGCCAGCTCACTTTGGCAATAGCTACAACCAGCATTCCCAGGGCGGCCGTGACAACCGAAATCACAATCAGCACAAGGACCGACGAAATTCTCAGAACAACAACAGGGATAATCGAAACCACGGGTCCCCGAATAACCGGACTGCGTCGTTTTCGAAACCGGCCCATAGCCCGCCGCCGAACGGAAACAACAAGAGATCCCACGGTTCGCCTCAAGCCGCCAAGAATGCGCCGAAGCAATCGCCGTCTAGCGTAAAAGCAAGCCCAAGCACACTTCCAATGGGCATTGCATCGTTGCCGCCTAAGCCGACAAATGCGCTGCCGCCTAAGCCGCCGAAGAGTATACACGATGTTGCCGATCCTCATCGCCTGGATAAGAACCCCAATGCCAACGCCTCGAATCATCCAAACAATAATAATAACAATAACGGTCCGAATAATCAAAAGAATAATAAGAACAACCGGAATAAGGATAACCGAAACCGAAATAACAACAATAACCAAGGCAGTCGGAACAACTCCCAGTCACAGCAAGGCGGACAGGGTGGACGCAACAACTCTCAGTCTCAACAAGGTGGGCGTAACAACTCTCAGTCCCAACAGGGCGGCAGAAACAACTCGCAATCGCAGCAAGGTGGCAAACGGCGAGACTCTGGGCAAGGCAACGAAAACCGCAAGGATAAGCGTAAGAACCAGAACCAGAACCAACACCAGCGCCGTGCAAGTGATGGCAAAAAGGTCAGCGCCCAGTCTTGGTCCCCGAGCGAGCCACGAGTTACCGAGCCAAGCGCAGAGCCAGCCACATCAGTCAAGGAGCATTCAAGCCCCGTTAAGCAGCCCGAATTACCACGACCCCCTTCCAGGGATCTAGATCTAGACATTGAAGGCAATATTCCGGAAGAAGGCGAGGCGCTAGAAGACTCTCCCGAAGCGCCAGCCGACGCACCGCCATCAGCAGTCGAAATAGAGACATCTCTCAAGCGCGAACGCTCCAAGTCTCCATCATCAGACAGAGGCGGCCGCAACCAAGCACCTAAAGACGACTCGCCACCCCGTCGCCGGCGAGACAGCCAGAGCTCCGAGCGAGCCTTGAAACGTCAGCGTGTCGAACGCTGGCGCAAGTCCGGAGAGGCTGGAGAGGCTAGTGATGACGAAGCCCTCGACCAGGCACCCGAGCCAGGCGAGGCAAGTGACGACAGTCCCCCGCGTGCCTCTCGCCCTGTCGAGCGCCGCCCAAGCGCCAACGGCTCGGAGCGCTCTCGCTCCGCTGCATCCACGGCCTCGTCGGATCTCAACTCTCTAGAGGCTGAGCTCCTCGGGCGCCCTGTTCGTCGCCAAAGCTCCGGCTCGTCGGCACCAAAGACAAAGGTCGACAATGCGGCGCCTACGCAGAGTGCTCTGCAGTCGCTGGGGCCGATTAAGAAGAAGCGCAAGCCTACAGATTCTGCGTACAGGTATGTCTACTCGGTACAGGCCCTCTTAACTACATCACTAACCAAGAGTGTAGTCGCCGTTGGTAAACGGCCAATGAAAACCACTTTTTTTCTTTCCTTTTTTTGGCTTCAGTTTTGATACTTTGGGAATAAGCATGACTTGGCGCTAGACTTACGTAGCTGAATAAAATTTTATCCTTTTTTTTCTCCCTTTCATAGATGTCTTTGGTAGTTGATTGTCGCGATGTTGCTGAAATAAGCTTTTGATGTGGCTGCATGCTGCCAAGCATTCTACATTCAACGTCACTTGTAGAATAGATAGCTTGAAGAGTGCATGTTAGAGGCGTTAACTAGAATAAAACAGTACATCGGTAAGAAGCGGCCGATCATTAAAAGTAATAAAAAGACAGCAAGAATAGAAATACACTTTTACACCAGTCGTACAAGCAAAAGCAGAATCAAATAATCAAGTAATCAAAACCCATACGCTTAAGCTCCTGAAGCCAATTGACTTCTGTCTCGGGACGCGTATCCCGCAACTCCCACGCTGCCTTTAACATTTCAATAGCAGTAAATAGGTACCCCCAAGGGCATATCTTCCAGATACGAAGCAGGCGCTCCATGACCCATTTACGCTTCTCTGGGTCGTTCGACTCTGCGCCAGCGATAAAAAGTGGCCAGCTGATTGCTTTAAAGTACGGGTCTGCGTCGTCGATAAAGGATAGATGGTCAAGGATGTCGTCGACAAGTTGCTGTGTCTCCAGAGGCCGGACGGCACGGATAGGCGGTAGGGCTTGTAGCACGTACAGGCACGCCGAAGACCGGTATGCTGATGCGACGTGGATGCGGGACTCCGTGTCTGTGATGGCTGTTGCGGCTTGTAAGTGAGCTACCCAGCTCGGCATGTCATAGTTGACAGCCTGGTCAAAGAGGGCAATAGCCTCGTCGGCGGCAGTGAGAGTCTCGTCCGTAGCGGCCTTTTCGTAGGATAGTTGCGAGGCGACAAGGATGGCTTGCAGGATTTCCGGTGGACATGCGAGGTAGATGTTCATTTCGACACGCTTCATGACAGGGAGCAGTTGGACTGCATGGCGGGCCATGCGCGCAGCGTGAGCGCCAGAGGTGAGCGTGGAGCCGAGGATGTGATAGCTACGAGAGGTTAGAATGCGTTGTAGCAGAAAGTGGGAGGGGAGACTTGCATGAAGTAATCGGCGACGACGTAGTCGCGCAGCATCTGGCTAGAAGGGCTGTTCATGCCGTCGGGTGAAAGCGCCAGCAGGCTGCTCGCGCCTTCGAGATGGGCTTGCCAGTTCTTGGTATCACTCATCTCTGTGTCAATCAGGTCGAACTTGATGAAAAAGTGCATAGCTGCGAGCGCAAGTTCGCTGCCCTCTGCATCGAGGGTCTCTAGAAGCTCGCGCATATAGCCTAGCGCCTTTTGGCGCGCTATTAAAGCATCCGTAAGCGCTTTCTGGGCTACAAGATCCTTGGATCGCATAGCCGTCATGTAGCCGCCAGGGTCGCTGATCCCCGTTGTCGGGGTGCCTGCCGGCCGGAAGATGTTGACCCAATGGATGGCAGACGTGGCAATCACAATCTGCTGCAGCAGCGGGTGCTTATTCGTGAGGGGGATGAGCTCGCGAAAGGGATTGAGGCCCGGGCCGTCGCGGGCCACGAGATCCTGGCATACTCTGTTTGCGACTATACCGGAGGCCATGCATGTTAGTCGATGCGCTTCAAGCAACCTCCGTCGGCGACTTACAGTGTGTCAGATAGTACCGCGAGTTGTGGTCCAGGTCCTGGAAGATGGGATCGGTGAGGCGCGACAAGGGCGATGCCAGCGTCGTTATCGTCGACTTTGCAGCAGCATCGTCGTCGTCTTCTCGGCTTATCGCACGCCCCCCACTTGCTTGAATCGTAGTCGCGTGCTGTCCGTCAGGCGGCGGCGGTAGCGCTGCTCGCAGGAAGTCTGGCGGGAAAGACGCCGGCGGCGGCGGGGGACCACTGGCGGCCGACGCATCATCTGGCTGTGTCCAGACAAAGATCTTGCCGTATCCCAGGCACTCGAGGCCGCCAATCAGACATTTGTTGCAGGTTGGCCAGGAACGGTCGCAGCGCAGGCGGCGGCGGCGACAGTTGTGGCATGCTTTTGCGTTGTTGTTTGATGCTGGCATACGCTGCCCGCTGCGTCGCTGTGAAGCGGTGGCTTGGTTTTTTTTACTGAGAAGGGAAAGAAAACGTAATTAAAATTTCAGGCGGGGTGAGTGACGGCGCTGACTTGGGGCCGTGCAGGTTTGCGGGAGGGCCAGGAGATATTGAGCTTAGGTCATGAAGAGGTTCATTGCGCCGTGTGCCTTGTAAATTGAGCGAGTGAAATGGAAGATGATGAAAAGAAGGGGTTTTGTGACGATCCCCAGCCGTGAAGAAGCGAGTGAGTGACGAGTCGTGGTGGCGCACGAAGCTTTCTTGTTTTGGGTTGGCGCCGGATGGGCTAGGCTGATGGAGTGCCGGCAGAACAGAGAATCCCGTGATGGGTTTAGTTTTTAGGGGACTGTACCAAGTGTGGGGAGGGGGAGGGGAGCCACCTGGCAGGTGGACGACCTCGGTGAGCATAAGTGCATGCAGTGGAATTAGAGTGGCAGCCAGTGTTGTATTGACTAAGTGGCTGGTAGGCTTTCCTTATGGATGTTTGTATTTTTGAAAGAATTGATTTCATTGGGTTGGGGCCAATTGGTGGCTTTCTTCCCTGGACAGTGTTGGCTCGGCTCGGCCACTTATACCGCTAGCTGTGGCATGGCTCGCTTAACACACAACTCTGCATCTGACAAAACAAGTAAAAATCAGACAGTCATCAGTGGATCTCATAAAACAACTAACACACTGTCCTTAGGCTGTCAAAACCAGATACTGTTCCATTTCGGTGCTTCACTCAAAGTATAGCTTCTCCACGCTGTATCTGTGACGAAGCAACCCAGCCTCTTCTGTTTCAAAAACCTAATAAATACAAGGCAGATATCGACTAGAAGCTAACCACAAGATATTTCTTTAGTACTACCTTTCAAACTTGATCCTACACTTCCGCATTTCGACTGCGTCTGTGCAGTACCGCGCGCCTACAACACACTCTCAGGACCGACCAACATCCATCCCGCTTACATCTACACACCACGCCCCTGCTATACTCTAGTTTATATGTTCTCTGGCATCCAAGAGTCATACCCGGAGATTATTTTCGCTCTAGTCAGCCACATGTCATATGTTCCGGAGCCAGCCCCGTTGGATCCGATCCGGTCCCGTGATGTCTCTCATATGTCCGGAATGCGACAAGAAAGCCCTACTTTTATTTCTGACCCCCAATCTGTCGCCATAGTAAAATACGCACTTTGAGATGCCATCTAGTCAGCATCGGACAATCCTTGCACGAAAGCAAGGGTGACGCTGTCATCCGCCGACGAGCCGGCGGTTTACTTGGGCCATCGATGCCCAATTCTGATGGCAGAATCATACTTTGACTCCGAAAAGGGATACAATCCCCCTGTAGAAGCTTACTTTCCATCAGTGACGTTATTCTTGTTTTGGACAGTGGAATGCTGTGGTAGTGTCTCAGATGGCCTGGCCACCAACGGCGACTAGACGACGGTATCCCCCTGCTTGGTCTGAAATTACTCCTATATAAGCCCTGAATACCGGCCGCAGCAAAATAACACTCCTAAAAAATATTCGCACGATTAAATATATACGGGCAGCGCACAGGCGGCCTGGGAGACGTGTTGGCGCAGCATTTCGATATCCACATTTTCGACTTACACGATGGCGGCGCACAGCGAGCTCCCGATGGAGCGTCCGACAGAGGCAGATGAGAAGCAGCAGCTAGTCGATCTCGACAAACTAGGGCGTCAGCGACCAGAAATATTCTCTTCGACAGCGAAAGAAGTCGCTTTTGTAATATCTATGCTCGGCGCACTCACTATGGCTGTATGTCCATCCGACCAACATACGCCACGCCAAAACTAACAGCTTGCAGGACTTTGTTATTGGAGGCTTCCAAGTCGTCCTCCCTTTCCTCGTCGGACCACTCGAAATATCTCCCGAAACACAAACATGGCCCGTCTCGGTCTTGACGCTCGTCGCTGGCGCAACACTCTTCCCTCTCGGCCGCGTGACAGACATGTACGGCGGCTACTTGGTATTCCACGGTGGTCTGTTATGGTTTACACTCTGGACTATCCTCGGAGGATTTTCGCAAAACTTCACAATGTTGGTTATATCCCGCGCCATGGAGGGATTAGGCGCTGCGGCATTTCTCCCAGCTGGTATTTCTCTATTGGGGAGAATATATCGCCCTGGACCACGAAAGAACCTAGTTTTTAGCCTCTACGGTGCCATTGCGCCGCTAGGGTTTTGGGTCGGTCTTATTTTCGGTGGTATGGCTGAGGACCTTCTCGAATGGAGGTGGTTCTTTTGGCTCGGTGGTATCATGTCTGGCCTCTTTTGTGTCGGATCTCTATTAACATCGCCCAAAGATTACATTGAAACTCGACGAATGGGTGTCAAAATGGATTGGTGGGGAACATGCACAATGGTCCCAGGCTTGCTCCTCTTTGTATATGCAATTACGGGCAGCTCGGAGGCGGCAAACGGCTGGGCCACACCACAGATTATCGTCACCCTTTCGTTGGGGCTCATCTTCTTGGCCGCTGCAGTCTACGTGGAAGGTTGGGTAGCTGAAGCCCCTCTGATCCCAGCGGATATTTTCCGGGTCAAGTATATGAAGCGGATGCTCGTTTGTCTCTTCATCTCTTGGGGCGTCTTTTCCATTTACCTCTATTATTCTAACTTCTAGTGAGTTGTATCTGGCCTACTATCTGATGTCATACTAACAATCCTAGTATTACCAAAATTTTACATAAATCGGCACTTACAACAGCGTTTTGGTTCGCTCCATGGGCAGCGGGTGGCTTAGTCCTCGCTACGATGAGCGGATTCATTTTGCACATTCTTCCTGGTCGAATCCTCCTCATAATGACAGCAACTTGCAAGATTCTTGCCGTCCTGTTCTTTGCTTTGATGCCGGAGAATCCTACCTACTGGGCCTGGGTCTTTCCAGCTATGCTCGCAGAGGCAGCGTGCACCGACGTTTTGTGGACTGTCAGCAACGTCTTCCTCACCACAAGCCTGCCCGCTCATAGGCAGGGCCTTGCTGGGGCTTTGATTAGCGTGTCACTATTCCTAGGAGGAGCCTTCTTCCTTGCGATAGCAGATGTTGCCAAGGGCGCTTTCGCTAGTGCCGGCATGGATCTCAAGACGCAGTACAGGAATCTCTTCTGGCTTGGCGTTGGCTTTGCTGCGGTGGCCTTTGTTGTCTGCTTCTTTATAAAGATTGGAAGGGCAGATTGCTCCTCTCCAGCGGACAGAGTGGACGACGTGGAAGTCAAGGAGCCTGATTCAGACTCTGATGCCTCGTCCAAGTTGTCTAGTTCGCCTAGCGGACGTAGCGTGACCGACAGCGAAGCTGAAGCGAACTCAATTATGCAGGGAGAAAACGGTGTTATAGGTTTGGGAATCACAAATCCTCGGGCAAAATAGCCGGAAGTACTTATTTTGTATATGCGATAAATTTACCATTTTATGATATTTCTTCAATTTCTTCAATATGCAAGCCTCCAGTCACTGTGGAGCTGAGTGGCGTTTTCCACCAATATAATGAAAAATAAGGTGGACCTCATACAAGAAGCACAAGCCCGGTTGGCTAAGTGGTATAGCGTCTCACTAGTACTTCCTAGTGAAATGAGAAGATCATGAGTTCGATTCTCATACTGGGCATCTTCTTTTTTTGCTGTTTTTTGACATTTTGGTTCACGCCAACACAACGCGGACTCTGCGTAAGGCGGGGTACAATCAGTGCGTTATTTTACGATGCCATAAACTACATAATCTCCTTTTTTGGTCAATTCAGAATTGCCTTCAAAAATTACACTTCTCCCGTCGCAGGGCGAACACCAAGGGCGTCAAAGTCTTTACCATCGGCGGTATATTGAACTTGCAGCTCATCCGAGTCTTCGCCAACTTCGAGCCATGTCTGGCTGGTGGCAGGAATTGGGGAAATCATGCAAAGTCCCCAGTAAATGCCTGCCGAGAGGATGAATCCCATGAAATAATTGAGGTTGTAAATGTACATGGCAGCGTCAGGCACAGTCGCGCCTACAGCGCCGGCAAAGCCAACAATGTTGATCATGATACCGGCAAAGTATGCTGCATACGCTCGCCAGTGGAAACCATACGAGAAGTAGTACGATCCTGTATTTCGGGCGTCGTACAGATCTCTGACTACTAGCATTCCCTTGCGGACAAAGTAATAGTCTGAAATGATGACTCCAGCAATGGAGCTCAGAAACACGCTGTAGGCGGACAAGTAGGTAGTGAACTTGTTGGAGTCGCTCAGGAAGTTGTATGGGCACATGGCAATGCTGACTGCCGCGCAAATGTATCCACCACGGCGGATATTGATGTAGCGCGGCATCAAGGCAGTCAAGTCGGTACCAGCGGAGATGGAGTTTGCTGCAATGTTGGTAGCCAGCTGCGCGAGAGCAAATGCCAGGGCAATGACAAACACACCGAACCTCTGCGCAGCGCCAGCATCATCCAAGAAGCGTCCGAGCAAGTCCAATGGGTTCCAAATAGTCTCTCCAAAGATGACACTAGATGAAGAAGAGACTAGGATACCAAGCAGAGAAGTAACTGCAAAACTTGCGGGGATAGAAAGCAGCTGAGGCAAGAAGGCATTCTTGGGATGGCGTGCAAAGCGAGTAAAGTCGCAATCATTGACAATCAAGGTAGCAAAGTTGGCAATGGAGGACATGACGCCCTTGACAAACTCCCAAGCAAGGTCATTACCAGACAACCTTGCAGGCTGGGAGATGATGGGGCCGACGCCCTTGGCGCGCACAATGGCCCAAATGACAAAAGCCAGCGCCGCAAAGGGCACGATATAGGCCTTGACAGTGAACAAATGTCGAAGGCGGTGGACAGGGAACCAAAGCACAGGCAAGGAGACAAGCCAGAAAATGACAAAGGAGACATAGTCTGGGGTACTTGTGGCGGTCGTGTTGAAGGGCCCGGGCATGGCCTTTCTATCCCATGACGGCCATATGGAGCGAATCATAAGATAGACACACTGTCCACCCAGGTACGCTACGACTCCATACCAGACGCATGCTGGGTATAATGTGTTAGCTTGGCTTGATGCAACGCTGTCGGCGACCTCCGAACTCACCCATGACCGCCCGATTGAAGACAGGCCAGATGGCTCCCCAGATTCCAAACGACGATCGGCTGGCAACGGGAAATCCAATATGGTAGACGGCTCCAATGCGTCCCGTGCAGACCAAGAAGCAGCCACCAATTGTGTATCCGAGCCAGACGCACAGCCAGGCCTGCCACCAGGACAGGCCGCTGGTAATCATGGACGAGGCAATCATCCAGGTGCCAATGTTTGCGCTGTCGGCAATCCAGAAGCCGACAAAATTCCAGCTACCCCATAGTCGGCGTTCTTTTTCCACGGGCTTGAGATCATGGTTGAACAGCTTGTGGGTGTTAGTAGGGCGAGATCGGCCGAGATCAATAATGCGGGGGAGACGATACCATGAGCTGCGCAGAGGTAAGGCCGTCCTCTGCCTCGACGGAGAGCTTGCGAGCCCAGTACTTTAATGTCGACATGCTGTAAAGATGTAGGTTTGTCGTTCAAGATATCGGGGAATAAACCAGTAGACAAGGAGGGGTAGGAGGACTAGCTCGCTCTTTTTAAATCAGGGCTGTCGAAACTGCTACATCTTGGACTGTAAGCGATAGCCCGGCAGACGGAGTGTGGGGGAAGCGCTAGAACTGCAAAGTCTAATGGCTGAAGCAATCGGCGCGCCGGTATCGTTCGTTGCAGCCATTAGCCTGGCGTAGATTGTCTTTCCCCCCACGGACATGTCGCCGCGATAGGCGGGCTGGCATGTCGGAGGATGAGCGATGGGCTAAGAGGCGCCGGGGACGGCCGATAGGAGGTTGGGGGCGTGGGGCTTGGCAGACGAGAAACCATTGAGTCTTTTTCCGAACTAGCGTGGTTTGCGCGTGGAGGAGGTTTAAACTTGGTGGTGATGCGGCGAGATGCGGTGGAGGCGGGCGTTTTCAACGTGGCAGCGATAGCGTAGTGTTGGATAGTAATAATGAGGGGCTCTTGTAGGGGATTGTAAGTCAGTGTAAAAGGCTTTTTGACGAATTATTTGGGGTATTGGAGTATAGCGGTTGATGGTTGGCGTTGGTAAATTTGGAGAACGGTACGAGACTCGTGATAAGGAAACGGACGCTGTTTGTGGCTTGCTGGAGTTACAACACCGCCAGATCAGTCTATAAATTGATCTATTCTGATCTCTAACAATATCTCTATCGTCTATATATCATGATATTTGTTCAATTAACACTGATTATGTTTCAAATCTGCATTGTTGAGACGCGTCATGGCGCTACCCTGTACACTAGAAACTGTATATTTTTTTTTCATACCTCTAGTACGATTAGCGTAGTGGGCCTCTTGAATTATGAGGGAGGTAATGTGGTAGTTAATTTGTATATGAGGAGTTTGAGCGGTTTGAATGCATTTACTTGCATAATTGATCGTATCTACAGGATGGCTGTGCATATAAGATCAAGCTTAGCTACTACACGGTCCTAGTTTTGGTAACGCTATATGCAAGGCGCTGCTTATATGCTGCTAAGTAGAGTCGACTTGATATTTCACAATATTTTGACAGCTTTTTACGTTTTTCTGCGTATTTAATAGTTCTTCTTTACGCTTGATACCGGAGGGGTACTATTCCCTGCAACTCTACATGCTGTTATTGCTGTATTTTTGGTTAGTCTTCGGGACAGAATTGGTATGTATATATAGTTTAGTAATTAATAAATATTAACAAAGAATATAAAACGTAAAGAATTTTGCTTTCCCTTTGTGTCTATCATTGTTTTGCTGCCCAGTAGGGGACCCCGCTACGCGCAGGAGAGGAAAAAAAAAGTTGAGCGGCTTTCAAACTGCTTACCACTGTGGAGAGCTTGCATCAAACATCACCGCCCTTTACGCGTTTGCCCGGGCTTCTGCATTTCTTTTCTGCTGCCAGCGGCTGCATTGCAAACAAGACAAGGAAGAAAAGAAAAAAGAAATTAAATAGAAGGAGCTCCGGATTTTATTCCTTCTCCTTTTGCATTTCTTTCTTTTCCAAGTTTCCTTATTTCTGTTCTTCTTTCACTTGCATAGGCTCCGAAATACCCCGCCATCCGCCCACATCAACACAAATCATCACCACCATGGAGGACCAACTAGCACATCTTCTCGCCGAGGCCCAGCGCAGCGAGCAGGCTCCCCGTCAGCAGGCCGAAATAGAGCTTAAGCGTGCCCAGACAAACCCTGCCTACCCGACGGCACTCGCCAACATTGCGTCTCACACCTCCATCAACACCGGCATCAGACAAGCTGCGCTGAGCACGCTGCGTCTGTTCATTCAGAACAACTGGGCCGTTGGGGACCCCTCCAATGAGAACCCGATCCCTATTGCCGACGAGACGAGGCAGGTTCTGCGCCAGACACTGTTGGACTTGGCTGTGAGCTCCGAGAACGACCGCCTTGTAAAGGTGGCCACCAGGTAGGTAGACCGACTATATATATATACACGCGTGCTTCGCCTTAGCAGCAGGGGAACTAACGAACATTAAAACACCAGTTATGCTATTGGCAAGATTGCTATCCACGATTTTCCCGAACAGTGGCCTACCCTCCTCCCCACCGTCCTCAGCGTCGTCCCCAACGGCAATGACTCTCAGCTGCACGGTGCACTCAAGGTCCTCGGTGACCTGGTCGACGAGAGCTTGAGTGAGGACCAGTTCTTCTCCATGGCCCGCGAAATTGCAAAGACGCTCACCGAAGTTGCTATCAACGAATCGAAGAAACCCACACTCCGCGCCCTCGCTATCAAGGTCTTCTGCGGCTGCTTCGACCTCATGGACATGGTGAAGGAGGACCACGCCAAGGAGGTTAAGGCCTTTGCCGAGGAGGTCCTGACGGAATGGAACCCTCTGTTTATTAGTGTCCTCAAGGCTCCTCTGCCTCAGGAGGAGGGCAGTACGTTCCAGAGACAGCCTTCCAGCTGGAACCCCGCCATCGCGCTCAAGCTTCAGGTTGTAAAGACGCTGTTGCGCATCCGCCGCGTTTTCCCTACCGTCTTGCTTCCTCAGAGCACCACCCTGTTTACGGCTGTCTGGGAGGAACTCAAGAACATGCTGCCTTACTACGAGCAGCTCTACCTCAACAACGAGGCTCAGGGCCGCCTGGAGGACTCCGACGGCCTTGGCTATACCCTCGACTTCCTCATCTTGGAGGAGCTTGACTTCTTGAACCAGTGCTTCCGTGCTGCCCCCGTGCAGGCTGAACTCGACGGCCAGCTCCAGGCCCACGCCTCTGCTGCTGATGTGCCCTGGATGATGGAGATTATGCAGATGCTCGTCGGCTACTCTCGCGTTATGCGCGAAGAGGAGGGGCTTTGGGATATTGACTGCTCGCTCTACCTCGCCGAGGAGACGTCTGTCTCGGCCAACTACACGCCTAGAATTGCCGCTGGCGATTTGCTCATCAAGATGGGCGAGTGGTTCAAGCACAAGACTCTCGAGGGTCTCTTTGGCTACACCAAGAGCCTCTTCCAGGGCGAGGGTGCTGGATGGCGTCCCCAGGAGGCTGCCCTCTACCTGTTTGTAATGCTCGTCTGCGACTTCCAGGATCTTGGCAAGCCTATTCCCGCTGATATTGCTGGTGCATACCTTGAGCTCGTCGAGTTCTCCATCAACAGAGCTGACGAACCTCTGCTGCGCGCCCGCGGCTTCCTCGTTGCTGGCGCCGTTGGTCGTGCCTTTGAGACCCCTCCTGCTCTCATCGACCGTATGATCCAGTCCATTGGCACCGAGCCCTCCGAGGTGGTCCAGGTTGCCTGTATCAAGGCCGTCGAGAACCTGATTAGCGCCGGCAAGGTCACCTCTGACCGCCAGGTTGCCATTATCTCTGCCATCCAGCACTACCTCAACAACAAGGATGCCGAAGAGCTGGAGGAGGCTGACGAACTTCTTGTTGTCCTCGCCGAGGGTCTTCGCGCCGCCATCAGCCTCAACACAAGAGTTGCTCTCTCTACTGAGGTGCAGTCTGTGGAGCTTCTCTTCCTGCTCGCCAAGGTTGGCGCCAGCAACTTCCAAGTCACCATGTTTGTGGCTGAAGGCTTTGAGGAAATCGTCGACAGCCTCAACGATCCCGAGTCTTTCAAGGTCCTTTGCTCCAGAGTCCTGCCCGGCTTGACTGCCGCGTACGACTCTGTCGACCCCAAGAGCGACGACCCTCTCGTCACTGTGAGTTTGATACAAAAGTCTTGGCAAAGGTCTCTTACTAACACCTTTTTTATAGGTTGCCACTGAGCTGTTGGCTGTCATGACAGAAAACGCCTCCAGCCCCCTTCCCGAGGGCTACGTCGCTGCCGTCTTCCCCAAGCTGTCGCGTCTTCTCATGGAGACTTCTGAGGGTGAGATCCTCCGTCCTGGTTCTGAGACTATCAAGTACATGCTTGTCCACGACCACCAGCAGGTTCTCACATGGCAGGACGAGTCTGGCAGCTCTGGTCTGGAAGTCTGCCTGCACATTGTAGACAGACTTTTGGGCCCTGCCATTGAAGACACCTCTGCCTCTGAGGTTGGTGGCCTCGCTGCTGAGCTCGTGGAGAAGGCGGGTCATGAGCGCCTTGGTCCTTTCTTGCCCCAGCTTCTCCAGGCTGTTGCCAACCGCTTGGCTACTGCTCAGGCCGCCGCTTTTATCCAGTCCTTGATTCTCGTCTTTGCCCGTCTTGCCCTCAACGGCGCCCAGGATGTTGTCGAGTTCCTTAGCCAGATTCAGATTGAGGGCGAGAACGGTCTTCAGGTTGTCATTGCCAAGTGGCTCGAGAACTCTGTCAGCTTTGCTGGCTATGACGAAATCCGTCAAAAGTAAGTTTCCTGTCAGCGCACCTTAGCTCATCTACTAACACCGCCCAGCGTCATTGCCTTGTCCAAGCTCTACTCGCTCAACGATGCCCGCCTCTCGCAGGTCCAGGTCAACGGTGACCTTGTCCCTGCCGAAGACGACGGGTTGATCAAGACTCGCTCCCGAGCCCGCATGAGTATGGAACCATATGACCCCCCTGGACCACCACTAACGGATGTAGACCCCGACAAGTACACCATCATCCCTGCCTCGCTTAAGATTATCAAGGTTCTTATCGAAGAGCTCCTCTCTGCGTCTGGCGCTCGTGCCACTGCTGCCGCCGCCGCCCACGCTATGGCCAACACAGACGATCTCGATGATGACGACGGCGACGAGGGCTGGGAGGACGACAACGACATCATCGACCTCACCCTGGGTGGTACGAAGTCCGACCTCATGTCGTTCATCGAGGCCGGTGGCCACCGCCAGCGTGACGACGAGACGCAAGCCTTCCTCACCGAATTCTTTGTCTCAGCTGCCCGTGACAACATTGCTAACTTCCAGGAGTGGTACAACTTGTTGACTGAGGACGAAAAAACCAAGCTCAACCAAATGGCCAGCCCCGATGGTCAGTAAGAGGCCTGTCTGGCATACAACATCAACATCAACCATAGACAAAATACCAAAAAAGAATACAACAAGAAGGTTAAAATTAATGAGGGCCGAAGCCATTATGAAGTTAAAATGATGAAGGGAATATGGACTGTGACAGACTTCCAGTAAGGCAGACCCCTGTGGGCAACATAAACATTATTACACTATTTTATCAATTTCTTTTCCCTCCAAATATCATAACTCGTGAAACCATGGTAAGCGTACAAACTATATCTTCATTCTTTAAATAATATCTCCTCCGCCTCCAAAGGGGTTACTACCACCAAAGGTGTTGCCTCCAAACGGACCACTACCACGTCCAGGTCGAGGACCACCACCGGGACCTAGAGGATCCCATCGAGCACCAGGAGGAGCTTGAGGATGATATCCGTCGCCTGAGCCGGGGAACCCACCGCCGCCTTGGCCGCCAAACAGAGGATCGTCAAATGTCGGGTGCATTCCCGACCCACCGGGCCCTCCGAGCCCTCCTACACCAGGAATAAACGACGGACGAAGAGGGTCATGCGGCCCCAGACCCGGCGGATGCAAATCATCATGGCCAATATTAAACGGCGAGCGGCCCGGCATGCGCAGCGCGCCACCAGCTCCAGGCGGCCGGTTCATATCGTACTCGTCGTCAAAGCCCGGTGGCGGGAAATCCCCCATAGGCACAGGTGGTCGAGGTCTCGCGGCATCAGGGAGTGGTCCAGGCTGAGGATAAACACCTGTTGATGGGTCACCCGCAAAAGGTCTGTTGGGGCCGCGCGCCTCCTGATCCCGGCGCTCCTGTGTCGCTTGCTGCTCGGCATCTCTTGTCTCTGTCTCTGTGTATCCTTCCTGCTGTAGACGCGGGATGAGGCGCTGGACAATCTGCTCACGGAGGTCGGTGAGGATGCTCTCAATGGCCTCTGCGGATGTGAATGCGGCACGGAGGCGCGCGGGGAGGTCGGAGCGGTCTTCTTGGCCGTTGTTGAGGGTGATGCGCAGCGGGAGCGCGGAGGACGAGACAACGTCGCGCGTGAGGCGTTCAAAGCGGTAGATGGTCTCGGCGCCGGCGGCGAGGCCGCGGATTTCGACTTTGGCGCCCATGCGGTCGATGCGGAAGATGAAGCTAAGGGCGGACTGCTTGTGCTTGTAGACGAAGGAGAGGGTGCCGAAGCCGGTGTTCCAGGATGCGGGGAGACGGGGGGCTAGGGATTGACATTCAGCTGTGAAGGAGTGTTAGTATAGTGAAGTGAGGAGGATGGTATGCACAGAATGGAATGGGGTGGTGGTGTGTTATGTGAGGTTGTTAGTGAGAGTGAGGACTTACACAAGTTGGCGTCTTCCTGGAAGCCGACGAGGCGAAAGTCCAGGGCGGTCAGGTAGGCATGGACGAGAAGAGCAATGACTTCGTAGGAGCTGGCAATGTCGGATGAGTCGTCGCCGGGCGGATGCGTGGGCAGCGCATCGGCCATCTGCTGCAGGATGGCGTCTGTGGAAAGATTGGACATGCTGAAGACGCAGCACGTAGGATGCAGTGTAATGTGATTGGTTGGATGTATATGAGACGGTGATTGGTTGGATTATATAAGGCTGTGATGGGCGATGTAAGAGGCGATGGAAGGGTTGGTGCTTATATAAATGATGGACGTGGCTTAGACGTTGATGTTGGAGGAGAGAGAGGCGACGTCATGGTGATCGTTGCCTGTGGTGGTGTATTTGTAGTGTAGTGGGGGATGCGGGGTGCAGGCGGCGGTTTACAAGGACGGTGGATGACTTGAAAATTGTTATAATAAAACTAAATAAAAATTGAAACGCCTATTTGTATAAATAGTATAGCTATAAATATTATAAATGAATTTTCTAAATTCGAATGGTCGTGGTGGTAGACCGTCCAGTGTGGCCCGTCACGTGCAGCTCGCTTCAACTACATTCGTGAATCTCGCGATGTCAACTACTACGCGACAACCACTACCAACGACATAAATCCTGCAAAATGAAACGAAATCGCGCATCCAATTACATATACAGATCGTAATTGCAAACTTTCAACGCGCCTCCACAAACCCCGACTCCAGTACCATCATCTTCACATCCTTCACCAAATACTCATGCACGTTCATCCTCCATCGCAAGAACACGTCCACCATCCCTCAAATAATTCCTAACAAAATCCTTCACACTCGCTCCAACCTCAAATACTCTCCCACACCACAACAGAAACAAATGTCGCCCTTCACCCCCGAACAGGCATCCCGCCTCCTCACATCTTTCACCAACTTCCTCACGATCGCCACACACTCCATCCTCTACCACCGCGCCCTCTACCCAGCCGCTAGCTTCCTCACCGCTCGCGCCTACAACCTCCCCGTTCACCAGTCCCGCCACCCCGGCCTCTGCACATGGATCCGCGACGCCGTCGCCTCGGCCGCCGACCAGATCCGCGCAGGCGCCGCGCACGCCCTCTTCATCGTCATATACTCGCCCACCAGCGCCGTCCTCGAGCGCTGGGTCTTTGATCTGTCCTCGTTCCCCGCGTCCTTTGGCGACAAGGCCAAAGTCAGCAGGGACTTCAAGACGGGAGACACGGGCGGTGACGTCAACTGGGCAGATGTCGATGAGGCGCTGCGTGGTGCGCTGCGCCGGATTGCCTTTCGCGCAGAGGGGAAGGGCAAGTTGCCCGAGGGGTGCACGTTTACTATTGCCGTCGAGTTAAGAGACGAGGCGGAGCCGCCCATATCAGTATGTATTATCTTCTTAAAGTGAAAAATTCATGTGGGACTGACTGAGAATATAGCATCCCCAGGTTTGGATCCCGTCAGAGCCGAGCTTGCAGGTGCCGTCGCACAGGTATCCGCATCATGGGACCGCGAGAGGCGGAGAGCTGACGACGCCGATTCGCGCGGTGCAGGCTGGGCCGCTGTTCTTTGAGTGTTGGGTGGAAGAGAGGGAGGAGGAGGCGGCGTCGTCGTCGCAAGCAGAGGAGAATGAGATGGATGTGACGATTGGGTCGGACATTACGACGCTGTCGCAGCAGATTATATAATGACACTGGTCACGGCAAGAGAATAGAAATGTGTATCAGTATGTCTTCATATCTACATTAATAAACGCCCTAAATCAAGCGAGCTGGTTTCGTTCCATATGTCGCCCTATATATAATGTACAGAAATAAGAGAAAGAGCCATTCATCTAAAGCCCATGCTCGCTCCGCAGTGCTGCTCGCAAGCTAACAATCTCTCGCTTCAATTTCGCATTCTCCTTCTTCATCTTGGCCGTCTCGTCAGCCTGCTCCTTTAGCTTCGTCATCATCTCCTCCTTCTCGTCTTTACCCTTGCCCTTGAGCGCGCGCAGAATTCGGCTCAGTTCCCCGTTAAACTTTTCATATAGCAGCTCGTTCTCAGCAGTCACCTCTTTATGCAGCTGGTCAATGGCACGGACCTTGGTCTCAGTTGTCTTGACAGTCGTGTCCATTTCCTTCTGTAGCGCTGTCTGCCGCTCCTGCAGTTCCTGGAACAGCTTCGGGACCTGAATCTCCAGTGCCCGTACAGAATCAGCGAGGGCCTTGATCTCGGACGGTGCACTGTTCTCGTGCAGCTTGGTGACTTCTTCGCTAATGTTGGATAAGACCGTTTGCATATTGTTGCCTGTGCTCTCAATAGCCAGTTGGTCAGACGCCATTCGCTCGCGCAGCTTCTGTGGCGAGTTTAGCCGCAGCTTCTGCGGGCTTCGTGTAGGACTCCGCGATTTCCGGTCTGTTGAATCATTGGTAATGTCTGACTGTGTAGCATAGAGCGTGGGGATGGTAGAGACGGAGAAAGCCTTGACATGCTTCGTGGGAGACTTTGTCGGTGAGCCGCCCATGGTTTGTTCACTTGCTGGGCTTGACCGGACATTCTCCTTTTGCTGCGGGACCTGGAAACTCGAATGGACGATGCGATCTTTGCTAGGCGACGCTGGTGAAGCTGCATTCAGCTTGCCAGAGGTCTGCCTTGTAGCGGCCAAGGGCTGTGGCAGCTCTTCTTCATCCTCAAGCGTAGCAGCCTCCATGAGCATCTTCAAATCAGACAACGAACTACGTCTCTTCTTTTTGGGACTTCGGACGCCTAGGCCCTCGACTCGTCCACTCATGGAATCCGCGGTGTAATCTGATCGATGAGAGCTGCCTGGGCGAGGGTCGTCAAAGGCGCCCAGAATAGGGGGGCGACGATTTGGCGTTCCCTGTGCCGTACCGCCGCGCAGAAAGCTGCTCTCATCCAGGTATCGACCGGAAGCCTTTGAGATACTAGAAACCTCGCCAGTAGCAGGGTTGCGATGTCGGGAAAGGCTGCGGAAGACCGAAGGCTTGTTCTCCTCCTTGGGACGCTTAAACAAGTCTAGTCCAAACCTCTTGCGAAGCGATGAAGTGTTGGAGGCGACAGAGCCAGCAAGAGAGTTTTGCTTGCGAAGAGTCGAGTGCATCGAACCTGCGACAGAGTTGCTAAATTCGTAACCCTGTGCTGGTGATTCGTGGAAGATTCTATCGCAGTCCTCGACCAAGCGATCGAGCAGATTGATATACATGGAAGCGCTTCCATTAGTAACGAGAAGCTCTGCAAACATGAGTGTCAGTGCACCGCGGTCGCCATCATTGGCGCAACCGTCAAGGAGTTCCGCCAAGAGCTTGATGATTCGCGCAAAAGCTCGCCTGTTTTGCGGCGCCATGTCTGCAAAGAGATAGTGAACAAAATCAGCAAAGTCCCCTGGCGCCCGTCTGTTAGCTCGGTCCTGAAGCGTGTCAAGCGACTGCATTGACATGACGGGACCCATTTGCGAGGTCCAAGCAATGCGGAGGAAGTTCTCAAAGGCAACAAACAAGACTTCAATAGTTACATCTGGCCCAATCTCAGCATCATATGGATTCTCCACCAGCTTGTTATACAAGTCATTGACAGCAAGCTCGTCCGCTGAATGACGGCTCAGGATGTGCTTGCTGACAATGGTACCCTTTCGGGCCAAAAGTGCCTTGGTGTAAATGGAAAACGTCTGCTCCAACCTCATCAACGGGTTGTCTGGGATGTCATCTTCAACAAACGACGGATCGTCCCGGCCTCTAATAGAGCCCTGGAAGGAGTGGAAGCTGTTTGTTCTGTGTAGAGATGGCTGCAGCGGCTGCTTGGTAGACATGACAGAATCTGGTGTCCCAGCAGCACCTCCGCTCCACAGACTTGCGAATAGCTTTACGGGAGAAGTCGCTAGGAACGATTTTGTCTTCTCAGCACGGGCTGTAGATGCCTCAAAGGTAAGGGTACGGAGAATCTTGGTGTAGTAGGAGACCAACGGTCCTGTTAGTTGCATATTTGCGACGCTGTGCTGCGTGCTCATTAGTTGAATTACTATTCCTGGTTAGTGTTTGAACCGTGATTGATGTGTATAAGAAGAGGACTCACATCGGCGAGACAGGGCGGGGAGAAAGTCTTCCAGAGCTACTTCGTCATGGTACTCTTTCCCATTAAGACCGACAGTAACCATTGACAACCGTTTGAGGTCACCGGCATTAACAGCAACGACGATTTCCACACCGTAATGACCAACAGGTGCACCCTTGGTGCCTCTTTCGTAGTCGACGACGACTCGTACAAATGCCGGTTCCTTTCGTCCTTCCACTAGCTGATCAGCACCTTCTTGAAAGACAGCAGCGTGCAAGCCCAAATCCGTGTCTGGCATACGGACAGATCGCAGAGTCCAGCAAGGATCATCTCGCTCTGATTCGGAGAAGCGTGACTCGATTCTAGCTTTCACCACGTCTTCGCCAAATTTGGCGGCTCGTCCTTCCAACGAATCTTGTAGAAGTAGGCATCTTGACGTTGCATACGTGCTGACCTTGTGTTCACCAGTATGCGCACCCTTCATGGTTTGGGTAGAAGTCATCCATATCAAATTGCCATCCAACGAGTGTGTAAACTTGATATCGGACAGACTATGCCATCCTGTAAATGCATACTCATGAGACGCCTGACCTCCTGCAGCATTCGTCATAGAAATGAGCAGCTCAGTCGCCGAGGGTTTGTCGATTTCACGGAGCAAGTCGCGACCAGTCATGGCGCTTCCAAGTTTCTTGATCACCACAATGCAGTCTGTAAAGAGGAGAATCAAGCCGGCATTGTCCGTCATATTGAGGGATAAGCGGAACGGGGCCTCAAGCTCAACAAAATCTACGGCGTTGATGAGACGGCCCTGGGGTTCCAGCTCTGTCGGCCATGCCTCAACCAGCCCACGGAGGCGAGTAGCAATGTGTGGCTTGTCGGGAGATGGGTCGTCGAGAGAACATATAGTTGTAATTATATCTCGCGCCTTCAACATTGGCTGCAACGCAGGATGCGTCATGGGCAGGCACCCAACAATTTGGTCAATAAGTAGACTATATCGTGGCAGTCGCTGTACAGGTTCGATGAGTGTAGATCTGATAGCCTGCTCTCCAATGGGACCGGATCGTTGGCGCATGGTTGATCCCACATCAAGGAAGCTCATAATTACCGTTGGGAAGTGGTGGCTTGCTTTGATGTAATCTTGGTAGCAGTCGGAAAACCTGGGGAACCACTCCAAGAACATCTTGGCAATGGCTAGAGCACCGCTAGGATCCTTTGGCCGCGCAGGCCCTTGACCTCGAGGGCTCATGAGATTTTGCGTGCTAGTTTCCATGTCTTGAATGGCTTCTTCCTCGGTCTCGTCCATGATTCGACGCAGCTCGCTTAAGAATCCGCTGTTGATGGTGAGAATCTTGTCCGCCGAGTCTGGAAATAGGCTTCCAAGTTCTTTTTCAGCGGCACTTAGCGAATCGGCAGGCTTGGCTTGAAAGCTTTCTCTGAATTCCGTGGTAACATGATGCACCAGCTCGTTTAGCTTGAGCACATATCGCTCTTCCGTGTCGATTAGCTCAGCAAGCTTCATCCTCAGTTCAATCTTTTGACCCGTGTTGAACGATTTGCTCCGGTTCAAAGCTGTAGGTTTTGACGGGGCTCTTCGGAGTCTGCTTGTCGGTAGAAACACAGACTCGCCCAGCAGTCTAATCAGTGGTGTATATCCTCCGTATTGGCGCAGTGACGGGTCGAGTATGTCGTCTTCGTTTTCGGGCACCTCTTCGAGTTCGTTTGGTTGGAGCGGCACAATAGCGCCTGGCGGGAGTATAAAGTCGAGATCTATGTGGCTAACGTGCTGCGTCTGCAGCGCATCCTGCAGTGTAGCAATGATGTTTGCAGTGTTATCGCTCTTTACCATTGTACCTGCAAGATCACCTGCGTGCTGCTCGCCAAACAGCGACGGGCCGCTTCCCGGCCGTCTGCCTCGGGTGGGATATGCATTGCGCAAGTAGGACTTGACGCCGTCGGGCAGCTCTGTAAAGTATTTGGACAGACCAAAGGCCAGCCCACGATATACTTCATCGCCTTGGAACTCGCGGGGCAAGTATTTGACAGCCTCGAAGAACGGGGACTGTGGCGAGACGGTCAAGCGAGGATAGCTCTGTAGACCGGCCGGTGTGAGGATGTGTATCTGGACTCTGGAGCTGTTGAGTGTATAATTCGAAGTCGTTGATGCGCCGTGGAAGACAAGAATCGGGAGGTGGCCGAGGAGAGGATCTGAAGCGTGGTAGACGACGACGGCATCTGGCGACAAGGCCAGCTCGTCTGTGACGCGAACCATGATGGACACGGGGATGCTTGCGAGGTCGGCGTGTTTAGTTGCAGCTTGTCATTGCCTATTCCGTGGTGTCGTGTGCTCGTTTATCTGTAGACGGCAGCAGTAGTCGGTGGTGACGTCTGCTGGTATGCTGGCGTGTTTCTCTTGATGACTACCACTGTGGCTGCCCTTTTTTTTGTCTTTTCTGGTAGGGTGGTCGCAAGATACGGCCTCGACGCAGGTACCCAGGCCCAGGATGATGTTGTGGGACGTCTATCGACCAAGTCAACAAGCGAGGAGGATGTTGTGATTGTTTGCGTATCACGACACCGTACTCGTTGCGTAAAAACAAAAATCAAGAAAAATGGACAAGATGAAAAAGAAAGTAAAGCAAAACTACAATATCCACAGTAGAATTAAAAATCGACGGGGAAAAAATAAAATAAAACAAAATCGATCACAGGGGTTGAGTGTGTGAGATTTGTTTGCAAGGATAAAGTGCCTTTGTACCCCGTCTGCCAGTTGCAGGCTGAGACCTTTGTTTACGCGACGAGACGCGTTGTGCGGCGCTGCTTCAGGGCGCCGACGCCGTATTTTTAGCGGGTAGCCTCGCCTAACGCCGCTGGAGCAGGGACATGGCGGGGTTTCTCTGACCTGTGCCCCGCCATTTCAAGGTTTCGCGATGACTTTACACACTGCATGCACGTGGTTTACAAAATAGACAACAAAAGCTTCCAAAATAATTAGTATGGCGAGCCAGAACGACGCAGGCATCACAGTCAAGGCGAATCCGTCACAAGACGGCTTTCGGCTCATTGAGCTGCCGCCGGAACTAGAGACGCTCCTCACATCACCAGATGCGCCAGTGTAAGCCTCTCCCTCACATCTTCTATTATCTATACCAACCTAACATCTGCAGATTGACCTTCGAGTCAGCAGGCAACGATACGTTGACAGTCCTCAAGACCCCCGGCAAAAATTACATCCTGCGCCAGAAGAACACGTCCAATGGGCTGTGGCTGCTGCAGCCGCACAACGACCCGGAGAGCATGCAGACAGGCCTCTCGACAATAGCGACGATACACGAGACGGTCGAGTTGGAGTTGATGAAGGATGACCCGGAAACTATAAAGCCTAAGCCAAAAGGTAAATGGCACGAGCGGTTCGGCGCGACACGGTAGAACTACAACAGAGCCCCTACATCACCATTACCATCATCATATCATTTTGCATCATTAGCGTCGTCGTTTTTGGGAGTATCGTGGGAATCATGTCATATTATCTATTTGGGGGTATGATACAAAATATTAATCATTACAAATCCTCGTCCTCGTCATCCGAATCTTTGATTTCGTACGACACTTCTTGTCGCTGACGAGTAGACCGCCGAGTCGCTGTGGATGGCGGGGTTACTACAGCTTTCATCTTCTTCGCCCTCGGTGTGCTCTTGGGAGCCTTCGGTGTTCTTTTAACAGATGGCACCGGTTCAGACTCTGGTTCAGCCTCGTGAGAACCTGTGGTGTCCATCTCTTCGGCTACCACCTTTTGCTGCTCTACCGTTGTTTCATGCCCGTGGTCTTCCATGATCAAGTCATCGTCGCCGTCGTCATCCTCTGCCACCACCGGAAAAAAGGTCGAGGCTTTATGCACAGGCACCTCATTTTCTTCCTCCTCTTCATATCCTTCAGGCAGAAAGCCACCAGCCATCTCTTCATCATGCACAACAGGCGTCTTTTCCACAGGCGCTCGCTTCGAACTACCAAAGACTTTGACATCCTCAATATGCCCGTAGTCCTGTTTGATTCGCTCCACGATCCGCAGGCCCATCATAAACTTGCGCCACTTACCCAGCGCAGTCTTGCGACGCTTCTCGTCTTCCTTGCGAATGCGCTCAGCCTCGGCCTTTTGTAGCTCCTCCATCAACTGGTCGTGGTATTCCTCGGCGATGACGACACCCTGGATGACCGGAACAGCCATGCGGTGGCCGAATTCAAAGTCCACCACGGCTTCTGCATAATCAATCTGCATCTTCTTACAGATGCGTACTGCTCCGCGAAACGGAACGTGCACAGCGCCTGCAGGACACATGTGCTCTGCAAAGAGGTCAATGTTGCCGTACTCGTTCTTGGGTATAACGCCGTCTTTGATCGGATCGGGGATAATCCAATCTGTTTGGTCGAAGCTGTAGAGCCCTTGGAGGACCTTGCGGCCTGTGGTTGCTTCGGCTTCCAGCAGCTCTCGCTTTCGGTTGAGCGTCGCAGCTCGATAGGGAACTTGCTTCAGCGGTTGTTCGCCGGCAATTGGTGCTCGTCCTTGTTTGTGCCAAGTTTCGGCGCTCTTAACATTGACCACATCTGCGCGTAGGTAGACATCTTCCTCCTCGACAACGCCCCCCTTGCCTTTGCTTTTGAACTTCTTTACGGCGACCGAGCCGGGCTTGAGCGCTTCTTCCCGCTTCAGATGTCTAGCCAGGGCGAATTCTGTGGACTGCTTGTAGTACTGTAACGTTTCTTCTCCTTCCTTGATTGCCTTCTTTTCTGGCTGTGCTGGTCGAAGGTCTGTCGAGTCCTCCAGTTCGTCGATTTCTGTAATGGGAAGATTTTTGGTGCCCCGGGTGTAGCCCGACATGGCAGCCTTGAACCAGTCAAATTGTTCATACCGCTTTACTTTGCCGTGATGGTTGTAAACGGGAAGCTTTTCCGGTGGCATTCTCATACCCTTTGTTCTTCCCGGCATGGTTTGTTTCCTTAGATATCGTACAGTAACATCCTTGGCACTGCCATCTGATGAATACGCAACAACATAGGCAATCATCTGATGGGCTTTATCCGCTTTTGCCCCTCGAGGCTCAAACCCTTCCACAAGCCCTCTATTGGTAGCAACGACGCCGTTGCAGGTGGTGTCAACCGAGAGGTACTTTTTGGTTACTGGCGACAATACCTCGGTCCAGTAGTGAGGAAATACCAAGTCAGAATCGACCTTTTTCATCATCTTCCCGGCTGCCTTTGGTCCTCCAGGCCGTTTCATCTCAACCTTGACTTCAATTACAGAGTCATCATCGGAGTCGCTGTGTTCAAGTTCCAGTTCGCTTTCTTCAGAGCCTGAAAACAGGCCTTTGCCTTTTCGTCCCTTTGCCTTTAACTTCTTCTGGCTCTTTTCTTGGGTCGATTTGGTTGTCGCTTTCTTTTCCTTCTTGGGCGTGCTCTGCGCTGACTTTGGGTCCTGGGCCTCTTCATCAGCCTCTTCAACCTTGCTCCAACCAAAACCTAGACATTGTAGATTTGATACCATGCGAGCTTCTATCCCCAACCCGCGCAGAAGCGCAGTAAATAGCTGTGCGCCGATATCACGGCTTCCTTCGCATTTCAACGCAGCAGCCCGAAACTCGTCGAGATTTGATATTCGTTCTCCGAAGACGGCTGGATCGTCCGGGTTTGCGGCATGGGCCTTGACAATTCGATCTAGTCGCTCCAATGACATGTATCCCTGCTTTCGAAGACCAGGTATTGTTACTCGGAAGCGCTGCTTCCACCAGGACATTAGCGGCTGCATGAGCTTGAAAAGAGGATCGCCATGGCTCATATCCACGGCGCCCTCCTCCAACCGCATAGCACCTTCGCCCCAATCTCTATCTTCATTCTTTACTTTCTTTGGCCCTCCCACTCCCTTTCTCTTGTACGCTTTCGGACTGGGTGATTCGCCTGGAATAAGACCGCTATTCCGTCTCCATCGATCGAAATATTCCCAGAGTCTAGGCGGCATATGCGACAGCATGATTGCTTGCGCCTCGGAGTCACATAACCAGGAATTTCGAACAGCGTTGTGCCACAACAGCGTCAAGACGTGTAGGCAGTGCGTCGCATTGCGCACGCGGCGCTCGCGCTTTGTCGGCCCCTTCTTGTCACCGTATGGATTCGTCAGAGAAATGCGAGTATCGCGCGTCAGTGTAAGCTCTAGGTCGCCGTCGACTGGCGCATCTGGCAACGGCGCTGCGGGAGCTGCGACATCCTCAAATTCAATGTCGTCATCGTCGCTCTCCTCGTCGCGCTTTGGTTTCTTGGCTATTGGAACGTCTTCAAACTCCTCGTCAGATAGCGACGACAGTGAGCTGTCATCTGAGTCGTCTAAACTGTTGAAAATTGAGGCGACAGTCTTGGCCGACGTCGGCGTCGCAGTCGAATCCAGGTCATCGTACAGAGTGGCTTTCCGAGGGACGGTCGTTTTCGAAGGAGCACTGGTTTTCCCATTCTGTGCATCTTCATGCAACCGCTTGCGCGGGACAAGAGGCGGCATGTCGCTGCATTTAGCACCGTTCACGTCTAACAGTGCATTGAGGATGGTAGGTGGACGTAAAAAGTAGTAGTAGTGCTCTAGGCGATTTCTGCGAGTCGTGAATCCTGGGGCGAAGCGGCGCGAGACTGCACGAAAACACGTGACGGACATATGTCCAAGTGTACAACAATAATAAAATGCAATTAAATATTTTATGAGTTTAAAAGTGTTTCCTTTACTCTAGTAATGCTTTAATTAGACATAAAACGTTACTAGCCCTTCCAATTGGTATGTTAAGCCAACACCTCTGTGTATAGACGGTAGACATCACTAGATTGCCGACGCCGTCGCTGATAGACAAAAGGTTAACAAAATCGGTTATTCTTATAAATTCTTCCGAAAACTAGTGAAACTAGCACCAACTCCAATTACGGTATAGAATTTTCATCACGTCCCGCTTGGGGCGGGCGCCAATTCGGCCCTTCACGCAGATTCACGGCTCTGCCCGCTAACACGCCAACACCACAGTGAACTGCATGGCCCCCCGCAGCTATCAACGTGGCGTTGGCAACTTCACTAATAAAAACTGACTAGCGCTGATGCATAAAGCTTGCTCTCTTCGCTCTACCAAGCTTCATTTTCATTTACATCTTCAATTGCCCCTTTTGCATCTTCACCTCTATTCCCCTCCTTCAGCATGGCCCAATTCGCGTATGTCGGCTCCGGCCCGTACTGTTTCACCAACTCGCTAGCCATGATGACTGGTGACCATAGCACAGCCGTCATTGAATTTGCTACTGGCAGTCCCTTTGGCATGCAGACCTTTGGCAATCTTGCCTTCTTCGATCCCTACGGCTGGGATCCTCTACAAGGTCTCCCGCTTGCGCTCGAGGCCATGGGCTGGGAGTCGACAGAGGTAGTCGGCGCCAACGAGGAAGAGGCCATCAAGAATCTCAAGGAAGCGCTTATCAAAGGCCCAGTCTTTGTCGGTCCTCTGGAAATGGGCCTCTTATCGTACAACCCTATATCGACAGGCCCCATTGGTGCAGACCACTATGTTGTGGTGACACGGCATAATGATGACATGTTGGAGCTGCACGATCCCCATGGCCATCCGTATGCCACGATACCCCTCGACGAGTTTATTAAGGCGTGGAAGACGGAAACGCTAGGTTACGGAAAGTCTTATACCATGAGGACCGACTTCAAGAGAGTGCAGCACTACTCGGAAGAGGAGGTCATTAAGAGAAGCTTGGCCAACAACCTCACGTGGCTGTCAGGATCCAAGGGAGGAGACATACCGCCAGATGGCCGCGCCAATGGAGAGGCTGTTCAGGTGTTGAGTAGTAAGCTGGAGGAAGATCTGCCGCCAAGCCTGAGAGGCGACATGATCTTCTTCATGGTCAGAGTCGGCGCACGACGAGCCGCTGACGGCGCTACATGTCTCGCACGCATTGGCTACGACGAAGCGGCTAGCATCATGACAGAACAAGCCCGTTTAATCGGATCACTACAGTATCCCGCTGTTAAAAAGGATGCTGCAGAGATTCGTCGCATCCTGGCCAAGCTTGCGCCGACATACGACGCCTTAAAAACAGCGCTGGAAGCCAAGCTCGGTCAAAAGAAGTAAATAGCCAAAAGTAAATACCATCATAAAAAGTACATTTCCAATAAACCATTCATAACTATAATGCCTAGTGTATATAAACAATTCTTATAAACGCCGTGCTATGCATCTCCTTCTTTACATCTCAATCAACTCTGGCGGCGCCCCAACTCCTCGCAACAAGACAATCGTATTCCCGCTCTGCAATGCACCTCCAACCTTTTCATTAAACTCCAGTAATCGACCGCCCTCCACATGAAACACCCGCAACTTGTCCTCCTCATTCGAGCTCTGGTTATTGACATTCTGCACCTGCAGGCTCTTTGCCGCTGCATCCAGCACACGGCCAACCACCCAGTCTTGCGAATAGAAGAACTGGCCCTTGGGGAACTTGGCCTTTGTCGTCTCTGCCTCGGCCTCCACGTAGAGATACACTCTCTTTTCCACCGCAAGCTTCTCGTCGCCCTTGGCCGTCTTCTTGAGCTTGTTTACAGCGACCAACCGCGCCGAAGTAGACGTCGGCTTCGCCTTTGGCAGAACCCGTCCAGCTTGCTCCTTCTTAGCCGAGCCCCAAGCTCGAAGCCTGTCAAACGCTGAGCGCGTCTTCTCCGCAACATCAATCTGAGGCAGCCGCGCGCCAACAGGCACCAGATTCTTACAGTTGTGGTCCTCCTGGAGACGATGTTTCAAGCAGTAGTCGCGATTACATTTTTGGCAGTGCACGCCTGGTGTGAGGGATGTGCCTACAACCGTTTTGCACTCTGGTGATGCACATGGCTTTTGCGATACCTTGTCCCGCAGGACCTTGCCCTGGCCTATCGAGGGTCTGGCGAGGTTGGCCAGGCGCTTGCGCTCCGCCCAGGCACCGGGATTGGTGCAGTGGTGTGATGACTCTGTTCTATGGTCCAGGCAGAATGTTTTGGAGCATGATTGGCATGAAAACGGTAGGAAATCTAGTTGGTTGCAGTAGTCGTACTGGCAGTGCTTGCCGACGAGGCTGGCGTCTGTTCGGTCCCGCATGACGTAGCTGGTTTCTGGGGTGTCTGATCCGGAGAGGGCCATCTTGACGGATTTTGCGCCGCTATATAAGGGCTGCGGAACGGGCGGGCAAGTTTAGGCGCGGGAGGCGAGGCATAGGCAGCTGGCGTGGTGCGTGTTGCTGATGACTGAGATAGAGTTCGCGGCTTGCGAATCGTCTAGAAGGACCCCTCGGGTGGCGCAGACTTGCACGGGTGGCGGACGCTGGCTACAGCAGCGACCGAGCGCAACAGTACCGATTTAAATGGATTATAAATTTAGAAAATATAAGAAAAGTCTACATAAACGTTTAAAAAGTGTATGACGTTTTTAACTGGATTAAAGTACCCATATTCAGTAGGTTCGGGAGTTGCTGCTTGTAGGGTATACTTGACATGATGCACATGGTTGTGAACAAACGTTGGTGAAAAGAGAAATCTTTAAAATAATCAAAATATTGGAATAAAACTCGCTATCATGTTTTCATTATTTTCATTTAGAGCTGGTCGAGGATCTTGTTGGCCGCATCGTCAATGTTGCTGCCGTAGTGGTCAATGTCAGTCTGCACATAGACGACACCACCCTCAAACTTGGCTTCGCCATAGCCGCTGCTAAGTCCGCCCTTATCCAAAAGACGGAATGCAATCTTGTTCTCACCCATCTCCTCTTCCAGAGCCTCCAGGACCATCTCGTCCTTGGAAACGTTGTTGTACTCCAGAGCGCGAGCCACGCTCTTGAAGTACAGGTAGACGAAGCTGCCGAGCCTAGATTCGTACTCGGTGGCCAAGCCGTTAGCCTTGAGCTTGGCAAATGCCTCCTCAAAGTTGGGCTCAAGGGTAATGTCCTTGCCTAGCTGCTTCTTGAGAGTCTCCTTGACCTCACCAATCTGAGTGTCGTAGTCTTGGGCAATGCCCTGGCGGGCCACAAAGGAGAGAGCAGCACTACTGGCGCCAGGGGCCTCGTTGAGAGCAGCGGTAAGCTTGTCGTTGTTGATGGCGTCGTCAATGTTGCAGGCAACGTTGTTGGGGTTGATGAGGATGACAAGCTTTCCATCATCAGAGATCTTGGGGCCGCAGTAGGTAAACTTCTCCTCGAGGTCCATGTCGATAGTAAGAACGTGGGCCGTGGCGGCCTTGTTGAGCTCGTCGACACCGTCGGCACCAAACTTATCCTTGTAGTACTTGATTCTTCTAATGGCGCTATCGATGTATCTTTGTGCGTTTTAGCCAATATGAACAAGCGGTGGCTGTTTGGGGGGACGGGATACTACTCACTCGGCGGTCATGCTGCCGGGGGAATGCTGGCCGTAGTTGTCATTTGGGGCATATGGGTAAATAGCATTGATGTTTACGTCAATGGTCCAAGCTTGGCCGAGGGCGGAGGAGAGCTCCTTTTCCATGTCGGCCTTTTTGTTATCAAAGTTATCACGGACTATCAAGCTTTGTTAGTCTTTGGTCCATTCGGGAGAGTTGAAAAGAGACACGAACCATCTTTTCTCTGAGCGAGAGGAAGCTTCTCAACGGGAGGAAGAGCAGTGACAGCCATTGTGACGAGTATAGAAGGGAGAAGATGGTTTTTGGAGATTGGTACAAAGCTGGTGAAGTAGCTGATAATGATGATGATGATTCCCTGGACTATAAAGTACGGGAAAGAAGCCCGTTTATATATTTCCACCAAGGTCAAGAAATCAAAGGCCCCAAAAGGTTCACACAACTCCGTCAAGCAGAATGTACGGAACACTTGGGCAAGGCTGACTGGTAGGCCTGTCGATGGCGCTTCAGCTCATCAGCTGCTACCCCACCACCGCTTGGGAGTGGGATGCGCCAACAGGGCCCTGTTGCTAGCCGCCCTGAGGGTAAATACAGCGGCATGAAAAAAGACCCACAGCGCCTTTTCATTTTAAGCCTCTCGCTAGAGTGCGCTGTTCTGCGGCGGTGGCGCATTTGAAGCGGCCTCCTAGTGTAAATTGGCACTACGCCAGCCACGGGGTTCTCGCGACGATGCTCCTTTGGGACAAGCTACGCGAACAAATACGTGCACGAGCTCAGAAAGCCATCGGCTTGCCATACTAACAAGAAATGCCTCTTACCTAATTTCGTCGCCGTTGCGCGTGATCTTCATCGTGCCTGGTAAGGCTCCCTCCTGGATCTTACAGCTGCCTCGCGCTTCAGCCCAGAGCAATGCAATACCCGATGACTTGATGCATGGCTGCTCTGCAAGTGTCCCAATGCGGAATGAACGACGATATAAACACAGTTTATTTTAAGTCTGGTAACTGAGCAAAGATGGGTACGGTAGAACGCTAGCAAAATCAAGCCAAATTCACATACAACACGGGCCTCCGCGGCGCCGCCTCTTTAGTCCTTCTTAGGCTTCTCTCCGAGCAGATCCTCGCGTCCAGTGACCGGCGCTTTGCCAACAGCTTGCTTGCCGCCAAATTTCTCGAAGCCAGTGTGGAACGCCCACTCGACAGCGTTCTCGACGGGCTCGTCAAAGAGCGTGGGCAGGAAGGGTACGACGGCCAGGCCAAGACCGATGGGTGCCCAAGTGCGGACAGTGGCGTTCTTGACATCCTTGAGCGCTCTACCAGAGTAACGGACGACACTGTGGATTGTAAAGGCCGGCAGACCCATACTGGCAATGCTCTGGAAGATACCACGCTGGACCATGACGGTTCGCCAGTCCTCCAAAGGCGGCACGACGCCAGGCTGGACTACGGCATTTTGTGATGCCGGGAGACCGGTAATCTTTTCTTGGTGTGAGGTAAGCTCAAGCTGTGGGTTGAGGATGCGCTGGTTGCGCCAGTAGGCACGGTAACCCTCGTGCGAGACGTCACCCAGGATATACAGCCACGAGATGGCGTAGGCGCCCTTGACTATTTTGGGATGCGCTACCGGCCGGAACGATTCGCCAATGTCAGATGTGTAGGCAACGTATCGGTGAGCGGAGAGCATAATGGTTCGTAATCGGGTGGCATAGGCGGCATATCGGACGTTGCTTTCGGTCGAATCGGGGCCGCTGGGGGCTTGGGTCAGCATTCGCCGCAACTAGTCCTTACAGGAAGCATTGATACTTACTAGCCCTTCTTCACATCATCAAAGAAGCTGTTGTCCTCATCCGCCTTGTTGACCAGCTCCTGGAGTTTCGTGGGGAGCTTCTCTCGATTGGGCAGCTTGGCCTCATCAAAGGACGCCGGCGGCGACGGCTTCGCCTCCTCGGCAGGCTTGGGTTCCGATTTACCCCAGAATGGCATTGTGAATTATAGATTATTGTGTATGGGGGATAAAAAGGCGTAGAAAAAACACGACACCGTTGCGGTTTGATACTGAATTTTTGCCACTAGAAAATACCGCCGGAAGCTGGAGGTAAGCTAACCTGCGCTGCAGACTATTGGGCGATGACGTCCTAGCGATCAGCGGGTGGGCGGTTTCCCACAGTGCCGAAGTAAACCCGCACTCAACAGTGGGCGGGTGTCGGCCTGCAATTCCAGGCACGGCAAACGCATAGCGGCTTTTCGAGAGTCCATCGGCGCCAGAATTTCCCACCACCCTTTGAACATCGCCAATTCGTTTCATCACCCTAACCAACCGCTTCCTTTCGTCGCACATCTCAATTCACAATGGCCGGAGTCGCTTCTTACACCATTGCTGGCCGTCAGGTCGGTGGTCACTACGTTCGTCCTTCCCCTGCCTCCCGACCGCATCATTTTCCCGCAGCGTGATGCCGTCCATCACCAGCACGACCGGCTAACAATTCGTCTTCTAATCCTCTAGCTTGCCATGGGCATCCTCGGCTCCCTCTTCGGCGGTGTCTACTATGCCACCTCTGGCCCCAAGAAGCCCGTTGCCACCACTACTCCCCCTATCAACGCCTCCAGCTCTGAAGAGGCCGACTTCATCACGTTCGTGGCCCCCTAGGTTCTCTCGAATTGGTTGGCATACGCTAACAAATAAAACAGGAAGTTCATTGAGAACGCCGACAAGAAGCAGTAAGCGTTGTACTGTGGACAATGTGGAGAGTTGCTTTGGACGACGCGATGTATATATAGACACCAGCATTCGAGACGAATACTTGCGATAATAGCGAATACAAAAGTCTTGAGCCCCCATATGCGATATGACTCTGCTTTGCAGCTGTCGAATACATGTGACTAGAAACTGGCAGGTGCAGCGTAGTGATAAGCAGGAGCACGGCAGCACCTTCCCCGGCTGGAGTTGTCAAACACAGACTATAAATCTGGTTGACGTGAGTGTCCCGTTAAATCTGCGCTAGCACGATACAAAAACAAAAACAAAACGAAAAAAAACTAACTTTTGATTATTAAGAATACTATCTTTAGTTGGTAGTATCCTGGTAAGAATTGCCTATTTTTGCAGCTAGTCTAACTCTAACCGCTTTAGCTATCTCGTTGACCATATTGCAATTTGGGCCTCGGGCGCCCATGTGTCGAGATACTATACTCGGGGCGCCCGAGGGCAGAAGTCGGGCGGCATTATCGTGGCTGTTCTGGGATCTTCCCCTGGTTCACAACTCTTGCTCACCAGCGATTTAGTCCAATCTCGTCTCCGGAGCATATTCGCAAGTACGGAGAAGTCGTCGACGACAAACATGTAGATTTGGTGGCGGTAATATGTACGAGGCTCTTGAATCTTCATTCAAAGAAGGAGTCTAAGGCTGCTGGGTCCAAGTTTGCTTGGGCCGCATCACTCCCACGATTTGCGGTACGCTGCCCACTCAGGACAACAATGAGGCGAATGGCTCTCCCTCTCGATGTGGACATTGTCGTATGTATTGCTATGTAGAATAGCCATTGTCCTTATCACAACTAACGTGTCAGGTTGAACATAATCTACGCATCACGCGACATAATACGGAGCTAGATGAGGCCATCTTCCTCTTCAGCTGAATTTGCCATTATGCTAAACACTCACCGTGATATGGTAGCAATTGCACGTTATTTCTGAAGGAACTTACACACTCCTGAAACGTACTAGATAGAAAAGAGAGAGGCTACAGATTACATGAACACAATACGACTGTATTGTCCAAGAATTCCGCTCTTGCTACCATTACATCAGCTATATCTGTAGGTATACGAACAGTCCAAATAACTTAAACAAACGGATATAATTCAACAGAGACTCTATATAATCTCTATAAGCCGATAATTATTTGGTCGAGTTCTTGTATCAATAACAATGGCAAAACTATATGCAACAATAGTGCAAAGCATCTACCCAGCAATGATAATGCTGACTGCTGTTGTACTGTGTCTGCCAATGACGCAACTTCTACAATAAAATAGTAGCAATGTATAAAACCTAAAATGCCCTACAAAGATCTTGAATCGCATGAAACAAATTCATTGCATGCCTATTTTTTATTATGGCATTTCTTTCCCTCTGTTTCGCTAGACTTACACGCTGTTTGCGATCCCCCGGTAAGCTGGGGGCCATGCTCGAAGAATGCATATACCCGCTTAACCTCATAGCGCTAGAGGCACCGCTGCGATTTGTATGGCAAAAGTCACGTGCACCCTTCTCAAGAAGGAAATCGAAAACCCTTCAAGCCGCTCCACCCCTCTTTGCCGCAACCCTCGCGCTCCTTTAATCGAAACATCGCGCGCGTCCAAGTCCGGTTACAACGATTACGCCAACCGCGCCGCTAAGTGTACGCTTATATCGGTGCATCGCCAACAGGGCCCCAGAAATGTCCGACGATCTGTCGTTGGTCACCGATCCCGACCTGTCGGTTGGCCTGGAGCCTCAAAAAGAACGGCATTCATTAACGCTTGATCAGCGACGCGCACTCAGACGATGGGCTAATTCGCAAACTATTCGACCATCTCATAAGCAGTGCATCGAGTGGTTCTTTGCCCAGTATGGCTTACAGATAAGCCAGTCCACCGTCTCACATTCTCTCTCGCCAAAATACTCACGGCTTGACGGCGACAATGCCCAACTATCTGGTTCAAGGCTCCGGTTTGGAAACTGGCCGGATGTCGAGAAATTAGTGTTGTTATGGTACCAACAAGTACAAGCGTCGGGAAGGCAGCCGACAAATGAGGAGCTTGGTGAAAAGGCAAAGGCCATCTTCCACCAGCTGCCTCGCTATCGAGACGAGCACTCGCCCGAGTTTTCGCCAGGCTGGATCCATCGCTTTAAGAAGAGATATGGACTTCTCATTCGTCGCCAGCGCCGCCACAACGATGCCACCATCAATCCAGCAGAGGACATCGAGTATCTCTCAGATTGTGTCCCGCGCTTCATGGGCATTGTGTCCGACACCAGCCCGGCTGCCATTCGAGAGCAGATTCTGCGCGTTGTTGGCGTGGAAGCAAGCCTCAGTATCTGCGCCCTTGTGCGTGATGAGGTTGTGCGACGCATTGCCATGGCAAACACGCACGCCACGGCTGTTGCTGCGCTGGCTGCCCCTCCGCCTGAACCAGAGATGGAGCCTTCGCCTCCGCCGCCAGAGCCGCCCATGTACAACGACGACGACCCGGAGGTTGTGCTGCAGAATGCGCTCCGCCAACTCCAGGAGGAAGAACAGGCTGCAGAGGAGCAGGCGGCTGCTGTACGAGAGGAGCGCGAGCGTGCTGAACGCAGTTTGCATGCTCAGCTTGTGGATGGCCCGCGTGCAGACTCTACGCCTCGTTACGAGACGCCCTCGCACGAGTTACCGCCCGAATTGACTCTTACACCGTTGCACACAGAGGACCATCTTGTGCATGATCGTCCCCTGCGGTGTCCCTTTTGCGTTAACCAGCGCATGCTACGCAGCATCAAGGAAGCTGTGGACCACATGTCAACCCATGTGGATGTATAATTATAATGCAACTACAAATGTTGCTGTAATGAGATGTAATGATTAACGGGGCTTAACCCGGTTTATGAAAATGGGCAAAAAAGGCAGCATAGATTTGCCACGGCGTTTAGACATGGTTATTGTAGGATTTACCAAAATTTATTAAACAATTTAAAGCAAGCAATTCCTCATTTAAACAGAATATCAAACTATCAAAATAATGCATCGTCGTATATTCATTTAAACGTTTGTCATTATATACACTATACCAAGCCCATGTTCCGAAGACGCGAAAGCATCAGCTCTTCATCGCTTTTAGCACTAGCTGCGTTAGGATCAAGAGATCCAATGAAATTCTCCCAAAACTTGAGCCCTTCGAGGCCCTCTTCGCGGCAGAGCACACCATGTTCTTCTGCTACGAGTAGTTCTTCCTCCGCTACACCAAGACTCCAGCCGAACCTCTCTGCAGCGTCTTGCGGTGTGACGCCACGACCAAATTCTCTCCAGTCCCAGGCAACTTCGTTATCTGGAGGAAACTCGTGTAGATCCTGCATCCAGGACACGATGGAAGCGATTGTGACGTCGTCGGTTCGGTCGCGGCCTTGTACAACCATGACACCGCTGCGAAATGTTCTCAGACGAACTGGCAGTTTGAGGGATTCCCAGAGGCGAGCGGCTTTTTCAAAGTCCATTGGGCTGACAAGCTCTACGCCACCGCGGGCGCGGTTGAACATGGCCCAGAGATCGACAAGAGTGAGAATACCGCCTGCTTTCTTGAGCACACCGCGGGCGTCGTCGGTCAAGAATTCGGCAACATTGCGCGAGAGTTCAGAGAGGTACAGTGATTCCGACTTGCCGCCGCCTAGCATCTCCTTGGTAGTAATGAGGCCAAGCTGACTGGCGGATTCGGCGAGAATAGCGCTTTCTTCAGCGGAAAATGTGCCGCCACCCGAACTATTCTGACGCGAAAAGCGTTCAGCCAAGGCAACTACTTCCTTGGCTGAGGCCATGAGCGCTTCAAGATCTTCAAAGGCACTTCCTATTAGTATTTCGTTATTTTTGCGCATGTTCAGACCGAGCTGCTCGAGCCCGGCAATTCCTGCCGTCTTAGCCGCTCGTGACGAGTCGTTCATGTTTTGGGACTGCGTATCGTCGTATGGGCGGCTGTTTGAAGGTGCCGGTGGCGCGTTTTGGAGAAGCCATTTCCGTTGTGTCATGGAGCTTTTAAGTCTTTCATAGAATATTTTCTCTCCACCGCCACGGAAAGATAGCTTGACGCCGTCTAGAAGGTCCGGGGTATGAGAGGGGCTGCTACCAAGCGTTGGGCCTGGCGACTCTGTTCGAAAGCTTGATCGTGTAGGTGTTGATGGGCCCTGTTTTGGAACGAGCGAGTGCCCACACATTTCGCAGCTTGTCATGGATACGTGGTTGCCAAAGGTACATCGGGGGCAGGTGATTTCTTTGGAAGAGCCATGTTTTCTTGGGACGGGTGGGAATTCGGTGGGTGTCGGTTGTAGTAGAGGCGGTACTTCTGACCGCTGAGACTGGCTGGCTATAGCAGTCTTGAGAATATGTGAAAGGGATGGTTTGATGCCGCAGGCTTGGCAGGGTGGTAGTGAGGTGTGCTGGTTTGCAGTTGTGGGATCAAACCCAGCGGGCATGACATTGGAGAAGCTGCATATCGTGCAGACCCAGGTGATGGGGGCCTGTGGTGTCGGCGGTGGGAAAGGCGTCTCTGCACCGCTGGCCGGCGAACTACTTTTGTTTGGTGTGGCAGCGTTGGATGCAGCCCTTGCACGAAGTCCGCCGCGTAATGGCTTCGGTATGAGGGTAATCTTGGCCGAAGATTTAAGAAAGCCGGCGTAAAAGTCGCACTTGTCTACATCTTTTAGATCAAGAGATACCGAGTGTTTCCGGGGTTCTTCCTTATCGACGTAGCATATGCGGTGGGATGTTAAATACACCTGTCCATTTTGTTGATTTGGGAGCTTGTATTTCCTGTTCTCGTGTGAGCAGCTTGATGAGATAAGAGATGAGAGGCGACCTACCCTTCGTAAAGTCCTACGTTATCCTGAACAAATAGAAGCACCTCTTCAGGAAGATACGATGGACGTAAAGCCGTCGTAAGATCAATACGGTTTAAAAACATTCGTTCGTCATCTCCAGGTGGTTCTCGTGATATGGAGGGGCGGCCTGTGGCGGGATGTTAAGGTGCGCTCAGCTTTGGAGGATCGATTAGCTCTCCAGATTTCTCAGGTAAATGTCTGGCGGTATTAATAATTTGCAAAACTGCAACCCCGCCGCTTGGTGGTGAATTAAAATTAATTACAGCTCTAGGATGTTCAAGACAGTGTTATCGTTGCTGCGCTGTCATTGGCGGAGGAGGGGCAGGCGCCAAATACAACCCGCCACCAGTGACGGCTTTCGCCCTCCAGCCGGTCACGGGACCTCTTTAGTAACAGACACACCGCACCCTCAGCGTCCGACAATTTTCCTTTGCCCCGACACTCAAATTCACCTCACCATCGCCCATCGCCACGACTACCTCCGTTTGCTATCGACTGTTCTGCGATCGGCCCCATCTCCGTAACCCATATAGCTATTTATTTTGTCCTCCCGCGTCGAGCCACAGAAAATGTCTGGCTGGCCTAGCGCCCACCCGGCATCAGGCATTGCTGCCCAGCAATCGCCGCCTGCAGGCTACGCGTATCCTCCCAGTATGTGCATCTCGGACTTGTGCCACTTGCATCACGGTCACAGGCTAACACAGAACACAGACCCTGCATTTATCCCCGTTCAAACTCGTAGCGGATTCGGCCAGTATCCGCAGCCGTATGTCGGCGTCGTACCGCCTCCCATTCCTCCACCTCAAGCGGCCCCAGCCCCGGTCGACAACTCGCCTGCTAAGAGCAAAACTGAGTGGCCTCCGTCTGTCCGCAGCTATGTCCAACGTTCTTTCTTGCCTCACAATGACGACCCTTCTGTTACACGTGCCGAGGTGGAAGCCAAACTTAAGCAAACAATTGGCACCGCCAAGGAGGACGGCTCCATGTACACCATTGACTGGGACAAGATGCCCCTCCCCCAGTCCCTCGTGAAAGCTGAGCGCGAGGCCAACCTCCGCAACGGCCTATACACAATCGATAATCCTAGAAAGCGCAAGTCTGCCGAATTTGACGAGCCTGCTACTTCCCAGCCCCCTTGGCAGTCTACTAACTCCCGATCATCTCTGGAGAGCCGCATCACATATTCCTCAGCCGCTGACGACCGCAAGTCCAGTAAGTTACAAAAGGACATGAATAAACGAAAGCGTCGTTTCGAAACCGAATACAAGGCGGCCAACGTCGCCCCGAGCTCTCCGCCCCCAGAGTCTGGTCCCGTCATCGGCACCAACGAAACACTAGAGAAGAGATATCTCCGACTTACCGCACCTCCTGTTCCTGCAAACGTCCGCCCCGAACGCGTCCTCAATAAGACTCTTGACTTGCTCAAGAAGAAATGGAGGAAAGAGGGTAACTATTCTTATATCTGCGACCAGTTCAAGTCTATGCGACAAGATCTCACCGTCCAGCACATTAAGAACGACTTTACCGTTTCAGTCTACGAAATTCACGCACGCATCGCACTAGAAAAGGGGGATATTGGTGAGTATAATCAGTGTCAGACGCAGTTGCGTTCACTGTATGCCAAAGGCCTGAAGGGAAACCCGGTTGAATTTAAGGCCTATCGTATTTTGTATTTCATTCACACCGCCAACCGATCGGGCTTGAACGATACGTTGGCGGATCTAACCTCAGCAGAAAAAGAAGAACGGCCCATCAAGCACGCACTCAATGTGCGATCGGCCTTGGCGCTCGGCAATTACCACCGGTTCTTCCAACTCTACCTGGATACACCGAACATGGGAGCCTACCTCATGGACATGTTTGTCGTCCGAGAGCGCCTCGCAGCCCTCTGTAATATTTGCAAAGCGTACGTACCTCCTCCAACAGTCCTTCCCTTTCACTACTAACATTTTACTTCCTAGATACAAACCCGACGTGAAGCTGAGATTCATCACTGAGGAACTCGGTTTTGAGTCTGACGCAGACGCGGCTCAGTTCATTATTGATCATCAAGGTCAGCATCTACTAGAGGATCGCACGGATTACATTGCCTTCCTCAGCGGCAAAGCCAGCAATCTCTTTGACGGTGCTCGTGCCAATGCCTTCCGAACCGTTGACATTAAGGGCCAAATTTGAGCAACCCGGAGAGGCTCAGTAACCTTCCAGACATTCCGCATTCTCCATCCAAAGCGTTTTTGGGCATTTTCTCGTATAATTATTTCCCGTTTTTCCTGATGACGATACCTGCCGCTTACCGAGCATCCTTGGCGTTGGTTCTTTACTCATACACTCCCGACATTTCTCTATATTTGCTACATACTTGGGGCTGGGCATACTCCCTTCCCGCCCATTCTGCATATTCCAACTCTTTTTGAAGCAACTCATCGCCGGATACCCTAGCAGACCTTCCGCACAAGTTGCTTGCTACGTTGGCTTATTCCTACTGGCTCCAGAACCGCACGAGGGCTTTTATTTTCTATACACCAAGAGGGGACCTACACTCGTGCGGGAGGCTACTTGGGATCCGGAGCGATACAGCCGCATTTTCCCGCATTGTTAGCACTCAGAATGGATAGCTATATGCTATTCTGCTTGTGTTGTTGCATCGGGCGCCTGCGGCTGCTGCACTTATTACTTACTGACACCTACTGGGGGCTTTTTTGTTCTTTTTGGCATTACATGGCGAAGACTGTAGCCTAGATTTGGGATTCATCGTGATTGTTTGCTAGTTCTTGTTTGCACCAGCTGTGCACAATAAAAAATAAAATTAATGACTCTGCATTACGGCGCTCGTAAGTGAAGTGCATAAATCGTGGCGGTTGATTGATGTGGTGAGCAACGCTGTAGACGTCGCGTGATTTGCCAGGCGAGCATAGACGGTGATGCAACAGTGCAGCTAGGTTACGCCAATGATTACGATCCGCTGCAGGGCATGACGCATAGCAGTCTGCCCTGGGGAGGGAACCAGTGTGCTTAACGGTTGGTTCCCTTCCACCCATAATAAAGCAGCCAAGCTAACACATGCACGTCCCTGTTTGTTTGGCTACGGTGCATGTCCGTAGTGTACGGCGGCGGCAGCATACACAGAAGAGGCGTGGTGGTGCACAGGGCGCCCGCCGCCTGGATCAATGCGCTAGAAGGGCTACGGGCGTGGCCGTGAGGCGAAGCAGAGGCAGCTTAGTAGAGGATATGGAAAAAAATACAGCACTTCTTTTTCCTCTGCCTTCTTTTCATCCCTAGTTTCTTTTTTCTGCTTCGCTTGCACTAGCGCCGGTATTGCAAACGTGTAGGATCAGGCTGTCGTAGGGCAAACTCCCAGAGTAACGCGCCATATGCAGTGCAGAAACGATGGCACCAGCGCTGTTTTAGTGTGTTTGCTGATGGGCGTTAGCGCATCTTTGGGATTTTTGCACGCTACCCGCCCGCTATAAGGATGGGGAGGGGGGGCCAACTGCCCCTCTTTTTTTATTTCTTCGCCATTAGCGGGCTAGCGTTTTTTCAGGGTGGTGGTGGTGGTGTGGCCCCCCCTCTTCCTATCTTTTTTTTTTTGGGCACTGCGCCGGCACTGCCCACTCACCACGCATTGGCCATCCATCAGTGCTACCAGCTGGTGCCAGCCGCCCACCAGCTGCCGAACCTGGCCTATTAATCTGCCTAGTGTCTGCTATAGTGGTGTCCCCTGGGCGCCTATACCCAAAAATCACGATCTCCTGCTTCTCCTGGACCTTTTACCCATTCACCAACAAATTCCCCCCGGACTGCTGCTGCTTCTTCTTTTTTTTCCTTTTGTGTCCAAGTCAGTATTGGTGTATGATTACTCGTCATCAGCACGGCTACTCTTCTATACGACTCTCTGCTCGACTTTCTTTTCCCTATTTCTGCTATTTTTCTGCTGGACTTTCTTTTTTCTATTTCGTCGACAACCGCCTGATCCCTGCTTCGCCCACTTCTTCTCCGCTCCCCTGTTCTGCTCTTTGAACACTTGGGCCGCCGAAAAGGTTGTTCTGGTCGCCTCCCTCTTTCTGACCCAACCCGCCGACCCCAGCGACAGCGCCTCTCGCTTTTTATCCTGCTCAACACCAACATTTCGTTCGTGACCGCCGGGACAAAAAAAGAGTCAACTGAAGCTGAACCTGCAATCACTCAGAATTACCGGTGCCTAACATGAAGGTAAGTTATTTTGCCATTCGTTTTTGGCTCGTCGGCTGCATGTCACCTGCCGGTTGGGTGCTGCAAGCCCCTCGTTGTTGATGACTGCGATCATGGCCTCGGCTGGTTTGCGGATGCTTTCCAGCAAGCAGAGGACAAACAGCAGAGGTTTATTCGGCAACGCGCAAGTAGACTTGGATGCTACACCATCTGCGACAGGCAGTTTTGCTTCGTGGCATACGCCGACATCGCCAACCGCGCCGCTGTGCATGTGTCAAGATGCTAACCGCTTTCATGTAGGCTCTCCGCCGGTCGATCAAAGGCGAAAAGAGCCAGAGCGGACATTCGTCCTCTGGCTCTATTTCTGCCGTTCCTATCAAATCTTCATACGCTATCGTCCCTCCCAAGAAGGTGAGTTGTATTCCGGATCTAGTCGGAGTGAGGGTATGCCCAACAGTGGCAAATCCCGCCCGGACCATCGTATTATGCTTGCCAATGGAGGCATGAATATTGGCATGCGATAGCCTTCGGAGGAACATGCGCTGACTCAGTTGTATTCCTATAGGTCATCCGAGCCCTGCATGATTTTGTAGGCAGCACCCCGTACGAAATGTCCTTTTCCCGTGGCGACTTCTTCCATGTCATCGACCGAGAAGACGACCTCGAATGGTACGAAGCCTGCAACCCCGCCCTCCCCGATGCCCGCGGATTTGTCCCCGTTTGCTACTTCCAGTCTCTCGGCCGAACCGAACGAGAGAGCAACCACGACTCCGGCTACAGCGATACCAACACCGTCACCCCTGCGCCTGGATCCTCAGGTCCTTCCGTTCCCCCTTCGCTCTTCCCACCCTTCCCACCATCCAAGACCAAGTATGGTGCGCTATCTCCTATTCAGCCTTACCAGCAACCACCCGCCTCTGTTCAGCCCAACCCCGGCGCAGCGATTGGTCACCGAGCCTCCAGATCGATTGGCAAGACCGGAGCTATGGTCTACGGTATTGTCATGTACGACTTTGTAGCAGAGCGAGCCGATGAGCTTGAGGCTGCTGCCGGTGAGGCCATCATTGTCATTGCGCAGTCCAACCCGGAATGGTTCGTTGCAAAACCTATTGGCCGTCTCGGTGGCCCGGGTCTGATCCCAGTCTCATTCGTTGAGATTCGCGATATGGCTTCGGGAGAGGCCATCCGTGACCCTTCAGATGCTATTCGACAGGCTGGTGTGCCCAAGGTGGAGGAATGGAAGAAGATGGCTGCCGAATACAAGAACAGCAGTATCACTCTTGGCAAGTTTGAAGGTGGAAGTGGAAGCGACGAGGCCCTGGAGCAAGGTGTAGCTCGAATGAGCATACAGCAACAGCAGCAGGCCCAAGGACACGTGCGACACCCTTCAGTTCAAACCGGTTCACAGAATGGCCAGATGCAGCAGATGCAGCAGCAGCAACAACAGCAGGCCCAGCCACAGGCTCATATTAGCCACCAAGATCACATTGATCCGAATGAGGTGACTCAGCTCTACTTCCCCATCCAGGCTTCTATTCCCAGATACTGCTTCGCGGAAGACAAGTACTGGTTCGTTATCGATACCACTCTTGAAGATGGTCGCCGTTGGGAGCTGTCCCGCTACTACGAAGATTTCTATGACTTCCAAATCGCCCTGCTCACCGAATTCCCCAAGGAAGCTGGCAATACCGGAACGCAGAAGCGTAGCCTTCCATACATGCCCGGCCCCGTTAGTTACGTTACCGATGCTATTACCGAAGGCCGACTCCATAACCTCGACGCCTACGTCAAGAACCTACTTGGCCAGCCCGACTACATTGCCAAGTGCACGCTGGTGAAGCAATTCTTTGCACCCCGCGAGGGCGATTACGAGATTGAGGCGGACCCTGCAGCTCTTGAACAGTACCAACAAGCACGCGACTCCCACCCCTCGTCGTCTAGATCACCTAGCAATGCAGCCTCGCGCCAGAACTCTCACCAGAACCTTAACGGATCCGGACAGCGCCAACTCAGCGGCTCTCAGCAGGGTGCTGCTGGTGGCTTCATCAAGGTCAAGATGTACTTCAACAACGATCTTATTGCGCTGCGCGTGCCACAGAACGTCCAATTTAGACAATTGGTCGACAAGATCCGAGACCGCCTCAAGCTCAGCACTGCGGACCAGCTTCAGCTCTTTTACAAGGACGAGGGTAGCGGCAGCAAGCTGAACTTGATGAGCGACAACGACCTCAACTATGCGATGCAGCGAAACGAAAAGTTGCTTCTCTACGCCGAGGCCATGTAGGCGCATACTTTGTCGACCGCCTGACAACTTCTTCGCTTCTTTTCTGCACATAGCACTTTTTTTTACGACAAGACGGCACTCCAACGTTGTTTGGGTGTCGTCGCATTTTGGGTACATGATTAGTAGCTGGACCGGCCAATGTGACGAGCCCAGTGGAAATGCCATTCCTTTTCTTTTTCAGAGCTTAACCACTTGGCTTTTCTCTGATTTTCTTCACTTTTTTCTTTGTCTATTTTTTTTTTCTTTTTACTTTTATCTTTGCGTTTACAAAACGGGACAAGTACTGGTTCTTGATTTGAATGCATGTTTCAGGAAGGAAAGTTGCAAACGCCTGATTTTATATACCGATTTTGCCTATGGATTTACGGGGAGGGAGGAGGGACATGAGCGAGGATGCTGGGGAGTGAAATTATACCGAATATTAGGAACATGGGGGTTGGTGGTTCAGTTTGTGAAGCAGTTATGGTGAGCAGCAATGCTCATGGTGAGCCGGGGCAAGACGCACCCGTAGGTGATATCCGACGAGAATAAAAACATGTGAAATACACGCTATGCGCCGTTATCTGTGACTGTGTGTTTTTGATAATTCGCTCTGACAAGAGATGTTGGCGCCGAAGACGGTGTTTCATTGATGGAACGAGGGGGGCGCCGCGTGACAGGGTCCGTGAAATTGGGTACTGGGGGTTCAGTGAAGATGCCTATTTTTGTCTCCTTTCCGTGGTATTGTTTTTATTGCCAACGAAAAATGGTTCCTTATCTATCTATATTAACACTAAAATAAAGAATTACACTGTCGCCGCATTTTGTATAGTAGTGTCGGGTGTCGGCGATGACTAGTCTCACGTGAAGCCATTATAAGCGCCCCGAGGGTGCACTAACAACTGACGACTGCTGCGCCATCCCTCCTTGCAATCGTCACTTTTAGCACGGTTCCCCTCTGTTTGCACGATTCGCGTACTCGCTGCTTGGATATCAAATTCAATCACCGGCTGTTTTGCCCCCTCGTTCCTTTTACGCATTATACCTGATTAAAGACACACGGCATCCGGCTTGTACGCCATGCCCTTTCGAGTGCGCTCCAAGGCAAACAAGGGCGCTGTTGAGCGAGAACCCAGTCCTGCCCCAGTGCTCTATGACGCAGCCATCAAGTTACCCCAAATCGAACAAGATGATGAATTTCGCCATGTCGTTAAGAAGCTATCCGTGTAAGTGGACGGCAAAGTCACTTTCCAAGGCTAAAGCTAACCCCCTCGTAAGCTACTTTCGTGACGTGATAGAGCTGCCCAGCACCTTTGAGCAACTTCGAACAACTGCCGCCGGAACGTGTCTGCGCGTGCTAGTCGATCATTTGAGTAAATCGTGCACGAATCCCGCGATTGTCAACGCCCTGCTGTAAGCTACATGACCTCGTCTCCACGCCCTGAGCCCGTCTAATACCCCGTTACTAGCGCGCTAAAGTGGCACTATGATGCCGACAAGGACAACCAGACGCTGAGCGAGTCGCGCTCGTCTGCTTGCGAAATCGTCGCTTGGCGATTCCTCACACGTTTATCTGAACGGGAAGCGGTCAGTTACTGTCTGTACGAGATCCCTGGGCCGTGCTCGCGCGTGTCTCCAAGACGAGCCGACGAGGAGGCGGCTGCTAGTGAGGCATCACCACTGATTCCCAAGCACAACCACGAACATGATGATGATGACTATGTGTATCGTCCTGCAGGGAGTAGCTCGAAGCGCTCACAGCTGCTAAGCTCTGTGTCGAGACTAACCAACCTTAGCGACGATATGGTGCAGGAGCAGGATCCGAGTGCGTCGTTTAAGAATCTCAATGCGTTGGAGATTGCGGCGATTGCCAACGCAAAGCGCTTTCTCAGTCAGCATGTCGTCCAGAAGATTATCACGGGTATTTGGAACGGCGACATTATTTTCTGGGACAGTCTGTCGGTGCATTCGACCAAGGAGCCGCGGTTCTATAATCCTGTGACTGCAGATCCGTTCTCGCGGCTCAGAGTTCCCAAGTACTTGAAGTGCTGGGAGGTGCTGTTCTTTGGTATTTTTCTAGCGCTGTATTATGCTGTGCTACTGAATCGTGAAGAGGAGAAGGTGACTGGGTATGAAATCGCGCTGTTCTTTTGGATCGCGGCATACTTTTACGACGAGCTGAGTGAGTGGATTGATGCGGGATCCGTGTTCTACGCAACGGATATCTGGAATGTGTTTGACATGATTATGATTTTGATCGGTTTTGCGTTTGCTGTTCTGAGTAAGTTTGATGAATCAGAGGACGATTTCATGGAATTTTGCTAACCGGCTACAGGAATCATTGGTGTAGCGTACAAGGATGCGGTCACTAATGATCTCGCATTCAACGTATTGGCGCTTGAAGCGCTGTTTATGATTCCGCGAATCTGCTCCATCCTCAGTCTCTCGCCGTACTGGGGTACGCTAATTCCGTGCCTCAAGGAAATGGGCAAGGACTTTCTCAAGTTCATGGTGCTTGTTGTGATCATCTACGTGGGCTTTCTGACTACCTTTGCCCTGGTTGGCCGCGACACATTCAACTTTACTAGCATGGCCGGGATCCTGACCAAGATCTTCTACGGGTCGAGCTCGGTGGGCTTTGAAATCATGGACGACATTGATCCGTTCTTTGGGCCGCCGCTCATGGTGCTCTTTATCACGCTATCGTCGTTTCTGCTCATGGGTTCGCTGACGGGTATGCTGTCCAACAGCTTCTCGCGCGTCATTGCCCATGCCAAGGAAGAGTATCTCTATGTTTACAGCGTCTATGTGCTCGAGGCATCGACGAGCAACCGCCTCACGCACTTTTACCCGCCTTTTAATTTGTTAGCATTTGTCATCTTCCGACCGTGGCGTCTGCTGTTCCCCCGCTCTGATAGCGTACGAGCGGGCCGAATCATGCTCCTCAAGGCAACACACTCGCCTATCGTCGGTATGATTCAGCTGTACGAGATGCTGCGGCGCAAGGCATATGGTGATGAGTTTGCCGGCTTCAAGGGCCCAACAAGCATTGCTGCGGTTCGCGATGCTGCTAATTCCGGCGCCGAACCTAGACGCCGTCTTCCTGCCATGAGGCTCATTTCGCGCGATGCAACCATGGTGGAGGAGACGATCCCGGGACGTCATACGGATGATGATGGCTTCGAGGGCCAGACGCCCGTCGAGATGCAGATTGCAGAGCTGAGCCGCAAGGTGGACGAGCTGACTGCGCTCGTGAAGGTTTTGGCAGAGAAGAAGAGTGCTTAGAAGCTTTGTAACGTTTTTTAAGGTTTGCGATTGTCGTTGTTACACAGCGTTTTGTTTCCCTTTCGGGTAATCCGCAACGTCATTTGTGCATTGGGTTGTCCCGCGACACCAGATATTTATTATTAATTCTGCAGAAAATACCACGTTTATATTTAGAGATGCTTTTATAAGATCACACTTTTATATTGTAAATCCGATTTATACTCCATTTCACAGCAAATAACTCGGCATTGGTTCCGTGTTCCACCGCATCGCCCCACCTGCTGCACCACGTTGCTGTCAACCGGCAATGTAACTCGCTCCTCGAAATCAAGGCATCCGACCCGATGACAGCGACTCAGGCTTGTCTTGTCGATAAACAATTTCCCCGACTCTTTTGGAGACTTGCATTTTCTGGCTTCATCGTGAACAATAGCATCTATTTGATTGTCTATTTTGTGCGATTTATTTGGTCTCTTAAACACCAGCATATTCTGCGCCCTGAATTAGACGTTATACGTCCATCCCGAACTCTCCGATCTCGGTCCCCGGTTTCCCGCGACGTCATTATCTCCTATTCGTCGAGTTCACCGCGCCCTCACCACAACATCACAAAGACTGAAGATAGGGTGTATATCATGGATTTAGGGCTCTTCTGCCAATAACACGTTCTTGATTTGCCACCATGGCAACACCTACTTCCACAGCCATGACGCGCCCTGCTGCGATGCCGAGTGCGAAGACGTCGCAAGACTCGAAATATAATACGTCACAGCTCCCAGCACGGATTTTAGCTGACATTGCAGCTGCTTCGTGTGCAGCAGTATCGATAACACCTATAATCACCCTCATTGACCGGTACGTGGCAGTCTTAATAGCAATGTCCAGGCATGACTATCACTAACACCGCGCAGGTCCATCATGGAGACCGCTTCCTCCGTACACCCAACCATCATGTCCTCATTACGCTCCTCGATACGATCCATCACCGCAAACCCTTTCCACACACTTCTCTCACGCCCCTTCGCTCTCGTCTTCATGCTCTACGGCGGCACCTACCTTACGGCCAACACACTCGACACCGCATCCTCTGCGATCTCCAACAAGCCCGCCAGCAGTATAACCTCGGGTGCTGCCAAATTCGCAGCGTCATCTACCGCCAACATCTCTCTATGTGTTTACAAGGACCAGGCGTTTGTCAAGCTCTTTGGCCCAACGACTGCCGCGGCACCAAGACCTGTCCCGCTGCCCTGCTATGCCATCTTTGCGATGAGAGACGCGCTGACGATATTTGCATCGTTTAATGTCCCGCCATTGCTGGCGCCGTACATTGATGCGTCCAGTCTCAAGCTGCCTGTTTCGGGCGTTACGGCGGCCCAGTTTGCTGCACCAGCGTCTGTGCAGCTCATATCGACGCCGCTACATCTGTTTGGGCTCGACTTGTATAACCGCCCGGGTCTGAGCTTTGGCGAGAGATGGCAGATGGTTAAATCGAATTGGGCGGTATGCGCGGCCGCGCGTATCGGACGAATCATTCCTGCGTTTGGCGTGGGCGGCGTGGTGAATATGAAGGTTCGCAAGACCTTGATGACGAAACTGGAATAGTTTACAGGTTTTGGCGTTTTGCTTCTTCTTACTGTGTTGTTGTATTTGTACGCAAACATATATTGGCGTTTTATTGCATTAATTAAGGTATTTTGTTATTTTATTAATTCATTCATATCAAGTTCAATCTCTACAAAGTACTATGTCTACTGCCAGCTCGCCAGCTGGTGCAGCTGGCAGTCCTGGGATAAACACCAGCAGTGATCGTCCTCTCGTTTGCTGATACACTTTTGCTTCTGCAACTCTAATACGAAGCAAGCTTCAAGAATCGAAACATTTGCGAGCCTCGTGTTTATATCATCCAGTTTATCCGCTGTTTGGCCTCGTTTCGCGTGATGTCATTTTTGGGGTCCGCTTGGACGCAAGGGATGCCGTGCGCGAGCCTCACGTCTGCTCTGCCAACGCTACGGTAAGGATACCATGCCTATAGCTGACGCTAGACTACAGACGAGGGATCTAAGAGGCGAACTTGGACTACCAAAATGACGAACGGTTGACGCAATTACGAGAAAGACGGCATAAGGCAGACTGCGTTGGTGCGGCGGCCGACAGCGAGGCAGGCAAGATTAGCTTTCCTTATGGGCATACACGATAACGCACATGTCTGCGCAGCCGACCGTTGGTAATTTATGCCATAAACGTCACCTGTTCTTGACTGGTCAGCCGTCTTGCATACATTGACCACCACGGTGACTGAACTGGCCAGGTTAATGGAACCCGCCTCGGACTCGCTCAGGCGGTCGGCTGTTTCTTTTCACTTCATCTCCCTAATGTTGAAATGCAACTTAACCCTATTTTTGAGACCTGGAGATCCTTTTTGCATCCATCCCTTGTTTCTCTAGTCAACGGGCCACATGCTTCTCGTCTGCGGTGTGGTGATGCAAGGGAACCCGGCGCTGCCTCGCTCCCGGACCCAGAATGAAGCAGGGCGAACGGACCGGTACAGTGCATAGCGGTGCACCAAGCACACTGTAGATCCCAACCAGTTTGCGCGCCACACACACAGTCCAGCTGCTCAAACGTTTCATGTCTCGCCACACTGTATCCGACGTCTCACATTTGGGTCGCCGCCTCGACTAGTGGAGGGTGTCGTCGTAGGCGCTTAGCCAAACGGTGTCGTGGCAGCCCATTGTTCAGGACGCCTTTGTCTTTCGCAGCGGCTGCACGAGGGGAAAAAGGAAATCACTTTGCCACAAAGGAAAAAGCAATGGGCGCTACGGCACCGTCTTGCTGTCTGATTGGATGAACCATATGCATTTCCCCTGGCTAGAAGGAAGAACTGGGAAAAAAAAGAAAACTGAGCGGCCGAAATGCCCAGCGTCCATCCTCTGCTTGTGCGGCTTTGGCCAGCGCTTGGGGCGAAGGAGGCCCGTCAATGCAAGTGTTTGAAGTAACAAAACCGCCCCCCCCTCGGCGTGCCCTGATCCGCGCTGCCTGTTTGTATTCTATTTCTGCTCGCTACTGTTTCCGGAGAGCGTCCGTGATCTCCTACACACGTTCTTTTCACTCGTTTCGTCTCTTTGTCCCTAGTCCTTGCGCTTGCTTTTCGTTCTTCCGTCTCTCATTTACACCTTTGTTTGCTTCACCTACCGTTCTTTCAACGCAAACCACAATCGCTACTTCCCAGCCAGCCAGCACGACAAGTAAAAAATAAATCCAACAAATTTACACTCACAGGCATTTCGCTACTCGACTGATTTCGACTGTTTGTCGCTTTACCGATTTTTTTCGACTCGTGGGTTTGCTCGCGTTATACCATTGTCAACTCTTAGCAGCCGCCAGCTTTAACTACACGGGCGATATTCATTCGACAGCCGACATTGTCTAGTTTTGTTTGATTAGCAGCAGATTATGCTATTTCATTAAACCGAAGACACTCTCAAACAGCATATTCGACGGCATTGCCAACACAAACACTTTGTGCGACCGGATATCGACCCAGCCACCTTATCAGTAGTATAAGACACAACAAGCCGTGAGTGCTGGGGGGAACTACGGGCAAACAAAATGCTGCCATTTAGTGGTATTCAGGATGCAAAGGCGTCGATTCTCATGACGCTCCTTTGCATCCTCGACGCCGCTGCAATGGCACAGGCTCGCATTCCCAGCCGGACTATGGCGGCTGAGGCTGATCTCGTCCTTGTCGACTATCCTTTTGCTCCGACACCAGCACCACAACTACCCGAAGAACTCAGACGCCGACAACTCAACACAATATGCGGTTACATAGGAGGTGACCCGAAACTGCCCGCCACCTGCTCGGCAGGATCACATTGCGTGGCTGAGATGAACCGCAACGTCATTGGCTGTTGCCCTGATGCTGGGCCATGCAGCACTGGCGTCTTCACAGCATGCGTGGATCGCAACAACCCAACCAATGGCGCACCCAATCCTTTAGTATTTACCTGCTCAGGAAGCAATGTCTGTTATAAGAACTCTTTTGCCGGTGGCTTCACACAGTTTGGCTGCGGCTCCGCTTCCAACCTCGCTACTAGCGTGGCTACTGCTGCTTCTGGCCAACCCGCAGTCGTCTTTGGATCTGTAAGTGGTCTCGCTGCACCATCCAACACTGCTGCCTCCAGTACGGCTTCAGGCGCATCGTCTGCTTCCAGTTCTAGCGGTGGCTCTTCTTCAGCTTCCGCTTCTGGCCCGTCCCAGACCCAGCCTAGTGCTATTAGCACGGGCAATGCGGCTTCTAGCGCAGCTTCTTCGGGTGCCAGTACACAAACAAGTGCTAGCAGTGCCTCTGGATCCAACTCCAAGTCCGACTCCAGTTCCAAGACTTCGGGTGCAAGTTCAAACAGCGCGTCAAACACAGCCTCTAGCACTGGTTCGAAGGCGAGTTCAAGCGCTGGCTCTGGTGCTAGCTCTAGTGCCAGCTCTAGCTCTAGCAGCGGTTCAGGTTCGAGTTCCAGCTCAGCATCCGGCCCTACATCAACAACCAATTCGAACCCTGCCACAACAACTTCTCCCTCAGCGACCCTGCCATCCATGTCTATTATCGTGACGCAGATATCTGAGAATATCCCTGCAAGCGCGGGAACAACATCTTCTCGTACTAGTGCTACGGGCAACGCCGCTTCTCAGGCTTTGGAAAATGAGGGCGAGCCCAAGACAAATATGGCAGCCATTATCGGTGGTGTATTGGGTGGTATATCAGGCATTGTTCTTATTGTTGCCGCCATCCTCTTCTTCCGCCGCCGCCAAATGAACAAGGACAATGAAAGAAGATCACCCTCTGCGCAAGGTTCGCTTATCAGCCGCCCATATATGACTGACGGTGCCAATGGAAGTGGCTTCACTGGCGACGATGTGTACGGCACAGCGCTGTCTGGTAACCATAGACCGGCGCCAGCACCGCCCATGGCTGCAGCACAGGGAGCGGATAGGTGGCCACTCGCTGCGGCTAATGCCCGTCCGTCTAGTTCAGTCTATGAGCCTGGGGGCTACAGTAGGACTGGATCGAACATGTACGGCAATCGAGGTCCAGACTTCTCTCCGGCTCCGGTGACGCGAGAGGTCTTTTCACAAACCGGCCCCGGGCCCATCATGGAAACACCGCCGATACCTAGAAGGAGCGGCAACAATCCTCTATGGCAACAAAACAGATACGATTACGGGTACTCGGCCCGGCCGTGAAGAGCGCCGCGCGATACCAAGATAGACGTTACTAATGGTGATGAATGTAAAATTACAACTACTACTAGAGAGCGCAGCTCCACGCAGTGAGGTGGTGTGAGAATTGGCGTTTTGTGAGAGAGAGCATAGCGTGGGACTTTGAACCCTTGTATCATCAATTCCCTTTTTTTTGTTAATTTTTATGGCTGAGGAAGAGGCAAAAGTATCTTAATGGCTGACGGGTGGGTGGGCACGCAGCGGTAGATAGACAGCAAACAGTTTTTAATAATTGCAACATTAAACTACACTTGCGTTTCGTTGGATTATTCACTTGTGAGATAAGGAGAGCTTGTTGGTATCAGGTAGAAATACTGATTAGACATTGACATTATTGAAGAGAACTGGGATCTAAATGACAGATATGAGCCAGCTGCGCACCAATATGCAGCAGCCAAAACTCAGAGGTATAAACAAAGGTATCAAACACGGTAGAAAGGTGGCTAAAAGAACGCCAGATAACGAAGAAGGGTTGGTGCATCGAAGCGACAAGAGAAATCTAAGCAAGCGATCGATTCCATGTTACACTTTAGTAGCCGGGGATCTTGTCACCGTAGCGGAGAGGAGAGGAAGCGTAGTCGCGGTTGCCCTTGCCCTGCATGTACTCGTCCATGTACTTCTGGTCCGGGTTGGACCAGGTGTTGCCAGACCATCCGGGGAGGACCTTGGTGCAGTCGGTCAAGGAGTTGATGTTGTTGACACCGAGGAGAGAGAGACGGACGTACTCGCGAGCGTAGCCCTCGTTCCAGAGAGCATGGCCCCAGCGCTGGTCGGCGTAGAAGGAGAAGACGTTCTTGGAGCGCGAGTCCTCGGACAGATGGACGTCGGAGGGGAACTTGAGAATGCGCGAGGGGGCGTTGGGGTTCAGAGTTTCACCGTAAAAGAGAACGTCCCAGACACCAGGGGTGCTGTCCTGGGGCCAGAGGGCCTTGTCGGGGTAGGCGTAGCGCTGCTGGGAGGTGGTGTGAGCGCCGACGAGAGCGACGAGGCCCTGGGCAGAGATGGTCTTGTCCTCAAAGAGCGTGATGAGCTGGTCGGCAGACCAGGTGTGGATGGGCATGGTGTCGACGGGGGATTCGGTGGTGGCGTCCTTGCGGCCAACGAAGGAGCGGACGCGGGGGCCGAGAGGGCAGACAACGGTAGCAACGTTGGCGCCCATCTGGATCAGATCGGCCATGGAGATGCCGAAGTCCTTGTACTTGTCGAACCAGACGCGGGTCTGGTGGCAGATCTCCTCGAGACCCTTGTTGATGGAGCGCATCTCGCATTCGCCAAAGGTGACAATGGAGCCGTCGGCACCACCGGCGTTGAGCTTCTTGGAGTATGTGCCGGCATCGTGGAAGCCGAGGCGGATGGCGCCACGGGCAAGGCCGTTGCACCGGCCAGCAGTGCCGGTCATGGCCTCCTTCATCTCATCGGCAATGTACTTCCAGATGCAGCAGGTGTCCTTGGCACACTCGGGAGTGCCCTTGGAGGGGCACGAGTCGTAGTGGGTAACGGTGTCCTGGGGCTGGCCGTTGCGGTCACCGTTGAGGATGAGCTTGACGGTCTTGCCGACGGAAGACATGTCCTTGTCAGACATGTTGTAGAGGTCACCAATCACATCGGTGGACTGGCGCGAGTTGACGTGGTAGTTCTGCGACATCTGGTATTCCATCTCCCAGGACCAGCCGTCGTTTTGGCCGCCGCCGGAGGACGAGGAAGAAGAGGATGAGGAGGAAGACGAAGACGAGCCGCCGCTGGAAGACGAGCTAGAAGACGAGCTGGAGCTGGAGGAAGAACCGCCGCCAGAGCTGGAAGAGGACGAAGATGAAGACGAAGACGAAGAGCCGCCGCTGGAGCTAGAGGACGACGAGGACGAGGACGAGGATGACGAGCCGGAAGAAACACGCTGGTTGTAGCCGGGGTTGCCACCTTGGTTGTAGCCGGGATTTCCGTAGTAGTTCCAGCCCCAGGCATTGGTGGTGGTGGTCACCGCCAAAACGGTGACGAGAACACCAGAGGTCTTCATTTTTGAAGAGAAAGAGCGTGGAGAGGGGTGTGATGAGGTCAACGAGAGTGGTAAGAGACGAGGGTCCGAAAGGTGGCGACGAAGCTGCGTCTAGAGCCTGGCACTGAGAGGGTAGAAAAAGAAAGGACAAAGAAAGAAAGGAATGAACTCGAGGATCCAGACACAAGCTAGGCAACGGTTGGACTCTGGCGGGTGAGACACGAGGGGGAGGGCTGCCCGATGTAATTATACTAGAGTCCACGAGGGTGTCTCAGGCTGGCACTTACACCGTCGGCCGGGGGCCCAGCAATCGACTATGGTCTAGAAAATCTTCCGCCTACCGGCACTAGCCAGGCTCTGCAATCGCCTCCTTTAGCGCCCCAGTTTCCCATCCGCCTTGCTGCTCAACGAGCCTATCGTCGGAGAACCCACTGCTCACCGGATCTAGCGTCGTCAACAAGCACGACCCCTGGCGAAAGCTAGCGGGCGGTGCTGCCACTCACTACTGCTGGCTAGAGGGGAGACAACAGCTGGACAAACACGAGGAAAGCTCACAAGTGGGCTTTGGTGGCCGCAAGCTCCATTGGGCGATGCCTATTTCTGGAAAGGCGGGATCCACGGTTGTGGGCATCGCGCGCTGAGCAAAAACCAACTCATGCACCGGGACCCAATTGTTTGGTTCTGCCCGCTGCCGAGAAGAAAGTCGTTACGGCTCACACGGGCCAATGCTACCACGGTAGAGGAACCGTGCCGGCGTTTGTTGCGACGTCACAAACCTCATTTCTTTGGGGGCCGCCCACGGTGAAGGCCGTCAGCGCAAAGGTGTGCCTCCTCTGACGTGCAAATGTCACGGTTTGCTAGGCTAGGAACTGGGGAATTGGCGGCTTCCGTAAAACAGGAGTCTAGAAGCCGTCAACACGTCTCCTGCCCTGTTCTCTTAGAGTCGTAGTCTGTAATCACAATTTAACTTGCCTCTGGTTGGCTGCTTGTGGCTTGTCACTCCTCCACAATCGCCCATCCCAATTGGGACGAAAATACCCCTGGGGCTGATTCTCTGGGCCAGGCTAGCGTCAGTGGCTCCTCTTGTGCCTGGACAGGCTGTCGCTTTGCGTAGTGGGTGGACACGGATGGCCGCCCGGAAAGGAATGCGACTGTAGCGCAGCCATGACAACGTCTGCCTTTGTGAATCCTTAAGCGCCCAGATTGTGAAACATTGTGCCGTCCTTTCGACTGCCGCCGGGCTTCTTTGTTGGTACGTCATCGCCGACTTTACGGCGATTCGCCATGCTGCAGCATGCATTCTGCATTTCCCGATCGTGGCGCAGGGGAATTTGCACAAGTCTTGCAGGGGCCGCCGGCGAGAGAGATTACCAAACTGTAAGTACTGGTTGGTGCGGGCAACTATTGAATCTGGCCTGCACCCTGAAACCTGGGCATGGGCGTCGCGCGACCACCACCAGCAGCACAGAAGATTACTATTTCTTCACTGCTAGCGGCTTTAGCGGCTCTTGGCTTCTGACCTGCTGGGTTTTTTTTCCTGTGGAGGAGGCCATTTGGGGCGCTTCGTAATCCCAAAGCCGCATCCAGCTAATTGGAAGCGTGTGTGTGCCCATAATAAGGGTTGTTGGTCATGACCGAGAATTAGCGTCATTGTCATTGGACGGGACGAAACTGCAGATCTGTTCTGGATGGCCGACTTGGCTGGTTGTTATTTGCCGACAGCAAGAGACGATCATCCCAGGTTCCCTAGCTATGTTGTCGACAACGTTTGTATTCAATGTGAGGGAACGCGATACCATTGATATGAAGTTAGTGCCGGGTTCTCTTTTAGCAGTCTTCTATTCCACGGAATAAAACGAAATGTATTAAAATTGTAACCGTGTTCAATTCAGCTGGTAACGGCTGCTAGTCGGCGACATCGCAATTCTTTGCTGGAGTTGGTCAGCTTTCGGTCGACAATGCTTAGAACAATCAACCAAAAAAAATCTTGATTCCTTTTTGTTCGGCGGGTTGATTTTGCATTTCATCCGGTGGCCGACAATTGGTAGAACATAATCATGGCCTTACGTACAAGACTGGTTTACCGAAACCCTTCCTATTTGGTATAAGCGCCTCGCTCCGCTCCGCTGGCTTTCGCTTCCTTGTGGCGGATCACCAGGCTTTTTCCGCTGAACAATGGCCCCGACAGGCCTCGGCGTGGACACTAGCCCATCCAGCTCCCAGCTTCCAGGCACCGCTTGCGAGGATGGGGCACTAAGACGACGCTAACATGGGGCTAGACAACTTCATTCCACTTTTACGAGGTTGAGTTTTCGTCTATCGTCCAGATTTTCACTGCCGATTCCGACATGATGTCCAGGTTTCCCCGAGGATCCGGCATGTAGCGGCCTGCGATACCTTCGTCCGCGACGTGCTGCCATCCACCAGAGCATGTAGCTGCGACAGAACCGCTCGGATGCAGTGCCGTGCTGCCCGTCGGCGATGTGTGTGCTTGCCAGGACCAAGCAGGCTCGACGGCGCCATAATGCAATCCTACTTCGCGCCAGACCACAACGCGGCCATCTTGCGATCCAGCCCAGACCTCAAAGCCAGCGCCAACCGCGCCGTCTTCAGCCGGCATCACTTGAAATGTGTCACACCCAAGCCGCTGCTGTGTGGTAGCGGGCCGTCCAGTCAGCACGCTAACCAACTTTCCCGTGCCGCGCACATCATATACCAACAGACCTGATGCACGACGTTCATTAATCACCAGATATCGCCCGCATGGACTCCATAGCGTCTGAGCGATGCCTTGGCCACCCAGGTTCAGCTGAAAGTCAGCTTGTTCCGCATCAGCAACACTCCAATTTGCGGTTGCCTTGTTGGACCGCTGTAAGTCGTAGAGTCCCATCCACCTCGTCCATGTTCCAGCAGCTACAAGACTATCATGGTTGCCACCCATAGGTCCTGCAGAGAGCGAAGACACAATCCCTTTCATACCTACTCCACCGCCTTTGAGAACATGTCGCTTAGAAGGAATGGTTGGTATTGTGAGCACAGGGCTATTCGAGCCAGTTCGAGAAAGATCAAAGTAGTCGAGCCTATTGGATGAACCACAGATGAAGTGCGTACCCGACTGCTCCCATAATAATGAGGTTGGAGTAATGTACTCTTCTGTCTCTGCTCTTATCAGTTTGTATATGCATATTGGCGTGTTGACTTCCGTGTCTGCTGGCGGGAAGGCGTTATACAACTGTAGCGGGTGGTCCCGACAGCCAGTCAGAAAGAGTTGTGACGCGGGTTCTGATAGCGTAAAATATGGTGCGACGCTAATAGCCTGCATAGCCTCGGGCAGTCTTGTAGTTGCATTTGGTTGCAGATTCTTGACATTGTTGCTGTCGTCAAGCAAATCTGTTGGGAGCACAAAGGACGACACCTCATAATCCGATGTGGTGGCAATAATACATGTTCCATCCGCAGACCACCTTGTCGAGGTATAAAAACAGCTAGGTGAGTTGCTCTCAGGCGGTATCTCCAGCGAATGCTCGGCTATCAGAGTTGCTTGAGGCGTGCCATCTGCTACCTTGTCTGTGTCGGGCACGGCATGTGGCTCCATCGGCGATGCAACTCGCTTCAATAGCCGCAGAGGCAGGTCAATGTCTGGATCACTGCCAAACTTTGCTACCTGTGATGCGTTGTTGATGCCTGCAGGCTGTATGTATTGGTGTGGTGATGAGTTGGAGATGAAAAGTTGGTGGAGTGAAGGTGGCGGGAGCTAAGGTGCGGCTGGCTGCATGGTGGTGCCAGCTGGCCGGTAGCGAGGAGTGATCTGCGCGCGGCAGGAGAAACGGGGGCAGAAAATGTATAAAATAATTCAGACGATCATTTACAGAGTATTTGAAGTTTCTTGGTATTTTATCTGCAATATGTTGAATATACAAAGGGTGTTTTTGTTGCTTAACTCGGTCTCCCAGATGCTGCATTACCAGTTGCCCAGCATTGTTCAACACTATACTATTAAACCCAAAACAAATGATATTGGCTGGGGTTTTTTTTATTTGAGTTTTTCTTAAACACCATGCGTATATTGATTATTCTAGGTATAATTTAGATATCATAGTCTCACGCATTGGAGCGTTCTCGGAACGCTGATAGAGTTGCACCAGCAATCCCACTACAGACTGCTTATCTCAACTGTCTTGAACTTCAAACAAGTGCTGTATCGCTGCTGTTTGCGTAAAGAGAGGCTACTATTTCATCTTTATTTTCTTTAAAAAAAAGCGTTATAAAAAAAAGAATGTTTTTCTCTTACCCTCCATCTCACCACCGTTCAGTATTCCATCTCACCATCATCGTCCAGTCCCCAATGCATGCATCTACCCGAGTGAAACAATCATACCCAATGAAAGCCCCCCAAAAGTATCCATAAGCCGCTATCTTGCAGCCTTATGTTTGCCCGTTGCGCGCTAATGCGTCATCGGCCACCGCCCGCCGGAAATGTCCCCAATTCCACGGTGGAGCTCCTCCGCCTGACACGGTCACTGGGCGTTACCCCCAAAGCGACCGCACCTCTTTGCTATCCTCTCATCGCCGCCTTTAATCTCCAAATAACAACACAAAGCATCGCTGGTCGCTGCGTAAAACCCCCTCAAAATCACCATCGACTGCTTCAGTCACCAAGAGACACAAAAAGCTCGCCTTGAAACACGTCGCTCACTCAGCAAACCAACCCGCTCGTCTAGCGGCAGCACGCCATGGATCTCTTGCAGGCCGGCAGCGCTCAGTGCGATGGACTCCGGTCTCCAGGCTATACAGGGCTCATTATTTCCATGTTTGTCGTACTTTTTGCTTTCTTGCTGCGTTTGTCTCGGTCCCTTTGCTAACCGAAGCGTCTGCCTAGCGTCATCCTCATCGGCATCTTCGTCTCCTATCTCCCCCAACACTATCGCATCATCGCACGCGGCACCGCGGAGGGCATCTCACCCCTCTTTGTCCTTCTTGGCACAACATCTGCCACGGCCGGCTTTGCCAATATTCTCGTCGTTCCCCCCTCTCGAGACGCGATAAGCTGCTGCAGAGAGCTCGAGACGTTTGAGTGCGCGGCTGGCTTGCTTGGCGTGGCGCAGCTAGGCATCCAGTGGCTATGCTACAGCTTAATGTAAGTGGTGTTTTCGTGCCTGTATATGCGTTCATTTTTGGAACACACCTTACTGATGATTATGATGTAGTCTTGTTCTCTTTTTAGTGTTTTTCCGATACGATGACGCAACCGTGCCCCAGGAGGAACTTGCTGGCGAATCCCCCAAGTGGCAGACTGCGACGTTGGTTGGCCTGCTCGCCTTCCTACATGGTTTAGTGGTCGTCGTGTTGACTGGCGTCTTTGCCATTGCAAAGCCCGGACTACTTAACACATGGGCCATCATTCTCGGCATTATGGCTACGGGTCTCGCAGCCGTCCAGTACGTACCACAAATCTTGACGACGTACCGCATCAAGCATGCCGGCAGCTTGAGCATTCCCATGATGTGCATCCAAACGCCTGGTGGGCTATTAGTTGCGGCCAGTCTCTATTTCCGCCTGGGCTGGGAAGGCTGGAGCACGTGGATCATCTACCTCCTAACCGCTGCAATGCAGGGCGCCGTCCTAGGATTATGTGTATACTATGAAGTCGTCGCGCGACGAGAAGATCATCCGCCTGCTATTTACATTGACGGTGATCCCAACGTCCCCGATCAGACTCCCAGCTCCGATACGAGGCCTGTTGCTAACCGCACCTACTCGGAGGGCTGGGAGCGTGGATTGCCGGGGCCATTCACCGGACACCCCGAACTATATGCCGAAACAGAGGAGGATCTGGAGCATATCCAGGACCGTGAGGAGAGGGCTATTGCCCGGGAGAGCCAGCCGCTGCTCAAACCCGGTGGTATTGGTAACCCGAACAAAGGCTATGATGCTGTCCGTCGCGAATAACGGCGAGTTTGCTGTGGTTGCTGTTGATGAAGTCTACAGGCGTTGCTTGTCCCCCTTTATGTACAAAGATAACTATAACCAAACTTGGGTTCAAACTCGAATATCCATTATTTCAAACCAAGAACTCATGCGATCAGGCCACTCATAATAGAACATTGTGTCTCTCGTGCATAAACGACACGCGATGACTCCCCGCATTTGAGTCACCGCTATCAACGGACCCGCCCTGCTAAAGTGGTAGCAGGAAGTCAGCCCCCGCCCCCCTTGCCCCCTACAACGCATCAATGCATCCCCTAGACCGCCTGTAAGGGAGCCTTCGCACCCGCTAAACCGCCGCTCTTACAGCGCGACCAGGGCTCCCCCCCGCGGCTTCATGCAGCTGCTGAGGGGCCACTGCATCCGCTAAAATAGCCCTCATGGGTTGCGCTCCAGCGCTGATTGGCCGCACCAAAGCCGCTGTGGACCACGCCGCAGCGCCCACCACCACAGTCTTGTGTCATCGGCCTGCGCGAGATGCCCGCACAACGCACGCACATCTCGTGATGCGGACACGGATGTCCTCGATTTGCCTTTCGACTTGCACTTGACACTTACTTCGACCACACACGACTTTGCAGTCTTCTGCACAGCATCACGATCGAAATCTCGACGAAACATTAGGCACAAGCCCATCTACAACTTCCTCGCCACCACCCCTCCACCGATATCGCTCGCGAATTTCAACCACCAAAAGCCGCCCATCATGGCAATGTACAGCGCCATGCCCTCGTTTGACGAGGACACGGGGTCGTTTGAGGGCATCGATGCCCCGGCTACCCCGGCCACGCACAATGCCTCCAACACGGGCATCGACATCGACGCCTGGACAATAGCCGCACTCCAGTCGCTCAATGTGTCCCCCATGGGCCGAGGCATCGGCTCGCCGCTAGCCATCCCGCTCGACGAGGCAATGGCACGCAAGCGCGACAGAGATACAACACCCAAGGCTGTCAAGTTTGACGGCCGATCTGCTTCGCCGCCATCCCCGCCCCAACGGCCCCGATCTAGTCGCGATAGTCTCGCTAAGAGAGAGGCGCTGCTCAAGGGCAAAGAGGGCAGCAGACAGCGCCGGCGCTGGGATAACGGTACGCTGGGCGATATCGTCCTTTAGATAAGATAGAATACTAACCAGATCTTGATGTGTAGACCACCTCGTTGGCGTCCCCAACGCTCAGCCGCCACAACCTACAGACTGGCATGTCCAGCCAACACACCCCGTCCGTCGCATGCCGTACCAGGTCGCACAGTACTGGGAGCGCGGAGTCCGCCAACAAGTCCAGGACAAGACGTCGCGACTACAAGCCACACGCAAGAAGCAGCAGTTGCAGTCTGGCAGCGCCACTGGCCTCGGTGTAGGCGAAGTCCCGCGCGATCTTAGAGAGTACGCCAAGCGCTCACCACTGGTTAAGAACTGGGTGCGAACGTTGGAAGAGCCAGTTCGGGACTTTTTGCACGGCGAGGGCTCGAGGGCCGCGGAGAAGGAGAGACAAGAGGTTGCGGCTGCAGAGGAGGAGCTGGACTCTGACGAGGAGGAGATTGTCTTTGCAGGCCGTCAGGGCGCTTTGAAGGAACTGCAGGAGAAGAAGGATCGCTGGCGACTAGCGCATCGCGAGATTGCCCAGCAGACAGTTGATTCTGGCATGGTGTTTGATTCGTTTGGCGACGATGAAAGCGCTGCTTACAAGTACGTTTTTAGGCCGTGGAAATGGGAATATGTTGATGCTAACAGATTGCAGGCGCTGGTTGACGCATTCGATATCAGACTACTACGGACTCGAGTCTCGGTCGGTCACTATTGCAAATACGTCCCGCAAGGTGGTCTATGTTGGCTTCAAGAAGGCGAAGCATGCGCCTATGCCGCATTTGAAGGCGCTGCCTAGACCGTTGTGGGAGGCGTGCTGAGCGGATTGGCACATGATGTTTGTTCGTTTTGGAGTACATATATTTACAGTTTACATTACAGTTTACATTGCATTATGATGATCTGGAAGAGGTACACGATACTCTAGATGGCATAGAACTATACAGGAGCTCCTAATACAGCATCTCGCAGCCGGTCTTTGCATCAGCGTTTGACCATTTTTCTCATCTTGAAGAGGCTCTTTGGTCCTAGTGATGCGTATTGGCGCGCTTGTTCTGCTGCTGACATAGAGAGTAGTGCATCGAGACCACCATCGTCGAGCACTAGTTGTGCGAGAAATTTGGCTGTCGCAATATTCATCCCTGTTCGACGGAAATGTATTTCCAGTGCCGTATCGAGCCCGGATAGCTGTCCGTTTAGGCGTATCGATTCGTCAGAGTGTTTGCACATGAGCGACAGAATCCAGTGTGCGAGAGTCCCATCCGAGCCTGCGACCAAAGAGCATGTCACTCCATTTAGCTTCTCCGTGTATTTGACAAACTCGAGATACGCCCGCGTATCGGACGGGCTTGCTTCGGTGACATACTCGCCCATCGGATTTTCCTCAGATACGAGAACCAAGAGGTGTTCGTACATGGTGCTCACAGCGTCTACACGTCGTCGAAGTGGCGTTTTTTCTCCAGAATTGGGTTGTGGCTTCTGTCTAACATGATGGATATTTGTCACTATTATCCCAGTCTCATGAGATATTGTTATATCAGCTTCTTCCACATAACCTTCCGATGCTGGGCATGCTCGCGAGTAATCCACATCGATAAGAGATTGCGATTCCCATACCTGGTCTAGAAGCTGTAATATGGATGGCTTCAGCTTGATGGATACAAAGACGGTTCCTTTTTCAGCTGGTACTTGGTAAGGCGGGTAGGCTGCCGGCGTGCGCTTCACCGGTTGTGGTATAGATGGTTGAGCTGGTACCCTGTGGGGAAGCGAGGGTCTCACCGTCTCAATCGCGCGCATCTGTAGATAATCGTCAATCATACTGGCTGTAGATTGGGTTGTCGGGGTTTGGTGCAGCTCTTTACGCTGCATAATCGCGCCAATACGGGCCATGATGTCGTCTGGTAGGGGTTCAGGAGATGTTGCCCTTGATTCCCTCGTATATACTGAGTTTATGTGCTGCCCATTGTCTGAAGAATCTTTTTCTGGAGCCCTGCCTGGTTCTACATCAAGGTGCAGCGCGTCTTGCATGTTTTGCACTGTCGAGTCCGTGCTCTCTGAGGCTGGCGTGCTGACCATAGATGTTAAGTCGATTATAGGAGGCGGTTCGGGGGCAAGTTGAGAAGCATCATCTTTTGATGGAATTAAAATTGGGTGGTATATCAAGCTGAGTGAATTTCCAAACATCTAAAGAATTAGAATAAGACCTTTGAGGTGTGGTTAACATACCTTGTGCTTGTTGAGATAGTCGTCTGCCAGCATAGACATCCGCCGCGGCCGCTGTAAATATTCTTCGGAACAGAAACTTGGCATTTTATTAATTTCCATGTCAATGAATATCGGTAGTCGGTCTATATACGGTGGAAACTCCATTGACTCGTCCCTGTTTGCCTTGAATGAATACAGCGGTAGCCATTGTCGCGTCCAGACTGCGTTTCGCTTCATATTCACTTCGTTGAGGAGCTCGTCTGCATCAGAAAGTGGTGTGTTTTCTATTAATGGTACTTCGAGATATAAATTCCGCTCTCTGGCGCGTGAGTATCGTGGGTATGACACGCGTCTCCGCTGTTCATCCGTTGTGAGCCGTGCCAAAACTTCGTACTGGACCTGAGCAGCATCATCTAGGTCTCCAATGGATAATTCGACCTTTGGGACTTCTATATTTGAGGTACTAGCTTCTTTTTTAAGCGATTCTACCTCTCTTTTGGCTGCGCTGCTGGAGACGAGGCGGCAGCATGTTTTGAAATCAAACGGGGAGCCTAGATGGTCCTGGAAGCATCCTTCTGCTCTGCCATATTCATCTGCTGTCTCTTCCATATTCAGAGTTGATGATGGATTAGAACATTGTATGTTTTGTTTGTTTGGCTACTAGGGGCATTTTCCGTATATCTTAGGTGTTGTCTGGTTGTTTGATCTAGGGGAGGGTACACATGTACTACTGTGAAAGTGAACAGAGCCTAAGTTGGTTGAGAGTGTATACATTTACTTTAATAAGCACACTCTAATTCATCTCTAAACTCCAAATCCACTATTATTTCGACAAATGAGTATTAAAATAATTTATTTAAAATTTAAAGCCCAAATGCTTCGCCCCAGAGTCCGTTCAAAACAGCACCTCACTCTTTAGGGTAGCTCGGTAGCACAGCTATCCTTTTCCAGCCTAACTCCGCTGAGGGGCGGGCAGCTTAGCGTGTCGCCGCCAGCGACGCAGGTCATCGCCAGCGAAGCTCTTCTCTCCGCTGTCGCCGGAGCTACCTCCTCTCCCTTTCATCGTCCTCTTCTGCCGACATCGCCAATTAATACATCACAATGGCGTACGTGGCACCGGTTCACAACGCAACCAGCATTCGACATGCTGTGCGGTGCAACTTTCTGTCGCCAGATCACGAAGATCTCGCCGTCGCGTAGGCTGATTTCTAAGCTTTCCCCAGTTTCTGTTTGCTGACTTTGATGAAATAGAAAAGCGAATCGACTCGAAATTTGGCGTCTGACAGAAGATGGCATGACATGTCTTCATACGAAACTCATCTACGGAACTATCTCCATGCTCCAACGATTAAAGCCAAAAGAGTCGGACAGAGACGTCCTCTTTATCGGAACGGATCGAATGCAATACTTTAATGTCATGTGGAATGCGGAGACGAATCAAATGGAAGCTGTGAAAGAGACGATACAGGATGTCAGCGAGCCGTACATGCGGCAATCACAGAGCCAGAACAAGTGTCTGGTCGATCCGACTGGCAAATACATTGCCATGCATCTCTGGGAGGGCGTGCTCAACGTATTCTGCATCCCTGGCGCAGGCCGCCGTACAGATCCCGTTAAGCTCGAGGTACTGGACCAGGTCCGTCTCACAGAGCTGTGGATGAGTGCAAGCACCTTCATCCACAGCCGGACTGGCCACCCACGCATCGCATTTTTGTATAAGACGCAGTTGAACCAAGAGGAGGCTCGAATCGCCATATACAGGCTTACAAAAGATGATAAAGGCTCTGAGGTTTCCAGATTCGACCCTCATAAGGACAGGGAGCTGGATCAGGTTCTGCAAGACCCGTACTCGTCAATGCTGATCCCGGTTCCGATCCACGAGGAAAAGCGATATCATGTTCGAAATGCAGAGAGCGTTTCTGCTCATCTAGGAGGTCTCCTGGTTGTTGGAGAAACGCTATTGACCTATTTTGATAGTTTGACTTACTCAAGCGTATGCTCGGCGCTCAAGGACCCAAAGATCTTTGTGGCATGGGCGGAATACGACGGCACCCATTTCTTCCTTGCTGACGACTACGGAAGGCTAGACCTCCTTACGATTGAAACGGATAGCGACTCAAATGGTATAGTGACAGGCATGAAAGTAGAGGCTATGAACTTTCCAAATGGTGAGGGCCTCACTTCCAGAGCCTCTACTCTGGTGTACATGGGCGACGACATGCTGTTTCTAGCGTCAAATCACGGTGACTCGCAGCTCCTGCGTGTTGATATCGAGTCTGCGAGCATGATGGTAGTCAAGTCATTTTCCAACAATGGCCCGATTGTTGACTTTGCCATTATGGATATGGGAAACCGTGAGGGTGATGTCCAGCTTGGCAACGCCTTTTCATCAGGACAAGCACGGATCGTGGCTGGCTGCGGCGCATCCCGAGACGGATCCCTCAGAAGCATTCGAAGCGGTGTTGGACTGGAGGACAAGGGTATGTTGGACGAGATTACAAACGCCAGGGGGCTTTTCTCTATAAAATCCCCTGGCGCTGAACGAGTCGACGCCCTTGTTGTGTCATTTATCGGAGAGACAAGAGTCTTCAGTTTCGATTCGGATGGCGGCATTGAAGAAGTGTATGACTTTTGTGGACTTAAACTCGACACAGAGACCCTGCTGGCAGCCAACACACGGTCCGGACACCTCTTGCAAATCACATCGACAACAGTTGCGCTCATCGATCCTGAAAGCGGCGTCGTATCTTCTGAATGGAATTCCCCAGAGGGAAAAACAATTACTAACGCGTCGGCGAATGACAAATGGGCATTTGTGGCTGTGGACGGCTCAGCCATAGTATCGTTAGACCTGAGCAAGGACCTGAGGGCTGTCACACAAGATGCTGAACAGGCCGGACAAGCCGATCAAATAGCCAGTATCCATGTCTCACCAGCCCTGCAGGATCTCGGCGTCATTGGTTGGTGGTCAGCCGGTACCATTTCCATTGTCGACATGGCCACCCTCAGCCCTGTCCATGGTGAAGCTCTCCGAACAACAGAGGATAGCGCGTCAGTGCCGCGAGATCTAGCACTTGTTCAGATGCACAAACAGGGTACGGCTGGGCCAACTCTTCTAGTTGCTCTGGAAGATGGCAACGTTATCACTTTCAATGTTTCGCTGGATCCTTTCGCCCTGGGCGGGAGAAAGACTGTTACCCTGGGAAGCAACCCAGCTAGACTTCACGTTCTACCTACACAAGACGGCACCAACAGTGTCTTTGCAACCACTGAGCACTCAAGTCTCATCTATGGATCGGAGGGCCGCATCATATACTCAGCAACAACCGCGGATGATGCAACATTTGTCGTGCCGTTTGATTCAGAGGCATTCCCGGGCTCTATCATTCTGGCAACAGACGACCATCTTATGCTTGGCGAGGTCGATAAGGAGCGTCTGACCCACGTCAAGACTCTGCCGATGTATGAGACTGTGCGTCGTGTGGCATACTCACCTGGACTAAAGGCGTTTGGACTCGGCTGTATCAAGAAGGAGCTTATTAGCAACGAAGAAGTGATTACGAGCTCCTTTAGGCTGGTGGATGAAATCATCTTCCAAGATTTAGGCTCGCCGTTTGTGCTAGATGCGTCAACTTCCTTGGAGCTGGTCGAGTGTGCCATTCGAGCCGAATTACCAGATAGCACGGGCGGCATGGCGGAACGCTTCATTGTCGGCACCAGCTTTATCGAGGACGACTCCGAGGGTGAGCACGAGCAGACGAAGGGCCGAATCCTGGTGCTTGGAGTCGACAGCGACCGTCGCGTATATCAAATTGTGTCACATAACCTCAAAGGAGCATGCCGCTGCTTGAGCACAATGGGAGAATACATCGTGGCTGGCCTATCAAAGACTGTCGTTGTATACAACTACATTGAAGAGACTACTACGTCGGGATCGCTAGAGAAGCTGGCTGCTTATCGACCATCGACTTTCCCAGTGGACTTGGATGTGGCAGGCAACATCATTGGTGTCGTGGACCTGATGCAGTCTCTCACATTGGTTGAGTTCATGCCCCCAGTAGAAGGCGGAAACGCCAAGCTGGTTGAGCAGGCGAGACACTACCAGCCTGCGTGGGCCACCACTGTTTGTCATTTAGATAATGATAGATGGCTTGAAGCAGATGCACAAGGTAACTTGATTATTCTGCAGCGCAACCCCGACGCGCCTACTGAACAGGACCGATCCCGGTTGGAGATTACGAGCGAGCTGAACCTGGGCGAACAAATCAACCGCGTCCGAAGGCTAAATGTGGCGACCACCGACAGTACTGTCGTATCGCCACGAGCATTCCTCGCTTCTGTAAGTTTTTCTTTTAAGTACCATTGCAAAGAGTATAACTCTAACATGGAAATAGACCGAAGGAACGGTATACTTGTATGGAGACATTGCGCCGAAGTATCAGGACCTGTTGATGAACTTTCAGCAGCGTCTACAAGAACACGTTAAGCCTCTGGGTGATGTTAGCTTTAACCACTGGCGAGCGTTTAGGAACCAGTCTCGCGAGGGCGAGGCACCTTTCAGATTCATTGACGGCGAAATGGTAGAACGGTTCTTGGACTTGGACGAGGCGAAGCAGGAGTTGGTTTGTGACGGGCTAGGGCCGACAGTGGAAGACATGCGTAATATTATAGAGGAGCTGCGTAGACTGCACTAAAGGGGAAACATACACACACATATATATGGATGATTAAATAATGAATGAAATTACGTATGATGCATATACCAGGGCGTCAACTTGTCATATAAGTGGTGATGGTAATTAGTCCCAGCGGTACATGATGGAGGTTGATTTAACAAGCTATTTTCTCCCCTCCCACACGCTTGAAAAAATGTGTCAAACCGGCCAATTAGCTATAAAATACCCTCTAATAATATAATTTCCAACTTTCAATTTTGAGAAAATATTTCGCAACATTAAAATCACACTCTTTCCAAACACCCGCTCGTATAGTTGTCGGGTGCAAGCGGGTCCCGGTAGCAGCATATCTCGGATACAGCGATAGCACCGCAGACACCTGCGTGGGCACCCGCACCAATCATGTAGTCAGCAATTTGCGAAAAGCTGACCCAGCTCCTGGTCGTTTTCGCGTGTGGTGCCTGAGGCAGCCACCAAAACTTTCGGCAGGCCATCACCACCAAAGGAGGAAAAGACCTCAACACCAAAACCGCCTCCTGCCAATCCACCAACCCGCACATCCGCGCCGCGTCCATCTATCTCGAAACCGCCCCAATTTGCCGCCCGAGTATCCCAAGATGGCGTCCCTCTCTGCCGCTTCCCGCTTGTGCCTGCGCTCTGCGGCCAAGCCCGCCGTCCCTGCTGTCCGCGCCCTCAGCTCGACTGCCGTCCAGGCCGCCGGCGCCGCTTCCTACTCGAGCCCCTTCAAGGGTGAGACTACCGGCTCCAAGATCCCCAACTTTGGAAAGTACGCCTCCAAGAACTCGGCTGCTGGAAACAAGCTCTTCTCCTACTTCATGGTCGGCTCCATGGGCGCCCTGACCGCCGCTGGTGCCAAGTCTACCGTCTCAGGTACGTAAATGTCCTTGTCTGCCAATCAATTGCATCGGAAATACGCCCAGAATGATTCTGGCAAGCCAATTGATGTTCCGAGGGGACCTAAACTAACTGTGTTGTAGAATTCCTCGTCAACATGTCCGCGTCTGCTGATGTTTTGGCCATGGCCAAGGTCGAGGTCGACCTCAATGCCATCCCCGAGGGCAAGAACGTAAGCAAATATCGATACTAGATGACACTGGAGGGAGCAATTGAGCTAATACTTTGTGTGCAGGTTATTATCAAGTGGCGCGGAAAGCCCATCTTCATCCGCCACCGTACCGAGAGCGAGATTGCCGAGGCCAACAAGGTCGACGTTGCTTCCCTCAGAGATCCCCAGAACGATGACGACCGTGTCCAAAAGCCCGAGTGGCTCATCATGGTGGGTGTCTGCACCCACTTGGGTTGTGTCCCCATTGGCGAGGCCGGTGACTTTGGTGGTTGGTTCTGCCCCTGCCACGGTTCTCACTACGATATCTCTGGCCGTATAAGAAAGGGCCCTGCCCCTCTCAACCTCGAGATCCCCGTCTACGAGTTCCCCGAGGAGGGCAAGCTTGTCATTGGTTAAATTTCCCCTTCTTTGTTTTTGCGGAATATCAACGCCACTTGCACATGGCAAAGTTGTACGAGTAACGGGAGGAAATTCAGACACAACGCCCCCATTATTAGAAAGAAGAGACAGAATAGGAATTGGGCTTTTTGCTTTTCTTTTCCTAATTATCCCACGCTGGGAAAAAGTTTGGAGGAGGAAATATTATATCGTCGGGGGGGAGAAAGAAGAACAGCACTCTGCCTAGCGATTTATAACGGCAGTGCTTCGCATGGTGAGGAGGCTTTTGCTGTTTTATGCAGACGCAGAGCTTCTGGGTTATTTTTGTTATACGTGGACCACAAGCACATTTGTATAAAATAAACAATGTCCTACGATTTTCTTTGTTGACATGCTCTCCCCCCCGTTGTTCTATTTTCTCAAGTGATCACTGTAGAAGATGTTTATATAAAAAAAGTAAACGGTTTAATAATGCAGAAGAAATGTCTATTGTATCTACACTGCGTCAAAATCGTCTCCGAATATCCCGGCCCAGCCAACACCTCTCCTGTGGAGGGTATTGTTGTAAAACTTTTTGCGTTTAATTACATGGCATCATTCTTTTTTTTGTTGTGGTGAATATAGGGGGTTATCAAAATTCTTTTTCATCTTTTGGATTGACCTCATCCAGAAAATTAGTGACCGTGGCCATCATCCTCAGCGGGCATCTCGGGATCCAGCTTGATGAGGGTATCAATACGCATAATGCTGATGCAGGCCTCGACAGCACTCTTGAGCTGGCGGACCTTGCTGATGGAGGGCTCCAGAACTCCGAGCTTGAGCTCGTCGACAACGGTGCCACGCATGAGGTCCAAGCCATAGTTCTTGTAGCTCTTCTTGCGGGCAATGGTCTTCTCGTCGTCGTTGCCCTCGCCGTCCTGGATGCGCTGGGAGGTGGCGTGTCGCGAACGCAGCTGAGCAACGAGGTCGGCGGAGTCCTTGGCGGCGTTGACGGCCAGCGTCTTGGGAATAACAAGGAGGGACTGGGCAAACTCGCCAATGGCAAGCTGCTCGCGGGATCCGACTGTGCCGGCAAACTCCTCGAGGTAGATGTGAAGGGCGGTCTCGACGGCACCTCCACCGGGGACGATGCTGCCGGATTCTAATGTGCGCTTGACGGCGCAGAGAGAGTCGTGGACGGAACGCTCCATCTCGTCGAGGGTGAAGTCGTTGGGGCCACGGAGGATGCAGGAGGCGGCGGAGTGGACCTTGGTGCCCTTGATGATGATGCACTCGTCGTCGGAAATGCGCTCCTGGACAACCTCCTCAGCCTGGCCGAGGTAGGCAGGCTCAAACTTCTCGTCACCGTTGAGATCGGAAAGGGTGCTAAGCAGGGTGGCGCCAGTGGCGCGGGCGATACGGCGGAGATCCTCCTTCTTGCAGCGGCGGACGGCCATGGCACCGCGCTCAACAAACATCTTCAAGCACAGGTCATCGATACCCTTGGTTGTGAGAACGACGTTGGCACCAGCCTTGAGGATCATGTCGACACGCTCGAGGACCATGCCGGACTCACGAGCACGGATCTGCTCGAGCTGCTGAGGGTCGTCGACGGTGATTTGGACGCCGAGCTTCATGCGCTCCTTGGACAGGTTCATGTCGAGAATGGCAATCTTGGCACCCTGGATGCGCGTAGGCATAGCCTGGGAGGCAACAGTGCAGTTGAGAGCATAGCCCTTGACGAGGACAGACTCGAGGGCGCTCTTGCCGTGGGCCTTGAGGATGTTGACGGCCTTGACGGGGTATTTGGACTCGTTCTTGTTGTTGGTGGTCTTGACAGCGAGCATGGCATCGACAACCATGTTGGAGAAGAATTCGGAATCGGCACCAATGATCTTGCTGGACATGGAAGTCTTGGCGATGCTGAGGAGAGAGTCACGGCCAAGGTTCTCGACCTTGACGGACACATTTTCGTTGAGGTACTTGACGGCCTCGCGCAGGGCCAATCGGTAGCCGGTAATGATGGTCGTGGGGTGTATGCGGTTCTTCATGAGCTCATTTCCGCGTCGCAGGAGCTCGGCGGCAATCAGGACGACGGATGTGGTTCCGTCACCGACTTCTTTGTCCTGTTGCTGGGCGAGGTCGACGAGGATCTTGCCGGCAGGGTCTTCGACATCGAGGAGGCTGAGAATCGTGGCACCGTCGTTGGTAACTGTGACATCCTGTGCATTGGGGGTTATAGTGAGTAATACGGTCAAGGAGAAGCGAGGAATGCGGCGTTGGGTTGTTGGTTACTCACACCGATATCGTCCACCATCATCTTGTCGAGGCCAGAGGGACCGAAGGAGCTCTTGACGACATTGGCAATAGCCTGGGTAGCCAAAACTGTAAGAAATCACATGTGTCAGTCGAGGAAACGGTCGAGAAGATTGTTGTCGGGGCCCAAGGGAAAGCATATACCATTCTGATCGCGAATGTCGGAGCCGGAAATCTTGGTGCCGCCCAAGAAAAGGGTGCCGTTTCGGGGCTGTTCAAACATGGACGCCATGTCTGCAGAAATATATCACTTTGGATATGTGATGCTCTGCAGCTGTGAAAGAAAAATTGCTGGTTGGGAGAGAAAGGGGAGGAAGGGGAGAAGGAAAGAAAGTGGTGATGGAGATAATTCTTCTGCCTTGGGGGGGTTGCTGCTACACGCACAAGCCACGCTCTGCTTCTGTGAGCTTCCAGCTCCGTCGTGCGGTTTGCCCCTCGATTTTGCCGTGTTAATTTTTGGGGCGGCACGGGCAGCCCACCAACGCCTGTGCAGGTGCAGTGAGTAGCCGCTGTAGTGGCCCGGAAGCAGGGATTTTCCTGACTCCGGAGGGGGAGAAGAAGGGGGGCGGTCAGGTAGCTTCTGCTCTACAGCGGATGACTCTTTGGCGTATAGGCGATGATGGCAGAGTTTTAGCGCGTTGGTCCCCTACTGTGGCTGCTGGGTTAGTGAATTTTTAGGTGCCACACACTAAAACAGAGAGCCTGGACTGCGCTGTCACGCTCCCGTTTGCTCGGTGGGACGCCACTAAAAAGCTGCAGCAGGCGCCTGTGATTGGCCAGGGCTACTGTAACTCTGCCCTCCCTCGCTGCTGTGCCCCTCCATAATCGGAGTCGGTCGTGTTGCGGGGCAGAAAGCAACAGCAGCAGCAAGGGCCGTTTCCTGCGCCAGCTGGTTTTTGGAAACCTGAGTCAACCGGCCTACACATCACCATCTGCTGCTGCCTTTATAACATTGAGCCTGTGCGCGTGTGACCACGAGTTGCAGAGGAAGACGACATTTACGGTACGCTCTTTTTTATTTGCAATATACAGCAGCATCTCTCGCAAACGAACCCCCACTAACGCAGTCGACTCTGCCATTTAGACCCCCAAACCCCCGCCGACAGCCAAGCAAAAAACACACAACAAAAACGAGACATCACCATGGAGCCCGTGACCGAACCCGTGGTTGATACCGGTGCTGCTGCTGCTGGCGCCGCTGCTGCTGGCACTGAGGGCCCCTCCAAGAGTGCCTTGAAGAAGGCTGAGAAGCAGGCCAAGTATGAGGCCGAGAAGGCAAAGAAGGCCGCTGCCAAAGCTGAGAAGCAGCCCAAACAAAAGGTTGCCGTTGTAGGCGGAAAGAAGACTGATGATATCATTGGTATCACTGTCCCCAAGACGGAAAACTTCCCCCAATGGTATCAGGAGGTTGTCCTCAAGGCCGAGATGGTCGAATACTACCAGGAGATCTCGGGCTTCTTCATCCTGCGCCCCCTCTCCATGCACATCTGGAACACCATCCGCAAGTGGTTCCAGGGCCATATTGAGGAGATGGGTGTTGACGAGACCAGTTTCCCCATGTTCCTTTCCTCCAAGTCTCTTGAGAAGGAGAAGGACCACGTCGAGGGTTTCGCCCCCGAGCTTGCTTGGGTCACCAAGGCGTAAGTTGTCTACGTGTAGAGTCATTCCCTCCCAAAAGCTAACATGTAGTAGTGGTGACAAAGATCTCGAAGTCCCCGTTGCCGTTCGTCCCACCTCCGAAGCCGTCATGTACCCCTACTACTCCAAGTGGATTCGCTCCCACAGAGATCTTCCTCTCCGCCTGAACCAGTGGAACTCTGTTGTTCGCTGGGAAGCCAAGCAGACCACTCCTTTCCTGCGCCACAGAGAATTCCTCTGGCAGGAGGGCCACACTGCTCACCTTACTGAGGAGCTTGCTGGTGTTGAAGTTTTGGAGATCTTGGAGCTCTACGCCGGTGTCTACGAACAGCTTCTTGCTGTCCCCGTCGTACGTGGCCGCAAGACTGAGAACGAGAAGTTCGCTGGTGGTTACTACACCACCACCGTCGAAGGATACATTCCATCCAACGGCAGAGGTATTCAGGGTGCTACATCCCACTGCCTGGGCCAGAACTTCAGCAAGATGTTTGATATTACCGTCGAAGACCCCGCCAACAAGGGTTCCCACATTCACGTCTGGCAAAACTCTTGGGGTCTGTCCACCCGTGTCATCGGTGTCATGGTCATGATCCACGGTGACGACAAGGGTCTCGTCCTCCCTCCCCGCGTTGCCCAGCTTCAGACCATTTTGATTCCTGTCGGCATCAACAAGAGCACCACCCCTGAGGCTCGCAAAGAGCACGAGGCCAAGATGGACGAGCTCTGGTCCACACTCAAGAAGGCTGGTGTTCGCGCCGACGTCGACAACCGTGAAGGTTACACCCCCGCCTGGAAGTTCAACGACTGGGAGCTCAAGGGTGTCCCTCTGCGTCTCGAGTTCGGCCCCAAGGATGCTGCCGCTTCCGTTGTCAGCTACGCCCGCCGTGACACTGGTGAGAAGGGAACCATTCCTCTGGCTGAGCTTGCTACCAAGGTCCCCGAGCTTTTGGAGACTATCCAGAAAGACATGTACAACAAGGCCGAGACATCCTTCCGCGAGCACCGCGTTCAGGTCACCGACTGGAGCAAGGTTCTTCCCACTCTCGATGACAAGAACGTTATTCTGATCCCCTTCTGCGGTGACGGCAAGTGTGAAGACCGCATGAAGGAGCTGACCACTCGCGTGGACGACCAGCCCGATGTCCCCGAGAACCAGAAGCTCCCCAGCATGGGAATGAAGAGTCTCTGTGTTCCCTTTGAGCAGCCCGAGGGCATCGTTGCTGGCGAGACTGTCTGCTTGAACCCCGAGTGTGAGCGCAAGGCTGCCAACTGGGTCATGTTTGGCCGCAGCTACTAAGCCTGCCCTCTCCAACATTACGATACATTGATACAAGAAGAACAAGACGAGTAATTTTATGATAGCAGGAGTTGCGGACAGGTAAAAAACGGTCAAAATGAGGGTGTAAAGAGCGGCGCGGGAGTGGGCTCTTTTTGGAGAGCAAGCATGTATGTGGATGAATAATGAATTGACAGCGCGTTTGTAGTATGCAAAGCAGATGGCATTTGGCACAAAAAGATTCTAGTAAACATGCATTTCATTTCTTTATACAATGTCTATATCATTCAGTTGCGTTTCGTCTAACACCAGCAGTACTTTTCGTTGGCAACCCACTCGACATCCTCGTCTGCCTCGTCGCCAAACCACCTTATACTCGCAAGCTCGTGGATGTCTCTCTGGACAAACTCGGCACCCAACTCTGGTAGCCTTTCTTCAATGACTTTACGAATTCTATCGCTTGGATTCCATGTATCATATGACTTGCAGCCCCAGTCCTTGGCCTCGCGGTTGGCAACGGCAAAGATGCCCTTGAGGGCGTCAGCCAGCTCGTTATCAGACAGGGCTCCATTTTCATCGTCGACGACTAAATGCAAAAAGTCCAAGACATCAAAACAAACATGTACACCATCATCGTTATCCCCGTCGTATCGCGTGCGCTTCCACAGAGCCCATACCCGAACCTCTGGGTTCGTAGGCGACGTGTAAATGGCACCGCGGACGGTGGGCTTGCGACCATGGATGTGGCTGTAGATGTAGTCCTCGCGGTAGTATTGCCAATTGAAGACATCCATGGTAGGGAGTACTGCAGCGCGGACCTTGGAGCACGGCTGTGCAATAAAAGCGCGGAGTAGCTGTTCGTCTCTGGCCGTAAGCCCAGGCAGCATATCATCTGTGACGTCCTTGACATTAGGATTGACAATGAACTCTGTATCCGTGTTTGTTTTGAAGCCGAGTTGTGTGTTGCCACGAGCAATCCACCCGTTCTTTGCGTAAAACTTGGGTCCAATATCGGAATACAGAAAAGAGAACTGTGCAGCGCCTGGTGAAGCTGCTTGGCGGGAGGCTAGCTCGCTGCCCGTCTGTTCTACGAGCTTTGAAGCATAGCCGCGGCCTCTGTACTCCTTGAGTGTAAAGACAGAAGCAACTCCGTATGATGTGACATCTTTGACAAGCCCGTCCTTGGGGTCTCTGTAGATGGCAGGCTTGCGGATGGTCTCGAGCGATGAGAGCAGTGGACGGTCAGCCTCGGGAAGAGAGGTATCAGACAGAATCCAGGGAGTAAGGCCACCGTTACGGTTGAGAGGAGCGTCAAGAAAGTATGTTTCACGCTCAATGTGCTGTTGGATGGTTAGACTTGGGGCCCAGGCTGTCTGGTTGGCTCGCCAGCTACTTTGCTGTTGCTGGGGGTTGGCTTGGAGGAGCACAACGGAAGGGCTTGAGACGTCGGGCAGGCTCATTGTTGCGATGGTGTGTTTGGAGGATTTTCGGAATTTTCTTTTTGGTCTAGGAGAACGGTGTAGAATCGTCTATGTGGAATCTTTCTTTTCTGCACAGCTCAGACCGAGAGTTGGAGCTGAGATGCTGCAGTTTGTGTGGTGGTGGTGGTGTTCGGCGAGCCGAATTGGGTAGTCGGCGGCGGGGAACCTCGCGTATGCCGCACCACCCAGAGCACAGCTCCAGCGAGGTACCCGACATCCAGGCCGACACCGCATCGGTGATAATAAACAATTAGACGACACGAGACTGCAATTGGGCGTGTTCGACATGCTGCAAGGCTACCTAGCTTAGGATTCATCAGGGTTGCCAAGAGAAAATGGCCCTTTTCCAATTTTAGAGAGCGAAACGGATACTGGTTTAGGATACTCGTTCCCTGGGCGTCTACGTTCTGGATTGTATCGGATCCTTTCTTAGTAGTTTGACAGATTAGCTCAGGAAAGGAATAGGCACTGTAAGGTACACACCACATGCGGCATACACACCGCGGCATACCACTTAGACGATGGCATACCGGCCCGGCGTTGCGCGGGAGCCGATTCACAGCATGTCAAACACTCAGACAGGATAGAAAGCTGCCTAGTCAGCAATACAACTCTAATTAGTGCCAGAAATTGGCAGGGGGCCGAATACCGCGCTGGGCAGACAGAGGCTGTTGCGGGAATGCGGCGGGTATAAGCGGACTAGTGAACATTTCTTGGTTGCCCATCACAGGGCGGCCGAAAGGGGCGATGCTTAGCGAATTGGCACGGTGAGTGGACGAACAGATTGATAGACCCTGTCAATGGTCTGCTGGCTGCCGCCGTCTAATTACTCGCAGCGTGTCATATCAACAGGGGAGTTGATATTAGCCACAGCACTAACTGTGGCTCGCATCAGCACTGCTGTTGTGCTGCTAACAGCTGTCTTACCAGGGGTGTCAAGTCAGTCAGTCACCACAGCCCGCGGTTCCCCTTTCAGGGCCTCTCAGTGCATTTTTAGCGGGCGTTGAGCGCAGGTCGGGGACACCGTCAACATGCTGTGGGGGCCGTTGGCTCGGCGTGCGCCCTCTAGTAACATGGACAGCGCGGCTATGACTGATTCACCACCCACGCGGCTATCCGTGGATGAAAGAGGGGCAATGTGTAGGTGAGCCGGCGAGAAAAAGAAAAAAATGAAGCAGACAAAAAATTTATAGACACTGTCAGGTTTTACCTGAAAGGAGAAATAGTGTGGAAAGTGAGCAGTTGGTGGCTTCGTCCGGCACCACTTACACGTGGGGTACTGTATGTGTTGTTGGTCCGTATTGTAGTGCACGTTTACGAAGCTTGGCGGCCATCCGTCCGCTGAACATCATTGATTAGGTAATAAACATGGGTTCATGCTGCTGCTGGTGACCGCTGTATTGGTTTCATATCAGATCACCAGCGGCATCATCGTCACCCTGGACTTGTTGTAATTGCTCGGGATCCTCGGCCTGCCCTATAGTAGCCACACGCCACCACCAACTCTCATTACAGCGCAGAGGTGAGTTCTTCATATCCTGCAGCAGGTATGTAGGCAGCGCGGTCGTCGGCTGATGTTGGTGGATGTTGCTGCTATCCCAATCCGGTCATTGGGGTGTAAACCGTACAGGTCCATGCTTTAGAGCAACAACCGGCTCCGTCTCGATGGAATCCCGTAAGCCCTTCCCCTTTTGCTTCGACGGGCCGGTACTCCGCGACAGACACAGCCTTTAATTATTGAGTACCGGTATAAGACAACCAGAAGAAAAGGAGCCACGCCGTACCCGACTCGCCCATGTGCCGTGCTCAACGGGCCGGCTCCACTGCCGGGTCTCGTCCTTTTTTTCTTTCTAGAACGACACCGTGTACGATCTCGCCCCCGTCTGAGGCGGAAGTTTAAATTCGCGTTCTGAATTAGGATGCCAAGACTCTGATTCCAATGTTTGATGGAATTAAAGTTTTACTGCTCGATTTCGTATAAAATTGGTGCCTTTTTGAGAGCCGTATTTTGGGTGCAAGTGAGCCGTCAGGCGTTAAAAAACTTTTCTACATGCGCCCTCCAGCTAGATGATCTTGAATTGACACGTCTGTGGCTTTAATTTGACGGGAAAAATGTGCGTAGAATCAAGAGACCAGTATGAGAAGCCATTTTGCTTTTATTTTGGTTCACTGGGAATTGCTGGCAGCGGAAGCCCTATTCTCAATTGGCCGTAGGGTAGGGAGAGGCTCTTCCGGCAAGGCTGAAGTCAGTCATCGGCATGAACCCACCTGCGATGCCAAACCCGCCAGCTTGGGCAGCACCTGGCACACCTGGCAGTAGTAACACCGCCAGCTGTACACAAAAGACTGCCAGCTGTAGACAGCTGTAACAGCTGGCAGCCCTGAAAGTCATACACCCCCTCTGTTCCATTTCCTTCTACCGACCTGCCGGGTCTCCTCCTCCTCCTTGTTTCCGCTACAATCTCATCTTCATTTCAGCTGCTGCATCCATCGCCCGACCAATTCACGGTATCTCACAACTGTCAACTCCAAGCAACGCCGAACTATCTCCTTTTTTTCTTTCTTCCAAAACCAAAACACTTGCTAAAGCATATGCGAAATGCCAAAATAGCTTCGGCGTGGAATGCCAAGCTCGCGACAGGGATCAACTGCACCTCCGCACCAACTCACTATGAATCATCCGCGCTAACGGTACCTTGCCGACCGCCACGAGCTCCACCATTTACCACATTCCGCTAGACTACCGACCTAATACCATGTGGCTCGCCCATCATTTCTGCAAAGGGCACTGCGCATCGGACATCACCCACCCCTCCCAAGACACCAAGCCGCTGCTAAGTCGGGCGAATCGCCAAGGGCTCTTGGTTCGTTCTTCCCTTCCCCTCCCCTCGACAGCCACAGTATTGCTTTCATCCCCGCTCCTCTTTTTGCAAAGACCAAACGAGTCTGCCTAGCAATCGTCGACCAGGGCAGCCTAATGAATTGACAGCTATGGGGCTGCGCCGTCCGTTTCCAGATTCAGTTTAACCTTTTTTCGCTGCTCCGCACTACGCTTTCCGCCTGCTACCTTAAACGTTTTCTGGCCAATCACACACCTTTCCGCGCTCACTACTGGTGCTGTGGCAGGTGTTTCTACAGTGCAATACAGCAGCCTCTGCTAGGACCGCGCCCAGGCCAAATACGCCATGCTTATTCAATGGAACCCCCCAAAGTAAGGGCCCTGCTGCAGCCTTTGGCCCCATATGGGCTGCTGCTCATGGGTGCCACAGGCGTCATGATCAGCAGAAACAGGTTGCGGCCATCGCTAGCAGCTTGGCCTGGTGTATGCCGCCCTAGACAGTACAGTAGTATTACCAGCCGGTATTGGCGGCTGGTTGCTCAATATCACGGCCCCCACTGGATCTATTAGTCTACTGCTGATGAGCACTTTGCATCTGCAGCGGCTATTGATTTGCCGATTAATTGCGTTGTATAGGTTACACGACGTGATATAGCACATCACCACCACACTCCTTAATTCAAGATGTGACAAGCGTACCTATGCGAGATGACAGGGAAACGGCGTGCTCAACCTTCTCGATGTCAAGCCAAGGACCCGGTTACCAGTCAAACGGTAAGGAGGGCTGAGGAATCAGATGCAGAAGGCGCCAGACTTGTAATTCACGGCTGTCATCAAGTGCTGGATCTCGTTTGAAGCGAACACGGCCGATGCGATAGGGCCATGGGCGGAGCACTTCGTGGCCCTCGGACGCCGAGTGCAACTCTCGCTTCCACGACTTTTGCCAGATCGAGATGGATGGTGTTGGACCCGGGCGTTGCTACATCATGAGGTTGTCAGGTACTTTTCTTTTCCCTCGACATTCCCGACAGCCGCCAGGTTCCTATACTCAAGTCGCGGGTGTTTGTTGCTCTAGTGGACCCTGAGAGCTTCTGAGCCCTTGTTCTGGAACGCCAGAAAAATTGTGTCGAGCCACCCCCCTAAAAACCGTCGGTGCAAGTCTTGGCTTGTCCGCTTCTGGCAAGGGCCCTGGTATCGTTGAGGCCAGCACTGGACGAAGGAATAATTTCCCTAAGATGCGCACCGAAATCACACGGCGGCGGTTGTTACGCCCCGTCAGTTGCTGCTTCTGCCTGCACTCTCAAGGTGACTGCCGAGCGCGGATCCTCCACTATGCCAGATCCCTGTGTAAGTCGTGGTAGCTTCAGACCGTTGCAGCTCGTCTCAGGCAGTGCAGGGCAGGGCAGCTTCTTGCCGCGATAAACACAGCGCGGTAAAATAAAAAACACACGCAAACAAACATTCGGATTAGGTGTTTCTGAATAGACTTTAGTGAGCGGTGGGCTGCTCGGCAGATGTTTGCACCCATCTCTGTTGACCTGTTCACCGTCACTTTTCTCAGCCCTACCTCACCACAACCTGCTGCGCACGCATTGGATGACAGCGGCCTCCCGAGCCCAAGGCAGTGTAAAAGGGCTTTGCGAGAGCCGACGGGGACAGAGTCAGAGCCAAGACCAAGCCATTTGGGAAGATTTGGGAACGAAATCAAAGCCGCTTTGCTAGAGAAAAACGCAACTTCCATCTTCTATTGGTTCAAACCCACGTTTATTTTTGGCTCTTGTGCCAAAGGTTTCCACAAGATGTTCCCGGGGTCTTCCCAGAGCGCCCAGTGGGGAGCAGGACGAAGAACGGAGGCCCCATCGAGTTACAGCCCCAACAGAGGTTCGGGGGCGGCGGGCAGGAGTTGTGCCGCTGTGCAAAAGTAGACGTACAGGTACACACGATGGGCAACGTTGCCGTTACAGCGGAGCGCTGCTAGTCACGTCCCGGCGGTCCCCTTTGGACAGCACGCTAGTGGCCTTCGACACACCCCTTGTCTTACAGCCGCCCCCCTTCCCAAGTAATTGCCCTGGGAGCAAATAGAAGCTATTCTGCAGTCCTTCAAATTTCAGCCTGGCGAGTGGGCGAGTGGGCGAGTGGGCGAGTGGGCGAGTGGGCGAGGCGTGCGGGTGGGACGTGTACATGGGAGATGTTGGAGGGCGCGTTTACAGGGTCGGATGGATCTAGGTTTCCTTTGGATGGACTCCAGCAAGTATATCTTGGCTTGCTTCCCGTTCGATTGAGATGCTTCCTTTTCCCTTCGAAACCGCAAACCACAATCGTTCCATTACAGCGACACCAAGATCCCAATATACGAAGGTGATCACCACTACCTAATTGCACCAACCTGACCTTTACCCTTTACCTCTCTCTACTACCCCTTCTCACACTACTTTCAATTATACAACCTGCTCTATGGCCCCCTGCACAGATAATACCATTGCCCGCCAGGCTACTGGTACTTGCTCCAAGTACGTCTCCTCCCACTGCAACCCAATCTCAACGCTTTAGAACTGACATCTCCGGTAGGAGCAACTTTCCTGGTCTTCTCATGAGCAGCTTTGCTCTTCCTGAGCGCCCAAGAAGCCGTCGAGCCAAGTACCCCAAAGTCCGCACAGGCTGCATCTCTTGTAAGTCCCCATTTGAACCCACCAAACCCACTTCCACTAACAACGTCACAGGCAAGTAAGCCACATTCACCCGCCTAATTCAGCCCTTGGGGAGAATTAATTTGCTAACAAATGTTTTTTACAGGAAGAGACATGTCAAGTGTGATGAGGCAAAGCCCGCCTGTAACAGGTGCCTCAAGTGGTCTGGAGTCTGCAGCGGCTACGCACCCCCTCCTGCAAAGACATCACCGGTTCCCAAGCCGGAGCCCAAGCCCAAGAAGGGTTCTCCCCGCCCCATCATGATGCGTACGGAATCGTCCCCTCTTCTATCCGTGCCAGCCGTCGACGACAGATTTTCATCATGCTCGCCATCCCCTTCTACACCTCCCACACCCACCCTCAACGGCTACGGCTACAACGCCATCGGCTCCATTGTCGACCAGTACGACCCGATCCAAGCAGAGGCAAGCATTCTCGATGCCGCCTTCTGGACAGACACAGTCCCGCGCCTGGTCCGCGACAACCTGGCCGTTCGCTATGCCAACATGGCCGTCCACATCCTCATCCTCTCGAAGCAGCCCGAATTGATTGTCTCTGACGGCTCCAGCGACGGCCAGGACCACTACTCGCAAGCATTGGGCTACTACGGCCTTGCCATCCGCCAGATGAGAGATGCCCACGAAGCCGGCGGCAACCTAAGAGCCGCAATCTTGTGCTCCATGTTTTTTGTCATCTTCGAGGCTATCAACGGTGACAAGGACGCTGCCGAGGCACACCTGCAGTGTGGCCAGCGCATGCTCGACAACCTCTTCTCACTACTACCCCAGTCTGCCATTATGGGCTCGTCTGCCGGTAGTCTGAGAAAGGAGATCCGAAACCTGCTACAGTATATTTCGCTGCAGGTGCGAATTGGCGGCGTCAACTGCTGGAAGGGCGAGATGGACGCCTTTTACACAAACTACCTCGAGGACTACCTCGTGCCGGAGCAGGACGATGCCATGCTGGCGCTCTGTGACCCGGACCTCTTTCTCCCGGAGATGTACTTCCAGGACGACCTTATGTGAATGACCGGTGGCTCTTTGTATTGATTGTACTTTATTGGAATCGTTTTATATGGGCTGCATGGTGTTTGGGATAGATTTTGATTGCGCTTACGCCTACACGCTCGAACAAAAAAGAGCCACTACTCCGCTGCTTTGAATGAAAGAATTTATTGCTTTTCTGCTTCAAATTGGTTATTACTGATTCTTGTGACCTTATTTGCACTTTCGTTTATTAGTGAAATGTAAATTGAAAAGGAAATCATTATTATATATTAGAGCTACTAAACGAGTGGACGTCAAGCCAGCTTGACACTGCAAAACAAGTAAAGTACAGTAGAGTGTTCTGCGATCCAGCGTAGAATGGCCAGCTCCTGGAAAGGAAGATACCTCGGCATATCTTGTCTGCCAGTTATACAAGATATCAGGCTGCTTAGCAGCCCTTACGGCCACCAGAGCTGCTGCCGCCGCCGGTTCTACCACCACCACCTGATCTACCACCACCACCGCCGCCCTTGCCTCGGCGCTTGCAAACCTTGCCACCACCGCCAGTGTTCTTGGGAGGGGGCGTCTGCTTGGGAGGAGGCGCTTGCTTGGGAGGAGGCGTTTGCTTGGGAGGATTGGTCTTGGGAGGAGGAGGAGGAGGCTTCTTAGTGTCTTTGGGAGGAGCAGCCGTTGACTTGGGAGGAGGGGGAGGAGGCTTGGGAGTATCCTTGGGAGGAGCAGCCGTAGACTTGGGAGGGGGAGGAGGAGGCTTGGGAGTATCCTTGGGGGGAGCGGCAGTGGTCTTGGGAGGAGGAGGAGGAGAGGTGTTCTTGGGGGCCCCCGACTTCTTGGTGTCCTTGGGAGGCTGCGACCTGATCTGCGTGGAGAATGTGGTGGGCTTGCCTGCGGGGGGTCCAGAGGGCTTGATGGGTTCAGAGGGCTTGATGGGTTCAGAGGGCTTGACGGCGGGTTCAGAAGGCTTGACTGCCGGCGCAGAGGAGGCAGCCTTAGGAGGCTGAGAGGAGACCTTGGGGGGCTCGTTGGGCTTCACGGTGGACTTGGGGGTCTCGGCACCGCTGGGGTTGGCGCTGCCAAAGGTTGGCTTCTTGGTGGCGCTGGCGGCGGGGGGCGGCTGAGAGGCCTTGATGGGTTCGGACTTGAGGGCCTCAGACTTGATGGGCTGCGATGCGGCGGGCTTGGAAGATGCAACGGCGCCAGGTGCAGAAGTCTTGGGGGCTTCAGAGACAGTGGGCTTGGATGAAGCGACAGCACCAGGTGCAGAAGGCTTGGGGGCTTCGGACTTGATGGGTTCAGAGACAGCGGGCTTGGAGGATGCACCAGCAGCGGGAGCGGAGGGCTTGGGAGCTTCCGACTTGATGGGCTCAGATGCAGCCGGCTTAGAGACGGGGGGCTCACTGCCAGCAGGCTTGGATACGGCGGGAGCCTGGGAAGCGGCGGGCTGAGAGACGGCAGGCTGAGAAACAGCAGGAGCCTGGGAGGCCACGGGAGCTTGAGAGCCGGCAGCCGGGGGAGCTTGAGAAGCTGCAGGAGGGGCCTGAGAACCGGCAGCCGGGGCTTGAGAAGCCGCAGGAGCTTGGCTACCGGCGGCGGGAGGAGCCTGAGAAGCCGCAGGAGGAGCCTGAGAAGCAACGGGCGCAGTGTTACCAGCACCAGGAGCTTGAGCTGGGTTGCCCTGGGACTCATTACCAGGAGCAGGAGTAGCAGCAGGAGGCGCCTCTCCTTCGCCATTACCACCGCCGTTGCCTTTAATGGCTGTGATAATATCTCCAACTCCTTGTACGAGAGTTCCAAGACCGCCTACGATTTGTCCAATATTGGAGCCAGTTCCTCCTCCTTGGACGGGAGCATCGGTCGGGGCAGGAGCGTCTGTTTTCCCGAGCGCACCACCGCCAGCTTCAGGGCCGTTTTCTCCAGGCTGCTCTTGATCGGGACCTTCGCCGGGAACAAGAGTAGGAGAATCAACAGGAGGAACGGGAGCTGTACCATCGGGGGCGGGAGTGCCGCCGTCGGGAAGAGGAGCGGTACCATTGGTGGGAACGGTTACGTTGGCAGGCTGAACAGGAATTGGCTGGCCATCAGGGCCAAGAACAGGAGTTTGATCAGCAGGAGGTTGACCCTCTGTAGGCGGTTGACCCTCTACAGGTGGTTGACCCTCTACAGGAGGAGGTTGAGCTGCAGTAGGTTGAGCAGCAGGAGCAGGAGTAGGCTGTCCAGATGGAGCACCAGCACCAACAACAGTGCCAGCTCCGATAGCACCGTTGACGCTGCTGACAATGTTGGTAAGGCCGGCGCAAAACTTGGCCGCGTCCGAGTCGGGAGCAGCGCTGCTGCAAATAGGCTCGAGACTACGGCGTAGATCGCGCTTGGTTAGCGCATAGTCGGCGCCGGCGCCATCCAACTGCATGTTGAGGGCTGCAGCAATGGCAGCCATGTCCTGGGTGTCAAAGTCCTGAGCCATGGCGAAGACCGGTGCAGCTCCCAAGAGGGGGACGAGCACGGCAAAGAGTGCTTCGCAACGCATGATGGGCAGCAGTAGCGGTATTAAACGAATGTGTGCGTGTACAGCAGCAGTAGACGCGTTAAGGAGAGTGAATCGAGGCCTGCTCGAAGGTGATTGTGCTTGTTGTTGCTGCACTGTTGGTGATCTTACATCTTGGGGGGAGCGGACGGATGGTGTATATATACTTTGGAGCCAGCGGCGAGACTACTAGAAGAACTTCTGAAGGGAAGATTCTGCACGCAGAGCCGCAGCAAGCACATCATCCGGCAGGCCGGAAATAGTGGTGACAAGTCTGTAACGCCAACGCTGGCGTCAAAACTCGGGATGCCTGCATGAGGGCGGCTGTGGTTGGGACGATCGAGGGATCTTGGGTGGACAGCTGGATCTAGGCTCGCATGAATGTCATGCAATCCCTGGCGCCAGGTAACGTTGGGCGCTGGCGCGGCGATGCCATTGGTTGGTGGTGGTGATGCGGTTGTTGGTGTATCAAGTCTGTGCTTCACCGGCGTCTCAACTATGGGTCGAGGACAGTGTGGACAGACAGTGTGGGTGGATATTAAGACGGTACGTTACAGCCTGGAGCCTGTCGAGTCAGAGCGTAGCAGGCTTTTGTGATTTTCTTTTCCGTTTTGAGTAATTGGCCGATGTGTCTGCTGCAGAATCGGTTTTATTAGAGCGGCTCTGCTACTGCTTGTTGGGTGCGCTGTTAGGTCAACCTTGTTGTGCTGTGTTGGTCTTGTATGGCGTTGGCCCCTAGTGTGCTTCACCAATTCAACCGGACAACACCGTGATACGTCTGTATTTTTGTATTTTGGTTTTTTTTAGAAGCAAGTGGAGAGGCTAAGTGGATAGTTGGCCAAGGAATTATGTTGGACGTTGGGTGGACTAGAGACCAGATATCGGTGCTGGCTGTACGTGTGTTGGTTGGTTGGTGATGGTGGAGGAGGAGAAGGAACATGAACACTACGTAGCAGCATGAATGTAAATTGTTACTACCAAAGACACTAGAGAAAATTATGCATTGACTTGATTTGGAATTATATTTTCTTGTAATTTTTGAGAGCCATCTTCTCGGCGCCAGACGAGCGAACCAAATAACACAAAACCCTCCACTACAACACGCTCTGCTACAGCGGGGCTCCAGCGCATTACAGCGCACTCTGCACATCGCATAATGCATTGGCGCGCTACCCCACCAAAGACATCAACCCTCGCTTCAAGCAGGCGAGGGGCAACGCAGCAAGCATCCTTCTTTTGCTTTCCTTTCATGCACAACACTGCACAATGGCGCTTCCTTTGCCGCCAGGGCTGATGCCCACCGAGGTTGCATTTTTATGCGAAATGGAGCTCATCACCATTGTTCCCCGCCAGAAGATGGACTCGATCGAGCTGCTCGGCGTAAGTCACCTCACTCTCTACGCGTCTGTCGCGTCGAGACAGACGATACCCATTGTATCATGCAACTAACCAAGCTGCTTCAGGGCGAAACACCAGCGCTACGACCGCCTCGACGAGCAAACGTCCCGATATGGCTGGCCCTGCTACTCAAAAAGCAGCGCCGCGCCAACATCATGCCCCCGCCGTGGCTACACCCCGACTCCCTACGAACAGTCATCGACTACGAGACAAGAATCAATACGACACAATGGGCACCGCCGCCGCCGCCTCCAGCGCGAGCCGATGCCTCAGGAAACGCAAAGAGAGTCGGTATGGACGACGAGACGGTGCTGTCGCCGCCGTTCTTGCCCTCGTGCACGTCCGACGCACCTACGGGAGCACTGCCTTACCACTGGTTCGAGGTCGCTGAGATGTTACTTGCGCATGCATCAGACGATATTCCTGCGTCAGGAGAGGTGCGCTCACTGCTACGAGATTTAACAGAAGTTCGAGGCGCCAAGATGCGCGCAAGTACGTCCCAGCTCGAAGCACAGGTGGACGGTGTCATGACCCTACGTGGCGTAGGCGCCATGGAACTCGCAGAGAACAGAGGATTCGTTGTAGGCGTCGTGGATGGCGTTCGCAAGATTGGAGCCAGTGGAGAAATGACAAGACGAGAGGAAGAGGAGGCTCGTGGCGAGGACCAGGACGAGGAGAGTGACGACGATATGGGATTCCTGTGATGACGATCATGCGCAAAAGGGCCGAATGCAAAGCGGCAAGGCTGGGAGGGAGACACGGGAGCGATGATTATTTTACAAGGCAATTTTTGCTGGCTTTTTGGTTTACGCTTTATGACGATTGATATTCTAGAACTGCGCGCAAGAGAAAGGCGTTGGCAGACAAAGAAAAAAGCATGGTGTTTTGGCTAGAGAGAGCATCTTGGCCAGACACCCACCACACACACTACATCCCCATGAACATGATTATTTTTCTGTTAAAAGTCTCAGCGTAGTATTGTCTCTGTTTAGAGTTCGTGGTGACTGGATTATTTTACGTAGCGCTATAATACGCACGGGGTGCTACCTCTTGGTTCAACAAATCAGGCTGAGAGAACCTTGACGCCTCCGTTACGCTAGCTTCTTTCTTTGCGGGGACACCCAACCAACACTTAACCAACACAATCCCCGCCAAACGGGCGATTCAGAGTTTTGGTCCGAGCAAGCTCGACTGGCTGCGACCATGGACTATGATCCCGATTACAAGCCGGACCTTGTTGGTCTGACGCTGCAACAGGAGCTTTCCGACACCCGATATGCTTGCAATGGCCTCAACAGAATCCAGGGCACACGAGATGGAAACTATGTCTACCGTGGAACGTTGAGATCGCCATTGGATCCAAGGGACGGAAAGTTGCCTGAGCGAACCATAATCATCAAATACTCCGACGAGGGGCCCCAGATTCCCCCAGCTCGTTATGTAGGTACGGGTTGACCGGTGCCATTAGTACCCTAACCCTTGTGATCTTCCTATGCTAATTAGCCTGTCCAGGAATTCGAATTACTTCTTGGAAATACACTAGCGACGAAATTCAAACCCTCAAGAGGCGAGATAACCACCGCCGCCTCGCCGCACATCTACCACTCCGATTTCGAAAAGGGCTACCAGATCTCGCAGGACGTTGGTCTGAACCCGCCCATCAAGTACACCATGTTTGCCGACTACATCTCGCCCGATAGCCGCTTCACCATTGGTCGACAGGTCGGCTCGTGGCTCCGCGACTTTCACACGTGGTCCTCGGCGCCCGAGCAAAAGTATCTGCTGGATGCGCTGCCCGCCGACGACGCAACCCGCCAAGTCAAGTGGTTCTTTACGTTTAGTCTCTTCCTGGAGGCGTTTGACGAGTTCCCCGAGCTGATTCGCGACCACGAAGACCAGGTCGAAGCCGTGCTGGCGCCCCTCACAAAGCAGGCCTTTGGACCGTGGGACCAGCTGGGGTCGAACTGGGGTCTCATCCACGGCGACATCTGGCTCGGCAAGTAAGTAACCTCTCCTAGCCTGAGACATTGCCAAATACTGATCCGCATCGCCTATAGTGTCCTGCCGAGCCGCACGGGTTGGCACGAATCAGCCTCGCCCGAAGAGCCCAACGAGCTGGTCGTGATTGACTTTGAGTTGTCGCAGTTCTGGCACCGCTCGTTTGACCTGGGCCAGGCCATTGGCGACATGTTTGAGAAGCACTTGTACCGCGGGTGCCAGGACAGTCTGGGCGTGATTGAAGGGTTGATTGAAGGTTATGGGCCTGTCGATGAAGACATGGCATACAGAACGGCCATCTATGTCGGCATGCATGTGATTAACTGGTACAGACGGACCAAGAGTAAGTCGATCCCGCTGGAGACGCTCAAGAATGGGCTGAGAGCCGGGCGTGATTTTATCCTGGCCGTGGAGGCGAAGAACAAGGCGTACTTTTTGGATACGCCGCTCGCGAGTATGTTCCGGCCCTTGATTGAGCAATGATTGTCATCTTTTTTTCGAGTGTGTACTATAAAGTAATATGACGTTTGTTTTTTTATATTACCCCGAATCACAGCCTCGGTGTCTCGCCGATTTGATTGCTACCGCACAGACCCCATGCGTGCAAACTTAAACCATGGTCTGCTGTGACACTGAGACTTTTTGGTATCCCCGGAAGACCAGCAATTACATGTACTAGGTTGGAAATAATCCTTTTGCTCGGGTTTCACGTATCCCCAATGTGGCCGGATTGCACATCGGGACTGGAATTGGCTAGAGGGCGCGCAAACGTACACGTAGATGGCTTGCAGCCCGAATCGACCGATCGGCACAAGGCACACAAAAGGTACTAGGTACAGACCCTGAGAGCATGCAGGACGCTAGCGGCTACGCGTACTAGATACAAATTCTAGGTGGTAACCTTGCAGTAGTGTGCCTGGGGGATCAGCGTCGTAGGCTAGCGGGACCTGGTGGAGGAGCTGAAACACGGCTAGCAGGGATTTGCTGGTTTGGATCGTTGGTTTCTGGGCAGAGCTGAAAGTAAGCACTGGGGTAGTGTGGGCATTGCCTACGTCAAGAGATCAAGAATGAGCCATGTGCCGTGCTGGATGATGCTAAGTGGTTGAAGCTAACAGACCGTCTATATAAGACGAAGAGGTTCGCCGCTACTTTTTCGTCTAACTCTTTCTCAGTATCATCTTCATCCCATCACCACTTACAACACTACAAACTTCTATCATCACAATGCACTCTTCTGCTGTCCTCACTGCTCTTGTCGGCGCCGCCGCCGTCCAGGCCTGCGTCGGCCCTGCTGTCAACCAGGCTACTGTCAACCTTGTTGCCGAGTTTGAGGGCTTCCGTGCCAGCGAGTGTATGTACACCTAAGAGTTCTTGGGTGCTTGTCACTAACACAACTTGTAGACACCGATGCCACTGGCCACCCTACCATTGGCTACGGCCACCTTTGCACCGCCAAGGGCTGCGCTGATGTTGCTTACCCCAAGCCTCTGTCCGAGGCTGATGGCAAGAAGCAGCTCGCCAAGGACCTTGCCGTTGCACAGAACTGCATCACCACCATGACTGCCAACCCCGTCACTCTCAACGCCAACCAGTACGGCGCTCTTGTCTCGTGGGCCTTCAACGTCGGCTGCGGCGCCGCCAAGTCGTCTACTCTTATCAAGGAGCTCAATGCTGGCAAAGACGCCCGCACTGTCATTGACACTGAGCTTCCCAAGTGGAACAAGGGCAACGGCAAGCCTATTGCTGGTCTTACTCGTCGCAGAAAGGCCGAGGTTGACCTTTCTCATGTTGCTACTAGCCAGGGTGCTCTTCCTGCCAAGTGCTAAACGAGAAAGCTTTTATGACGAAGTGTACATATAGGAAAAAAGCTACTAGAAAGAAGAACGAAATGACAATGTGTACTATTAAATTATGAGAATTTGTGAAACAGTGACAGTGTTTATTATTGATACAAAGATGAGGACTGGTTTATGCAACAAGTGATGCAAAAGTTGATTAATCCCACGTCTCCATGCTGAGACATATAGATCCCTTGCGCACACCACGCCCATAGTGCTTCAGCCATTCCTTGGTGTGCAGCTCGCCGGCCCTGTTACGCTGGCATGCCTTGTCGATTAGGATATTGGCCTCGTAGATTTCCTTACGGCTGCAGTGCTGGACGGCCAGCATGGGCATGTTGTGTTGAACGTCCCAGTTACACAAGTACCAGATGTTCTGGTTCCAGACGGCCACCACGATGGCACCCTTGCGCGGGTTGTATAGTTCGCACCAGTTGGAGAGCATCTCCATGGCAATGACATCGTCGGTTGGGCTGTGGTAGTCTTGCAGGATGCCGCCGTACTCGGCACAGTCGATGATGTCCTTGGGGAAGGGCAGCTTGGTGTCGTCTATTTTGGCCGTGTAGTTGAGGTACGGGCTGATTTCGTATTGGGCAATGGTGCCGACTTTGCCTTCGGTGTTTTCCATGAGTGTGATTTCATAGACGCCGTTGGCGAAGCGGTTGGGGACGTTGAATGCGGCAGCTGTGGCCGCGAGGGATACGAGGAGGTTAGTAGCAGAGAGCTTCATTTTCGTATGCGTAGGTATATGTATATGTTTGTGTTTATGTGGTTGTGAAAGTTGTAGGACGGGTGAAGAAGGTGGCCGATAAAGGAAATATATGATGGAAGTAGAGTGCAAGGTTAACAGTGATTAAGATTTTAAGACTATTTCTATAGAAAAGTTATCAAAACCTTCGTAATATGTTTTAAAACTATTAGCAAATTCTATATTGACACGTGCTTTGAAGTTTAAAGTGTAGTTTGATAGCGTTGGTAAATCGTATCAGCCACCACTCACACAGTAGCATATCACTATACCACAACCTGCGAGATAGTATCATGGAAAATACCGCTGATATGTCTCTATAGTATTGTAGGGTAGTTTGAATTATTTAACCCATTTTTTTGAGCCAACGACAGCGTCTTGGTGCCTGGTAGATTGACCACGTGAGGCGTGCATGAAGCTGTCACGAGATGCGTCACTGGCCTCCAACTTGAAGGAACTCAAATAAAATCAATTTCGATCTTATTAAATCAGATTAAAATATGGTAAATAAAACAACGCCTGTAGATGATCTTGAATAAATAAAATAATTTTATTATGCCAGTACACATGTAAATGTATCTCTGCCAACTTTCCCACGTCATCACGTCCCTCGGTAGCGTCACTGCGAAACCGTCTCCACACCCCAGCTTTCCCCAACTTTCAGCCACGCCTTTGTTGCCTCCGCTTCCGCTTCCCGCATCGTCATCCGCCACTTCTCCTCCCCTTTTCTTCTTCTCTTCTCCATCATCACCACTGCTAAAGAACCGCCGACACATTAAAACATGAAGCTGCTTCAAACGTCTCTCCTCGCTGCGTGCGCGCCCATCGCTGCCGCCCGCTTCATCGAGCCGCTCGAACGCAACAATGTCGATCTCGGCCAGACCACGCCCGACAAGTTCCTCATTGAGCTTGCACCGGGCAAGACGGCCTGGATCACCGAAGACGAGAAGTGGGAGCTCCGTCGTGTATGTGCACACTAGGCCCAGATTCACATCCCGTAGTTGCACCCGCGCCTGAACAACCTATGCTAACTGCATGCAGCAAGGACACAACTTTATCGACATCACCGAAACACAGGACCTCGGCTCCTCCAGCTTTGCCCGCTCCGCAAGCACCGTCACATTCCCCAAGTCCCTCTCGCAGCAGCTCTCTGTCGCCAAGCTCACAGGCAGCCTCAGCAAGGACAACATGAAGGCCAACCTCCAGAAGCTGACCAGTTTCCACACGCGATACTACAAGTCCGAGTCGGGCCGCGAGTCATCTGACTGGGTGCTGTCCAAGGTGCAGCAGATCATCAAGGATGCTGGAGCCGAAAAGACGGTCCGGGCCAAGAACTTCCCGCACACGTGGCAGCAGTCGTCGACCATTGTCACGATCCCCGGCAAGACGAACCAGACGATTGTGATTGGCGCCCACCAGGACTCGATTAATCTCTTCTTCCCGTCGCTGTTTGCCGCCCCTGGCGCTGACGACGACGGCAGCGGCACTGTCACTATTATGGAAGTTCTCAAGGCCATCTTGGGCTCCAAGGACATTGTGGACGGCAAGGCACACAACACCATCGAGTTCCACTGGTACAGCGCCGAGGAGGGCGGCCTGCTTGGCTCCCAGGCCATTTTCCGCTCGTATGAGCGCGAGGGCCGCAATGTCAAGGCTATGCTCCAGCAGGATATGACTGGTTATGTCCAGGGCACGCTGGATGCTGGCAAGCCCGAGGCTGTCGGCGTGATTACTGATTTTGTCGACCCTGGTTTGACCAAGTTTATCAAGACGGTCATTGAAGGCGTAAGTTTGAGTCACTTTTTTAATCTAAAAAGTAGGAAACTAACTTGGAATAGTACTGCGACATCCCCTGGGTCGAGACCAAGTGCGGCTACGCCTGCTCTGACCACGCATCCGCCTCCAAGGCCGGCTACCCGTCCGCTTTTGTCATTGAGTCCGCATTTGAAGACTCCGACAAGAAAATCCACAGCACCGATGATCTAATCAAGTACCTCTCTTTTGACCACATGCTGCAGCACGCCAAGATGACGCTCGGCCTTGCCTACGAGCTGGCCCAGCACCCGTTTGATGAGACAGAGTCCATGGACGAGCTCTAGGCTAGCTTCCTGTTTTTTATATGTTGGAGTTGAATTGATTGCATCGGATTTAGAACAGTAGCACTAGGATACATAGCATCAGATATGGCATGAAACAAATTTTACTTTTCGTTAAACAATACAAAGTACTCCAGTCTATAATGCGTGATACCCGTCCCTTTTTATCCAATGATCCCGATGTATCTATATACAAGAACAATGACGAAACGCGTTTACTGAGGAGGAGGTGGTGGTGGCGGTGTCCAGCCTGCGTTTGGCTGTCCGCCCTGTGCCTGCATCTGGCCCATCAGCGCAGCAAGAATGGCCGCAGGATTCGCCTGCTGGCCAGGCTGCCATCCCGGAGGAGGGGGCGGCACAGCTCCGCCAGGAAAGCCGGGAACCTGGAATCCAAAAGCCGGCATTGATGGCGCGGGCTGTTGCTGTTGCTGTTGTTGTTGACCTTGTGGAGGAAGCGCGTATCCGTCACGGTTAGCGTAGCCGCCACGCCCGCCACGTCCTCTCGCTTTACCGCGGAACGCACCACGGCCGCCTCCTCGTCGCGGATTCGACTCGTACGATTCGCCCGAGGGACCAGAGGCCATGCTGGACGGCCTAGCAAGGGGCTTGTAGGGCCCGTCTTCGACATCAACATCGTCGTAGTTGAGACCACCAGACGTCTCCTGGCGCAGCGGCGACGGCTGCTGCACTTTATCCGGGTTCTTGGCCGCCCACTTGTCCTTCTTCTTCTGTTTGATGGCGCGCTTATGCTCTGCCTCCTTCTCGTCGTCGGAAAACTCCATCTCGTCATCGCCCGCCTCTTCATCGTACAAGTTGGAAGCGTCCGAGCCCTTGACGGCCTTGAGGGGCTCAGTAAAGACAAACGTCGCATGCGCGGGCGTGTAGAAGATCTTGGTGCCGACCTCGAGGCCAAACGTGGTGATTTCGTCGACCGAGTTGAAGCGCACCGTGTACAGCGGCTGCAGGACCTTACCAATGGTCTCGGCGACGGTGCCGATGATGGTGCGCGAGGCGGTGCATAGTACAGAGCCTGTGTCGAGGACTTGGTATTCGCCTGTCGTGACGGCCGCGACGAGGGCAATCGTGTCGACAATGTGCTGGATCGAGCCGAGCTCTTCGAGGGGCATGTCGTCGGTAATGGTGACGTCGGGGAGAGGCACGGGGTCTTCGACGATTTCGTTCTTGGTGCGCAGGGCGGAGGCGGCGCTGGGTTTGGTGTTGCGGGAGTCGCCTTCGTCGTCGGACCCGGCTTCGGCCATGAGCATGCGCGCCGTCTCTTCGACGCTCATGAGCTCGTAGGGCTCGGCGTCCGAGTCTTCGTCTTCAGAGGAGGTTGTCGAGACAGATGATGAAGATGAGGCATATGGCGACGAGTCAATCTCCCATTCGGGGTTCTCGCTGGTGTCGGGCTGGAGGGGAGCTGGTTCGGGGTTGGGAGGAGGAGCTTCGAGGCCGCCGAGGGCTGCTTCGAGAGCGCCGGTCAGAGAGGGTGGACTGGAGGGCTGATCGATGGCCATGGCGTCATCGTCAACGAGAGGAGGAGGAGCGGCATCTGAAGCTGCAGCGTCGGTCTCGGGGCGGTCTTCGGTGCCGTGGGCAGAGGCGGCGGCGGCGAGGATGTCGGCGGGCAGAGGAGGAAGTTTTTCGCCGGGTTTGGCGTGGCCGAGGCCGGGGATCTGGAATCCCGACATTTTGGGCGTATGTGTATCTTCCGCCGGGTGTTGGCGTTTGTGGTGAAGATGGTGTAAATTTGGTGGGAGCGGCTGCTGTGACATTCGTAGAAAAAAAAAAGTTTTGGAGTTGCCGGAGGCGGCTGGCAGATTTTTGGTGGGGCAGCCGGCAGCCGCGAAAAAGTGGAAAAAAGCCAGTACAGGGGGGGGAGGGCGCTAAAACAGGGGGCGCACCACTAAAACAGGCGCTGGGGCATTTTGCAGGTGGATCTGATGTGATCGAGTACACGGCGTCTGAGTCACTCCGCTGCATAGCTTGGGATTTATATCAAGGCGCGTTTCCTTATACGTTATACAGAGCCTTACAAGCAACGATAGCAGACAAATACGAGCAGCAGACAACATGCAAGAAAATGAACCAGTGAGGAAGATTTGGGTTGTAGGCCAGTGGATTTGGGGAGACGATGCCGAGACAGCGGTATTCGCCCAAGCCTATGGGGACAACCGGACATGCATTTTTAGGTTCAAAACAGACAAGAAGCAGCCTCTGAGTTTGTCTACTCGACTAGTCAACTGCTACCATGATCTTGATATTGATGATGAGAAAGAAAGCTTCCCAAGTCGACCTCATATGCGTGTTGCTCTGGGCTGCAGTGGCATCTGTATGGAAGGACTGCGTCGAATCCACTGATGTTGTAGATCTAGATGTCATCATTGATATGAAAATGGAAGCAGACAGTGGCACAATTACCTGGGAGGTGTGCCACGATCCTACTTTTAACAACTATCTCGAGCATCTCCTCCCGATAGACAGCTTCGACTTTCATCACCCCTTCAACGTCGTTCCATTTGCATCTCTAATTCAAAAACAACAATTGGATGGCAGGGGCTATTCAATACTCACAACATTTGAGTCTGATCCCAGTCGCCCTGCTGTGTTTAAAGGCATTGATCTACGCACATACCTTAATATATACGAAGACAGACCCATTATCCAAGAAGTGGCGGGTTTCTATCACTCTCTAAAGTTAGTCGACAAGATGCCTCGACATAAGAATATGAAAGCCCCACCTCCGACTCTTGTTACTCTACATAGACTAAGCGATGAAGCAACCATGCTTTGTGGCGCCTTGGAACCGTTTGTTTCACGGGGATCACTGGGTGACGTGATTGAACAAGCAAACATGGCTGGAGAGCGACTTGGAATGGCGCAAAAGGTCGATTTGTGTCTCCAAATGGCTGAAGCAATTGCACAAACACACCTTGTCGCGCATACATTCCACATGGACATCAAGCCTGGAAATCTTCTGATCGAGGATGACGGAACACTGGCTCTCATTGATTGGGAGCAGAATGGTGTGCCCCCCACGACCGCAGCGCCAGAGGTTGACGGAACCTGGGACGCGGAACTTTCCGCTGATGGCAAATTGGTATATACAAAATACAAGGGACCGGAGAGATCAAACATGCCCGAGGAGGCATGGGGTAATATGGGATGGACGAAATGGAACGTGCTCACTCTTTGGCAGGAACAGTGTCCTAAAGCTCTTGAACTGGCTGAAGTCTTTAGCGTAGGGAGAAGCATCCACATGCTTCTGCGCCAACCAGACACTGATGGCTTTGACGATATTGAAGACACACTGGAGATGATAGAGGATTGGGATGAGTGTGATGACGTCCAGAGTCACTCAAGCAGCTTGTGATGAAGTGTGTCAAGCACGACCATCTGAAGAGGATGGGTTTGGCAGAGCTTGTGACCGAGTTGAAGGCCATCATAGCAAAGGGGCATCCATAAACTTCCTTTTATAATGCATTCGAATCTTACATTCCCGAGAATGAAATTCGTGTGACTGTCTCTTTCTCTAGACACTTACAAGAAGACCCAGTCCATACCGTCGCCCTCATTTCCCAAAACGGCAATCCCCTCCAGCACAGACCAGCCCAGCGGCGCCACTAAAAAATTCCCAACGGCCCCGCTGAAGCTCCCTGAAATTAATGACGACACATCTGAAAGCTCTCCCCCAACGAGCGACGACGCGTTGTCATCTTCATCACCATCACCACCACCACCGCCACGCATCTCGTCATGGCGAACCACGATGCGCCCACGACGGCCACCGAGCCATCGGAGAAGCGGGAATTCCAGCACCCCAGCGCCGGCCACGCCAAGAAGAAGTAAACTAACCTAACCCGCCGCCCGCTCCGTTTGTTGGGAAGCTTGCTATCCTGAATACTAACCGCCTTGACTATCACAGACGCCCGAGTATCTACACGATCGAGCCCATCAAGGCATTCTACATCTTCCTTGCGGCAAACATGCTCGCTGCCCTTTTCGCCCCGATCCAGGACTGCGACGAGACCTTCAACTACTGGGAGCCCACGCACTATCTGTCCCACGGCTACGGCCTGCAGACATGGGAGTACTCGCCTGACTTTGCGATCCGCAGCTGGCTCTATGTTGGGCTTCATGCTGTCATTGGAAACTTTCGCCGTCTGCTGCCCCGCCCCGACAAGGTTGCCGAGTTCTACTGTGTCCGATATGGACTGGCTATGATTTGTGCGCTGTGCCAGACGTGGCTGTACCGCTCTGTTACGCTGACGCTCAATGGCCGCGTTGGGCTGTTTTATCTAATGGCTACTGTGATGAGCCCGGGAAACTTCCATGCTAGCGCGGCGTATCTGCCCTCGAGCTTTGCCATGTATGCCTGCATGCTAGGTGCCGCGGCGTTTATGAACTGGCGCGGTGGACTCAAGACGACCATTGGTATCTTTTGGTTTGCCATTGGCGGAGTCCTCGGCTGGCCTTTTGCTGCGGCCCTGTGTGCGCCGTTCTTGGTGGAAGAGGGTATTCTTGCTCTGCTGAGCGACAAGGAGGCTCTGATTGAGGCTATCCTGCGTGTTGGCCGTGGTGTCATGGCCGGCTTGATTGTAATTGTGAGTAGGATTATTCAGAGGAATTTCATGCGTTTTGCTAACTGCTGCAGTTTTTCGACTTCCTCATCAACCTCTTCTTTTACAAGAAAATGGCCATTGTTAGCTGGAATATTGTAAAGTACAACATCTTCTCGTCGACCGGCGGACCCGATCTGTACGGCACCGAGCCGTGGACGTTTTATTTCAAGAATCTGGCCCTGAACCACAACCTCTGGTTCGTCTTGGCCATGGCTGCGTTGCCGCTCTTTTTGTTGCAAAAGGTCACCAACCGCTCGGCGCAGACTATGCAGACTGGCATGCGAACCGTTGTCTTTCTCGCACCATTCTACATGTGGCTCGCCATCTTTACTGCACAGCCTCACAAAGAAGAGAGATTCATGTACCCCGCCTATCCGTTCCTCGCTATCAACGCCGCCATGTCACTCCATATTGTCTTGTCATGGCTTGGCAACCCGGATCCCAAGACCCTCATTGGCAAGATCCCGGCCCGCGTCAAGCTCTTTGGTGTTATGCTGGTGCTCTTCTTATCACTAGACATTAGCGTTGCACGCATCTACGGACTATACGAGGGCTACGGCGCTCCTCTTAGCATCTACAAGCCTCTCTGGGGCGCCGAGGGCAATAACACGGCTGCCGTTGGTGGAGACGGTGATAGCGTGTGCTTTGGCAAGGAGTGGTATCGCTTCCCGTCGTCGTACTTTTTGCCCCGCGACATGCGTGCCAAGTTTATCCGCTCCGAGTTCCGCGGACTCTTGCCTGGTGAGTTCTCCGAGGCTCGCACCGGCTTTGGCTTCTGGAGCGGAACGTGGCTGCCGACAAGCGGGCTTAACGACCGCAATGAGGAGGACGTGACCAAGTATGTCGAGCTGCGTACCTGCGCGTTCCTGGTAGACACGCAGTATCCCGAACGCAAGAACGCCATTACGCCGCGCGAGCCCGACTATATTGCCCAAAAGCACAACTGGGAGGTTGTCAAGTGCGAGCGCTTCCTCGATGCCGAAAACACGCACCTGCTGGCGCGTATCCTGTGGATTCCTGACCTGGATATTGTGCCCGCCAAGTTCCGCAGACACTGGGGCCGACACTGCCTGCTCAAGAAGGTGCAGAAGTCGGATCAAGGCATGTGGATCGACCCCGGAGAGATGATGATGGGTTAGGGAGGAGTAATAGTGGATGACGAGCGATAATGCGGATGGATGGAGTGGGCACGAACGACCACGGCTCCGCAAGAACGGATGGGCAGGGCAAAATCATGACGTGTATTCTTTTTTCTCTCTCTATAAATCTGTTTCTTTCTACTGAATAACTACAACCTTTTTTGCTACTGTACATGACTTTCTACTGTATACTGTCTTGAGTAATGCTGCTGCTTTTGTCGTTCATGTATACATGAGCGATATACCCTGCTACACGGACGAACCACCGTATCGGCCAACCTGCAAACACATGTGGGACGGGATTGCTCGGCATGGAATTGATATCAAGTGGAGATGAATGCTGCGCACGTTGCATGCATGCCATGCAGTCCGGTGTTACTGTACCTTTTAGCCAGCCAGCAAGCAAGCCATCCCAGCCTTGTTTTGGCGAACCGTTACTCGCACTTTTCTTGTGTATGCCAATTATATGCCCACATCCAAGCCAGCCCCCTCGGTGGCGCAGTCCTCTGAAGCCAACATTGGGGCTATTAGCCTGACCAAAAGGAAAGCCAAAAAAATAGGGTCCATGAAAGACGAGACCGTTCCGCGGGATCTTTTGCGAAAAGGGCGGCTAACTCGGAGCAAACGGTTTTCGTAGCACTCGTGCCTGGCCTGTGGTGAACCGTTTCATTGCTACATGCTTTCTTTTCGTTACATTCTCTCCTGTGCCTCTTATATTCTGTTCCCCCTTTTTCAATGCAGGAGCAATAACCGCCAAGAAACTTTACTAGCGGCGTGCCTACTGTACTTTTTATCTACGTGTGCTGTAATAGCGCTTACCACCAGTGCGTGCCACCCCCAACAACGCACGAGGCCACTCGCCGAACCCCGCACTTTCTTACAACGGCCGACAAACTACGAACCGACCGGTAATGGCATCGATGGTAATTCTGGCGGTCGGGGCGACTCGGTCGCTGTTTAAGAGTTACAGAGACAAGCGGGCAAAGAAGAAGGAAAAGGGCCTGTGGCTCGACCCGGCCGAGGTGGCGAGGGAGCAGCGGGCCGCGGCGAGACGGGAGCGTGCCGTCAGGAGGCAGCAGAGGATGATGGAGGCTGCGGCAAGGCGAGGAGAGACGAGGTTTAGTGCGGATACGTTGCGAGGGATGATGGCGGGCGATTTGGTGCTGGGGAGGAGGCGGTTTAGTGATGAGAGTACGGTGGTGGAGGTGCTGGCTGCGCTGGAGAGGGAGCCGTAGTCGCTGCTGGCTGTATGTGTATGTGTCTTATGTGTTTATGTCTTATGATTAAATGATACTTGATGTCTCTTTTTATTTTCCAAGAGTTTTAATTGGATTTGTGGCGTTGTTTAAGGTTTGATGCAGATATATCTCGCCGACTCTTTACAGTCGGGGACGGCAGTCGGCGGATATCGGTGCATCACCAGAGGAATGGCATCGCCGAGGGGAATTGTAAATATAAAAGATGATGAAAATAACCAAGTAAGTTGAATTATCAGATCAAAATATTTTATTAGGTGACAACTTTTCCTAGAATTAAAAAAGTATATTTTGTCTTATTGGCTGACACCTCCACCGCTCGTCGCTACTACCCGACGGCCGTCAGATTGACTCGGGCTGCAGGTCAAGAAAAAAAACTTGCTTGCCAGCTGTCAGAATTCCCTCCTCACGCATCTCGGGTATTTTACGCTTCCTATTATTTCACCCGGTTCTTTTCTGTATTCTTTTCTTTGTTTCTCTTGAGTACGGTTACACGATTGCGCAGACGATTTCAATTATACGCACATACACCGATGACGCAATGACAAAACAGACAGTGACATCCTTTGTCACGAAGAAAATCCTCGGCATCGACCACACAGAGCGCTACGAATATCAACCAATCCAGCTGGAACAGCGCGCAAGAGACGCCCTGCGCGGTGCCGGCGCCGAAATATACCTCGAAGAGGAGCCCACTGTTGTAGAATGGCTCAAAGACCAAGCACCCACGACAGACGACGTGGTGGACTACCTGAGAAACTTGTTCCCGCCGATAGGATGGCTCCCGAGATATAATCTTAGGTGGCTGCTGGGAGACGTCGTGGCCGGGATAACTATCGGACTGGTCGTCGTTCCCCAGGCCATGGCTTATGCTCTGTTGGCGAAGCAGACGGCGTCGGTGGGCTTGTATACCTCGTTTACTGGTGCGGTTCTGTACTGGCTGTTTGGAACGTCAAAAGACATTGTTATAGGAACTACAGCTGTTGGATCGCTCCTGGTTGGGCAGGTTGTCACGCGCATTCAGGCGGCTCATGGGTATAGTAACCTCGAGATTGCGCACACGCTTAGCATGCTAGCTGGAGCGGTTATGTTGGCTATTGGGCTGCTGAGGTTGGGCTGGGTGATAGAGTTTATCCCGTACATTCCCATTTCGGCGTTCGTCACGGCGGCAAGTTTGACGATTATGTCGACGCAGGTTCCGACGGCGTTGGGCTTGCAGGGCGTGGATACATCGACGCCGCCGTGCTTTACGATTGTTACAATTTTCCGACAACTACACACAATTCGAATCGATGCCGTCATTGGAATTTCAACAATGGTGCTGTTGTTTGCCATTAAAGGGTTTTGTGGCATGATGGAGAAGCGCCGCCCTGCTTCTAAGCGGACATGGTCGTTTATCTCGTCTCTACGGCTTACATTTGTGGTACTGCTTTTTACTCTCATCAGCTACTTGATTAATCGGGAAGTTGATGAGTCTGAATTTCGCATCGTCGGCCCGATAATATCAGGTAAGTAGGTTTTTGGGGGATGTAGGAACTGGGCTAAGCATGTACAGGCTTTACTGGAGCGCATATCCCGCGGCCGAACCCCGACCTTGTTAAAGTAATCCTCCCCGAACTGCCCGCCGTGGTCATTATTCTGGTGATAGAGCACGTTGCCATTGCAAAGTCCATGGGAAGGGTACATGGGTACACGATTACACCGTCACAAGAAATTGTTGCGCTGGGAGGTGCCAACCTTTTGAGTCCGTTTGTTGGAGGTTATGTCTGCACCGGATCTTTCAGCGCGTCTGCTGTGCTTTCCAAGGCTGGTTCACGCACACCACTAGCTGGCTTGTTTAGTGCTGCTGTGTTAGTGGTTGTACTGTACGCGCTGACGGGCGTATTTTACTACATCCCAAATGCCTGCCTAGCTGGTCTCATTATTCACGCCGTATGCAGCCTGGTGATACAGCCGCAGAAGTTATATCGATATTGGCAGCTGTCGCCGCCGGAGCTGTGCATTTGGGTCATATGCTTTGTGATTGGCCTCTGCGAGTCGTTGGAGTATTGCATCTACGTCGGTGTGGCTTTATCCATCACACTAGTGTTTGTGCGCCTGGCTCGGACAAAGGGACAATTCTTGGGAAAAGTGCGAGCAAGAAGGGTGAAAGAGACTCGAGGAAATGCTGGATCCGATACAAGCTCGCACAACTCATCCATTGCCATGGACAGATCAAGAACCATGTATGCGCCGTTCCGCCTCAACGACGGAATGAACCCTGCGATTCAATTGCTCTCGCCGCATCCTGGAATCTTCATCTACAGACTGAGTGAAGGCTTAAACTACGCAAACCAGGCATTCCATATGGAGACACTGCAGTCATATCTTATGGCCAACACAAAACGAACCTCGGATGAAGGACTTGAGCATGAATCAGACCGTATATGGAATGCTGCTGCGTCAAGTTCCGAAGACAGCGATCTCCCTCACCTGCGGGCCATAGTGCTGGACTTTGGCTCCGTCAACAACCTCGACATAACGGCACTTCAGGGTCTGATTGATCTTCGTAAGCAATTGGATCAGTACACATACCCTGACGCTGTGGAATGGCATTTTGCAAGTGTAGACAACCGCTGGACACGCCGAGCTCTCGCTGCATCTGGCTTTGGATACCCATCAGCACAGAGCGAAGAGGCAGTCGCAGCTTGGAGGCCAATCTACAGCATCGCTGACACGCTTCTAAGTGACGAGTCTACTCCTCTTACAAAAGGGCGAAAAGGGTTTGCCTATGGTAAGTCGGAAAGTTTGGATTCATCGCAGGCCACTCTGGAAACGCGACAAGCCGCCATGAATGGGGTTGACCGACCGTTCTTTCACATTGACTTGTACGAAGCAGTGCAGTCTGCCGTCCACGACGCACGTGGGCGAGACCAAATAGATTCATAGACTATATATGTATGTCATTATTCATTATTCATTACTGGCCGTCGTTCATGTTGCGAAGTCGAAAGGCCAAGAGGGCAGGGAGCTGCGTGAAGTTGCGCGTAGACTTTGCTCGCTCTGGCTCAGCATCCTCCTCTGTAAATGAAGGCTCTTCTAGTGCGTCCATCATTAACCCGTTTTTGAAGAAGGCAGCAAACAAGTCTTGAAACGAGCGATGGAAGAAAATCTACATCAGTTAGCAGGTGCTCCAGCACACACATGCCAACTTACCTGGGCATTGGGCTGCGCTGCAAACGTTCCGCTCTTGTAAGGGTCGACCTTTAAGTACTCAATGATGAGTTTACCTCGTACATCTGTTTCGTCTCTGTCGACGGCATTGGCAAAGGTAATCTGACGCTTATGGATCGACGTCATGAACACGGGATGCAGCAGTTCCGCGACAAACCTGCCCTCGCTGTTAGCTTTTCAATCTACAAGAGCAAGAAGCACTGAATCTTACATTCCGCCCTTTTTCAAAAGTTTCGGCAGCATTGCCGCCATAGGCTCAAGGGTAGGAATATCCTGAATCGCCATGTTGGACAAGATTACGTCGAAGCCGCCCAAGGCCTTTGCCTTTTCAATAAATGGCTGACAGTTGTCTACGCTCGTGACATCCAGAACATCAAACTTGATTCTCCCATCACCGTCACCTCGCTGTATAGCAGCTTCAACCATGTTGGGTGACCCGTCGGTAGCCAGGACGTTTACGTGTGCGCCATGGCTGGCCATCCAGCGCGCGCCGATGCCATTGCCGGTAGACAATTCGAGCACATTGATGGGTGCGCTGGCATCTGAGAGACGGGAGCCCAAGAGGCGAGTTAGGCATGGCTGCTGGAGACGCTGCCAGTATATGTTGCCGTCGACGCCGTGGTTGGAGTCCCAGTGAGGGGCGTTGAGGTTCCAGGACTCGAGGGCTTCCGCGTTGATGGACATCTTTTTACTGGTAGACGTTGCGATGGTGAGAAGTGGAAGGAGAAGGAGAGCTTGAGAGGTATCTGGCGGCGTATATAGAGAAGAAGGGTATTTTTTGGGCAGGGTTTAGCTGAGACCGTGAATTCGGCGTTGAGTCACGCCGTTGGAGCGGGGGCGCAAGGCTGATATGATCGGCAGTGGGATAAGCGAGGCTTGCGGCGCAAGGGTCACGATAAGAGGGTTCATTGGTTTGGTACGACGTGAGGGTGGTGAATTACGTGGAATTTGCATAGTGTTGAGGATATGTTGATAGTATTTGGAGAATCTGAGCTCATCGATGTGGTTCAGGCGGGTTGAATGCACGCCTTTGCTCAAAGTAATCGTCAAACACTGTTGCGTGGACAACGATAGCAATGGTTTGGCGTAGTGCAAGTTTGGGGGGTACCTTTTATATCGTTAGTTGAAATTGAATGTATATATGTACACAGAGAGGGTGCCTTGGCTCAAGCAAGCCAGCAGCAAGGTTAAGCCAACGGCCAGCGCTGGCTACCAATACACCACCAGTATAAAGACCAGCTCAAATCTAAAGCTCTGCATGCGTTGAATTTGTCGAGTTTGTCGAAGCTTTAGAGTGATGGCTAACAATGCTCCCAAAAAAAAGTCTTCGCCCATGACAGTTACAAACCAGTAAAGATCGCCCCAGATATCGAACGGCAGTCTCATAATATATCTGCCAACGATGCTGGGAACATGCCAGCATACAAAAGAAATATGTGCTTGGTTTAGAATTATACCCATTTACCACATACTGTAAGCCACCATCGCGAAGCTCATGGCCAGGCTGATGACGCCATGATAGATGACGGTTTTCAATGAATCTCTGTAGTTTATGTTTCAGCCAAGGCACGCCGTTTGTCATCACGCTGGGAACATTCGCCGTCGAAAATGCGTTTGAACTAAAGAGGCTGACCAGCGAGACGTACCTCCGCAAGTGGAAGCTGGGCGTGGGAATCGGTGTTGGCGTCGGCGTGCCTGTGCTGATGTGCGCATTTATTTACCTTGGGAAGTATATGCAGCGACTAAGTGATAGACCCTGGGTGGACAAGAAGCTGGAAGGGATTACCACGTCGTAATCGGTTGGTGTTTACCTGCGGGAGAGTCGAGTGATTGTTACTGGTGCAGTGTATCATGGGCGCCGCGAATCTAGGCGAATGTGTTAATATGAAAAGTAATACGTAATAATACTATTTTGACACCCCAAATACTCAATGAGTCATACAGACCACTCTCTCTGAGCGAAGCAGAGAAACGCTGCGAAAGCTGATGGCGTTGCTGTTTACGCGGCCGACACGCACCAAACCGCCAGAGCCTCTTTGTGCGGGGAAGGCGAAAATGGGTGACAATGGCGCGCATTGACGAATATAAAGCCCAATGCGCCGCCGCATCTCTGTAGAAAAATAAACAAAATATTTCAAAATGTCTAGCAACAACATCTTTGACGAAATCGACGCCTTTCTCGTCGCCGGCAAGCCCAGCGGCACCACACCCGCCAATGTCCTCGCTGAGCTCGGCGCCACCTCCGTGTCCCTTGCCGTGCTGGACGGCGGCAAAATCACGTCTCGCTGCTACTCCAACTACGGATACAATGAGCAGACGGTGTACCAGGCAGCCAGCATCTCCAAGGCCATCAACAGCCTCGCGGTGATGCGCCTCGTCGAGCAGGGCCGCCTCGCGCTGACCAGCACCGTAAAGGACGTCCTCCCGCAGGACCTCGTCGCCCTGCTCACGGAGGGGTCCCCGGCGGCGCAGCGCCCGTTAATTGAAGGCATCACGGTGAAGCAGCTGCTCAGCCATACCGCTGGGCTCTCTGTGTCCGGCATCCACGGCAACACTGGCGACGAGGATCTGCCCACGACCAAGGAGTCCATTGCGGGCTCGCTGCGGGCCAGCAACCCGCGCGTACGACAGGTCGAGCTACCAGGCACCACGTATCGCTACAGCGGCGGTGGCATTACTGTTCTACAAGCAATGATGGAGACTGTTACAGGGCATCATTACCCAGACTTGATGCGCGAGCTTGTGCTGGAGCCGCTGGGCATGGCGCGCTCGTGGTACGGCGTGCTACCGCAGGACGAGGAGAATGCTGCGAGTGTCTACGTTACGGCGCTGCAGCCGTTTCCGATCAAGCACTTTAATTTTCCTACTATGGCGGCAGCTGGGCTCTGGACGACGCCGTCGGACCTGCTGCGAGCGATAGCGGCGGTGCAGGCGTCGCTGGATGGGGAGGAGGGTGCGTTTCTTAAGCAGGATACGGCGAGGGCGATGCTGGAGGAGGTCGACTCGGACGTTGCGCTGTCGTGGTTTCTGAAGAAGGATGAGAATGACAAGCCGGCGTGGTTCTCACATAGTGGCCATAACTACCCCGGCTTTTTTAGTCTGGTGATTGGGTCTACGGATCACTTGGGCAGTGCGGAGATGCCAAAGAATTGCGGTGTGGCCTTCATGACAAACTCGGAAGATGGCGCTAATGTAGGGCATATGCTTGCCGTGGCCGTGGCCCATCGCAAGGGCTGGCCCATGTCGTGGGTTAGAAAGACCTGGAGCATGCCGCTGGGATTGTCGGGGCAGTTGGCTGGCTCGCGATGGAAGGCGTGGGAGGGCGTGTGGACGGATAAGGATGGGAAGCATACGTATGAGATGAAGGCGTTGGAGGGGGGTGAACCGGGGTTAGTGTTTGATGGGGTTGGGTCGCTTCAGTTGGTTCCTGCTGCCGGGCGCAGGCTGAAGAAGGAAAATGGGTATGAAGAGTTTGTGGTGGAGGGTATGGAAGTAGTGATGACGCTTGAGGAGGAGAAGGATGGTGGTGAGAAGGTTGTGAAGTTGTCGCAGGATGCTGGGACGGTGGAGTTGACCAGGGCGAAGTGAACTACAAAAAGAGAGAATGATTGAAGAAGCAATGGCTATTAATTCAAGTGCTATTTTGTGTTTCTTTTCTTTTTGACAAAATGATAAGCATATAATTTGGCAGCATATGTACATTTTTATACCATAAACGGTTCTATGTAGGTATAGGTATATGTATAGTTGTAAGTGAATATATATATATAAAAGACACTGTGTCCACACGCTTGCTGGCTGCCACTTTTGGGCAACTAATTTTTACTTTATTTCCATTCGTTGGTGCATTTAAAGACCGGTCGTCTGCTTGATGAAGGAGCGGATCTCCGAGGCTGCAACGCTGGAGTAGACACCGGGGTAGTTGGCCTCAGCACAGCCCTCGCCAAAGGAGACGATACCAACAAGCTTGCCGCCAGCAACGAGGGGGCCACCGCTGTCACCACCGCACGAGTCCTTGCCTCCCTCCGCAAAGCCGGCGCAGATCATGTCAGCGGTGATGGGGGGGCTGGAGCCGTAGTCCTTGGAGCACGTGTCGTGGTCAAAGATGGGAACATGGACGGCTTGGAGTTCGGTAGGGTAGGAGGGGTTTCCATCCGTGGTTGAGCCCCAGCCCGAGACCACGGTGTCGGTGCCCACAGCAGGCTCGGTATCGGCGAGGCCAATGGCCTTGACGGTGTCGGTGAACTGGATGGGGGGGTCGAACTCAAGGATGGCCGCGTCGTACGAGTAGCCGCTGCTGGTGTACTTGGGGTGGACGTACTTGTTCTTGACCTTGTACGAGGTGCCCTCGCCGTTGTTGGTGCTGCCGACACGGATGCTGAGGTCTTCAACCTTGTAGTTGAGGGCACAGTGGCCGGCCGTCACGACGTAGCGCCCGCTGATGATGGTGCCGCCGCAGTTTGCATTGTCCTGGACGCGCAGGTCGACTTGGTAGGGGAAGTCCTCGATCTTGACAGACTCTCCGCCAACAATCTCGCCAGCGCGGCCGGCGAGTGTGGGGAAGGCAGTGGCCTGGGTGGCCAGGGCGAGGAGAGCGAGCTGGTTCTTCATGATGATGATGTACGAGTATGTATATGTATATATATACAAGTAAGAATCAAGGGGGAGAGGGGGAATAGTGCGATGATAACGAGGAAGAGAATAGCCGTATTGGAGGGAGCAATCGAGCACCCTTTTATATTCTTTTCTTATGCTGCTATGCCTCTTCCTCTTCCTCTGCCTCCTCGTCTCTCTTACACAGCCTAGCCCAGCCAATATCTCTTTGGCATACTTAGTTGAGATCCCGCGCATGGTTACTTGGTGGTAATGCAGGGTCCGTCGCCGATCTCGCTCTTCTGGATTCTCTGAATAGAGCAGGTGGCATTCGCTAAGAACAGTACGAAACTCCCTAACACAGCCTCATGCACGGAAATCAAGCGTGAAAGTGAGCTACCTAGGGAAAGATTATCGCCAAGACAAGAAAAGGAAGGGACTAGAAAGGGCAGGTTGCATTATGCAACCGTATTAAGCTATTGTTGCCCTCCCCGCTAGACTGATTGACTGACTGACTGACTGTCTGCCTGTCTGTGTGTCTATCCGCCTGCCTTACCTGGTAGTAAATACCATGGTAATTGCAAGCAAAACAAGAGGTATCAAGCTCAAATCCCGCGATCGGCACAATCCTCCGCCAACGTCAGCCGATAACGGAAACGCAACAGACACCTTCTACCCAGAGAGGACCTTCCTGTAAAGGCAACCAGGCCGTTATCTGTTCATAGACATTGCGGGGGGGTTGCGGGGTAAAACGCAAATTTCCACTTGTTCATGGAGCAGAAAATACGAACCTTCTTTTAACTGGCGTTGTGATCTGCAGCTTCGCTTGTCTCATCCTCGTCTAGCCGTAGGCTGGCGGTATCAAGAAACTACGGAATACACTTGTATATACGTGTGCCTTGCCGATTGACGATGTTTTGGATCAGGAATCAACAATAGTCTGACGAAAAGATTGTCGGCTCCCTGTATCATTTGTATGTTCATCTCTCAAAAAATTAAAAGTCTCCACAGCGTGCGTCGGGGTCGATCAGCCGAAGCCCCTACTTAAGTTCGCTTAACATCATCGTTGTAGCTGGAAGAGAGATCCACACCCTCGCGTTAGTTGCTTGCTTACTGGCTGTTGGTTACTACTACCTGCCTACTGCGGATTTAACGGCGAAGCGAGGTAAATAAATCGTGCTGTTTTGTTAAGCGGCCGGGACTCTTTTTCTTTTGTCGCTACTTTTGTTTGGAAGATATTTACTCTCATCTCGTCTCTGTCGCGACATTCAGCATTTCTTTTTTGCACGGGTGGTTGTGTCGGCAAATCGTGATAGACTGCGGAGCTGGCCTCGTAATTTTTTTGCGTGCCGTGGAATGATGTGATGTCGCTGCTCTATGTTAGTAGAAGGAGTAGACACCCACTTTACTTTGTATGATTTAAGATGTATGGTACGCGTAGGCGCATAACTCGTAGCAGCAGCCGTACTGTGCTATGGTAGCCGTTTAGGGTAGGGCGGTGTATGATTGTACGTAGAACCGGAATGAGCGTATGCCAGAGCTGGCAATACACCAAGATCTGTAAGGTGTAGTAAAATGTACAATTGTGAAGCTCGTATGTCTTGACGTTTCTGTAGTTGTATGATAAAAGCGTATGCGGTGTGTCAAGATCACCTCGCCAAGATATGCTTAAATGGAAACGTTGGACTGAGCTCGGGTAAGCCACCAGGCGCTACGGTGCAACCAGATTTCTATTCACGAGGATTATATCAGCTGCTCCTATGCTTCCTTGCATATAAAATCGAGATGGATGCGACGCCACAAGGGAAAGTATTGGGCCTGGCTGGGCTGGACGACGCTGGAGGCGAGATTTATGCTAAGCATGTCTTTGTCCTCAGGCGATGGGCCTGGATAAAATTCTCGGGTTTTTGTTCTTCACTTTCTATTCACTTTCGATATAATAAAGTTGTAAGAAATGCAGATAAGAGAAAAAAAGAGTGACGAAAAGATAAATATCAAACTTTGCTGGCTTATGCTTTTCTGAAAGCAAAGTAAAAGTAAAAAGTGACTGAAGCAACCAGGTATAAAATCGCCCAATATTCCAACCACACTCCCCAAACTTATTCTCTACTGTATTCAAACATTACAAAATCATTTTACAAAATTCAAAATGTCCATTCTTCAACCTCTCGATACGGCCGCCTTGCTTGACGCTGGCCTGGTGACACCTCCTAGCAGCACGGGCACTCGCCGTCTTCACAGGCGCCGTGTGAATAACCTCAGCGAAATACTTCATGATCTAACGGGCAGCCCCCCTTTATCAACAGACTTTACCGACGATAACTGCTTTGCAGCAATACCAGATGTGTTACTCTCAGAGACTGCACTACGAAATCTTGGATATCGACCGGACATTGCAGCAGATATGTGGACTCGCCGGGTCGATTGGGCGCCAGGGTCTACCACAAGGGTGACTGATCCCGATGATGGCCTAATCTTTAGCTTTCTGGAATTTGCTACCGGACATGCTCACGGCCGTGGACGAGACATGGATGCCACTTTTGAAAATACACCGCAAGAGTGGCACGCGTGTCTTGATGCGTGCGGTATCAACAGCGAAACTCAAGAAGCATTGATGGACCCTCTGTATGCAGATATAAGGGAATCCGCCAGTTGTGTAGATTGGATCATTGATACTATCGAGCTGAGATTCCGTGCCCTTCAGCAGGTGCGAGCCGCGTCTCTTGATCGGGAGCGTATACTCCAAGAAGCTAGCACTCGCCCCTCTGGCTCTGAATGAGTCGGCAGTAGCTGTCGAACTATATCTGCATCGATTTCATGCTGGTACTGGGTATTACGCAACAACTGTAGACCTCCACAATTACTAGGTTTTTCTTCTCCATATTCTTGTTCTTTGTTTGGTTTAAAAAATATTAAGAAGGACTTTTTCATGGTGCGGGCGACTTCCAACGTATTAGACCACTACTTACTTACCGCGTGTATCAACCATTTTTTCGGTTCAGTCTGTTCAGTCTGTTCGGATACGTTTTTTGTTGGTCCAGAGGTAGCTAGTTTCTCCCACAAACTTGTGAAGAGAATGCTTTACTCCTGCGCCGATTAGTATCTCTCTACTTGGCAATGTACACACGCTTATACAGGCGTATAACATCCCCGTATAAACAAACCACGGGACGCATCGACGGGCCGACCGGTGGTGAGATGTGCTCCGGCCAGCTGGGCTCTGGACGACGCCGTCGGACTTGCTGCGAGCGATAGCGGCGGTGCAGGCGTCGCTGGATGGGGAGGAGGGTGCGTTTCTTAAGCAGGATACGGCGAGGACGATGCTGGAGGGGGTCGACCCGGTGGTTGCGCTGGGATGGTTTCTGAAGAAGGATGAGAATGACAAGACGACGTGGTTCTCGCACAGCGGGAATAACTATCCAGGCTTTTTTAGTCTGGTGATTGGGTCTACGGATCACTTGGGCAGCGGAGAGGAGCCCAAGAATTGCAGCTTGGCTGTCATGACAAACTCTATTGAGGGCTATAGTGCAGCGCATAGGATTTCTGCGGCTGTGGCCCATCGCAAGGGCTGGCCCATGACGTGGGTGAATAAGAGCGGGAGTATACCGCTGGGGTTGTCGGGGGAGGAGGCTGGTGAGCGGTGGAAGGCGTGGGAGGGCGTGTGGACGGACAAGGACGAGAAGCATACGTATGAGGTGAAGGAGTTTGAGGATGAGCCGGGGCTAGTGTTTGATGGGGTTGGGCCGCTTAAGTTGGTTCCGGCTGCTGGGCGCAAGTTGAAGAGGGAGGATGGGTATGAAGAGTTTGTGGTGGAGAGTATGGAAGTCGTGGTGACGCTGGAGGAGGAGAAGGATGGTGGTGAGAAGAGTGTGAAGTTGTTACAGGATGATGGGACCATGGAGCTGACCAAGGCAAAATAAAGACCAAAAACGAGTGTACTGTTTCGTTTTTCTTTCTTTTAACACAATGACAGTAGTTTTGGCAGCATATGTCCATTTTTTTCATACTATATAAGATTCTATGAAGATATAGTATATGTATAACTTAGTTGTAAGTATATATATATAAAAGATATTGTCTCCACGTGCTTGTTGGCTGCCACTTTGGGTAACTGATGTTACTTTATTTCGTTTCTGTTCATGGATTCATTTAAAGACCAGTGACCTGCTTGATGAACGAGCGGATCTCAGGGCTGGCAACGCTGGCGTAGACGCCAGGGTAGTTGGGCGAAGCACAGCCTTTACCAAAGGAGACGATGCCGACAAGCTTGCCGCCAACAACAAGGGGACCGCCGCTGTCGCCATAGCAAGCGTCCTTGACGCCCTCGTCAAAGCCAGCGCAGATCATGTCGGCAGTGATGGCCGGGTTGGCGCCGTAGTCCTTGTTGCACTTGTCGTGGTCAAAGATGGGGACATGGACAGAGTGGAGGTCGTCAGGGTAGACGCGCTTGGAGTCGTCGCGGCTGGTTGAGCCCCAGCCCGAGACAACGGCGTCGGTGCCAGGGGAAGGCTCGGCATCGGCCAGGGCAATAGGCTTGACGGTGTTGGTGAACTTGATGGGGGGGTCGAACTCCAGGACGGCGGCGTCGTACGGGTCCTTCTCATCGGTGTACTTGGGGTGGACGTATGCCTTCTTGACCTTGTACGAGGTGCCCTTGCCGTTGATGGCGTTGCCGACGCGGATGCTGAGCGTCGCGGTGCTGTAGCCTAGAGCGCAGTGGGCGGCTGTCACGACGAAGCGTTCGCTGACAATGGTGCCGCCGCAGTTGGCGCTATCGCGGACGCGCAGGTCGACTTGGTAGGGGAAGTCCTCGATCTTGGCGGACTCGCCGCCGACAATCTCGCCAGCGCGGCCGTTGAGGGCGGGGAGGGCGGTGGCGGTGCTGGCCAGGACAAGGAGAGCGAGTTGGTTCTTCATGATGAATGTGTTGTGTATCTGGAATCAAAGGGGGAGGAAGGAGTGGTAGTGATGGTTAAGAGATGGGGGAAATGGAGAGTGCAATTGAGTACCTTTTTATATCCCTGGCTTGTTGGTGTTGTTGCTGCTACTCTCATGTAACAGCTAGCCTAGCCCCGTCTCTCTAGCGTAATTGCTCGATATGTCGTCCTTGTTTACTGTTACTTGGGGCCATACACATCCCGCTCCCCCGCCTCCTGTTTCGTCGTCTCTGAATAGAGCAGGTGGCATTCGTGAACTGCAGTAGGATTCACAGCAACGCAAACCTTCTGCAAGGCGATCAAGCATAAATGTTAGTCACCTGTGGAAAGATACTCACCAAGCCAGGTCAAGGAGCCGACTGAAAGGGCAGGTTGCATTCTGGCCAAGCTACAGCTAGTCAACCCTATTGAGCTCGCATTCCCCTCCCCCAGACGGAATACCTCGCCTAGCTGCGTACTGTAGTGTTTGGCTCGGATCCAAGCTTGGCCCTGTGATCGGCATGATCCGTGAACGACGGCCGACGATAGAAACGGCATTCACCTTCCACTTAGAGGAAGACTTGCCTATCCGGGTAACAGAGCCTTTATCTATTCCTTGCCAAGACGTTGTTTGCGGAGCGGGCTTTTACGGGGTAAGACTCAACTTAAACTGGTTCGAAAAATATGAATATTGCAACCCTTTATTGCCGTAGCGGTTCTTCGGCCGCGTCCTTCATCGCCGGGCTAGTGACAAGGCTGCGATGCCAAGAAGGTACACACGCTATTATATTCGCTAGATGATGTGTGATATGTGCCCTATTGATCGACGGTTTCGAATTATAACGACATCAGAAGATGAAAACGGTCCGGTTAAAAAAGATCGTGTTTTGAAATCGGCAGAGGGAGAGAGAAACAAGATCTCCACACTGTTCGGCAACGGGGAAGGTCCACAACCACGCATTGATTTGCTGCGGTTGCTGTTACAGTACTTTGTCCATAAATTATGTGATTGAGGCGAAGCAAAGCAAACAATACCATGAAGCGGGCGGAGCCTTTTTATTTTTAATTAGCGGACTCTTCGTCGCGCCATTCGGCATTGCTTGTGCGCGAGGCGGCACATCTCGGTGGTGTAAACTGGCAAGTTGCACAACACTGCCGAGATTGTTTTTGTCCATGTGCCGCGATAATTTAGCAAAAAGGGAAGGTAATAAATTTAATTTGAGCGATTTAATGTATAGGATATGTAGAGACATGACTTTGTACCTGTTGTTCTGTGCTCTGGAAAGCGTTTAGGGTAAGGCGGTGTAAGACGGAAAGAAGAAGAATGGACGTATGGGAGATATGGCAATACACCAAGATTCGTACGAGAATATCAGAATGTACAATTGCGAGCGTTTTTGTGTGGTGTCACCGCAGTGGTATGTGAAAAACGTGTGCATCGTGTCAAGTTCACCTCGGCAAGATACACTAAGATAGAAACGTTGGATTGAGCTCGGGTAAGCCACCCGGCGCTACAGTGCAACCATATATCTATTCACGAGGATTATACCAGCTGCTACTATGCTTCCATGCGTATAAAATAGAGATGGATGCAACGCCACAAGGGATGTAAGTATTGGGCTGAACGACGCTGGACACGAGAAGTTGCTAAACATGTCTTTGTTCCCAGGCGATGGGCCTGGATAGAATGCATAAAATTTCTGCGTCAGTTTGTCTTCACTTTCTATGTAATAAAGTTTTATGAAATGCAGATAACTGAAAAAGAGTGACGAAAAGGTAAATATCAAACTTTGCTTGCTCATGCTTCTCTGAAAGCAAAGTAAAAGTGAAATTGACTGAAGCAACCAGGTACAAAACCATCCATCTCCCAACCACACGCCCCAAACATATTCTCTACTGTATTCAAACATTATAAAATCATTTTACAAAATTCAAAATGTCTATTCTTAACCTCTCGATACCGCCGCCTTGCTCGACGCTGGCTTGGTCACACCCCTTAGCAGCACGGGCACTCGCCGTCTTCACAGGCGCCGTGTGAATAACCTCAGCGAAATACTTGATGATATAACGGGCAGCCCCCCCTTGTCAACAGACTTTACCGACGGTAACTGCTTTGCAACAATACCCGATATGTTACTCTCAGAGACTACACTACGAAATCTTGGATACCGATCAGACGTTGCAGCAGATATGTGGACTCGCCGGGTCGATTGGGCGCCAGAGTCTACTACTATAAGGGAGACTGGTCTTAATGATGGCATAATATTTAGCTTTCTGGAATTTGCTACGGGACATGCTCACGGCCGTGGGCGAGACATGGATGCCACTTTTGAAAATACACCGCAAGAGTGGCACGCGTGTCTTGATGCGTGCGGTATCAACGCAGAAACTCAAGAAGCATTGATGAACCCTCTCTATGTAGATATAAGGGAGTCCGCGAGTTGTGTAGATTGGATTATTGATACTATCGAGCTGAGATTCCGTGCCCTTCAGCAGGTGCGAGCCTCGTCTCTTGATCGGGAGCGTATTCTCCAAGAAGCTAGCACTCGACCCTCTGGCTCTGAATGAGTCGGCAGTGGTTGTCGATCTATATCTGTCATGCAGCGATTTCATGTCGGTACTAGGTAGACGTAGCAACTGTAGACATCCACAATTACTAGACTTTTTCTTCTTCATTTTCTTGTTCCTTTTGTTTTAAAAAATATTAACAAGGACCTTTTCATGATGTGGGCGACTACTAACATATTAGACCGCTACTTACTTACCAAGGGCATCAGCCATTTTCCGGTTGAGTCTCTTCGGAAACCTTTCTTGCCCAGCAGTAGCTGGTTTCTGCCGTAAACTTATGAACAGAATACTCTACTCCTGCGCCGATTAGTATCTCTCTACTTGGCAATGTACACACGCTTATACAGGCGTATAACATCCCCGTATAAACAAACCACGGGACGCATCGACGGGCCGACCGGTGGTGAGATGTGCTCCGGCCAGCCAGCCTACGGACTAGACCGACGGACACACTTTATTCCCTTGGGTGCCCAATGTAATTAGTGTGTGGCATGGTATGTGCTGCGTAAACGCGCGACTAATGGTCACCTACCCACCTTGTTAATATGGCCATTCTTCCGTCTGTCCGTTTTTCCACTTTTATCCCATCTGTTGTTGACCAAGCCCACAAACAAAAGGGCAATAAAGGCATGACTTGCATGGGACGCGGTGTGGTCCGAGATTAAACCCCCCTTCTCCACTGCAGCGCGTAACGGGCGGCGATTTCATTTCGCAAATCTTAAAATCAGGCTGGGCCTCGGCCGGTGCCCAACGAGAGTTCAGGCTAGCGAATGTGATGGAGGTCGTGGTCGGTGCTTTGTCGGGGCGCCACCCACCGTTTGGTCGCTAGCAATGCGTGTTCTAGGGGAAGGATCCACGCTAACAAAAGATCCAATGGCGTTCCTTGGTTGACGACTTTTCCGTTAGTCATGTGGCCGAGTCATGTTGTCATCCCGTCGGGACAATGGGTTGAATGAAACGAAGAATTAAAACGGGGAGAAGCGCGGCCGAAACTTTAACAAGAATCGAGATGGAGAACAATAAAATTGAGACGCCTCTTGGAGATGAATTCAGCTTTGTTTTATGAATCATCCATCGTGTGGAGGTTGCACGATCTGGTAGGCGAGGCGCTGTAGATTTTCAGTCTCATGTTTTTTGTTTGGGAGCGAGCGCCAGGCGGGCCACCTGGGCCACCTGGCGCACCTGGCTAGAGGGCGCCGAGTAAGCCATAGCCGCTGGAGGTGACGCTGGGGCCCGTTGGAAATGGAGCCCTCCCCGCTGTAAATACCCACCGAAGAGCGCTAATACGCGGTGGTGAAATGATCGGTCGGGCCGTGCTGCCCCCCCTTACGCGGTGTACTAGCCACTTTTAACTTCGCTAGGACCCCCGCTCAGACTGGTTAGAGCCAACAACCAACACCGTAAACTTTAAACGCCACCAACACAACCTGTCCCGACAGAGCGGTTTGCTGCACCATCCAACCAACAAGCCATAATGAACTGGACATTCGTCACATTATTACCCCTCCTCAGCAGTGTGATTGCTAGTTCGTTCTCCACTATCGCAGCCTGATTCGTGCCGCTTTTCCGTTGCTGACGCCCAGGTTATAGGTCCTCTGCTCGTCAACCTAGAGACGGGGAGATCCGTCCAGACTATCGAGCGATCCGAAGAAAACCCTGATTTTGGAGGTGGCCATGGATACTAGTTGAGCATACAACTGAACAAACGAGCGCTACGATACCCCGACTTCGCTGTCTGGCAGCAATGCCCGCTGCATGTGCGGCGGCGGCAGTCACCTTGCCATCTTTCCTTTTTCTCCATGGCGCTGCATATAGACTACATTTTACATGAATTACATACTGTATTGTTAATCATGGCTATTGACGACAATGGATATTCCAAACCATCATTTTAACTTTCTGTTGGTGGAACTTGAAACAACAAGAGGCGTCCAATGTCCCGCGCCACCAGGCCCACTGCGATGAGGCGGATGGTGTTGGTCGAGCGGTCCCGTTTTAGGGACGAGCCTTTTTAAAGTCTACCTTTCGTTCTCCAGTCTGTAGTCTGGATCTGACCGTCCCTTTTCCATTTTGGTGTTTTTCTTTGTGAATAGTCGCCATTGCAGTCGTTTCATTTCAATTCCACCGATTAGTCACTACGTGCAATGGAGGTTGTACCAACCTTAACGCTTCCAGCTGGCGGCGACCTGAGCCTTCTCCCACCTGCCTTCCTCGTTGCCGTTGCACCATATTGCGTCTATAAGCATACGCAACGTCGTGTGTTCAGCCCGGGTATATTGGGACTACAACTTCTCGGCAAATTAGTATGTTGCCCTATTCACCTCACAAAATACCATGCCACATCGTTCTCTAACAAGGCGCAGGCTATAGCATGCATTTTAGTCGCTTTACAGTTCCAAAGGCGCTTTGCAACTCTAGCATTTGAGGCCGATACTCTCCCACAGAGCATTGCACTATCAGAATCCGTTGTCCTTGCAATCTTGATCTACTTTTCTCATCGTCACTCCCCTTCTCCGTCGCTCTTGCTAAGCCTATATCTACCACTGGACGTTTGTCTACGGGCTAGATTGCTTTGGCTCTCCGCTCCCGACGTTCCGCATCACCTTGCACCCTTAGTATTAAGGGTATGCCTCATTGTTCTCCACGAGCAACCCAAATGGTCACAAATACCAGAGCTCAGTCGAGGTCATCTTCAACAACACGAAACTTTTGGCTTCTGGAACAAAGCTCTTTTCGTCTGGGTTGTTCCACTACCCCTTCAGGCTAGGGTTGGAGATCTGACTGTGGATATGTTGATGAATCCATCTAAGGAGAGCTCTTCATTTGCTCTTAACCAACAATTCCAAAGAGCCTGGGCAAAAGGTACAGTACTCGTTTTCTTCCCCCTTTTATGTGCAAGGGAAAACAACTAACGCAACATTTCATCGCGGTAGACGGTCAGCGGCCACATGCGCTACTGAAGATCTTCATCAAAACGCACTGGTCGCTCTTTATTCGAGGCGGTTTCGCAACACTACTTGGGAGTACCTTGAAGCCTAGCTTCGCGCTTTTGATTGAGCACTTTACCAGAATGCTAGAGTCGCGGCACGGAACCTCCCAGCTTTCAGACCATACTTCTGCTGAGCTCGGTCAACTCGCGCTACAAACGTTTTTTATTCTATTTGGTCTTATGGTTTGTGGGCCGTATATTATACAACTATACATCAGACGCTAATCAGAAGCCAGGTGGTACGAGCTTATGCTGCGTTCGCCGACGCTGAGATTAAATCTCGTCTTAGCGGGATGATTACCCTGGCGACTTTCAGCAAGCTACTTTCGCTCTCCGACCAGAGCTTATCAAATTTCGCAGACTTTTCTTTGCTTCGTAACGACCTTGCAACTATTCAGAACAGTGTCAGAGATATTCAAGACGGAATCACGGGTGTGCTCAGCGCCACCGTGTGCGCTTATCTCTTGTGGCCTTGTATTGGCCTCAATATCATTGCCTTAATCGTTGTATACCTTGGTAAGCTCTACTGCAACCCCCTTGCCTCGATATGACTAACATGGCTTATTAGCTTCGGTACTCTTCTGTGCCTTTGTAGGAGAACAAATGGCAGCCAGCCGACGACAATGGGGCAGGGACTCCAAGGTTCGCGCTGAAGAGAGCACCAAGCTTGTCCAAAGCATCAAGTATGCAAAGATGACTGGTATCATCAATCTAACAGCAATGGTCCTTTTTCGCTTGCAACAAACCGAAGCCGCCAGCCGAAGAATATTTATGAAACATAATACCCTAAGATTTATGTTAGGTAAGTGCGCATCTAGCGGCCGATTGTTCCATGATTTAACAAGTGTATTTTAGTGGTATCAGCACACGCCACTACACCAATATTCGCTTTCGGTAACGGCCTCTTCAAATCTAGAATGCTTGGCGATATTCCTATTCTGCTTAAAAGTGTCGTATTAAGTTTTTGGTTTGCCGAAGATTTAAAACTAGTTCTCCAGATTCCTGAGATCTGGTCGACAGCGGTGTCGTCGTTTTCGACGGTGGAGGATCTTTTGCGAACCACAGCTCATCAGAGTAATGTGACTGTAGCGCCGCCTCTCCAACAACATCAACTAAACCGGTCCAGCGTCGCAGTCGAGTTTAAAAATGTCAGTCTTGCACCCGCGGCAGATCGAGCCGTCGTGTTAAGCAACATTTCCGCGTCCATTCCCCGTGGCACCATTTGCGTTCTTACTGGCAAATCAGGAAGTGGAAAAACCTTATTCGCACGCGCTGTCATTGGCCGCGCGCACAAAACGCAAGGCGCTATAACCGTTGAAGATTCTTCCATTGCCTACTGTGGCCAAGATGAGTGGCTCCTTAATGAGTCCGTCCGTCACAACATCATTGGAGACAACGCCTTCGATGACACATGGTATACCTCGGTTGTAACAGCTTGTGTTCTAACGGAAGACATAGAATGCCTTGAGAATCGTGATGACTTCGTTGTTTCGTCGCTTGGTGCTAACATTGAACCTAGTTTTCGGCAGCGACTGGTAAGTCTTTTTTTGTTTCTAAAATAGAAGCTATTTTAACAACCTAGCAGGCTCTAGCCAGAGCTGTCTACTCACGAGCGCCTTTACTTATCTTGGATGATATCTTAAGCGGCCAAAACCCAACAGTAGCAAGACTGATTGTTGCTCAGCTACTCTCTAGCAACGGTCTTCTTAGAAAGGGCACAACCGTCCTCATCACGGCATTGTTTCCAGGTGAGATGCAAAGTATATTGTTCCATTTTTTTAAAGTTGAATCTAACTGTTATTGCCTCCTTTAGAGCCATTTTCCCACGTTTGCCACCAAATTTTGCACATCAACGACCATCGCTATATCAGGCGCCTTGCGCTTCATGATGCCAGCCTCCAACGTCGCCAGCGCCGCCAACAAAATTCGGATAATGCTGACCAAGATCAGAGTCGCAATACTCACTTGGTGGCACTGGAGGAGAATGCTCCAGAGAGCATTGTATCCCAATTGCAAGGCTTGTCCACAGTCAACCCGAATTATCAGAGGATATCTTACTCAGTCTATATTCGACGGCTAGGTCCCCTCACGTTCGCAGCTTGGCTGTTTGTACTCTTCTTTGCGACGCTTTTGGAAGGCATACCTTGTAAGCACTAAGTAAGGCTTGCGGACGATTGTATATTAACATGGCGTTAGTTATTTACCTTCGATTCTGGCTGGACCCGACAACAACGACCAATTTCCCCTTCTGGCGATGCGTTGCTTTTACAATCTGCAGCGGGCCTGCTTTCGCTGCTAGTGGATAGTAAGTTGCTACGTTAGAGTAACGTATTTGCTATGATAATGTTAATAGCTGCTAGTCTCTTTCATCTAATATTAGCACCGAAAGCAGCAGCAACATTGCACGACCGATTGCTCGAAACAATCACTGGGTAAGTTACGTACATAGTCCCCCACCAGCACAACCATTTAACAATCTATGATGACTCTTGTCGGGAATTTAACCACTAACAACTCGAAAGATCTACACTAACGGCACTGAATCCGGCTAACCTGAAACTGGCAACTACACTGTAGGACCCAAATTCTGCCCCATGAGGAATCTTAACTAATAGTCTTTCAGGCTTAACGACGGTATCAATACAGCATCACGAGAGTTACCTACGGCTGTCTTCCAAACGGGCTATAGTACGTGTTTCTAGCATGCGCCAATCATCAAATCTAACAACGTAGGCTTCATGACGACACTGGCCATTATTCTTATAATGGGTTCTATCCATAGCTCAGCTCTGTTGATGGCAGCTACCATCACGTTTTCGCTCTTTTGCATACGCAGCCTTTATTGTTACACAGCGCAAAAGCTAAAAGACTTGCACCGGCGAACCACAGACAGCTTGTGCAGCCAATTTGCCGAAACGGTAACAGGAGTTCCTTATCTGTGCTGCTTGCGTGGGCAACGCCAGCATTTGCAACGGGTACGAAAGGCAATAAAAAATACGCAAATAGTCTCGTACAATATCGACTCGCTGGAGGCCTGGATGAAAATGATGACCGATTTGACGATGACGATATTGGTCACAGCATTTATCTATATTCTTGGACATGCAGATGTCCATCCCCATCTCGTCGGGCTCGTACTATCGCTATTCATTTACTCGATCCAACATCTTAGCACGGCGATCAAACATTGGCATGGACTGGATATGGCAATGCTGGATGTTCAGCAAATTGAAGAATTTATCACAAATACTCCTCAAATGGTGGCAGAACAACAGAAGCCAGCCCTGCCCGACCGCTGGCCAAGCCAGGGTCTGGTTGAGTTTGAGGATGTATCTATCGCATACAAGTTGGTGAACGCCGCGAGTTTGACATTTTCTGTGCTAACTTGTGAAACAGCACTGCTGGAAATAGCCCTGTTATTACCAATGCAACTTTCAAGCTCGAGGGTGTCCAAAAGGCGGCTATATATGGACCACGCCAAAGGTACTAAGAACTCGACTCGGAAGTTCAATAGTAGAATGATGCTAACATGTGAAAATAGTGGCAAAACGACGTTGATCTTATCCATGATTTTGCTCCTCCCGTATGAAGGGTCGATTAAAATTGATGGCGTCGAAGCTCGAGATATCCCTCGCGACAAGTTCAAGCAGATATTCACCATTATTCCAGAATCGCCAGTAACCTTCCAATCTGCTTCTATTCGGCAGAACTTGCTCACCGACGAAATAATCGATCCTACTCGCGCAGATGCCCCCCTCAACCCTGATGGTATTCGCTTCCTGTTTGACGACGACATGGACGAGCGACTTACTTTGATAACAAAGGTTCTTCACGGCGTCGGACTCTCAGACATTGTTAGAGACTCGGGTGGTGTCGATGCTAAGTTTTCAAACCTTGTTCTATCCCCGACACAGCGTCAAAAGTTTTCTCTTGCCCAAGGTCTAGCGAAGCATTACGCCACAAGAACCAAAATGGCAATCATTGACAGCGCAACAAGTCATGTCAATACAGAGGGTCTGGAGCGTATGAATTCGCTTATTGACGAGATTTTGGGCGTGGATCCTGATTGCATGGTCATCACACTGGCAAGCCATTCGGATGCCATCGACGGCTCAGAGTACGTGGCTCGAATTGCAGGTGGCAGAGTGACCAAGTTCTTTGTTGAAAGTATGCTGCGAAAGACGGTGTCTTCCTCGAAAAATAGAGTCTCAAAGAGAGTTTCAAAGAGCCGAGCCATACCAAGCGACGAGGAGCTTGCTAGCGAGGTAGCAAGACGAAGCGGACAAGGCATGCGTGACAGAGGACGAAGGCCAAGATCACCGTCACCCGCAACGTTATTATCGTCTCACTCTCAGTTGACCTCAGATGCAGGGGCTGGTCCAAGTACGTCACAGGCACTACCACCACGACGGATGTCACCACTCTCTTTCCGTAGCCCTTCAACATCAGCTTCTGGTACTCATCTGGCGAGTCGTTCTCCTGGAAGCGGACGTAATCTCAGACCTACTCCGGCGTCACATTCACCTGTGAGCCAACGACCTGAACCGGCGCGCCGTCGTAGGGTCCGAACAATAAGACCGCCCCCAGTAGTACGCCCAAGAAGCCCCTCCATATCGGATGACAGCGACGACGACACATTACCGGAAATCCCTGGCTGGATGGTTGACTTTGCAGATGACTCCATCAGCGAGCTAAGACGGCATGAGTTGTATACCCGAATCTTTGAATATGGAAGCGCAAGGATGGAGAGGCTGTTACTTCGACACGCCCTACGGGACAATGCGATCTTGCAGCATTTTCATGAACTTCACCACAGTGACGAGCCTCATATCCTCCAACAGCAAGTAAGGGACATTCAGACGGTGACGGGATTCTACCACAAACTACAGAGTGCGCTCGTGGTGGCGCGTTACGCGCGACAACAGGGACGTTGCTAGAATATGTGTATATGAGGAGGACTCCCGGGGTTTGTGATTTACTTTCATTTTTTGCTTATGCTCTCTTTTATATGTTTTACTACGTTGCAATCGTGTCTTTCTGTAGTTTAGTTATTTGTACTCAGTCAATTCATTTCACACATTTTATTTGTCGCCATGCTTCTTCGTCTTCGTATAAACCATCATCGAAACACTATCAGACCAAGGCGCACACCTTCTTCTATTCAAATTTTAGCCAATTAATATAGAACAACAAATTGCGACCGCAGCCTTGCGTGGTTTTGAAACGTGATCCAACCAATTTGCGAAATAGCGATGAAGAAAATAATGATAATGCTAATATACATGGCTGCGTTGGATGGACGCAAGCATATCCTTCGACTTACACGGATACCCAAGGCCCACTCAACCAAATATCCAACTACGAGTCATTGACACTAAGCATACAAACAGATATGTTTTCATTTTATTTACAGATCTCTGATAGCATTTAAACTTCCTGCTGACCACTTTCGCCAAGCTCAACACCACAGCTCAACGGCTCAGCCAATCCGAGACGCCGCCTTCAGCCTCACTCTGCGCCTCCTCAACCCAGTCTCCGCACTCTGTTCCCCATGATCGCCATGATCACCCCAGTCTCATATCAACTGTGCAAACTCGTAATCTCTTAATATATCATCTCGCAGCCATGGCGCTCACATCGCTGGCGACATCCACGTCGCTCTCATCATCTGTGCCCTATGCTCCCCTCACGACGGCCTTTGTCTATCCGCCAGACTGCCAGACCTTTTGGTACACCAGTAGCGAAATCAGCACGTCAACTAATGCATCCACCATATACGAAATCACCAAATTGACGCTTCACTACGTCGACGCCATCTACCACAACAAGACCTCCTGCCAGCCACCTAGTTGGAGCATAGACGCGACCAGCACAACCAAGCTCTTCTACTACAGTCCCGCCGTGTGCCCACAAAGTTGGACAGCGTACCAGATAGCCACTAGCCATCCATATGCACAGCTGACGACAGGCTGCTGTTGCAGGAGGTACGTCTTGCTGTTTGTCTAGAGTATGCAAACTAACGCTTCTTGTCATAGCGGTTATACTATTACTAGCACTCAAGGTCAATGGGCGATAGACACTATGTGCTTTCGCGTGGGAGCTGCACAGGCATTGGGCGTTAGTACTTCCGCACCTCGAATGGATTCGGGAGTCCATCAGTTCATATACATGACTGCGGGCATCGTCACCCAATATCACACACCGTTTCATATCTCCTGGGAAAAGAAAGACGTGGCCAGCCTTACACCAGCACCTCCTGTACCTAATTGCACGCCATTCACCATATCATCGTGGGACCCAGCAAATCCAAACGCGGCGATTAGCTGCCCTAACGCTGTACCCACTAGAAGTGACCCTCCCGCCCCGTCAGACGGCCTATCTACACAAAGTAAAGTCACTATTGCAGTGACAGTTGGTGCTCTTGGGTTTATGGTCATGGCGGCACTACTCTTCTTTCGACTTAACTTGTCTCCGCGGACAGACGTTGAACTGCAACCCCTGGGACGCGGCCGTACTCTTGTTACTCGGCCCGGGGTTGAGAGGCGTAGCTCGACGGAGAATCAGGACGGGGACGATGAGCTACCCAAGTATGCAGATGCATTGCGGACGGCACCAGTTGATCCGGAGTTGCAGCCGCCCATGTATGCGACTCCTAGGCCGGGAACACCAAATCCAGAGCATTCGCCAGAGCGGACGACAGCATCTAATAACGAACTGGAACAACGAGAGGCAGTGCCAAGTAATACGACGCGGCGCGGTGATGGGCAAGTTTGAAAGTGCAAATGTCTATTTGTAATATTTGTTTTTCTGAGTGTACAATAACTAGTAAAGTATATACCCCTGATAAGAAACTGAATTTGAAACATGGATAAAGATACTAAAGAAAAAAATAAATCATCATGTCATGAAAAGGGGACATCCAATTTATTTAGGAGCCCAGCCGACCTGCTTCTTGCCAGCGTCAAAGACGACATAGGCAGCCTTGAGGGCAACATCGCCAAAGATGGCCAGAGGAATGTCGTCCATGGGCTGGATGCCACCGAAGCACTGGCTGCCGCTGGCAGGTGCGTAGTTGATGAGCGAGCCCGGAACGGTAATGCTGCCCTTGCCAACAGTGAAGGTGAAGTCAGGGAGCTTGGTGTTGCAGTCAAAGATGTAACCGCCCTGCTGCTGGTCAAGAGTAGCGCCGCTGACAGACTTGTAGTAAGCACCGACGACTTGAGAGTTGGCGAGCAAAAGAGTGGTGCCGGTGTCGGCAATGGCGTTGAAGGTCTGGCTGTCGCCAGCGGTGGTCTCGAACTGCCAGAAGCCCTGAGAGTCGTCGACTGGAGCGTACAGGATCTCTTTGGCGGCGGAAGGAACGGCGCCAAAGATGTAGCTTCCAGGCTCGTTGTGCTTGAGGTCAGCAGTGAAGACGGGAGCATCGAGGGAGCTGGCAATGTTGTCGAACCAGGTCTTCTGCTTGGTGGGCTTGACAGTGTTGATGCTGCTAAAGGCGAGACCGAGGAGACCGTCGTTGGCGCCCTGAGCAAACTGGGTCGAGACCTTCTTGGCAGCCTCGACAGCCTGGGACTGGACAGAAAGACCACCGAGAGTCACTACATCCTGGTAGACATCTCCAGAGGAGGAGGAATGGTCGCCATAAGTGATGCTCCAAGTGGCTCCAGACACCTTCTTGGCCGATGTGCTCTTCTCGATATCGTAGATGCTATGGCTGCCGGCATCCGTCTTGTCGGTCTCCGAGGAGAAGACCCAGAGATCAGAGCTACCGGTGTCAAAGTCCAAGTTCAGGGTCTGGGGAGGGGTACCGATCTGAACGGGAACAAGGTACTCCAGATCGCCATGGTCGGGGGTGGCGGTTGCAGTGCCAGTGCCATTGCCACTGCGGCGGACTGAGTGGCCATTGATGCTGTTGAGGAAAGCAGCGCGGGTCTCGGCAGCCTTGGCCAGATGGTCAGGAACTGGAGCACCGTACTTGGCATAGGCGCGGGCAAGGGCCAAGGGGCCGTTGCGGCCGGAAAAGTTCTCGTTGACGGTGCGCTTGACCTCAAAAGAGCGAGGGCTCTCAGCGGTGGGTGCGCCAGCAGCAAGAGAAGCCGACAGGACAGCAACGAGGAAGCTTCCAAAGGTATTGTTGAATTGCATGGTGAAGTATATATGTAGGGAAAATATAGACAAGAGTGTATATATGTATGTACTGATTGAAGAGAAGGTGTTTTGTGAGTGAGAGTGTGTGTGAGTGATGGTCTAGATCTCTCCAAACTCCAGAGGGGAAGTGGCTTCTATTTAACTTCCAAGGACACACGTTGATCTGTGCTCAGTGCCACTTGATCAGTGCCGAGAGATGGAGATGTCGGCAAGCGGCAACGGTTGAAGATTGGAGGCGTGCGGCGGCGATGCAACCAATGTGACTATCTGAAGTTGGGCAGGTGTCGGGCCTATCACACGAAAGAAGAAGGTCGGGATGGCAAAAATAAGGATAGACAAGATCATCCTCATGCGATACGTGCGACGGCGGACCCGAGTTGCGTGTCTTGAGAACGGAGCTCAGCTGCCTGCCTGACTGGCTGGCTGCCATGGAGCACAACATGGCTAGTGAACATGCTTGGTTCGTTCGTGACTCGATAAGGGGACAGAGACAGGGTATGCATGTGAGAGAGCTTATTCGTCCGCTCATCCCATGAGCGAGACACGCATAGCATGGCGCAATTCGGTCCCATTTAGTGTGTTTCCCCTTTACGATTTCGGTGCGCGTGGATGTCTCTGTCTGTTCGTAGCTTGGCGATCGCAGTGGTGCCGATCGCCGTAAGCGTCAAACGGCCTGGCGAATGACTATGGGCAAAAGCAGATGATTTGGGGGGTTGAACTTTATGCGTCGGACCAACCAGATTTCGCCATCCCCGTACCTTGCGTATTATTGGGTTGTGTTAATGCGCTTGCCCGCCGCATTGGCCACAAAGAGGACGGAGAGCAATGCCTGTTTGGGCAATGGGACATTGTCAGGGGCGCTGTATCAGAATCGGTCAGGCCAATAAAGTGCAACGCTGGGAAACCTTGCCCGGGGCAGGCGTCCCCATTTTGCCTTTTCACGGCACGTCATTGGTCACGATTCTGCCTCACAGGCCAAGCCCTTTGGCGCCGATCTTGACAGCTTCTGCGGGCGTTGTATCGCCAAAAGTGCCTCGCTGGGGGATGCAATTCCTGCAGCAGAGAAGATCTTGTCGAAATCCATTCGGTCGCACTCCGCTAGCTTCTCTACCTGTTACAGCACATTCTTCTTTGGGATAAAAATCTATGTAGCCAGACGGACTTTTGGCGAGCTGGTGACTATCCGAATAAAGTTTCAGTGCACGAGCACCTGGCTATGCGGGGCCGTGTTTCCAAAAGTCTCTTGAAGAATTGGCTTGTGATGATTGATGACGACGATAATGCCGAATAGGGAAGTGCGTCTAAATGTAAGGCAGGATTTACAATAAGTTCGCTTGAAGTCGGACTCCTACAATTTTGGATGTGGTCGGTGAAGAAGAGTGTGCGGAACGGTGGGAACCAACGACGCCGTACTACCCGCCAGGTGTCAGGGGTCGGCTGCCAGCTGGCGAAGGGTACGTACTTTACGGTCTGCTACGTCTACCCGCTCATGTCTACCGTATTCTTCCCAAGAATAAGTCTGGTTGGATTATTAACGTGAATTAACTCTGTTTGCCCACCCTCTGTTGTTTCCCTCTTCCTGTCGCTGCCTGTTGCCTTCCGCTCCGTGTGTGATTGGTCGCTCAGCACTGTCGCACAAGCAGTAACAAACGTAGAGCGACCTGTGTAGACAGTCTTGACTTTATCGGACCCCGCACTTGACATCACCTTTACACCTCCTCAGATCATTCTGTCGTTTTAAATCCCGGATACAATCGTTGTAAAATCATGCCTGACAAAGGTTACTCGTACAAAAGCTCCGGCACCAACAGCCAGGTAAGCAGATTCATTGTCGGCATTGCCCGTGTTAGACGCTTGGTCCGTGTTAATGCCGATCAGGGAAACCATTACTGCGCCCGAGACTACGGCAGCAGCGCTTCTAATCAGAACTCTTATCATTACTCGAACCAGTTAGTGTCCCCGAGAAACTTCAGCTGCCCTGTGCTTTTGCTGACCGTGCTGAATAAACTATCTAGAGACGGGTCCTATTACTACTCCAACTCCAATGGCAGCACCTACCACAACAACGGGAATGGGCAATCCACCTATACTCCCCCCAGCAGCAATAGCCAAAGCTCCGGTGGCTCCAAGAAATAATTTAACAGCGCGGAGCTTACCGTTGCTTGTGTGGAGAGCGTACACACTGGACTGTGTTGAGGTTGGGCCGTGATAACGCCTTGTTCACAATACATCACACCTCTGCAACTCAAATGAACGTGATGCCACTTTGTCAATGCACCCGTGCATATCTCCCCGCAGTACACTCTTATCTAGCCTTAGTTTAACGCGTCTAAAAAAGCATTCTACTCTTTAACCTTCTGAAAAATAGACGTGCAAATCAACGACGGCACTGCCACTAAACCCTGTTAGTTACTACAGGTTAGCACGATGCCATACTCAACGGGGCTTTCTTTTCTCCCAAAAATGATGTAGTGCAGCAATTACCGAGCTATACTAAATCCAATTTAATTTCTAAAAAATAGTATAGTTAAATTAAACTCTTGAAAGTTGAACAAATAAAAAAACTAATAAAAATAAATATTGTGCGCAACCGTCTGTAACGGGTGGCCCTTGTAAGTTGCCCGCTCATCCGAAGGCGCCTGAGCTAAATCCGCTATCACGAAAGCGGTATCGAACCAATGACGAGACGCCGACGCTGAACCAGCGACGTCACTTCGCTGCAACATACGAGCATTATAGCAACCTTATGCTATAATATACAACAAAAAGCGCCACAGGTTGCGGAAATGTCGTCGGAACTATCATCACCTATAGAAGGTCTTCCAAATGAAGTAGCGTCCACCTCTTCCCTTCTCTGTGTACCCCCGCTAACACTGGTAGATCTTCAACACCATCCTCACCCACTTACCCGTCAAGGATGCGCTCTGTTGCGTCGCTGTCAGCCGCCATTTTCACACGCTTGCAGTGCGAGATATATACCGGCGCCTTATCAAGACAGGCTCACTTGACGACTATGAGCTGATTTTAGAATGCTATCACCCGAGCCTAAAGATCTCCACCCCATATCTCTCCTGCCGATATCTGGACACGTGGATAGCCGACGATGAAACTACTGGACTCCGACGGCCGATGCGGGACGATAGCCCTACTCTGAAAGCTTTACAGGGTATGTATTCATCGTTCCGGCCAGTTGTGACAGAAGAGAACCGGCGGAGACGGTTTCGGATGCTCTGGCCCGGCGCTGCCGCAGCAACACCCAGCGCATCGGGATCTATTGAAGTCCAAGAAGAGCTGATTGATGAGGAAGCCGTAGAGGAGATTAACCTTGATGAGGGCGAATTGTTCTCTCAGCTGTGTACAGTCACCAACGTGGTCAAGGAGGGCAAGAAGCGCGGATTCTACCCCTCACACGTCAACATTAGCGAGAACGTCATCCGCGTTTTCCGACGATGGCTCAATAACATGGCATTACAGAATGACGGAAGAAAGGCCTGGAACGAAGTGCCTATCGACTCAGACAGCATTTTGTGGGCTGATAACGACAAGAACATCGGTCTACGACTGCATGTTGTCGCTGCGCCATCGGAGCGGATGCCCCTCCTCTCTGGCCCAGACGATGACGCGGCAGTTTCGTTTCACATTGTTTACGAAGGCAAGTCAGATCAGCATACAAGAAATTTTCCGTAAAATGCTAACTACCGCATAGAGCTGATTGTCAGGACAAGCAAACTGCTATGGGCTGTCGAGGTGGCCAATCATGAGCTAGCGGACACAACTGGCCGGGGCCTCATTGTCTCTTCTCTTTACACTGTAGACGACTTGGAACAAGGATCTATGCAAACATGATTACTTACTATTGAAATTTGGCGCTGCCACAATCTAAGGAAACTGATGCTTCCGGCGCCGAGAAGCGACACCAGTGCCAGCCATTTCTGCCCAGCCGCAGAAACAGAGCCAATCAAGGAGATGGACAACCATAACCGTACGCCATCTCCTATTTTCGTCCAGCAGCGGCTGATGCATTGTCAAAACTGAGAAATGATTGTCTAGGAGCCTTAGATGGGCCAAGCCCAGACGTAAAAAAGGGTCTCAAAAAGGAAAACCGCCACCACTGCAGGTAATGGCTTGTAACTTGCAGCGCTGCGACAATGCACCATGCTGTCTAGTTAGTTTTCCTGCATGCGGGCACACATTAGGCCAATCAGCAAGAGCAAAAAGGTCGTCTCGCAGGATATTCCCGGTAGGAAACAAAGAGGGATATGCAGAACCCAAGCACACCAAAGGGATGCGAAGGCGCTGTCTCGCCGTCGATCTGACCAAGGGCAGTGTTCAGGACTAGCCTTTTCGGTTTACGGTCACCCCGCACAGAATCCGATGACTCTGAATCGTATTATTAGTCCAACGTTTGAGATAGTACACTATAGGATTCCTAGTTTTAGCGTTGGCTCAACCATGTGCGCAGTAGTTCCTTTTTCCCGCGGAGCTAACAGAAAAAGGGCAACGGCGTGGGAGGCCCGTTCAGATGAAGGGCGCCTTCTGGTGGTTGACTATGGCCCTAAAACGGCGCTAGAAACTAAAAATAAGAGAATTGTACTTTTTAGCTCTTTACTTTTTGCTCCTGTTGTCTCTTTGGTGGGTTTTGTGGCGAGGGGAAAGAAGTAAAAAAACACACTGTGAAAAGAAGCAATGTTTGCTTCCTGCCCGCCAGGTCTGCCAGCTGGCGCCGCCCCAGTGGACTGACTATTGCCAGACGTCCAGCGCATTTTGCAATCTTGAAGTCATGCACGCATATGCAAGATGAAAAACTTTTTTTTCTTTCGTCATCCTCGATACGAAGCCGTGCTCACCGTGCTGTCGGAACCCAAAGTATGCAAATATGCATTTATCTGCCGTGTCGCCTCGGCTGTGTCTCGTCGCCCTTGCATTTGGTGGATGGACGGTGGGTGCATCGCCCGATGGCTGCAGGACCCGACCCAGAGGGCTAACTCTCGCACTGTAGCTTTGACTAGGCAATAGGGCTTCTTCCGTGGCGTGTAGAGTGGTCTCGTGTAGTTTCACGCACACTGTATGCCGTGAAACCACGACGCTCCCAATGGCCCGATATTGGATGTCTCCTGGCCCTTGGCGGGACCCCTCGCCCGGGCATCTGTCACTTTTGTTGCTTTTGCCGTTGAAGCTGGATGTATGTCTCGTATCAGAAACATGTATGGCCTCGCACGGGCGACGAGGGAGGTATCTGCGTCTGCTAACTTCTAGACGAAAGCTACTTTCTTCATGCAGTAGCTTCAGACTGTCTCACCACCACCAAAAAGAAGCTTCCGATCTGCCCTTGTCTTGTAGACACGCCTTCTGTGGCCTTTGTGACGCGTTCCCGGGACCAGGAAGAAAGCACAGCTTTGCTACCCCACGTTGCTGCATTGTGCCTGGCTGGGCCGTCCCCCCCCTCCGTGATGCGTCCCGTGCCTGACCCGGTGTGCCGAGCATTCCCAGACCGGTGATGTTTGCTCTTATCTGGCTGAATGTCAAGTCCGATGAGGCCATCTGCAGCTAGGAATGGCGGTGGGTGACGGATGGAATTCGAAGCTTTCATGCCAATAGACGCTAAGCGGTGTCGAAGAGCTGTGTGCGTGGATGAGTCTTTGCTGTTAAGAAGTGTGGCTCGCCCATCGTATGATGGATGTGCAAGATCTACACTACACAGTTAACGACAGCTTTCTACCGGCCTGCATCGTGGCCTCCGTCGTACAGTTCGGCGAGCTGAGTGACCTTTGCCGTCCGTCTCCTGCGTCAACCCACCCGCGCCGTTGCCTTCTCGGCCGTCTGTCACATTTTCTTTGCCCCTAAAAAGGCAGAATCGGGATTTCCTTTTTCTTCGCTTTGTCTGCCGTTGTACCCTTTGTTTGCTTGTTCCCGCACCACAGCTGTGCTTTCTTTTCGTATTTGCTTTTTGGCATACACCTGCAGCAGCCGCTCAAAGCCCTGCCTCACTCTCCGCTGGGGGTGCCTCATACATATTGCTCGTCAAACCTCCTCGTTCGATAGTTTTCTTCCCTGCTTTCCTATCCAAATTAATACACACATTTCGGTTTAATTATAGGACGGAATAGCGACATACAGGAGGAATAAATATGGACCGACTTCGACACCCAATTATACCGGTCCCACCGCGGGCACATTCACCGGCGTCATCTCGCACTTACACGCCACCGAGTGCACGCACATATGTTCGAGCTACACCGAACCCAGTCCCTCTTCACATTAACAGCACATATACGGGGTTTCCTAATCTCCCATCGAGACGGAATTCTACGACTTCTTGGGTCACTCAGGAGAAATCGATTAAATATGGAAAGGGCAAATACTCTGATGTCGAGCTGGTGCCTCAGCCTAGCGATGACTCTGAAGATCCTCTGGTACGATGAAAAAGGCCATTTTGTGACGAAAGCTTTGGAAATTAACAGTCCCTTTTAGAATTGGCAAACATGGCGAAAAGATCTCAACTTGGCTGCTCTGTTAATCATGGTTGGTCTCTGCAACGGCATGAAGACCGCTCTTCTGCCTACCAACGCCGCCATTACCTCACACTTCAAGACGAGTTATACGACAGTTGCCTTCTTGACGGCAGCACCTCTCCTTCTCTCAGTACCGTCGGGCCTGTTGAGCTCTATTCTAGCCCGTCTCTGCGGGAAACGACCTCTCTACCTTGCTGGTACAATGGTTGCTTTGATCGGATGCATTTGGAACGTCACAGCATTTGACGACTATGCTTCTTGCCTAGGAGCTCGTCTCTTTCAGGGTCTAGGATGGAGCATCTTCGATACATTGGTGCTATCATCCATTCAAGATACCTATTTTGTACGTGGCCAATGATGCCTTTTAACTCTCTTCGTCTGCTAACCCCCGCGCCAGGAACACCAGAGAGATCTGAGAGTCATCATCTACAATGTCTTATCTATATCCACTACCTGGGGTACTCCCTTGGTATCTGGAGCTCTTGGAGCGTCTTCATTCACTGCCCCATTCAACGTCATTGCGATTTTCTTCCTTTTTGCAGTCCCTATGATCGCCTTGGCAGCACCCGAGACCGCCTTCGATCGAGCCAGCGCTTCTGAGCCACCAACGCCTGTTTCTGGATTTACTCTCTCCCGTCGATGGCAGCCATGGCGACTCAAGCACCGCCTTACCAAGGATCGTCTGACAGACTACTTCAAGAGCATGAAGCCTTGTACCTTTGCCGGACCTATTACCAAGTCTATTGTTTTGCAAATCCCCAGAGCCATGTGTGCCCCAACATCACTTCTGATCGTTGCTCTCACCATGATTCCAGTCTGCGCGCTATGGGGTCTCGGAATGTCTATATCTCTCCTGCTTAATGCTGAGCCCTTATCTCTCGGCCCTGAAAAGGTTGGCACTGTCTTTGTCGGCCCATGGCTTCTTCCCATGTTTGTTGTTGCTACCATCGGTCTTTACCGAGGCGTTCACGTCAAGTTCAACAAGGCTACTGTCATTCTTATTATTGGCTGCGGCTCGGCTCTTGCATTGGTCGGAATCCTCGCCTTTGGTCTAGGTCTCTTCAACTTCCTCTCCCCTACCAAGTCTTCGGGCCAGCAACTTTTCTTCACCACCACCTCTGGCCAGGTATCCGTCCCACTTCTTTCCTTTCAGTTGGCTATTCTTGCCACATCTATTGCAGTTCTGGATACTGCTACACGTCCCCTCCTTACCCGTTCCGCTTCTTTCACTTCATCAAACATGGCTATTGCTGTCCGTTCCATCGGTGACATGAATACTGCCGTCATCCTGTGGCGCAATCTTTTCACAGCCATTTTCATCGTGGTCATTCCTTACGTTATCAATGCCTCCCCTCAGACCGGGATCAAAGGACTAACCATTGGCCTTACTACTGTCCAGGCCATCATAGCTACCCTCGTGGTGCTCAGCCAATTGTTCTTTGACTCGGCTATCTGGCGAGCAGACGGTAAGATCATGGGCCTTGTCGACTTGAGTAGCTTGAAGCTCTCAGTCAGTTTCTTCGACACCGATTAAATCGGTATTTTTTCGTGGCTGCACCGCATTACATTCATTCGTTTTATTACACATTTCCTGGTTGGCAAGATCAGAGTACATTCATTTGCCTGGATGGCATATTTCCTTCTATAGGAACCCTTTTTTCTTCCTTTCCAACGGATTCCCATATTACGCTCTTTATGATTCATGGACACGTCCCTGCCACTCATTTATACCCTCTTGAGCTCCGCTCTACACTTTAACATACCCCCTCGGTCATTACCAAACCAGCGCCTCGCACGGCAATGTTTTATTCTATGCAACATGTATGATTTCTTCTCAGATCGGAAGTACACTACCGATCATATGTTATACTATGGCCATTGGGCCTTAATTCACGCCGGCATCACCGGCTTATCATTTACTGGATACACTGGATAGCAAAATTTTGTATACTAGCTATTTTCGAGCCTCGGTTCAACTGTACGACGCTCTACCACCAAAAAGACATCATTAGACCCGACTTTTCTTGCCAAGTACGATTATGACGTTGCCGACAGTGAAAGATTTTAAACGTTCAGCTGCTAACGTAGATATGCCACGAGTCAACTTAGACGCTAGCATCTTGGCAATCAGCCCATTGTCGATTTCTTCAACTTGTGACAGGCAAACTTCACCGTTTTGTCGACGACTGTTTATCGCTCTACGTGTCAATTGAGTGTAATAAAGAACGATTTTTTAGTCAAAGCGCCGTATATAAATAATATGAGTAGGGATCTTCAAGTCGAAAATCTTTCTTCGTGCGGAATACGTTGAAAAGTCAACCCGCTTCCGTTCGCTGCGTATCGCTTGGCGTAAACTCTAAATATCCGCACTCGGGAGTGAACGGGTTTTCACCACATCCACTATATCCGGTATAAATAAAAGACTCGCCCAACAAAATATTTTAAACTTGATTTTCATCCAAATACTTTTATACAATATTGAAAATCATAATGCACTCTTATCTATGTAGCGTTCTACTTGCGCTCGTGGCATCTGCCTCTGGAGCGCAAGCCGGCGTCACTTACACCACGACCCTGACGCGCCATCTACCCTTTGAGCAAATTGTCGGTGCTACTAACAATTGCTACTGTGTATTAGAGACAAGCCGTAAGTTGGTCTCTGTATTGATCATGTAACCGTGAAACTAATCGACTATAGAATCATTCCTACCACAACCGTCCACTTGGATTCCTGTCAGCTCGTCCAGCGAACCCGCCACGACCCAGGGACAGACCTCCAAGACAACTTGTGACGAATCAATCTCCAAGACTGCAACCACGGCATCTCAATCCACCTCAGAGACGTCTAAATCACACAAACCAATCTCTACTAGCACCAAGTGTTCCACTGGTCCAGCCACCAGCAGCGCAAGCGCAAGCAAAAGCTCTGCTCTGAGCCGCAGCGCTTCTACCTCTTCTGCTCCATCCAGTGTGACCTCTAGCAGCGCAATCGAGTCCAGCAGCGGCTCTATTGCTCCCAACAGCACGTGTACTACCTCAACATCGGTCTCCGCTTCATCATCCTCATCAGGCGCTCCCTGGTCGAGGTCTTCAACTACCAGCTCAAGTGCTGTCAAATCGAAGGCATCGTCAACTAGTACCTCAAAATCCTCCAGCTCCTCTGCTCCTTCATCTTCAGTCCAGAAAAGCTCGACTACCGTTTCCTCAACATTTTCGACAACATCTACAACGTCTACGGTTCCAAGCACATCTAGTACCTCTGCATCAGCCACAAGCCGTTCGTCTACGAGCTCCGGTATTTCCAGTTTCTCAAGCACCTCGAGCACTTCCATTGCTAACTCAAGCACATCGACCACTTCAAGTACTTCCACGACTAGTGCACAGTCGGCTTCTTCGACAAGCGGTACCTCTTCGTCTTCGGGTAGTTCTACATCAGCAACTTCCTCAAGTACCAGCTCGACATCCTCTACTTCATCAACATCTACTACAAGTTCAACGGTCCCGACAAGCTCTGCTCCCCCCACCAGCTCAGTTCCATCTACATCGTCGAGCTCAGCAGCCAGCTCAACCTCTATGCAGCCTTCGTCATCAAGCTCCAGTGTACCCTCGAGCAGCAGCAGTAGCAGCAGTAGTAGCAGCAGCAGTCCTTCTTCTTCTTCTTCACTCATCACATCGGCTTCTTCTACATCCACCTCCTCTACAACGACATCTTCATCAGCAACAACATCAAACACCTGCTTGCCCATTGCTGGCGCACCGGCATTCGCAGTCTCTGCATACGGTGCCTTGCTTCCAACAACAGTACCTAAAGACATACTCAAGGCCGCCCCGACTCCTGCTATGGCGCGTCCTAAACTCAATGCCGGCGTACAATGCGTACCAGGAAGCTTCAGATGCATCACAAACCCCCATGGGTGGGAAGCTTGCACTGCCTTGGGTGCATGGGTGGTAAGTTTACTTCTTTGAAACATTTACAAATGAAGCTAACAATATGTAGTTTGCCGGTGTCTGCCCTCCCGACACCCATTGCCAATTCTATCCGTCCACTGGTGGACTACTGTGTGTACCGGATTGCTGAGACTTGCAATAAAAAATTGATGGAATTTTGATTCAAAGTTAAAATACAAAGGGATATTTCATTACGCGTTATTGTTACAAAATTTCATAAACGTCAAACAAAATTGTCAAACTAAACCCGTCCAGGCCAAGAATCCTGCCCATTAGATGACCTACTCTTAGCAGGCAGCGCCTCCATCCTGTGATGTTCCGTAACGTCTCGGTTGCCGACGACCTTGGTCGCAATTGAATTGCGACGCACTGTTGCCCAGCTAGTGACGAAAAAGATGATTGCGTTCCATAAGCCTTGCAGAGGAAGAACTGCAGCGGTAGCGACGTGAAACTCGAATGGACTCTGTCCATGTAACCAACTGTTAATGCGATTGAGGCTGCTCGGAATCCAGGTTACCAGTACACTAATGGCAAATAGAAAACTCGTCCGCAGATAGGCTCGCTTAATGGGGTCGTCAACAACAAACTTGGACGCAATGGAGCATATGGAGGTCATAACTCGTGATGCAATGGGTGGTTTGGCGGGGGCAGACTGGTTGTTGGACACGACGGAAGAGAAAAAGTGGCTTTCCGAATGAACGGGCGAGGCCTGGCTACGACCTTCAAAGCGCTCACGTTCTTGACTTCCGGTTGAAGTCATGGATACTTTGGAATGGTTCCTGATGATGTGATTGTCGGCATGTGCGAGAGACGGAACCTCTGAATGGATGATTTGAACTTCAGTAACCACTGTGCCGTAACATCCGTCGCCAGGGTCAGTTCGCACCTAAAGCAAGTCAGCATGATATCACCTATTCTCAAATTTATTCATACCTGAGGAAGGCGGCCGTCTTTCACATTGGAACTGGAAAAGCTCCTGAGTCGGTTCCTCGTTCGAAAGACATAGTATCCGACCAACGCATAGCACAAGATTGAACCAACAATGCACACCCAAATCAACATGTAGTAAGTGTAAATACGAATATCATCCCATCGACGGTCAACCCAGCACCATATCTATAAATTGTTAGCGGATGTATCGACGAAACAAAGATAACTTACTGTTGCTTCACCATACACTGGTCCTCGCTCTGGATTCTTAACAAATAGCAGAACCAGTGCAATGGTAAAGGGTCCGCCGTAGCAAATGATACAGTAGACCCACCACCAAGTTTGAAACGACTCCGGAGTGGCATGAAAGTAAAAGACGAGAAGGACATTGATTGCCATGGCAAGAGACCACCATGGATCAGATTGCATGAACCTAGACCTGTTAGCAGTGAATTTTGATTTCGACAGACAAACGCACATTTCAAAGAGAAAGCTCTGTGCCTGACACAGGGCAGAAGGTTTGCCGACTTTGAGACCATCGAATGCGATGATGCTCGCAATGCTCGCCCCAACGTTGGCGATGCTGGCGAAGACGATGAATGTATTTTGGACGTTGCGCGCCCGGGGAACGAGCGCATAAGCAATGAAGATGAAGATGACGGCAAACAGGCTAATGGATCCTCCTATGCGCTCCATAAGCATCAAAGTGCGGACCTGGTCCTCTGTAAAGGCTTCTTCTTGCTTCATCCTGACTGATAGCTGAGTGATGTTGTTCGTATGACCAGAAGGAGCAGAGGTGATGGTTTGCAGTGAGCTCTCCTGTATACAACGAGACTGTCTGTATTTGTAAAGATATAATGATGTAACATATATTTGAGGTTCGTTTTATGATGACAAATTTGCAATCACTTGATATGATGGTGAATGAGCTCGTTGGCAATAGTGGCGGTGGACGAGCAGCTGCAGGTTCAGCTCGCCGCTCTGCCTGGTACGAATAGCAGTAAGTTATTGGAGATATTCGGAGTCAAATCTCCACGCGAGGATCGTATCAATATCGTTGATAGGGTTGCAGCGGTGGGCTCCAGAGTGTACAAGGCTCGGCCCTTGCAGGTCTGAGAAGTGATGGTGTCGTCAGCGTGTGGATGCTAACTGGTGATTCGCGGTCAGTAAAATGAGCCAACTACTGAATACTGAAAGTCGGCGGTACGGTAAGAGTCTCAAATTGCGGTATGGATGCAGAGACTGGGCTTTGAAGAGCACATTGGCCGAGCTTCGCGGTTGCACGGCAGCCGCCAACTTGGCCGAGTTCCTCTTCAGCGGTGATGAGGTGCGTATGGGGGAGGAGAGAAGGGTGAGCGGCTGGAGGCCTGAAGGAAGAAAACGACAGCGTGCTGGATTCGGGGACATCGCCGCCTTGGCCACTGTGTCACGGCGTCCGGCGATGCACGTAGCCGGTATTGGTGACAGGTGGTGAGAGGAGAGGGAGGTACGACCGACACCTGGTAGCCGGCAGGTGCCAGCTGCCAGCTGCCAGGTTCACTCGCAAGGTAAACTCACCGCTTTTGCTTTTCTTTTTCAGTTTACCTTTATTATTACGCCATTAACTTTCCGGTTATCTAATTCCGTAATGCTGGAGAAGATGGCTTTGGATTGCTTGTATGCCGACCTGCTTGAGGGATCGAGATGCGGGCGACTTATACTAGTTAACCACGGCCTCCAGAAGTGGCATCTGCACGAGAGCGCCCTAATCGAAATATATGAGTTGATGTGTACAAATCTATACGATTCATATCCTTTCACAACCAAAGTCAATCAACGCATTGCGGCGCTGGATAGACCCAAACCCTAAAGTGTCGCCAATAAAGAAGGACATGCCTAGATGGTGTGGTGCATACCGCCGCCTCGCGGGCAAACACACCGCAAATAAACTAAAACGAATGCGTCCCCGCAGTTGGCAAGTCCAACGATTATTTGATTCACACTGTTACCGGTCATGTTAATTTCAGATATATTATTCTCACTGTACTGCGCCTCATCACGGTGTGTGGTAGGCGTTTGGCACATTTTGCACTGTAGGTAGCGTTGCCATCGAAGCGGCTCAGACACTGCCGCGCCCGCTGGTCGCATGTACGCTGTGTCACGCGGATCAACTCGAGGCAATCAAAAATAGAATGAGGGTGTGCTGCACTGCTGTAAAGTTGGATATGCCGGATCTGAGTATACATTCGTAGATAACGACAGTATAGTGACTGACTAGTTTTGTAGCCTTAGCCATCAACGTAGCCACAGCGTCCGTCGCTGGGTACTCGGCAAAGAGAGAATAGTTAACATACCTGCGAAGAAAAAGCTATTATAATAACTAAAGTATTGTGCAGGCAGAAATGAATGATCAAAAAACTGAGTTATAGTTGTTCTGAGCACGGACCATTGTGGCTGGTGGCATTTTAGATCACACTGTGATCACAAGTACCACTCGCGACGCAACGGCGCCCAGACCCGCTGAACAAGTATCTTGCTGGCCTACGGATAGTCGATTCTGGGCGAAAGACGACGGTGCTCATCTATTCATCGGGTTTTCCGGTGTTGGGTCCGGCTAATACAGGGTCGATCGATAGAGTGTCCGCCCTCGGGGCGAACTTTCAAAAATAAGGTACATCCATTTTTGGCCAAAGTGTGGCGCGTATAATGCGAATAGTGAAATCGACTATCTCAGGGAAAGTAACTCTAGGCTTCTCTTTATTTCTAGCAACACTTTACTCCACAAACACCACAAGTGTTTCATCCACATCCTGGTCTTCAGCGGGCGCAAGGGAATAGTGCACACTTCCTGCAACTATATGATCATCCTCAATTCCCTCTTAACTTTTGCGTACCATGCTATGCGAAGATCAGATATCCTCCTCAGCAATCCATAAGCCGTTGCGCTCTCAAGCGACGCGAGTAGAGCCGACATTGTGGTTGGCAGTCCACACCCCTACCCCATGTCACCACGAACAAGCCCCGGTCACTGTGAAAGGTGCGTCACCATCCCCTTCAGCGAGTGCTCTCTGCGCGCGCTGTTCCCTTGTTACTGTTACTCTTGAGCAAAATGGGATAGTTCGCTATGCCCGCATCCCACCATTATCCTACTGCCCTCAACAGGTGCTGCTCTGTTGTTACTTCCTCTTCCCGTAGTTGCAATCATGGAGGACAATAGCGAGATCCCGTTTTTGTGACAGTACGATGATGAGGTTTTCGATCTCTCCACTCCTGTGGCTGCTGAGCCAGAAGGTGACAGTGAAGGCCAGTATCAGCAAAGCAGCCCTGGCAGTAGCGTCGTCGATCAAGCCGCGTCAAGAGCGAAATGTCCCCCCTACACGATTAAATGGGTCTTATGTACCAAGAAGAAGAAGCTACATACACTAGCCACTGACACGATACAGAACATTGGCGTTTATCCAAGTCGATTTTGGCATTTGGAGCTCAAGTCTCTCATCAACCAAGCCATCGCTACCGAATCATTGAACGAAATGCACGCTCCTAGTAAAACTCAAGTACACTTCTCAATCACCGAACGAGGCGTAGGACCGATCGACCTATACTTCCCACAGCACAGTGTTGCCTGGGATAAACTTGATAGGCAAGTTACGGAGTGGTCAGACTTCGTTTCCACTCGGCGCCAAACGTTGACCCTGAAGATTTCCTTTATCTTCAGCGAAAACACCTCCTTAGAACTGCCATACATGCGAGTCAAAGTCTAGTCGCGGGGAATTTTTTGGTGGCCAGCGGCCAGCTAGGGGGTAGGTTACGTTAGGGCATATAACGTGACTTGAAGGTGTAAGGCTGCGGGCCTGGTATGTAGGGACCACTCAGTGACATTTATATATCATGAGCTAGTTTTCGAAGAGTACATGTTGAGTGTATAGTCTTTAAGCGCAGAGCCGAATCCAACTATGAGCGGCAGTGTATGGGACCGTATACCTATCGAAATCACAGAGCAAATTGTGTCCTGCTTATTCCTCGAAGATATTGCCAACCTAACTGCGGCTAGCAAGTCCTTCTATTCCCTCTTTGACCCTCTTCTCTATATTGAAGATGCACGACCTTTCCACCGACATGCGATATATTGGGCTGCGGAAAAGGCATGCGTTACCGTGGCAAAGAAAGCTCTTGCCGGGGGTACGCCTGTCAACGATAAGACCCTTTGTACACCCAAGACCGGTTGCTATGGCAGACTTAGCTACTTACATTATGATAGGTGGCCCGAGTATCGTAACCCCCACACAAGTCACGACGATATTATCTTCCCAAAGCCTTTTAAAATACCAGAACAAATGCCAGACCTCGTCGCGGTATTGCTAGAAGCTGGCGCAGACATGAGCGCGGTCAAGGGCGCCTACAAGGACCGCGATTTACTTTCTTTCCTTTCGACACCGATAGGTACAGCACTAGGAACAGTCAATCGACCTTTCTTTGAGGTTGTACGACAGTCTCATTGTGAGATCAACGAGCACGGGGCCTTCACTCCGCTGACACTAGCCAGGCTTGCCATATGTCAGGGCAACGTCCCTCGCCTAGAGCAAGTACTAGCCGAAGATACCGATTTACTGGATTTACAAGGTAGAGATGGGAAGGAGTTATCGGAGATGGCTTACAAAAATAATCAGGAAAATATGTGCCGGCTGCTATATCGATACATCCATGGCCACGAAGCTGACATTACGTATTTACGTGACAAGGCAGGACGATTCCGCACATATAATGTGGACATTGCCGAGAGAGCAATTGAAGGTGGTGCATCATGTAATCACATGTACGAAGCTGACTGGAGCGAGTTGAGAGCCGATCTCAAGGTTGTAGAAGCTTTACGGTTCTGGTGGCATGACCACCTGCGTCCGCCCTCCCTCACAGATGTGGCCGTCAAAATTCGTGATATACAGCTGCTAGAACTAGCCGTCTCTTACGAAAGCGAAACGCTACGTCAACCGCAACTTGGGCTTAGGAAACTTCTAGGATACGCCTGTGCCTGGGGTGAGCTAGAGTGGGTGCGGTGGATACTTGACCAAGGCTTAGACCTTCACGCACAAGAAGTTAAGGACAACTATCGCAGTCCGCTGTATGCGGCGGCAACAGCTGGCCATATTGACGTCGTGGAATTGCTTCTGCGGCGCGGCGCCTTGATATCTGGTCCGCCATCGCCAGGTTCTCGCTCGCTGGTTACCGAGGTTCTTCTTTATGGCGAGAAGAAAGAGTCAACGGTACCGGTTCTAGAGATGCTACTAGCTGCGGGCTGTGATATCAGCCTGGTGATTGAGCAGCTAAAAGAAGGATATCCGGAGCCGTGCGGCTATTGGATCAAAGTCAAGTGTCTGCCGAATATGTGCCAACCGGGGTGTATTGAGCTGCTTGAACGCTATAATATTATGGTCTACCGGCCTAATACCGTCTATCTATTTGGTGCATGTGACGCAGCCAATGGCCCGCTGATTGAGCGCTTGCTACGAGATGGCATCATGAGCAACGAGTTTAAGGAGCCAGCAGAGAGCATAGGCTTGATACCACCGCATAACGAAAAGGACAGAGAGCATATGAAACTTGAGAATGTGATGAACAGAGTCAATGTGTCACAAGCGCAGTCTGCTGAAGCGGTCATTCGCATATGGACTATGCTGTTAGCGCATGGCGCCGACATACATAATCTGTACTGCTGTAGGTCTCTGCTCACGAATGCCATCTGGACATACGGGACGGATCCAGAGGGCTCGCTGCTGCTTGTTAACTATCTTCTTCAAAACGGTAGCAAAGTGAGGTTTGAAGACAATGTCCCCTTTTTGGCTGCTATAGGGCCTCCAACGGCTGACTTCACGCTGCACAAGATGCTACTTGACGCTGGCGCCGTCATAAATCTCGCAACAGTATGCACTAAGTCTGAGAATCGAGTCCGCAAGACGGTAGACTTCTTATTAGACTATAATTCTGCCATGGCGAAGGCCGATTCCATCGAAAATGCCTTGCTTTCCGCTTGCGCAGCCTATAATGTGCCAGTCGTTCGCACTCTGTTACGGCGCACAAGCAAATTTCCAGGCAGCCTCACTACTATGTTGATGTCAGAGCGATTGGATCCGAGAATGAAGGCCTTTCTATTGTCCCTAACAAAAAATATATAAAATTGAATCATTTACATAAGTATATTAGATTTCATTCTTGTTAATGTTTAGAATACTCTATTTTAATGCCAGAATGTCGGAAATACCCTTCAGCGCTCTCAATCTTCTTCCCTATATGTCTGATGCACCATTTCAGGAAGACACCAAATGGCATACCATTGTTGTGTGGCCACTCTTTCTTCATGAAATCTTTTATCTCACCAAATAGTTCTTCTATGGGGTTTAAATTAAGTGAATATGGAGGTAAAAAAATAATATCTACACCTACTGTAGAGCACATTGCCTCAAGCTCTCGTGGGCATTAAAACCGTACATTATCCATAATTACAATTAATTTAGATTCAGGATAACATCCACAGAAGGGCAATAATCTCCGAATAAAGTCCTCAAATACTAGGCTGTCAGTTGACCCGCGAAAGATAGTCGTCAGCATTTCACCTTCCTATATATATACTATGATGAACTGATATCATCTCTCGCGAATAAAGTCAGCAAGATATACTGGCGTCTTGCCTTTTAGGGCCTAGCCTATTATTTATTGTGCTTAGCTTGGCTCTTGCCCACATTCACCAATAAAAACATCTTAATAAAACTTAGAGTTTAGTCTAGAGAGTTTATATAGGTATAAAAGCCGTAAAAGAGGCTCTCGCTGGCTTGCTACATAGCAGGTAACCTTCTTGGTCCAAGCAATAGATTATAATACACAAGTAAGGCTGCTTAATGATACAGTGATACTGAATATCTCCTCTAGAAAGGAGTGCATTTCTTCTCGGAGCAGACAAGGACATTCCCACAGTTCATTACATAATGCATCAGGCATAAATAAAACAATGACTCTGGGTCGGCCGATGGTAGGAGGCGGAATTCCTTGCTAGCGTTGCGCAAACCTAGCGCGGTGCCGGCGGATGGTTCGTACTATGTAACCAATCTTTCTAGCGATTTTTGCAGTATTGGGCTCATATAGGAGCATAATCTCGATCTGCGAATGCTTATTCCTAGCAAGTGGCTTCGCCATATTTGAAAAAGAAGAAGGATGTGATGATTGCTACGGAAAAGTTCACAAATGGCTCTTTAACACGAACCCTCGAACGGTGGCGACGATGTGTGGCCCATGGTTCCTGGTGACCGGCGTTCGTCCAAAAACGACTTTTCTTACACTATAGTACACCTGGCACACAGTTCCGTAACTGTCACTAGCCACATGTGGCGTTGTGGGGCATATACTATTTATTTTTGAACATTGTTTACGGGCGGACACTCTATTGGTCGACTCTGTATTCGTGTATGATTAGCTTTATTTATTGGTGGTGATACAGTTGCGTATAATGCTAGTTCTGGCTGTAAGACTCGATTGTCTATGGATCGGGTAGGGGGAGTGGTGATGGCTGTGATCTTGTTCTTGGTTCTACTGCTCGTTTCGGCTATTTTTGGCTGTTTGATCTGGTACTTGCGCACAGCGCCCGCAGTCCACAACGGGCAAAAGAAGACATACGCCACACAGTGTAGAAAATATTACACACAGTACTAAGCCACAAAAAAGGTCCGTGCTCAAACCAAGTACTACATCGACTTTGATCATTTATTTCTGCCTGCACAATATTGCTGAATGTTTACTAGAAATCAACTTCAAAATAAATGTACAATAAACTACCAATAAAGGAGGTCATATAAATACGCGATATCCAAATATACCACTCTAACCTCGATACTTTTTCCCCTCTTCCATGTGCTGCGCAGCCTGCTAAACTGCACTCTCTAAAGGTCGGTAGTATGTCAACAGAACGTGTCTCTCATGCAGTTGCTGAGCTAAAGCAGGATTAATTGGTTGGTGCCCCTGGTGCTCAGTTGACACTAAACTAGTAGTCTAGTCTAGCTACCGTATACTAAATTATTAGTTCGGCGGACTCACAGTCTGGACTGCAGTTTGTACCAATAGCTCAGTTTGAAGCCCAGACTATTGGCAGCTCTGATTTCTTTATAATCAGGCTTAATTCATACAATACCTGTTGTTTTCTTGTATCTTCTTTAGACTTAGTTGGCAAGGTAAAGCTGCACACCAAACCCGCTCAGAATGGGGTTGACTGGCTGGAAGTAAGATAGGCTATCGCTGTCTTGGCAAGTACCATGACCGCCAGAGAGGAGACCCTGAGCCTGCGTTCCAGCAATGACAGAGCCACCAGAGTCTCCGTGATCAGAGCAAGTTTGTCTGTGTCAAGCCGTAGAGTTCCCTCACGGTAGTTGACGGTCATATTCTTTTGACGGATGGTGCCGCATCTGACGCCTGTAGTCTGGCCAGACCGGCAGATAGTAGCGCCAACAGCAGCTTCCTGACTACCCTTGACAGGGTAAAAGTTCCCGTTGCCGGCGTCGACATAACCATACAGAGTGGTGCCCTGAACGGTCTGGACATAGCTCCAGTCATTGCCTGGGTAGGTTGAATCGTAGAAAGTACCAACGGCCTCGCCGCTGAACGACGTGACATGAGCCCCGGCGCTTCCGCAATGTCCGGCCGATATGAAACCTCCCGTGACAGCAAAGCCGTATGACCAGATCAAGCGTGCGTCAATATTCTTGTATGCATAGCCGCCAACAACAGTCGCATGAGCAGCAGGCATGGTGTCGATGACATGCACCTCGTAGTCAGATGCATCAAGGCCGGAGTGAGAGGTGAACTTGTTGGCCGCGTCCTGGGCGTGGGCAAGGGCGTTTATGACGAGCTTGTTGGCGGCAAGATCGACACCGTACGAGGCAATGCTAGCATGGTAACCGAAAGTGGAATGTCCGTCTCTTTTGGCGTGGCCTTTGAGAATGTCGTTGAGAGCCTCTTGGGTCTTGTGCAGCTTGTCGAGGGAGTTGGCCATGAGAACGGGAGTGCCACCCGCAGAGACAACGTCCTTCTTTTGAGCTTCGTCAGTGATACCGACGAGGATCTTGTCTTCGTCGGGCCAAGCTCCAGAGAAGCTTTTACCCAGCGAGCCCTGTAGGTTCTCAATGACCTTGCTGGCATAGCTATCTCTAGCAATGCGGGCAGTGGCCTGGGTAGTGTCAAGACCGAGATCACGCTGAATGGCTTCCAGCATATCGGGGTGCGGAGACTAGGCCAGCTCGGCGGGAGTGCGCCGTAGGCGAGAGGTAGCGCCGTGGCCAAAAGGGTAATGAATCGGGTGAGTTCCATAGTGAATGGGTGAGGCTAAGAATAGAGCGGAAGATAGGTTTGACTTTGCATGAATGTATGCCGTTCTAGTTGTCTTCGGTTCATTGTGCCATGGAAATATAGGTTTTCTGCATCGTGTTTCGAACTCTTCTCCTATCTGACGACGCTGGAGTTCTAGGTATCCAGGTCTGAAGAAGACCAGTTGTAAACTAAAGTCGTACTTCTTCACGTCGCTAAGTCTAATTCGGAAGGTAGGCTATTCGGAGTGTTCTGGTAATCCCAGAACATGAAATTGATGTTCCATTTCCACTGCTGCATTGTTGCTAGTATAGTGGGGTTGATGGTTTGTAGGATGAATCGCGCTAGTATTCCCAAACAATTGCCGAGAGGTTGTCATTACGTAGTCTCAAGTAGCACTAGCCCCACTCTTTGGATATTCGCTAGAGATTGGAAATCATCTAAACTTTTGCAATGTGAGAGTTAGTGCTTAGTTAGGCTCTATATGCTTGCCTTGAGTTATACTGCTCTAAGTGCCATATATCTCAGCCTAGAGCTAATAGAGCTATAAAAAGTAAACAGAGATTAAGATATAAGACCTTAACTAGAAGTCGGAATCAAGCCTTCAAAAAGCAAGTCCATTGGAGGGTAGTGAACCTGGGGAGTAAAGCCTATAGTAAATACTACTGTTAAGAATCGTTCCATATAGGGAAACGGCGCTTCTCAATAGCCCGGAAAGGTGGGGCCGAGCAGAGCCCGCTTTCCGCGCTCTCAGTGTATTCCGCGGCATATCGTAGATCACCGCTCGCATCCCCGAATACCTAACTCCGCACCCCCTTTGAGTGCCGGCAAGGTCAAACTGATGCCACGCCCACTAGACATAACGAAGAATTTAGTTGGGAATTGAAAATGAATTCTATCTACAGCTATCTCAAAAAATACCATAAAGTGACCGGCTCGCTTGGGTGGCCGGCTCGCTTGTAAACTACGTTAGGTGCGAGGTGATAAAGTCGTGAAGTTCCGGGTGAGCAACGTGGGTGTAGACGCCAGGGGAATCGGCGCGGGCGCAAGCCACCACCCCAAGAGACGATACCAACATTCTTGTTGTTGATGACAAAGGGGCCGCCAGAGCCGCCGCTACAAGAGTCCTTGCCACCCTCGGCGTACGCGGCGCAGATCATACGGTCCGTAACGGGCGATTTGTACTCGGTTGGCAGGTACATCTTGGCGCACCTGGCGCGTTTAATGACAGGGACGTGGACCGGCTGCAGCATGGTTTCAGTGGAAGTGGACTTGCCCGCTTCCTGGTGGCCCCAGCCAGAGACGAGGCCGAGCTCGCCGGCGTTTGGGCTCCTTGGCGGCGAGGCCGCCGATAGGCTGGATGCCGTCGCCAAAGGTCAGGGGCGTGGCGATTTTGAGGATGCCGATATCGTAGTCGGGGATATCCTTATCCGTGAACTTGGGGTGAGTAAAGGACTTCTGGACCTTGTGCTCCTCGCCCTGGTTGAACGTGCTGTTGCCAACCTTGATTCTCATTCTGCTGTCGGAGACGTCCTCGAGGCAGTGGCCAGCAGTGAGGATGGTGTTCTTGTTCAGGATGGTTCCCGCCACAAAGGTACGGACCCGAGAAGAACTGAACCTGGTAGGGGATCTCCTTGATGTCGGTGTCCTTTCCACTGACAATGTTTAACTAGAGCAGTTCCGACCATGGAACTAGAAGAGAACAACGATTTTCTACCACAACGTTTTACCATCTAAGCTACCATTGTTCCCGATCTTGGCGACTGCAACCATGGATATCGTGGCCAATTGGAGCACTCGGAAGCGACAGGCGGCGTAGCCGACCCACAATCAAGTATCATTTGACAAGTTTTGGATGCCCTTATTTCTCGCCTAGTGATTGCCGGGTTCTGTGATGACATAGCAGGCGCCAAGCCCGTCAAGCCGGGTTCGTAACATTGGCCTCCGGCAGTTGAATAGTATTCAAGGTAGTAACGTTTTACTAAACCGAGCTAGACTTCTACAGCAGGTAAGAGTGGTTCGGATAACTTTGCTATGGTGGGTAAAAGTTGCAACTCTTTAATCAACTATAGACGACCCCACTACTAGGGTAGGGGTCTTCCTAAATAGGAAGGTATAGAGAACACCATCCTGTACCAGTTAGTCATCGGACTGAGAAATAAGTACTAAAGCTATCGCTTGAAGTCCTGGGCTATATGTTCTCCGGCACAAGCATCAATCATGGAGACAGCCCCGTGTAGGGTTAGCTAGTCATTCCAGATGTATTACAATCGCTTGTCGTATATTAATCACTCTCGTATTTAGCACGTGGTATTGCTTGGTAGTTGGTATATTCTGCTGGCTGGCTGGGGACGAGATTAGATCTCGCAAGAGTCCAATTAGTCTGTCCGAAAGTACTAGGTTAGTTTAATGAACATTTTAGGGTCTATAGGTATTGAAGCCTTGGATTACACCACCTAGGGTATACTCCAGATAGAGTATGTCTATCAAGCCTAATTTCTCCGGTGTTTTATCCTTGGTCCGCGGAATATAGAGCCAGGGGCTCGTCTCGTAGAGTGCAACAATAACGGTGGCACTAGATCCGTACCTATTTTCTAGAACTTCCATCTCCAGAGTGTGCGATCCAACCTTCTTGCAGACTATACCCACGTGTCTCATCGTCTCCACAAACCCAACAAGATCCTCAAAAGTATCCCCTTTAATCTTATAGGACCTAGTGTAAAAAGATAGGATAACCTCATGTAATAGGTATCACCCACCCATGTGGAGAGTTCCACTAGACCTGATCTTGGGCGAACTATCATTGTGACTCCTAATTATCCTGGTAAAGGTGCTCGATTACAGTATGGTAGGATTCAATTGGTGTCTCGCTGAGAACGGAAGGTGTTAGGGAACTATTCCGAGCAACTCAGACTCTCAGGCGTTCTCACGTTTAGAGTATAAGTACGGATCGTCTCACCGTCTGATTTCTCGTCTTATCTAGAGCTGCTCAAAGAACATCGCTGCTGACTAGACATTATTATCCAACTTTCCATTTTATCTCTACATCATGCCTTCTGCTCTTCCTGGTTTCCTTATCTTGGCTACCGCCACTGGCATGGCTATGGCTGCTCCTGGCCTTGATTCTGCCACAGCCAACTTGCTCGGGCCACATCGTATCCTCGAAGAAATCACCGCACCAGCTTCTTGGCTAACGGTTGGCAATCCTTCTCCGAGTTCCATCATGAAAATGCAGATTGGCCTCAAGCAAAAGAATATCGAGGGGCTACTCGCGAAGCTCAATGATATTTCTGACCATGAGAGCCCGAACTACGGCAAGTGGCTCTCCAAGGAGGAGGTTGAAGCATTCACTGCCCCTGATAAAGGTGTTGCTGAAAAGGTTCTCGGCTGGCTCAAGTCAGCTGGTATCCCCTTGTCGGCCATTTCTCAGCCCACCCCCGACTGGATACATTTCGATGTGTCCGTTGACAAGGTCGAGGAGCTTCTCAAGACGAAATATCATCTGTTCAAACAAGAGGCCACTGGTCGCACCATCACGCGCACAACACAGTACCAGGTGCCACAGTCGCTACTTGCCATCATTGATACTATCCAGCCTACAATCAACTTTGCTGCCAAGCGACCAGAACAACCAGTTGCTAAGGCTGCGCTTTCCGACGCTACGACTCGCCAGGGACAATACATCGACTTGGCGCAATGCTCGCATGGAGCCGATCCCGCCTGCATCCGCACATTGTACAACGTCGACTACAGAGGCACAGGGCGATCGTCTGTTGGTGCCATTTGCTATAACAACGACGATGCCTCTCACGCCGACCTCCACACCTTCCTTACCAGATACGATACCAGCATACCAAGCTCTACAGACTACCGCGATGTCAATATCGACAGCTCTGTTAACCCTAGTATCAACAACGGTGAACCTATTCTTGACATCGAGATGCAGGTGTCATTGGGCTACCCAAACCAGGCTTCCCTCATTCATGCTACTAGTACGGGTACCTATGACGATATTCTTGGTGTAACCAATTATCTCAACACTAATGATGGTGCTCCCCATGTCGTTAGCGCCTCGTACGATTCCGCAGAGCCATCCACCGGAAATCAATACACCACGCGTATCTGCAATGAGTTTGCTAAAGCCACTTCTCGTGGTATCACAGTGCTTGTCTCCTCCGGTGACTTTGGCGTCGCCGGCATCGGTGGCAGCTGCGGAACAAAGTTTGCGCCTACATTCCCTAGTGGTTGCCCGTACATCACAACTGTTGGAGCTACTACTCTATCCTCTAATGGACAGACTGAGACTGCCGCCAAATTCAACTTTATAAAAAACGGATACAGTGCCGGTGGCTTTTCGAGCATCTTCAGCGCCCCTGACTGGCAAGCCAATGACACCGCAACATACATTCAGAACTTTGCCCCGGCTTCTTATAACGGCAAGTACAACAAAGCTGGCCGTGGATTCCCAGACATTGCTCTGCTTGGCACCAATATCAAGACGGTTTACAAGGGCGACAACTATTTATCAGAAGGCACTTCTGCCTCCGCTCCAATGTTGGCTGGCCTCCTCAGTCAAATTAATGACGACCGCCTCGCCAACGGAAAGAGTCTTCTTGGCTTCATCAACAAGCGTCTTTACACCGACAATGCTGTTCGTGCTGCTTTGAGGGATGTGACTACCGGCAACAACCCTGGTTGTGGTACCAACGGCTTCAGCGCCTCCACAGGCTGGGATCCCGTCACGGGCCTGGGCAGCATTAACTTTGCTGCTTTGCGCAAGGCTCTCTCCAACTAAATACAGTTATGAATGTTAAGATAGACTATCAACTGTAAGAAATATCTTTCGGCTTTCTTTCATTTTAAGATACAATACATTAGTCGTCACTTCCCCATTTCTCATCTCTGAAGGAATCGACAAAAGTAACGATACCTATCATGATACCCGTGTTACCCCGGTAGTCAATGGGTACGTCCTTATTGTCTTCCCTGGCTTTCCACAGCTTTTATATGTAGCTTAAAAAAATGAAGGTTGTTACTAACACTTTTGTAACGAAGTGGCTTAGTATCCAACCATCAAGGCATTGCTGGAGACAAGTCGGCAGCTGCGTGAGGAGACCACGTTGCTGATCAATAAGTATTTCAAGACTTGCAAGGTCGGCGCACCCTTTATTCTCGACATCATGTATGTCAAAGACGTCGGAGTGTTTCCTACTTGGATAAGCTTCCCCTACAAGACAAAGCGCATCCTGTGCCTCGCCATCAACGTGCACATTATACGCCCCGATCGAAGGACTGTTACTGATGAGTGGATTAGTGCGGCTCGCTTCCCTATGGTCCTTGATAAATATGGAGTCTATCGACGGCCATCTCCTTCGCCTTTTTGGAACTTCTATGCCGTCGTCGCTCTCTATCCTCTGAACCGCCTCTCGATAAAGGCCACCACCAACGAAACTCACAAAACGAACCTTAAAAAGGGCAGCAGCAGCAGTAGTAGCAGCAGTTTGAATCATCCGACCACTGTCATGGATGCCCACCTTATCCCCATGGAAGCAACGCCATACGTGGTTGACACGCTAAGTGTTCATATCAAGCCACACGGGCACAAGGCGAACGGTACCGCTATTACCACAGCCGTAGAGGACAACTCTATGCTGGGTCCCTTTTACAAGGAAGGATATATTCAATTTGGTCGTGAAGTTTTCGAAGATTATGATGATTACTCTGAATCTTGGCAAGATTACGAGATGCAACAGGCGGAACGAGCCGCAGGACTGCTTGCAAGCGGGCAGTTGGGAGCCCTTTTCGGGGAAGCCATTCGCGACCAGGTCGACTTCCCACGCCATGAGTACTTTATTTATCTGAGCGTGCTGGCGAACAGCGTAGGCGAGATAACTGTTCCTACATCAGACGGCCGCGACTTTTGCCTCAAATCCATGCACACCGCAAGCTGGGTTTCCACGCGCGAGAGCGGCGGCAACGAATGGGAGACGACGAATATCTCCAAAGCCATAGCGGAAGAAGAAGCCTTGGATGATCCAGCCCAAAGCTACATTGATATGCTGAAAATAGCCAAGCGGAGGAGAGCCTTGGGCTGGCAAGCACAAAGCCTACAGGCCTAAAATATGGACAGTGGTATAGGAGTGGGAAAAAAACGAAAAAGAGAAGAAGGCTATAAGTCATATGACAAGTTCAAGCGCTTACAATTTCAAACACTATCATTCAAGTTTCTACAAGTCATGACATTTGGCGACCAAATTACCAGTCCATTCACAAGAGGAATAGTTGCAGCGATACAAATTACTACTGGCATCAATACTGTGTCAGACTCATCATTTGGCAAATAACATCCATAATCAACCTTTAAATCCTATATCACTCCACATTTCAAGCCCATCCAAAAACAAAAAGTAATCCAGCCATGCATTACAGCGTGTAAATAAAGTCTGGGCGTTCATCACCCAAAGCATCAATCTCCTCTTGCGTCTTGCCCTCAACGAGATAGTCCCGCTCACCCGCCAGGCGTCTCTTGTTCTCCCTGTTCAAGAAGATGGAGTAGAAGACGCTACCACCAAGCATACAGACAATGAGGTATCCAATGACAACACCGTGGCCCTCAAAGAAGCGAGGCTTGTGGAAGTAGACGTTGGAAGAAACCACGCCGTTGAGGTTACCCCAGCCAATGACAAAGCCGAGCGCGAATCCACGCTTATACACGCCTTCCACGTTATTCGCAACCCATGCAATCGTGAGTGACACACTAGGGTAGATACCCAGCGCGCCGAGGAAAGTACCTGCGTACTGAACATAGCCATTTGTCGAGCCAGCCAACATGGCGAAGCCCGCCGCGCCTATGACCGCGCAGACCATGTTGAACGTGCCACGGTGCTTGATGCGGTCAGACCAGAAACCGACAATAACGGTCGCAATGGCGCCAAGCGCATACGGCGGCACACTGAGCAGTTGGTTACGCACAATGTCCTTGGGATCCGTGAGAGACATGTTCTGGATGATGGTCGGCAGGAACAAGCTGAAGGAGTACAGAGGCATCAAAGGCCCCATGTAGATGACCATGCCAGCGTACGTCTTCCAGTCCTTGAGCGCGGCCATGAGAGCGCCCTTCTTAAAGGACTCATTCTTGGCAGACGACTGCTGGTCCCTGGACAGGCGGTACAGCACGCGCTGGCGGTCCTCCTCAGACAAGAACTTGGCCTCGTCGGGGAAGTCGTACACCATCCAGAACGAAAGAATGGCAACCAGCACTGTCGCAAGACCCTCAATGATGAAGATCCAGCGCCAACCCTCCAGACCAGCAATGCCCTTCATGTTCTCAATGGCAGCGGCCAAAAGACCACCAAAGGAGCCGGAAAGGGCCGCCGCAGAGAAGAAAATCGCAGCGCGCACGCCAAATTCGTCACGGCGGTACCAGCACGACAGGAAGTAGTTGATGCCAGGGAACAAGCCGGATTCCGTCATACCGAGAAAGAATCGAGCGGCCATGAGACCGGACCAGTTCTGCACGAAACCCATGCCTACCATGGTGCAGCCCCAGAAGAACCTATATCAGCGCATGTCAGCATTTCTTTTTGGTTCTTTTTATATAATTTTTATAAACAAGCATACGTACATGATGGTGGGGATAAAGATCGAGGGTCGCAGGCGCTTGAGCAGAAAGTTGGAGACGGATTCGAAAAAGGCGTACGCCACAAAGAAGATGGTGAGCGTCGCATTGTACTTGCTCGGGTCGTTGGGGGGCAAGCCCAAGCTTGCTTCGAGACCGGCAATCTTTGCATTGCCAATGTTGGTACGGTCGAGGAAGCACACAAGATACAGGAGTGTGAGCTATAAACAATCCAGTCAGTGGCTTTTCTGGGCGCACCGGCAGTGGCGGCGGCAAGTCGGGGCCAGAGAACAACATACCCACGGCATAAGCTTCATATCAAGCTTCCATAGCAATTTGCGCTCCTATATAATAAAAACATACTGATTAGCGCTCTCCTTCTTGTAGCCACGTTTTCCATTGTCGAGTGGTGCGACTCACATTCTTTGCGCGCTCCTCGTCCGAGAGGCCGGCATCGGGGTCGACCAGAGCGTCCACCTCAGAGTTGGAGGAGTGGTCGGCATTAACGACCTTTTCCACGTCACTCATGATGCCGTTTTAGGGGAGATTTTTGGTCAGGTTTATGAAACGAAACAAATTCCCGGATTGAGAGGGAGTTGCAGGTTGTTTGCTTCGGGTGGCTCCGGTGACGTCGGCAAGCTGCGTGGGATGGATGTATGTATCCTGCGCAGGCCTTGTGCTTGCTTGCTTGCTTGCTTGCTTGCTCGCGGTGACAGCAAGATGAAAAAGACAATGACGCGCTGGAGATCAAGGTCGAAAGGTGAACAGTGCGGGGGGATAGGATACGGCCGCGATTATGTAGAAACGACTCGAGGAGGAGGAGCTTGTTAAGTGCGACGCGCGCGGCTTGGGGCTAATAGTTACACTTTTCTTGGCCCTTTTCCCGAGCCCTGGTTCTGTTTTGCTGGGTTCGGCAATAAAGTCCAGGCGGGGGGCAGAACTTGGGAAAGAATTGGGGCCATGCGCACTCCAACCCCGTCATTGGAGTAATAGCGCGGCGTCCCATAGGGCAATTGTGCTTAAGCGTCAGCCGTAGCGTCCCATGCTCTCCATAATCCCCTCTAGATCAAGGTGGGGAGACGGGCCTCTTGCCAAGAGCCTCCTTCGCTAGCGCGAGCTGGGGTAAGCCAGCAGCAGGCAAGCAGAACAGGAAGAGGCACACCGTGAGCTTTAATGCAAAATGGGCAACGGGCTTGGCCCTCCGCACGCTACCGTCCAATGTGTATCTTGCGCCATCGCGATGTAATGCTGCTTATGCTCGCCAGACTCTGCATTAGTGGTTCTAGCCCTGATGCCAAGATATGATGAGTCTGGGGAAAGTGTAAATCATTCTCTTGTCTCCCCAACGGAGGCGTTTTTTTGCTAGCTTTTCTGGTTGGTGGGGTGGGCGAGCAAAAGATTCGTAGGGAGGGGCGACGGCATCTGGGGACCTCGCTGGTGTCTCGTCCGCTCTTTTTCCTTTTCTGACCCTGTCATGGCGTTCCGTCGGCTACAATGAGCAGCGCTGCTTCGTCTTGGTGCGCGCGGCTGCAACTCCGCCCGTCCCCCAGCTTTGTGGATGTCAGTCGGGCAATTTTTAGCCTCTGCATGCTTCTTGTGGCGCCCGCCAATATGCACAGTCACTTAGAAACGGTATGGTTATACGTTTATTGCGGGCTCCTCTGGACGGTAGGAGAGGACATGCAACCCGCACCGCTCACCGCATCAGACCTGTTCTGTGTGGATATCTCGCTGTTCTTTTCGTTGTTGGTGTGACATTCAGCATGCAGGCTGGCAGGTAACACAGCCCGTCGTGGCGTTTTGTTCATTCCTGGAGACTGGCGCTATACGCAATAGTTAATCAATCAAATGTCTGACAATGTTGGCGCACGGCGTACACGGCTTGGGCGCCGTGCCAAATCGCTGCAGCAGATGGGCAGATAGAGGGGCCGCTTCAATGACCCTTGCTGTCTGTCGTGGGGCATGCAGCCAATGATTCTTTGCATTCATCCGGCAAGCATCCACCACTCGAGTAGTCCTAATCGTGTGCTGCAATGATGATGAGGTGTGTGAAGCTGCAGACTGTATGTTCCACGTTGTGGTCAAGTAATTCTCTGCCAGCTGCCAATTGATGACGGCCCGGCCACCTGGCACACCTGGCGGTTGTAAGAGTACTACCACCCCGTCGGACCCCATAGGTTGGGTGATGGGCGATCATTGCGAAACGCATGCCCAGCCAAAGAAGGCAAATTAAATGGCGCAAATATTTTCTATAAATTAAACCATGCTACATAAATGCATCTATCCGCGCCGCCCAACGCTATCCCTCCCGCACGGGTAGCTGCATCATCAAACGTGCCTCACGTGTCCATATCTCCCAGCACTCCATGCACGTCATGGTTGCTCGAAGCTGCAGATGCAAATGCAAAAGGAATGATTTGAAATTGATAGTTTGAATATTGTTAATTTAGCCTCTTTTTTCGTACTTGGACATGACAGCTCATGTCTGTGCAGGGTTCAGCACAGGTTGCAGACGACAACTTAGACTGGAGAGAACATGCAGAGGTCCGATGTAGGAGATCAAACATCAACCAGAAAGCAATGTCCTCACGAAACTCGGCGTGCTCACCCATACAGATGATGCCGACCTTCGGAATATGGTCTGCGCTGCTAGGTGAGTGTGGTACTAACTTCTAGCAAGACGTATACTGAGATGGTGTACTGTCCATCTTTCCGAGCCGACCCGGCAATACTTCGTCTCACCCTCCAAAGTACAAGACACGTGGGTAAGTGGACTTTTAACACAGGGTCTTGAGAGTTCTAGGTATGACAATAAAAGTGATTATTGCATCTATATGGATATATATGTTTTGCATGCATGCGGTCTACCACTTCGCCAATACGCCGCCCCCTTTGTTATAAACTCTTTTTTTAGGCCAAGCCGACTGACTTGTAGAAAGCTTCGTTGTTAGGCTTGCGTCCGAGATAAGCCTCCAGGATGCTCATCTCGTCAAGACTACCGCCCTTTTCAAGAATCATTTGACGGTATCTGCGGCCCTCGGCCGGGTTCATAGGGTTGCCAGCAAAGTTGGAGGCAAACATGTCTGCTGAGAAGACAAGCGACCACATGTAGCCGTAGTATCCCGCATCGTAGCCGCCGTAGTAGTGGTTAACAGAGGTCCATCTGCCACCCCAGTCCCTATATCTTTGTTAGTCATGTCATGGCCAAGTGTTGTAAAGATGGACTACTTACATGCCGAAGCCAGTATCCTCGGGACCCTTGATTCGACTAATCTCCGCGCGTAGCTCGTTCCATTTTCTGGTAAAGTTCATTGACTTGAGCTCTTCGCTGCTCTTAGGGGCGTGTACTGCCATATCAAAGACACCGATGAGGCTCTGTCGCGAATTGTAGATGGCAGAGTTGACGTGACGGGTACCGATAAGCTTCTCAACCAGACCCTTGGGAATTTTCTCTCCAGTCTCCCAGTGGCCAGAGAGTCTCTCAAGAACAGTAGCATCCCAGCACCAGTTCTCAAGCATTTGCGAAGGGGCTTCGACAAAGTCTCTGACAGTTTCGGTGCCGTGGGTGCGAGCATTCTTGGTCTTGGAGACAAGGTCGTGAATACCGTGACCGAGTTCGTGGAAGAAGGTCACAAGCTCGGCATGCTTGAGCAGGGCCGGCTTGCCGGCACTTGGTCGAGAGAAGTTGCAGACCAACGCGGTGCAGGGAATGTTGCGCGAGCCATCGGGAGCGTTCGAGCCACTCTCGAGGTTGAAGCTGGCGTAGTGGCCGTACTTATTGGGTCTGGGGTGTAGGTCGAGATAGAAGTAGCCAAGGAACGCGCCACCAGAGGCCTCAGAATCCCAAACACTGTACATGAAAACCTCCTCGTTCCAGACGACGTCTTCAGCCTTGCCTGTAGGGCTCAGCCTAGCCTGATCTTCCTCCTCAAGTTTGATAAACTTCATGCCGAACAGCTCCTCGTAGACACCAAGGATGCCGTTAAAGGTGGGCAAGATGGGAAAGTATTCCGAGATTGCCGTCTCGTCGATGCTGTATTCCTTCTCAAGGAGGATGCGCGAGTAGTACTGTGTATCCCAAGCGTAAAAGTCGGTATAGGGAATACCGCGAGCTTCGCAGTCTTCCTTCTTGATCTTCGCCAGGATTTCAATCTCCTTTTCGATTCCCACGGCGATTCTTGTGCGAAGGTCGTTGAGGAATGCCCAGACCGTCTCCGAGTTTTTGGCCATCTTTACAGACAGCCTGGAGTCGGCGTGGTTCTTGTAGCCGAGAAGTCTACCAGACTCGTCGCGCAAAAGAAAGAGTTCACTGACGGTGGGAGCAGCAACGTTAAGCTGCAGAGATTAGCCACTTTTATTTTCCCGACATGATCAAATCAGAACGTACCTTGCTATTTTCGGCCATGAAGTAATCTCTACGGAGCTCTTCGTCATGGGCATTCTTAAGAATGGGGTTGAGGTGGGTATACTTGAAGTTGAGGCCTACCTTGCCCTCATTTTCACCAGTACCCTTTTCCAAAGTGTTAGGATCGATGTCATCCTTGGAGACGCCGGCAAGGCGCTCGGGAGCAACCCAGAAAATACCAGTCTCGCTGTTGAAGAACTGGTTGGCATCGACGGTAAGCTGGTTCAATCTCTTAGAAACCTCCATGAAGCGCTCGCGCTCAGCGCCCTTGAGCAAAAGTCCCTGGTTTACCAGATTGGCGCGTTCGGTTTCCAAGGCCTGAAGATCTTCAGCATCAAGGTTCTGTGCCTCGCGAGTTCTGTAGGCAGCATCCACAAGCTTGAAGATGTCTTCACGCATCATACTGTCCACTGAGTAGTCACCAACAGCGGCAGTAGACTTGGTTGAAGCCTCACGCAGAGCAGCATCGGCAGACACATACTGGTAGAGGTCAATGGCATACTTGTACTTGGCAGCTTCATTCTCAAATGCAAGAATGGGCGTCATGACATTGGCAAAGGTGGCAGTCTCCTCGGTCACCTCGGCGACAATCTTGTCCAGCACAGCCTTGTGTCCAGAGATGAACTCTTCGGTCTTGCTAGCAATGGTCTCCGGCGTGTCGATGTAGACGGGCAGCTTGCGCGGCGGGTTCTTGTAGTCGGGGGCAGCCATAGTGGTGGGAGTTGTTGCTGTTACAGCAGAGCGGCGTTGAATGGCGAGTGAAGCAGGTATGGGAAGCTGAAAGCTACGTCTCAGATGGTTTCCCAGGGACAAGAGACGGTGGGGAGCGCGTAGAGAAGCCAGTTTGACGGAGAGAAGGAGGAAGAGGAGGGGAAGAACAAAGAGAAGCAGCAGCGGGCGAATTTTAGAGCACGCTCGCTGAGGGGTTGGGGTAGCGGAGGCCAGCGTGGAGGGGCAGAACACCAGGTGACAATAGAGGCTATTACGTATTGTGCTCGGCAGAAATCAGCGAGTGCAACGGGATGGAGATTGGGGGGATGCGGGATGCGGGATGGCGGATGACTTGACGGCGGCTACTGTAGGCAAGCTGTAACTTAGCACTAGAAGCTGTCGGTAGTCGATACGTGGAAGCTTTTCTGCCCTTATTTTCCCCTGGGCGGCGCTGTGCAAGTGCCCCGCGCTGCCAGTGTCCAGGGCCCAGCCACAGTGGGCGACTCAGTGGTTTACAGCAGGCTTGTAGCGGTTGTTGCTGGCAGCTTCCCGTTTGGGAAGGCGGGGGAATTTGGGGGACAATGATCTTTTGCGCAGCGCATCTTTCAGGGTCTCCACCTACTAGAACCCCGCGGAAGATGGCCTACAAAGTAACTAGAGGTCACGCCAGAGATGGTACAGTACGACGCTAGACTAGACGATGAACCAACTAGCAGTTCCAGAAGGGCGGTCTGTTTCGCATCCCAAAAAAGAGTGTTTGCCAATCCAATGTGGGATCCTACGCAGCACGGATATGAACGGATGACGACCGAACGGAAAGCCTCATTCCTGGGCATCAGGCGATGTGCTAGTTTTCCTTTACATAATGGGGCTTCCACGGTGTTCCATAGAGGGCCGACGGAGGCCGTCAACATGGACAAGAATAAAAAAACAGTAAAGCCCTGCAAGCGACATGCATCTCAATTTCAATGGTCGCCAACGTACATGCTACACTGCACCGGGCCGTGTCTCAATTGCACAGAGTCTACGAGGCATCGCACAGTGTCAAGACGCAGAAGACGTGGTATTCTATTCACAAATCTAGCCTGCTCTGCTCGCCATCTTCCAGCAAGCGTTATATATGCCATCTCGCCGTCTGACAAGTCGTAATAATAACAATAGGAAGCCCTGCTACTCAAACACATGGCCAGGAACCTCCCGACGCTGAATAATAAAAGAACAATACAGCAAAATGACCTGACAGGCCACTCACTGCCTTAAAAAAAACGAGCCCATATGTGTCCAACAAGTAAAAACAAACGCAACGCCGTTTCCATTCACATCATGCATATTCGGTGACAATCAGTGCCGTGTATCGTGTCGGCGCGCAATCTTAGTTGGCAAGGATGGTTCGGACAAGGTCTGCAGACAAGTCGTTAGATGTGCGCCAGATTGAAGAGGGCAGTATATACTCACCAGTGTAGTTGACCTGGCCAGAGCTGGTATCAACAGCCTTGAGGAGCTCGTCAACCTCCTCGTCAGACATCTTCTCGCCCAGGTTGGTGAGGATGTACTTGAGCTGACCAACGCCAATGAAGCCTGTCATGTCCTTGTCAAAGACCTGGAAACCACGGCAGTACTCCTCGGGCTCGCCGGCATCACGGAAGCCGCCAGGGCGGTTGAGAATGCGCTGGAAGCTCTCAAAGTCGACTAAGAATATGCGAATTAGCGCTGCAAAACACGTAAAACAGGAACATTTTTGGGTGCATCTGGTCCGTGTGCGTTGCGCGTCAAAGGGAAACCCTTCCATCCACGACATCTTCCATCGCAACGCATCAAACACTCCATCCCAAAGCACTCCATCAAATTTTATACGTACATTCGCTTCCAACACCCTTCTGAAGGTCCTGAATCTCGGAGAGGGTAGGGTTCTGGCCGCAGGCGCGGAGAAGGTCGCCGAGAGTGTCGGCAGTGCAGCGACCGTTGCCGCGCTTGTCGAAGAGGGCGAAAGCCTCCTTGTAGTTGGTAGAAGCCTGAGCGTCAATGTTAGAAGCCATTGTGAGCGGTATATGCGTCCTCTTGGGCAAGAAAGCGGTCGGGTTGAAAGATGCAGGTGGTTTTTATTTTTATTTTTTTGTTGATGCTGACGATGCGCCATCCAAAAGGAACACGGCGTGCTATGGGAGCACGGGCAGCCCATTTGGACGAATCACGGCGCTGCGCCCGCACTCGCGGGGCTGCACCGCTTTGTTTACTGTCGGTGCCAGGGCAACTCACCATTGTGCAAGCAGCAAAGGGGTGTAGCGCTGTAAGGGAGAGCGAGCCAAAAATAGCACGCGCCGAGTTATAGTTTTTCGAAAAGGACCGGCTCGAAGATAGTGCAAGAATAGGTTTCCGACAAAAAGGTCGTGATAGTTCTTAGAAGGGTATTTTGCAAGATGCAGAGTTTGGGGACGACAGAAAAGGACGGTGAGGAAGGGAGAATGGGCAGACCAGGGTATATCAGGACCAATCTCCTCTCTCCCCTTTGGCGGGCCTCTCTCTCTGTAAAAGAAAATACGTCACGGGCAAACGCTGGCAAGGGTCGCCCCGATTCTTTTGCATGAAATTACACATTTACGTTTTACTTTGCTGGTACTGGTACCGTGCTGGCTGGGCCTGGGTGGTTTAGCCTGCTGCACTAACGCTTGCCTTGCCTGCCTACAGGGGGTTACAGTACGACGCTACGCGCTGTAAAATCAACTAGCAATAGCGGGTGCTGAAGCTGCCCCCCTGGCGAGCTGGCGCGGGCGCGGCGGGCCAAAGGGCGGGTAGTGGTTTCATTGGCCCGGCAACGCGGCGAGGGGCAGTGCGGCGGCTGGCGCGAAGTGTCTTGACAGTGTTTGAAGTTGAGCAGGATGAAGCGAAACCAATGTCTTTGCGTGCATGCCAAGCATGAGGAAGGGCGCACATATTGCTTCGTATTAATCTGTATGACAGTGAAATAGTGAGAGAGTAAAAACCTGGCGGGCGTGTGTAAGAGGCAGCACGTAGAGTGCATAACACGATGTGGTTATTATTTAGCGACGAGTGATGTATGAACTATCAATTGAGAGATATTTGAAGCGTTTTTTTTTCTCTTTAATATCTAATTCTAACAACTGCTAAATTAAATGTCAAGTTCGAGAAATAAGGCGAGCAGAAGGGAGATGATGGGAAATGTACACTGAAATCGGCTCGTCGGTTGATATCGTGGAAGGGTACGGATGGGAGCGGACGCGTATTTTATCCAGGCTCACAACCACCACATCGCGTTAAATTTACCTCTGAAATATAAAAAATGGTATTATAGGACATAGATTACCCTAAATTTGAATTTAATACTAATAAGAAGCAAGTTTGTGGCAATTGGAGCTTTCTATTTACCGTCTAGGGTAGTCTGTCCAGTTACAATAGCGGATATGGCAAACAGAAGGATAGCTACATCCAACACAACAAACTTGCACTTGTACAATCCAAAAAAAGCAAACGAACAGAAAACAACACATCGATATCCAATTGTTGCCCAAAGAGTTACTAAGCGACTCAATCCGGCAGTCTACAGCACCTACAGTGACACCTCTTCGTACAACACAGGCTAACTTACCACACCACAGACAGCACATCTGACGTGCTCCAGCCGACAGCACCCCGCGATAAAGCCGCGGCAACCGACGTCACTCCTCCAACATCCAACATCCCTCCCAACATCAAACAATCATATCATCACAACCACTCACCCATCTTCTACCTCACTTCACCTGACCCCTCCACATCCGCAACAATGGCCACCCAAGCCGCCGCATCGCAATTCTTCACTGCGACCCGCTACGCCGTCATCGGCGCATCCTCCAACACCAAAGGCTTCGGCAACAAGAGTACGCCTCCACCTCATCCCTACTCCTCCAATCCCCAATACCCTAACTAAATATCTACACAGTCTTCCAATGGTACCTTGACCACGGCCTCGACGTCACCCCCGTGCACTACAAAGACGCCTCCGTCACCGTCGCCGGCAAAGAATACCCCGCCATCAACGACATTTCGGCCCTCCAGGACCCCAAGAACACATCGCTCTCCATCGTCGTCAACCCCCTCGCGACCCTCGAAGTCCTCGCCAAGGCTAAGGATCTTGGTATCCAGCACATCTGGCTCCAGCCAGGAACCTACGACGACGCGGTCCTCAAGGCTGCGACAGAAGGCAACCCGTTCAAGTCGGTCGTATATGGCGCCGGTGGCCGTGGCCACGATGGCTGGTGCGTTTTGGTAGATGGGCCGGAAGCCTTGAAGTTGGCAGGAAAGCTGTAGTCTAGCTAAGCAAAATAAATAAAAACGAAATACATGCCATTCTACAATTACTCACGTTTTACAAGGATGAATGTGGCTGTTCAAACTCGCCCCAAGGCGATTGCTTTTTTAGCTGCTAGCTTAATTCAATATGCTATAATGACCCGTTGTTGAATGCCCAAAAAACCCCAAAAATTCAATACGCAAAACAAAGACAAAAGCGCCGTTTCCAAATGTACAGTACATGCATCATGCTTGGTTGTAAAAAAAAAAAAGGAGAAGAAAAAGCAGCAGGTTGATCAATCGACCACAAGGCCCTCGAGCGCTTGCATGGCTCGGCTGCCTTCGGTTTCAAACCGGCTCACCATCAACTCGCACTCCATCTTGAGGCGCTCCTCTGCCTCGGCCGCGTTGAAGTAGATCCATTGCTCCACCGTCATCGCCTTTTCCTCGCCCGATAGCTCCTTGCCTTGCTGCAAGAACTTGTCAAAACCGCCATTCTCCTTGCCATCCTTGGAGAAGATGACATCCAGATCAGCAGCGGTCCATGGCGCAGTTGTCTTGAGACCGGCAATAATGTTGCGCTTGGATGGCGACATGGCGTTGCGTGTGGGTGTGACAACAGCCAGAGCAGGACGCTTGGCTGCAGTTGATGGTGGCTGGTTCTCGGCATCTGATGACTGTGGCGACTGCGATGGTGAGAGCGCTGCCTGTTGAGCAGATGGTGCAGGAGATACAAAGCTTGCAGTCTGTTGTGTGGGTGTCGTAGGCTCCGCGACAGAGCGCATGGGAGAAGAAGGGTCTTCTGCAACCTGAAAATCGTCCGAAAAGGCTGCTTCGAATTCTGAAGTGGTAGGATCGTTGTTCATCAGCTGTCTGGGGGCTGGCGAAGACGAGTCAAAGTTCATCATCCTGGGCTTCTTAAGCACAGGCGCCTTGGGTCGAGGCAGCTCAGCAATAACGTCTGCCTCTTCATCCTCTTCGTCGTCCTGCTCCGTCTCTGGCTCCGTCTCTTGCTCAGTATCTTGGACCGACTCTGCTTCAGTTTCGTGCTCGGTTTCATGCTCAGACTCTGCAGCAACTGAAGGAGCCACATCATCCTCTTGTTCCGTCTCGGGCTCGTCGCAAGTCACCATGGCTTCGGAATCTTGCGATATAATCGAGGCCGTTCGCGTGCGAGAACGTCCTCTAGACGCACTGCTAGGACGTACAGGAGAGCTTTGCACAATGGTATCGTTTTCATCCTCGCTCTCGAGAACATCTTCGACTGCTGACGACATAGGGTCCTCCAGCTCCTCTTCTGGTGAGGGTGGTGAGGGTGCCTTTGGTCTGCGAGCTTGAGTAGCGGATGCTTTGCGGGGGGCTGACACCTTGCGAGGTACAGAAGCCGAAGCCTTTCGAGTGGCAGAGGCTTTGCGTGTAGGAGCAGCAGCAGCAACAGTGCGGTTCTTCTTGGCAATCTTGAGCTCTTGTGTGTGCTCGGCGTCGTCTTCCATCTGTCGTTGGAGTGCCTCCAGCTCATCTTCAATATCAGAGCTTTCGGCAACAGCAGGCTCTGGATCAAACATGGCATAATCGGCAGACTTCTTGGCCTTGGTCTTGGGCAGCGCCTTGACAACAGGGACAGGTGAAGGTGCCATCTCATCCTCGGACAACTGTCTCTCCAAGTCAGCTTCGAGCTGTCTTTCAATCTCATCATCATCAGGCAGGTCTTCGGACGTTGCTCGAAGGGAAGCCATGGCCTTGACTGAAGCAGTAGATGCCTTTCTTGACTTGGAGGAGGCACGGCTCGACTTGGGGGCTGGTGTTTTTGACGGAGGAGCCTCGGCCATTTCATCATCCATGGCGGCCATAGAGGCGTTTACAGTTGCGTTGGAAGCCTTGCGTGTGGCTCGCTTCTTGGTGGCGGGCACGGAAGCGGTGCTCATGATGGAGTCTTCTACGGCGGCGCTGCCTCTCTTTCGGCCTCTGGTTGACTTTGCGGGGACTGGTGCCGGGGCAGGCGAAGGAGAAGGTGAAGGGGCAGGTGGCGCTTCAATAATGACCACGTCATCGCCCTCTTCCTCTTGCTTGACCTCATCCTCCTTCTTGGCCTTCTTTGGTCTTCGTGGTTTTGCAGCAGCCTTCTTTGCACGCGGCTTCTTAGTGCCACCCTGTGTCATTGTGGAAGCAGTTGTCATAACGCTGTCTTCTGGGCCGGCGGTTTCGTCGGCAACGGCTGTTGTGTCTGCTACACTAATAGTCGACTGTGTAGATATACGGGACGTCTTGGAGACGCGAGATCCCTTGCCGCGGGCAGTCTTCTTGGCAGGTGTCTTGGCCAAACCTCCCAGAGCAAAGAAGGCACAGTTTGGTGATCGTTTATAGTGTTCCTTGCTGCAACTCTGTTAGCACACATACCCGCTAGATAACCATTGCTTCCTTACTAGGGCTCGTCGCTTGGCTCCCATCCATCGAGAGCCAGGCTGCAGTATGTGCAGGTAGCCATATCGTCTGAGTCGGCAGTGGGTGTGTATTTCCATCCTGCTTCCACAAGCTATAAAAAGACGCGGTTGTCAGCACAACAATATTGTAAATACCCGCTCGGCACCTACCTTTTCTGTTTTGCAAACCCAGCCCTTCTTTCCCTCGTGAGGCCATCTGTCGCCAAAGGTAGCAAGACGAGCCTCGGACATGCGCGTCTCCATAGGATCGACGGCGGCAAACTCGTCATAGCCAACCTCTATAGCAGCAAGCACAGCCCAGCCGCAGTGCGAGGCGTGTGTCAAGTGCTCACGGAGGGGGTCGTCGCCTGCCTCCCAGCCGTCGAGGCTCTTATCGCAGAGGAAGCATTGCACGTTATCGGGGTTATCGATGTTTGGGTTGAAGTAGAAACCAGCTTTGGCGAGCTAAAAGAAGATGTGGCCTGTTAGCAGACGGCTACGAGTTTGAAGCAAGCTATAAAGGACGCGTACGCTGGCTGGTGTGATTTGTTTGTGTGGCCAGTTGAGGACCTTGGCTCGGCCGTTGGCGGTTGAGCCGCGTTTCTTCGTTGTTCGTTTGAAGGAAGCTAGTCGGCCCTCATATGTGAAGAGGGCGTCCAAGTCTATTGTCGCCATTTTGGCAGTATTATTGTGCGGGTTGTGTTGTGATAATGGTTCGGTGTTGTGGTCGTCGGAGGAAGAGCGCGGCGCCGTGGACGCGACAGGTCCTGGGAGGGGTGAATGAGCGCTTGAGCGAAGCTAGCGAAACAAGGCGCAGTTCATAGCAAGAGGCGGGAATCGAAGAAAACCTGGGAGAAAGCGAAACAAAGATGGTGACTTGTGGCAGCGGTCTAGTAGTGGTGAGAAATCATTTACAGGTATCAAAGGCGGATCTGAGAGGCGCCGTTGGGGTACCGCGTTTGTTTACTTTCGCCAGCTGTCGGAAGTGGGGCCGCCCAAACAACACAGACAAAGGGCGGCCATTGCACGAGGCCCTGTAAGGATTTTTTTAGTGTGCCTGGGGTAGGCGGCGGATGCTGTAAATTGTTAGTTCTGGCGTACTTCCAGGGATTGTTTAAGTGGATTTTTCTGGTCCAAGGCTTGTTCCATTTTTGTAGCGCTTTGAACGGAGATGCAGGCTGCAGTTGCTGGTGTTTTGCTCCGACAATGGGCTGTTGGTGCCGCGCAACATGTAGATGCAGATACATAGGGCCCAAATATGGCGAATAAATATTATAAATATTATATTTAGAATTCGAAGCCATAGTAATATTTGAAATACGAAATCCTCATCCTTTACAGACTCTGTTATCCTCACGGTCGTGGCTACATTGCAGTGTACTCTCCCACAGCGTTCACCACCAACAGTCAGTTGGCCGCTGCTCGACCCGCCATTGGCTCGATTTGGCTGAGCCAGATTTCAACGTCGACAGCTCGCAGTCTTCCACCTTTGCCTATTTCACCATCGCCTCGCATCCTCCCAAGTCCACCGGCAATACGCCCTGCCACGCTGCGCAATAATTCCATCTGTCGAATTAATCTACTCTCTACCGCGTCGCTCAATTGACTGACCACGCCTCGACCGCCGCTCTCTCCCTCCTTCCCACAGCGCAAGCATGACCTCACGGCCCCGACGTTCGGCTGCTACAAAGGCCAGCGAGAACATCTCGGAGCAAACAAAATGGCAAGATAATGCTGAGCGCAGCACATCTTCACGACGCTCTGGACGTGGCAGCGCTCGATTCGACGAGGACGAAGACGACGATTCTATAACTGTGCGAATGCCTTCTGGGCGACAAGCTGCGCGAAGCAGCAGCCGTCGATCGGATGTCAGCGAAGTCAGAGCTGGCACGCGAAACCGTGGTACAAAGAAGAACTACGTTGTCGATTCGAGCCCGGACGATGAAGAAGAGGACGAAGAAGATGAAGACGAGGAGCTAGATGAGGACGGCGAAGGCGACGACAACGACGCCATGGAAGATGTGGACGCAGAGGGCGACGAAGACGAGGATGCCGAAGGTGATACGCCTATGGATTCGGACACAGCTATCCGCGTAGCTAGACCGCCACCACCGCGAAGTGCCGCTAGGGCTGCTGCTTCCAAGATGGTTGTCGATGATGACGATGATGACGAGGACGAGGACGAAGAGCTGAGCGATGCCGATAGCAACATGGCTGATGGCACTATGGGCTTTGACAACACCATGGGTGATGAGACCATGGGCGGCGGCGATGACGATGAAGAAGAGGAGGATGAAGAGGACGAAGATGCCGAAGGGGACGATCAAGATGCAGAGGGCGAGGCTGAAGGCGATGGCGACGAAGACGATGGCGATGGCCTTAGCAGCGATGAGGACGGTGTCGGCACACCAAACCTGGCCAAGATGACCAAGAGACAGCGTGCTCGCTTTGAGGATGAGCCGCAAGAGTACATGAAGCTCTCTGACGGTACGTCCCCCACCCTCTACCTGACGGCGCAATCGCGTGTACTAATATTACTTTATAGAGGTTCAAGTTAAGAAGCACTTTACAGCTGAGGAATTGTCAATGCGCAGGCAGGAAATGGCCCGTCGTCGACGCAACCTTAGCGAGAAGCGCAATGAAGAAGTCAAGGTATGTTTTGCACTCTGGCCCAGCCAGCTCTCTACTAACATGGCGCAGATGGAAACCATCAACAAGCTGCTCAAGAAACAGGCTCGTAAGATTAGCAAAAAGGCGCTAGACGACTCGCTAGAGGGATCAAACAAGCCCAAGCCCACGCTCATCCGATGGGTCAGCACTAAGGATGGCAGCCGAGTGGCGGCATCCAACGAGATCATGGAGGGCCCTGCAGGAACCGTTTTTGGAGAGTACAAGCCTGCTGCGTCACCGAGCAAAATGGTAGAAGAGGTGGCGTAGGGCGGACTTGCTTGCATGAAGTCCCGGGGAGTTTTACGGCGTTTGTGGGATAACACTGGTCTATTTTGAGCACAGGGAATAATTATAGAAACACACCACTGTTCTTTGATGCCACACCGATCTGCGATTGTTTTCTCTTTCATACTAGTATTTAACCCTCACTTCTTTTTTCTCATGCACAAGAGGAACAGCGCAGACCTGAAAGGCAACTCACGTGCGTTTGCATCGCTGCCGGCGCGTCGTGATGTATTCCGCGGGCCGTCCATCTGTGCTTCCCGCGCCTTCCCCCCCTATGTTCAGCTGGCGAGATAAAAGAAAAAAAACAAGACCAAAATAGCCTCAATTGACTCTTCTCTTTGCAATTGCTTTTAAAACACAAAACAACAAAGACCACAAGGTGAAAGGGATCCCCCGTTTGGTGGCGCGACACCGCAGCCCGCAAGCAAGCAACGGGCGAAGCGAAACCTTCAGCGGGCGCTCAGGTGGCAGCTTTCTCAGGAACAAGTCAGTTTCGCCCCAGCCACCACCCTTCTTTTTGGGGGGAAAAGTGAAAGTGTTCTGGAAGCAGCGATGGAATTGCGAACATCCTTTTTTCATCTTTGTTTTGTAGTTCTACTTCCAGAGTTTTATTAGCAAGTGGTGGTAGCTGGCCTTGGAGGCACCGTTGTGAGTTGAACAAGACTGGTACAGAACATTCAATTAACATTTAATTACATTCCAGAAGATTAAACCTGAAGCATACGATCCGAACCGAACTTTACACCATCGACTATCCTTGACGACTTATTGATTTATCCTTTTCTTTTACAGTCGCAAACTTGACAATGGACGCTGACGGCGGCGATGGCGAGTTTTGGGATGTAAGTGATTTCCTAAAGTATTTGGAAGAGCCACCGAAAACGAGGCGAGCTTGTTTAGAGAGCGAAATGACGGCTTGGAGGAAAGGAGAAGACGAAAGAGAAGAAGAAGAAGAAGCTGACTGGGACTTTTACCAGGACATGTTTGGCCCGTCGGAGCTGGCTGCCATGGACAACGAACGGGCTTGGGATGTGAGTCCGACAGAGGAGGAAGATTTGGCAAGGGTCTTGATGAGCGAAGACGAGCTTATTGCACAATTGAACGCGGCTCTGGATGACGAGCCTATGGAAGAGACGTCTGCTGCTGTTTCTGAGACGGCGACTGAAGTTGCTGCACCGGTCGTAACAGCCGAACAAGAGCAACGATTTGCTGCGGCGGCCTCTCCCGAAAAAGCTAAGAGGTCCAATCCTGTTCCCCTGTTATTGCCTGGGACGCCACAGACTGTACCGCAGACGTTTGCCAATGGTGGCTCTGCGCAATTCACAGGCCAGACTTCGACTGCTTCGACACCTACGACGGCGATTACCTCTATCAACAATCTCAATAGAGGTCCGCCGGTCACCGTCTTTCAAGGAATTCAGCCACAAGCCGCACAATATCAAAATACTGTATCCCATGATGGCATTACTACTGCGAAAAACTACGGGGTACGGCCAGGTGTGCTCAGCAATATGGCTGGGCAAACGATGTACACGCAGGCTGTGGATACGCGGGGCATAAGGGCTCCAATGATGAATCAACAGGCAATGCCAATGCAAAGCATGTCCCAGTTCTCCTCAGGGATACCTATGAATGGCATGTCCGTGAACGGGCAGGCTATGAACGGACAAGTCATGAACAACGGGCAAGCTCTGCCTTACTTCCATCCCCAGCCTGCTGTCAACCCTACCCAGTTCTCGCAACCTTTCACTGGAAACAGCATCAATCAGCCTGCTTGGCCAGGCCAAACATCGTTTGCCACGTCTTTGCCACAGACCATGGCTCCTCCGCCTACTCAGCAGCAAACTATGCCTCAGCAGGCGATGTCGCAGCAGAGTCCACCACAACAAGCGTCGAACGAGTCTGCGGCTGCACTGGCTAGTGCTCAGATGCCACCTCCACCAGTGCCTTCTCGGACTGGATGGATGTCAAAGCAGCAGCAGCAGTTGCAGCGATTGCAAGGGCCTTCAGGGCAAGCTAATGGACGATACAAAGCCATCCAGCCAGCGGTGAAAATTAAGGATGTGCTGGAAAAGCACGACACCACTGCCTACGATGATCTTGTCATGATTGTCCACTACGCTTATCTCAAGGGAGTCACCTGGGGCCAGCAAGTGGATAATACTAAGTTGTGCAACGAGATCAAGAACAAGGGAACCATCTTAAGCTCTACGCTAGAAGCACTGCGAGAGCATAGCCTCGAAAGACTGACCAATGACATGAGCATCTATCTGCACAACGGTACACAGCCGCTTCACAAAGCAGAAGCTCACAAGGCGGCCAGAGAGGTTGTTTCGGCATTTTGCACTAAGCATACGCAAATCCACGCCGCCCTCAAAACTGTTCGTGGGCTTGTCTCCAAGCCAACCGAGCTCCCGGAGGTTATTCAAAGAGTCTCTGATATCCCTAAGAAGTACATCTACCAGTTTAAGCCACCACAAACGGGCAGCACGATATCTCAGCCTGCACCTGCGCCGACTGAAGTGCCCAGGGCTCCCGACGCAGAGAAGACGTTTCGCCTCACTCAGGCCTATATCAAGGTCATTGATGGCCAAGAGACGGTGTTTCACATGTGCAGCGATGGAGACGTGCGAATTCTCAACGACGAGCAGTATCACGAGGCGAAAGCCCGTACGGAAGATTATAATCGGGTCCTGGCGCAGTTTAAAGGCACTGGCACACCTGGGATGGGTTTGGGCGGACCGAGGACAACTCCAATTCCTGCAACTCAGACTGAGGGAGCTATCCGTATTCCAGCTGAAAAGCCGCAGAGGAAGCGAAAGGCGTCTGTCGCACCGTCGACCCCGAAACGACGTCGTTCTCGTAGAGACTCGGCGAAAGAAGCTGTGCCCAGTGTTTCCGATGGGTCTGCTACAAGTGCCTCTGTAGCCGAATCTCCCAATGCACAGAAAGTAGCAGCACAGGGGACACCTTCATCATCGGTGGCATCCACATCAGCGTCGGCTTCGACAGGACAGTCCTCCAACGGACTGGCGTCTGCCCCAGATACTGCTTGGATAGTAAGTTGTCATAGATATGGACAGTGAAGAAGCAAATTGTATTAACTTTTACATAGCAACCGGATTTTGCAGGTTAGAACCCTGTAGGTTTTTCATAGTAGGACGACGCAGCATGAACGATACACGGCACGGAGCATTGTACAATATATATTATAGATCAGGACACTCACTGATATTGGACGGTTTTTGTTTTAGAATTGGTACAGGGCATTGTTTTCTTTTTGTCTTTGGTTTTGCATGGATACCGAGTAGAAGTTTTCACCAGGCTTACGAGCTGTTGCTGTAATTGAAATTTTCCTTTTACAATTTTGATTACGGTGTTTGTGATTCATGTAGTCAAAAGTATAAACTGCGCCTAGACTGTTCTTGTAGATTGAGTAGTCACGTGGCGGCGGGCGCTTCTCAACGATCTCGGCCACGACTCATGGCAACCCCTCACGGCACGGACGTTGGGATTCATTGGAAAAGGGATTTGGCCTGCTAATTCCTCTCCGATATTTTTGTCTTTTCGTCTAAAGCCTCACAACCGCAATGCCCTAGCAGGATTCCTTGGAATTCGAGATATTTGCAGCTTGGCAATCTGACTTGTTACGACTAGGATCACTTCTACATCAGATCTAGTAGTGATTGTATCAAATGATAAGACGGCCAGCTATGACGAAAATTTGACCTGAATATACACGCTAGAATACATTCATCGCACCGCACATCATACATGTCGCCTCGCGCCCTGCTTTAGACGCTCCGCTTACACCCAGATCGGACATCCTTGTTGGGTCTTGGATCCGCATTGACGATACAACCTCACATGAGACTGGCACCGCAACTATCGATTTAAAGTTACTACGTTCTTTTTTCGGTATACCGTTTTGCGAGGACTTCTTTTTAGAGAGGTCTTGATCAGCAATCAGCAACGCAAGTCTAGGAGAGACGGATAATGGTACCCGAGGGTGGCGCTGAGAGGGCGTTCCAGGACGACCTTAGCGTCAGTCTGCTATGCCCAGACTGTCGAGAAGATCCGCCAAACTTGGTGGAGGAATTTTCTAGTGGTGACGTAGTCTGCACAAGCTGTGGACGAGTCGTGGGATCCCGGGTGATTGACACTCGATCGGAATGGCGCACGTTTGCCAATGACGACCAAAACGGCGATGACCCCAACCGCGTAGGCGGCCCGCGGGATGAATTTGTCGACGACGAGCAGCTAGCTACTACTGTCGGCTTCAGCGAGACCAAAGCGCACAAGATCCTGTCACGGACACAAACGACGACCACACAGGGCCGGCAGCAAAAGGGCCTGCTGCAGGGCTACAAGGAGATTGTGTCGTTTTGCGAGGCCATCAATGTCGGTCAAAACATCACCAATGCTGCCAAACACATATACAAGCTTGTCGATAAACATCGGACACTACGTGGCAAGCCGCAGCAGGCGATTGTCGCGGGCTGCATCTTCATTGCGTGCCGGCAGAACAACACGCCGCGGTCATTTCGCGAGATTTGCAGACTGACGAATGTCGGGCTGAAAGAGATGGGCAAGATCTTTAATTTACTTCAGAATATCCTGCAGCAGACGCAGGAGGCATCGGAAGTTGGCGCGACAGGACTGAATACGGTGTCTAACTACGAGAACGTGCGGGTGTCGGCGGAGGACATGTGTGGCCGCTTTGTGTCGCAGCTGGGATTCAAGGCGCAACAGAAGATTAGCAAGATGTCCAAGGAGATTGCGGAGATGGAAGTTACAAAGTCGGTGCTGTCGGGGCGCTCGCCGCTGTCAATAGCGGGTGCGTGTATCTATGCGGCGTGCCATCTTGTTGGTGAGAAGAGGACGTCGGCGGAAATTGCGGCGCAGGCTGGATGTAGCGATGGCACGGTGAGGACGGCGTATAAGTTGCTGCATGCGGTGAGGGATAAGCTACTTCCACAGGCGTGGAAAGATGAGGGTATGACGATAGATGATCTGCCCAAAGTGATTATTGTCAAAAAGTGATGGCTATATCTGTTGCAGATGCAGCAACAGAAGAAGAATACGACACGACTATGATGTAGATTAACGTGTACAGATATCCATGTTACTGTAGCTTGAACACATGCATTTTATTTTGCAACTCATTGGCCTTGCATTTCGGTTACTTGTTTGATGGTGTTGGTGCAAGGCTGCCCTCAGGGTAGGACTACCCAAAGAGGCAAGTAAGCGATTGCGATGCGCCCGGACATGACCGAATACTCGGGGCGAAGCCTGGGCTGCTAACAAAATGATCTGTAAGCTTTTGTTGATTCTTCCAGGATTGCCATTCGAGCACAGTAAGACGGTCATTTCCTTGCACTGGAAATCTTACAAAGCGGCGGCCAGTGGTGCATGAAGCTACAAGCTGGCAATGCAAAACACGGCCTCGGCTACTGCACCCCAGGCCTAGAAACACGACCTAACCAATTTTATGTATGCAGAAGCAAAGCAGAGGAGGGGGCTCACAAGTCAGGCGATGCGCCGCCACCAACCCACTGACGGCCGCTCTCGATGCTCGATGAAGACGCCGTGGCGTGCTCAGCTTGGCTTGACAGCGGGCTGCGCTACCGAAAAAAAAAACTTTAGTGCTTGCTGGTTGCGGTCCTGGTTCGAGATAGGCTGAGCAGGGGTTTCAGTCAGTGAGGCAGGTCTAGCTTCAGTGGCCAGCAGCCATCCCAGCACCAAGCATTATATGTATTCATCGACGTGGCCACCACCCCTCCTTTCGTATTTTGGTGTCGCCATTCTTGTTTTCTTTTCTGCGTGCACGCCTAACAGCGACGACTGTGTTTCCACGTCCATTCGACTCTTCCTGGGTAATCGCTGCGCGGTACTCAGTACGATGAAGTTTAACAGCAGGTCGCTGGGCTATGTGGACATGGCAGGGCTGGATCCTTCGATGATGTTCATGCCGAGCTGGGAACGAGTGGTGAGAGCGCAGGCCGAGGCGGAGGAGATGCCACCGCAGGAAGATGGTGAGTGTTATTTTATTCTTGTTCTTTGACCGCTCTTGATCCTTTTCTTCCTTGTTTTGTCATTGTCAGCATGTGGCCATTTTCACTTGTGTTTTTTGTTGCATTCATCCGCTGCCCGAGGTCTACGACAGCCTGGTTAGTTTACCCAGCCTGCCCATCTGGCCTTCCCCGCAAAATGCACGCTGGTGTTGCGTCTGTTGCTCGACTCAGCCGAGATCGTCTGGATTGTGGAGAGTCCGTCGAGTCGAGGCCAGGGGACCGACCCTCACCTGGTGCCGCGTCTCGTTTGGGGGAAAAGAAGCGTGTTGGCAGGTGGCAGGCGGCTGGTGGTGGTGTTTTTTCTTTTGGCGGTTGTTTATTGACTGGATAATGACACCAAGTGGAAGATGGCCTGGCAATATCAAGCACCAAAGAAAACAGAAACAGAAAATTGGACAACAAGCGCAGACGAGTGGTCTCTCATTCATCGCCCTTTGTCTCTTTTTTAGCAGCGTTTCTGTCACGCAGGGTTCCCCTCTCCTGCTCTTTTGCTCGCTGCAATGCTACCCTATCCACCCCCGCCCCGTTTAGCGTGTGCTGCAACCGCTGTGGCTGCCCGCTGCAGCGTCCACTGGCAACCGCTAACAGCAAGACCCGCACGTCGCTCGGCGGCACCGTGTCTGGCGGGCAGTCAAATGAGCCCAGGTGCCTGCCAGGTGCCCGCCAGCTGCCAAACCGGCACAAAAAACTCTGCCCCTCCAACGACAGCTTCCTCTTCCTCTTTCTGCATCCTCTTGATCTATTTTTTCTTCTTAGTCGATTTGTTTATTCTGTCCTCCTCGACAGCTGCTCTCATTCGCTTCGGCCGCAAACCTGCATCAAACTTATCCTCTGTTGCATTGCAGCCTGCCGCCTTTTCCCTTTGCCACCGCCACAAACCCTGCCCTAGTGACCTACGCCCGCTTTCGGCTGACCGTCTCCGTCGACTTGATGATGCTGTGAACCACACTCGCCAGCACAGAAACAACACGGAGCGCGAAGAAAATATTCTTAAAGAACAAGCGGCAAGCTGCCCTGAACCTTTCCATTTTTGTTTACACGTTTGTCCACCCTCTGGCCGAGTTTTGGCTTCCCTGCCGCCTGCAGCTGTCGCGTGCACCTACACCCGCCAATCCTTGCTCAAAATGCCACTTTGCAGCCCAAAACACAATTGCTAACACCATACGCACAGCAATAATATTCGACGACTCTTATTCTGATTTGGAGCCTCACGGTACCGACAGCATGATGTTTTCCGAGCTCTACAAGGGCTCGCTGGCATTGCGCAGCGAGTCGCCGTTGAATCCCAAAACGCCGGCCGAGTGGACCAAAAGCGAGTACGCCGACTTATACAGCAAAGACAAAGTCAAACAAAAAGAGGCTGTCCGGCGCTACCTAAAGGAAAAGGTCCGCACCAACTGGGAGTTCCCCGCAGCTATCAATGGGCTTGCGCAAAGGGATACCAGCATGGCAGATTTAGCTCCAGAGCCAGATTCAGCGCCGGCCGCAGAAGATCACAACGACGACGCATTGGCAAGTGCGGCTGAATCGGACGGAAGCGATGCAGAGTCCATCTATAGCATCGTTTCAGAGGACGAGCACTATAGACCGCGGGCTGAGTGGACATCGGACGTGGAGGAGCTGCGCGAGCTGCAAGAGCAAGGTAGAGCCTCCACGGCGTCTCGCCGCTCCGACTCGGGAGCAAAGGCTGCAAACCAGCAGCGACTTTTCAACATTCGGGCACGCAGACGGCGCGAAGTACGCGAAGAGATGAAGGAGAACCCGGGACTTGCCATCTTTGAGGCCCGCCGAGATGCATGGACAGGCGCAAGGACGGTTCGTGTGCGAACCAAGCCGAATGTGTCCCCCCCCGCCTCGCCGCGTTCACCCCGTCGCTTCTTCTTTCGCCGCTCCATGTCCACGTCTCCTCCCAATGCCGTACCGTCGCCAATCATGCAGCAGCTCGAAACAGCATCCGATACGTCGTCCATCGCTAAGGATGATGGTCAGCTTAGCAAGAAGATGTCTGTTGGCGAAACATCTGTAGCCGCGGCCGACCCCAAAACGTTCCCCGTCGAGACGCTGCTCCCGTTGGCACAACCAATCCTGCCACCCGAGAATGGCCTACGCGCCTGTATTACACCTGCCACCTACCACAGCCTCTACGATAAGATCGTACTTCATAATATGACACCCTCGTGCCCCATCAACTTGGCCGATATGATGCAGACTTGTGTTTCTGGTTGGAAGCGTGATGGTGAATGGCCTCCTAAGATGTCTGCCCCGGAGCCGCTTATTGCTTCCCGCAAGCCCAAGAAGAAGGAAGTGGAAAGCCCAACGTCTCGACGCCTCAGCTTCGGTCTTCGTACTAAGGATAAGGATGACGAAGCGCGGACCAAGGGATTCCGAAAGAGTCTGCAGCGAGCGCTCGGTTTCGGTACTCCCCAGGCAGTTTCTGGCGGCAACTAGAAGTCGTTTATTGGGCGCTTGAAGCGCATGTATCGACGCCACCTACAGTCAGATAAAGCCAAGATTGCCGAATTGAGAGTGGCCCTTCAACAGGCAGGGATTGCCATGCCGTGCCAGGAGGCCAAGCGAAATCAAGAGCACGAGAATATGGAGCAGCTCATCCGCTCTGTCCAGCGTCAGTCATCAAATGCACCAACCACAAGCATCCCTCAGCTAAGGCAACCGTTTCAAGTTGTTGCCGTCAGATGGTCCACAGAACGCAATGTATGGCTGCTAGAACCCGTGACTCTCGAGCCACGGTCAGTCTAGCAAGGAACGAAGCAATGTTTTTATGTTTTTTTGTGTCTTGATTATAGTATATACCCAGCGTAGGAGCGAATCACGGCGTTTTTTCATGGGCATTTTTAGGATACTTTTTATATCGAATTTCAGCGTTTTTCCTTTTGTTCAAATATGAGCGTCTATGTGATGTGCAAATATAGCTACCCAACCACCGTCTATTTGTTACCTTTTGCGTTATTAACTAACTGCAATTAGGGAACAGCTCGGCCTGAGAATTCCCCATCAAGAATGCAGCAGCCTCACAAACCTCATCAAGCAGCTCCCTTGCCACTGGCGCCCAGCTCTCAAAAGTGACGACCTCGAGCGTCAGCGTATCGTTGTCTGGCGAAATGTATGCCTGGATCTTCCACTCTCGGAGAGGTTCTTCATGCAAGTAGACCGTCTCGAGCTTGGAACTAAAGTCGTCACCAGCAGTAGATGACAGCTTCTTGGTGGCCTGGATCGCCTGATGGACGACCGTGTCAAACCACCACGTCTTGTCGACCTTGTCCTCGGGTGTCGCGGCCTCATTGTCTGCTACAAGATGAGAGGGTGTCCAGCCAACCTGGGGTGCAATCTCGTCCAGCGCGAGAATCTCGTGCTCCGAGGTTTGTGCGTGCTGCAGCTGAACGTGCGCGAGTAGATCGGCCACCGTCCACGACTCGGTAAACGATAAGCGGAAGGGAACGTATTGCCATGTCGGACCGGCTACTTTGTCTGCTGCAAAGGGCGTATCGGAGATGGAGCGTCCAGATACAACTTCACCAAAGACAACGTCGCGGACGTTGAGGCGGCGCGCTAGCACCAGAGACCATGCAGCTGGCGGGATCGTCGCAATAGTCGTGTTGGAGCGCAGTGTAATAGGGATTGTGCGCTCAACTGCAAAGTGGCGACGCTCGAGGAGTGGAAGAGAGGGCCGGATGGTTGAGATGGACGAGCCGGCGAGGAGATTCTTCCAGTAGGCCATGCTGGCGGGCAACAGGGGCGCAATGTGGTGTATGTACGTTGAGAACGGCACGGTGTTGCTTGTGGGAGGTGTAGGGGATTGATAGGCCGCAGCGAGGTATTGCAGCATGGAGGGCAGACACATTTCGTCGTATTGTGCGTGGGAGATGCGGAAGACGAGCGCAGAGGATGTCGTCTCGGGCGACGAAATGTACAGGAACTTGACGAACCGTGAGCCTAGGGGCATCGAGGTGAAGATGTCCTTGTTGTAGACTTGCTTGACGGCCTCGTCGAATGGTCCTGAGACGACGTGCTGCTCGAATTGCACGGGGTGGTCTTCCAGAATGACGCCGTAGCCCTTGTTGTTGTGGGATACAAAGACGGTGCGGAGGATTTCAAAGGTCGATGTAAGTGATTGACAGGCAGCTTGGAGACGGGCAATGTCAATGGGCGTGTTAAATGAAATCACTTCGTATCGCAGCGAGAAGCGCGGCAGAGTAATTGTTGCCTGTACGGCGATTTCTTGGAGTGGCCGTGTGGGGATGACATCGCGAATAGTCCACGACGGATCTTCAAGCATGTTTTGAATCTCTTTGACGGCAGTATCTGGCGAGTCGAGTAGTGAGAAAGGCTTGATTGGCTCAGCGGCCACTGGGGCGTCTACTTCTACGGCAACCTTGGCCATGGCAAACAGCTCCTTGTTGCCAAACATGTCGGCGACAGTGACCTTGATGCCCTCGGACCGGGCCTCTGAGGCAAGTTTCATGGCAGAGATGGAGTCGCCGCCAAGCGCAAAGAAGCTGTCGTCGAGCGAGATGTCCTGTTCGGGGATACCGAGCACACGGCTCCAGAGAGTGCGGAGATGGCGCTGCTTGCGGGATGTGGCGCTGATTTTCTTTCTGTTTGGCTGTGCGATGGTGACAGGGACAGGTGTGGAGAGCAGCTGGATGGAGGAAGAGATGTAGCGTGCTAGTTTACCTGTCTTGTAGACTACTGGTGATGGGATCCATGACGGAGAGGTAATGGATGGGAGAGATAGAGTAGCCGTACTGGTCAAGACAAGCTCACCGACAGCTGAAGGCGCCAGAGGAGTCGACGGCGAGGTAGGGTTGATGATGTATGCGGCGTCGGCTCCAGGAAAGCCCTGCAGAACAGACTGTGTAGATGCACTCTCGTATAACGGCTGCAGAGTTGCCTCGTCCTCGCTGCTGAGACCTGTGAATTGGCTAAGCTGAGCGCCCATCTTGTCGCAGAGGCCCTTGGCCACAGCTTCAAACTTGGCGAGTACACGCTGCATAGTGGGCATATCGATGGTATGTGAGTCGAAGCTGGCCATAACGGAAAAGCCCTGCGTATCAATGGCGCAGACGAGCATCAGCGCATACGTGTTGAACTTGAGGGCTTCTTGCGCGGCTTGCTCATCGCTCGCAGGGACAAGTTTGCTAGTTGGGTATGTCTCGTCGGGAACTGCTTCATCGCCGGTGCGAGGATGCAGAACAAGACCGGTGCGCAGCTCACATGCTTCCAGCGCATCTGGGCTCAGGCGGCGAATGTGCTGCAGACCATAGTGCTCATGGGGGATCTGCTCGATGACTTGGTCCTGCACGGTCTGGAGGAACTCGGCGACAGACATCTCCTCGTCGACCGTCAGACGGAACGGGATCGTGGTGATCATGGGCCCTTCAATCTCCTCGGCGCCGACGATCGGTGCGTTGCGCCCAGTCAGCGTCTCGCCAAAGACGACGTCGTTGCCGTGCACATACTGCGCTGAAACAATGGCCCATGCTGCGCGGATAATCGTCGCCATGGTGGTTCCTGAGGGCGGCGTCTTGCCGAGCGATACGTACGACTCAAGCAGCGAGTCTGAGCTAGTTTGATATCCAATCGCAGGAATCTGGGGGAACTGTAGCGGATTCGTGCCCTCTAGCTGCTTCTTCCAGTACGCCGCTGAAGCATCTCTGTCCATGCTATTCAAATACTTGATGAAATGCTTGAACTCTGCAGGTCGAGTGACGATTTCGCCACCGTAGGCTCTGTTGACGCGGTCGACGACGAGCGGCATGGACCATCCGTCGTAGATTGCATGGTGCGTCGTGAGCACGAAGCACACGCGCTCAGCCTCCTGGATAAGGGCGTATCGGATAAGCGGCTTTCCGAGGTCCATGTCGTCAGCGCGGTCTGCGGCAAGATACGCTTGGAGATTGTCGCCACGGGCCGCCGTGTAGTCGTTCTTGATGACGACCTGGAAGAGTCCCTGGCGCGGGATCTGGACAATGCGCGTGCGGAGGACCGGGCAGTTGTTGTGCGCGAGCTCGAATGCGGCGAGCAGCTGTGAGGCTTCGTCCACCGAAGTGAAGTCGATGACGCGCTGCGAGATGTAAGCGTCCTTTACTTTTGCGGAGAGCGCCATCAGGGCCTCTTGGAGGGGCGAGCAGGCGTACATGTCCTCGATGTCTTGGGGGGCGACGCGGCAGAAGGGCGCGGCGGCTTCCCGGGCAGCAGATTCGGACCAAGACGGTGGGAGAAGAGAGAATGCTGGGATGCTGGCGTCCAATGCAGATGTGGCAACGCAGTGGGAGGCCATGCCGGAGAGAGTGGGCGATGTGAAGATGTTGGCGACGGTGAGGGTGATACCTTCTTCGCGGGCGGCAGCGACGAGACGCATGGCGCGGAGGGAGTCGCCGCCGAGATTGAAGAAGTTGCTTTGGCGGTATACGGGGATGGAGCTGCCAAGGACTTTGGTCCATGCGGTTTGGAGTTTCTTTTCGGTGGGAGTGGCGGGCTCGTCTTGCGGGATGTTGTCGTCGGAGGATTGGAGGGAGGACCGTGGGATGGACAGGCCGATCTCACGGAGGCGCTTGCGGTCGAGTTTGCCGGATACGAGGGACGGCATGGCGTTGAGTGTGATGAAGGCCGCGGGGATCATGTATCGCGGGACCTTGGCGCCGAGGTTGGCCTCGATTGTGGTGAGTGAGTCGGCGAGGGTGGCTGATGGCTCTGCAAAGAGATCTGTATATGTGCAGCCAGGCTCACTGAGAAAGGCAATGAGTGTAGGGACGCCGTTTTCAGGCTTGATGACTTCAGCGGCTACTTTGATGCCCGCGGGGAGACAGCTTTGTACGTGGTGCTCGACTTCGGTGAGCTCGACACGCTGGCCGCGCAGCTTGACTTGCTGATCTTTGCGGCCGACAAACTCAATAGAACCGAGCATGTTGGACTCGTAGCGGACGAGATCGCCCGTCTTGTAGAGTCTGCCTTTGCGGCCAGGAACGCTGCCGTGGCCAGCGAGCAGCCACGTTGGGTCTTCAATAAAGACCTGCGCTGTCTTTTCAGGCTCACCGAGATATCCTGTTCCCACGACGGGGCCTTCCATGATGAGTTCGCCAACAGCGCCAATAGGAACAAGCTTGTTGTGGTCGTCTGGGTCGACAATCCATGTGACACCGCCAACACCGAAGCCGATGCCAGTGGACACGGACACGGTGTTGTTGTTTGTGCAGCCGACGGTGCATTCAGACGGACCGTAGCCGATAACGATGCCTGTTGTTTTGCCCCAGGCCAAGGCATCACTGGAAGATACAGCCTCGCCGCCTAGCGCAAGGACATCTAGCGACGGGATGATGTCGGCATCGAGCACGCGAGCAACTGAAGGTGTGACGGCGAGAAGCGTTGTTTTGAAATCGCGAATAGCGCCGCTGAGATCGTTGACTCGGCGCTCATCCGAAGGAACGCAGACCGTGCCGCCCGCAGAAAGCGTGCACAGCATGCAGTCGAGACTAACGTCGAATGCGTACGATGGAAAGTCGAACACTCTCGAATTTTCATTATATCCCACGACCTTTGATCGAGGTAATGTGCCACTTGTAAAGCTCAGATGCGAAATCACCACGCCCTTGGGTTTGCCTGTACTTCCTGACGTAAAAATGATATACATGGACGCATTCGGATCGACCTTGGGCAGTGGCTCGTCTTGTGTCGTATCTTCACTGTCAAAATACTCTTGCGAGATATCCACTATATCTCCCGCACCGATAATTGCCTGTCCCAAACTCTTCTGCAGCGTCGACGTCACCATGATGGTGGCCTCTGTCTGCTCGACAATCGTTCTCAGTCGAGCTTCCGGCTGGCTAGGATCTGTCAGGGAGAACGCCGCGCCCGTCTTCATGACGCCGAGCAGCGCAACCACTGTCCACTTTGACTTCTCAAAGCACAGCGGCACAACCATGCCCGTGGCCACGCCGCGGCGGCGCAGGTCGCGCCCAACGCGCGCCGACATGGCCTCGACTTGCCCGTACGTCAGGGCGCCATCCCATGACTGGACAGCCACATCCTGTGCTCGGCCGGCGGCCTGTCGCGATATGATATCGTGGATGCACTCGTAAACAGCGTCTGGGACGTGCTCGTTCCAGCGCCAGAGCTGCTCGAGGTCTTTGCTGGAGGGGCTGCTGGTTTCTTCTCCTCGGGTGGTAGGGATGCCGTTTGCACCGTCAGTGCTGGCTTGGTCTTTTGTGCGTCCGCCATGGTCTGCTGAGGCTGTAGAATGCGTCATTACGGAAAGAAAAAGAGACAAGTGGCAGCAGCATGCAGAGATATTAAAAGCAGATGACCGTTGGCGCTTCGCTTGCTAGCTGCAAGCTATCAGGGTCGCAATGGGTGCCTAATGTCCGTGTGCTTGCTGCAGGATGAAATGCAGCCTTTGTAGTAGGGAATATACAAAGCCTCGTGGAGTAAAACCGAAGGTGCCGGTGGTGATGTAGACCTAACATAGGGATGCTTGCTTGCCTGCAACGGAGGACTGCCGACGGGCCTTTTGGGTGTCATTGACATGTTTGCCCAACGAAACAGGGTCCGGTCCTTGACGCTTTCTTTCTTGTGTGTAATAGCAAGTACACACATTCCCGCGGGGTCCAAGGCAGGGTGCAGTGCAAGAGTGGAGGGGAGCTGCTGAGGGGTGGCTTGCAGTGGATGATGCCGGGTGCTGCATTTTGCATGAGAGAGGGTGTGAAGGGCCAAAAGCGGGACGGGCGACGAGGTACTTGCGGAGACGGTGGGCGGTACATGTGAGCGAGTTTTGGCGTTTGGTGAGTGAGGGAGCGGATCAGATAATACCGCGGTGGGGGGATATTTTGGATCTGATAAGAAAATGCCGCGGCTATGCTTCCATCACCCAGTCCACCAGACTTTGCTGCCAAATAGAAATAAAAAATAAAGACGCTTTAAAACATAGTAGAAAGATCTGGAAATAGGCTCGCGGAAAGAAACCCGTTACACACATGTTAGCATATCACTCACTGTTGCAGCACCACGCCGCTCCTGACATCACGCTGCATCCTCATCACCTCGCCTAAAACATGCTACCCCTCCCTGTTTCTCCTCTAAAATTCACTTTACCCCTCTACTTCCATCACCGATCCACTAAACTCACTAATGCACACACCCTCTACTCTATTCTCCCGGCCTAAACTAGCAAGTCTCCGCTAGCCCTGGGATCCCCAAAATGCGGCTGAAGCACGGTGCTCGACTCCAGCGCGTGCCTTGAAAAAAACTTTTTCTTCTTTGAAATTCTAGAGCCCAGCCCAGTGGATCTGGGCAATTGCGTGCGCGCGCAGATATGGCGTGGCGGGTGCGACCTGACTGCCGAGTTTTTCACACGCCATCTTATCTGATGATCAGATTAGATGGCCTGCTCGGCTTTACATGGGCGCACCAAGTGAAAAAAAAACAAGTTGGTCGGCAATTCTCGGAGACCGGTTGAATAGAATGGATTAGCCCTGCCAAGCTCTTTGTAGTAGGAGGATACCGCACCCGAAAGTTATCCGTATTGCATTCTCGTCCCTCTAATATCCCAGTCCCTACGTACCTAGTGTGGCAGCCGAAGCACTAGTCTCGATACAACATCACCATTGTTTTCTGTGCAATTGACCAAACCGACACAATGGCTTCGACTTCGGCACCGGCTGCCATTGCTCCTCAGAGGCAGCAGCAGAAGCTCTCGCACTTGTACGGCCCAACAGACCCTCTGCTTGTCGACCTCACGCTCGGCGAGATGCTCGAGATGCAGACATACCAGCACGGCAACCAGGAGTGTCTGGTGATTCCGTGGACCGGCGCCCGCTGGACATATCTTGATTTACAGCAGCAGAGTGCAGCATTGGCCCGGTCGCTGCTACACATGGGTATTGGCGTGGGCGACCGCGTGGGCATTATGGCGGGTAACTGTGAGCAGTATGCTGCTGTGTTTTTCGCTGTGGCTAAGATTGGCGCGATCCTGGTGATTCTGAATAACACGTATACACCGACAGAAGCCATGTATGGAATTAGATTCAGCGATTGCAAGGTAGTGTTTACGACAAAGACGATTGGGCGCATGGATAATAGCCGCCTGTTGCAGGATTTGGCGAATCTCGAGGTCAAGGACCGCCCGAGAGTGGTGATTTTGAGGGGAGAGAACCCCGGAGAGTATCCGACGTATGATGAGCTTGTTAAGAAGGGCGCCAGAATGGATTACGAGATGCTGCATAGGGCGGCGGCAAAGGTACTCCCACATCAGGTTGTCAATTTGCAGTTTACGAGTGGCACGACGGGTCTTCCCAAGGCGGCCATGCTCACACATCAGTATGTTTTGGTAGTGCCCGTGTTTTTGGAGAGTTTTGACTAACGTGGTGATAGCAACCTTGTCAACAATTCTCGATTTATTGGCGACCGCATGCGTCTCACTCCTCTCGATGTTCTCTGCTGCCCGCCGCCGCTCTTCCACTGCTTCGGTCTTGTTCTGGGTCTGCTTGCTGTTGTCACGCACGGCGCAAAGATTGTGTATCCGGGCGAAATCTTTGACATTCCCGCCACACTGCGCGCCATTTCAGATGAGTCGTGTACTGCGGTGCACGGCGTCCCGGCCATGTTTGATTCACTCTTCCAGGCTGAGTTCCCTGAGGGCTTCAACTGCGACAGACTGCGCACAGGAATCATTGCTGGCGCGCCCGTCCCACGATACTTGATGGAGCTTCTAGTCAACAAGTTTGGCATGACAGAGTTTACTAGCAGCTATGGACTGACGGAGGCATCGCCGACATGCTTTAATGCTTTTACCGATGACGCCATGCACACACGCCTCACGACTGTCGGCACACTCATGCCCCATGCGCAGGCCAAGATTGTCGACCGTGATGGAAACACAGTTCCTGTCGGCGCGCGAGGCGAGCTCTGTATTGCAGGATACCAATTGCAAGCGGGATACTGGAACAATTCCGAAAAGACGAACGAGGTCATGGTTAGAGATGAGGCTGGCGTGCTGTGGCTGCATACCGGCGATGAGGCCGTCTTTGACGAGCACGGTTATTGCACCATTACTGGCCGCTTCAAGGACATCATTATCCGCGGCGGCGAGAACATTTACCCACTAGAGATTGAGGAGCGTCTCATGGCCCACCCGTCCATCACGAGAGCTATTGTTGTGGGCTTGAAGAACAAGCACTATGGTGAAGTCGTGGCGGCGTTTGTGGAAAAGGTCGAAGGCGGCGAAAAGCCCAGCTTCCAGGAGCTCAAGGAATGGGTCCGTCAACGACTCGGCGGACACAAGAGTCCTGCACACGTTTTCTGGTTAGGTGAGAATGGTATTCCTGTAGAGGTTCCTCTCACGGGAAGCGGCAAGGTGAAGAAGTTCGAAATGGCCAAGCTTGGCGATGAGCTGCTCAAGAGAATGGAGACCACTGCGAAGTTGTAGATGTAGAAAAGAGACAGGACGTTTGATAAAATAGAGTGAGTTTTGGTTTCTGCTGCGATAGATGAACTTTTCAATTTTGTATAAGAAAGAATGATGACTAGATATTGCTGCTACTTAAACGGCGCCTTTCATACTATAATTTCGTTTCCTTTTTATTTTAGTTTCACGAGGGCGTGGTAAGCAATCCCTTAGAGCTTAGGCATGAGGCCGAGCGGTATGCCGCCGACAAGCTTCTGGTTATCTCCCAGCGGGCAGATCTGGAAGAATCGCTCGCGGTGGCACATATCCAGGGCACTGCGCTTATGAGGGAGGTCGACAAAGTGGTTGACGCCAAATCCATGCATCAGGTCGTACATGATACATGTCGAGTTGCCGTTTCTCGGCTCGCCCACGACAGCTAGCGTACGAGGGTCGTCGATAAACAGGTAGTGAATTGTCGAACTCCACCACGCAGATACACGGTGAGGCCCACGGAAGCGGACGTCGCCGACGAGAGCATGGCGGCCGCGGTCCCAGTCGCCAGCGTCGTAGTAGCTGCCCAGGGCGTCCTCCTTGGCCCAGTAGAACTCAAAGTACGCAAAGAAGGTCTCGTCAAACTTGGCGAGGATGGCAAACTGGTGAGGGTCCTCGTCTAGCTTGCGCAGGTATGCGGTGTGCTCCTCGACAGTGCCCGACTGGTTCCAGCCCTCTGAGACGCGCGGGTCATTTTGCCATGTGTGGAAGAGCTGGACGTGCTCTTCGTTGCGGTAGTCTAGGACAACCATGGACAAGACTTCCTTGAGATGTGGGATCCAGCGGCTATAGAAGACGGATCCGGGAGCTGGCTTGGCTGCGCGAAGAAGGTGGCGCGATTGTTGTACACGCTCGGGCTCCTGAGGGTCGCCGGCAGACGCAATTGAGAGAGTCTGGTAAGTGGGCATGGGCGGGAAAGATGAGAGGGGTGTCGACTTGGGCAGAGAGGCGGGCGAGTTCTCGGGGCACCAGATTGGTCGTGGGCCAAAGGGTGCGCCGGCGCCTTGCCAGAAGGTGCTGCGGAGGCCGATGATGGACACGGCGGTTGGATTGGCGGCTGGGATAGGGTCGTTGCGCGAAGCTTGAGGGTGTGCAATGGCGAGAGAGACGTCCTGGAGCTGCTGGGCGACGAGTTGTGCGTCTTTGCCTTGGAGCTCGAGGCGGACGGTCTCCATGGTCGATCTCACGGTGTAGAGCGTGTACATGAGAAGCCACATGTTGGCAATGCTAGGAACGGCATTGTCGTCCCAAGCAATGATGCTGACCGGCGAACGTCTGGCGCGGCCCCAAGGACCATTGTTGGAGCTGGGCGGGAGTTCGATGGACTTGGGGTCTGTCGGGGCCGAGAAGCGCAGGCCAGCAGAGTGAAGATCAAACGGCAGGCTTTGGACGGTTGATCCGGAGCGCAATTGAAGCTGGTAAAGCGCTGGCGAGGAGCTGGCAACGCTGTGCAGCGTGTACTCGCTATAGTACGGATACGGAAGCTTAAGAATGGTCTCGGAGGGCGAGATATTCGCCAGGTCAAGATGTAACGACATTGTTTCGATCAATTGGACACGGTAGACGATGCAATTGGTGAAGATTAAGATGTAGACGGCGATGATGTAAAGTACAGGGAATCCCAAGTTTAGTCTAGAGCCGCTGCAGTGGGCAGAGTGCTAATGCTAATAGCTAATGACCTCATCGGCCTTGTTGTATGCCGAGGGTTGGGTCGCCCACGCTGCACTGACATGTTTAGCCGGTAATTGGAGATGCAGATGGCGGCCCCCGAACCCGGCATATGGGTGACGATCGTGCAACTAGCCGTAAGAGTAGCAGTAGTACTTCATAGTGGCAGTAGCAGAGAGCGACTAGGGCCACTGATTGATATGGAGAAAGGCCCTAGAGTTTAGTTACAGGCACGCCCTCTCCACCTTGGGCGGCATCAGGCAAGTAAAACTGGTCCAATAGGAAACAGTAGACGCGCGGGTGGAACGCCGCGGAAACAAAACTTGCAGGGCGAGCCAAGAAGCAAAGACGGAAGAAACAGGCCAAGCCGGAGATATACTGTAAGTGGTTGTGTGCCCAGGCGAAAGCGAGAATGGCACTGGGGAGGTCCAGTCAGGCTTATCTGATCTTGCGGCTCAAGTGCCCAAAGCGAGCGGAGATTCGGACATGTGTGTCGTTGTCTTGTTCTGGAAGTGTTAGTCAGGAACGAATGCAGTGGATCAGATAACCTCTAGGCCTTTTCCTAGCTTCACGCAGTAGCATTAGAAAAAAGTTAATGGGTGGAGGCGGACGGAGATGAAAGGGTCCAGAAGGTAGGCTGTGGGCGGCCAGTTTCCAGTTCACAGTGGGAATTGGGACAGTATCCCTTAAAGATTTGTACTGTATTGCCAGGTGCGCCAGGTGCCAGTGGGGAGGAGGAGTGGATCCGCTGCAAGCCACGGTTTGCTGGCTGGGATCTGATAAGAAGAATTTTTCTTCGGTCTGCAGCCAGCCCCTCTGCCAAGGGTGGGACACGTGATGGATTTGAATTCTGTTTTTCATCAAGGAAACCTCTCTTTATCAATCTACAGGTTTTTTGTCCCGACATCGTGAATTCTCTGTGGGCGTCGTGTCGTAGTGTGGGCAAATTTAAAAGCCAAAAATCACGCGTTATCTGATGGAGCTAGCGAGCGCTAGAGGGGCCGCCTCGGTGTTAGTGTCTGGCAGGTCACGCCACCGAAATGAAGACTCAGAAGTGAAAAAAAAAAGGCCGCAGAACATGACTCTGTTTTGGGCATGGGAACGAGATATTGAAGACTTTTTTTTTATCGTATTTTTATCTTGCGCATGTTCCAGGCTGTGCTTGCTACCCAAACTGTGGAGAGAGAGACCTGTTCGCTGAGAGCGGTTGCGCAGTACAAAGATTGAGACATTGCGAGACATTTGGCCGAAAGCGTGGGCGGTTCAGCTGGGGTCTCGTGCGTGCCGCCTCTTTTGGCGCCTGTGTCTGTCTCTCCCTCTAAGTAATTTTTTGTTCTATTGTTTGAACAAGACACGGAGGATCGCTGGGCTGGCTGGTCTGGGCACCGTGGGATTTGCCCGCCTTGCATGCCCCCGTTGTCCCTTCAGCCTCGTCGAGTCCACTGAAGAATAAAAAAGACCGCTAAAACAGCCCCCCTGTTGCTCCAATGCGACTCGTCAGCTTGCGTTGGACGGGGATCAAATCTTACTGTGCATACTTTGTATTACAAGAAAAATAATCACCAACGAGGCTTCGGTTCGTTAAACGGCTGCCTAAAAGTATTGTCTTGTCTTGCTCGCTTCGCCTCGGCGGGTTATCCGCAACGGCGCCATTAGTGGACATTTCCTTACCCTTTCAGGGTCGCCAGTGGAGCGCGTTCAGCGGTCATTGGGCTTAGTTTAGTGGCTGTCTCCGGGCCTGCAGTGAGCTGGTGGCGCTGTCGGCTCATCCGTAGCCCGAAGCGGACTGTCGCCGCTGTCGCCGCTGTCAGTGTCTGGCAAGGTGCCTTTTTTTTGCTGGCCTCACTGTAGCGTATTATGGAAATATTGTGGATGAATCGTGTTAAATACTTGTCCGTCTCCCGCCCTGTATTTTTTCCATCTTGTGCTTCTTCTTTGCTTTCTTCGATATTCACCACCGTCTTCGTACCTTTGTTGCCCTGCCTCTTTCCCCTGGCGCCCTATCTTTTAGCGCATTCCAACCACAACCCCGCTCCCCGCCGTTCACGTTTACAGTGGACGCAAACCCACCGCATCCGGGGTCCAGAGCGCTGTAGCGGCAGGCGACCCTTTGTTTCCTTTTTTTTTCTTAGTGACAAACTCTCCCTCGCCCTTACCGGCCCTCCTCGTGCCTTCTTCCCCTCTTCAACAACCTTTTTTCTTCTTTGCTTCTCCAGGAGTTGGCACCTTTTGAACTTTGCACATTTGCTGCAATTGTTATTTTCCTGTTAGGGTTTAGCCATCCTGAAACGGAAAACATCTCGAATCCAATCTATCGATCGCAACAGCTTCTCGACGCCACAGCTGCGGTACGCCCCATCAACATAAACAACCATGGGCGTTCTCACAGAACCTCAGCCACAGCCTCAGGTTGAGGACCAAGACTTCCACTACAACGAAAAGAAGATTCCCAACGTTGAAGATGGCGCCACTACATCCAACTACGACAGCGATGAGCCAATCGACCGCAATGCCCAGGCTGGTGTCCAAAAGATTGAGGCGGCAGCTCAGGTCTGGACCAAGACGACACTGATCCTCGCCTTCACCTTCATCTGGATCGTGTACTTTGTCGATTCCATGCAGCAGGGTACCACTGGTCTTTTGACCGGCTATGTCACGTCTGCTCTTGGTAACGTTGCGCTTTCACCTACGACCTCTGTTCTCAGCAACATCATTGGTGGCGTCTTCAAGCTCACCATTGCCAAGATTCTCGACATTTTCGGCCGCCCTCAAGGCTACATGTTTTCAGTTATTGTTGGCACGCTTGGTCTTGTCATGATGGCTGCCTGCAAGAATGTGGAAATGTATTCTGCCGCGCAAGTCTTCTACTGGGTCGGCTTCAATGGCATTGCCTACTCCATGACGGTCGCTGTCGCCGACATGTCCTCGCTCCGAAACAGAGGCCTCGCTCTCGCTTTTAGTACTTCGCCCTTTATCATTACCTCCTTCATTACTGGCCGAGTTGCAAATGCCTTCTTGGCAGGTCCTGGCTTCCGCTGGGCGTTTGGTGCTTTTGCCATCATCACACCCGTCATCACTGCCCCGTTGTTCATCATTTTCGTCTACAACTACCACAAGGCCAAGAAGGCCGGCCTCGTTGTTAAACTACCACCTGCTCCACCTACAGAATACTCCACCTTCTACTACATCTCCCGAGGTGACGTGTTTGGAACCTACCGCCATCTCGCAGCTGTCTCCAGGACACCTGGCAATATCCTGTACTACGCCCGCGAATTCGACGTCATCGGTCTTTTGCTTCTCTCAGCGTCCATCTCAATCTTCCTTTTGCCCTTCAACATTTTTTCTTACCAGACTGAAGGATGGAAAGCCCCCATCATCATTGCGTTCCTCGTTGTTGGTGTCGTCTTGATGGTGCTCTTTATCTGCTGGGAAAAGTACTTGGCACCCGTCACCTTTGTCCCATACGCCTTGCTTGCTGACCGCACCGTTATTGCATCATGTGTGCTCGCTGCTTGTTCGTTTATCAGTTACTACTGCTGGGACTCTTACTTTAGCCAGTTCCTTCAGGTTGTCAACGGACAGGATCTCATCAATACCGGCTACATCCTCAACATCTACAACATTGGCTCTTGCTTCTGGTCCTTTGTTGTCGGCCTCTTCATCCGCTACACTGGCCGCTTCAAGCCCGCCGTTCTCTATTTTGGTATTCCCATGACTGTTCTCGGCGTCGGCCTCATGATTCAGTTCCGTGAGCCCAGCTACAACGTCGGCTACATTGTCATGTGCCAGATCTTTGTTGCCTTTGGCGGTGGTACCACCGTGGTGGGCCAGGAAGTCGCCATCATGTCCCGAGTCAAGCATCAGCATGTCGCCACAGTTCTTGCTGTTCAGGCCATGGCTGCTAGTATTGGAGGTGGTATCGGCTACTCAATCAGCGCAGCCATCTGGCAGGCCGTCTTCCCTGGCAGAGTTCGCGCCTACTTGCCCCAGCAGATCTTGAACAATGCCACGGAAACAGCGCTCATCACGACGGACCTTGTTACTCAGCTAACGTATCCAGTGGGCTCCCCAGGCCGCATTGCTATTCAGCAGGCATATGCCGACGCTCAGCGTTACATGTTGATTGCTGGCACCTGCATCTGGATCCTCCCCGTCATTGCTGTTTTCCTCTGGCACAATGTTGACGTTCGCACCATCAAGCAAACCAAGGGTCGTGTCTTTTAAAGCAGCATCTGCTCCTCATTTACAAGCCCATTTTGCATATATTGTATGATACCAAGCACGCAAGGAATGTCATAGTTATTTAATTATATTCTTCATTTATTCATATGACTCGTTCTGATATTATTACCACCACAGTGATGACAGTTTGTCACAAAAGGATGAGGTCAAGATTTGAAATCCTATAATAGTTTATAGAATTCGGTCTATGTTTCCTAACAACCTTTGCCTATACTATAGAATCAACGCTTAACCAATAAAACCGCAAAAAAGGCACCAATACCGGTAGGAAATTACTCGCTATACTTCTTAACGATACTACTAGTATTGTTATTGGCTTCTGCTTAGCTAGGGCAGTTGTTATCAGATGGGTCAGCAGTGATAGTCATGGTGCAAAGCTAGCATAACATAGAGAGTAGAATTCAGCGTAGCTGTCACCTCCATGCAGCTGGCATGAAATTATTTAGCGTCCAAGCAGAAGGGCCGGGACAAAATTTAAACCCTATTAAGTCAAATGGCGTCATCTCCTTCCGTCTTCGAGCTTCTGTTTTACTCTGCTTGCTCATGACTACCGACTGGCTACAATGTTTGTGCCACTGATGTGTAACCAGAGCCGAAGCGAACCTCCGATTTAATGCAGAATATTCCGAAGTGAAATTGTATCTCGTGATGATTCCAAGTTTTTCATTATAGGTGTGCGTCCGATGACAGAGAGTTAACCTAAGCCCCATTGCCTTGCTGCGAAGCCTTATCGGATGGAGTAATAGAGCTAACTCCATGGGTGAAAGATTCCAACAGTGGCTCACGTAACAATCAGATATTGAATTCTCGAGAAAACAAAGTGATTATATTAGTAATTTTTAGATTAAATTAGTAACATCATGGTTGGCTTCGAACTGCAGCAGCGTATTCGGATCCGATTATGCATGTAGAAACAATATAAGCATGTCACCTGGACCCGAGTCCGTTGAACTTGTACGACATCAGTTTTGATACCCAAAGACCTCAAAAGACCCAATCCCCTCAAAATACTAAAGTTGTACGCTAAGAAAACAACACTATGGAGTCCCAGAAGCTTGATGCTCTCATTGTTGGTGCAGGGTTTGGAGGTGTCTACCAGCTGAAGAAGCTACGGGATGCTGGGTTTCACGTGAAGCTCATTGAGAGTGGCTCTGACTATGGCGGTGTGTGGTAAGTAGACGCAACTCACAGCAATCGATACAACTTCCTTAAAGCTAACTGAGCAGGTACTGGAATCGATACCCAGGCGCTCGGGTGGACAGTGCCATCCCTGTCTACGAATTCTCCGACCCGGCGCTTTGGAAGGACTGGCACTGGACGCAGCGATTCCCTGGATCAGCCGAGATACGTGCCTATTTCAAGACCGTTGCAGACAAGTGGGATTTGCGCAAGGACACCGAGTTCAACACCTACGTCAACTCTGCTATCTGGAACGACGAGTCCAAGACCTGGCGCGTGTCCACGGCGAATGGCAAGGTCTTTACCACGCAATTCTTCTTGCCCAACACGGGATTTGCGGCCAAGAGGCACACGCCTGATTTCAAGGGCATCGATCGATTCAAGGGAACGTGGGTTCATTCTTCCTACTGGCCAAAGGAAGAGCCATATCTCAAGGGTAGGAAGATTGCCGTCATCGGCACGGGATCTACCGGCCTTCAGCTCACGCAAGACCTGGCGCCACTGGCATCGGAATTTGTCCTCTTCCAGAGAACTCCAAACTTGGCTCTGCCTATGAAACAGGAGGAGTATCCTCCAGGTTCTGAGACACAATGTATTCCCGGCGAAGCGTATCCTGCTCTCTTTGCCGGCCGAGCTGAAAGTTACGCAGGGTTTGACTTTTCCTTCATGCCAGTCAAGACGTTTGACCACGATGAAAAAGAGCGACAAGAGACGTACCAGAAGCTGTGGGACCACGGCGACTTTCGCTTTTGGCTGGCAACGTACCAGGACATGCTCTTTGACGACCGTGCCAATACGGAAGCGTACAACTTTTGGCGCGACAAGGTGCGCGCCAGGCTTGACGATGAGAGGCTCAAGGACAAGTTTGCTCCCATGGAGAAGCCGCATGCCTTTGGGTGCAAACGAGTCTCTCTGGAAAATGGGTTCTACGAGCTGTTCAATAAGAAGAACGTGCATCTTGTCGACGTTAACGAGACGCCAATCACCGAAGTAACGCCCGCCGGTATCAAGACGACGGAAAAGGAGTGGGAATTCGACTATATCGTGTGCGCTACGGGATTTGACGCCATTACGGGTGGGATCCTGCAGATGAACGTGGAAGGCATCAACGGTCTGAAGCTAAAGGATAAGTGGATGGACGGAACCAAGACGTTCCTTGGCCTTTCTGTCGCCGACTTCCCGAATATGTAAGTAATTTTCCAGTTGTCATGGTGGCGGCAGCAGCACAGCAGTAGCCAGCTAACACAGGGACTAGGTTTTTCACTTACGGCCCGCAGGCACCAACGGCGTTCTGCAACGGCCCTTCCTGTGCCGAGCTGCAGGGCACCTGGATCGTCGACCTGCTCAGCAGCATGCGGCAGAAGAAGCAGGAGGTGGTCAACGCATCTGCTGAAGCGGAAAAGACGTGGGCTGAAAGTATCTGGGCCATTGCCAACACGTCGCTGATCCCAACCACCAAATCGGTATGTTCTTGAAATGTGATTTGTCTGCTACCTAGCTCTAGCTATTAACACTTTTTGTGAAGTGGTACATGGGCGACAATATCCCCGGTAAGCGTAGGGAGCCGTTGATCTACTTGGGGGGTGTTCCGACTTACTACAGCACGATTAACGAGTGCGCATCGAAGAATTATGAAGGGTTTCGGTTTTCTTAAACCTTACTAGCTAGATTAGTTGTCTACTATTACTTTCGAGCTAGAAATTCTACCTTGTGCTATCTACTCATGTATGTTCCTTGGGGTGAAGTTTATAGGGTGGTTGTTCTAGACCGTATAAACCGTTGCTTGCAAACAAAAGTTCAACCAATAAGACTGCAAAAGGCACCAATACCAGCAGAAAAGTACTCGCCATACTCCTTGACAACGGCACCAGCATCGCCAATAGCCTCTAGCCAGCCGGGGCAGTTACCATCAGACGGCTCCGCAGTAATGGCCATAGTGAGGACGTTATCACCACCGTTGTTATCACGGTGGTTGGATCCGACAAAGGTAGGTCCAGTGTGGTGGATAGTAAAGGCATGAGTAGGCGGGCCACAGGTAGGGTTGCCGCAAGGAGGCATCTGGGGAATATCGTCGATCTTCTTCTCGACCGTCTTGTCAAAGTTGCGGCGCATCATCTCGTACAGAGGCGTGATGTCGCCAATGAATGTACCCGTCCACACAACACAGTAGTTTGTGTGGTTCTCCTCAAAGCACTTCTTCGTAGTGTCGCACGGCGAGATGTTGCATCGCTCGTGGAAGGCATCCCACATCTCTGTGAACGCCTTGGGGTAGTTGTCCGCGACGGCAGAGAAGAGGATCGTCTCAATCTGCTCGTTGCCAAGGTGCAAGCACGTCTTGCCGTTCTCATCGGCAGAGCAGCTGCCATCGCGCTTGGCGTTGCGGATGTGCTTGCCGATAAGGCGGTCGTATTCTGTGGCATTGAAGGGCTCGTCCCAGTTCTTGAGACTGTAGTTGGGGCCGAGAGCAGCAGCCGAGGAGGCGAGGAAGAGGAGGTCAATGAGCTTCATGATGAAAGGGTATGGTGTGATAGAGGGGAGTGATCTAGAAAACGATATTTTACTTTAGAGAGGTTTAGGGATGGCTTATATAGTTGAAAACCGGACATAGGCTGTCGTTCAATGCAATTCAGCTTGTGCTGTGAGTACTCGCCAGTATAGACAGCCAAGAATGCACATCTCTATCAATCTAGACTATATCGAGGCAATGCCGACGGCCAGGCCTCGTAACGAATCGTCGAGTATTGGCTTACAGTGGAAACATACATCATTGATGCTGGCGATATCCACCATCAGCCTCAAAAATGATTCAGGCTGCTCGCTTAGATGGAGCCCGAGCCATATTTAAGCCCAGCCCGTCTTAATCGGGACAACGCCGATGGAAGAATCTCTACAAAAGCGGAAATAACAGGACCTTTTTTTCATTTCGTTCTTCGACTGCCGTGTTGTGCCTTGATTTCCATCCTCGTTCCGCAGCGGCTCTCGGTGGCCGTGCGCTATTGTCGGGTAGTGCATCCGGCTGCCGAGCACAAGTACCAAAATTATGCAGGATGTTTTTGAGCGATGATTGGATAAGAATTTTCTGATTGCCAACTATTTCTGTTGGATTACAATGGAAACGTCGCTGATGCCATATGGCCGATATCTACATGCTAAAAACGCCGAAATGCACGAGTCATAACTTTACACGGATGTGGTTTTTTTGCCCAGCTCCATATAGTCCCAGCAAACTGCAATGTATATGTTAGCATATAATAAAATAATGGCATGAGTTGAAAGAAACTTACTTGTCCAGCCGAGATCGTCTCTAAAGTAGGACTGCATCACATCTTCACCGTAGGTGGTGCCGTCAGCGCCGCTGGCCACGGCCTTCTTTCCGATGGCCAGACCAATGCAGGGAGGCCATACCTCCAGCACTTGGTGCTTTACTTCTTGGCCGGTAAGCTCGTTCAGAATATTTTGGTGGATGTTCTGGGCAGCATAGTGGCCGCCGTGCATGGCGCCACCGCACCGCTTGATGCCCGGCCAATCGGCCGCGTCACCGGCGCAAAAGTGATATGATGCGTTGGGAAGTTCGCCAGCAATAGAAAGGCTAGCTCGGTTAGAAAATTGTATACAGTCATAATGAGGGCGAGGACTTACTTGGCGTTAATCTTAACGAGGCCCTCCGAAGTAAGGACCGACTCAGGGAGGTACGATGTAGTTGGTGTAGGGCGCGAGACGGCCATAATGACCTCTGACGCAGACAGGCGGTGACCATTTTCGAATTCGACGTCATATTTGATAGAACCATCAAGGGTCTCGACCTTGTTGGACTTGAGAAGGCGGTGGTTGAGAAGCACATCGACACCAGCTTCACGCAGCAGCTCAAGAGACCGGTCCTTGCATTCATCAGACAAGCCCTCAGACGACAAAAGCTTGTCGCGTGAATGAGCGAGTGTGACATTGACATTGGGGCAAACAAGCTTTAGTTCGGCAGCCATCTCGATACCGACAGCACCACCACCAACAACGACCACGCCGTGTCTGGCATTTGTTACAGTGTGGATTTGTTCTTCGGCCTCGATCAGGAACTGCTTCTTGGTAAGAGACTGGGGAACTGTGGGCCACACGCGGCGCAGACCGGTGCCGCAGAAGAAGTAGTCGTAGGCGTGGACGGTAGCCTCTTTGGTAACCGTATCGATAGTGGTAGCCGTCTTAGCGGCAGGGTCGACAGCAGTGACAGAACCAATAACAAAGTTGACAGACGGGTGGTCAAATGCAGGGATATCGGTAAACTTGACCCAAGCCTTTTTGGCGAAGTCTTTGTCGGCCAACGCAAGAGGAGAACCGATCAGGTGGTCTACTCGGGGTTAGCACAGTACAACTACCACAACAGCAACGGTTCAAACGCACAGTAGCCATCACGCTCGTCAGCAATGGTGATTTCAACAGAAATATTCTTGTGGTCCTTGTGATGAGCGTATTCTTCCTCGCCAAACATGCGCGGGTTACGGCCCTCACAGAGGTCGAGAAGGTTGCCAGCAGCGGACAGACCGGCATAACTTCCACCCGCAATGAAGACGCGGATAGGCGAGCGAGCAGCAGGCATCTTGAAAGGAAAACCCGACGTGGATGGGAGGTGGTGAGGTGAGGAAGAGAAGTGAGCAGCAAAACGCAGTCTTGTAGGAGGAGAGAATGTTAAGTGCCAAAAGGCTGCAGCGGCGTTGGGACGACGCAAGAGTGACATGTGGATAGCCGCGGGGAAGCGAACACACGTAACATGCTATTTGGCGGGCTTGGCTAGGGCGGCAACAACCCCCTCTTTGTGTTGGACCGTTGGGGAGACAAACGGTGGAGATAGTTCGGCACTCCGAAGCATACAGTTATCTGATCTCGCCGTTAAGCAGCAAAAACTGGGCTTCTCCATGCCATTGTCCACCATCTGGGTACTTACAGAGCACCGTACGACAGATCTACACGCACTTGCCTAGCGTGTGACTAACATTACCAAGAAGTGCAGATTTTTTGTGGCCATCCGGAGTTTTTCGCTCTAGAGAGAGCCGCAATCCACCAGCATCCACCTAAACCAGCTTGGCGTGGCCTAATGTCCAGCCGGAAACTTGAGGCACAGGATCTGATAAGGAGAGCATACCACCAAAACCAACTGTGAGCCATTTACGGCAAAGGCCCCTGGCGGCGACGGGGTACTGGGTCCTTAGAATAATGGAGATTGGGGAAGGGTTCCAATTAGCCGGCCAAGCAGTAAAAAAGACGCACACACACAAAAATTGTGCTTGCTGTTGGGGTAATTAGCGGTGCCCTCTTTTTGGTGGGTGCCTTTTTTGGCAGTGCAAAATTATCTGATCCGAAGCCCCCGCTTTTTTATCAATCAGTGGTTTTAATCAATCAGTAGAAGGGGAGCATCCACTAAAAAAGGCCACACTGTGTGCGCTGGGTGCAGGGCTCGGCACTCAACAAAGAGGGGAAAGTGGATGAGGGGCGTGTTTGGAAAGGAAAACAAGAAATAAAGTAAGCGAAAATGTCGTCTAGGGAAAAACACGGACTTGTCATGGGGGGCGTGTGCATCGGGAGAAGACGTCGAGGTACATTGGTCCTCCACTTGCGGTACTTAACTGGCATACTGGTAATTGCTCCGTGTATGTTTTACTGCCAGTCAGTGACAATGTAAACTGAAATGGTGCGATGTCGATCTCGTTCGTTTTGGTGGTCCTGAGGCACACCAACCTTGGCGACAGCAGCCACCGCACTACTAGCCTTCTGCCTCCTGTGTTGTTTTTGTTCAAAGTCACCGCCAGTCTGTGTTTGCAAGACTCCAAAGCAAATACACCAACGAACAATGGCGACAGAGGAAAAGGCAGCGGCCGTTGTGCCGGCAAAGAAGGAAACTGAGCCGCAAACCTCCAAGCTTGCTTCTGTATGGCGGATCTTCCCTCACCGTACTCTTGCACGTGCTAAACATCACCAACTAGTTCTTTAGCTTTTTCCACGCTCTCTTCTATGCGAACCCAACATGGGTTGACTACTTGCTTCTCACAGTTGGAACCATCACGGGTGCTGCTGCCGGTACCCCGTTTCCATTGATGGGAATCTTGTTCGGTCAACTCGTCGACAACCTCAACACTGCGTCGTGCACGACTGAAGCCGCTACTGTCGATCCCCAAGCCCTTCAGGCCGAAATCAACGACAAGATTCTCAAACTTGTCTACATTGCCATCGCCTGTATCATCCTCATATACACTTACCTCGTCTGCTGGAGCATCTTTAGCCGACGCCTAGAAGCCCGACTCCGCGACCGCTATTTCCAGAAGCTGCTGCGTCAAGATGCTACTTTCTTTGACAAGCGCCAGGCTGGTGAGCTGACGTCTCGTATGAATGCTGATATCCAGGCGGTTCAGTCGGCTACAGGCGAAAAGGTTGGTATTTGCCTTGCATGCACTGGCTTCTTCTTGACGGGTTACATTGTTGCGTTTATCAAGAATGCGAAGCTCGCTGCTATGCTACTATCGCTGATCCCTGCATTTATGGGCATGGCCATGATTGGAAGTACGTATACTGCAAAGTTTTCGACGTCTATGTCGGATGCAATCTCGTCGGCTTCATCTATCGCTCAGGAAACACTCTCCCATATTGCCGTCGTCCAGGCATTTGGCGCAGGTCCAAGGCTCGAGCGCAAGTTTGCCGCCATGATGGCTGTGGCCCAGCGAGAAGGTATCAAGAAGGCGTGGACAGCTGCCATACAAGCTGGAATGTTGTACTTTATTGCCTATTCAGCAAATGCATTGGCCTTTTGGCAAGGTAGCAGACAGATTGTCAGCTCTTTGCTCGGCGAAACGGACGTGACCATTGGTCAGATTTACACCGTCGTGTTTCTCTTAGTGGACTGTAAGTTGTTCGCCGTGTGTAGAGGAGACTCATGCTGACTTTGATCGTAGCTTGTGTTGTCCTTGGATACATCGCACCCCTTTTGCCGATTATTACTGCTGGCACTGCGTCTTTCCAAAAACTACGAGCCGATATCGACGCTCCATCAGCGATCGATCCCGGCTCTGAAGACGGTGAACATCTCCCAACAACAATTCAAGGCGGTCTCTCATTCCAAAATATTTCGTTTGCATACATCTCTCGCCCCGATAAGCCTGTTCTAAACGACGTCTCCTTTGAATGCCCAGCTGGAAAGTATACGGCTCTCGTTGGGTTGTCTGGCAGTGGCAAGTCCACCATTGCAGGGCTAGCCTCTAGAATATATGACCCTACCCAAGGCACCGTCGCCATTGACGGTCACAATCTCACAGGCCTCAATGTTAAGAACCTCCGCAGCTTCATGAGTCTCGTTCAGCAAGAGCCATCGCTGCTCGACCGTTCCATTCTTGAGAATATTGCCCTTGGTTTACTCAACTCACCTTGGGAGCAGCATCAGCGATTCCAGTCCCTCATTCTAAGCCCTGCCCTTGCTGAAATCGCCGCTCAGGTGCGCGATGGAAAGGAGTTTCACGCGACAGCCGCATCTCATAGCCCAGAAGCTGCTGAACTTGTTCGACTTGTTAAGGATGCTGCTGGTTTGGCTGATGCTGCTAGTTTTATTGAACGACTCGACTGCGGATATGGAACAGGTGTTGGAATTGGTGGCAAGCTCGTCAGTGGTGGCCAGCGTCAGCGCATTGCCCTTGCTCGTGCTCTTATCCGCGACCCCAAGATTCTTATTCTCGACGAAGCAACTGCATCCCTCGACTCGGCTAGTGAGAAGCGTATCCAGCGGGCCGTTGAATCCATTGCAGTAAACAGAACAGTCATCGCCATAGCTCATCGTCTGTCCACTATCAAGAATGCAGACAACATCATTGTTATGAACGCAGGCAAAATTATTGAACAAGGCACCCACACCGAATTGATGGCCAAGAACGGATCCTACGCCGGAATGGTCCGACTTCAGAATATTGAAGCTGAGCGCAACGACGATACAACGTCTACCGCCAGCACCGTCCGTGTTGACCGTCAATCCACCACTGAGAAGGATTCCATTGTCGATGAAAAGATTAGCAAGGCCACGGCAACTCCTATTGAAAAGGTGGAGGCTCAGGAAACCGAAAGCACACCTGATACACCCAACGATGCCGAGCTTGATGCTGCAAAGCCTGCTTCTGCGGTCGTCAAGCGCATCTTGGGCTTGATGCGCCCTCAACTTATGTATTTCGTGACAGCTATCATTGCTGGTATCATTGTTGGATGCACATTTTCTGCTGCTGGTGTTGTCTTTGGGTACACTATTGGAAGCATCAACCCATGCCACCCAATCAGCGAGATCCTTTGGGCTGGTTCATTCTACGGCGGCATGTATTTCCTCTTAGCAGTCGTTGAGCTTCTTGCAAACTCTGCCAGTTGGTCCGGCTTTGGATATGTCGCAGAAAAGATGCTTTACAAAATGCGAGTTCTGACATTCCGATCTCTTTACACTCAGAGTCTCGACTGGCACCAAGCCAGTGGGAGAACATCCGCATCGCTCCTCAGCGTCGTCACTGCTGACACCGCTGCTGTCGGTGGTTTTAGCGGCTCCATTGCTGGTACAATTTTCTCCATTATTGTCAACTTCCTGGTGGCCATTATCCTGTGCCATATTGTGGCTTGGAAAATTGCCATTGTCTGCCTTGTCATTGTTCCCCTTCTCTTCGGTGCGGGTATCATGCAGGTCCGTTCTCTCTCTCAGTTTGAGCGTAAGCATTCTAGTGCTTTCTCCAATGCTGTTGGTATTACTGTGGAAGCCATCAACTCCTTTAAGACAGTTTCTTCTCTCTCTATTGAAGAAGAAATCCTCGCGACTTATCGCCGAGCACTATCTGGGCCCCAGAAAGAGATGAACCTGTTTAGCGCGTACTCCAACTTTTGGTTAGCCATCTCAAGCAGCATCGGACATTTGATTTATGCCTTCGCATACTGGTGGGGATCATCTCGGATCAATGCTGGAGAGTACAACCAGACACAGTTCTTCATTGTCCTCATATCCATGCTCGTCAGCGCCCAACTATGGGGCAACATGTTCTCGCTGGCGCCAGAGGTTTCTCGCGCAAAGGCCGCTGCGTCTCGTATTCTCAGCTTGATGGACCTCAACACAAACCATGAGATTGATGAGAACAGTGGCGATGTTGAAGCCGCCGCTACTAGAGTCTCCCAGACAAGCGGCTCACCAAAGGGGTCTACCATAACATTCCGCGATATTTCATTCGCATACCCAGCTCGCCCTCACATCTCTATTCTCAACAACATGTCGTTTACTATTCCTGCAGGGCAATTTGTTGGATTGGTTGGCCCATCTGGAGCCGGCAAGTCCACCATCATGTCTCTGGTGCAGCGCATGTATCGTCCTACGGGCGGTGTAGTCGAGATCGACGGCGTTGATATCTGCGCTAGAGATGGTACCGACTTCCGTGATGATATTGCCGTTGTTCCACAAGACTGCGCCTTGTTCGAAGGCACCATCAAATTCAACGTCGGCTTGGGAGCCAGACCTGGCCAAGCTGCTAGCTATGAAGAAATTGAGGCTGCTTGCCGTCTCGCCAATATTCACGATACTATTTCATCTCTACCAGACGGTTATGAGACCGAATGTGGTCCTAATGGATCGCGTCTCTCTGGCGGCCAGCGCCAACGCCTCGCCATTGCTCGTGCTCTTGTGCGTCAACCACGACTGTTGCTGCTAGACGAGAGTACCAGTGCCTTGGATGCAGAGAGCGAACGTGCGCTGCAAGAAGGACTGGAGAGAGCTTCTAGAGGAATCACCGTCATCGCCATCACACATCGTCTTCATACTGTACGCAAGGCAGATGTCATCTTTGTTGTGGAGGGCGGCAAGGTAGTGGACAAGGGTAAACACGAAGAGTTAGTAGAGAGGAGTGAGTCGTATAGAATTAATGCATTGCAACAGATGCTGGATTAGTTGAAAAGCATTGGTTATAATAGTTATTAGAAGATAGATTGTATAATATCAGAGGTTTTCCTTTACCCCCATTACTTCGTATCTTGCCACCTGTCGCCAGCTGGCAGACGACTGTCAACTTTTTCATACCTCAGGCAACTTCCACTGTAGTATCTATGAATAAGTAGCGATTCACCATATATCCTGCTGCTATTATTGCAGCCCAACGTTAACCCTCACGCGACCATGGCTTCCACGTTACGCTCAGTGCGGAGAAGCCAGCAAATTTTCTCCAAATAATGTAGCATCTTTGCCACCTTTTGATGCTTCTTCCTGCAGGCCGTGGGTTCCGCCGTCAGCCACTGCTGCAAGCCCCCTTGCTCCGAATCCGGGGCGCCTAGCAGACCTAACAATAGCGACCCTAGCGTGCATCCACAGCGCATCAGAACCCCTACATCGGCCCAAACACCGCCTAAATAAAGCACTGTTCGGTCCACTAAATTGGCCGATGCTGCCCACTGAAGAAGCCTGCAGGAGCCGCCTGTGCACCAGGTGGGGTCACATGCAGGCGGTGGAGCACACTTCCGTCAGCCGCCCGCAATTGTAAGCGTCGTGATTTGCTGCCCGCGCACCAGCAAACGGAGCTAAACACCACCTGCACCCGCCGCGAAAACCCGCAGCGCAGTTGAAGGCAAGGACAAACAGAGGTTTAGCCGTTGAGCGACTGCTGGGGCCACACAAAAATATTGCCCTGCTCCAAGTTGATCGACTCGGGCCCGAACCGCGGACCGCTCTTCTTCCTCCTCCTCTCCTCCTCTCTTCCTCCATCACCAACCATCCTTTGCACTCCGTGCCGTCACGATTCAGGCCACCGCAGGCTCTGACTTTCCCTCCTCTGCTCCTCCGCGCTCCTCCAATCCCTCTCTAGGCGCCGTCCATCCTCGGAGCCAACCAATCTCCAACGACAGAGGAGGGACACCCGACTCCGACAGCCTCATCGTCATTGGCGAGTCCAGCTTCGAGCTTGACGACTATACACACATCCAGGCTGCAAAAGACGAAAAGGACCGCGAGCAGCGACGACTAGCCAAGAAACAACAGAAGCGCCAGTGGCTCGAGACTCAGGACGAAATGAAGTTCTCCCATAGCATCCAGTTCAACGCTGTGCCTGACTGGGCCAGTCACTACATTGCCTACAGCAACCTGAAGAAGCTGTACGTCATCCCCCATCCTGGGCACCCGGAACGCACCGAGATGCTAACCCGTAGTATAGAATCTACCAGCTTGAGAAGACAGCCGTGCAGAGCCGCGGCGGCGACAACGAATCCCGGCCGCTCATCTCCCATGAAGAACCCGATGATGTCTTCAGCAAAGCGCTCGGCATCGAACTAGAAAAGATTTGCTCCTTCTATGTTGCCAAGGAAGGCGAGCTCTACGAAGAGGTTGAGCAGTTGTTGCGAGATGTTGCTCAAACACAGCTCATCGAGGGCCCGACGTCATTGCATCGATCATCGTCAGATGCCCAGCGTGTCCGACGAACCAGCTCAGCTGGCCACACTACCGATGACATGGACATGGATGACAGCGGAGCAAGCGACGACGAAGACGAGACTACAGGTCTTACTCGCCAAGCTCGGTCTCAGGGCCGCCGACGAACGATGCCCAACATCATGGCGCACTCTACCGAGCTAACGGGTGCGTCTTCCGAGACTCGCTCCCGCCGATACAGCACAGCTTTCGACGATCTTGCCGGCGACCACATGTACGCCTCTGGACTCTACTCCTCGGGCATCATGCTCAAGAAGCGCATCATCAGCCTCTACGTACAGCTCTGCGAGCTCAAGTCGTATGTCCAGCTCAACAAGACTGGTTTCAGCAAGGTCCTGAAGAAGTTTGACAAGATTCTCGACAAGGAACTTCGTGCTCCGTATATGCGATCCAACGTCGAAACTGCGTACCCTTTCCGCGACGAAAATAAGAAGATTGTCGAGGAAAAGATTGCCCAGATGGAAGCGGCGTACACAGAGATTGTAACTAATGGCGACGAAGAACTGGCAAAGAAAGACCTCCGCTCACACCTGCGTGAGCATGTTGTCTGGGAGCGAAACACAGTTTGGCGTGACCTGATTGGTATCGAGCGTCGTGCAGAAGCACCCCGTCTCGGCCAATCGCTCTTGGGACGCGGCCAGAATGTCGTTTCCAAGAGACTGCAAGGCGACGACGACAAACATTCGCATACCAAGATTGTCAACACACCTTTGGGCCGCATCTCGCTGCCAAGCTGGCTCGCAAACACCTCTATGATCACACTCATTATTTCCATTGGCATCTTCTTCGCGCTCGTCTTCATCCCCATTTTGAAGAAGCCCGAGCAGCAAAACTGCATGGCCATGCTTGTCTTCGTCAGTATCCTTTGGGCAACAGAGACTTTGCCCTTGTTCGTTACGTCGCTTCTAATTCCGTTCCTCTCGGTTGTTCTCAACGTTGTTCGTGACGAGGACGGCCCTCATCATCGCCGCCTCAACTCCAAGGAAGCAACTTCAGCCATCTTTGCGTCCATGTGGAGTCCCGTGATCATGCTGCTACTTGGCGGCTTCACTCTCGCCGCTGCTTTGTCCAAGTGTACCATTGACAAGCGCTTGGCCACACTTGTTCTCAGCAAGGCCGGCACCCAGCCCAAGATCGTGCTCATCGCCAACATGTTTGTCGCTGCTTTTGCGTCTATGCTCATCAGCAACGTTGCTGCACCCGTGCTCTGCTACTCCATCATCGAGCCTATGCTGAGAACGCTACCGTCCGACTCCAACATGTCCAAGGCCCTCATCATTGGTATTGCCCTGGCTTCCAACATTGGCGGCATGCTCTCCCCTATTGCGTCCCCGCAAAACGTTGTCGCCATGGGTATCATGAAGCCGGCCCCTACTTGGCTCCAGTGGTTCTTCATCGTTATTCCCGTCGGTGTTGTGTCTCTGGTCCTGATTTGGCTCTTGCTTGTCGCTACCTTCCAACCCGGTAAGGGCACTGTTATTCAGCCTATTCGACCTCTCAAGGAGAGATTTACCGGCGTTCAATGGTTCGTCACCACTGTGACTCTTGCCACCATTGGTCTGTGGTGTGCCAGTCATCAACTCGAAGGCGTCTTTGGCGACATGGGTGTCATTGCCATTATCCCCATTGTGCTCTTCTTTGGCATCGGCATTCTCACCAAGGAAGACTTTAACAACTTCCCCTGGACCATCATCATCCTTGCCGCTGGTGGTTTGTCCCTGGGCAAGGCCGTTCGCTCGTCTGGCTTGCTGCATACTCTCGCTGAGATTGTGTCCAAGCAAGTAGAAGGCATGGGCGTATACGGTGTTCTGGTTGTCTTTGCTTCATTGATTCTTGTCATTGCCACATTCATCAGCCATACTGTCGCCGCTCTCATCTTCCTCCCACTGGTATTTGACGTCGGTACCGCCATGGAGCAGCCTCACCCCAACCTGTTGGTTATGGGAGGTGTCCTTATGTGCAGCGCCGCCATGGGTCTTCCTACCAGTGGATTCCCCAACATGACTGCCATTATGAAGGAAGATGCCGCTGGTCAGCGCTATCTCCAGGTCAAGCACTTTATCAGCAGAGGTGTTCCTGGCAGTATCATTACACTGATTGTTGTGGTAACAATGGGCTATGGTATTATGGAGGTGGCCAACTTGGATTAATATTGGACTTGCGTCACATATTAAGCTTCATATTTTGTATCTTCATTCTTAGAAACATCTTCATGTCATGATAATATCATTTTTGCATTTTCAATTTCAATTTCAATATTCATAACCAGTATATTATTCCTTCTTGCACTTGGAGCTGCCGCGCTATTCTGCACTCATTTAAAGCACAGTGCGCATGTCGTGGTCGCACTCCGCACTGTATTGTCATAGCTCCGATCCAGTGCTGTACGTTGACGTCGGTCAACTGACGTCGCCGCGACCGACGCTGCCACTTTGCAACAACACATCAAACAGCTCCCCTCACCACATTCAACTCTGTCAAAGCGCCAAAACTTAGTGCGAATACGAGGCGGCGCATGATATTTTCTATTTGATCAGGAAAATCAGCTTCGGGCTGTGGTATTCGCGATGCTGTCCGCGTTCACGGCCCGTCCTATCGTTGAGCTTCGTCAGCGAGACAAGTCCAAAATCGAAACCATAGTGACGCAAGGTACGGACAAGAAGAGACTTCTTTGAACCTCATTTGATTGCGAATTCCACTGCTTACGCTACTCTGCAGGTGACCGCGTCTTCGTTGGCCTCAACACCGGCGCCCTCCGCATATACCGACTCAACGAGATCCCCTCCAATAACCAACTCGAGTCTGCACCGACTAGCCCGACTAAAACATCGTCTCGCCCAGTCTCGAGACAATCACAGAAGCCTACTGAGCTATTGCGCGAAGTCGAAAAGTTCTCCACAAAGCCTATCGAGCAGCTGGCCATCATCAAGGAAGCTAATACCATAATATCGCTCTCCAACTACCATGTGTCGCTGTACGATCTGTCAAGCTACGAATTAATCGAAACCCTTGCGAGAACAAAGAATGCAAGCAGCTTTGCTGTCACATCTAATATTGTCAAAGATCCGGAAACAGGTATTCCTGAGATCATCAGCAGGTTGGCAGTTGCTGTGAAGCGCCGCCTCCTGCTCTGGAGTTGGCATGACAGCGAACTAGTGGACAACGTCGCTGAAGTGGTTCTCTCTGAAGCTATTCGAAGCGTAACATGGACGAATGCGACACAGATTGTCTGTGGTATGAATGGCGGTTATGTCATGGTAGACGCAGTCACGCACCAGACGGAAGATATTGTCAGCCCAGGTGCGGCTGGCGCTGCTGGTCAAACCAGTAGATTCGGCTCCGTTAGTAGCGCAGGTATGGGTTATATGGGCTTGGGAGGATATATACCGAAGCCGTTGGCCACAAAGCTGGCAGACGGTCAGGTCCTCTTGGCCAAGGACATAAACACCCTCTTTGTCGATGATACTGGAAAACCGCTGGACAAACGCCAGGTTCCGTGGCTTACGGCGCCAGAATCGATTGGCTACTCTTACCCGTATATTGTTGCTCTGGAGCCGCCAATTAAGGGATCTCTCGAAGTGCGCAGCCCTGATACGCTGTCTCTGTTACAAACGATAGCTTTGCCTGGTGCCGCACAGCTACACTTCCCACCTCCTACTGTTAGCTTAGCACATGCTGGTAAGGGCTTCCACATCTCTAGTGACCGCTGCGTTTGGAAAATGGGAGCAACAGACTACGATTCTCAAGTCAACGAGCTGGTGCAGGCCAGCCAATTTGACGAGGCTATTAGTCTTTTGGCAATGCTTGAGGATGCGCTTCTTAAGAACAAGGTGGAGACGATGCGAGAGGTCAAAATGCTCAAGGCGGAAAAGCTCTTTGGGCAACGCAAATTCCGACAGTCTATGGATCTCATGAATGAGGACGACGTCCACGCTCCTCCAGAGAGGGTGCTGAGACTCTATCCATCCATGATTTCTGGCGAATACTCAAAGTGGAAGACTCCGGAAGAAGGGTCCGCTGATGCCGCACCAACAGAAGAGAAGAAGGAAGAGATTCAACCATCTCAAGACTCGGAGACTTCTATTTTGCCTTCTGTCGGCGGAATAACGAGATACTTTATGGGAACTGGCACTCCAAAGAAGGCGGTGGATACTGCTTCTCTGGTGTCAAAGAAGGATGCCGACTCCGACCACACAGACTCAGACGACGCCAACGATGATAAGCCCCTCGAAGGCGATGCTCTGAAGGACGCTGTTTTGGAGCTGAATAGCTATCTGGCGGGAACCAGGGCTCGCCTGCAACGTGTACTCGACCCAGTTACCGGGAAGTTAAAGCCCCAGGCCGATAAAACGCCTGTAGAGGACCCAGCGGAGCGATTCCTTCGAATGGGTCAAAGCAAGGGTGATGTGGCTCACGAACAGGAGCTCCGGAAGACATTTCAGCTGGTTGATACTACACTCTTCCGCGCTTACATGTTCTCTCGGCCGGCGCTCGCGGGCTCTCTGTTCCGCATCCCCAACTTTTGCGATCCCGTTGTAGTCAAGGAGAAGCTTATGGAGCACAATCGCTACAATGAACTGGTCGACTTCCTGTTTGGCAAGAAACTACACAAGGAGGCCTTGGAGCTCTTGGTCAAGTTTGGCGCCGCCAAAATGCCTGATGAGAGCGCACCGACGCTTCACGGTCCTAACAGAACCATTCAGTATCTGCAAAACCTGTCGCCAGAATACATCACGCTGATCCTTGACAATGCTGGCTGGACACTAAAAGCGAACCCCGAGTTTGCCATGGAAATCTTCACAGGTGATACCGAAAATGCAGAGACACTGCCGCGAGACGACGTTGTCAACTTTTTACGCGGACAAGACACGGCACTTGAACGAGAATACCTCGAGCATGTTATTAACGAACTTGGAGACACCACTGTCGAGTTCCATAACCGCCTAGTCGAGCTCTACATTTCGTCTTTACAAGATATGAAGAAGAGCGATGCGTGGGACACGCTCATGGCCCGGTTTGTGACCTATCTCGGCGAATTCAAGCACATTTACAGCCTAGGAAAGGCATTTGGTCTAATTCCCAAAGATGATCCGTCCTTCTACGAGCCGCAAGCTGTGGTGCTCAGCAACATGGGACAGCATAAACAAGCGTTAGAAATATACGTCTTCAAAATGAAGGACTATGCCAAAGCAGAGGAGTATTGCAACCGAGTTTACAAGTCTGAGGAAGCCAACAATGGAAAGCCAGAGGCTGTTATTGAAGTAGCAGATGATGAAACGCCGTCTATTTATCACACGCTACTTTCTCTATACATGAAGCCACCGCCGCAACACAAACCGCAGCTCGCACCAGCACTGGACCTCCTCTCCAAGCACGGCGCCCGACTGCCCGCGTCGTCCGCACTCAACCTTATTCCCGACGACCTGCCTGTCAGTGAACTAGCCGCCTACTTCCGCGGCCGCATCCGCTCGGCCAACACACTTGTCAACGAGTCCGCGATTGTCAATGGCCTCCGCAAGGCCGAGTTCCTCTCCGTCGCAGCGCAGTTGCATCTTGGTGACGGCTTGCAAGACGGCCACAGCGGCCGCAGCAGACACGTTGTGGTTACAGATGACAGACACTGCGGCGTCTGTCACAAGCGATTGGCTGGTGGTATGAGGGTTGGCGGAAGCGTAGTGGCTGTGTTGCCGGATAACACGGCGGTGCATTATGGTTGTTTGAATCGGACGGGCAGCAGGCCTAGCAGTTCACGGCTGTCGAGCATGGCCAAGACTTCGTAATTATAGATACTTTGATAGGCGGCGGAGAAGAATAAAATACCCCCGTTGGTTTTGCTTGATTCATTCTTCTTCCTCGACGACCTCCTCGCCGTAGTTTTCTTCGTCCTTAGCATCGTCTGCCGCGGAGGAGGTGTTGTTGCGCGCGTTGTCTTCTTCCATGCGTGCCGTGAGTTCCTTGTTAATCTCGGCTTGGGTCTTGGTAACGGCTTCGCGGAGGGCAGTGAGGAATGCAGTCTTTTCGGCGGTGGTTGATGCTGATGCGGGGAGGGGAGTGGATGTGGTGAAGGCCTCGTTGGTGGGCGAGGAGTATGTTGCCGTGAGGGATGGGGTGGTGTTTTCAGCGGCCATTGTGAGGGTGGTGTGTCTGGTGATGTCGTGGTGATGGTGACGTTGGAGGTGAATGGATGAGAGGAGAAGTTTTGGTGAAAAAGACGTTTGTCGTTGTTTTTGTTAGCGGGGGAGAAGGCAGCTGTTTATGGAGGGTCCACAGCTGGATGCCCCAGAGGGGCGACAATGTAGTTTTAGTACATGTTGAAAGACGAATAAAGTATTTAAAATATAAGAACATTATTTAATAGAGCATAATATTTTAATGGGGTAAAGTGTAATTATGTATAAAGATCGTAGTGGGTGGTAGCCTACAGCATGTGTTACCCTATAGTGTTTTTGCTGTTGCTTGCGGTGAACATGCACCCCAAATTTTGGCAGTAATTAGCTATTGAAAGCCGATTGAAAGAAAAGTGAATCTTGATTGTTTTACTCTAGTGAATTTATTTCTAATTGTTGAAGGGGAATACTTTTTATGCCTTGTCGTAGATGGTTAAGCCAAGCTCGTATTGGAGCAGTTCGTGTATCAGCCACTGTGGCTATATGCAGACTTGAACAGAAGAATGATAATGATAAAACAAATTATAATCTGGAAATAACAAATAAATGAACACTTCACTGTTCATCTGTTATTAATTCCCATTAAAATAAATACATAAACAAGACTAAGCAATAAGCTTTGCTTTCCCTGAACCCAGCGGCTGTCAGCCCTCCCAGTAACCAACCAAACAACCCCTCTCTTGGCAACCCCACAGCCACACCACCCACCACCACCACACGGGCCGCTAAACAAGGGACACAGACAGACACTTACGTAGCCCAAAGACGCCACTTTGCCTGCTCTGGAATTGTCTCTCTTCAAAACACACCACAGACAACGGCACAACCACCACCGCCAAACCCGCCCTTCTTTTCCCTTTTCCTTGCTTTTTTTGCAGACTACATTATCTTCTGCAAGGAAGCAACCCCTGCCATCGCCTGCATTCTACGCATAAACGCCACCTTGGAATAGAAGCTTAATCCGCCTAGTCTCCAACAAACCGTGAACCAGCCAACCAGCCAAACCCACCACCATGGCCACGCCCACCACGACGTAGCTTCACCGTCGCCTGCAACGTCGCGATCCAATATCGCTTTACGCACAGTCTACATAAGCCATGAACTCGTCGTCAGCCTCGGGCTCCGCCGGTGGGCAGCGCTCCCACTCCGGCAGAGCCCCAGGCAGCTTCTCACCACTCACCTCGTCATCCACATCGCCCAACAAACCATCGCAGTCTCCGCGACCGCTCTCGCTCACTCGAAGAGCGCCGCCGCCTCTCAACATGGACAACTTGCCCTCGGGCAACGATGGCCCTAGCTCCGCCACCCTCACGACCCCGACCATAAGCATCTCCAAGAGATCGCAGCGAGCCGGCTCTCCCGCGACTCCCATCTACAACCAATTCGCTTCCGCTGCCAGCACATCCTCTCTACACAACTTTTCCCGACCGACAGGCTCGCCGCGGGTCGTCACACAGGGCACCTCATCGCCTCTTGTGCGTGGCGAGACGAGACGAGTCACAGCCACCCAAGGCTCGTTCGAACCGACCATGCCGTCGACATCCAACCAAACATCAGCAGCGGCTCTAACCGCCAGCCAAATAGCAGCACAGGCAGCCGTAATGTCACATCATAAATCTGCTGGCACCATCGCACACTCACGGCAGCGATCGCAGACGGTTCCCATGTCTACCGACAGCGGCGATAGCTCTCGCCGAAGCAGCGGCAGCAAAGCGTCGGCCGGGCACCCGTCGCTACAATCTGCAGAGACAGCGCCAAGCGGCCAGACAAACGGTGGTCTGGGCATCATGCAGATGGACAGGCTAGGCAATGCCAATTCCACTGTCGCTACTACCGCTGCCAACGTCGTATTCCCGCGATCTGGCCATACTTCACCAAAGGACGCCAACCAACCGCCGCCTTCACCGCTCCCGCTGCCTCCGCCAATCCCGGTGTCAATGCTAGAGAAGCCAATCTCCAGATCGGAAAAGGCAAAGTCTAAACTGTTTTCGCGCACGCCAAAGATGCCCGCGAGCAAGTCCGACTCCAAGGAAAAGGCCCTGCCAAGCCCTAGCAAGATTGGCTCCGCCTTGTCAGCGTTGCAGCGAGCCAACTTTAGCACAAGCAGTCTCGTAGACTCGTCCAATTCTTCCATTTATAGCCTCGGCAACTCATCGTCTGCCACAATCCGCCCTGCTGACTCCATGTTTGAGGACAAGACCAAGGAGAAGAAACACAACTTTTTGTCGCGGCAAAAGCAAAAGCTCAAGGACGAGTATCATTTATCGTCCGTGGCTAGCAATTCGCGGCCCACGGATCCCAGTGCGCCAAGCAGCCTGTACAATTTTCACTTGCCGTCGCTTCCGACAGCGACAAGTAAGAGCAAAAAGGACAAGAGGTTTGAGCGTTCCGAGAGCCGCCTGGACAATGAGTCCACTTTCAACTTTGGCAGCGATTGGAACGGGGGCAATGCGTTCCCGTCGCTTTCGCAGACGTCGACGCAGGACTCTACGGATCATGGCAGGCTTGGACTACAGCCTCCAAACGGTCTTGAAGAGGCGCTGCCATACTTGAAAAAGGTTGTGCATCTCCTGTTTGATCATGAAGATATTCGCACACCGATCGAAGATATTAATCGGGTTGTGCAGATGCACATTCAGCTGTGCGTGCACAGACGAACGCCCGAGCTAGTGGTGGAAGACTTTCGAGATCTTTTGGGCAACGCTTTTGCATCGCTGGACCAGAGCTTACGAACGGCTGGCGAAGATAGATTTCTCCCTACGCTGGTTGACCTCTGGCTATTCACATTTGCTACGGTATTGCCCTACTTACAGGCAGTCTTTTTGCCCTTGGACATGGAGGTAGCGGGCCATGGCAGCATCATACCAACAGAACAGGCCCGTACCCTCTGGCAAGGCACGGAGAGCCACAGCAATGGCCAGGTCCGCCGCAATCCCACCGAGATCAACGTCAGAATGCTGGTCCTCAAGTCGTACCGTGATCTGGTGGTTCTTCCCCGCTACGATACACTCAAAACCATCTTCTCCCGCCTGTCGTTGGAGTTTCTCCCGGCTTCTCTATCTGCTACGCCTGGAGAGCTCACCATGTCTACGTCGCCGCCTGAGTTCTTCCCGCCCATGGCGCCCATGGCTCGTCCCGGCACAGCTGCGTCTCTTGACCCATCAGTGGCCTCTTACAACTCCACAAGCTCTACCGCATTTGGAGACAGCGGCTCGGGATCAGGTGGTGGGCGTAGTCGTGCCGTGAGCAATGTCAGCTACGTCAGCCATGCCAGCGACGGCCACCGTCCGTTCACCCCGGGAGGCCACCAGACCCTGTCTAGCGTGCGCGAGCAAAACGTGGAGAGCTCCAAGGCCGTGACTGAGCTTGCTGGACGCATGTTGCAGTGCATGAGTGTCTTGTCGGGCCTCGGTGGTACAGACAATGCTGATGATGAGGCTCGTAAGAAGCTTACAGAGCTGTGCCGAATGCTCAAGCTCAATTGGCTCGGACGAGGACGAACCGGACGAAACAGACGAGGCATTGTAGGAGGACGAGTGAAGCGAGGCGATGCTCGCGAGGAAGTACGCGTTGCTTAGAACGGAGACATTGACGCCCTTGACATGACGGGCTTGCTTACTGCTTGACAACGCAGATATACGAACAGGACTTTGTACAGCATTCACATAGGTGCACAGGAGTATTGATTTTTCTTCATGGAATAGTATATTTATTATTGATTGTATATGGAGCTGTGGTGCCATGGTGGGCAAGAGGATTTGGCAATAAATTGCGAGTGGGCCTAGAAAACTTTTCAATCGAGTTAGCCTCAGCGTCATGAATGCTTGTGAATAAAAGAAACAAATGACCAAAGGGGTTGTGATTGTATATCTCAGACATCCAAGGAAGTAATTACCCTCATCTGTCCCAGTTTTGGCTCTTAGGGACTCGAGTGGAAACTGCGAATTAAATGGGAAATTTCATCATCGATATGGAGCTCGAGGCTCTCGAAGAAAACAAAAGGAAAAAGAATGGTGCGTAAAAGAGCAGAGGACAAGCAACACTTACATTGGTGGACATTCACAAGCTCTTCAAAGCTGCATGTGTCTAGTTAGTTCGTTCGTCTCGGGTCCGAAGATATTCTGAAGCTGTCTGATTCCCAACATGTTAGCTAGCTGGTCAAAAACGACACAAAAGGCAGCGTGTGAGTGTGAAGGGGAATGAAATCCATGAGGAGTCATGGATAAAAGTCAGACAGAGTATACTGGCAAGTAACAGGCTCCCGGCGAAGGGAGCCCGAAGAAACTTCATGGTCGATTCAGTTATGGAAAAGAAGAAAAGGTATGTGTCATCATTCAAGACGGACAAGCCAGTAGCTGGAGCAGCGTACTCGCAGAGAGGCCAGGGGGAATTGGGCAATGTGTGATGTGTTTTGTGTGTTGATAGACGAAACTTTGCTTACCTTGAGCTAAGAATATCAACAGCAAAACTCTTCCGTTCTGGCCAGCCTCAACAACCCGCACGCTGTGAATAAAATATACACAAGTCTCAAATGAAAGACTCGAAAGCTTCTCAAGGAAGTCGTATCGGCACGGGGAGCTTGTGGCCAGCACAGGGAAAAAGTTTTGCTGTTGGAAGTGAGGAACAAGAAGAGAGGTTAGAAAAAAAAAATCAGGTACGAAGTTAATGTACTACAGTGCCCCAGTGAAATTTTTGCGCACTCTTCGCACTGTACCTGCTCACGTGATGTAATTTCCGTTTTGGGCGGTGCTGTGGACAGGGGTTGCTGTGTGCGCAACGGGTAGACTTTGATACAGCGGCACAGGGTGGCCGTCTGTGGGCATATTTTGAAGCGGTTAAATCGACGAGTATCACGGCGATTTCCTCAGTTTAGCTGTTTACAAGGCCTGCGTGATTTTGAATGGAAAGCCCAACTGGGCAGGGATTCGGCGTGCGTGGTGGTGACGGTATAACTCGCTACGTGCATATCCCCGGTGAAAATGGCGCTAAGGACGGCGCTAGTACAATATCCCATACGACATGACACGGATTTGTTCCCCAGCCACCTGTACGGCTAGGGACTAAAAATAAATAGGTGGTTATACTGGCAAATAGCATGGGGGAGTGGGCGGTTTATTGTGTCGCTGAAGCAGTTACATCTCGGTTTCTTTCATCCGTCCTGCTTAATTGCATATCCCGATTTGCGCGCCGCAGGCCCTGTTGGCTGTCAGTGTCTGCGGCGCTCCCGCGGTACATGGGATCCTGAGGTTTAGTGTTTTTTTAGTAGGTTGCCAGCGCGGGAATAGGCACCCGCAAGGCAGTTAGTTGTCAGTAGAGGTTGGTGAGGCGGCTGAGCTGGGGGAGAAGAGTCATATATGTGCGTAGAGACAACGCTGTGAGTAAAATTTAGTAGATATGAGGTGGAATATGGATAGAAGAGTGTTTAGTAATGATGATTCTTTAATTATTTTTAAGTTTGAAATCGTCGTTTGGAGTGGGAGGGGACGACGGCGAGTTTGGACGTTTTTCTTCAGCGGGTTAGTGTTTCAATTTTACAGCGCTGTTACAGGCGGGTTGTGCGCTGAAACCGCTGCCCCCTTCGTGTCCTGCAGTGGGAGGCAGTTCTCTGGGGCTCTAGCCTAAAGCAGCGACTGGCGTTCAATGTCTTTGCAGCGGCGGTGGGAGGGATTTTGCGCATATTTAAAATACATGGAAAATATAGTAAAGAAAAGAAGCAACAATTGTATCTAGCTGTGACGAGTTCTTTTTTTATTCGCCCCCTTGTGATACTTGGGACGGCGCTGCTGCGACACCGTCCAACACCTGCCCCCCCCGTGACGCGCGCGGCGCTTGCTGCCACTGTACACTCACTGCTGCTACTACCTGCCAGGTGCCCGCCAGCCTCTCGCACTGCCAACACCTGGCCCGTCTGCCTTGCACTCACACTTCTCCGCCGTCTCTTCCACCTTCTCTCTCTTCCTCTCTCTTCATCCCGCAATCTGCAACGGCCCTTCGCCTCCCCTTCGACCTCCGGGCCATCGCATCTTCGGCATCTTCGCTATTTGGCATTGAGTTGACCTTGGATCGTTCGCTCCGATTTCTTCGCCGTTTCTCCACGAACCTTGCGTCGCGATTTTGCTCTTTTGTCTTCGCCGCAGCCCTCTTCCCGCCCCGTCGCACATCGCCAGTGGGCCTACGCCTCTCCCTCTCGCTATCTCGCATCTGCTGGCTTGTTTGGCTTGCGTCGTCCATCTCTCGACTCCTCTCCTCCTGCGTAATCGCTCGTCGTCGCCCGTACCACGACCCCCTTTCAACCGTCTTTTCCGCGAATTCTGCTTGCCTTTGGCCGCATGTGGACGCAATAACGCCACGCGCATCTTACTCTCCGTCTCGGTCATTCCCACCCCCCGTGGGCGCTGCCGTTCAGGCTTACCTCGATATAATTTTCTAGATTACAATGATGGCGGCGAGCATCGGACCAAATTTCACAGGCCATCCCGCTGGTATGGGTCATCCCGGAGTCGCTGGACACCCCATGGGACCTGGCATGGCTCCCAACGCCGGCCAGCCCGGTACGCCCGGCGCCGGTATGCCTCATCAGTTTGCGGCCGGGCCCATGGCTGGCCAGGTAAATCCTGCAATGATGGGTGGCATGCCTCCTGGCGCCAATCCCAATATGCATGCTCTCCAGCATCTCAACCCTACTCAGCAGCAAATGTTCCAGCAGCAGCAGATGCACTGTAAGTTTGCTACAGCCCCGCGAATGACTACTTGTTACTCATCGCTAACTTGACCTACAGTCAGCAACCCCAATAACATGGCCGCCATGCGATCGCAACAAGCACAGATTATGCAGCAGCAGGCTCAGCAGCGAGCCATGATGGCCCAGCAGTTGCAGCAGTCTGGCATGCAGGTCGGCGCAAATGGCATGCCTATGCAAATGCAGGCTATCAACAGCGCCCAACTCGCCAGTCTTAACCCGCAGCAAATTGCTGCTCTCCGCCAGTCTGGAAGACTCAACCCTGTAAGTGGCTAGCTTGCGTGTACATCATATCACCAGTTTACTGACTTTCTCCCCTTTGTAGAATCAGGCGCAGGCTCTCATGGCTCACCACATGGCCATGCAGCACCAGAATCAACAGCAGCAAGCCCACCAACTACAAAACCAACAGCAGATGGCCGGCGGCCCTAATGCAGGTCAACAAATGCTGGGTCCTCCTGGTATGCCCAACATGCAGCCTGGCCAGATGGCACCTGGCCAGAACCCCATGGCTGCTCAGCAGCAGGCCCAGCAGCAGGCCCAGCAGCAAGCCCAGCAACAACAAGCTCAGCAACAGAACCAAGCTGGCCAACAACAGCAGCAACAGCAGCCTGGCCCACAAACGCCTCAACAAGCTGGACAACAGCAGCAGCAACAGCAGCAACAGGCTCAGACCCCAGGACAGCAGGGCAATCAACAAGCGCAGCCCACGCCACAACAGGCTTCGCAAGCTGGCACACCGGCTCCCACTGGCGCGCAGACCCCCGCGCAGACCCCAGGCCAGCTACCACAACAGGCTCAAACGCCCCAGGCCCAGATCCAACCTCAAGGACCTCAACAGATGAACGCCCATCTCCAGGCCGTTGCCGGTCAGCAGCAGCTCAACCCCGCTCAGCAGTTTGCTATGATGCAACAGCAGCAGCGTCGGGAAAACATCAAAGGTCAGTGCTTGCTAAAGCTTCTTCAGTTCAGCGAGGCTCTTAGCAGCTTCCCTGGTTCGCGCGGCAAGGACGACCTCAGCTACTGGAACGCCTTTGTGTTCCGGTTCTTCTCTCCTGTTGCCGTGTTCAGACATTCCATGTTTATTACCGAAGGCGAAGAGACGACCGAAAAGCAATACGAGATTGCCTTCCCCGCCATCGCCCGATACTTCCACACACACTTTGGTAGCGGTGTCAAGAGCATGCAAGTGATTATGGATCGCGGCCTTGCTGATCGACCCCTACCCAACGACGGCCACTGTATCGAGAGCGCCAAGACGAACTGGGTTTACTGGTTTGAGACGGGATCGCATCTAGTCGCCACGGGTACACTCCGCGCCCAGTTCGATGCCGAAGCGCGCCTCGAGGTCTTTGAGTTTATGACTATGAACCACGAAGAATACATTGCTCGCAAGCAGGTTATCGATGCCGCCAAGCCGGCCCATATGTGGATGAAGGAGTGGCACAAGGTTAACGCCCAGGATGGCAAGGGTTCCCCCGAGATGTCCAAGAAGGGTAAGGCTAAGCAGCTCAAGTCTCCGCAGACACAACCGCCCGAAGTCCTCGTCGATCTCCCTGATTCAGCCGTCAACAGCAAAGGCGTCACGCAGGCCGTCCACCAGTTCCTCGAGGTTGTCGAAGTCATGGGCCAGATGAATCCCTTGTTTGCCTTTACGCATTCCAACCCCGGACTCGGCCCATATGCTGCTCTTGAGCAGTACGTCTCGACGTATATCAACGGCCAGCCCATGCCTGGCGTCGCGCCTCGCACGCCCAGCTTTGGCCAGTTTCCCATTGGAGCCAGCCCAGCCGCGGCTAACATGAACCTGCCCGGTTCCCCGCACGTTGGCAGCCCTGCTCCCGGCGCCATGCAGGCCCCCAACATGGCGATCCAGGCCAGCCAGCAAGGAACCAGCTCTAGCGGTCCCAGTGCCAACACCTCGCCCGCCTCCAACAAGCGCCGACGCCCATCCGCCGTAAAAGCTGAAGACGACGGCTCTGGTGCCGGAACGCCAGCCAGCGTGAACGGCGTGGCGCGTAAGCCTCCCACGCCGCGCATGCCCAAGCGTGTCAAGGGCAACCCATCATGATGACTGCTCAATGAAACAAGGAAACGTTTGTTGCATGGTAGCGTTGGTCTTTTTTTTATACTGCTTTGGAACGGTGTTTTGCGGGCAACTTGCAGACATGGCCGTGGCGAACACAAAATACAGGAACATATCACTTCTTCGTCTTCTACGGGAACCCCACATATGGACAGCATTTGGTTTTATTTGCTTGCTTGCTTGCTGTTGCCTTGGCCTTTCAGCAACTTTGGTGTTGGTAGTCTTTCACTTGCCCTCGTCTCGACTCGTTGAGGCGAGAACCTGTCTTATATTGTTATTCTCTTGTCCCATGCAATGGGGTGGTTTTTATTTTTCGGCAACAAATGAAAGGAACGAATGAAGCGTAAAGAGAAAAAGAAAAAGAAAGCCCTGGCTGCAGCGTCCTTGCGTGGAGGTGTTAGTAGCGAGGAGATACCCCGTCTGGCAGGCAAGGGCCGAAGAGTGCAACGTAATGTGCCATTTGATTCTTCATTTTTTTTTCTCTGGGAGGCGAGAGGAGTGTAAACAGGTCCCCCCTTTTGTCTCTTGCTTTTTATTTCTTGTTCTTTTATTTCTATTTTTTTTTTGGGTAGAGGTGGACAAAAGGGTTGGGCTTTGACTTTGACTTGATTTGATTGGAGGGTATGCTTTTTTTCTCTATCTTTTGCGATTCTTGCTTGGCGATGGGTATCTGTACGATATACTACCAAAAATTCATTCTCACTTTTTTTTTTCTTCATAAAGATGTTTAGAAACTTGTGATGTGTCTATACTTTAAGATCCTACTTGAGTCTAGCTAGTTGATATGAAGGCTGTCTAAGCTGGGATATTGGAGTGAACGCTCTTGAGAGAAGCAGCGTCTCCTAGATTTGCATCATGCTGCGCACTGCTCCTACGAGATCTTTGAGATCGAATGCTTCCTGCTGGTGAGCCTGGCTGACTGGGATGTAGAGACATGGTTCGTGGGCTGCTGTGTCCGGATCGCTGACTTGGTTGCCGTGATGGAGGCGCCACGATGCCGTCTACACGGGCTGGAGGGGCAGGATTAACTGCCTCTTCAGCCTGTGTTGGTGCGTCTGAATGGACGCTTGCAGGTGATGGTGCCTGCGAACGAACACTTCTTGCTGCTGATTGTCCGCCATCTGATATCCTCGAGTGAACACTTCGAACCGATTCTCTGCCTGATCGCACACTCGCCGCTGCAGCAGATTGTCTACCACCAGACATCTCCAAAGACACACTGGCTGCTGTTGATCGTCTACTATTGGACGCAACAGACTGTTTCCTCTCCTCTCGCATCTCGACAACAACCATAATGTCTTCATGCTCCCCAGTCTCTCTCAACATATCGTTTAGTCTATCTTCCCATCCATCGCCATCTGAATCCACCACATTGACTACTTCGCCGAGAACAACTACTCGCCCGCGGTGGCAGTGAACACCAACTTGGCCCTTTGTTCGCATCACACGGACAGATGTATCTTCTTCGTCACTCACGCCATTCTGCGCAGCAACACAAGCAACGGCTCCTTGCACATCTTGTGCCGTGAGGGACGCTAGTTCCAGCTTAGCGTCTGATAAAATGGTTGTGGAAGCGCTGATGAGAATAATGCGAATATGAAAGGATCGAGTAGCTGGTGGTGCTGGAAGAGGTGGTGGAGAGGGCGAAGCTTCTAGCGGACTAGTGGCAGGTTGGTGAGGGTGTTCGGATGCAGCAGGAGTGAGAGGCTCACTTGGTTGGGGGTGAAACATAGAAGGACCAATCGCCCAGGGTGGCGTGTACATTGTCGGGGCCTGAAGAAGTGGCGATGGGCTTGGGATGGTTATAACGGGGTGTTGGTATCGTGGTTGTGGTGTCATGTAGGTAGTTGAGTAGGTGGGATATGGACCGATGAAAGCTGCTGAAGGTCGAGGCCTGGTGTAAGTCGGTTGGTAAGGGGAAGCTGGGTGGTGGTAGTAAAAGGCAGACATTTCGAATGTAGTTTGAAGGTTTGAGAATTTGATTAGTTGTAGTATCTGAAAATGTTGACGGGACCTCGCGCCGTCTTAAACGGTGTGTCGATGGCTGTGAATCTATAAAACCATGGGTCACGCTCTCACTTGTCCGGGTACCATTCAGTGTAATAGAGTTGAATTCTGATGCGGCGCTATATGTACAGTGTTCCCTCTCTGGGCCCAGATTGCCAACTAATGCTTTATATGCTATCCTTCATAACAAATCATCATCCTTTTATCATAGCTCCGTTTAATGCGACACTTCTGTGCCCGGAGACTCGTGCTTTGCAGTGCTACCCTTGCCGCGCCAGGTGCTCACGGCAGGAATGTTGGCAGAATACCGTACTTCCTCCGTTCCGTAGGCTCGGGGTGTAAGCTTGATCAGTGTGTGGAGAGGTACATTCATCCACGGGCTCTTGGACTGGTCATTCTTCATGAAGTAGGCGTAGATGCAGCGAAGGACGGCCTGGTGAGTCACAATCAGGATATCCTCGCTGCGCTCCAGCTCCATGATGATGGGCTCCAGGCGGATGACTACGTCGCGGTATGATTCACCGCCAGGATAGCGGTAGTTGTACTTGTCCTCGTCGCGGGCGACAAAGTCTTCCGGATACCGGTCCTTGATTTCCTGGTAGGTCAGGCCGTCGCACACACCCGAATCCAGCTCATCAAGCGCTTTCCACTGGAGCTGGTTGTAGTGAGGAGGGAGGAATCGTGCGGTGGCAATGGTTCGTCGCAGAGTGGATGTCCACACTGTCAATGGGCGGTCGTCCTGTTCTTGGTTAGCTTTCGCAGTACAGATTATGTCTAATCACTTACGCCGACTGAATCGCGAACCATCTCTGGGAGCTTTCTGGCATAGAGCTCGCCGCGCTCAGATAGTAATGCGTCACCGCCAATTTGGCCACCAAGGTTGTACATGGATTCACCGTGCTAGTAACTGTTAGAAGAGCTAACCTTAGAAATAAAACGGACAGTGACATACTCTAGAGAGCCAGACGGAGCGGGGGCGAATGTGAAGGTTCATGAGATAGTACACAATGCGACTTTGCAAGTAGTCTTGGATGCGGTTGATGATGACCTGCTTGCCAATGTTCAGAATCTTGAGGTATGTGTAGTCGCTTTCGTCGCCGTCGCCATCAATGGTCTTGTAGACCTTTTCATAGTGGCGAATGCGGTTGCGGAAATCTTGAGCCGCCTCTTCGGGATCTTGGCCCTTGTAGTCGGGGCTGGTAGTCTTGACATCGCGGATGTTGGCCATGATGGTTTCCTCGTCGTCGCACTTGGACTCCACAAAGAGAACCTCGATGCCCAGCGCACCGCACTTTTCCGAGATCCATTTGCGGCGCTCCTTTGTCGAATTTGTTGCGTCGAGAATTCCTACGACGCCGCCTGCTTGAAACCAAGCAATCATGTCGGCAACCGCCGCCTCTGCAGCTGCGCGGCGTTTTCTCTCGCCCTCCTGGTTATTCGTGTCGAAGAAGTCGGCGGTGGGCTGTGGTGCGTCATTGCGCCGGTAATTGCCGACGTTGAAGGTTTTTGAAGGAATGGAAAGCCACGCAAGATACCGTTGTGCTATTTGCGGTTTTTCAGTATGATATCATTATATTTGTAGCAGATAGACCGGGGACAATGCTTTAGTTGACCGTTTTGGCCAACTCCATCGCGCGCAGCCCACGGGCTACCGAAGCCATATCGGCAGGCTTGCCGGTTGCTGTAGGAGGGGCAGACTTACCGATCTGTGCAATGTAGCTCTTGCCTCTGGCGGGCAAGCCTACCATTACCACGCAAATCTTGGTTTCATCGGCCTGTACGCCGACTCCGTTAACTTTTGAAGGCATTTTGGAAGACTCGTCGTCTGCTGTGATGTGGTGATTGGGTGAAGGAAGCACTGGCTTCCTGTAGAGAGGCAGCAGCTCCAGGCCGCTAAGGATTGACGGTGGGTGGTGGGTTGATGAGGGGTACAGAGGGCCCGCGATCCCACGACGAATAATATGAACAAGAAAGAAAAGTGCTCTTTGGCGCAAGGTAATGACGTTGGAGAGTAAGAAAGGATTGGAACAAGCAGTTGACAGGACAAGGACGCAAACTGGTCGGTTCTCTTTTGGGGAAAAAAGGTTGATCGCGTGAGGCGGCCTCGGCTTAGTTCCTCCACCTTGTCCCGCCTCTTTGCAGTCTGGATCCCCCTGTAGTGGCACGCACCCCCACTGGCGAGTTGCCGCTAGAGACAGAGGCAGAAGGTAATAGTCGGCGCAGGGCGGTATGTGGCTCGGGGGAACGGCAGCGGGCTACCGGGGACGGAGAATATGGGAATGAGGCTGGAATAGCCGTTGATGGCTTGCCGCGTGACGAATGGAATATAAATTGCAAATGGGATATAACACAACAAAAGTGAGGCGAAGGGCGTCTTGTAGTGTGTGTGTGTGTGTGTACTGGGGGCATGTGGGCATCGTGATGGGATGAAGATGGAGTAGAAGAAGCAAGATCAGTGAGGCAACAAGGATTTGTACCAAATAGGTTGCCAGCTGTCTGCCACTTGGCAGCAGAGTGTCGCGTGGACATTATACCCAGAATGGAATAAGCAAGCGAGAAATATGAATATTATTTTTGCGGGGGATGCCAAAAGCAATGCAAATAGCCAATGCTCATCATGGTACCATCTGTGCCAGCTGGTGCAACTGCGCCAGGTGTACCAACTGCAGCAGTGCAAACTTGCTCCACTGGCTGGACCCGAATCTATCCGACCTACAATGGGCGGATATCCGACTTGCTTGGCAGCCAACTTGAGGAATCACAGAAACAGACTCAGTATTGAATCAAAATATGAGTCAAAAATAAGCAAACACTCTGGATTCAAGGCAACAGCGCATTGAGAATCAACAGGCGCTTGTCCAGTGAACCCCGCCAGAACAAACCCACTCGTCTTCTCACCGCTGCAATCCGTCTGAGGAGTTGGAGATCAGACCTGCAGCTTGGGAGAAGCAGGGTCTAGAGCGGGTCTATAACAGTCGACTTTCAAAGTCCAGAAATAGAAGGAGAACCGAAAGACTTACACGACTAAAGTTCCATGTGTTGGCTCTGGCGCGACCTCGTGCCTGTTCTGCCGTTGACGTTGGTGGACCAGCAGCAACACCAATCATGATTGTCGATAATGGTGAGTTTCTAGTGAGCTCTATTAAGCAAGAACTAAACCTCAAGGAATCTGTGCTTGCTGAAGTTGTGACAATGGCGATTGCAGAAGGTAACTCAACAGCTAGCCCGTGGTTTCAATACTAAATCTACAGCAGATAAGCGCGCAGATCTTGACCCCACACTTTTTACTGAAAAGTACTCTTATCATAGAAATACAAAGCATTACTGACAACGACCAATGACGGCAAAATATATATCATAAATTACTTGATTATACTAGGTACGGGGAATGTATGTACATTATTTACCACCATCCGCTTAGAACAGAGGATCGGTGCTGCTAAAGTCCTCGACCTTGCCGAGCAGAACCTGAAGCATTCTGTAGCCACCAGAGAGCGAGTAGCCAGGAACCTCGTGACCAGCAAGATGGATATCGTAGAAGGTGAGGCCGCGCTCCTTGACGTAGACACCAATGTTTCCGCGGGGTCCCAGAGCACCGCCGTTCTTGTTCTCGTGATCGGGGACAAAGAATGGGGTCTTGGGGAAGGAGTGGAAGCCCTGGAAGCCGTTCCAGGTGACATTTTGCAGCGCGAAAAGGGTACCGTTGGTCTGCAGGAGCAAGTCAAGGGCACCAGATCCAACAATGGTGTTGTTGGTAGTCTCAATAATGTTCTGGAGTGTGCCATCGAGAGCAGGGCCGGGGGAGGAGTCGCCGTTGGGGAAGACGCTGCCGTTGTTACCACCACATTGTCTCCAGCGCTTGCCAATGAGAGGAGCATTGATGTGTTTCTGGACATCAGAGCGAGTAAAATATACCTCGGAGCCGACGGGAATGTAGTCTCCGCCGTTGACACCACCAAGGTGGGCATACACATGTGGGCACTGATCGGTAATGTGGTAGATGTTGAAGCAAGGGTTCTTGTCTCTGGCAGACTTGGAGAGCATCGAGCTGATCCCCCTGATACCGTTAGGAGCTGGGGGGAAAGGATTCTGGGGAGGAGGGAAGGTAAAGTAAGTGTTGGTGTAGTTTGCCTGGCCGCTAGCCTCGAACGCGGCATTTGCCTTGGCAAGAGTGTCAGCCTCGTGGCCGAGGAGATGGGCCCAGTAGTTGTGGTATGGGATTTCGGTAATATCAAACTGCAGAGTGTCGTCACCAATGGTAGGGTCGTTGATGGAAATGCCGCCAAGGTTGAAGTAGTCGGTGTCGTTTTGCAGGATGAAGCTGTTGGCAATGTATGGCACGTAGTAACCAGCATAGGACTCGCCAGTCAAGTAGGTCTTGGCTCCCTTGAGTTCGAAAGTGTCGACAAAGTTCTTCCAGAAGCCGCGGAACTGGGTAGCAAGCTCGAGCTCGTCATTGGCACTAGGGGTACCAAGAGAGAAACCGGTGCCGACAGGCTGCTCAATCCAGATCATGTTGGTGAGCTTGTGCCACGAGTAGGGATTCTTGACTGGCGCAAGAGTGCCGTCCTGCCACAAGAACGGGCCGTTCTCGGTCAGGAATCCAGAGAGGGACGAGCAGCCAGGGCCGCCGTTGAGCCAGACGGTGACATCATCAGTCACCTTGCCGCCTTCGGCAGGGAAGAACCAGAAGAAGAGGGTGCTGTTCTCGCCTTTCTTGTCGGAGATGGGCAGAGAGCCCGCGTACGACTCACCGACGTCAAAGGGAACCAGGGGGATATTGGCACCGTCGACAGCAAACTTCTTGGACTTGGCATTCAGAAATCGGTGGGCAGGCTTGGTGTCCGCCTCACGCTTGACTTCCGCAGCACCAGCAGGGGCATCATAGCCACCCGTCAACTCCTTGATGCGGTCCTGGAACTTGCTAGCCATATCGGCGGCAGCCATCGAGGCGCCAAAGGCAAGGGTAAGAGTGGTCAAGAAACGCATCTTAACGATAGGAATCGATATGGTAAAAGAATATCTTCGGGGGTAGTCACGACCATGGAAGCTACTCGCGCCGACCTTTTATAGTCAGTCTACCGACTCGCGATTCAGGCTCCGATGGGGAGGGGACCAGGCAAACAGGATCTTGGCCGGCATTCTCACCAGGCAGGCTCCGACCATGGATCCATTACTGATCCATTGCATTCACGGTCCGGCCAATGGCACCGAAATGACGGTAGTTGAATGCTACCTTGCAAATTTTGGGGCCCCTCAGTTTGGCTCAATGGGGCAGGAGACCATGGGATAAGAGGCTGTGAGGTGGCGATCCCTCCTTGTTCCCGAATCCAAAAGTCCCCCACTAATAACAGCGGTCGTATTTCGCCATTGTGCATTTGGTTGCGTCACTAGTTCACAAACCCGCAGCGGATGGTAAGGTGAGAGGAACTGCGCTGTTCAGGAAGACTATCTGATCATATCGCTGGCCAAGATGGCAAGACAGTTATCAACATGACCTTCATCGCACAAGACAAAAAGAGCGTATTGTACTAACTCGGCGGCGACTGATTCACAAGCCAAAACCTTCTTTAGGAAACGTGCCAGCCTTACTTCGAAAAGAGCTGTGGGGATGCAGCGTAGAACAAACCGGGGCTTCGGCACTTACTCGATTCTAAGGAACTTTTTTTGCGTCGGTCCTCATTACCTGAAGCAAACCAAAGTCCCCGGACAATAGTACGCAGTCTTCGAGGAATTGGCGTGGTTGTTTACTGAGCATCTACCAAAGGAGATGGTGAATAAGGACGCTGGCTGTAATCTTGGCCGCCAATTGCCCTCACAATGAACTTAGTAATAAGGCTTGAGGCGATGCAGACGGGTGCGCCACGCTTGATCAGCGCCCTCGCTAGGAATATCGGGCCCGTCGGGATAGAGAACAACACATGCGTAAATTACGCGAGGTTACATCACGGGCGTTTCTTTCTAGGCGATTGCTCTTCAGAGAATCGTGGCCACGCTACCATCGGTAGCGACCTGAGGACAAGCAACAGTTAATTCGGCCGATGGGCATTGGCATATCTCTTCCGCCATTCATCGCCCTATTCACTGTTAGAGCGATGAGTGCAGGCCGTCTTGGCATGGCGCCGCTGTCGATCGGTGGCGCCCCGGGTTTGATGGCGCGTCATATAACCATGTTTGCTGCGTCTCCGTGCCAAACAGCCAGATGCATGGTAGAGCAGTTGTAAAACATAACATGTTCAATTAAAGAGCAAATTTAGCTAAGAAGATAAATGTTGAATCTTTCGTCCTCCTACTGACGGGGAGCGGCGATGGACCATTGCCTTCGTCCCACTGCCACCAATTAACCACGGTGTGGTTACAAGCAAGCCCCGGCGTAGACTACGGTTCTGCGTCGAAGCCTTAGCTGCGTGAATAGAATCTCATCTGTGCAGCACCGACATCAAACACAGCCACGACGTTTTGCAGAAACGCATCGCCCAGAATGTAGGGCCCAGAGCCACCGCTTGCAACAGAAATTGCACAGTACCCTGTCAATGGATCAACCAAATCATGGTAGAGCATGTCTGACGGGTTGATCCAAAATTCGACACCATCAATCACGACGGCGAATCGAGGTGGTACTGCGTCGCAGGGGGCAAAATATAATCCCCATTGGTACAAGTAAATGGCCCGAGGTTGAAATGCGTGAGCAACGGCTTCAGCCAAAGCTAGAAGGAGTTAGCGTTGGTGTTGAACAGATAGTGGATGGACTTACGAGGAGGCAGATAGTTCATCGTAGTGCCGGTATCAACAATATAGGGGTACTTTGTAGAGTCAGTAGTTTGATCCCAGCGGACTCCATCGGGGATAATCGTGTAAAACGAGTATTTCCAGGATGTCTGCGCTTGGTCAATCAAGTTTGCCTTGGATGGTAGTTAGCATGGATTACCGTCGATATCGTGCAATAAATCTTACAATAATCAGATCAGTTGCTCCGTAATCCCCCCTCTGCCAGTCAATGGGAGGTAGGCCACCCCAGGCGAGTACACCATCTGAGGAGTTCTTGGACAGGGCGACGCTAAATACAGGTTCAATGGAGCCCTGTGTAATGGCATTGGTGAGAAACGGGGTGTAAGTCACGGCGTTCCACGTAGCTTCGCTTCCAATATCACCATAGTAGGCACTAGTAATGGAAGGGTATGCAAGACCTAGAATGCCAACAGTCATGTTGTTCCCATGCCAGTACGTGCTGTTTGCGAGACCAACTTGCTGTTTATCGACAGACACTCCACCACAGGCAAGATTAGAATAGCCCATGGGGCCGGACACCTTTTCGCCAGATCCATACTTGAGATAGAAATGCAAATCATCAATAGCGCCGCCGCCAAAATCGTCAAGCTTGGCACCGCCAAATCCGCAAGTACCAGCTTCCTGCACCTCACCTAGGCTATCGAGGCATTCAAATCCGCTTTGAGCAGCCCAGGTGTCTGCACTGCCGGTATCAAAAAGAAGCCAGACTGGCGTTCCATCCCAGCCACATTGCACAGCGTACTGAGTAGAAAATTCTCCCACTGACGAAATATTCTGAAACGAAGGCTTAGTTCGATTCGGAGAGCCTCGAAGGGCTCGGCCTAGAGCAGAAGTTATAGATCCGCGGCTGCTCCTGCCTTGGACACTGCGAAGCCTTGAAAATTGTGCCGTAGGTTTGTCGTGTACAGGCGCTGAGACTGCCTTGATCCTTTCAAACGTGATGCCATTCATAGGCTTGGAGAGGTCCCAATCTGGCCCGTGGCGTTTCTCAAGGGCTCTGTCTCCAAGACAAACCGCGGCAGCACCGACTATAACGGCAAGAGTAGACGCGAAGACCTTCATGATTGGATATGCTGGACCGAATAAGTCAAAACACGAGGACGAGTTGTCTTTATATGTTGTTGTAAAAGAAAAGAGGCAGAATAGAAAACAGAGTAAAACAACTAATGCTTTTCAATACTGGAACTTGTATGAAGAAGGAGTCGAAGAGAACAAATGCCACCTGGTTGCAGAATATCTCTTGGACAAGATGGAAACGGCAAGAGCGTGGCCAACGTGTTTATATGGGTGTTCCATTTGCCAGCTGCAAGCTGCCAGCTGTGCCAACTGGCACAAGCGAGCAGCACCAATTTCGAAGTATCCAGCTTGTGTCAACTGGCAACTTGCATCACGGAACGAATAGAATACGCGAGGCTACACTAGACTTTGCCAAGCGTTTGGGATTGAGGTGATGGCTGCAATTTGCCAGTCACTACCAAACTCGAAGACACAAACCTGTCCACCCTCCTGCCAAAAAGGGGAAGAATACGGCCGTAAGAATCTGAATTAACTGTTCAAACATGCTTACATGCACTAGAATCACCTCAATCGATCAGATCTAGCCACCAGGCACACAGACGCAATCGACATGGTGCATGCGGGTGTAACATCGATGAAGCAATCTTGCAGCAGTGTAATTTGGATAGCAACCGCACCTCGGGAGTAAAGCACACATTACCCTTCAGTGTCAAACCGATATCAAACCGAGATACCAATCATGACGATTGTACTTGCAAATATTTGCTTCTCATATCGCGGAGCAATCAAGTGCGCCATCGGAACCTTCGCGGCCGCTAACACAACAGCGAGCGCAACGGAGCTTCGGCGCATCTCGCGATTTTTGTTGGGGTCCGTCTGTCCCTTGCAACGACACCAGCGACACGCCAATCCCAAGTCGGCGACTCAACAGAGGGGGAACCACTTGGGCTATCCTTGGACTGGACAGTTAAAAGGTATGGAAGTAGTTCAAAGGACGCAGTGTAAAACTCAACCTGCAGCCAGTGGTAGTAAATGCAATGTTCTATCTAATTTATCATATATTTCAATCGTTTTTAGGCAAGGCGCATGGTAGCTTCATGGTGGCTTATCGTTTATACTTGGACCCAAGCCTCGGCTCGGCATTCCCCAGATTTGGGGAACCAAGTTTAGCTCCATCTCCAATCCCTTTGACGATTCAGCCAAGCTGGCAACTTGGATTCTCCAACTTCTTGCCCCCTTTTCCCTAATCTCACGATCTACTATTTTGCAGCGCATCCTGAGCGCAAGCTCCAGTTCCTTCTACCATGGTTGCAGCAAACACCACGCAAGCGAAGGGCGGTCTCGCCTTTATGCAGCGCCTCAGCCCAACTGTGACATACTTTGAGCCCGAAAAGGCAAGCGACTCGAAACCAAAATCCAAGGCCGACCCCGAACTTATCATCATATTATCCTGGATGGGCGCCAAGGAAGACTACATTGCCAAATACGTCGAAGGACACCGAGCGCTGTTCCCCACGTCGCGCATCCTCGTCGCCCAATGTCCTCTCATCCACGTCTTCTTCCCATGGCTCGCACCTCTTCATATTAAGCCTGCTGTCCCGATTATCAAGGCGCTGGTACCAAAGAAACCTGGAGCGGAAAAGTCTGGACCGCCCAAGATCCTACTACACGCCTTTTCCAATGGCGGCGTTAGCACCGCTTTACACATGTACGCCCATCTAAAGAGGCAGCTCGGGGGCAATCTAGTGCTACCTAGACGCGCATTCATCTTCGACTCGTGCCCCGGCAAGTTCAATTGGAGAGGTACTGCACACGCATTGAGTTCCATCCTGCCGCGCTTGGCAACACCGCTCATTTACTCGGTCTTGGCGCTCATCTGGCTCATCTATCGCATCCCATACACAATGCCTGCGCAAAACAGAAACTGTCGAGCGATCCGGAACCCAGCCCATGCTGATAGTGAGACACGGCGCACGTATATTTATTCGGCGGTCGATGCTATGATTCCGTGGAGAGCTGTGGAACACGAGGCCCGTGAAGCTCGAAGGGCAGGTTTCAATGTACGGCTAGAGCGGTTCGATGGAGCGCAGCACTGCGCCATTGCTAAGGCAGATCCCGATCGATACTGGGGTCACGTTAAGGATACATGGTATGGACCTCCTCCTCGGTGATGAATGAATGACGCATAGACATGGTTCATTTGCGGATTTTGATCGGCTGGAGCGTGCTAGTGAGACGGTAGCGGGTAATTTCTGGGCATATCCTATATAATATACAACAATTGTAACTGTTCATCAATGAAATCACTAGAGTGTCAGACATGTCACGGATTTGCGAGTGAATGTTTGGTCATAATACTTCAAAATCTTTTCCCATTGTACCAGCAGCTGGGTTCACACCCGTTAGCTAGCTGGATCGTTTTTTTCGAAGCTGGTATCTGCGAGGGATCAAGCTCGTCCGTATCGGTCTTGCGGATCGGAAGAAATTGGCCTGCCAAGTCATAACAAATACAAAAATGCTCTCATGTGAGGAAACCGTCCTGCCTAAACGCCATGCTTATGTGCTGCAACATACTTTCTCAACCAGAATAAAAAGAGGAGAACAAAAAACAAGCCAAAATAAAAAACCATGATGACATGGGAGGTGTGTCCCAACTTTCGCCTTCTGTATCATGATAGGCGGCTAAAGCGGCAAACCGACCATCGCTGTCGATGCAAAACAAGGGCTAGCAGCAAGGCCAGCCATGTCGTAGTAAAGTTGAAATTATGTGCTGGAGATTTGGTACCAGATTGTGCCGTCGATGAGGCTTTGTCTGGTAATCATTGCGTGTCGTAATATGTAATAGAAAATAAAATAGATGTCTAGCCACATCTAGGTGCGTTGTTTCTTGGTATTTTGGGACGCAGAGTCATCCGAGGCGCCACGCTTGGTTTCGAGCATCGATCTTGTTTCATATCCCATGTCGGCGACCCCCTCATCCTCATCTATGCATCGCTGGCATTCTTGGTCAAAGTCATGCTTCTCCATGAAAATGCCGTTTGCACAGTCGCCAAAGTTGCCATTGTTTTTGGCAGCGAGGCAGGATAATTGTTGCATGAGTTCGTCCCAGGTGTGCTTGTCATTGCAGCGTGTGCAGACGCCTTCAAAAACAACCAGTCGGCACATGGCGGTAGTTGCTGTGTGGTGGCTATAATTCCTATTTCGTATATATTCTATTTTGCTCTCTCCCAGGGCTGAGCCAGGAGGGTGAAGACGCAGTATACAGTCGCAGTGCGGTGCAGTGCAGGCGGTGATGGTCCCGTGATGGATGGATGGTACTGAGTCGAAGTCGGTGACGCCGCGCGAGAGAGTCGGCTAGTTGCGATAGAGATAGCGAGAAAGAAATCCGACAATATAGCAATCCAAGGACTGGGCAATTGCTTTATTTCAGAATGGTTCCGCAGATGGATTGGGTAAGCGCAGTGATTTAGAGTCGATCGGGAGTGGTGACGCCTGTGTTTAACCGTGGATTCCGAACGGTGACGCTGTGTCCGGACGCTGTGCAACGGGATGCGGAAAGGCGAAAATTATCGGGCTGCAACAGAGAGTGAGAGCGTAGAAGCAGCGCAGTGACGGCGCCGAAAAAAAAAAAAAAAAGCAAGAGAGGACGAAGACGCAGGTTATGTGGAATGAAGAGTGAGAGAGGAGAAAACTGGATGAAATGGGAAGAGGGCCAATTCCAAGACGGTTTCAAGACAAGTCAGCAAACCAGCTGGGCGTGTGCGTGTGGGTTGGAAAGGCAGGGAGGGATGCGCTAACAACTCCACTATAACGAACGACGGGTTGCTTGTAAGGCGCCTGGCTTGAAGTTGCGCTGGGCGTGTGCGGTGCGTGCAGGGCGATGGGCTGGTGGAGCGGCCAGTGGAGAAGAGGGGTCTCTTTTTTAGTGGACGGGGGATTCCGTTTAGTGGATGGCCGATGCGCTCTTTTAGTGGACGGGGAAGAAATAGAAGCCTCAGTGGAAGCCTTCCCCGGGGGAAAATCTCAGCTGATGCTTGCGTGGTGGCGGTCGCTATTTGGGGGGGTGGATGGTCGGTTGCGATGATTTATGAGCGACGCTGGGAGTCTATATAAATAATTCCGAAATTATGCACGGATGGCGACTGCATCAGCCCATCTGCTAGTATTTTTTATTTTTGTGCCTACTGGGCCGGTCAACGGCATCTGTTGCAGTATCAGCAGCCAGTGTTTCGCTAGTTAGGCACCGTGGATGGGGGCCTGCATCTTCTCGACTGCATGGGAGCCCGCTGTTGGCGTTGCTCTCTCGCCTTGCACATGCAAGCCCGTTCCGCCGCTGGTGGTGGTCAGTGGTGGCCCTTGCTCCCATTCCGAGCAGCTATCAGTATTACGATCTCACTGTCTTTTTTCTGTACTTTTGTAATTCGGTGCGCAAACATCCAATAGATGTCCCTGCGCGCTCAAGCTTTTGCGCTCATTCCGCTAACATCGTTTTGGTTGTAGCGGCTCGCATTCCGCGCACTGCTAGCTTCAGAAACACGGTACTGTGCTGCTAGGGCCTACGGGCGACTTTACTGGTCATTTCCCGAGGATTAGGCCTACAGCGTGCATCCTGCTTGTAACTTGTAGCGGGCAAAGCACACTGTACAGAGTACGTGTGTGGCAATAACAGATAGGCGGACAGCTGTGACAGCTGCGCGTGTGTGTCGCCAGCTGGTGTTGCCGGCTCGTCTGTCTGCAGGATGCTATTCTGCGACCCAAGCCCTCTTCTTCTTCTCCTTCTCATCCTCCTCGTCTACGCATGCGTGCGAGGGCGAGCCGTAAGCCAGCAAGCAAGCCAAGCCGCTGCATCGCCATGCACAGAGCACATCTGGGCCTGCCGCCGCTCCTGTCACCTCTCACACTCTCTTCATTTTAGCTCATCCTCTCCTTGCTCGATCTACTGGCCAGTCAGCGTCCCGTCCCCTCCACCACCCAACGCCGCCTCCACTTTGAGTGGAAACCTGAATGCCGGCCTAGTCCTTCCTTGCTGCAGAAATCCAACTTGGTCCGCGTATGTTGCAGCCGTTTGGCCCGCGTCGAAATGGATGCGAGCAGCGCACACAATGGGCCTGAAGGTACAATGCCACGGGATCACCCTGGTCCATCCGGAAATCCGAAGCAATCTGTTGGGCTCGATGCATGGTTGCGCTGCCGCCGCGGGCAAACACTCTTTACGGTTCGAACCCGGTGTTAATCTACAAGGTCGCCGAATGGCTTTTAAACGTTACTCCTGCCACTGATGCCAAGCTGTCACTACTGCTGCTGCCGCCTGTCGTGTACTGCTGCTGGGGCGGCCGCCGTTTGAAAAAGAATATGTACAGCTGTGGACCGGGCCGGCCGAGACCTCAACAGCTAAGCTGTCCCTCATATCTGTGGAGCAAGCAGGCCGGGCGCCACGGCTGCTTGGCTCTGCAATGCCACGAGTTTGCTGTTGGTGTCAAGTTTGCCGGCTTGCTTGCTGGTTGAAATGGGGAAAAGTGTCGCTGGGTACATGTGTTCGTTCTCCTGTGAGATCTGGCACAGTCAATCGATGCAGACAAGACATGCCCTACATAACATTTGGGCGGTGAGACAAGAGACAACATGGCATACGACTTGCCAACTTTACAACCGTCCAATGCTACAGTCCATCTCGGCGCTCTGGATTAATAGACGAGATTGGCAAAGAAGATTTAGACATGTCACTAATATTGTTTTGCCCTAGTCGCAATGGAGAATAAACTGGGCAAAATGGCCGTGGGGATCCATTCTCTGCAAACTCGCAATGCGCCACTTTGCGGGCGTCTCAGGTGCAGTGAAAGTGGAAAATCACCGTTGAACGAGAAAAAAAAAGCCTTGACCTTCGCCTGATACACCTTCGTTTGCAGTTTGCATCAAAGGCCCCGTTTGAAACCCTCGTCACTGATGACAAGGACCCGCAGCTGTTTGCTATTGGTCTTCAATCGACAAGGTGAGCACGCACGCACAACAATTTGGAAGAAGAGAACTCAATTGGAAGCGTACAAGGGTCAAGAGCACATACGTTTTGCGCAACAGGAGGCTGTTGATAGTCCGCTACAGGTCGCGTTTTGAACCTTGTACTACAACAAGGCTACTCAGTGACTAGAAAAACTTCGTCGCGGCGTCCGGTCTGCATGCAGAGGAGAGGAGAGGAGGCTGCCCGCCACCCACCCCTCCGCAGTCTGACTACGGTATATCCTCCTTACTTCATCCGACGTTTATATTCTCTTGGTGCTAGTATACGAACTGTGGCAAGTATTAATCTGTTTGTTGCGTTTTGTCAATTATCAGCAACCACGACCATGGTTTAACCATCATCGTAACCGACGTCGCTTCTTTGTGCATGTTGGTCAGTTGGAGCGCACGCCCCCGCCCTCTTCTCCCTGCAGATGCCACTGCGGCGTTGAAGCGATCAGCAGCCTGCCTTACCTGACTTTTCTCGTGTCATGGCGTGGCTCAAGCCCCTCCTGTTGCCTCAGTATCTTGAATCATGGTCGGTTAGCCACCACATATGCAAACACACGGCTGTTAGTGCCGATCCCGGCTCTCGTCAGTTAGTCACAAAAGCTATCGTCTGTCAAAAATTGAGCAGCCTGCACCCACATATTTCTCAGCTTGTCAGGGGCAGAGAATGATTGTCGTCTAATCTGATTTGGCCACGCACCGTTGCGCCAGGTCACACCTGTTCCAAGTCCTGCGGGTGGCCGGCCACGATGATTTTCTCAACGGCTTTTGTGCCACACTGCAACGGCCGGTGTGGCCAATATGTGACCGACCCAATTAAAGCTACATTATATGTGCTTCAAAGTGGATTTTGCGCTCATTCTTGGGCATCCACTTGGTCAATCATCAGTTAAGATATAATTTTTATTGCACCTTGCGCCTAGACCACGCCGCTGATAGCCACTGGCTGGTTGAGGCGCCAGAACCCGGAAGGATCCGTTGTGCTTAGTCGCCTGTCACGTTTCAACTGCCGAGCTGCTTGCTATATGCAACTCACCGGTTGATCATGAAACAGTGGATATGGCAACAGTATGCGAGAATTTTATGCTTGTGAGGGATGGTGGACGTGTACAAGACACGGGTGCGCACTGAACGCATAGATATATACAAGCTCGGTATATTAACACTGGGAAATTCTCGACTAAAGACATTCTCAACCCTACACACTGACATGCCAAATATCCTCGGTGGAGGGTTCTTTTCTTTCGGGTTGTTGTTATTAGCCAGCAGATTGGGGGAGCCACGGAGGTTACCTCCGACTTTGTCCTTGGTAGCGGTCGCCAAAATGCGCTTTGTGAGAGCATCAGTGCCAGAGATGCCCTCGACAGACATGTAATACAGCACGAGGCTGGCCACATGGGGGGCTACCATAGACGTGCCGTCTAGATTCACGTACTTGTCATCGGCTACATAATCCGCGGAGAAGATGCTATCTCCGGGGGCCAAGATGTCAACCGCAGTGCCGTAGTTTGCATAGTTTTCATCCATGCTCCAACCATATTGAATAGAGGATACGGTGAGGGCAGACTTGGCACTGGCAGGAGAGTACTTGGAAGCATCATCAAAGTTATACAGTGTATCATGTCGGGTTAGTAATACGGCCAGATGTTGTAAAGCATTTCTGCAATGCGCCATGATGTTCATTCAACTCACATTTCCCGCGCCGACTGCGAAAATAACATTGTCCTTGGACGCCTTCTCTACAAGGTCATTCATGGTCTGCGAGTAATCGGCCTCGAGACTGATGTTGATGACTGCCTTGGTCTGACGCTTGTTCTTCTGAATGTCATTGATCGACCAGTTTACACCAGCACATTGGCGCCGCTGTTGGAAGAAGCCTGGTCGACGACCTTGACAGCGACAATGGTAGCCAGCTTCGACACACCAACCCCAGTACCAGCAATTGTGCCTGCAACATGGGTGCCATGGCCAACATTGTCAATAAAGTCAGCCACGCCGCTCTTGTTAAAGGCTGAGAAGCCATTCACGACACAACCCTTGTACTCGATATGCGTTGCTCGGACGCCCGAATCAACAACATAGGCATACGTGCCGTTTCCTGCGCGCGAGCTGTAAATATATTCATAGTTCTCTGTGAACTTGCGGTGCGACACAGCCTCAAGGCCCCAGGAGAATATTGTCTTAGGATCGAACGGATTATCAACCTTTTGCGTGATGATGTCGCGTTTCTCATGACGCTTAGTCCTGATGTATACGGGCTTGTCAGCCTCGACACGGATGACGTCGCGATGGGCGCGGATTTCGTCCATGGTGGCCGCATCAAAATGGCCAGCGTAACCGTTGAGGGCACCTGTGTAGGTATGGCTCAACCCAGCGGTGCTGGGCGCGGCAAGACTGCGGCGGTGGTGCTCATGGACATCAGTAGCCCATTGAACGTGGCTGTGGACATCATGGTCTGCAAGATTGTCACTCAGCGTGATGATTTAGTGGTCTGGAATGACTCCAGACTGGGTTTGCGTGGTAGGAGCGCCGCAAGCTACGGAGATAAGACCGCCAGCCGCGAGTACAAAACGTGCCGAAGTCGCCATTGCTGAGCAGTGTAAGTCAGTGACGAAGGCCTACTAATTGGTGCGCAGGAAGACTGGCCCCTTTTATGGTATACATTTTTTAGGAATCGTCTGAACTAACTTAGCCTTTCTTGCTTCAACGTCACATTGGCAACCAAATTCATGGTCAGTTGGCCGAAGTTGTGCATCAGCGACTAGCAGTAACAGGATGGTGCGAAGGCTACTCGAACCTCGAGTAGCTAGCGCGTCGCCAGTACTGAGACCTTCCTCTTCAGGCAGTTGAGATGCGCCGCTTACATCGGCCCTGATGATCTCTTGGCCGTAGTAGGTCGACTTTCCTAGAATGTCCGCAAACTGCCGCCTATCTGCCGTCTAATGAATATCGATTTTCAATTTACCCTTCAAAAATTATAGATTTCTTGTGAAGAAAATAACGCATCTGCTAGCTGTCTTGCTTTCGTGCCAGTGGTGCACAGGGTCATGGGATATGCCCCGCGATACTGGAGCAATCCTTCCTAGTCATGGAATCAACTACAACACTAGAATATGATACAGGTCAACACGCGAACATATGTGATTAATGGCAACCCTTCCAGGTCCATAGAATCCATAGACACCGACCTACACTACCGACAGTTGAGTTGCGGCGATCAATTTGTGCATCGGCACTAAGGCTATTGCAATCCCCTATTACACTGCCGGTCCCAGGAACGTGGGCGGGGCGCTCAGCTTGGGTTACAGTATTACCCAGCGAGAGTCATGACAGCTGGAGGAGCTAGCTAACCGAGATGATGGCTCGGTGAGCGGCTGACGAACATTGACAGGCTACTTCTTATAATACTCCGCCTCCGTCTCCCATCTCTTCTTCGGATTTTTACCTTTCTTTATTCGCTTCTCTGTCTGATAAGTTGCAATGAAGTCCACCGGTGTTGTCTGTGCTCTCCTCGCTTCTGCTGTTGCAGTGGCTGCCGCTCCCGCTGTGGAGGCGGCTGAAGCCACCAAGCCGACCATTTATCTGATCCGCCATGCTGAGAAGGACTCCCACGGCCTCATCAACGAGCGCGGCAAGCAGCGTGAGAAGTGCCTTGTTAACCTCTTTGGCAAGGACAGCGACTATGATATCAACTACATGATTGCCCCCAAGTACCACGACGGCAGTATGTTTTGCCTGTGTACTCCCCATCAGTATGGATGTGGCTGACTATTTATAGAACCCGTCACCGAGAGACCTTACAACAGCACTCTTCCTCTGGCAGAGTCTTTGGGCCTCAAGATCCACGACAAGTGCGAGTACGATGACATGAAGTGTGCTGCCAAACAGGCTCTCGCCTACAAGGGGCCTGGCAACGTCCTCGTCGCCTGGGAGCATGTCCGTCTTCGCAAGGTCTCTGAATACATTGGCGCAGATGATGTGCCCAAGTACCCTGGTGAGTGTACTATCGCAACATTCAAATATGAAATTATGTCTCTTTAGACTATCTGCTAACACAGTCTGTATTGTAGACGACCGCTTTGACCTCATCTACACCCAAAAGTCTCCTTACACCGAGGTTGTCGTCACCTCTGAGGAGTGCCCTGGCCTTGACGACTGATTGTGCACACTTCCGGTGCAGCATAAGCCATGTACATATCGTGTATAGCAATAATATATAATATCCGAGTATTTCGTCTAGTCTGGAAATATGAATGATATCCAAAGTATGATAAAGAATAAAAGAGGTCAATGATACATTGGTAGAGCCATATCCTGCCTATCTCAATATAGATGGTAAGTAGATGGCAGACTCTCAATTACGCTAATAAAAGAAAAGTACAGAAAAAGGGAAGAAAAGAAAAGAAAAATGTAGATCCCCTATACACAGGAAACTTTTGAAGAAAGAAAGAGTCATTAAATCTTGTATCTCGTCAGGCATTACGCAAAAGCGCCGATAACAGACATTCCGATAGCTAGAAAAGGTGTTAGCATGAGACTAGTGCAAAGTATCTTGACGACATACCACCAGCAAGAACCCAGACAAAGGCTGCAGCCTTCTTTTTTGACGACATGTAGTGCATAGCGTCCTCGGAAAGAAAGTCTTCCGCAAGCAAGTCTACCACGGCGCCGTAGATCAAAAGGCCAGAGGAGCTGTTAAGTCACTGTTAGATGAGGCACACAAAACAACACTCGGGTATTTGTACTTACATGGCGTTAAACATTCCCACCACAATGAGGCCAGTTGCACTGTTAGGATCGTATGTGTTTCTAGCAGCGAGACCGATAGCCTGGCCAATAGGCGCAGTGAGGCCAAAAGCAAGAACAAGCAGCCAAGGACGCGCGCTGCGCTGAGGGTACGGTACCTCGGCGATACGGGTGCCCAAGCCCAAGCCTTCAAACATTTGGTGGAAGATGAGAGCGACAAGAAGAATCACATAACCGTCGACAGTGATGGAGTTTGTCATGCCGACAAAGATGGAGTGGAAGAGAATGCCGCCCTCGAGCAGGGTAATGTTGGCCGCCAACTTCTTGTAGTGCGCCTCGTCAAACTCCTCGTCGACAGAGCCCTTCTCAGCCTTGCCGTTGTTATCCCACATTGACGCCTGGGAGCGACGGTCTTCATCGTCGCTGAGATCCTTGCCGTTGACGCTAACAGTGTAGCTCGTTTTCAAGGGGCTATCCTTGGACTCGGATCCAGGCGACTTGGTGCGTTCGGGAGGCGTGATGATCATGGGCGAGCCAGCAAAGATGGACACGGCACGAGACGATGTCCGCGATTCAGGTAGCGCTCCGGGACGCACACCTTCGATGATACCGGCACCAGTTGGGCCGCCGTGTGTATGCCCGCCGGTCTTTTGGTTCAGCCACATCTCAATGACGAACAGGATGAAGAGAGACGCCATGATGACTACGCCAGGGAACGGCGCATACGTCTTGATGAAGAAGTCGGGCAAGCAAGGATCCTTCAGGCTGCCAAAGGCGGTTGGAAGAAGCTGTCTCCATGTTAGCAAGACACATACATGCATCGCAAGAAGCGCGCGCATACATGAACGAAAGCAGTCGCAATCAAAACGCCAGTGCCAAAGTGCTTGCACGCAAAGAAGATGCGCGAGGGTATTCGCATCCACGACACCTTTTTCGAAATCACTGGGAAGCCAGCACCTACACCACGCCTCCTGTTAGTTCACCACACACATTTTCACCATTAGACATGACTTACCCAACAGTGAGGCCGCCAACACAAGAACTAGAAAACCCACAAGTTAGCATTTTCGTCTTCACACCATTTCCTAGGGTTCATACAGAGTCCCGCAACATGCAACGGCAAATCATAAGCCCCATGCATCTCCTTGTCACCACCGCACTTTGGCTTCGGCGTATGCAGCGGACTATGCGTGGTGTGCTGGCTGTGCGGGAGGTGAGGACCGCCCGTCTCCAGCAGCATCTCAAAGCCGAGATCCATCTTGTTCGTCAAAAGTCAAAGATAGGGGCTGCGTTATGTTGCGTGTCGTCAACGGTCTTTTTCTTCACAGATAGATCCCTAAACCATGAGAGGACGACGCAGTGTACTTGTAAGTAAGTCTTCGCCTGAGGGCCTTGCCCGGCCGAGCAAAACGCACAGCGTCGCATCGTAACGAGCCTGACATGTAAAACGAGCATAGGGAGTAATGAGAATCCAGCAGCGTGCGCGCAGGGATGTATTGGTCAGTGTGGCCGCGCTGCTGCAACGGTGGCAGTGGACGCCGGATGTATGTGTCTGGTGGGCTTGAGATCCGGGGACAACCCTGGATTGGATTGGGTGCCGTATTACCGACCGTTTCGCTTTTCTTGCTCCTAGTCCCACCCGTCGGGTTGGAGTGGGAGAGTGAAGCTGGTGATCTGTTCGCCTTGGCTGGTTGCTTCTTGCGCCGAGAGGATAATTCCAAGCCGCACGCATCGGACAAAAAGACGACCGACACACTCGCTGCGCTGTTTCTTCTATTTCGCCTGCGATTTTACTTTCTAACTAGAATGAACCAGCTGCTTCCGCATTTAGCTGCACTCTACATCTCGATTATACTGCAACCCCCAGTAATTGTCGAGATATTTATAGCGTCCAGCCTGCTGAGCAAGCATGCAAGCAAGCAAGCAGCAGCCTTGATCTAGGGACCAATGCCGATCATGACCGGTTCCTGTCGGTGCTGCTGGCAGCCAGCGTCACTGTCATCGATAATGAAAAAGGTACAGAGGCCGCACGTTGTCTTTGACGTGGCTGTTTGGGTGGATGCTACGGGGGATTACGCGTGATGGGAAGGCTATCGTTGCATCGTGCCTCTTGGGCGCGGATGCCCGGCACCAGAGCACCGGGCTACGGCTCGGGCCAGAAAGGCGTACAGCAACAATGGGTCGGCGCTTTTGAAGAAGTGGGATTTTTCTATTAATATAGTGGCGGTAGTGCCTGGTTTCTTCGCTTGCGCAAGATGGGGGGTCGTATTTGCTGCGCGAGGTGGTGGTCGCTACGGTGGCATATATTCAGGCACGCTGAAGAGAGAAAAGGCTCGTCTGTAGTTATGCAGATGATTTCAACTCCTACGGGTGTTTTGCATTTAATCACGCATCAAATGGAAGATTGCAAAAAGGACTTTGTGGCCGGTTAAAGAAATCGTGTTGCGCTAGGACAACCACACACTTGGCAGGTAAATGAGAGACTTTTGTTTACATTTTTTTTTATTCATTTCAATAAATACTATCTTTTTGCGTAGAACCAGCAGCAGCACATATATACAAGCAGCAGTAATAAATAGCATAGGCGGGTAGATGCATGCATGTTTGTGATTGCATGCATGTTAGACGTCGGCAAGGCTGGGAGGCTGCAGGCAAACATCCAACCGCAGCCAATAGAAAATTTCAAAAAGAAGCAAGTGCAGGATAGACTTCGTGCACAGGCAAAATACGCGGGGTATAGAAAGAAGCGTCGAGGCTTCTTGGCAGCGAGCACAATCTCATGAAACCGCTCATGTTTCTGCAACGTTTGAAGCAACGCACCATGGCACACACGCACAGCTGGCCTAGAGGCATACCACGATGCTAGCAACGCAGCTCTTGGCAAGCAACGGGCAGATAGAAACAACGAGGTGGCAGCAGCAGCAGCAATCATGGAGCAGGCACCAGGGCAAAGGGTTGGTTTCCGTAGGCGCCTCTTGGCCAACATGAACGCTGGCCTCAGCAATCACCTCTTCTTCAGCAGTGCACAGACGTACTACTAAACGGCAAGCGGCATAGCCAATCACAAATTGGGGCTGGTTTCTCGCCTCTGTCATAAGCAAATGGTTACGCGTGGATCCGGGAAAGGGTCATGCTAACGACGGATACATTGCATCGGAGAGGGGGAACGTCGCACATCAAGCGCGTATCGTGACGAGCATTCAAGCACGGATAAATAGCAAATAAAACGGTTTCCCCGTCGCATCAGATAGGCGAGGAGGATAAAATACAGTGTCGTGCTTTAGGGTGATGAGGTGAGAAAAAAGGCAGATGGTCGAGTCGCGGCGTGTGTCAAGTCATGGTACAAGTCATACGAGCAGCTGTAAGTGAGGTATCTGTCATCTCTGCCAACCGGGGGCAATGAGATGCGATCGTGCAGTCATGCAGCACGTTCAGGTTAAATGAGGAGCGAGCACTTTAGGACGCAGGAGGGCCACCGGCAGGGGCTGGAGCACCGCCGCCTTCGCCGCCTTCGCCGCCTTGCTGTTGTTGCTGATGCATTAGGGACTGGTACCACAATGCAACGTAGTTCTGGTAGCCGCCGTACTGGGCGTATGGGTCGGCCGCATCTCCTGAGCCAGGCTGCTGCTGTTGCTGTTGAGAAGCACCGGAGACGCTGTGAGATCCCTGCTGTGAGTAGTTTCCACGGTCATTGTTGTCGTGATATCCACGGCCACCGCCGCCACCACCACCACGGCGCTCGTAGCCTCCGCCAGCACTCTTCTGGCGCACTGCTTCCACCTTTTCATCAATAGCCTGCTTAGCACGGGCAATGGAGTCGGCGTTGCCAATCAGAGAAATCTCGCGCTGCGTCTCCCCGGGGCCAGACGACTGTGCAACGTTGATCTTGCAGCCGGTCGTGCTTTGCATCTCGCGAATCGTCTCGCCGCCTTTGCCGATAATCATACCGACGGCATCGGACGGAACAAAGACGGAATCGTTAATCTTGTCGGGTCCTCCAGCACCGCCACCATAGCCATCATTGCGGCCACCTCCACCGCCGTATCCCGATTGCTGTTGGGCTTGCTGGCGCTTCGCAGCCGGGCCTTCACCGCGGCTATCACTGTCGACAACTTCCATAATAAAATCCTTGGCCTTGGCGGCAGCTTCGGGTGTGCCAATGAGGTTGACAGGGCGCAGACCGTTCATGCTCTTGGATTCACCGACGATATTAATATGGCAGCCGGAACGTTCCTGGAGATCACGGATGGTCTCACCACCACGTCCAATAATCAAGCCAACGGTGCGATCGGGGACCATGATTTGCAAAAAGTCCTCGCCTTCTTGGGGAGTGACTTCCTGGCCTCCGCGGCCACCAGCATTGCCCCCCTTGTCGGCGCCTCGGTTCATGGGACCCATGCCGCTGTCTTCAATGATACGGTTAATGGCAGCCCGGACGTCGGCACGGTTGGCGCGAGGGCCCGTGATTCTACATTGTCTGAAAGAGCTACCGTCGGTAGGCGGCAAGAATTGCACGCGGCAGTTCGACTCGCCTTCAATGCGGCGCAAGTTTTCGCCCTGGCGGCCAATGATGAGGCCGACAAGGCTAGATTCAACATCAATGGTTTCAGAGTTATCGTCACCACCGCCGCCACCGCTACCACGTAGGGGAGATCTATCTCTGCCACCTCGAGGAGAATTTCTGGAACGAGCAGGAGGTGAGTGGGAGCGATCGCGCCCGTAGTCACGGCCACCACCACGTCCACCACCGCCGCGACGGTCGTCTCTGTAGTCACCACCACGGGGAGGAGATCGAGATCTAGTGTTTCCATAGTCTCTGTCACGGTCACCACCACCACGAGAATCAGATCCATATACAAGAGGTCGGTCGTAGGATGTGGCGCCCTTGGCGGCGGCGCTGGCTCTAGCCTTGGAGAGGACATCGTCAAAGCTCATGGTTCCCGAGTTTACTGGGCGAACAGCACTCAAATCGACACTACCACTAGAAGCAGGCACAGGGAGGGCGCCTCCGTACGCAGGGGCACCGGGAGGAGCATATTGTTGTTGCTGCTGCTGTTGTCCTGGCACACCAGGTTGCGAAGGCGCAGCGGGTTGTTGCGCAGCTGCACAGGCATTAGTCACGGCCCAGGAGCCCATGGAAAGCGGCATGCTCTTACCCAGCGCGGCGAGGATGCTCTGAATGTTGGATGCTTGAGACGCGTCCATTGTAATAGAGAAGAAGAGGGCGAAAAAAACAGATGAAAACAAGGCGAACACTGAAATCAACGATGCGCACGTAGAGGCAACGACACGGTGTCAAGGCGGCAATCAAACGACTATCAGAGGCACAACAAATTATACACTTGCTAATCGGTACTTATGCTGCGGTAACTATCCCGATGGAATTCCCGCGGGTTTACTGCCAGAGGGTTGCAACCTCGTCTGTGTTTTTTTGGAAAATGATGGTTGGGTTTGCGATGATGCAGGTGGCCGCCCGCCCGCGTGGCGATGATTTTTCATGGAGAGAGCTGCTGGTGGGTCCCGTGGGCGGCGCGCCCACCGGAACAACAATCAGCCGCTACCCTGAGCGACGGCTTTCATTTCGGCTGGTCTGAGAGAGAGGACACCAAAGCAGTAACGTTTAGGAACTACAATTTAAAAACAAATACATAAATCATTGTCCTTTTAAGCTGTGTAATACATGGTACCGCATCTTGCCCTCTAGAGAAAAATGGCTAATGTTGGTGGCAAAGCTAGTCTTTACCTGTATAAAGTATCAGTGGCTTTCCACTACTGTGTGTTTCCTATCGTAGAATTTCTAATAGTCTGTTAAGTTTACCGGAATTCATAGTGAAGCCAAATTCAACATTGCTGCGCATAACCAACTTCCGACTTTTATTTCAAGGATTATAAGGATACCACGCACTAATGGGAAGATTGTTGAGCCGCTCGTACCAACTTAAAATCCCGACTCTTGGCGACGGGCCAATCAAATCTCTTTCATAGTTTCCCATCTTGTGGCCTCCGCAGATGTGGTAATCTGGTATGCATTCGCAACCATTATAGGGATCAACATTAGAATCACTGAGGCGGATTGCTATAGGAAGGCCACTCTTCTGAAATGGCAATGTCCTCTCGGGGCCAGTACGGCAGTGTTCCATCATGGCTTCATACAAAGACACGATTGCCTCACTGCGATTCGTGGCCTCGTTGTACGGCCATTTTCTCATCAGTTCAATTCCTTTCCAGCGCACTTCCGGTCGACTCGAGATAATAATCATGATTTGCAAGACTTTGCCGTAGGATGGACCAAAGACAAAAGGTGGAGGCTCCGTTGAATACGGTCCATCCACCAGACTTGTTCGGGCCATGCCTTGTTCAAACCTATCCAGTATGAGGAAAATCTTGTCGTTTACAATCCGAACCTCCTCTCTGGTTGTCGCTAGGATGGCTTGTTCTCGGAGAACAGACGCATCCATGAAAAGCTGGAGAGCGTCAATGGTTTCGCGCTCAGATGGCGTGAAAGTGCAGCCGCTTCGCACAAATGCGTCGAGATTGGCATTATATTCTTCTATCATATCTAGCCGTACGTTGGTTCGCAGCGGCCCCTGATCTTGTGGGCTCACAAACGTTTCTCGATCCAAAAGGTTAGGGTACTGTGTGGGTAACAATGCGAGGTATGCGTCTGTCATACTAGTGAATCTGTTAACGGCTGGACACTTGACTACCCACTTCCGGGCCCATCTCTCCGGAAGACTAGTTTGTTGCGATATAACGGTATCGATAATGAGAATAATGGATAACAGATCCTTGTATGCCATAATACCTCGTCGGGAGCTAGGGTCTTCTTCGCCGAATTTCATTGTTTCGAGTATGTTGACTAGATTCCAACATTGGGATGTCACCTGCTGTTCATCACGCAGTACACCACATAATCCAATATACAATATATTGGTCATGATAATCATTTCCTTGTCTTTGTATCTCATGTTGCCCAGGTTCTCGCCGTAGGAGCTAACGACTGTGGCCAAGTATTGAATAGATTTGTTGAAGTGCATTAGAGCATATCGATAGAGCTGATTGCGCGGCACTAGCGTGCTGTCTGCATCTGGTGGCGTAACGGGTTGCTTGTCTACCTTGATGCTTTTATGGATGGCGGTCAGAGCAACAGCAGCATGCCACATGCTAGGATACACCTGGGCGGCCGTCGGGACGTCAAATCGCCAGAACCGATTGTTGAACATGCCGGCAAAGAGGGTCACCATTGAGCTGCGAAAGGTCCCAAAGAGATCGATTTCGTATCCTACGGGTTGGATTCCATCGGGACACAGAACAGTAGCGGGTTGTAGCCAGACTGCTTGGTGAAGCTGGCGGGCCTGCTTGGGCTTGCGGTACTCACAGGCCAATCTTGCAATGGCACACCGCTTGCATATAGGCTGAGATTCATCGCATTTTACTCGACGATTTCTAAATTAGTAGATGGTTAGCTTACTTCCGACGCATGAAAATCATCCCGTATTCAGCTTATAGACAGCGATTTCCTTACCGGCAAGTCAGACATCCTGTGCGGCTCCGCGGATGTTGTTTCTTTTGCAGCCTTGGCGCTGTTACAGCCGATGTATAAATCGACGGCTCTATTGCTTTTGGCCTTAACACAGTGTATCCGCGCATTTTCCGCTGCACTCACTACCATGCCGGACGGGTTCTAATGGGGTGACGGCGATGTTGGCCTTCGACGAGCGGCTGACATGGCAAGCGGGGGAGAAACGTTTGACCGGAAGCGTGCTGCCGGCCCTGTGCGGGATCTTAGGAACCGCCAGCCGCCCGCCTTGTCCTGTGCATCGTTTACCCTTTTCAGAGATCCATCGGCGACTCACAGGTTCAACGGCCTTTGCCACATTTTATTTGGACGGAATACTGCTGAAAGAATACACAGCTGCGTCCTGCCATCCGGTAGGCGCAGCACCAACTACGACTTCGTTTTGCTGGTGATCCGCCGCAAAGCCATCGCATGATCCTGCATAAGCCGTTCGCCTTTGGAGCGTCTATTTTAGTCTCTGGATCCATCGGGGCAACAGGACTTTGAATACAAACCAAAAAGCCGGATCTCTACCCTCACAGCCCGGCTTCAACGGCAGATAGAGGGGCGGATACACAGCTACAGCGCCGCCGGGCTTCGTATTTCGCAGACGCTACTATGCTATACACGGCAAAAGGTGGGCTTCTAAGCCACGAGCACAGCCCAACCGCCAGCGAGAAAAACGGACAGGAGCCCACTATATTCTACACTACTGCACTGTAGTTGGTTCGCCCCTCAACATCTTCTGCCGCACCCACTGTATCGGTTAAGTTTTAGGCGGTGGTGGTAGTGGTGGGGGAGTGGCGCGGAACGGAGCTAAATCACTAGCCATGACGCGGCCGGAAGAGAATGTCTGGCCACCGGACTCGCTTCAGTGTGGAGGGTACAGTACTTCCTGGCCGCTATGCATGGGACGCTTACGGAACGGTGACTGGGTTTGCCGGCTTGGGTGTGTGTGGTATGGTGTGTTACTGCTACCGACTGACAAAGGGCTAGTCTGCGGCAAACAAGGTTTGTATAAATACAAGTTGCGCCTCTCGCCCTGCCTCCTCCCAAAAGACGACTAGCCACCACAGAACAATGCTGCGATATTGCCGTTTCGTATCTCTCGATTCCTCATCATAGCCTCTATGCGACGGGGCGTGTAAAACGACGGAACGACAACGCAAATGTGCACTCACAACATCATCGAGTACAAGTGCAAGCACCAGGTGTCTCGGGGCAGCACGCAATGCCACAGGCAAGGATGCCCAGGCCGCAGAGACGACATCATATACGACACAGACATATGCACGCAATGTGAAGACAGGAAACGCTGGAAGTCTTCGCGATGGTGCGCCGAAGGATGCTGCACTTGTACAGTAATGTAATGAGAGGGTCGACTTTTACACTACGACGTACGTGTTTCGTCAGGCGGGCGGTATTCCCGGCTCTACATCCTTATTCTTATTTTTATGATTTCTAACTCGGGACTTGCAGCACACGTATATACGAATCACGAAATGTAAACTTTTTTTTTAACAAACGCGACTCAAAAAAAGTTTGCTGCTTCGGCCGCGATGATTTTGCGCCGACAGCAAGCCTAAGCGAATACGCCACGGACCGCCTGACCAGAGGTAGCGCGGTACAGTGACGCAGAATATCCCACGTGGTGGTTTTCTGGCGATACGAGATCTGGATGGAATGTTTGATGATGACGAAAAATGGGAACAGGCGCTTTGGATAGACTGGGATATTTGATTATTTTTATTTTCCTCATTTTGTTTTCAACTGTCGTTTGTTGGGCCGGGCTATCATTTGGCTGCTTCTTTTCATGTACTGTACCTGAGTTTTGGTTTACACCAATGAAACAAATTGACACCAGCACGTTTGCCTACTACCTTACAGTGTATGCCCAGAGTATAATTACTTGTATGCATTGTTGAAGTTAAAGCTGAGAACAGCAAGGCCACCCTGCATTATGCCATCGGGAACGAGCTATTTCTGCATTATCTATTCATCCGTCGGCAGTCCTGTTAGGGACCCAAGAGGCCCTGTAAATACAGTGGCGCAACTGGCGCTGCGTAGGTACTGTTCTCCCTGTACGGCGCTGCTTATGGCGTCGCTCCAGCAGGCTGCTAGGCTGGGATGGTGCAGCCTCGCCTCCACTGCAGAAGCGCCACGAAAGCAAAAATACCCTGGTTATTTCCCCCTCTACCCCCCCAACAAAGGCTGTTCAGGGCCTCCTTTATTTGTGTTTAGTCCCTTTTTTAGCGTGCTTGCAGCCTGCCTGCAGCCAGCTACAGTGCTCGTGGGTCGCCCGCAAAATGGGATTGTCGGCGGATTGTCTCCCCGCCTTTAGCCTCCCTGGTGCTGCCGCCTGACGCCCCCCAGCGGCCAATAGGCGCAAGCCCGCAGCCTACAGAAGGCCGAGTCCGCGCCGTTGCTGCTACGCTACTTCAGGCGGAACCCCGCTCTTTGCTGCGTGTCGCCCCAAAACCCCAGCCTCAAGTGACAGATTTGAGCTTCTCGCTTCTGCACAACCTGTTCTGCTTGCGTCATCGTTTGCGCTGCTGCTGTACCGCTTTGTTTTCTATTCTTTGCTGTATACTACTTTGCATGCGTATAGTGAGCTCGGCAGACAAACCCCGCTACACAAAAAGGCTGCTGTTGCGATCATGGCCGTCACAAAGAAAGCCCGCCAGAGAATCAGCTACGGTACGTTGCCTTGCTCTTGCGTACGACGCCGCCCCCTGTTCTGCTGTCGCTGCTGTCGCTGCTGCTCGCGTGCTGCTACTCAAGCTGGCCAAGCAATATAGTGCATTGTATAACAAGCTTAGAACGGCAATGGATTAAACACTCCGAGACACGAAAAGCAAACGAATAGCTAACCTGACCTGGCACAGTCCTCGACAATGGCAAGTCGACCAAAGGCGGACACGGCCTCGGCGTAAATGGCCTGGCTGTGGATGCTGCAAACAATATCTTGTAAGACTAGGGCCTGATGCAGTTGTGTGACATGTTTGCGTTGCTTGCTGACTCTGTTGCAGGTACTCTGGTGGCCGAGACGGCATCGTCTGCGCCTGGGACATTCAGGCCGCTAGCGGTGACGGCACAAATTCGACAAAAGCGACACATACGCTACGAGCACAGACCGGTGCCCACACGAACTGGATCAACGATATAACACTAGTCGAGAATAACTCGGCCGTCGTCTCGGCGTCGTCAGACCTTGCCGTCAAGGTTTGGAGACCAAACTCCGAGGAGCAAGGAAACCAGGCTGTGAAAATCGGCCAACATGCAGACTATATCAAATGCGTGGCTTCGTCACGGATCGACAAAACGGCACCATGGGTTGCTTCTGGAGCTCTGGATCGCAAGATTTGCCTTTGGGATTTGAACGGCGGCGGCAAAACACTCGAGATTGACGTTACGGGTGAAGAAATTCCCGAAAAGGGCTCAGTGTATGCTCTTGGCCTTGGTCGCAACTTGTTGGCGTGTGGTGGGCCGGAAAAGACGGTGCGCCTTTACGATCCCAGGACAGGCTCCAAGGTTTCCAAACTGATGGGACACATTGCCAACATTCGATCCATATTGATTGACGACAACGACGATACTGTTCTTAGCGCTAGCGCCGACAAGACTATCAAGCTATGGAGTGTTCGTGGCGGTCGATGCATGTATACCTTCACTATGCATGACGATAGCGTTTGGAACTTGTTCTCAGACGACCCGACGCTCGGCATATTCTACAGCTCTGACCGATCCGGAATGATTGCAAAGACAGATGTTCGTGGAGGCATTGATGACATTGATAACGGGCTGAGCTTGGCTGTTGCTCAAGAGCATGTTGGCATCTGCCGCGTAGTTGCTGCCAATGGTCAGATTTGGGCCGCTACCGACCGATCCTCAATAAATGCCTGGGCAGATGTCGACACTGGAGCGGACGTTCAGCTGCCACAGCCATACCGACATCACCGCCAGGCGTCTCTCGCCTCGAACAAGTCAGTTCCTACGAGCTACCCAACGCTGGCAATGAAGAAGAAGGATATCAACCCGCAATCGGTTTTAAAGATTTCAAACATGGCAACACTGACTTCCCGCAGCACGTTTGATGCTTCAATAGCGGCTGTAAATGAGCCTGGCTCACGGAAGGGATCGGTTGTTGCAATGGATAGCGCTGAACCCGAAATCTTGCCCGTACACCAGATGCCCGACGACACCATTGAAGGACAATTCGGCCTACTCAAGCACAAGTTACTCAATGATAGAAGACGAGTACTCACGCTTGACACTGCTGGCGATGTCCTCATGTGGGACCTCTTACAGTGCAAGCCTATTCAGAGCTTTGGAAAACAGCACATGGAAGATATTGAAGTCCAAGTAAACACACAGGAAAGTGTCGCCCCTTGGTGCTCTATCGATGTTAGCTCGGGCAACTTGACTGTTGTTTTGGAGCCTTTCAACTGCTTTGACGGAGAAGTATATGCCGACGAGCTGCAACTTGATGAAGCAATCGAATTTAAAGAGGATCAGCGAATCAGCCTGGGCAAATGGGTACTGAGATATCTGTTTGCAAACTTGATTGACGAGGAGATTAAGCGCGACGAAGCCCATCGCAAGCAAATCAATGACGAAATCGAACGCAAAATTACAGCAGCTGGTGGCAGCAAAAACATGTCGCTCGAGCTAGCGCCACCAGTCTTTGATGACGACAACGCAACTACCCCTACAGGAAACGGAACTGGAGAATTGCTTTCGCCCGGTATTGCTATTGGACTCGCATCTCCAGGCCTACCAGAACAGAGCAATCCTCTCAATGGATCCAACGATATATCTACCACTGGAATTGCACCTATTGAAGGCGCAAAGCCCGCAGAGACGGAAGGGAAAACATCCACAGATCTCAGTGATAAAGATAAAGGCAAGGAAAAGGATAAGGCCGCAGAAGGTGGAAAGACGGGAGGCTTTGGCAAGAAATTCCGCATGTCATTCAGCTCTAAAAAGCTCGGCCGTAGTGTCGCACCCCCGGTACCCGAGAAGACTGCCGTCGAGGAGAAGGCCATCGAGTCGGAATCGTCCTCCAACCATGAAAAGGAAGTGGATGATAGCTTCTACGGAATCATTCAAAAGATTCGCAACGAGTATGAGCGAAATGTGGCTGATAGACCAACGCAGCTGGTTGAAACCGGCGTTACACCCAGTCTCCCAGCTGACACACCCGTCCTCAAGATTCCGCCAGGCACGCAGATTATGATTCAAGAAGAGACATCTGGTGGCAGCTCAACCATCTACCAAGGAAGCGTTGAAACGATTGGCAAGGATGCAGACGTGATTGAGCAAAAGGCTCCCATGTGGCTTGGTGCTGTACTACTGCAAAACCAAGTGCCGTTCAAGGAACCTGCCAAGATTTCCTTTGTTCTGCACCCCATGGATGGCCTGCCTGCTGTAGCTACGGATGGCAACAACAGACTGAATGCCAATCGCATGCTCCGCGTGCGCAAGATTCTCGCCTATGTTCTCGAACGTATTGATGGACCAGGCGAGCCTGACGACCAGCCAGACGATCCCGAGTCCCTCTTGGAGCTCCAGTGTAACTCGATTGTATGCAAATTGGATTCCTATTCACTACGAACCGTCTACTAACACTACCATACAGACACTTAAACCTAGGATGAATCTTGCAACCCTTCGCACTCAGATCTGGAAGGGCGGAAATGACATCGTCATGTACTACAAGCTGAAGGAGGGTGCTCGAAGCCTGCGTCCGCTGCCACTTGTTCCTCCAGCTCCTCCAGCAGAGGAAGCGGCCCCTGGTGCAGCTACTAGTACCACTGGTACTGCTACGACACCTGCTCAATAGAGGGGGAGTCTCAGCTAATGACGTTATGCATGCGTGCCTTTGTTTTTTGTTTCCTAGCGCCCATACGTTCCGTTAAACCGAACCCCAATTCCAATCTTATTTGTTGTACGCGTGTTCCTTCCCTTGCATTTCGGCCGACTATGTCGGCGACTTTGTGTAAAGCCTCTACCCGTGTAGACTAGTTTCGTTGGTGCGTTAGCCGCATGACGTGGATCATTACGCCACGCAGCCTTGTAAGTGCGGGGAGAAAGCATCCTACTAACAAGTCAATAAGACAGAACGCCCAGGTAACAAAAGTATGATGAATATTTTTATCTCGCTTCGACACAAAAGTTTCTTGTTAAACGAACTCGTTCAAAAATGGAATCTACGTTCTGTGACAGGTCGTTTGGCCCTCGAGTCGACACTGCTTGTCGACAATTCGACTTTACACTGTACTTTGAAGACTTGTTTCTTGCCGCTGGTCCAAGTACATTGTTTTTGCTTCTTTCAGCAGTTGCTCTCTACGTGAACTTTACGTCAAAGACTGTTGTAAAGTTCTCGTGGCTTCTGGTCTGGAAAGCTGTAAGTCGTCCTTACAACGGCTTCATAGCAAAATACTGACAGACAAATAGGCCGTTTTCTTCAGCTTGCCACTATTTCAACTGGCCTTACTGGTCATTCGAACAAACGACCCCCGAATCCAGACTGACGCTTCTCTGGTTGCAGATACGTTGTGCTTTGTGGCTGCTTTAACGGCGGCAGCCTTGACTTGGCTGCAACATCATCGTTCAGAGAAGCCGTCGACGGTTCTGAGTCTATACCTGACTGCATCAACATTAACACAAGTGGCTAGGGCCCGGACGTTTTGGCTCACTGGGGGAAATACGCCTGCAGCAGGTGCAGCTACAGTCGCGGCTCTGCTGACTGCCGCCTGCTTGGCAGTAGAGTCTAGAGAAAAGGTCAAAATTCTTCTTCAACCCGAACACTTTGTGCAATGGGGCCCGGAACCATTTGTAGGTTTCTGGACAATCGCTTCGTACACTTGGGTCTTTGGTCTCTTCCGTCGCGGTTACTCCAAGTCCCTGAACATGGACGACCTCCCACCGCTGGCCCCGGATTTGCGCAGTACAGCGTCTGTTGCCCGCCTGGATTCTGTCTTTGCCCGTTACGACAAGGCGAAAAAGTACAGTCTCCTCAAGGCTTGTTTTAGAGCCTGTATCAAGTCGTTGCTTGCTCCAGTCATTCCCAGACTCTTGCTCAGTGCGTTCACGTTTGCCCAGCCATTCATGATTTCGGACATTATCGAATTCTTCGATAACCGCAGTATCTCCGATGATGTTGGCAGAGGTCTCATTGGCGGATGGACATTGGTATTTCTTGGCATGGCAGTAAGTATAGAAGAATGTTTTGTTGCGATCATCGCTAACGTTGTACAGTTTAGTAGATCTCTACAGAGCTACTACCATTTCCATTTCCTCACCGAATTACGGGGATCACTTATTAGTTTGATATACAGCTACACTCTACGGGCTAAGGCTGTGCACGGATCTGAAATTGATGGTGTTACTTTGATGGGCGCGGATGTTGAAGCTATTGTGACCGGTTTCTTCAGTCTGCATGACACCTGGGCTTCCCTCATGGATATGACGATTGCCATCTACCTGCTTCAGAGACAAATGTCTTATGCATGCATTGTGCCAGCGATTGTTGTTGGTGTTGGTTTTCTCATCACCACAAAGCTGTCCGCCATGGGTAACACGCTGCAGAGGGCCTGGATTGAGAAGCTGCAGGAGAGAATTGAGTTGACGAGCTCTATCCTTGGCGGAATCAGGGCATTTAAGATGCTTGGGCTTACTGATCACATCTCGAGGCTGGTGAAGCGCGTGCGGGATATCGAAATCGCTGGATCACGGCCACTGAGAATACTGCTGTGCATAGAAATCTTCTTGTGTAAGTGCCGTTGATAATTGCAACTGCTGTCGCTAACCTACCACCAGCAAATGTACCCTCTCAAGTTGCGCCTCTAGGCACATTTGCCCTATTTTTGGTTCTGAGCAACGCCCAGGGCGGAAACGGCCTCCTCATCAGCACTGCTTTCACGTCCCTGTCGTTGATTTCCTTGGTTACAACACCCGCTGTGGGCCTGATTCAATCGATCCAGCCCATAATTCAATGTTTGGGTAGCTTTGATCGCATTCAAGAGTTCTGCTTGACGATCGAGCAGGCTGAAGCAGCATATGCGCAGCAAGATGGTGAGCATGTCGCAAACAGTAATCATATACCAGATGAGGGCGTGATTGAGCTACAAAGCCTGACGAGTCCACTACGAGATACGATTGTGGACTTTCGCAACAAGTCGTTTACTTGGAAAGCTGGCGACGACGCAGTTCTGCACAACGTGACGACTGCCATCTCCAAGGATAAGTTCACTGTCGTTCTTGGCACTACGGGAAGTGGAAAATCTACGTTCCTAGAGAGTATTCTTAGAGAGACTGTACCCCTTGATGGCTACGTTACGCGAAACTTTGGCCTTGTTGCGTACTGTAGCCAGGTACCGTGGCTGATCAACGGCACTATCCGTGATAACATTACTGGAACACCGGGGATATGCGAAGATGAAACTTGGTACAACGAAGTCATCGCTGCCTGTGGCTTAGAGGATGACCTCGAAAACATGTCCAAGGGCGACAAAACGCTAATTGGAGATGATGGTGGTGCATTAAGCGGCGGACAGCGACAGCGAGTGGTATGTACATCCTATTCGGGCCGTGATAAGTTGTTACAGAAGCTAATTGTATACAGTCACTTGCCCGAGCAGTCTACTCAAGATATAAGGTTGTACTGCTCGATGACATCTTTAGTGGCATAGACTCTAAGAACGTGGTTCACATCACTAACCAATTGCTGGGCTCTACTGGCCTCCTACGGCGCGACGGTATTACAACCGTCCTAGTTACCCATGCCGGTGAGTGCTCACATGCCCTATTAAAACAAATTTGCAAACTGAACTCTATTAGCTGCTCCTATTGCCTGTGCCGATGACGCAATTGTATTTGAAAACGGCGAGATTGTTGAACAGGGAAACTTTGCCACGCTTCGCGCCGGAAATGGCTACGTCTCGCAAATCTCCTTCGGGCAGAGCTCGGACAATGAATCTTTTGAAGTAACAGATCAGGGAACAGTGCCAACTGAGCCCAAGTTCGCAAACCAAGCAGATACGCTCGATGAAGAGGTTGAAACACCACAGCCCTCAAGCCAACCTACCAGGGACTTCTCTGTATACAGATTCTACTCTAAAGCATGTGAGCATCGCTCCATGGCTCTGTTCATGGGTATATGTTGCCTATGGATATTCTGCGCCACATTTGACGGTAAAATTATAATGCATAGAGAACAACGAATCTTGTAACCTGCTAACTCTGAAATAGTTGTTGTTATCAACTGGTGGTCTGTGGCGAATTCAGAAAGCAACGGCCACGCCGATAATGGAAAGTATCTTGGGGCTTACGCCTTATTGGTTTTGGGTGTCTGTGTTATGAATCTTTCGGGATGTTGGTAAGTCGCGCTTTGGTTCACGCATTACGAAGCGTCGTTAACATCCATTGAGGCTACTCCTCGTCACAATGGTAACTAGAGCTGCCACGAGGCTGCACCATATGCTCCTAGAGTCTGTTCTTGGGTAAGTTGTAGAATACATGCATTGCCAACTGTTGCTAAGGAATATCCAGTGGATCACTTCGATTCTTCAATGTCACTGATATTGGAGACATTACGAATAGGTTCGTACTATTACTTGGTACTTACTGACAGGCCTCAGCTAATCAAGAGCAGATTTACTCAAGATCTAGACTTGGCCGGCATGAACGTGCCCATACTCTTCCTCAACTGCGCTACCGGTATGAATGAGTGACTTGATTTTATATAAATCATGCTAATAGTGTTTAGCTTTCTTAGGCTGTATAGCTCAGGCTATTCTCCTCGCTGTCTACGGTAAATACTTGACAGCAGCCTTTCCGTTCATGCTTGGCGCCGTGTTCGTGATCCAGCGATTTTATCTGCGAACCTCAAAGCAAGTCCGTATGATGGACATTGAGGCCAAGGCACCCGTGTATCTGCAGTTCCTCGAGACCAAAAAGGGTGCTGGCTCCATCCGCGCACTCGGTTGGCAAAGTAGGTTTGCAGACAGACTTGAAAGCTGTCTCGATGCATCGCAACGTGCTGTCTACATGAGGTGGGCTGTTGTACAATGGCTATCTATTGTTATCGATTTGCTCGTTGTGTTCCTGGCTATCATCTTGGTCATTACACTTGTCCTCCTCCGGGATTCATTTCAGCCTGGAGCTGTGGGTGTTGCCCTGTTGACCGTGATGCAGTTCAATGAACGGCTGAGCCACTTGATTCTGTGTTGGACTTCATTGGAAATCAATATTGGAGCGGTTAGTAGAATTCAAGGGTTTATCCGAGACACGGTACACGAAGAAAAGGAACTCAAAGTTGAGGGCACTACAGCGCCGCCTGAGAACTGGCCGAGTCAAGGAGCGGTTGAGTTCACAAATGTGGTTGCTAGATACAGCCCTGAGAGCCAGCCAGCGCTAAAGAATCTTTCACTACGAATCGAGCCTGGCAAGAAGACGGCGATTTGTGGTCCTTCTGGCAGTGGCAAGACATCTTTCCTCTTGAGCATTGCTCATATGATTGATGTCCAAGGGTCGCTCATGATTGACGACGTGGACATTGCCAACATGCCTATTTCAGATCTCCGATCACGAATCAATGTGGTGCCCCAAGAGCCATTTCTGATGCCGGGATCCGTTCGGTTCAACATTGATCCCTTTGACAAGGCCTCTGATGCAGACATTGAAAAAGCGCTGCGAAGGCTTAACATCTGGGACCAAGTTCAAAGTAATGGTGGTCTGGAAAGCAAGACGAGCTTCAGTAGCTGGTCTGTGGGTGAACGACAGCTGCTTTGCCTAGCTAGAGCGATGGTGCGAAAGAGTAAACTGATTATTCTGGATGAGGCAACTAGCAGGTAAGTTGCCAGCTCCCGGATGATATGCTGTACGTGGCTAACAAAGATCTAGTGTCGATACTCATATTGAGGCTGTCATTCAAGACGTGCTTGAGACAGAGTTTGCTGGCCACACTGTCTTGTCTGTTGTCCACCGTCTAGGATATATTCGGCAGTATGATCGTGTCTTAGTGTTAAAACACGGAGAGATTGCAGAGTGTGGCACGCCACAGGAGCTCCTTGCACGCCCTTCTACCCTCTCCGAAATGGTTCAATCTAGGCTCTATGATACTGCAGAGTAGTTAGATGTCGCTCTACATGCTTAGCATCATTTGTCACGTACTGAATAGAAAATGGAAAATGAAGAAGATGATAAAACCAATCATTTTATTTATCCGTCAAACGCCGTATAATACAGTATATAAAGTTCTAATATGTCATGATTATTATTGTTTACATTTAGCCCCCATTACGCCTTTCCAAGGGTATTGACTACAAATTGGTAGTTACCCAAGAAGATGGCACCACCAATAGAAATCCAAGTGACTCTAGGCACGATACCAGCGAAGAACGGTCTCCAGCCCTCCTCGCGCAGGATCTTAGTAAAGACTGATGCCACGCTCACACGTTCCGGGGAGAGCATAACTCTTGTCTTCAGCACGTCCAGCGGCGTCGTAGAAGCGGCCGCTACTGCACCGGCAACACTTCCAAACGCAGCACTCTCAATGCCGCTAACCGGAGCACCGCCCTTTTGCTTGCTTCTCCACGACTTCATGCCCTCCCACAGCGGGAACTGGATCACAGTAAACGGAACTTCGCGGAAAATAGTAATGCCCCATCCACGGTACAACTCGCGCCATACTGTGAAGAAGCCCTTGGTGGAATACTGGTTAAGAATGGCACCCAATGCCTTAGCCGACGAGCCGCCGTGGTGTCCAGCCTGAGCTCGCTGCTTGACGACTTCTGTCGGCACACGGACCGCACAGGCAGCAATTTCACCAAAGCTAGCTGCGAGCATATGAGACGCTGCCTCGGATGCTGCAGAGCCCTTTGTACCGCCTCGTCGTCTGGCTAGAAAGTCCTTTGTTCCCTCGTATGTGCAGAAGAAGAGCGCGGCGCCAGGGGCCGAGCCAATGACGGCCGAGCCGATGCCGCGGTATATGCCAGAGAAGCCGCCGGATGAGAAGAAGCCAGAGGATGATTGAAGTCGTGTTTTGAGCGTGTCGAGCGGGAAGAGCGAGAGATCGACCGTCGTGCCGGCTACGGCGCCGGCGAGAAGGGCGGTTCGGAAGGGTGTCGGCGTGTCGGCCATTGTGTGTGCCGTGTTTCGGAGATTGAGTGTAAAGGGGAGACAGGGAGGGATTGGGCGAGAAGCCCGGCGGTTGGACGAGGAGGAGCACTGTTTGGAGGGGGGGAAGTTGGTCGTGTGAGTGGTTTAGCGGATGTCGGGGGCACGATGGTGGAGGAAGTCAAGCCCAATTATTTTTTGGGGAACGCTTATCGATAGAGCTTAGGCGGGAAAGATGAGCTGACTGCTATAGAGAGGAATATGCATTAGGTTAAAAATAATAATAATAGTAGGAAATAAATAAATATAGAGTAGTATAATTTAATTAAGGTAAATCAAGGGAATACGCTTCATGCTGTGGGCAATGCGTGTTTGTTTAATCCACGTTCAACGCACGGCCGTCTGGTTTCCTAATCGGGTTCGCCGTATACAATGCCACCCCTCTCTGCAAGCTGGCCTCGTCTTTGTTCTTCCCACAAACATCACCAAACAAAAGAAAAATAAAACAATCAAGTTACAGTACCACGGTGCTGATTTGGTTGGTGAGAATGTCGTCATTTGATTTGGAGCTGCTGCTCAACGGCAAAGGCCGTGATGCATCGACTCACATGCGCAAGGTCCTGAAAGAGAGCGGTAACGTGCAAGTTCTCACAAAGACGCTTGTGGACGCTGTGGATGATGGATCTATTCCACCAGCCGTATATCCAATGTGGATGACAATCACAAATAGCACTCACGTCACCGTCTACGGCATGAAGCAAACCTCGAGTCGACTTATCCGCGAGCATGCCATACGAGCCTTTGTCAAGCGAATGAGACACGCAGATACAATGGAGGAGATGTGGGAGACAGTAGGGCAGGAAGAAGGCCTCGCTGCTCTTATGAACTCTTTTGCGGTTGTCGATGTCAAGAACCTTTGTTCTGGTCTTGGTGGCTGTGCGTTTGCTACGAGCGGTCTTGAGCAACGACAACGCCTCCTCTCATCATTGCTCAACCTCTTACACCCACTTTCCGGAAATACGCCTCCCACAGATACACGGCCATTGCTCCCGATTTACGTCCGCCTACTGCCCGCGTGCTCTTCCCAGCTAGTCAAAGAATGGGCTGTCAAATTCGAATTGGAAAAGTGGTTCATGAGTTACGACGTTACATCTCGCCTTGTTCAGGCGCATTCTACAACCATGGAACATTTTGTCATAACAGTTCAGAACCCCGAGAAATGGAACTTGGACATGATCAAGGTCCTTCTCAAAACAAGGTATCAATTCTGTCTCGACCTTCTTAAGCGATTTATCGACATGCAAAAGACTATGACCACCCGCTACATTTTCATCTATATAACGGAGACAATCTCGGCTCAGTGCACAAAGCAACGTCTGCCTTGGGAATTCCAAACGCAGTTCTGGACTTTGCTTTGTGACTGCTTAGCGAAACATGAGAATCTCAGGGCATATCACAGCTTTCAGTGCCCGAGCTGGGAAAAAGCTGATGTGGCCTATTTTGACGAGCAACTGCTACAGAGGCTCTTCCAAGTGACCAAAGACCCAAGAGGCCGGCGCAATATATTCCGCCCTTTCTCCGTCATGTGTAACTCAGCACCATGCCTACGAGAAAGGATTTTTATATCATACTGGAAACATGTAAATGATCCACCTATCGATTTTCCAGATATTCTTGGAAAACTTGAACGCGGTGAAACGGTTGTCAAGCTGACCTCATTATCTTGGTACGATAACGATTGTTTGAAGCTATTACCACGAGAGGCTTTCGGACGAGTCGTTAAGGCTTGGAATGCCATCACCACCCATGACATTGAGAACGAGGTAGTGGAGATCTCTGTCAGCGCATGCTCGCCGCCTTACAATAAAGATTTCGAACAGGAAGAGGTCGATCGTTGTTCAGCATTCAAAAATACCTGTGCTTATTATTGGTCTCTTCGAGCTTCTGCGACAGACAACCTCTTCCCAACTGCACGGAACGATCTCCTCATGGAGCTGGATCACTGGAAACGAAAGGCCGCACGAGGCAGATTGCCAGCAGATCGAGCATACTGGGCACTCCAAGCCTTACAAATTCCCGTGCTTTTAGCTGACCTGTCTCTATTCAATGACACCCTCATCTGGGCTCGAAGATTCTCCAAGGATAAGGATGCTGTTGAAATAATCTACAATCAACAGGTATTTAACGATGATTTGATGATCGACTTGATGTCTGGTGCTTCCTTCTTGCGGAGGAACGTAGGGTTGCTGTCCAAGGATGGATTATCGGCGCACATCAAGAACTCTCATACCATTTTCCACACTCTAACGCAATCTTACATTGGTGTGGTTCGGGAGCCAAATGTTTATGAATATGACTGCAAGATTTTTGGTTCTATTGGCTATTACATTTGCCGTCGGCTCCAGGCAATGGATGCTGTGCAGCGCCATCTCCAACTCTCGGACGACGACATGTTCTCTTTGGTGTGGCAACCGACTATTGATACCTTGATTGCATGCGAAAAGGCTTGCTTGGATTCTTGTGACGACGAAAATTCCATGGAGCATATTTTCAATTGGCTCGACCATCTGATGTCCAGATTCTACGCTTACAGCAGCACTCCCGGAAAACGCAAAGTCAAAATTCATTCTCAGGTGACCCTCACCTTCATAGACAAACTCTCTAGAGAAAGAGACCACTTGCGACTTGAGCACCGCAAGAAGAAGTTCCCAGATGTAGAGAAATGGCCTGCAGCGTGCCGGCCCGTTTTACCCTTGAAGCACCTCCTACCGTACCAGGTTGAATTTAGGGGTGAACTACCTTATATCAACTCAAGATTGACCGATGTGCTACTCATGGACCCCGAGGAAGCATATTTAGAGGTTACCACCGACGGCAAAGATCGCTACCAACAGCTATTTAATCTAGTTCATTGGCATAAAGTGCTGCGCATGTATCTGAAAGGAACAACCAAAGATGTCCGAAGGAAGAGGATTAATCAAGTCTGGAGTCATGTTGTCACGCACTTATCGGAAGAAGGCCGTGGACTTGTTCAGACCGGTCATGACTGGTATAGTCATTTCAAAGAAGCAGGTGTCCGTTCCAAAGAGATTACATGCCACCCTGATGTAGTCATGCCGTCTGCGAAACTCACTTTGCCTCTAAAAGCAGATACAGAGTGGGATCCAAATGCATCTATACGCTTTCAACTCGCAGGCACTGGCAGAGAAACATACATAGATTGTTACACTTCTAACACAAAGTTCGACTATGGCCCCAACATCGACGCCATTCGCCAAAAAGACACCCCTGAATCCTTCTGGGCATTCATGGAAGCCCTCCCTCATCGTCGGCTTGTAGCGAACGGAGGGGACGCACTCATCGAGGCGGCTATTCTCAGCCTGGAATCATACCAACCTGAGGTGCCATCCATATTGGAAAAAGCGATGCCGGGTAATATCAATGTGCGCTATCCTCTGCGGAAGCTCTCTGCAGATTTTACCAACAAGCATGTGGATGACTCTCCCAAGGTCAGCCTAGCCATGCATGTGCTATGGGAGCTACGTGACCGTGTTCCAAGCATCGTGGTAGCGCGGCTGGCAGAGTCCATTCTAGACGTAGTCATCGCGCATGAAAATCCCCTTCCAGCAGCTCCTTATGAGCTGATAGTCCGGATGATCGACATGTTATTCCGAGGAGATAAGCCTTCATTGGCGCTGCCTCTGATTTCTACTTTTATCGACCAGCTCAACAATGAGAGCACCTGGCACCCGGGTATCCTTAATGTTGGCCTGTTCAACAGGCTGGAGCCCAAACTAGCTAACGAATACCTGTTCAAGGTTTCTAACTTGGTACTCTCCCGGTTGGAGAAGGCTAATGCAGAGATATCAGGCGAGGTCGACAAAAGTGATGTTAAAGATGATGTTGACGAAGACGCTGAGACGGAGACAGACGCTGAGGCTGAGGAAGACCCCGAAGCTAAAGCTAAGGCTAAGGAGGCGAGTCGAAGCATTGTAAAGACTACTACTACGAGGCTCGTACCAGAAATCATCAGAAATGGCCTATTTACAGACGGAAGCCCATTGTTCGACCTCACAACCAAATTCTTCTCGGCCACAAAGAATATCTCGGTAAAGACGGCAATTTTGGAATCCCTGCTTGTAAAGTTGGATACAAGTCCGGACAACTGGCAGCCGTATGCTGAGCTGATTAAAGAACATTTTATTCAGGTAGCTGGTTCCTTGAACGAAGATTTCCCAGAAACTGAAGGAACGTGGAGGGTCGCTGAAACCGGCGGGAAACTCCCCAAACCGTACGATGCAAGCCAAGGGAGCCCAAAACTTCTCACGAGCTTGTTCAAATTGCTGCATCGACGCAACGAAGCCTTAGTCAAGCTTTTTATGTCAGCTATCCAGTTGTCCATTCAGAATAACAAGCGATGGGCGCAACTGTTTCTGAAGAAGATTGGAGTCGAGGTTGAACTACATGAATTGCCCGACTCTCCGGTGTATCCAGACATTTTGTTGGATCTAGTAGAGGGGCATTGCGAGTATGTCCCAAAGCAAATCTTGGATATTCTTATTAAGGGAAAGCGTGCCAAGATGAACCCGTCGCCCAAGATGAGGCATGTGGCGAAGCTAGTAGAAGCAATCACGGGACAAGATACAGAACTGGTCGACCAAAAGCGGCACTATATCAGCAGCTTTGTCACATGGTATTGTGAGAGCAGTAAACCACTTGACCGCCCCGACTACTTTCATGTTACTGAACTGGGATGGAGAAGCAAAACCATATGCCACCTCTACGAAGACCGATATACCATCTGGGTTATACAACAGCTGACAGGTTACAAACCATCCAACCCCGATATATCCGAAAGCGATATCGACGACATGGCATTGGACTTCGCGTCAGCGTGTTGCCGAAATGGCAGAAAGCTAACGCTAGAGTTTCTTGGACTCATCTTGACTCCTAGCTCGGCTATTGACGGCCCGTTGAAGCCAGAATCGCGCTTCATGCCGCTTGTGAACAAACTGAAAACACTCACAGAGTCGATGCGAACTGAGGCGTGGGCGAAAGACAAGCTGCGGTCACCCTTGCAACTTGCATCACCCGAGCATTTTGAAATTTTCAGGCTTGGCGCGCGGCGATTCAAGACACTAGCTCTGGGCGTTGACTTGGAAACAAACATTGCTTTTGGACAAGATATCATTGCGCTGCTTCGCCGCATCCACAGCAACAGGTTCGACGTCCAACACCTTGTAGACTTTGTGAAGGAACGTATTTTTAACCACCCACTCCGAGAACCATATGACTGGATAATAGAAATGGGGCGTCTCGACAAGTTGGACAATGCAGAAGAGCCAACGGTTGTTGACCTGTGCCGGATTAGCTGCGTCTTGCGCATCATGGACGGGAACAGTAACGGCGACGACAGCCTCGATAGCACAATGCGCCACAATAAGGAGTTTGTTGCTATGCTGTATGGATGGGCAACATCACCCGTCGAAGAATTGCGACTAAATGCATACCGAGCCGTAGGGGAGCAGTTGTACGAGCAACTAGTCGAAAAGGGACACCTGGACGTATAACTCCATAAAATAACGACCATTTTCTCAAAATAAAAAAAAGGCAATCCGTTCCGGCGTTTTCAATTCGCTTGTAAAGTTCAATCAATCTGTCAAAAAACTAGTATACATTATTCATTAGGAGGGGTGAGCCGCCTAAACAAGTCGTTGCTGTTGTCCGACGATTTGGGTTCTTCATTTCCACTTTAGTAGTTGTACGCAGGCTTCTCATCCTTGACTTTTACTTGGGCCTTTTTCTTGTCTTCTTCCTCCTTCTTCTTCTTGTCTTCCTCGTCCTTCTTCTTCTTGGCATCCTCATCAGCCTTCTTCTTCTGCTCCTCCTTGAGCTTTGCATCATCAAGCTTCTTCTTGTCAGCTGCCTTTGCCTTGTCAGTGTCTTCCTTCACCTTCTTAGCAGCAGTCTCGTCGGCCTCCTTCTTTTCAGCCGCGGCAATCATGCTGCGGGCCACTGCGTCCACAGACGACTGAAGCTGTGCATCGGCAATCTCCTCGGGAGTCAGGCCGTTAGGGTTAGGAGGGGGTGTTGTTGTGGGTGCAGCATTCTCCTTGACCTGCTGCGTCTGGGTGATGGTTGTGACAGTGACCTTGGCAGGCTGCTGCGAGCTAGCGGGGGTAGGGGGCGGCGAGGTGGTGGACGGCTTGGGCTTGACACTGATTGTCTTGACACTCTCATCGAGCTCCTTCTTGAACTGGGCAAGGACGGGGGCGAAAGCCTGCTCACTGCCAAAGATCTTGATGAAGTCGTCTGCAACGCCCTTGAGGTCGCTGGTGATGTCACGCTTGCCAATATTAGCAACCTTGCCAAGCTCCTTGAGTTGCTTCTTGACTGCTTCCTTGAGGCGGTTCTCGAGGTCGGCATCGAAGCCATGCTCTGCAGCAACAGTCTGGATGTTGTCTTCAACGGTCTGGACCAGTTCGCGCTTCTGGAGGAAATCTGCATTGGTTAGCGTAAAGTCTGTATGGGGATCTAGTTGATGGGTATCCGTACCGTCTTCCTGTATTGGCATAACAGAACGCTTCTCGTGCGTGTATTCGTCGTCGTGCTGTTCAACACTGGCGATGTAGGCTTCAGCGCGGGCGACCATATCCATCTTCTTATAGTATGCGATGCGGTCGGCCTCGAGCTGCGCGGGAGGGACATAGGCGCGGGCGACCTGGTGGCCAACGCCGTCGTAGTTGGCAAGCATCTCGGCGGCCCGGCGTCCGATTCCGACCTGGGCCATGGATTCGTCACTGGTGTCGGCAGGGACGGTAAAGTCCTCGGCAGTGACGGCGCGGGCCTCGTTGACAAGTGGTGCGGCCAGCGCGCCGGAGAGGAGAAGGCTGACGAGGAGGGAGGAGATGCAGCTCTTCATGATGAACGGAGGAGTAGTTGTTTACACGGGTGTTTTGTGGAAGAAGATTGGTAGAGAGAAGTGGGCGTGGTTAGGAACAGGATGTAAGGAAACGCAGGCGGGTAGGTGACTTATATGTCACAGTGGTTGTTGGCGAGGCTCTGGACATTGTTTGGTGCTGTTGTGCTCGTGGAGTAGATTGCGTATCAGTATCATGGTCCTCGATACATTTCTGGAAACAGGATGCTGCCTCCATAGCCTTCTTGGGATTGAGTTGTTCCATCATCCCAGGTTTGCGGGCAGCGGAGTCGAGAAAGGATTCAGCGAGGCGCTTGAAACTTAACTCACACAGTAGCCGCCGGGCCCAGATGGGTCTTTTCTTCGATAGCGTTTACCGGCAGCCGGATACAATGGAGGGTTTCCAACTGCGCCTGTTTCATCTTGACGCAAGCGATGTCAGAGCGCCGCCCACGGTAGACGACTAACTGTGCCGCGGAATCTTCATCTGGAGCGAAGGAGAGCTGAATAATCCGAAAAGAGCCCTCAGTCTTGTTTGTTTTGTCTCATTGGCTGGTCATTTCTATCGTCCCAACGCCGCGACGAAACTTTTTCATGGATGGTTAGCCTCGTCTCCTGTATCGATACTGCCGCAGACACGTTCCGGGAGAAACCTAACACACTCTTTTTTTTGTGAATGATGAAGATTACACTAATTTATTCCATCCCCATGGAGCTTGGAGAGATTATTGAAACTATTTTTACTTTCCATTTTTAAAAAGTAGTGGTGATGTTGCGAGTCAACAGCCCGTGCGCCAACCTCACAGCGCATACACATTACACCACGGCCATTGAAATTGGTGTGTAAATATTTATTATATACAATTTAATTATACAGTATTACTATTATTTCCCTTTTTATTCATCGATCATGAAAACATCTCCATGTCTCTACTCAGCCTTGGAGGCGTCCTTGTAGCAGCTCACCACAATCGCATGGTCATGGTTTGCCAGAGCGCCAGGAGGCGTAGCAGGAAGGTCAGTGCACTCAGGTAGCAACTTGACGCTCACACACTCCTTGGGAATAGCGCCCTGGAAAGCATTGCGCTGGAGAATGTTGAAGTGCGTGCCGCCGTAGTAGGCAAGGGGCTCGTCGCAGGCCATCCATCCGTAGGGAATTAGCTCGGGCTTGTCATAGCCAGCAGCAGGGACGTAGATGTCGCTATCGCCGGGGCCTCCGTCGAGGCGGACGCCCTGGACATCAGGGGTGTCCTTGTTGTAGTGCAGAGCAAGACCGTACGGCGAGCTGGGGCTGCCGCCATCAGAAAGAGTGCGCCAGAAGAGCCCGTCGGAGCCGGTGCCGTTGATGTAGAAAGTGCGGCCTTGGTCGGAGAAGCCTACGGAGTTTAGGCCGGCGCCGTCGTGGATGGAGGTGATGTAGAGGTTGGAGACGGGCTTGGGGAGGTCCTTGGTGGCGTCGATGAGGTGGACGCGCAGCTTGATGCCCTTGGATGCGCTGAGGTTGTTGTTAGGAGAGGGAGCAGCGGCGGTGAGGCCAGCAAGAGCCGATGTAAGCGTGAAGAGGGATGTGGCGTGCATTGTGATGGAGTAGAGAGGAGTGTGAGAGTGATGAGATGATGATGATGATGATGGATGTTGGTGATGGTGGTGATTACAGTGGCATTTTATACAAATTTCTACAGAAAAGAGAGGTTGGTGATAAAGACTACGTCTCCCAAGGTTTTGGTGAAAATGACGTCGGTAGAGAAGGTGAGATCTCGTATTTAGCGTTGCAGTGCAGGGAAGCTTCCCCGTTTGTGTCCGCAGAGACGCAAAACACAACCCCGGGGGTATAATTCTCCGTCGTATTGGAGATGCTGGGAGACTTTTTCCGCCAATATTAACATTGTAGTTGTGGCTAGATTAGGGTGGAGGAAGCAGCTATGATGGACGCGTGCCGCACGCCACACGATGCGATCCAGATGAGCTTGGCGGTGTCTCCAGGTCGATACGAGATGCGTGGGGGACGAAGAAGCTCATGGAAAGAAAGTTCTCCAAGCTCATGCTTTGTATTATAAATCAGTCGTGTGGGTGAGAAAACAGCACATAGATTCGTACTGGCTGCAGCGTCTGGAGAGAACCCGTACGCGAGATGCCAACGAGCGATGTTGATGAAAGTCAATTTACTGCAAAACAAATTTCACATGCCAGCCACTGCTGTTAGCGTCGTGGACAGCTGAATAAGGCTTGGTTTTTTAGGGGGCGTTTTGCGTCAGCTGTGACGTTTTGCTTGGAACGGAAGCGGAGCCAAAGCGCTGGCCGCTTGTCCTCTTTTTTGTGTGTAATATTTTTTTTAGCGGTTCAATCTTTTGCGTAGTGAGGATACGCATATAGCCGTCTTACTTTCTATATCTTGATTGCATAGAGGAGTAAGTAGACAGCCAGCTTCACAGAGACAAACAGCAGCAGCAACAGTAGTAATAGTAGATGTTCGTAGCTGTCGGATTAAAAAAACACAACAATTCTTTGTAAAATACAGACAACCGCTCCTTGACTCGAGGCACCTGTCAAACTCTATTCATTATGACCTACACAAAGAATGGCCACCAGCAAAAAAACGCCACGGAATCCCCCATCTCCCCCAACCCTCGGCATGGCCGCCCGCTAGCTAGCCACAGCACTAAATTCTTGTTCTATACCCACCCGAACCCAGCGTAGGGCTTCCCCTCATTCTGCCTTTCCCAGCGCACCGAGGAACTGGAAGCCGAGTGCGGGGAAAGCAAAAGCCTTCCGTTAGCGAGGATGCCGGGCGGCGACTCGGACCAACTTTTGGAGGCCCGGAACGGAAGGACACCGGAGCGCAATCACAAGCCAAAATAAAAATAAAAATAAAAAAAGAATTACGCAATGGAATAATATGGATGGATATAAACATTGACCATCATCCCCTCTCTTCCTTTCTCTTTCCTTTGTGCCAGTTCTGAGTATCACCACCACTTACAAACATCACCACCATGGCTGCTCCTGCTGCTGCAGTCCACCGCAACCCCATGGACTCGATGAAGTCGACCTGGCAAAAGGCAGACAAGTCGACCTGGGCCTTCCCCCATCGCTTCTTCAACTTCTTCGACCCCGTTGAGAAACAAATCGACCCTCCCATCCACGCAAAGACCGACAAAGTCCCATACCTGCCCGACTGGCGCATGCACGTCTGGATTCTCTCGCACGCCCTCGTCCCCGTGGCCCTGCACCACGCCTACGTTTTATATTCTGGCAGCAACCCGCACATGCTCGTCGTCTTCCTCTTCTACTCGCTCGCCCTCAACGTCAACGGCGGCCGCGAGATCCGCCTGCTGCGCCAGGTCGGCAACAAGACGGGCTACCTCGACGGCGACAAGCACGCGCGCGACGGCATCCCCGACTACACGATCCGCAAGGTCATGGTCTCGTTGCTCACCGCGTCCCATGTCCGGCCCATGCTCACCGTCATGCTGAGCTACAGCGCGGCCCAGACTCCCGCGACAATCAACTGGCGCTGGCTGCCGCTTGAGATTGGCCTCGCTCTGCTGGCTGTCGACTTTTGGTTCTACTGGTACCATCGCCTGATGCACGAGGTCAGCTTCCTCTGGAAGTTCCACCGCACGCACCACCTCACAAAGCACCCGAACCCGCTGCTTAGTCTGTATGCCGACCATGTCCAGGAGATGTTTGACGTTGTTGTGATTCCTACGCTGGGATATCTGACTGTTAGAGCTTTGGGACTGCCCATGGGCTTCTACGAAACTTGGGTCTGCCACCAGTACCTCATCTTCACAGAGGCCCTGGGACACAGCGGTCTTCGCGTCTATGTCACTGCGCCGTCGCCGTTTAGTCCAATCTTCCGATTCTTGGGCATCGAGGGCATCATTGAAGACCACGATCTGCACCACCGATATGGCTGGAAGTCGAGCCACAGCTACGCAAAGCACTGCCGCCTCTGGGATGTAGCGTTCGGTACCGACTATAAGCGCATCGAGTGCACAGAGACCAACATTGACTGGAACGATACCGTCAAGTTTCCCTTGTTTTAGAAATAGAATAGACTTTTAGAGTAGACTCTTGGATTTTTGATTCCCCCTAGCATGTACTTATGAATTTACGGATTTTATATATCCTACTACAACTTTGGGCTGCAGCCACTTTCACGACGAGGCACCATACTCGCCCTGACCACCAACAGCTCGGTCTTGTCTCGAACCCTGCTGGCCAAGTCGTGGTCAACCAGCCCGAATACTGTATACATGTTCTCTCTCACCCGCGTATCAGCCTGGCAGATGGACTGCGCCAAGTTGTCTACCAACTTATCTTGCCATCCTGCGTGCTCCGCATCGTCCAGGTGTGTCCAGAAGGTCCGAGGAAACTTGTAATCCAGCTCCGAGACTTCCGACAAGGACTCGTCATTTACAACTGGCTCAAGAGCAGCATCCCACTTGGTTTGGTATCTTTCTCTAAACGTCATTGGGCAATCGCTCGGCAAGTATCCCGCGCGCGAGCCATAGTTTCCATCCACAGCTGCTCGTCCATCGCGCTGGAGCGGGTTAAACGGACACAGCGGCCGGTTTACCGGAATCTGCTGGTAGTTGACGCCCAGCCGATGTCTCTGGGCGTCAGGATACGCAAACATGCGCGCCTGCAGCACAGGGTCTTCCGACGGCGCAATGCCCGGCACCAGATGCGACGGCGAAAACGCCAGCTGCTCAACCTCTGCAAAGTAGTTGTCCGGGTTGCGGTTCAGCGTCAGCTTTCCAAACGGCCGAGCCGGCACCGTTCCCAGATCCTTGGGGTACGTGCCCATGTCCCAGTGCTTGGTGATGTCGAGGATGTTGTAGCCAAACTTGGGCGCGTCCTCGGGCTCAATCACCTGCACGTAGGCCGTCCAGGTTGGATAGTTACCCGTGCGTATAGCGTGATATAGATCGCGAGTCGCATGGTCCGGGTCGATGCCGCTTGTCCTTTGCATCTGCGGCCCCGAAGCAAACTCGTACCCAGCGTCAGCTTGGAGATACATGTGCACGTAGCGGTACGAGCCGTCTGGCTTCACCCATTTGTGCGCGTGGCCCATGTAGCTGTTCATGTGGCGATAGCTGTTGAAGGTCCCGTACTCGCTGTACAGCCAGAGCACCATGTGCAGCGATTCGTGGTTGCAGGCCACCCAGTCCCAGAACGAGTTCGGGTTCGGCAGGTTGGTCTGCGGATCGCGCTTTTGCGCGTGCATCAGGCCGGGGAACTTGAGGGGATCGCGCACAAAGAAGAAGGGCACGTTGAGATAAACCCAGTCCCAGTTGCCCTCACTAGTAAAAAACTTGGTTGCCATGCCGCGAGGGTCTCGGACGGCGTCGGCGGTGCCTCGTTCGCCTCCGGTGGTTGAGAAGCGTGTGATGCACCGCGTCTTCTTGCCTATGCCGAGGAGCATGTCGATGCTGCAAATGTCGGAGATGTCGTGAGTTACCTAGAAAGCATTAGTACGTGTGGTAAGATGATATGGTGTGCAGGGTCGCTGCTGACTTCAAACTCGCCATACGCACCAGCGCCTTTTGCGTGGACAACTCGTTCCGGGATTCGCTCTCTGTTAAAGTGCGTGAGCATTTCGATGAGATGCGAATCTTGGAGGAGCAGATTCCCGCCAGCACGTAGAGGCCGCTCTGGTTTTGTGGCTGGGCAGCCGTTGGCCAGCGTGTAGTGAGGCACGTCTTCTTTGTCAGTCTTCATTGTAAGGACAACGAGACTAAGAAGCTAATAAAAAAAGAGTCAAAAGGAAACTGTGCAAGATAGCTGCTCACACTGGAGGTTTCAAAAGCCGATATGCTTTATGGAGGGACTCGGCTCTTCTAGCTACAGTCACCTCTACCAACCATATCACAAGCCCAAGATGTAGTCTGTTGAATTGTATCGGCATTTATTCTCATCCTCACTGCTCGTATTTACCGGCATGTCGAACACGTCAATTGAATCCTTCAACGTGCCGCCCCAGACCTGTCTCATTAGACCCCACCGCACGCAGGGAAGCGAAACACTGCATCATGCATGCGTCCGAGAAGGATTCTATAAAGTACCAACGGCTATATTGATATTGATACTGTGATAGATGACGAGATTACCTCTTCAGCCCGTTTCGGAGATGGATAGACCCAATGTGTTCTGAGAGGTAATGACAACCATAGTATATAACACCACTTAGAGGGCGTAGCCTGTTGGCATCTCAGACGCCGCCTGTCACGCATCATGACTGTTACAAACCAGCTTCTACAAGAGAAGAAACAAGCCAGGGCCAACTTGACAGCACAGCTCGCTGCTAGTCTCACAGCAAGCCCGCCGTCTCTCCCCTCGCTCTGCCTCTGGGACCAGCGCGGGCTGCAGCTCTTTGAAGAGATAACGCACTCAGCAGGCTACTATCCTTTTGCTGCCGAAGCGAATCTTTTAAAGGAGAGCATTGACGACATACTAAGCTGTATCTCTGAGCACAGCGTGATGCTAGAGCTAGGAAGCGGGTAAAGTATTCAGTTACAGCCAAGCACAGCACGTCTACTAACGGATGAGAGGTAGGTCTCTTGAGAAAACCAGCATCATTCTTCAGGGCCTCAGCAATCTGGGGCGTTCCGTGGACTACTATGCTCTCGACGTCTCTGCTACGGAGCTCGATCGCTCGCTGAGAGGCCTACGAGCTACCTTGGGCAGCGGCTCAACCGTCCAATGCCACGCTCTCGTGTGTACTTATGACGAAGGCTTGCTATGGCTTGAGAAAGATCCCTCACTTCGCGGACGAGATGTCACCATCTTGTGGCTGGGTAGCAGTATAGCCAATGAGCCCCCCAGGAGCATCCAGCGCCTACTGTATGCGTACAGAACGGCCAGCGAGGCATCTGGCGTTGGCAAGCTGCAGTTTCTCATTGGAGTAGACGGCTGCAAGGAGGCCAGCCGGATTAGAAGGGCGTACGATCTGCCTAGCGGTCTGAATCGCGAATTTGCCATGAACGCCATCACTAGTATCAACTTCTCTATGGGGTGCCAGGTGCTAGATCCCAAAGCCTGGCAGTTCCATGGGACTTGGAACATGAAGTCGTCGCGCTACGAGACTGGCTTAGCTCCCGTATGCAACGCAAAGGTCGAGGTTGGTGGGCGGACTGTATCCTTTAGAAGCAATGATGTCGTGCACTTGATCTACAGCCAGAAGTGGGACTGCCAGGATGTAGATGACATTCTTGCAGATACGAAATTTGCTATACAGGAGCGTTGGACAAGCTCAGACGTTGCGTACAGTATGGACATTAGCCCTATTGACCATGATGGTGCTAACCTTTGGCTTAGCATTGTATTTGGTTGGTTAAAGACTATAGAACGGTTAAAGGTTGGTTATTTTAGTATTACAATAGCCACTACTATAATGGGATTTTTGATTGCGAATGCGATTACACGCAGTGCGTATCATATCGCTTCCGCCTTGGACGCCAATCAGCTGCTGTCTCACCATGAGTACTCCATATAGATAGCCGATGAGGCTTGATCCTACCGACACCGACGACAGAAGCTATGATCAAGGGGGGGTTACACATCACCTTACGTGGCCCTGCAATGCAGTCTCTTGCAGCCGGTCAGCTGTGAATCCTTCTGCTCCCGTTTGATCTTGATCGCGACCGGCCCCTGCGGCCCGTGCCAATCAACATGTCACTGCTTGTACCGATATAGGAGACACTGTTTGCTATAAATAGCACGTCAGCTCGTGCAAGCTCTCGGTTAATTGTTTCCTAGTCTGTGCAAAAGAGTCGAAATGGATGCCACGACCGTTGCTGGTATTGCGTCGTTGCTTCTAGCGGCAGCCGTGACGGCGGATTATCTCCACGACTGGAAAAATCGGAGAGCTCTAGTAGACATACCTCTGATTCTTACTAACAGCCCGTTGCATCCATGGATTGGTCGCCAGCCCAAGGATGACTACGATGAAGAGATGACGCGCGCATATCAAAAGGCATGTCGCTTTTCAGGCGGATGCAACCAATACTAATACGTACTCTATTTATTTAGTATACAAAGAACGGCAAAGCATTTGCAACGCCTAGTTTCAGCCGCAGCAGCACCGTCTCCATCTTCCCGCCGCAGCACTCCCAGGAATGGCGCAATGTGTCTACAGACCGCATGAGCTGGCGGATTCGTATAACAGAGGTAATAAATGACTCTGTGTAGCAACGAGCAACAATACTAAACAAGGTTGCAAGGAATTTCTGCTAAAAGACGTCGGGTTGGACCTCAACTGGAAGGTTGCGGCCCAGACTACCTTGATATGCAACCGCAGCGCCTGCATCCGTACGTGGTCGCCTTTATTTCATGTCGGTTGATTTTATTAACTCTTAATACAGCCCAAGTGCAGCACCACGTCGCTCATGCAGTAGATGTTGGCCTTGAGCAGCTTAATCTCAGCGGATCGTCGGGTAACCACAAAGCAAACCAAAGCCTCGGTCAAGCAAACTTATACTAACGCAGTGTATGCAGACTCGACAAAGATCAAAGTGGTGGAAACGGTCATGGGACTATCCTCGGAGCTTGTTGTAGCCCTCGTCTTTTGTCCTGGATTCGCCAGCGACACGCCGTTTGCCAAGGACATTGTCAACTTTGTGACACAGCTCGAGGAGAGAGTCTACCACCAGCGCAAGTATCCAGTGCTGCTGCGGCCGCTTTTCAGACGGTTCTCGTCCATAACAAAGACTCTTCATTGCACAATGGCAGCCCTCAAGAAGATCCTAGTGCCCGAGGTGCTTCGGCGGATTGAGCAGCGCCGGGCTGACAAAGGGTCCGGTAGTTGCAGCGTCTTTTACATGGACGTCATGATTCATCTCGCCTTCAAAGAAGGCCACCTGGACTACAGCTGCAGCAGCGCAGACTTACAAACTGCTACCTTGATTGCCCACCATCTACTGCTGATCTGCTGGGGGATGATCTCGCCAACATGGATGTTTGGCACCATCATGCTGTTTGATCTCTGGTCGCGAACCGAGTACATAGCGCCGCTAAGGCAAGAGCTCGAGTGTGCCGTACAGAAAACCAACGGCATCTGGACGTTTGACATGTTTAAGCACGCGCCGCGATTCGAGAGCTTTACCAGAGAGTCGTTGCGCATGAACCCCCCTTCAGCAAGTATGTCGCATCAATATGTAGATAAAACCGCCGCAGATTTGCTAACCGCCGTGATAGTGACAAATGGCCGTCAGGCTCTACAGCCTCTTCCAATGGAGTCGCTAGGGCAGACGTTCTACCCAGGCGCCCGGATCGGCTTCTTGCCTGCGCGCTGGGTTCATCGGGACCCGGACCACTACCTGGACCCGATGACGTTTGACGGGTATCGCTTTGTCGACCGGGAGACAGGACGTTGTGATTTTCGCGACACCATCACGCCGACAGAGACATGGCTGCCCTTTGCCATTGGCGTGTCGACGTGTCCGGGGCGGCTCATTGGGACGCGCATGATACAGGTCATGGTGGCCAAGATTCTGCTTGGGTATGATGCCAAGTTGGAGGACATGGACGGCGACTTGTTGCTGCATGAAGATGGGTTTACGATTCCAAGATCTGATGTAGAGGCGTCTATAAAGGTCCGTTGAACGGGCATATAAGGTAATTATCACATATACCGCACCTTGACGACAGATTTTATTTCTATTAATGAAAGTATATTTGTCAAGCAGTGTAATTGGAACGAGTGATCCACTGTTACAATGGAATATTCAATCGACCCAATAATCAAAGAGACGCTGCTTTGATATTGTACCGCGGTCTACCGCACGCAATAAAGTTTTACATACTGTCGTCCTCACCTTCAAGAGCGTGGTAGCAGAATATTCCATTGTCTCTAATATTCTATCTATACTGTACACTGCCACCTCCGCGCGCTAAATCTTATATTGTCTCGAACTCCACCACAAATACAACAGCAGCAGAAAGAAGTATACAAAGAAGATTACAAATCTTGCGCGATTAGCCAGGAAGGAGACCGAAAAGCGTAGTTTCGTTATTACACCATTTTTAGATTAATGAATAAACGCCATCTTACTTTATATACAAAGTATAACCTTGTTTTTGTTTGATTTGTGTTTGGTGGCGTTTTGCCGCAAATGTTAACGCCGATGGTGGTGGCGTTTCATGTAGAGTTGCGGCCGCGGCTATATTCTCAGTCCTTAAAGAAGAGATATACGCGTCTTGCAATTTGCGCAATACGAGAGGCTAGCTTAGGATGGATGCACGGCAAATTCCACGTTGTTCTATATATCCGATCGCATCGACAAGTGCCGAGCCTGCGGGAACGCCAAAGATGGGATCTCCGAGGGCGGGCCACGATGGTGCAAGGTCACCTTGTAAAACAATTCCTGTAAAATCGTAACAAAATTCAGATGGAAGTCTATCAACGAGTTTATATTCTTAAGAATATATAGAGCAAATATAGGGCAAACCGCTACTGCGGCCCGACGGTCCGACGGTCACATCCTCCGATAGCCCTCCATCGCCAATATAGAAATCCCCCGGACTTCCGGGTAAGCCACTAACAAAAGCCTTGATCCTACCTTAGCCATGTTGTTTCATGAAACTAGTGGCGCTCTGTATCGGCCCTTTCACCCCGCATATAAACTGTCTATATACCTGGCCCATGCTCACCTCAAGTTGCAGAGTTGCATTGCAAGTCGGTTTGGGACAAGTCTGCGAAGGAGGCAACCCGTAGTCCGTCGGTCTTATTCGAGTTCGGCATTATTTTCAGGTAGAAAGGATCATGTTTGCCTTTTTGTCATCGTTCGATCAGGCCGTGAATGAGGGGTTTCGTGATAATACGCGGAATAGCAGCAGTGAGCTTACCTGAGCTCTCATGACGACGAGAAATATAAATAAGGCCTCATTCTGCAGTTATTCTTTGGTGCCCTTTACTCCTCACTCTTCTCATCTTTACCAAGCCTCTTATATCCAACCATCTTAATCCAACCATCTTGACAGATTCAAAATGAAGTTTGCTATTGCCCTCACTGCCCTCCCAGCTGCCCTCGCCCTCTCCGGCAAGGCCACCACCACTGTATGTCGTCCATTCTTATATCTTACATGAACAATGATAGTCTAACTGTTATCTTTGTAGCGCTACTTTGACGGCCAAAAGGGCGCCTGCGGCTGCGGCCCTGCCAACGGCTCCAACAACTTTGACTGGCAGCTCAACATTGCCTCTGGCGTCTACACGGCTGCTGGTTCCCCTTCGCTCTTTGGCTCCGGTACCTGGTGCGGCTCGGGCTGCGGCTCTTGCTACAAGCTTACTTCTACCGGCTCTGCACCCGCTGGCCAGGGCAGCGGTGGCGAGGCCGGCAAGTCCATCATTGTCATGCTTACCAACCTGTGCCCTCACGAGGGCAACGAGAAGTGGTGCCCTGCTTCTGGCGGCACCAATGACGCTGGTATGAGCTACCACTTTGACATTATGGCCCAGAGCCAGGTCTTTGGAGACAATCCCATTGTGGACTTTGAGAGCATTGCGTGCCCCAGCCAGGCTACCACCGATTTCAAGACTTGCCAGTGTGCCAGCTCTTAAATTGTGTATGTTGGTTATCATTATTTTTAAGCCTATATAGCTTGCAATACAACTTGTTTATCTCCTAGGTAGATCCAGGTACTCGGGCTCCTTTTCCACCTCGACAAATCTCACGTCCCAAAATGTCTGATACCTATACGTTGCGGGAACGAATTCCACCTTGACTAGATCCAGAGGCCCACCATTATAAATCAATTCCAGGGGCTCGTCACCATTAACCAATCGTTGCTGGTAAGCCTGGCTGGTGTTATCAGCAAAAGTATACCATGGCTTCTGATGCTCAACCCGCGGGCCCAGGGGGTTATCGGGGTAATTTTCCAGGCCGACAATAAGTACGGGGTCCTGTCTGGATCCAAATGGGTTATGAACTCCGCCTTTATGGTTGAGGAGCCGAGTCTTGAGCTTCCAACTCCAAATGGTGTACTTACGTCCATCTTTCGAACTGACAACCATGTCGTTTTCTCTAGCATCACGCAGATGAATCAGAGAATGCTTCACCTTCATGCCTTCGTCCCAGTCCTCAAACGTGTACTGCGCAGTGCCAGTCCTTATGACGTCGGTATACGCACTGCCTATCGGCCGATGATAGCCCATGTTTTCGTTGTACCTTCGCTCATATGCTTGACGCGCGTGGAACGTCTCGTCGTAGTCCACATCTTTGTATTCGTGTTCAAAGCTTTGGATTCCGTTGATACAGAATCCAGCCACTTCTTGTGTCGCCTTGGGCACAGGTCGCACAAATATCTGCTCGAAACGTAGCGGATCGCGATCCAACCCACGAAGCAATGCTCGAAGAGGCTTGCCCTCTTTGGAATAGTCTGGGCCGAGAGGCAAAATGAGATCCGGGCGGATACGCGCATATTGCGGTTCGGGCCCAGACATCTTTTGGAGAGTGATGGAAAATGACGAGTTTAAATCTCCGGGATCGTCAGGTTTATGACAGCACGAAAGGGCAGCGATGTAAAGCAGCTCCGTCCCATTCAATGACAATGGCTGCAGCACTAACGAGATTCGTAGTCCTCGGTTGGTCAGCTCGGTAGGGTTTCCTTCACGATATGCCGAGAATTGGGGCTGCGTATACTTTTCAGCGCCAGCAAAAAACTTTGGTGAAGGAGCCAATAATCCCCAAAACGGCTTGGCTTTAGCCGTCTCTTCGTCACTCATCCAAGCAAAGATACTCTCATCGTCAGATTCCTTGAGGAAATGCTCCTGCAGACGCATAAAGGCTTTCTCCTCGCCCTCTCCGTAAAGTAGCGGCATATTGACGCCAAACAATCCCATCATACAATAGGCCAGATCTTCTGCCTTTGTGGTCCTGCGGTTGGCAGCCCACGCCATCTTTTGGCAGGCCGGGATTGTCGCCAGATCAGCTCCCATGAGCGCCTCCTCAGAGATGCGCGTGACCTTTGTGAGGCTATCCTTGAGCGCAGCCCGGTCTCCAAGCGGCTTCCAATCCATGGTGAGGAACTCGACGTGCTTGGGGGCAATGAGCTCCTGCAGTGTCCATCCACGTGTAAACCATTGGCTGGCCTCAAACTCATCGGCAGCAGCCACGTCATACATAAAGACAAAGCACTTGGCAGACTCCTGGTACCACTGGAACATGCTGTTGATGGCCTCGGACAGCTCGGCCGAACTCGTCTTGTCGATGCAGCAGGTGTCGACCCAGATGTACCCCAAGCCTTCCTTTCGCGCTTGGTATGCGCAATTCTCAATCTTGGCGAAGCCCTTGAGCGCTTTGGCCTTGTCGGACTCCATGTCCTGGAAGCTGACTTCTTCATCTTCCCAGCGGTGGGAGAGGATGCCGTACGGCGGCGGCGTCCCGATGAAGAATTCGAGCTCCAGTGAAGTTGCGTTGATTAAGCGCATGGTTTACTCTTTGCTTGTGGACGTTACTCGATCCCTTGAAAAACGATTTTCTACATGATGGGTTGTGGTCGTATTATAATCCTACGCCTGCATAAAGGCGAGGCTGGGAAAATGGATTCAGCCTCAGTAGTCTATACCTTTGTGGGACACAATGCGAATACCAATATTCGCGTTTTGAGTCAAACCGTGCATAAATTCGTATTATTTTCCTGGTTTGCATCACGAATTGACGTATTCTAGTGGAGGAAGAAATGACGTGATGCTGCGTTCATGTTTGTTATTGTATAGGGTAGCACGCTGGAGGCCGCCGCCGAATCTGTGCTGCAGCGCGGAATCTTCTCTGTCAAACGATAAAATTGTATGAATTTTATTAAAAAGTATGTAACAATCCTAGTAACATAATCCATTCAACGAAACGAATTGTTATGATGTAGTTGAACATAGTTTGTGATTATGGCCTGTACAATCTGTAATCTCTGCTGTACCAGATCCAAACATGTATAATCTTTGGTGTACCTGCAATCCTGCATTGTATCTGGAAATAAAACACAAAAGACTCATACGCCAAAACATGAATGCATACAACCATTTACCATTTACTACTATAGTACCACGTTTTGGTGAGCGCCACTTGCTGTCTCCTCGCTTACGCGGCACATCCAAGTGCCGCTGCTATTTTGAGGACTGTTCTTTTGTTTATTTCCCGACTTCATATAGCTTCTTTGCTCGCATGACCTGTCCCTTCCAAGATTCTTCGGAATTTTCTTTACGGAAGATTCTTCCACGTTGCCGTGCAGGCGGGAACGACCGCCAGCAGCATGACTAGCTGATGGGACTACTAAGGAGAATAACATCGGCCAAATTCCCGATATCTCTTTCCCATGGTGCTTGTTACTGGAATCCGGCTCCGCCATGAATTTCCCTTGTGCCCGCATGGCCAGGCTTGGCTTTGTTGACTCAGATCTTTTGCTCAACTGGGTTGGTTGACCGGGGCTATAGCGGGCCTTTTTCTCATCGCCATGGTTATAGCCTACTCTGCCGAGATTGCTACAGAATCCTATGTTATGAATTTACCGGCCCATCAGCTAAGCTAACTAATGCGCTATAGTCTGTAGCGGCTGTGGCTTATGGCATCTGTGTAGATATCTGGCAGACGAAGAACAAACGGTTATACCACACAATCCACAACGTGGGTTTACAACACTGTTTCTACAAGATGGAAGATCAACAGTAGCCTTACAGCCGAACACACAGCGCAAAGACATGATGCTGCTCTTCAGCCCTTTTTGGCGCACATGAACTGCTCACAACGAGGAGGCGGCCACGGTCGTGAATCAAACGGCAGTGTTTTGGTTGGGTTCCGCCCTGTTTGTGTTTCTGGGGCAGGTCTGTGTGGTGCAATTTGCATGGGAATGTTTTTGAGTGTCTCAGACTCGCGCACCTCCATCCGTTGTAAACAAATCACACTAGGTTTACCCGGGACGCCGAGTAAACAAAAGGCAAAAAATAAAAAATTGCATAGAAAGAACATGAAAAAATACTACGTAGAAATATATAGAAAACAGAGCGTTGAAGGAAAGCTGGAAAGTATAGAGCGGTTTGATGGGGATATAGACTCACTGCATATGTTGGTGATTATAAGATTGATTGTAAATAAGGTCTGGGTCAACACACCAAGTTCGTCTTAGAAAACAACACAGCCAAGGAGAGACCAGATCACCACCCACTTGCCCATGACTAGCATTCAGCCTTGCTACTGTGGGCAGTGTCTGACGATCCCACGCAATGGCTGTCTGCGTGCGATTGGCCCGTCACATTTACCCATTGGGAACTTCTGCATTGGTTACCAGGAACCGGCAGTAACTGATAGAGATTATCGGACGGCCCCCACACTAGAAATAGCGGTAGCAACAGCTTGTCAGCTCCAAATCGAGGAATGACGGCCTATTATTACTATTGAATCCCCCCATCCTCTATCTTTCCTCTCTGCTGTTTATATTTTTTACAATACACAAATCTCGTAGGTAGATGATTGCCTCGAGTAACTACTAACCACAACAGTCATGTTTTTCTCTCCAATAGCTGGGTTGACCAGCTTCCTCACCCTGGGCCTGCTCAAGCCTCTGGGTGGTGGGTTAGCCGGCTTGCTGAATCTTGGGCCAGCGACACCAAGCGCCGACGTCTTCTACGATGTCCCGAGCAACATTGCAGACTACGCTCAAGGCGACGTTATCCGCTACCGAAAACCACCCAGCGCCATCGCCAGCTTTGGATTACCGCTGGACCTCGCCTCGTCATACCAGATCCTCTACCGAACTACCAATGGCTTCGGCGTGCCTACAGCTACCGTTGTCACAGTCATGGTGCCTCCAAACGCCGACTTCAAGTCCATAATGTCGTTTCAACTGGCCGAAGATGCCACTAATATCAACTGCGCGCCATCGTATAGTATCCAGATGGGCTCAGGGACCAACTCCAAGTTTGAATCCGGCACAGCCCAACTGGAGCTTCTCATTATGATTGGCGCTCTCCAAGAGGGCTGGATCGTCATCACACCGGACTTTGAGGGGCCTGATGCCAGTTACATTGACACTACTCTTGCGTCGCGCGCTGTTCTCGACGGCATCACCGCCACACTAGCCTCTGGTCGCTTTACACAGATTCAACCCGACTCTATTGTCACCATGTACGGCTACTCTGGCGGCGCAAGCGTCACCAAGGATGCGGCGGCCATTCAGCCCACGTATGCAAAGAATATCAAGCTATCTGGTACTGTTACGGGCGGTCTTCCCACATCGACAATCACAAAGGCCATGTTTTACAAACTCAACCAGAGCAATGACTCGGGTTTGATCCCACTGCTACTCATTGGTGTGGTCAAGGCCGTGCCGCAGTTCAAACCCCTAATCGACAAGCACCTCAAGCCGCAGTACAAGAGCCTCTTCTACAAGCAACTAGGACAGTGTCTCGATTCCAACCTCGAGACGTTTCGCGGCCTCGACGTTATTGGCTTCTTTGACTGTTGGGACTGTGTCATCGACCCTGTTGTCGCGGTTGCTGGTGCAGCCAAGGACACGGGCAACCCAGCCGGGCCTCAGTATATTTACCAGTCTGTAGCGGATCAGCTTGTTAACATTGCGCAGATTGACAACAAAGTCGTGCAGTACTGCAACGACGGCGTCAACGTCTTCTACCAGCGCAACGACAACCCGCACGTCAACCACGTCCACGAGGCGTTTCTCGGTGCAGAGGGCGCACTGGACTGGCTCAATGGTATTCGCAACGGCACGTTCCCAACAAAAGAATGCGTCGTCCAGCATGTCCAAACAAGCCAGTTTTCCAACAAGTTCCTCTCCAGATTCCCCAACTTCATCTCCACCAGCCTCTTCAAGCTCATGGAGGGCCGATAAAGGCGGTGGCGTGTAGAGTGGAGGCGGTGGCAGGAGGGTAGGCCCGATTCATGTATATAGACGATGGGTCTCTTGTTTTTCTTTGTTTTTTCTAGAAGTACAAAGCTTTTATGAGGTTTACTTTACACATACAGTGGAGGGAACTGTTTTGACGCAGGGTGGTGTTGGTATGCACATGGATTTCTACATCTGTTATCAGCTACAGTTACATAATTCAACTTTTTATTATTCTTTTTTTCCAATGGGCACATCTTGCTTCTTTTCTTTTTAATTTATCAGCAATGATCAAAGCGTTGTGGCTTTCGGCCTTAATTAGCCGATACAAGCCACCGACCTCATGCACGGCCGAAATAGGTAACCATCAATTGCCGCTAGTGGAGAAAGCTGAAGGCAAACTGACGATCTATTTCCTGTTAGCCTTGCTGTTTACAGCGTCGTCTTCTAATGGAACGACTAAAGTCGGTCCGACCATAAACTAGTTTTGCGGGGAGAGAAAGGCGGAGAATCCTGTTTTCGGTACGCCATCGTTTGCCCCCAGGTTTACTGTTGTATATAAAATTGAGAACAATTGCCTCCTTACTTGGTATTGCCACCAGCATATTGGACAGAGGTCATTCAATTACACAAAAATGCGTCTCCTGCTGCCACTATCGTTTGCTGGCGTCGCCGTCGCTGGTTGCGGCAACGAGACCTGCGCGGCTACAACGCTGCATCTCACTGACCAGCCATATCAAAACTACTTTTACTCTGATTGCCATGTCAATGCGCAGGTAGTCGTTACCAGCCCTCAGCCAGAGAGCAATCTGAGCATCATTGGCCCGAGACTGGTTGTCGCCTGGCCTGCTGGCAACAGCGGCGTATGCGCATTCTTCCAACCTCAGAACGGCAAGAATGGCACGCTGGGCATTGAAATGGTCAATTCGACACTGGGATCGCCCATTGGGCCAGTCTACCACGAATCGGGATCCGACAAGCCTCCCGTCGCCGGCGTGGAGGGCGTCATGTGGTTCAACAGCTCGGCCGAGCTGTCGCTAGCTATCCTTGGCAGCGTGCGCACTATTCGTGATTTCGTCGAAGGGCCCAGCCTTTTGAACCCAATGATTCAAAGCGCCGTCCACGTCTCGCCATACAAGAAACATGGTGCGGCTGTTACGCGTCTATGGCTAGACAATGTCACCACCACCACCTTGACGCTGGAGCCATGGAAGCAAGATTGCGCGGCGCGCGTCACCGTGGAAAATGGCACCGTCAAGTTGGCTGCAGGCCACTACAAGGTCGCGGCGTCGTTCAATTACCCGCAGCTTAAGCAGCTCACACCGCAAGAGATCCTGAACGACAACGCACAGGACCTCATCACCAAGGACCGAGAGCAGGTCAACGCGCTGTCTTTCTTTTCGTACTCGGACAAGCTTCTCGCAGGTGGCTGGCGCTTCCTGACATACTTTGGACGAGACAGCATGATCTCCGCGCTTCTCATGCAACCCATTCTGCGCACGGGATCTGGATCGGCCATGGAAGCTGTGATTGGCGCCGCGCTGGAGCGAATCAACAAGACAGACGGCAGCGTGTCTCATGAAGAGACAATCGGAGACTACGCCACCTTTCTCAACCTGCAGCGCAATCTGACCTCCACGGCTGCTGGTTTCACATACCAGATGATCGACACGGACTACTACTTGCCTGTGCTGATGGACCGCTACTTCAAACAGTCGGCAGATCGCGTGGGTCCCTTGCTTAAGACAGAAGCTGGTCTGGTGGACGAGGAAAACAAGAACATGACTTGGGGTGATCTGAGCTATACGCTGGCGCAGAAGATTATGAACATTACTGCGCCGTTTGAACAGGAGCAGTCTGTGGCCAATCTGATTCATCTCAAGGATGGTGAGAGCGTTGGCCAGTGGCGCGATTCGAACCGAGGACTTGGAAACGGACGAATCCCATTTGATGTGAATTGTGCGTTGGTTCCAGCGGCCCTGTCTGCTATTGCATCGCTTGCGGCTGTAGACGGCGTCTATCCCAAGAACGATGTCACCGCGACATGGGCTACGGCTGCTGCAAAGCGCGCTAAAGTCTGGGAAGACAAGACTCTCGCTTTCTTTGAGCACGACACCTCGGTAAAGGATGCTACCTCCCTCCTGGACAACTATGTCTCCAACAACACGTACTACCACGGCCCGTCCAACGGCGAATCGCTGGCTACATACTCCAATGGATCTATCCACGACTATGCAATCTCCATTAAGTCACCTACCGATGATAGTCTTATCAAGATTACACATACGGACACGGCATTCCGCAATGTGCTTCTCAACACCACGAATGACGAGCAGCTGACGGCATTCATCAACTCGTCGTCGAATGCTATCCTGCGCCCGTTCCCCGCGGGATTGACGACTTCTGTGGGCGCCGTTGTTGCAAACCCGTCGCTCTCCGATAGCCCAGAGCTGATTGCCAACCTTACCAATGCTGCCTATCACGGCACAGTCGTCTGGGGATGGCAGCTGGCTCTCGTGGCCCGCGGTTTTGAAACACAGCTCGCCAGATGCACGGGACCAGATGCCAACGGATTCACACCGGCATTCTGTAAAGACGACACTGTCCGTGGTGCCCTCAAGGCAGCTTATAACAAGCTATGGGACGTTATCGAGGCGAATACGCAGCTGCTTCAGTCTGAGGTGTGGTCGTGGACGTTTCCTAACAACGGAACCGACGACAACGGATTTAAACAAGTCCCGCTGGGTGTTTTACCTCCTCCTCCCGGTGAGGGCGGTGGTACAGAGAGCGATATCAGACAGCTTTGGAGTCTGGTGTTTTTGGCGATTCAGCGCAACAAGGCCTACAGTACATAGGAGAGTGAGAAGTAAGAACATGTTAATACGTTTCGTATATGAAGTAGCAGTATGCTATAATGCTTTAATAAAAAGGAAATGCTACCGTATCGTGTACATGGTATCTGTTGTGTTTATTTTGCACCCGGGTTGCCGTTAAAGGACAACAGGTTGGGCGTCTCGCCTACCAGACCCTCGATAGCATTCTTGTGGGCAAGCTTCTTGAGCTCGTCGCACGCCTCAGACCCCTTGATGCCCTTTTCTGAGATGAGCACGGCGCCGAGGCCAGCCAGATGAGGCGATGCCACGGATGTGCCAGACAAACTGTTGTCCTTGCCGTCGGGATAGTGCGACTTGACAGCTTCGCCGGGAGCGTTGATATCGATGAGTTTACCAAAGTTGGAGAATCCAGATCGCTTGTCACCCTATTATAGACGGTTAATATATATCATCTGTAGTAATGGGCGCAGGCCAACTCACGTTTCCGAAAGCACCGGCGTTGCAAACCATGGGCTCCGAGCCAGGCGAGTCCTTACCCGCGTCTCGGTTGGAGTTACCAGATGCCACGGCTACCATGTAACCCTTTTTGACGAGATTAGCGCAGGCGTCGTTCATGATTTGATGGTATTCGTCTGCTACAAGGCTCAGGTTCACAACAACACCGCTACAGTTGCGCTTGGGTACATCTTCGGCGACAAAGTCGATGGCTGCCACGACACCGTCGTCTGGACCGGTAGCATTCTTGCCCAGGACCTTGAGGCCAATGACATAGGCGGCCTTGGCTACGCCGTATGTAAAAGAGGCCAGGGTGCCTGCAACGTGGGTACCGTGGCCGTGGAGATCCTTGTTTTCTTCCTTGTCCATCCAGTTCTTGAGCTGCTTGATGCCGCCTTTGAAATCCGCCTGCTTGTCGTCGACGCCGGTGTCAATCACGTAGGCGCAGACGCCAGCACCTGCGCTCTTGTGGTATGTGTACGTGCCGAGCCAGCCCTTGTGTTTGATGCTTGAGACGCGAGCAAGACCCCAGACGGCCTTTTCGTGGTTGAGCCAGTCGCTTTGGTGTTCCGTCATGAGGGGAGTTGTTCGCTTGGTAGGGATTCCTGCTGAGTAGAGCGCCGCTTTAGACATGCCGTTTTCTTCAATGTACATGACCTGAAGTTACGAGTTAGTAGTGTTTATGTGTCAGGTTTCAAGGTATATACTTGCATCGGGATGCTGACGTATGGCCTCTAGGGTTTGGGCGTCCATGGTGGCGGAAAAGCCCTTGATGGTAGACTTGTAGACGAAGCGAGGATCCTCCTTGAGAATCTTCATGGCAGATCCTTCGGAAAGGAGGCTGGCTTCATCGTGAAGGCGGACAATGTATTCATTGGCAATAGGTGTTCCACGCCGTCCAAGAGGAGCCAGGGCGTGAACTTGCAGCGCAGGGAGAAGAACTACGAGTGCAGTTGCAAGACCAACCATGATGGGCGTATTATATTGGTTGGAGGTGAGGAAGAAGTTGAAGGGTTGGGGGATGGGAAAATGAAAACAGACATGATCATCGGCTCTTTTGAATATGAGTACTATTCGCAGCAAGACATGTTGTGAACATTAATCTGTAAGATATTATGTGGTGGTGAGGAGTTTAGGTAGCATTGGAGCAGTTTGACGGCTACGGGTTATGTAAATGGTGTTGAGGGCGGGCCTGGACTATGGTATATGCGCTGTGGTTGTGTGGTTGGCATATTCTGCGGCTTGCATGGTAAAGGAGTAGAAGGAAGTTTTAAAATATAAAGTGTATTGTAGAGAATATTGTGAAAGTATAGTTGTGTGTATTTTAATGACTATGTGCAGTAGTCGTATATTGTGCAAGTTGCTATAGACGTCATAGTGCCAGGAGTTAAGTTACCGTATACTCCACTAACTGTATTGTTCATTTGTCTTGTCGGGTGGGATAGCCGACTTATATGCTAGCGTGCATTACAGAGCTGCGCTGTATTCTCCTTTTATCCCAGCGCTGTTATGTGCAGTCAGCTGGGGACTTTTGTAAACAAATACGTATACCATACTACATATCCCTACTTGTTCATTTCGGTGATTTTACTCGTTCAGCCTCATCTTGCCAGCCTTAAGCGTTCAGGACAGATAATCACTGTATACTTTGTAGTCTCTTTGTAGTAATCACATCTCGGCAGACCATCACGGTAGTCAGGGCATCTGGCGATGCAAAACGAGACTACAGCGGGCTACCGGTACCTGCCGTCCCCCGTAGAAATGCTCCCACAGGCCAGGCCACTGCGGGGACCCGCTCCCTAATTCAGGCATTGTCCGGCCACTATAGCGCCCTGCAGCACCGCTGTTCACTGCGCAGCGACGCCCTTCCGCTCCGCTGGCCGACAGTCCAGCCAGCGCCTTACTTACAGCACTCTAAGTTTAAAATTACAGGCCACCCCGCACTCTTTGTCCTCTTCAACCAAACACGAACAAAACACCATCACCAAACCACATACAATCCCAATTCCTATTTCACAATGGCCACCATTCAGCTCGGTCTCACTTCTCCCGGCCTCCTCGGCCCCGTCATCGGCCTCAACCTCTGGACCTTTGTCATGGAGGGCTGGATGTACGCGACGCGTCTGCCCGCCATGGAGGAGGCTAAGCTTACGCCTACACCCGAATTGACGCCCAACGATATGGCTACGAAGCTCCCTGCCAGTGTCCGCTGGAAGGCCGAGAACTACAACCATCTACACGAGCAGCCCACCACCTTTTACGCCGTTGCGCTCTCCCTGGCTCTTCTGGGTGTCGATGATAAGTGGACGGTGGCTGCTGCTTGGAGCTACACTGGTCTCCGTGTCCTGCACAGCTTGGTCCATGCCACAAGCAACTCAATCATGACGAGATTCAAGCTCTTTGGTCTGTCGTCGACTGTTCTTTTTGGATTGGCTGCTCGCACTGCCTACTTGCTTGTCAAGCACCGCAAGTAATGACAGCAGCCGACTTGGACGAGTGACGTCATATCGAGGGCAGCGTACAATGTCGAATGATAGTCTATAATATAGTGTACTCATATTGCAATGCAGTTTTCTTGTTCTATCTACTCTGCATGCTGCGCTTGTATGGTCCTTTATGCTAGCAAAGCGAACCGACCGCAAATATACTAACGTCACAAAGCATCCTAGAGTGGTTACAGAAACAGAGGCTGGTTCAGATCCATCTGCAAACCCACCGATAGCTGTGGCACTTGCTCGTAGTTGGATTGACGCAGGCAAGTTCTCGTCTCCTGGAGAGTCTATAAAACACTGTTAGTCGAATTCTTTTGTTCTGATACGGAGTACAAGGCCAACCTCGACAAAGGACGGGTTTTGGTTTCGCTTCATGACTTCCAAAAACGCCCACGACATGGCACCCTCGCTCATACCGCCAATGTTAGCGTCCGCACTAGTTTGGTCGTCTCGGCAGCCCGAAAACATAGCCACCGTCTTGTGCTCCTGCGCATACTGGGCATGCATTTCGTCAGAGCCAAGACCGGCTTGCTGCTCCTCGCCCATGTGCTTAAAGGAGCGGAAGAAGGACGTCGCGCCGGCGTAGAGGTCTTGCGCCTCAGCAAGCTTGTTGAAGCTGAACCCACCAACAAGCAAGTCCGACGCCTCTTCCATGAGGTGCATTCCCTGGCGAATATTGTCAATCATGCTGACATTGCCCTCATCGTCTGACTTGTACACATAGGGCAGCTCGAGCGCGGAACCTGAGTGGCAGCAGTCCAAGATGGCAAAGAGGGTGCTGTTGGGCGGCATGCGCGACACAAGATGCTGGTGCAGGGTGTCCGAGTCAATCTGTCCGTTTGTCTGAAAGTCCACGGGACAGATCGTGTCCAAAATGCCCGAGGGCTTGACACCGGTAGGATCCTTCACTTGCCCGCCATGACCGGAGTAGTGGAAGAAGTTGCATGTTCCCGGCTCGCTGACCAACCAGTCAATGGCCGCCCGCAAGATGTTAGCCTTCATTTTATGTTTTAAGCTCATTCATACTTACTAGCATGTTGTGGCCACTGGGATAGTAAGGCCCTTCACGGTCATCTTTTAGAATCACTTGTGAGCGCGGGTCATTGGAGTAGCCCCGATAGCTGAGAAACTCGGCCACATTGTCGACGTCTTGGTGGCAGCCGTTGAGCTCGTTTTCGCTGCCCGTATAGTTGATGCCAATAAGAAGAGACTTTTTACGCATTGCCATGATGAAGCTTGGTTTCCGGTCAGATGAGATCTATGTTTGCTATGGAAGAGATGCGTGAGGCATAATCGGCTCGATCCATCCGTATTTACCCAGCGGGGTTGGTCTGTCTGCCAATGCACCGCCACTATTTAGTAGCCTGTACCTTTCCAGAGCGCAGTTGAAGATATACCCGCTGTTTTTCTCCGCTTTGTATGGCACTCGTTATTCATTAGCTGCTTTGAAAATTAATTGCTTTCTATATAGACTGTGGGTTATACGAAGCGAGGTTTTTGTTACTCGCAAATGCAAATTCGAATATGGGCCCTAAAAGAGGCGCGCCAAGACATGATCGATCTACTCTACCATCCGTGAGATCGGCGGATTACTAGAATAGGTTATCAACTCCCTGTGGTGAAACTATGGCCACTACATCGCAGGCATCCAATGTCTTTCAAACCGCTGCATCCCTCGCGACTGCTCAGCTCTACTGGTGAGGGTTTGGGACCTTGTATTCAAATGCCACAGTGGTACTATATGCATCATGCAACGCTGAATCTTACACAGCATCTATAGCAACACCGTCATTTTTGCACAGATCGCTAAATAGAGAGCCAGGCGTCTTAGCCAAGTCCTTTGGCGCGCCTGACTCGACCAGCGTGCCTCGTTTGAGCACAATAGCACGGTCAAAATAGTCCATCACAGTCTGGATGCGATGAGATACAGCAATGACGGTGTAATCCGCAAATTCCGTAGCTATGATGTCTTGAATGCGCTTCTCTGTGTCACGATCCACACTACTGCTAATCTCATCAAGCAGCAGGATACCCCCAATCTTGCCAGTTGTGGTGGCCGCTTTGGCCGCTTTTACACGCTTGCGCAAGATGGCGCGGCCAAGACAGAACAGCTGTCTCTCGCCCATGCTAAGATCATCGGACGACATGGTAGATTCCAGCCCACCACGGTCGCTGACAAACTTTTCGAGCCCAACAGCATTCAATGCGGATATGCAATCAGCCTCAGAAGCCTGACCGCCAGGGTCCAGGTTGAGTTTGATGCTGTACCCATCAGGTAGTAGAGCAGGGTCCTGAGAAAGTGCAATGATTCGTTCTCGAAGCAGCTCGCGCTTGACACGGCATAGAGGAACATTGTCTACGACAATGGTGTCGTCGGTGCCACTGGCAGGGTTCATAAGATGCAGAAGTAGCATCAATAATGTAGATTTGCCGCTGCCTGTCCTACCGCAGATGGCCAGCTTTTGCCCGTATGGCACTCTCAGACTAAGATCACGGATCACCAAGCTGGCTGATGAGCTTAAATTATGACCTGTAGCAATAGCAGCAGGATCGAAATCATAGGATGCAGATACGCCCTTCAACTCGATAGCACCAGTATCTGGCCAAACGTCAGGCGGCTCAAGAGTCTCACCAGACTGATCCTCGGGGGCAACAGAGTCGCTAAATCTCTTGAGGCGGCCAACAGCACCAATGCTCGTCTCCAATTCGGTGTAGCCCTGCACAAGCTCAGACAGAGAGCCACCAAAGGCTAACAGCGTGACCAAACTAGTTCCGGCAAGGCCAACATTCGGATCAAGTTGCGTGGCCAGTGAGACTAGTACCACGGCGAGGCCAGCCACGACCAATTGCATAACGGTGCGAAGCCACTGCTGAATCATGGCTAGCAGATACGCAGGCTGCAGCGAGTTGTCTAGCAGTCTGTCATTCTCGGCGATATCCTGGTCAACCCAGCCAAAGGCGCGAACAGTAGTGATTCCCTTGATGGTTTCAAGAAAGTGGGTGTACAGGGGACTCTTGGCTTCCAGATCAAGCAGTCTCATGCGTTTTGACGTACGCAGGTAGAAGCGTTGTACAAAGTACAGAACAGCGAACAGAATAATGTATCCAATAGCAAGGTATGGCGTAGCAATCGCAATGACAACAGCCATTCCGAATGCCTCGGTAACGTTGAGTGCAAAAAAGAAGAACGCGTAAAGTAACTCGCCATCAACAAGCGTCATATCTTGGGAAAAGTGATTAGTGATGACACCAATTTCTGTAGTTGTAAGGTACTTGAGAGGGGCAGTGAGGATAGTGTTGAGGGCAGCCTTGTGAAGTGAGTTGCCAGCAAAGGTGGTCATGGAGATGAAGATTTCCACAGAGCTCGCAACCCAAGAGATGATGAACATGGCTTGTATGAGACCGTAGATGCCGACATAGAAGACGTGGCTGCGGCTGTAGGTATCTTGAGACCAGTAGTTTAGCCAGATGACGCCAAAATTGGAGCTGAAGCCGTGAATAACGGCCCAAAAGACAAGGCCAATAGTAGATAGCGGGTGGACGTTTCTGAACCAGTGCTTGTACACACCCCAGTCACCCCCGGAGCTAACAGATGAATCCACTTCATCCTCTTCGTTTTTTGACGTCATTTTGCGGCTGCTACTAGCATTATGCACAGTTGCCTGATCGGAAGTAACAGAAGGACCGGCCTCGTGGTTGGAGATCCCACGGGACTCGAGATCTAATTTCGCGATGTAGTCGCTGCTTACTTCAAGCTGCTTTAGAGAACCCTCTTGAAGAGATACTGCTTCGTCCTTTGTGAGAACAATTACATGATCCGCACTGGGAAGATGGCCAGTAGAATGGCTACAGAGAAGAGCAGTGATTCCATGCGTCTTCGTGAATCCAGTTGGTCCAAAGACGCGCTGGAATAGCTTTGAGTTTGTGTTTGCGTCAAGTCCGCTCAGCACATCATCAAACACAATAGCTTTGCAGCCAGAGTAGAGGGCGCGGGCAACGGCGACTCTTTGTCTCTGGCCACCGCTTAGAGTAGTGCCGCCGCTACCTACAACCGTGTCAATACCATTATCAAGCGCATCGATATCGGCAGTGAGCATCGTAGCCGAGATGACCTCTTCAAGCTTTTGCTGGTTGAAAATAGAACGACCAACAATATTACTCTTGAGACTCGTATTGAATAGAAACGGTTCTTGTGAGCAGTAGCCAATGGTACTGCCACTGGGAAGAAAGACGGAGGTTTTGCCGGAGTGAATAGGGACCTCTCCGAGCAAGACTTTGCATAGCGTGGATTTTCCAGATGCAACGGGGCCAACAACCATGGTGAGGGCATTCAAGGGAATCTCGCAGCTGATATTGCGAAGAATCATTTGATCTTCAGACCAGCCGAAGCTTCCATTTTCAATCTGGAAAGCTAGAGCGCTCTCCCCCTCACCAGTACCCTTTTCAGATTCAGTAGAGCCACGCTCCCACGAGCGAAAGTCGACTCTAGGCTTGGAGACGAGAAACTTTTGAATGCGTCCCATACAAGTAAACGCCGAAATAACGGGCAAGACAGAGTTAAAAATGATGGTAAAGGGAGCAGTGATGAGGTAGATGTAAGAATAGGAAGTGAAGATTGTAGCCACATTGAGTGTCTTGGTGGATGCAGCAAAAGTGATCACAGGAGAAAAGGCAGAAGGGACAGCACCCAGAGCAATAGCAAAGATGACGAGCCATCGAAATCGCTTACCAACAGTGATTTCCACAGCGCGCATATTCTGAATTAGTGAGCCGACAACACCTGCAAGACCCGATATTTTGAAAGCCTTCATATTGCCCACGGCTGAGGCAGTCAAGCTTACTCGCTTCTCGATCTGTTCCATCCAGGTGCCCATGCGCTTGTCAACCGGTCTGGAGACAGCAACCATCAACACAGAACATACCGCAATAACAACAAGGGGAGAGATAAAAGCAACACCGAGCTGGCCTTGAAGAAGATAACAACCAATGGCAACCTGTGCCAGGATAGCCCACAGCTCGTGAATGACCTGGCCACCGCGCACGACACGATCGAGATCCGTGCTCATGAGCGTGATTGCGGCTGTGTCGCTACCTGCAGTAGCGTTTACTTGTGTTGTCTTGCGGAAGATGGTAGTATGAAGCGTTGCGCGGAGCTTGTATACAAAGCGCTGGTTGTAAGACTGGTAGATGCCCGAAGACAGGGCAATGCCTGTGTAGATGAAAAAGGCTGCCCCAATAAGGCTATACCCGTACTTCTTGTCGCGTGCTTCCTTGGACAACGCGAGGTAGTCGAGCATGGTATGGATAAACAGCGGCTGTGATAGCTTGAGAGCGACTAGAACCAGTCGAGGCACAACGGGTAACAAGAAAGGCCCAAGCAGCGTCCACCACACATTGCGCAGGGGTTCGGGAGCCATGGAGTTTTTGGCGTCCTCTTTGGTTTCGGTGGTGAGCTGAAGATTGGCGTGTAAAACGGTAGCCGTCATACTGGTATCGAGAGGATACAAGTCTTCCTTGCGAAGAGGACTGCGATAGCCATGGTAGAAGAGCTTGTTGATCCAAAAGTATGTGCTGCGGCCAAAGAGGCCACTGGTCTCCTCGGGGCTGGGAAGAGCATCATAACCAGTGAATTCGGATTTGGGAACTGCTTCCAGGACCAGATTGATGGCCTTGACAACAGTAGCAGTGGTGTACAAAGGGGCAATTGTGGTAAGCTGCGATCGCCAGGCGGTACGCGTCTGAATAATGTCAAAAAGCAGAGTCAAACAGAGATAGGCTTCGAGCAAGAGAGATGGTTTGCGGCAACGGACGTGATCCGAGTATGATAAGACAATAGCAAGAAGAGAGGCAACAAAGGTCAAGGCGGCAGCCACTGATGATAGAGGGTAGAAGCCATGCTGTCCAGCAATCTGCTGGGCTGATAGAGCTAACCGAGCCGTCTGTAGTGCCGCGTAGACTGTAAGGAGAACGACCTTTGTATTGCGCAGGGTAATATTTCCAGTTTGATGCCGTTGTCGCCATTGGAAAACCAAGTGAAGTAAAGCAAGAGTGATGAAGCAGGCGCTGGGCAGAATGGACAGGATAGACTGTTGGAAGACGATGGTAAAGTCAAAGTCGTCCCGGCACCCGCTGACGGTTGGGCCAAAGGCGTCGTCGTTTGTACAGGGCGAGACGGTCATCGGTGCTATTGCTACTAGTATTGAAGCATAGTAAACTGAAAAGAAGAACAGAAGAGAAAGGGAGAGAGGGTGGATTGAGGCTGTTTCTTAACCTGCGCTACATACAAAAAACAAGGCTTTGGCTTATAGTGGAGGAGTTGTCGAATTCGTCTCGCCGATGCAAGCCTCGTGGATAGCGCAAGGGATTAGCTCCGAGGCTAAAGCTAGAACAACACGGCGTGCCCTGGTGGCGTCACGCTAACATATTGTTCGGCTGTCTCGCAACTTTATTACAGTCAGTCGTAATTCACAGTAATGCGCAGGTCTTTGGTCGTTTACTCATAGCTTCCAAAACATAAAACAATATAAATGGATTCTCTACTAAATAATAAAATTCGAAAGACTTTGGCCGAACTCTTAAGGTTTCATTCATGCTTCTGATTAATACTACAAAAACATAGAAAACAGAGTTAATACAAGTCTTCAAAGCAAAAAAAGGTCAAACTTTGCCGCTGAAAATCCCCTATTTAGTTTTCTCATCTCTCCTCCGTTTTCACCTATTCCATTTACCAAATAGCATAGAACAAAATGGCCAGGCCAACCAAATGCAGTGCAGGGCACTGCCCACAGCCAGACCCTGTCATGAAAGAAAACTTACAGACAACAACACAGATCAGCGCGGACAATCACCTTAATTTTATGCTCCGTATTTTGCTTTACGATCTTAAGCATATGGGGAAAAATCCATTTTCTGAGGAGCGATTAAATAGGACGACGGATGAGCACTACCTCAGCATGCCATACTTTACACCAGAGGAAGCAGTTTGCATTAAGGACGCGCTTGTGGATACACCTGCCTATAGTTCTGACCTGATTGAGAATGAATCTGTAGAGCCAAAAACAGTAAACGACACTCTGACCGATACACTACAAAACTTCTTGGATAAACGACGTGCTAGTGGCGACGCTCGTCCCTGTGGACCTCACGACCTTTTGCCTCTATATAGCAAGCTATTTGGAATCGATGTGGCTGAATTGCGAAATGACACGTTTATCGCGCGTATGAGACGCCAAAGGCTCTAGCCATGCCCATGAAAAGCTGTGTAGTTAGTCGCGAGCTTCATATGCGACTCTACCCGGGATTCGACATTGGTTTTTTTTCATTGGATTGTGTATTCGAATGGTACGAATTTATTAGCAATCGGCAGTATCTGTTTCTTTAATGTTTATGGCCGGACAAGCGCGAATGCATTCGTGTGTGATGCAGCAAACATCCATTGCGACACTCTTGGACTTATAGCCGATTTAGAGCCTAGCGTCACGCGGTGATCTTCCCAAGCGATAGCCTACCTGCGATGTACTTAATACAACCCAAACTTCTCTTTCACATTCATCTAAAATTTCTCTTGTAGCAACTATGCAATAATGAAATCCGTGCAAACGTTAGACCACGACGGTGAACCAGCGTACCACGGGCGGGCGAGGGTGAACGGCATCCGCATGCACTACCTGGTTTGCCCCAACCCGGCCAACAACACCCAAGAAACAACTAAACCGGCCATTGTCCTCCTCCACGGGACGCCAAAGAACAGTTTCTACTGGCATCGATTAGTGCCGTACCTTACGCAGCGCTTCACCGTCGTAGCGCCCGACCTTCGCGGCTTCGGCTATACAGACAAACCTCCTACGTCGGATGGCTATGACTGCCTTACTAATGCGCATGACGTAGCGGAATTGATGGAGCAGCTTGGCTTCAAGCAATACTACGTCCATGGCGAAGACCGCGGTGCGGAATACGCTTTTTCTCTGGCTGCTACATATCGAGATCGCGTTATCAAGCTCAGCTTCTGCGAGATGCTGTTGACTGGATTTGGGCTGGAAGAATCCAACGTCTGGTCCGAATCAAACGTAACTGCGCAGATGCGTATGCAGGGTGTCTGGTGCTGGCACTTGTCCTTCTTCTGGATCCCTCATGTCCCAGAGATGCTCATCACTGGAAAGGAGCGGGAATTTTGGGAACATTTCATGCGCGCAGAGTGCTTCGATCCGACGGCTATTCAACAGCTCGAACTGGACCACTGGACAGAGTGCAGCAAACAGCCTGGCGCGCTACGTGGCATACTCGAGACGTATAGAAGCGCGTTTGTAAATGCCAAGGTCAATAAGGAGAGTGTGAGCAGCGAGAAGGGGGGCAAGATTACTTGTCCTGTGATGACGATTGGTGCTCCTGAGTTCTTTGGCCCAACTGTGCGCAACTGTATGCTGCACGTGGCGACGAATGTTGAGTTTTCAGAGATATATCAAGAGTGTGGGCATAGTTTGGCGCTGGAGAAGCCAGAGCGTCTTGCAGGTGACTTGATCAAATTCATGTTGGACTAATTCATCTATGATTTAGCTTTCTATACTGCATTTAAGATTGATGTTTCTTATTGCTCTGTGATGCTCTACTCCAGGGTGCTGTTCAACCGACGACAGCAACTAGACTATAGACCAATTTGTGAATTATTATTATTACAAAGCCCGGTTAGATGAATACACTCCTGTCACTATAATTTACCAGTCCAACCCCCCC